ACCACTCTGAAGCGTTTCACACCACTCTGAAGCGTTTCACACCACTCTGAAGCGTTTTGCACCACTCTGAAGCGTTTTGCGCCACTTTGAAGCGTTTCACACCACTCTGAAGCGTTTCGCACCACTCTGAAGCGTTTTGCGCCAGTCTGAAGCGTTTTGCGCCACTCTGAAGCGTTTCACACCACTCTGAAGCGTTTTGCGCCATCTGAAGCGTTTCACACCACTCTGAAGCGTTTTGCGCCATCTGAAGCGTTTCACACCACTCTGAAGCGTTTCACACCACTCTGAAGCGTTTCACACCACTCTGAAGCATTTTGCACCACTTTGAAGCGTTTCACACCACTCTGAAGCGTTTCGCACCACTCTGAAGCGTTTTGCGCCAGTCTGAAGCGTTTTGCGCCACTCTGAAGCGTTTCACACCACTCTGAAGCATTTTGCGCCATCTGAAGCGTTTCACACCACTCTGAAGCGTTTCACACCACTCTGAAGCGTTTCACACCACTCTGAAGCGTTTTGCGCCACTTTGAAGCGTTTCACACCACTCTGAAGCGTTTTACGCCACTCTGAAGCGTTTTGTGCCATCTGAAGCGTTTTGCGCCACTCTGAAGCGTTTCACACCACTCTGAAGCATTTTGCGCCATCTGAAGCGTTTCACACCACTCTGAAGCGTTTCACACCACTCTGAAGCGTTTCACACCACTCTGAAGCGTTACGCACCACTCTGAAGCGTTTCACACCACTCTGAAGTATTTTGCGCCATCTGAAGCATTTCACACCACTCTGAAGCGTTTCACACTACTCTGAAGCGTTTTACACCACTCTGAAGCGTTTCGCACCACTCTGAAGCGTTTTGCGCTACTTTGAAGCGTTACGCACCACTCTGAAGCGTTTCACACCACTCTGAAGCGTTTTGCGCCACTCTGAAGCGTTTTGCGCCATCTGAAGCATTTCGCACCACTCTGAAGCGTTTCACACCACTCTGAAGCGTTTCACACCACTCTGAAGCGTTTCGCACCACTCTGAAGTGTTTCACACCACTCTGAAGCCTTATGCACCACTCTGAAGCGTTTCATACCACTCTGAAGCATTTTGCGCCACTCTGAAGCGTTTTGCGCCATCTGAAGCGTTTCGCACCACTCTGAAGCGTTTCACACCACTCTGAAGCGTTTCACACCACTCTGAAGCGTTACGCACCACTCTGAAGCGTTTCGCACCACCCTGAAGCGTTTTGCGCCAGTCTTGGCTAATTTGAATCTTCAAGCTTGGCTAATTCTGACTATTTTTATTTGCCAATCCCCTTTCAGCAAATTGGCCAATTGCTTTTTTCAAAGTCCGAAAAGAGTGTACATCAGTGACGGTTGGTTACCTAGCTACATACTTTTTCAATTCTGCTCCTTAGCAACTTCATAAGCAACCAATCCCAAAACTGCTCACAGCAGCCTTCTTCTCCCGCTCTTTTTTCAAAAGAATTCCTCTGTGCATCATGAACTCATGCCCCACAGTAGGTATTCGAGTGAGTGGACGCTAGCTTTCATCAACGCTTGCTGTGGACTTGTCTCAAGCCCCACGGCAGGAGTTGATGAAGGTTAGCAATCATTTGCGACTTCTACTTATCAAAGGACCCTCAAGGTCGAGCACGATGAAGAGAGTGTCCGTTCGTTGCGAGTGGTAGGCATGGTCCATACACGTAAGTCTTCAGTTCCACTGGGACAACCAATCCGTTTCGCTCTTGTTTGACTAAAGACCACTCGTATTTTCTACCAGATCTGCGTATGAAAACATAGGTGATGGACATTCCAGAATTTAGAAGCTGTGCTTGAGATTAAGGTAACATCGTTATTCATTTCCTCTGCAGTGCATTCACAACTTCCGCTCACGAGAAAACAACAGGGAATCGTAAAATCGACCATGGATGTAGTTGCCAAGCCAAAGAAAAACAGGTCAGATTTCGTATCGAGCGTAACAGAACCAAGCACAGTCATCATCCCATCAGCATTGAACGGACCTGTCAAAATAACCCCACAAAAAAGAAAGGCCGACGACTCTAGGTGTTCACATACGCAAGAAAAATAAGCACGCATTCACCTACCCACAATCACTCCAAACCTTTTCTGACAAAAACGCATCCACATTCCCGCCCATCTTTAACATGCTCTTTTCACTGCATTATATTTCCATCTTTGACGCTGTACCAAAAACTTTTCACATTTTCTGCCCATCTTTTACCCTATACTTGTACTTCTCACTTGAATTGACCCCATCCTTTTCTTAATACATCTTTGTCTATGTGCCGATCCCACAAGTGTATCATATTCAGTAGCCGCTTCAGATACGCCTTGCATTTCAATAATTTTGGATGATGAAATGGATGAACTCATGCAGCTCCTGCTGTTGCTGGAATGATATGTAACTAGGAGTGTTACCGAGTACTTCTATCTCTCCGTCCGTTTCTCTCTGCTTTTGCTCTTATTAATTACGCCATCGAATACAATGTTCAGCGTAGGTATCGAATAGAAGGATCAGTAGTTGAGCGATGCAAGGCTGTGGAAGTAGACACAGCACCGTCGAGGCAGTGAGGCTTTTCGGTCCTGCCCATTTCTCATTTAACTTCTGTATCTGATCTTTGCTATATCACCCACTCCGTGGGTAGTCTTTCTTTAACGTTTACCTTCCAAATATGTCACTTTGTGATGATAGAGCTTTAATAAAGATAATAAGGGACAAGATTAAGTATCTTTGAGATGATGTTTTATTCCAACAAAAGATAAAGCTCTTTTATATTCTAGCTATTAAGACGGCGATATCACTTCATCCGACTAATGGATAAACTATGTGATAGAGGATGGATCAAGGACGTATCAGAACTTCTATTGAAGTCGCTATGTTAATCGGGCACATCTTTGAAACCGGCGTTAGCTGATGTAATGGCCGAGGTACCTGTTGATAGGTTCATTGTCCTGTTCACGTAAGGTGGATCATCTGAGTGAGAGATTTTATTCAATAGTGTTTAGCCGAAATGCCGTAGTGTTCATACGTGTATGCTATAATGTTTAACCGAATATCTTATTGTTGATATCTTGAGCAGTGTATTAATGTGGTTCACCACAAATAAAATGTTATACCTTGTATGCTACCTGCACCGTTGCCACTTTTCCCCCGGAGGAGGGTAATTCCATTCACAATCCATGCCGATGACAATAGTACTCGTTTTAGAGTCTTCCATAATGTTTCGGTTTATCACGTCGTTTGCTTCTATAGTGTCTCGAACATAGTGGGTTTTGATGTTGTTTGGTAGTCGTAGGAAAGGTGCTTGATTTTTAACAGGTTGACTTGCAGATTGTTGTGTTTGCTTTGGTCCGTCGTTTATCAATTTGATCGTTTTCAACAAAAGCGTCTTATCCCCTCGCACATTGCCAGTGAAGAACAAACGAGGCGGTTAAAAAGCCATATTGGTTGTATGTCTTCATCATTTCTTCAAGGGGAGTCTTCATGTGCGATAGAGATTTTGTCGGGACTAGCAGCTTCTTCATATTCGTACATACTGTGTATAAGGCCACAAAGGTCGGTGCGTCGCCCATTTTAGCAATTTTCTTGATGAACTTGAAGGCATGATCACCCTTGAATATCTCGCCATCGACTGCTGCCATTTGCTTATCCATAAACGGGCGTAGTACATCCAGAACAGCGTTGTAATTAAGCGAAAATACGGAATGGATGGGATATAGCCGGCGTAGCCTTGAGGATTGTCAAATGTCGAAAATTCTGCATATGTTTTGGTCGCATTCCATGTCTCAACCAAAGTACGCTGATTTTGCTGATGATCCAGTTGATTTAGAGTATATAAGATATGAAGTCGGATATGTTGTTTGGTATGAAGCTCTTGTAGCATGTCATGAAAATTTTCCGATTTCCACAGCATGTTGCATGCAAGGTCGCAGTATGTCGAATAATTCTTTTGATACAGCGCATCGGTAAGTCAGAACGGCCGGAAACTCTGCTGTTAGCTGCTCCAGAAGTTGCGGCAGGATATTTTCATCATGGGCGCCTAATGACTTTTTGCACACGAAGCACTCGTATCGTCGTGATATTATATAAAAGGACCTTGTATATCAATCGTGTATATTAGCTTAATTATTCCATTACTTATTCACTTATTGTTGCTTTGAAAGTATATGTCCCTGTGCATGTCCACAACTCTACGCGAACAAGGATCTTTGTAGAAAGCCTTTATCAGTAAGTAGCGACACTTTGTTTATGCAGCATTCCTCGCGGCCAATACAGTTTGTTCACCAAGACATGTGGCAGCCACAGAAGCTACTTCGCTGACTGTAGCAGAGGGATCATCATCAAGCCTAAATCGGTTTACGGCCTTGCTTATCTCCATTCTCAAAAATACTATCGGGCCGCTCATTATATTGCTTAACCATCTCTGTGCAGTACGAAAATTGATCTCCACTGCTTTGCTGTAGGATATGCACTCAAACACTTGTCAAATTTCAGCTTAAAAAACGAGCCTTATCTTAGCAGTGTACCCAACATATTGGCACTTTTCAGCCACTTTTCTCACACGCGTGTCCTCATCACCTAGCTTATATAACTCCATTGGCTTGCTTTGGGAAGATTCCGAGAATGCTGCCTTTTACATATACTCCGATTGCAAGGCGATTGATTATCATACACAATAAATTGTTGCTGTTGAACACGATCACAGCAAAAGAATTCAGGCAAGCCATCATTGACAAGTCTAGTCTACGTCGAAGCCCGAGAACACACGCTCTTATCGCCTAGACAATTAAATACCTTCTGGCGTTTGAAGATATCGCCAACGGCAAGAAATGTCTGGTATCGAGCGCTTCACAACAAGATCTCAAGCCGAAAAAGTCTACATTCGATTATGCCTTCGAAATTCACCACCGCTACTTGTCCAATTTGAAGATGATTTGTCTCATTTCCTGTACCAATGCCCTCGGAAATGGTCGATTTGGTGCTCCGTGTGGCCCGACCTCTTATTACAATCTGTTACAGAGTCTGCTGTACACAACGTTATCTTTCACCTGTACTTTCCCCAAAATCCTCCTCGTCTCCCTTCAGATATTATTTTCAGTTGTATATTAGAATGTCTTTGGAACGCCCACTGGCGCTTTGTTCTAAACAACTCTCCCTTCGTTCCCGATAACATTATCGCGCAAATCCATTCTCTTTTGTTAACCCGCACCCAAGAAAAACCTCCCTTCTATCGCAAACTAGTCCAACGCTACCTAGTTCCTTCTCCTCACCTCTCATATCTTATATGCACGTGACTTTGCGTTGTTGCGCGTCTAGAAAAAGAAACATATTGTTGCTGGTCTAAACCATAGGTTCAGGATTGCCATGCTCATCAACGATATTTCCTTGGCCATCATACAAAAAGAGTACACTCATGTTGGACTGCAAAGTGAATAAAATTTTTGTCCAGTCGTGCGACATGATTTCTAAACAAGCCAGACGACATTAGTTTTCACTCGCTATTGACATTACTTGCTGGAAACACAGTACAGTAAATGAAAGTGTCGTTCTATCACGTGCCTCAAGTAGGACGTACCTCGTTTCTGCTATTACAGCGTTTCTCGATGAGCAAATATTAGAAGATGCATAATGCCTGAGTAAGATTCTCTGCTAATAATAACATAGAATTTTGGGATGTCTGTGGGTTAGGACATATTGTCCTATCGCACACGCATGTGGCCTCTCTTCCCACAGCACCCGCTCGAGAATGATTGTGCAACGTCAATACACGATCCTCCAACATCATCTTACACGTTAATGTCGCAACGTGGATATTCTCTTTTTTATTGTTATATGTACAAAGTTCTTTTTTCAACAATGAGTCTTTTCATTTACTGTTTGACCGCAGTTTTCGGATTTGAGGTTTGATGATGATCTTTTTTGGAGACGCTTTTGATGATGCCAATGGTGACGGTGTGCGTTTCCTTCTCTTGTTTCCTCCCCCCGCACGTGCTGCTAAGACGTCGTCCTCGTCATCCTCATCATCCATGCGTCGTTTGGGCAAAGGTGGTGGTGACAATGCACGTTCTGCTTGCTGTTCTTCTGTTGTTGCTGTTGTGCCAAGTGCTGTAGGTGGCGAAGGAGACGGCGATTTTGATTTTGATACCGCCGATTCTTCGATTTCAGCTTTTTTTGGAGACGCTTTTGATGATGCCAATGGTGACGGTGTGCGTTTCCTTCTCTTATTTTCTCCCCCCGCACGTGCTGCTAAGACGTCGTCCTCGTCATCCTCATCATCCATGCGTCGTTTGGGTAAAGGTGGTGGTGACAATGCACGTTCTGCTTTCTGTTCTTCTGTTGTTACTGTTGTGCCAAGTGCTGTAGGTGGCGAAGGAGACGGCGATTCTGATTTCGATACCGCCGATTCTTCGATTTCAGCTTTTTTTGGAGACGCTTTTGATGATGCCAATGGTGACGGTGTGCGTTTCCTTCTCTTGTTTTCTCCCCCCGCACGTGTTGCTAAGACGTCGTCCTCGTCATCCTCATCATCCATGCGTCGTTTGGGTAAAGGTGGTGGTGACAATGCACGTTCTGCTTTCTGTTCTTCTGTTGTTGCTGTTGTGCCAAGTGCTGTAGGTGGCGAAGGAGACGGCGATTTCGATTTCGATACCGCCGATTCTTCGATTTCAGCTGTAGTAAGTGTGCTCTCATTATTATTAGTGTCAATATTGTTGCTGTTGCTGTCTTTATTGTGATCGAATGAGAATGACCGGCGGCGCTTATCACCAGATGGCGGTGATGATGATGATGACGATACCGCTATTGTTTGCTGTTCTTCTTCATTATTATCCATCTCCTCGTCTGATAAATCTGAATCATTATAATTGACAAGCGGTCCTCCTCTTGATGGTTCAATTGAAGACGTTGCATTCGGCGATGCGCTTTCTGCTAATGCTTTGTTTGGCTGATCCTCTTCTTCGTCCGACGATTGGTTATTAAAATACTCTTCTTCGGCCGCTGCATCATCTATTGCACTAGCGTCTTGACCATTGCCACGTAACAAGTTATCTCTGTTTATGTTGCCATAGTAAAGTTTCATTGCCTTCGTTAGCAACCAACAATGCATCACGCTTCAGTACTATGTAAATGTTGAACACAGAGTCGACTCACCTTGCTGCCTCATCTCCAGCTTCATTTGAGTCATTTGGCTCGATATTTTGCTCGTGTCGTAACCGTAACATTTCGCAGGTCGTTACATAGCTGATGGTGTCCAGCACCGAACCGTAGTTTGCTATTAAGTGTTCGACCAATAATTTGATGTTTTCCTGTGTTACCAAAAAATAAGACATGATTCGATTTGTGTCATTTGCAAGAGCGTGGTATAAGAGGATATACACACTAAAAAGCTAAATTTGCTGCCCCACTACTGGACGTACTCTTCTTATATACTCCAACATCTCAAGACACGCAGAGTTGAGCGCATTGTAGCGGCCATCGGTATCCAAAAGCACTCGTATTGTCGGTTCGAATACATTGAATTTTATAAGAAGTCGGGTATACTTGTCGCTTAGGCCGATACAAGTGCGGAATACGCGCAACGCCGCTATTTAATCAAATAAACGTGTGAGTCGTTGAATTTCACATTGACAACGTTTTTTTTTGCCGCTGTATCCTCTTCCTCTTTTCCTTACCAAGCTTCAGGTGAGATTGTTTGCATCGATACAGTTGTGCAATCTTGACAAAACAGTCGGTGGAACGCATTAAAATTCTGCTAAGGAAGCTGTGTTGTCGTATAGCCAAGCAAATGAGGTCGCATAGGTATAAGCATATATCTGACTGATCTGTAGTGAGTTTGAGCTCTTCTATTGGACCTAGTAACCATTCCGTCACGATGAGTTTTTGATAACTATCCTGCTTCTTTACTGATAATTGACAAGTAGTAGATAAGAACTTACCATCTAGCTTGATCGGTTTGACATCTACTTGTTCAAACGGACGCAGTAGTAGGTTACAATAACTTTCGTAGAATACAGTGAGATACATTTGAGTATCAAGATCTTGTTTACGTAGCATCTAAGCATTTAAGATAGATTTAGTAGCATTGTAGATGAGTTTACAAAGCTCCTGAAACGTTCTTTTCGGGTCAAGTAGGCCACTATCTTGTTACCACCAATTTGCCATTGCCCAAGTTCATCGACGCCTTGATAATTTCTGCGTATTGTATCTTTAGACCGGGATCCGTGTTATCGAGTGCAAATCGCTTAAGGACCGTGCCCAAGGTAGTATCTTCAGCGTTTTTTGTTCTCGTTTGTTCAATGGTGTATTTACGTAAAAGGCATACGTCAAGCTCTACAATGGAATCAAGGACGTTTGCAGCATGGGTACGCAAAAGCTCATCATCTGCACACAGGGCAAACGGAAACATATCGAAAATGCCATGTTTGGCCAGCGTTCTAAAAAGTAAAGGTAAGATAAAATCAATCGTTTGAACGCACAAACAAAAAACGAACCTGGCTAGAGCTGCACGCGCAGCGGTCTGATCCTCCTTTGCCATAATCCAGAGCTGTATTACGAACTTGGAAGCTTCCTTCTTCATTTCATCGCTCGACTTCTCGTCTCTAAAAATATAAAACAGCTCGTGCAAATACTCCTGGTTCTCTTCGTCTTTAAAATAATTGACAAGAGCAAGGTTGTTGAAATTTATCAGCGAACGCAGGGTTGATTTTTCTGAGTCGTCGATAGTGTTGCACAAAATGACATCGTTGAGATATTGTAGCCGCAAAGTTTGCTGTATCTTGGAATTGATCCGTTCATTTTGAATCGGGACGATCTAAAAAGTGATTGAGAAGTATAGAAAGGGTTTATGCTGTGTTTCTCTTCTCTTGTTGGGAACTATTTGACTGCTTGGATATACAACACGTACTGGTTTCATTTGGGAGAGTTTTGCTAGATTTCTTCGATGTGTTGCCTTCTTATCTGGTATCTGCGGATCATCTAATAACGTATGCACATGACAAGACAGGTTAAGCTCAGCCACACGTCTATACATACAGAGCACAACAATGAAAGACCAGGGGACTGTCAAAGCTTACATTCAAGTATGCCCAAAACCTCCATTATATACTCATCACGAACTACGAGCTCAATAATGGCTTCGTCATTCAACAAAACTACATCATAAAAAATACATAAGGTCAGCATGTATAAAACTAATGATGTTGTTGTTGTCGCCACGAAGGGTACAAGGCTTAGAACGAAGGAAAACTTACTGATGGACTTCATGATAGTGTACAGCTTACGCGGACCTCTTTTGCTTTTCTTATTTTTGCATGACTCAAATACGGACAACAGCTTATCAATGTAGTTCTTCCAATAAAACAAGTCAATCAAAAGGTTACATACATTGCACCCAGCAGCACCCTGAGATCAATCCGCATAATAAAGGTACTTACATCTAGTACAATAAAAAATGCTAGTCGACGCTTATCTTGTTCTGTTTTTGCACTGCTAAGACTTCTTGTAATTTCGTCCAAGTTGGATAGTTCAGGCATGGGAAGCGTAGCTACGTCTTGGAAATCATTCGTCATCGGTGGTGTTCTATCTCCAGTTTCCAGCGTCTCATCAACAGCTTTTTTGTTTCGTAAACCATTGTGCAAGATACAGATAGAACAACATGTTTAGACACACGAAATTTCAATTTTTACACGACTTTTGCAGTTGTCCCATACCTGTTTTGAGGCGATTATCGGTGGCAGTGTCACATCGTTCTTTTATCAACATGTTCCTGTAATCATTTGGGCGATAAAAATAAGCTTCTTGTACATCACTGACCCACATACGCTCGCACACTCTTTTTACATTCTTCCTTTCCCTCTTTCCCTCTCTCTATCCCGATAACGTGCCATATATAGTCACAATTCTCGCGCGATGTAAAACACAGTGCTACTTCATTTGCTCCTGTACCCTCATTCCAAAGAATCATAGTTTCTAAATGCACCATTTTTTACAAATCAAGATCAAATTCAGTCATGGTGGTTCCAGTCATCAAATCGCCCCGTACTTTGTATATCTATACCTTTATGTTGCTCATGATTTTTGTGTTCAGAAACCTGCGATATCAAAAGGCAGGACTGATCATCCACATCTTGGACAAGTATTTCGTCGTGTTCGTCGCCATTGTCTTCGTGTACCGTTTTGTAGACACAAAAACCAGATCCTTGATCGTGCCAATGACCTTCACCGATGTATTTATATACTATGCAGGGGACCGGCTCAGATGTTGTAGTAGTGGGGGTGCTAGTTGACATGTTGAATTCGTATTTTGTTCTTGTTTTTGACAAAGATTGTAGAATGCACACCGGATCGAGGGCAAGGAAAAGAAATATGTTGTGAGAGTAAGAGAAAAACTCAAAATTGTGTTCAGCTCGCGCAAACCGTTTTTATTTGCGAAAGGAAAAATACTCCCCCCATTCACAGGTGCGTTCTAACAATGCACAGATCTTTTGTATCGTAGCGATAGTAACACGATCACAACGAAAGGGAAAAAAATTGCTCGGAGGCTACGAGCCAACATCCTGTTTTTTTTCACATGAATAATACATCACCCACACATACGCCGAGGAAGTAACACAACGTCAGATTGACTTTGTGTCGCTGCTGCGGATGGAGGTGGCAACAATATCAACCTGAAAAAGCAGTTTGTATAGATTTATAGTAGTTCCAGGAGGACGCGCATACTATGTTGAAACAGCCATGCTGCTCTTGGCAATCTACTTTAAGCTAGCCACATCCATCAATGCGGGATTGAGGGATAGGCAATCGATAATTGCCGTGGGTATAGCTTCTATAAGAGAGCGTTTTTTATTTTTGTTACACCACATCACAACGGCCGAGACTACCTACAATGTCTCACTGATTTTAGTGAAGACGTTAACTACGACATTTAGCACATAATTACTCCAAATCAAAACTGATGTGTATCCTATCAACGCCTTGCGCGAATATACCATTATTTCCAAAAATATCGTTCACCGGTCAATATCGACGCGGTACAAACCCAAACAAACATCTTTTTCAATATAAACAAGATTGACCCGAGCCCTGTACAAAGACCCTTTGAACCCTGACTGGAACTTTGCGCTAATCATATCAAATACTGTACTGTACATATACACGCCCAGTCATCCTGCTGATAAGATATCCGCTAATATAGCTTGCGACAAGACATCCATTCTTTACCAAGAAAATGCAAACGACATATGCCTATACCTCATATCGCGTCAGTCCATATCGGGTTATAGCCGTACACTGTAAAATCTTTCACATTCATGATTTACTGACAATCGTACTGCTACTGGTCGCATAAGTGGATCATCCAAGTATAATGTTTCCTTGCTTTACACAATTCGGATGGGTTGTTTATATGCTACAGTGCTTAGCTGCGTGTCGTGGTAATTGCTGTGTACGCTTTGAAGTTTAACCGCTTATCTTAGTCTGATGATGTCTTTATAGGCAGTGTAATCAGGTGTTTACCACAGGCACACGTTCAGATTCCGCCCTTAATGGATTATAAAGACGGAGTCCAAAATTGGACTTTGAGTCCAATTTTAAACTTTTTTCGAAACTGTTGGGCAATCTCACGCGTGTAGTTTTTGTTTATGTTGCATACTTTGCGTTTATCCAGTGATACACCTTCGGTGGATACACAGTGGCCAATTAAGTAGACACAACGTTGTGCATATACGGCTTTGTCATGATTGATGCGTCAATTACTGCGGCGACATGGATATCTTAACTCGGATAATTACATAGACTACAAGCGCTGACACTCCTGCTATAGCAACTCAGTATAAAAAGATTTATAATGCAATCAATTCACAACCTACAACCTGGTCATTTCTAGAAAGTTACAAATTTTGTTTTTTCACTTTTTCTTATTTTATCTGAACAATTAAGCTCGAATTCTTCACACGAAATGAATTGATGGCTGCAGTATGTGGAGATATATATGAATGGATGCATTTATTCAAAGCGCAGGGCGCAGAAGCTGTGGCAATTCTTGGTTGAATCAATCAAAGAATAAATGGAGTGATGAGTGGGGCGCCGTTTTTCTTGCCACGAAGAAGCGGCACGGACAGGTTGACACAAACGCCAGAAGGTGGGTCATCAATGTGCGCAAATTGATCAAGGACACAAATGTTGCTAGCTCTTCTAAAAACCGGGGAAATGTAAGCTGCGCAACTTCTTGCATCACATAGATTCCATCGTGGCGGAGGCGCGTCAGAAAAAAAGTGATATGAAAACCATGCACCTGGAAGGTCAGAGCGGCTTCCAATGCATTGGTATCAATGGTATCCTTTGCTAGAGTTGCCAAACGCATAAGATCGTGGCATAGCGCGTGGTTATCGATGGTGGGACGTGCAACTTTGACCTCTCCATATCCAAGACTGGGCCCAAAGTCGCGCTGCCGTAGCTTGGAAATTGTGGCGTCAGGGCGGATCTTGTCATTTTAATCAGACATGACGTTGGACCAGCGAAGGAGCACTTTTCTGTCAGGATCAGAGAATAGCGATGCCAAGATGGGATCAAAGTACTTGGTGAAAAGCTCACATTCTCCAATAGTTTGCTTGTTTTTAATGGCAACGAGCGGCAAGCGGCGCATCCTATAACATTGTTCAATTTTGGCACAGGCTTTCACGAACTACTAATCGATAATGACCTTACGCTACTGAGATGCCAATCGTATATGACGCAGCTGATAGCGCTGTTCATATAGACAAAAATCAGCATCTTTCATTTTAAGCTTAAGCAAAGCCTTTTCACCAAGCTTCTCCGATTCAAACGCGTTTTCCAGCCTTTCAATTGCGGTTCTAAGACGCTTAATGGCTTCGAAACCATAAGCAGTGATAGAATCTGCTTCTTTCTATTCACAAATATCAGCTTAAATGTAGAATTATTTAAAGCGATAGACATCAAAATCGCTCCTACCTCCAGCATGGGCACCAAAGATCGTCCAAGGGGGCACATGTTTTTTCCGAGTACCAGAAGCTCGATATCTGCATCCACATTGCCGATGATCCGAGCCAATTTCACGCATACATCGTCGCTGATGTCCATCACGCGTAGAATCCAACTTCATTTCGAGCCGCTGTTACAATTGTGTCTATTAGAATTGATTTGAGCAGGTTTTGACAGTTACCGTTAGTATAAAAGTGCAGATGCAAACTCGTAATAGTAAGAAAATAAAGTCGCGCTTTTGCTCTCCCTGTGTTATTTTGCTACCGCTCCCCATTCTCAATGATCTTTACGATTTACAGATGCACTGTTATAATTACCTTGTCTCAAGATGAACGGCACACCATGTAGTTACAATGTTCACTGACGAAACATATACTGCTGCACTTCTTTTTTCTCTCAAGTCCCTTTATTCTGTGCCTGCTTCCCTCCACCTATCTGACTTTCAAAAAAAATTGAAAACGTCCGGGGAATAAGTAACTTGCATTAAATGTCGCTCGATATGGCGCGTTGTTTTCTTGCTTGTATTGATGCCGATTGATTGGAAAGATCCTTTCTTTTGCCAGGCATAAGCTATTGATTTGTGGATGGAAAAGAAAGACCGGTCAAAGGTTTCAAAGGGACTAGACAGTATCCACCATATAGCACGGAAACATTATACTCGAATGATCCAGTTCATGTAAACAACATCTGTAGAGCAATGAACGGCTATAACCCAAATGGGCTGACGTGATATGACGTCGTTTGTGAGCTCTTGATAATTATTTACGGCTGATGATGCACTTAGAATGGGTGTCTTGTCACTACTAGTTACATTGGTAAATAGAAATGCATGAAAGGAAAAGTATCTGGAACGTAGGGGGACGGGGGATGATAGCAGATAGTGATATCTCATCAGCAGGATGACTGGGCGTGTATTAGATTGGGATAGCGCAAAGGCCAAGCCAGTGATCAAAGGGTCTCTGTACAGGGTTCGGGTCAATGTTGTTTATATTGAACAATAAATTGTTTGTTTGGAGTAAACATGTGCTGAACGCCGCAGCCAGCTTCTTCATGGGATCAGTGAGACATTGTAGAAAGTCTCGGCCATTGTTGTATCAACTGTGGTGGTGTGTGTAACGAAAATAAAAACCGCTCTCTTACACGAGTATATGCCTACGGCAATCAGCGATTACCGATCCTCCAAGCCCGCAATGATGGATGTGGGCAGCTTAAAATAAATTGTAAAGAGCAGCATGGCTGTTTTCAGCATAGTATGCGCGTCATCCTAGAGCTACTATTATCCATACAGGCTGCTTCTTCAGGTTGACACTGTTGTTTGGTTTGCTCGCTTTATCAACCACCTCCCTCAGCAGTAGCGATTCAAAGTCAATCAGACGTGGTCGGCGTATGTGTGGGTGATGTATGATGTATGTGGGAAAAAAACAAAATACAAAAGAAAGGAGGATGGTCGGCTCGTACGAGAGTCATACATGCATAATCTTAGCCTTGCTTCTGAGCACATGAAAGTTGTGCCAACGATGTTTTCGGTTAATCAAGGGGTTGAAAGGGGCGTGGCGAGCGAAACAAACCATTAAACTGGTTCTCTCAGCTTAGAACAGCTTGCCTTAGCGCCGTTGTTGCTGGTGTGCATACCCTCCCAACAAATTTCTTTCCTTTCCATTATTTTCGCGAACAGAACTACGCGAACACAGAAGGTAAAATAAAAAGAAAAAAGATGGAAAAGGCGTACCAAAGTGTGATAAAGCGCGTTGTGATCGTGTTACTGTCGTCTGTCATTGTTCTGCGCTTTGTTGAGCACGGTCCAGGCCAGCGTTCTTTTTGGAAATGAACTTTTGCCCATAAAAAGACACCCATTTTCACGGAAAATGCTGTTTTTGGTAATTTTGTATCACAGTGATTGTTCTGCACACGACACGATTTTTAGTGGGATCCCTATGTACACTCTTTTCGGAAATCATTCGCCAACTTCAGGGAAAAATTGGCTGACTTTGAAAAAAGCAATTGGTCAATTTGCTGAAAGGGGATTGGCAAATAAAAATAGTCAGAATTAGCCAAGCTTGAAGATTCAAATTAGCCAAGACTGGCGCAAAACGCTTCAGAGTGGTGCGAAACGCTTCAGAGTGGTGCGAAACGCTTCAGAGTGGTGCGAAACGCTTCAGAGTGTGTCTCCTAAGTACCATTCTTTCAAAGGGGAGGCCACCGCCCTCCTTGATGTTTCTGTCTTTGGTGATAAACCACCTCAAATCCGCCAGTTCCTTCATTTAGAAGATCCGTTCCCAACCTCAGTTTTAGTTCGCGCCAAAGGCATGAAGCCATATTGCGTTTACTGTAAAAAGAAAACACACTCACGTAGAGACTGTGAGATCCTGAAAGCTCGCCGTCAACGCCAACGCACGCCATGCACCAGCTGCGGTGAACTCTCTCACCTTTTACCAGCCGACGTCGCATGTCCTAACTACCAATTTCCTGAGATCCAACCTCAGCGCCCCTCAACACCAGTTCCAAGCACCCCACCTGCTACTTCACCAGCAGTAACCACTAGCAACAGCGACGACACACACATGTACGACCCGATTCGTGGAACATCATTGCTCGACAGCAAGCATGCACACACCCAGCAACAGCAGGATCCGCAATCACCCTCGTCCGTCTCCAGCGCCAACATTGCTCGCCAAACATCAGCAGACACCGAGGACACCAGGGTCTCACCTAGCACTTTCCTTCTACCACCTCCTGCCGACAGCAACACCCGAGACTGGGCGACGATGATGGAAGAAGACGACGAGCAAGCGGACATTAGTTCTGATAAATCCGACGACACAGTTAGGCTAGTCAGCGAACTGTCTTCAACAACAAACATGGAAGAGGATTCGATGCCGCAACAGCGCCAGCGCAAACGATCCGTTCAAAGATGTGCCCGATTAACATAGCGACTTCAAGAGAAGTTCTGATACGTCCTTGATCCATCCTCTATCACATAGTTTATCCACTAGTCGGATAAATTAATACCGCCGTCTTAATAACTAGAATATAAAAAAGCTTTATCTTTTGTTGGAATAAAACATATATCATCTCAAAGATACTTGATCTTGTTCTTTATTATTCAAGCTCTATCATCACAACGCCTAACAATGGCTCCCAGATCCAACAAACAAAAACGCGCCTTAGAACAGCTTCAAAGCTCAAAAAACGGACGATCTCAAAAGGTTGCAAGACTAGAAGAATCGCCAATTGTCGAGAACCAGACTTCATCTGATCTGACTGAACCAGAACCAAACGACTTCGAGATTCTCACTGCGTTCGAAGAAGCAACAGAAACCACAACGACAACGACGACAGCCACCACAACAAGCCAAAAGTTTCCTATTGTTTGGGACAATAAAGCAGATGCGAAGTCCCGTGGCAAACATTGGGGACACGGCAGAACCACCGAATACTACCAGCTAGAGAAAGCATCGGAAAAGAAGAAAGGGAATTACGAAATCACTTCCTTCTTTCATAAGGATGATGAAGTAGAGGTTGTGTTGGAGGACTTTGTGCCAGTGCTGACTGTCGAAGAAGCATTATTGAAACGTACCCCAATTGTCCAACCTGAAATGAACTCAAGAAAGGACAAGGAGCGAAACATGAGCGACTATGAGCTACGAAAGCACATCGGCGCTCATGCGTATTTTCGCGAGCTACTTAAGGGCAAAGGAGTAATGGAAGCTTCCAAGGCAGCAGCTGAAATCGCGTGGATAACACCATCCAGGTTTTACCGCCCTGAAGCTATCAAGACCTATGCCAAGGAATATATACGATATGGTAAAATCTCAGTACACCAGCAAGGCAAACACGTCAAACGCCTTTCCCTTTTGAGCGATGAAGATGTCAAAGCAGCAGCTCAACAGTGGTTGACAAACACTAAACCACAGAAGCGAAACATTCCTGAAATGCTAAAGTTCGTCAACGAAATTGCCATCATGGACGCCCTTGGTCTTCCCGGACACATCTCAGCCTCTGTACTTCGCAATTACTTGATCGAATGGGGCTACAAGTATCGGCCTAACCAAAAAAAACATCTACTACAACGGCCATGAACGTGAAGATGTCGTAAATACAGACAAGAGAGGGCCGCCCAAATGGTAGAGTACAGCCAGTTCATGGAGATATACGACGAGGAAACGTTCTGGTTGAGTACCAACCTGTTCTGCCAGAGGGTCAGAAGAAAATCGTTATGGTCACCCATGACGAATCTACCTTCTATTCTAACGACTGCAAAACAAGCTTGTGGTTACAAGAAGATGAAAACCCTATCCGAAAGAAGGGCCCAGGTGGATCTATCATGGTCAGCGAGTTCCAATGCCCGTGCCACGGAACTATGAGGATCAAAGGTTGGAAATCTCGCCATCTGTTCAAAGTGGGAATCAACCGTGAAGGCTACTGGACGTCAAAAGATATGGTCAACCAGCTCAAAGCAGATGCTATACCGTTGTTCGAGAAGCTCCACCCCAGTAGCTAGGCTTTATTTTTGTTTGATCAATCAAGCAATCACAGCGCGTATGCACCAAGCGCTAAATTGGTGAGCCGCTTTGGTCTAAAAGATAAAGTGCTGAACTCAATTGATGAGCGCGTTATCTTGCCAGGTAAATTCACTAGACCTAACGGAGAAAAGGTGATCCAAAACTTTTACACCTTGGAAATCAAGCAAAAAAAATACAAGAAAGGGGTTCAAGGAAGAGCGTATCTGGACGAGGAAAGGAATCAAGACCATCTTGGAAGAGCGTGGACTCGGCCGTTGGAAAGAATTCAAAGCAAAAAAGAAGCATTGGAAACCCAATTGCGAGCAACCGCCAAACCAAGATCGTACCTGCTGTCCTTACCACATGCTCGAAGGTCAACCTGACTTTGTCTCCCAGAAGACAGCATTGCATGAAGTTGTCGAGAGAGCTGGTCATTTGTTTGCCCTTTATCCTAAGTATCATTGTGAGCCTAATTGGATTGAAAGGTATTGGGGTGCAGGGAAACGAATTGCGAGAAAGGAGTGTGATTACACGTTTTCAGCTCTTGAAAAAAGGCTCGAGGATTTCTTGGATCAGGTATCTCCACCTGATGAACCACCTGCAGAAATTCGCCGTTACTACAACCGTTGCTGGCGCTATATTCATGCATATAATGATATGAAAACTGGAAGCGAAGCTCTTAAGCTAGTTGAAAAGTTTACGACACGCAGATATAGCTCTCATAGAAGAATTGGAACAGAAGATTAAATTTACACATTGCTATCAATATACAAAGAAATGTCTACTTTTGGATTGGCTGACAATGCCTACACATGTAGCGGTTATTCTATTATCCAGCGACACTTTAAAAAATCTCAATTTCGACAATTCATGGTTTAAGGCAGTATGCACCACATAAAAGTTTGAAACACTTATTGATAATTTAAATCATCACTGTGATCGATCAGTTGATCAATAGGAGTATTAAGATCATTTACTATCATCGTTCGACTTTGGTGGACCCGCTGAAATAATAAGTTATACGGGCTTACGGCAAAGTCAAGTAGTATTGCAACAGAAGCGCGTTCAGATCATACAACTTGGTGCATACGCTGTTCGTTTTCATAAGGTGACACTCTTGCAATGATGCAGATACATAGAGTGAAGGGATACAATGAATGATACGTCAATGAAGAATGACACATCTTTTGTGTTCGCATAAAGTGGTGCACATTCAAGTAAATGCAATGATAAGACATATCATTCCTCATACACATACAGTACAGTGGTAGGATCGACTATTTGTTGACCTTGGATTAGGAATCCATAACTGTTCGCTCGTACTTTTCAAAATATATATCACCACTGACGGAATGCAAACTTGGAGTATGCAATTTCTGTAACAACAAAAACACCATCATCAACGCTTACAAATCTTTTAAAAGTAAGAAGTGAAAGCCACGATAACAGCTTCAAAATTTGACTTGGCTGTTCGGATATTACACAACTGCAGTTTACACTAAAAATGCTAAGAAGACACTTTTTGCTACTTATTATTGCTTACTTTGTCTTGACTTTATATGAAGATAGTGCTTGTAAAGGAAGTGTTCCTAGTCATACCTAATGATGCGGCCCTCTATGTATGCAGGCAAATAATAGGATGGTTCTAGTTAGAAAATTAAATTTACGATTGTTGTTTGAAAAGGTTTATGATGAGATTGAAGCTAATTGGTTACAAGAAAAAAATTACATCATCTAGTGGCTAATATTGCTACAAGTATGAGGGAAGAAAAGAACATTTGTAAAAGACGATATTGAATACAGAGGTGAGAAATACAAAGAAGAGAAATTAAAAATAATCAGCACACGATTGGAAAGGTTCAAACTATAGATACATGATGATGGGGGGGGGTTTATAAGTATATTTAAAGTGAGTGTGGAGTCGCTCGGAATGAGACAACGCTGTGTGAGTTACGTGAGAGAGCCTGTATGTTGGTCGTAAGTGCATTGTATCGTTATAGGAGTGTTGCGGTATGGTAAGAGTTGTTGTGTCGTTTTAAAAGTTGGCATTGATTTGACGGGCACCATAATGCCGTGACAATGAGATACCAGGGAGTCTTGACGTTGGTGGTCTCTCATTATTGAGCCGTGGGGCAGGAGAAGAAGTCTTCGTATCGTAGCCATCAACAAACTCAACGTCGTCGCTGTCATTACCATCCTCATCATCGAGCCGGTCATCCACTGAAAGGAGAGCGGATCCAGTGCCGTAATAGAAGGATGGTGCGGCTGCTGTACTGGTGCCAGCTGTTGGCATGTACTCATCACTTTCGGTTGTGATATCATACGGTACAACCTCGCTGTCGTTGTAGTAGAATACGCGACTGTTTCGCTGCTGACCGCCAGTAAATGATGGGTTTGGATCAGTGATGGTGCTGTCATTGGGACTTTTTAGACTGTCGTTCGAGAAAGACATGTCACTGCTTTGTTGATGACAACGTTGCCGTCGCTGTTGCTGTTGTTGCTGATAATGATGATGAGGGGCATCATCATCTTCGAAGCTGGACACACCGTCCTCCTCTGTCAGCATCCATCGACTGTCATTGGTGAACGACGGAGTATCCTCAGTGATCTGACTGTCATTTATATACGAATATCCCTGGAAGGTCATGCCACTTGTATGCTGTATCCGGTTGGTACTGCCATTATTATCAACAAGCGAGGAGCTAAGTCGAGGACTTTCTGCCAAACATTCCTGATCAAAGTTGGCACAGTCGTCCTTGGATCGCAAGTCAGGAACATAGGGTGGTAAGATGCGACGGTGGTAAACATCGTCCCAATCTATGGACTTAAAGTAAGGATGGTTCCGGATAGCGTCGACACCCATGCGTGCAGAAGGTTCGCGCTGCAATAGCCCGCTGATCAAGTCGGCTGCACAAGGATCAAAATCATCTGGCAGTATTAATGGCGCAACCAGGACTCGTCGATACATTGCCATTGTGTTTTCGAGGTAAAAAGGTGGCTCGCCTTCCATCATCTCGTACAAAATAGTGCCGTAACTCCAGAAATCGACAGCATAGGAGTAATCTTCGCCTAGTATAACTTCCGGCGCAAGGTATTCCGGTGTGCCACAAAATGTATTTGTCCGCTCCAAGTCATCACTACCCAGCAACTTTGATAGTGAAAAGTCGGTGAGCACTAGATGACCGTCTGCTCGCAGTAGGATATTCTCTGGCTTCAAATCCCTAGAGTATCGACACGAGATATATATTAGAGAAAAGAAATAGAGTATCAGTTTCCAAGATCCAATACCAGCTGGTGCTACTTTTGTTGGTGATAGGCGTCTCTAACTAGTATAAAGTTACATATCACTTTCACTTCTACTACTTACCGATACAGAATTCCCATGCGATGCAGCTCTTCCAAACCCAACAGAATCTCCGCTGCATAAAGCCTGCATCGTTTGGGTGTAAACATTCTATCATTCTTGAGTTGAGTGGCCAGGTCACCACCGACATGAAAATCAAACACCAGGAACAGCTGATTAGTGTCTTGGAAAGCGTAGTGCAGCTTGATGAGGAATGGGTGGCGGATTTTTGCAATCTTCGTCAGGATATCACGTTCAGTTTTCGTGTGTTCAATTTGTCTCGAGGTTATGACCCATTGCTTACGAATCGCCTTGAGCGCTAGTAATTTGCTAGGAGGATGGATGCGCCGCACCAAGAATACCTTTTGTATAGTACAAACATATTTGGATTAAGAGTTATGCTCAAGTACGACCATATCATACACGCACACACAGGTACTACGAGTAACGATATCAATTACACTCCACTTCCTCCTCCTCTTTCCTTCCCATGTGCTCCGTGCTTTTCTGTTTCTATTTTTTTTTACATCACCGTTTCTGTACTCCTATAAGCCTGTCTTTCCTATCTCATCCACGCCCGATGCTCTATTCCATGTCTCACACTAAACTTCCCCAAAGTTATACAAGTCCCACGTTTACCTTTCCAATGCATCCTCGGCCTAACACTTTGAGTATCTCAAAATCCCTAACCGCAATTTTCGTTGGTTTATCACTACCATCGTCAATAAGGCTTTCGTACGTCGCTGTGCTGCTGATATCACCGCCAATCACTATTTCAGCCGGTGATGTTGTGCGAGGCTCATGTATTGAGATACCGCCAAGTATGTTACTGTTGCTGCTGGTTACATCGTTGCCGCCGTGACACGAATCCATCGAAGATACCACCATAGAAGATCCAGAAGTATGCGTGACATAGGAGGATTGTGATGACGACGATGACGATCTGGTAGTTGTAGTAGTACCCATCATTGTAACTGCTGCTGGTCCTGATACTACTTTTGGTTGTGAAGGAAAAGGTGCAGCTACTGCCATTGCTGCTGGTGCTGCTACAATCGACGAGGCACGGTGGCACAGGATTTTGCTCTGCTCCAAGTGGATCTGCTCTAAAATGGCGCGGTTGGGAACGATTTGATCTTCGCTGCGTTGAGCAGCCAAGAAATCCCGAAAGAGACTGGACCGGCCAATCGTTGGATGGAGTGCGCATCGTCTTAGATACATTTCGATCTTTTCAGAGTTTGATTTCCCCCCAGACGACGTGAATTTGATGATACGGGAAATAAGTGATGTGACGCTATTTCGTCGTCTGCGCTGCGTGTACATGTGCAAATGCGGCTCGACCAGCTGAGGCAACGGCACTCTGACTTTAGGGTAATGCGTCTTGATCTGACAGCAGTAATAACGGACATAGTGCTTATAAGTTAAGAAATGCAATGATGCTTCGTTGTGGGCAAAAATCTTCTAGGTCTTTTTCTTTTACCCGCTTATCAAACTCCACAAAGTCGGGAACATAGCGAACAAGTGATCGGTTCTGATACTTGTCTTCGATAATGACATTAAACACCTAGAATAGAGAAACCGAGTCAACAAAAAAAGGGAAGCACTATTGAGCAGCAGCTGAGCAATCTGATGGGCCATGTTTCAGAAATGCCTCGGTCTGTTACTGAAATATGATGTGATTTGTTGATACAAAAAGAGAACAAGTGGGGAAAGAGTGAGAGAGAGGTGGCCTTACCGTTCGGGTCCGCTCCACCCACTTTTGTTTGCGTTTGTCAAAATCGTGAACCATAAATGTCGACTCAATTGCAGCAATCTCGAGATGCTGCCCGTTGTCATGACTAAGTACACTGCTGCAATCCGACTGCACGGAAGAGGTTCCGGACGCACCTTGGTGTAAACTTGACGTTGACGTAGACGCCACCGAAGAAGTTTGCCACCCGCCGCCAACATGAGCGTGAGGTTGTTGTTGCGACGAAGATTGCTGAACGAGACTTTCGAGATCCGGCATGTATCTTGTTAAACGAAGGTTTGTCTCGAATAGAAAAAAAAGCGAAAGAGAAAAAGAGAAGAAAGAGTAGAAAGAAAGAGAGAGAGAGAGAGAGAGAGAGAGGTGGTTCTTATATATAAGGCACAACAAGGGCTGTCTACTAGACAAGAAATGTAAAATGTATATGGACCGGATCACACGCTATGTACTGCAACACACACGCACACGCATATAACACATACGCATTCACGCAGTGGAAGAGAGGCGGGGGTGGGTGGGTGTGAGGGTTGGCTAGGCAACTGGGTGTCGTCGATATGAAATGGACACTGTAAAGTTGTTGCTGATGTTGGTGTGCGGAGTCCAATTGGATCGACAAAAGCGCGAAGGTAAGGAAAAGAAGAGGTATTGAAAAGCGCAGTGTACTAAAAACAACAACAACAACAACAACAACAACAAGAGCAATAAGTAATAACTATTGGTGGTAAATGAAGCCAAAAGGCTAAATAGCGGGTAAGACCAGCAAAAAGGTTATACACATCGGCTTACCGAAATAGTCGCTTCCGAATTGGCGTTTTTCTTCGCCCAGAGCGACGGATGGCTGGGATGGATGATGACAAGAGAAGGTTCACCCGCCAGAACACACAGCACAACAACAAAAACAGATCGCCTTTCAGGTTCTGTTTGCGGAAAACTGTTTACAGCCCGTCCTTTTTGGGTAAAGACGCCTTCCCTTTCGTTCTTTGTCTCTCCAGCCAAGCCAGTATTGTACGTGCGCTTGTCATGATCATCATCCGTGCTTTAATGGCTGTCGTGACCCCCTGACTCATCAAAACCACAGTCTCGACCTTATACGAGCATAGTCTATGTATCAATGGCCCTCTTTTCACTCTGTGCGTGTCAATACAGGTGACACCCCGAAATGCGCGTATGCAGACAAAATGTGACCGGACATATGTATTAGGATTTCTTAGCTGAGTAGGATATGAGGAAAGGCGACATATATAGCGTTAAGGATGCTCCCTTTTTCACTAAAATCAAAGCCAAGAGGCGACGTACACATGAGGCGTTCTTGCTTAATGCTTGTAGAACAGAATTTATTCCTGTGGCAGCAGCTCGTCGCTTGGGCCAAGGATGCCAGAATACGTAAACAACCATTGCACTTCGGTGCTGCCGCTTGCCATATATCTCCACGCGGTATACACACGTATATGGTTACTTTTTAGTCTTTTGTGTTTGATGATAGTGATATGAATGATAGAGAAGAAAAATACGTTTGTACTACAAGACATAATGTGCTGTCATAGAGTTCACACACAAATGCAAACATCACGATTCCTGTATGCTCGTACTCGTGTGGGGTGTTATACGCTGGATGGATATCACGAGTAAGCTATAAGAGTATTATATACGTAGTAAGGCGGGTGCTACTCGATGTACTACGTTTTACTTCGATGCTGGAAGATGACTGCAGACAAAGGATTGAGCCTTACCTTGTAGGAGCCCCTAACATTCATTGTTGTCGACAATGGCAGGGTCTGCACCGATCAGGAAAGGAAAAAGAGAGGCTCAAATCAAAATGCTGCCAATGTCGTCATCAAATCGTAGTTTGGTGCGAAAAAAAAAGGCGCGCACATTTGGGGTTTCTTTTCCAGGTTACACTCACCGTTAAAGCGTGCGTATATTTTAGTGATGATGTTTCTAAAGAGTAAACGAGTGATCGGGGCCATCTCACTCCGATAGGTCCTTTCCATTCCGTGTGTGGTGTCGCACAGCCATTATAATGATTTATGCAACAGCAGTATTACTATTACATCAACCAGGAACCGCCACTCATCGTGTAGTGTTGTTGCTTGTTTTATGGTGGTCGTGCCAACGCGTGCTGTGTCATGTAGCAAGACCCGTGAGCCTATTTCTCGCTGCTTCTCTCGCAATCAAATAGCATTGCAAGAGAGAGGCTCCACTGCTTGATCCGTGGTATCGATATGCCGCCGTGCGACTATCATAGTATAAAAAGCGTTGTATTAACTCATATTCTCTTTTTTTTTATTAAATGTAGCACCGATACCTTTCTTACATCAAACTATGCAACGTGACAGATACTCTGACGCTGACAATAACTGCAAGGTGACCTTTACAATTCTGCTACCATGTTAACATGGGGACAAGAGATGGGCAATTTGTCTTTCTTTTGGGTTCTCAAGGAAAGAAACGGCTACTAGGTAAAAGAGAAGCTCGTTACCTTATCTTTTGAAGTGTGCGAGCGGTGACGATTTACTATTAATAAAACCAGAGAGTGGAGTGGCCGCCCAAGAGCCGAAGTATCCTTTCACATCTCAGAATGTATATCGAGTGGGGAGCAGAAGAAGAAAGTAAAAGGATTCTTCATGCGCATATAATAATCAGGGCATGGCCAATAGATCAAAAATGGAATTTTTTCCAACTGCTGTGGTATGAGCGCAGTCCAGTAGTCTCCACAGCAGTTAAAAGCCATCAACAACAGCATGTGAATGTCGATACATAGCGATCTCATACATCCTCTTCGGCTACTTTGAAGATGTATTGCATGCTCCAGTGAGTAAGATCAGCATCGTATATTATGTCTGCGTTGCCAGTCTGCTCGGGTCCATGTTCGTTTTTGCGGATAAGCAGCACTGCACCTTTGCTCAGCAGACATACAGTAAAGTTCCGAGCCATATTAAGTAGCAGTATCGGCAGTGATAGCTCAATTCGGAACCACGGTTTAAAAATCCAATGCCAACAAGGGTCTACTTTCACCAAAGTAAGGTTCATTCATCTTCCCACCCGGCACTTTCTTATCAGCTCGGTTGTCGTCATCGTGCCCCTCAACTAATGATTTGTACGTGGTGGCTAAAGTATTCGGTGGAAGCCCCTAAATGATGGTTTCCTGAGGATGAGGATGATGAAACAAACAAACAACAAACGCAACCCCCTGAGTCCTTCATGATCGATTATCGCATGCCTGACTGGCTGACTGTGTGGAGAGTGAAAAGACCATTGCTGCAACAGCAGTAGCGATAGTATAACAGCATGGCATCAACAACAGCGAGACCATAAATATGACAAATGCGTAATCGCTTCCGCTGAAGAGGACCAGGCGCGGGAAATGTATTGAGATAGCGAAAAAAGACTGTGTGTGTGTGTGTGTGTGTGCGACAGGATGACCGAGGTCACCTGCACTGGCCATAGGGTGCTCATTCTAATTCATTTAACAGCCGCAGCATAAAAACCGTCTACTTCCTCCGCTGAGAACTCCCCCAACGCAACACCTCCTTTTCTCTTCTTCTTCATTTCTACCCTTCCCATCAGCAATAATAAAACTACATTCCACACACAATGAAACTTTCCATTGCCGCCAGCTTGCTTCTGATCGCTGCCTCGTCGGTCTCCGCAGTCCCTATGGTCACTCCTCCTACCTTCACTGACGGCAACCTGGCACCTATGTTTACGTCTCCTGAAGCCGAGGTTGTTACTGACTCGTATATCGTTGTCCTCAAGAACCACTTGAATGCAGAAAAGGTCGATGGCCATACCAGCTGGGTCCGCGACTTGTCGGGTGAGAAGGACGGCAATATCTTTGATGCATGGCTTCATCCTGATAGCATCGGTATCAGACATGTTTACGACATGCCGGGTCTCTCGGGTTATGCTGGCAAATTTGGCAAGGATGTTGTGGATCTTATCCGTCGATCAGAGGATGTGAGTTTGATTTCAACTTTTCATAATTGCTGTTGCTGTTGTTGCGTTTTTTTTTGGGGGGGGAGGGGGAGAAGGGAATTATCAGGGTAATAAAAATACTGATCCCTTCCATGTGTGGGGTATGATTAGGTTGCCTTTATCGAACGTGACTCCATGGTCTACACCAGCGAGCTGCAACGCGGCGCTCCTTGGGGTCTTGCTCGTATATCGCACAGAAACGCCCTGACGCTTGAGAATTTCAATAGATACGAATACAAGGCAGATGGCGGCGAAGGCGTCAATGTCTACGTCATCGATACCGGTGTGAACTACGAACACGTCGACTTTGATAACAATCGTGCCAAATGGGGAAAGACTATCCCGAAAGGCGATGATGACGAAGATGGCAACGGCCACGGCTCTCACTGCGCTGGTACTATTGCAGGCAAGCGTTTCGGCGTGGCCAAGAAGGCCAACGTTACCGCGGTCAAGGTGCTCCGATCCAACGGCTCTGGAACCATGGCAGACGTTATCGCTGGCGTTGACTGGGCCACTGAGAAACATACCAAGGCTGCGCTTGCTGCCAAGAAGGCTGGCAAAAAGTTCAAGGGCTCGGTTGCCAACATGAGTTTGGGTGGTGGCAAGGTCACTGCACTTGATATGGCTGTGAATGGCGTAAGTGCATATTCTACTATCTAGCTGCCGGCTTCTTGTTTGTTGTTATTGTTTTGGTGGGGCTCTTGTTGAAACTAAATCCTGAAACGCTGTCGTTGATTAGGCCGTTGATGCAGGCATCGTCTTTGCTGTAGCTGCCGGTAACGACAACAGCGACGCATGCAACTACTCGCCTGCTGCTGCCGAAGGCGCCATCACAGTCGGTGCCTCGACCTTGTACGATGACCGTGCCTACTTCTCCAACTATGGTCCATGTGTGGATGTGTTTGCTCCTGGTTTGAACATCCAATCCATCTGGCGCGGCAGCAAGTATGCCACCAACACCATTTCCGGCACCTCCATGGCCTCGCCGCACGTTGCTGGTCTGGCAGCATACTTCTTGAGCTTCGAAGAGGAGGGTGCCAGCCCCAAGGATATCAAGCAGAAGATCCTAGACTTGAGCACCAAGGACAAGCTGACCAAGATTCCCAAGGACACCCCCAACCTCCTGATCTACAACAGCGCTGATGAGTAGGTTTAGGTTGTTTGTATATTTGTCTTTCTTTCTTTCTTTTCTTCTTTCTGTGTATAGAAGCTTTACTGTACAATTTCTTCCTTCGAACTACATACTTCTTCATTCTATCCCCCATCTCTCTCTCTCTCTCTCTCTCTCTCCCGCCCCTTCTCACGCTCGCTATCCCCACTGCTCCTTCCTTCTCTGCGCTACACATCACAGACCACATACAATTGCACATATCTGTGTAACAGAGACGCCATCACGCCCAACTCTTGTACGTTCTACTTATGATCATATGCAACTTTGGTTGTCTTGCTTTTCTTATACTGCCATTTTCTTCCTTTCTGTATTGCAACAAATAAATATGAACGACTGATCAAATGTACCATCTGCGAGAACTGTTTCCGAGGGGGGTAACATGCTTAGCAGCAAAATTGAGTGTATGACCCCCGGTTAAGAACTGCATGCGATCATATCATTGATGAATTACTACAGAGCCTGCTTGTATGCTGCTTGTTTCTAGATCACTAGATACTCTAAGCATTCAAGCTTGTAGCCGGAGATTCTGTCTGGTCTGCACCACGATGGATAGAGAACTAGCATATGCGCATATTCACTGGCCACTTTGTTGGGACTGTATGAGAATACCAGACGTGTCGATACGGTGGGCTGACATGTTTTCTAAATATACAACAAGCTTAAACTTTTCAGATCGGCTTTCCTTTCCATCCCACCCCTTAGTGTATATTTTTTACATTTCCGCCGTATTGTAGCGCAGCTAAACAGGATGGCAATCGTATATCCTCTCTCCTTGTTACCGCTGTCAACAGCTGTTATACAGTAGCAGCATTTACGTGGACTTTTATATTTGCTAGAAAATGATCCCCTTCTTTCTTGCTTCTTTTCCTCTTTTCTTTTTTTCCTATCTCTCTGCATACACAGAACCAGTTGTATGACGTTTAGTGTAGGACGTAGACGCCGTACAGCCAGTATGTCTGGCTCACTTCCTGTTCCGCCTCCTGCTAACAATTATACTACTGCCACTTCTGGTACTCCACCCCAACCGTCGACACCTACTCGAGTCCACCACAATCCGCGATCGCGCCATCAGCACTCACGATCGCAACAATTGCCGTCCACCTCATTGACGTTTGGGAGTCTTTTTTCTTCTTCTCCATGCAACAGTGGCCGTGGTCGTCACCACCACCACCATAGCTTATCTATCAGTAGCAGCAATGGCAGCACCAGTAGTGGAGCTTCCGAGCCTTCAACACCGCTTACATTATCTACGCCATCGTCGTCGCCACGACCTTACCCGACCACAAGCACCCTGTCCGTTGAATTCGATGGAGACACACAGATGGTTATCCTTCGGCCTAATAGAATCATACGAGGTAGGTCATTATCGTTATTTGGAGAGCTATTCATTAAACACAAACTAAATAATTCTGTATGCAGGTCGAGTGGTCGTACATGCAGTAGAACGGCTACACGTAACACAAATACAGATCAGAGTAGGTTGTTCTTTTTTTAGGGAAGAATACCATACAGATTTCTATTGGTTTTGCTCAATGATTATCTGTTGTCGCTGCTATTACCATAGTTTCATGCCGAAGAGGTAGCAATGACAAAAGTGGAGAATACGATGCACCAATGCATTACCACCCTTTTTGAGACGCAGTACACGGTCTGGGGCGATGATAAAGCAGCAGGTACATGGTATAAATATTGCTCCAGGGGGGGGATAAAGCACGGCAGGAGAAAAAAAAGTTATTTGCACAGTTTCCTAAATAATTCTATTAGCCTACGCACACTCTCCATGGGAAGAACTGGATGTCGGTCGATACGAGCTCCCTTTTGTCCTGAAGGTAACTCTTACTCAACCTTACTCGTCTGTACCATTTCTGTCTGGAATAAATAGCACTGACAGCATTTGCTTAAATTAGTTTCCCAACGTCAATTATCCTCCGTCCATTGAGGACCCGCCTGGTTTTGGCATACGGTATGTCTGGACTGCACATATTGAAGGCCCGGGAGGACATCCAGGAATCACCAGCAAGAAAATTAACACGCCATATCGTCCTATCATTGCATCCCCACCTGGTAGCTATTGGCATTAATCTGATCTATATTGATAACAGTTTTTTCTTACATGATACCGGTATTCTCACTATCCTGTAGATAAGGAATGGGTGTATCGAACCAATCTCTCACGCGATGTTTCTAGTATTGGTAAAAAGCAGCATTCGGTTGCCCATGTTTTAGCAAAATTGAACAAACAATGCTATTGCCCAGGTAACTAGCACATATATTATATCGTCAGTCGAACTCAAATTCAACACTAATGCTCATTTGATACGAATTTCAGATGAACCATTTATCATGCAACTGACAATGACCACGCTCCAATCAGACCTGAAGATCGTCCAAGCAGCATTTAAATTCCGCAAACATCATCAAGGTCGACTGATGGTTTCCGGAGGAACTGCGCAGCGCTATGTGGTCCGCGATTTGTTACATGGCACTCTTTCCAATAATCAACAGCCTCTGGATGCTCCCAACCAAACTGTTTCTTTTAATATACCCACACGCAATGTATCCCCGACCTTTACCTCTCAGCATATCCGAGTCTACTATGACCTACACTTTACAATCACATTTGAAGAGTCGCATTTTCTGAAACGTTGCACCGTCCAGTGCGAGTTTGCTATTCCTTTGAACATCGCCAACCTGCCAAACGACGAACTGATGCGTGTGCCGGATCTCATCACCGTACAAAACTATACCCAGCCAGGCATCAAATGCCCTGAATTTTTCGATCCAGCACAACCAGACGACAGTGATCCACCTAGTTATGCCTCCTCTTTACATAATAGCGGGCAGCATCACCAGCAACGATCCGTATATTTGACAGGTCCAGCATTGGCACCTTACTACCCTGCTACCACCACCACGACTACTCCTACTACCGCCACTCATAATGGCAGCGGTAACAACAACACCAATAACAACAATAACAATGTACCTGGTGGTGGAAATGGTAATATGAATGGTATCAGTGGCATCACAACAGTAGCAGGGTGCAGCTCAGCTATTAGTCATCAACGCCGTAGCAGCTTCCCGGAAGTCGGGGAAGCAACATTAATGCATGGTGTGTACAGTGAATATTGGTAATAAAAAGACATATATACATGGTTTTATTGCTGCTGCTTGCTTCTTTGTTACCTAGTCAAAGAGCCCAAAAGCTCAAGTTCTGTTTGTTGGTCCAAAATGACATCGTTTGAAAAGTCATCACTCGACCTAAAGTCAGCCATGAAGTCAATCAGATCTTGGCGGAAGCGAGCAATATCGTCGCTGTATTCAAGCATGCCCTGCGCTACTAGATCGATCTGGTTTCTAATTTTTCATTTATAAAAAACATGAGCTACCTTTTTCCTTTTTCCTTACCACGGCCTGAAATTACTACAATCATCAAAACACCAAAAACTTACTGTGGCAACGACGGATATATCTCCATCAATTTTGAACGCACATGTTCCTGAACATAATCCGCATTGGATCCTATGCCTTCTGGATAGAGTCGTGTGTATATTTCGCCTTGCTGAACAAGTTCAAGAAGATGGGCCAGAATTTGGCTTTGTAATTCAAACTCTACGTGGATAGAATTAATGCTTCACTTTTAGCTCCCACTTTTCTATTTTTTGTTGCTAAAAATGAAAGCTACATAAACCTAAAATAGCAATCACACTTACGTGTACGACGATCGTAATCTGTGATGGTATGGAGGATAATGTCTAGTATTTTCATGTAATATAAGCTGTATAAAGCGTTCTGTTGATCCTCGTCCTCAACTTGAGCTATCCGATTCAACAATATACTACAGATTTCCAAAGCCTGATTGCTTAATTCGTGACTTGGATGCTGGATACCCCATAATATACTGTCAACGATCAATGTAAATTTATCTTCCTGGAGTAACGTTGAAAGTTCTGCGCGGGCAAAAAAAAAACAGGGTTAGAACTCTTCGATAACATTTCCCCGTTGTAAACAGTATCGTTTACCATGAAATGCATAAGCTATAAAGGCTTGAACGAGCCGGAAAAAGCCAGAACGCTTTTCGTAAAAGCTTGCAAAGTCAGGCTTGATCTCAGTATATATCCGTTCAAACACGTGAAAATATGCGATTTCCAGTACGGACCGTACTAGTTGTTCGTTGATAACATTCGCCTCTCCATTCTATTGAATTGTTAGAAATTAACAAGACATATAACGTGGCGTAACGATACCAGGGGAAATTATTATATGTACATACACCCAAGTGCTTCTCAATCAAAGTGGCAAAGATATCAGAAACGTCGTTTTTGTTGGGTGGTGACGATACGAATTCTTGGAGCAACGGACTGATTAAATTCTGATCATTCCCAGAGATACTATGTTTGCTTTTAATGTATGTCTGGAGCAGTAAGCAGATTTGTTCCTTGATTCGTTCTCGAAAGTTATTGGATAGTGGGTTTGATCCTAGCGAACATATGTTATTTTCATCAAATCCCCATACCTGTTCTCTTATTCTAAAACGAGCCTGTCTTCTTACCAGCTTCACTTGCAAAACGATAGGCAGTGAGCAATTCTTGATAAATTTCTTTCAACTGGGATTCGTAGATATCGTTAACAGAGTTGCAAACTGCTAAGTTTACTCGTAGTACGTCGGTTAATGTTTTAAGTCTCTCCGACTCTACTTGTTGGGTTTGATAAAGAGCCATCTTGAGCTATTAATGAATGAACATTTTGATATATCAGTCAGCAGCAAAACCATTCTGCACTCCATGTTAAAACTGTATAGATAATACAATACCGTCTGATTTAGTCCATCCATAAGCTTTTGCATATGTTGTTCGTGGTGTCCCGGAGCTGTCAAAAGTACGCAGCCGATTGCATGGTATACTTGACATGTCTAAGCGAGCAATAAAATCTTGTTAATTTATTCATATTCCTCATTTATTTACAACCATCGCATTATCATATACTTACTTGATATACATCTAGGTCCATTGTCAGCGAAGGTAAGTGTACCAGAAGGTCCTGTAGAAACATAGTCCCACCATCCTGGCGCACCAAAGCCTGATTGTTCCGTATACCCTGACAGATTTCTACCAATGCATGGGCTGCGAACTTTTGGATGCTTGTTTCCTTGTCGTGCAAGTACTTGTTAACAAGGCCAATAACCTTGGAAAACAAGTCTTGTCGCTGGTACAACACATTTGGATATTGTGAGAAAATATAAAGTATACAAGGCTCTATACTTTCAATCCTGTCGCTACTGTTGACGCACACATGGTCCAAGTCAGCCAAGCACTGGTTGACTAATTGAAATTCTTGTGTCGGATCAAGAACACCAACAATAGCACCCATTGACCACGATACTTGACAAAGATTCTTCCACCACTGTACAAAGCTGTCTGTCTTTTTTGGTAAATATATACCAAATCTTTTCGTTAGCGTTTCTACATTATCTGCAACGTTCCCATAATATAGAAAGTTTACCTGATTTCGAGCAAGTCTCTCTCGTAAGGCGCTTTCTGTGTCGTTTTCAACATCCATCCTCACCAAGTTACATAAAAGATGTTTGGTGATCTTGAACGTTTCAGGATTTTCACTGCTTTCCACAAACTCGCGGGAGATTATACCATCTTCTTCTTCATCAATTAATAGGACCTATTCAGTTTAATAAAGTTGAGTACATTTTTTCTGTTGAGCGATAAAACCATACTAGCAATATTTACGTTGTCTGGATTCGGTATACGCCCAATGGTGATACGTCGTAGCTCACGGAATATATAATTACATTGCTTCATATAACTACACTTATCAGACGACTATACACGCGGGATATCCGAGCTGTAGTTAACATCAGAATAGATATAGAAAAGATAGCGAACCCCTCAAAAGTGGGCGGCTACAAGTAGTAGAACGTACCAAATACACCCAATATTCCGCACACATTCGCCATATCTCCATATCATCGTCAAGCGTAGATAAGACAAGCAGATCCTGGTGCAATTGTTGTAAAAGTTGAACATCTAAAGCAGCTACAGCCTACTGGATCCAACATATAATAAGTACTATATCTTTTCTCTTTATTTTGTATCCGGCAAAAATTTAACTTTATATTCCTACCTCACCATGACAACTCAACGAAGTCGTGACGAATAAGGTATAATTGTACATAATATCTTCACCATTCAGATTTTCGTTTCTATATAGTCCAGTGATATCTTGAAATATGTATCCCATCATTCATATGTCAGCCTTTTCCACTCACTTTTGACATGTTTGGTATTTATACTTGGATTTGCAATATTTTACCTCCATTCATTGAGATCATTTCACGTATCGTGTGTTTGACGCCCTGGATCAGCACGACTAGCTTTTGCTGAAACTTTTGCGGAAAATCTTGTCGCCCAGCGATCTCAGTACAGCATTTAAGTGCCATTATATCGACTCGCTGTGCTCTCTCAGCATTGGATGGTATCTATATCCCTCATCATTAAGGCTTTTTTACTCTTGGAAATTAGAAAAGGGTATAATTTGCATATTGATCTATACCTGACTACATAACACTGGCATCAAGTCTGTATCGAATATGACATTTGGTGGCATCCATTTGAGAAAACAGGACAGACTTTCCAATGTAGTTTCAACGAGCTTTTTTGAAGGCCGGTTTGAAAGTACTTCATGACATAGCTCGATCACCGGTCCAAAATCTGTCACCATTTGATCCTTCAGTCTACGTGTTTTCCATGCAGCCTGTAGTTCTTCGGATGCTTCAAAAATATCTTCACTACATATATGAAGATGAAAATATCAGTAATCTAGATACTCCTCTTTATTTGAGCCATTGAGAGAGAAAGAAGAGAAGCCATGATACTTCTAGTACCTTAATAGTCGCAATATCACCAAGTTGTTTTCGCAAAGGCTCAAATTTGCGTGAGCAGATGATACCATTTCATTAATAAACGTTGGCCATTCTTCAGGCCATTCTTTCTTGACAATCTATATAAAACACAGTAATTTCGTCTCATAAGTATCTCGGCTATCATAGCGTGTATCAACATTATCCATCACTACATACTTCGACAAGGACCATGTTTAGCTTGCTCAAGTACGCCTTTTCTGTTTGCATTGTAGCTTCGTTGGATGATCGCGATACGATAACAGATCCGATATAATTGCGTATTGCTTGAATATGGAAGAAAGTATGAGTAAAAGTATCAGCATACAACATCCCGTAAGCCACGTATGTCCATATTTTCCCTCGTTCTGATGATGTTTACTTAATCGTTGCTCCTGTGCAAGATGTTTCCATCGTGACGCTATGAACTTTCCAAGTACTTGCAATGCAATAAACTATGTGTTAGAGAAGACAGATGAGATAATTTTCTAAATTACTTATGCCTGTAGGCCGACTGTTGCTGGTAGTGTGCCTGTGACCAATATAGCAGTAGCTTTTCTTTTACCTTTGCTTGTAAAACATGAGATCCTTCCAGAATCTGATCAGCTACTTGCCAAGAATCCGGGTGTTGTTGAAAAGCGGTCAAAACAGGTTGCTATAACAGAGAGCTATCAGTCCTAAAGCTCTCACATATAGTCGTTCAAAACTATTACTGCACGCGCATATACGCGTTATAGATCACCACACGTACTGCGGTAGTCATGTCGCCCGCGTAGAATGCTCGTACGACGTTGTCAAAGTGTAGAACACTGAAATGACCTTGCTGATTAAACAATGCCTATTGCGTATACGTGTAATGTTAATGCCAGCAATCAAGAGCTCTCTCCGTGCAATTATCTTCTCGCATTCTATTCGTGTATTATGCATACCTCCATAGACATGATTTTGGCGTATTAAAGAGAAAGAGGGAATAGCTTGCATTTCCGACAATTTGGTTTTTTTTTTGAAGCTGCGCAGGTGTATATGGCACAGCGGTGCTTTTGTATATAGCAAATGCTCTATTCGGAACTAGAGCAAAAGAACCCTCATCTCAACCTATATCATACATAGGAGGAAAAGTGCTATGTATGACTTAGAATATTTTAAATGCGATTCGTTGAGATCATCTCCAATGAAATAAAATCATTTATTTTTCATTGCTACTGTATCTAGTACATGACAGACAAAGTAACAAGAAGAAAATGATACATTTTGTACTAGGCTATTAGGCTGTAGCAGTAAAGTACAGTAATTCATCAATAACAAAAGGCTGCTTCGCCTAGTCCAAAGCTTTAATTTCAGTGCACTCGGTACTTGTTAAAGGGCAAAGATAAAGTATTATGTAAAATGTGCCACTGAGACCGAAGATAAATGCCAACCACTCAACACTCGTGATGAGGTAAGTTACCCTGCCTTCTTGTTGATGCGACAGCAATATTCTTGCGACTTCCGTTAGGGCTGATTTTAAACTATGTTGTCCGTTGATGTAGCCGATCTGGCTTAATAGACGTAGTGTTCCTTGGATAATAGACATAATAACTGGGAGACTGATGAGGCGTCGAGTTTTCTGGGTACTTCTACCATGACGGTTAAAGGCTCTTTGCTTTATATTTGCTGCTGTCATTGCTAGCGGTTAGTATTTAAAGGAGGTCCAAAAACATAGTACAAGTCTCCCGTGGTTTTTAGTAATCGATCAACTAGTTTGTATTTAATGCTAACTCCTCAATTTGTTGATGGTACGATGAATAAATTGGCTAACTTCAAATGCGTACTTCTAAAAAATTAGCCGATGTAAATTATACAACATTATAATAAACAACCAACGGGTAGTACAATCACTTTCTTACATGCCAAGTTGGGTAGAAGACAATCGTGTGCATCCAGTATTACTTGATTGCTTTTTTTTGGTTGATGAAGTTTAATGATTGGCTAATGCTGATGATATCTTTGCCGAAGCGAAGCTTTTTATATAGATTCACCTCGTCATGTCAGCCTTAATAAAGCTTGGGGGACTACATGCTTATAATAGTATCAAGCTCTTTTCTACCCCTTGATATTCGCCTACAAGCGCATTGAGCGTTTTTTACATCATTGAATATGATGCTGTCTAATATATCTTTTAGGACACGGGTTTGGACTTGATTGCTATCATTCGTTTCGTTTGAATTATCCGTTGTCGATGTTTTTCGTGCCGTGAATTTAGTTGCTCTCTACTGATCACATCGTTAATAAAAACAGCGAGCGACCACATCATCAATGATAACTGCCTCATTTGCTTTATAGGCCTTAATTCACCATTTCTTTTGTCACGCATGAAGCGTGGTGATAAGTATTCATCGCATATGTTATTAACAAATCCTTCAACGCGAAACATCATACATCCATTTATAAGAGGCAACACCAGAGCATACGCCAGCAGACATGTATAATTGCCAGGTCTTTTGCACATGTCATTAACATCAGGTCGAACAGGGTATTAGTCCAAGAGAGCTGTTTTTTTCGCTTTATAGTTACTTAGCAGCCGTGGCAGTACGTTATGAGTATATTTGTTGACAGTCTTGATTATGTCTTCCATAAATCGACGACATCCTTTGTACTTCACTGCAAGCTCTTGGAGATCTAAACTAGCTGTAACATGGCGTTCGTCTGAATATGATCGCTGGTTGCTCAATCGACATTGGGATGGTCTTCATCACTCTCGCAGTCACCATTACCGCTACTTTTATATTCCATAAGCTGACTGCTTTGGTTGTTCTGCTCATTTTTTGACATGATAAGTCACCTTCCCAGAAGACGTAATCATTGTCATCGAACTGATCCTCATTATTGTCCTCGGCATGGTATGAGCATGATGATATCTCTTTTGGGGCTTGAATAACCGTGCAAAGATTGAGGGGCATCTGTCAGCATCATTATCTTGGAACACAATAAGCTATAGGGATATTACAGTAACGTCTTCTGCAAGGCAATCACCAAGCAATACTTCAATCCCGATTTCAGCTTTTTTGGCATGATAGTCTCTGAGCAGCTTAGCGTGCGATTTTTTTCTCTATCTTGAGGTTGATGTTGACATGATAGGCAGTAAATATAGCGCAATCCTTCATCATAGATGCAACGAAGAAAGAAGAAGTTGAAAGGATAAAAATGTGTAACAGGAAACAGGAACTTGTCACGTACGTTTTTTAAATATAAGCGACATAAAACAGCGTTCTTTTCCTTTTTTTTTTTCCTAAACAGGTAACAAGTAGCCTTGATTAATAGAGATGTCGAGAGCTCCCTTCATCACCTATAATTATATAGACCGCGTGAAACAACAAGGAGAAACATCAGAACATCACGCTAATAATGACCAATCGATATCCTGTCATAGTGTAGTCCGCTTTGCTGTTCCATTTATAATTATATTAGACTCGAAACTTTGAGATATTGTATTGTCTTGTTGACCAACGCAGACTTTATTGAGAAATCAATGTTCTCGCGACATACATTCCAAGTTAAAAAACTGTGGCGGCATGGTTGTACGACACATCAATACTGTAAGTGCTACACGGCATTGCCAGTGGAGTAGAGCAGAGTATATAGAGTATAATAATGACCTCATTGTCAAAGAAGTATCGAGATAAAACAAAGTGGCGTGCTGAAAGAAATGATTTAGTTGACGTCTCATTATTAGCTCTGTCGTTCACAGGAAAATGTAAAGTACATAGTTCGGAAGGTGAAGGATTATTAGCTGAACGTCTCTCACGGTGGAACGCAGGCCTACATTGAAGACATTTATGAGAAAGTAAAAAGGTTGTTTACAGCTAATAGGTCCTGATCCTTGACTTGGAACTCTTGACAGCAAATGGATATCTTTGCAATTCTCGGATTCATCTTTTTGTACTTAGTAGTACACCGATAACATCACATCGCCACCACTGACGATCAGCATTCAAAAAGGGTAACGGAGCATACATAAAATTAAGCGTAGTATGTCACATGTTACAATGAGAAAGCTGGCCGAAATAAAGCATAGATGGATTTCTTTGTGCACTTCTTTACTTAGAAAAAATAATCGGATTAGCCGAGAAGTATTACTAAGTGCGTGTTGAAAAAGCGCTTTGTTGAATTAGGTCGGATGTGTAAGATGAAACAATGCAGTTTTTAATATCAGCAACAGTACCTTGAAATAGCTCAAGTAACGGCGACCATTGTTCCCATTATCGACTCGAAATTATTAAAACGTAGAGCGCTTCTATAGAAACAAACACCGAGATGGAGAATAAATATAGCTGGAGTAAGTAGGATGAAGCTAGCAGTCAATATTATACGGTTTGAGAATGGGCAACAGCTCAATAATAGCAATAGTAATGACGAGAAGAAGAGAAAGCCTTTATGGTGTTTCACCAACATCTGCTTGCTATATTAGCGACAAGCTTTGAAATATCATCCGGCAACTTTTCTACCAAATACTGCTATACGTCAATATTCTGTCATATCTTAGAAAATTGTGAATGATGCAGAAGTTTCAGGGGTAGGATAAGGTACGCAAATACTCAGGGCTTAAAAATACGGACAGACGATGTAGTACTACCACCGTCTCAGCGGACATGCTACGATAGCAAGTTTGTTAATACGGTAAAAGAGCAGAGTGGCTAAGTCATGGTCCCCAAACAACTTATAACGCTGGTGACCAACAAGCAGCAACTCTAATGTATAATTGTACGGACGCGTGTCGCTGTGACACAGTCATCCTCTCCTTGGTTACAGGCAATGTGTCCTTGGTAACGGTAAAGTTTATTCTTCAAAGTCGGTAGAAAGAAAGAGAAGGTTCTCTTCTGCAGACCAAAGCAGCGGCGTCTACAATTTTTTTGTTGGTTAATATATGTTGGGCGCACGCTCAAGAGGTCCGCTCGTGGATGGTGGCATCATTGGTACGTTTCGAATTTTACAATTGAAAAGCCGAAACGGCATTTGCGTGCTGCTGCCGATCCGTTTTTTTTTTCCTTTCAGTAATTGGAGCCCACCCGCCGCTTTTAGCTCGTCTGTTCATAGTTCTACAGGAGTGACACAAGTTGCTTTCCCAGGGCAGAAAAGAGAAAGAGTGATCATGACGCCCATTGCTCTAACCATAAGATGGGGTGGGGTGGAAACAAAGGGCACACACTATGCCTGTTTTTGGCCGTAACTATCGCCGATTTCGGAACAATAGCGATTCATCATGTCTTCGCACAAAAGAAGCTTGACATGAGGGAGGAGAAGCGACTGTAAAAGGTAGAAAATTACACCGAGCGGATTTGTGTGTTCTGGCTTTCGCCCAGACGTCGTGGTACACCCCCTCTGTCCCTCTTATTTAGCTTCAAGGCTATTCTGCAAAGGGCAGCTTTCTGGAGACAGGCAAGAACCAATAAAGAAGTCGGGAGCAAGCGGGATTTTTTAAGTGATCCTTTTCTCCGTCAGCGTTGCGTGTGTGCGAGTGTGCGAGTGTGCGTGCGCGCGCTGCGCTACGTGCCGAACATGTGTGAAGTGTGCTCAAGCCCTGTTTTATTATTTTTTTGCACGGAGATTTTCCGTCCACGCAACTCACTTGCTCCAGCGACTCCGCATCAGCCAAAATTTTGGATCGCTTATAATACTGCAAGCGTGAGCTGTGCGCCTTTTCCCTCTCTCTTTCTCTTTGATACTTTTCAGCAAACTCTCTCTCTCCCCCGCCACCTACCCCAGACTTTTACCGTGATCCATAGTATGTGGAGAAACCTTTCTCGCTCCCGAAAGCTGCTCACCTCCGCTGCCGCTACCGCAACCGTCGGCTCGGCTCTCTACCTCTACGACCAACAGCAGCATCCTCAGAACCATCCGTTCGCTTTGTTGATGCGCAACAATGTTGTCTACGCCGAGGCAAACCCCAACGTCGACGACTCCAAGCCCGAGAAGCTCTGGGAGGCCCCGTCGCGGTCCGAGATGATCAAGAAGCTCAAGAACGAGCAGAGCGAGGCACCGTTTGATTTGCTTATTGTTGGTGGTGGTGCCACCGGTGCCGGCACAGCTGTCGATGCCGCCACGCGTGGTCTCAAGGTTGCTCTTGTGGAGCGCGACGATTTTGCATCAGGTAAGGGCACAACGCGTATGGTGGCGTGGGATAAGCACGATGTGTTGAGGCGTACCGTCTAGCCAGCAGCAGGCAGTGGGAGTAGTGGTAGGAGTCAATGTATGCGTGGTGATGGTGATGTTTGTGGACAGGCGCTGGCTCCTGACATGTGTCCGGAGTTTGTTTTCTTTATTTGCACGTGGATACTTATCTCTGATATGAAAGGTACGTCCTCTCGCTCGACCAAGCTCGTTCACGGTGGTGTTCGCTATTTGCAAAAGGCCATCATGGAGCTGGACTACGAGCAGTACAAGCTTGTGGTGGAGGCATTGCATGAGCGCAAGATCTTCTTGGACATTGCACCGCATTTGGCAGGCCAGCTGCCGATCATGCTGCCTGTTTACAAGTAAGTGCTTTAGCAGCAAAGAACAAAAGAGAGTCTGGCGCGCATAATTCCTTCCCCCAAATCGGGAAAGGGGGTGACAAAAGGAAAATGATTGTGCTTCCGAAGATGCGATCGGCCGGGGTCGGCTTGTCAAAATGGCCATACCAACCAACCCCTCCCTTTCTCTCAATCTCTCTACAAAGCATGTGAAAAGAAAAGGTGCATCTGATACGAACGCATTACCTGTAGATGGTGGCAGATCCCTTACTACTGGGTTGGCTGCAAGATGTACGATCTGTTTGCTGGCCGCGAGGCCCTGGAAAGCAGCTATTTCTTGACCCGCTCCAAGGCGCTGGATGCATTCCCCATGCTGAAGAAGGATAAGCTTGTCGGTGCACTCGTCTATTATGATGGTGAGATTCATATGCCGGCGCGCTCTTTCTGGCCGTTGCTGTCGGAGACAATTCTTATTACAAACCTTTTGCTGACTTTGTTTTGCAACTTTCTAGGTCACCACAATGACGCCAGAATGAACGTTGCGCTATCGATGACGGCTGCCTATCACGGTGCCGCTGTTGTGAACCACTGCGAGGTCACCGACTTGACCAAGAATGAAGATGGCATCGTTACCGGTGCCAAGGTCAAGGATGTTTTGACGGGTGAAGAGTGGAATGTCAAGGCCAAGGTAAACAGAGGCTCATGTGGATGAAGAAGGAAAGGATGGTGTTGCTAATCCTGAAGCAACTTGTAGGGTGTGATCAATGCTACTGGCCCCTTCACCGATGGCTTGCGCAAGATGGACGATAAAGAAAATGCCGAAATTGTCGCACCTTCGGCTGGTGTCCACATCATCCTCCCCAACTACTACAGTCCTCGCAACATGGGTCTTCTTGACCCTGCCACCAGCGACGGCCGTGTCATTTTCTTCTTGCCCTGGGAAGGCAGCACCATTGCCGGTACTACTGGTAAGTGTTTACCTCTCATATGCGGTACAGCTTGTCTATCGATGTATGCACAAGCTCATGTGTACGTATCCCGCAAATAGACTCGCCTACCGAGGTCACGCAGAACCCTATGCCCAAGGAGGATGAGGTCAAGTGGATCTTGGATGAAGTCTCCCACTATCTGAGCAAAGGTAACTAGAAGGAATGATATGTGATAAAGTCTTGAGGAAAGCAGTAGAATTTACAAGTATCCCTGGTCTGTAATAGATGTGAAGGTGCGTCGTGGAGACGTGCTTGCCGCTTGGTCCGGCATTCGCCCTCTTGTTCGTGACCCACATGCTAAGAACACCGAATCGCTTGTGCGCAATCATATGATCAACGTGAGCGAAAACAGACTCATCACTATTGCCGGCGGCAAGTGGACCACGTACCGTGCTATGGCTCAGGAAACCGTCGACCGTGCCATCGAAGTGTTTGATTTGAAACCCACCTCCACTTGCAACACCGAAAAAGTAATGCTTATTGGCAGCAAAGGTTTCAGTAACACCATGTTTATCCGCCTGGTCCAGGAGTTTGGCATGGATACCGAAGTCGCCGTGCACTTGGCCAACAGCTATGGTGACCGTGCCTGGGTCGTTGGTTCGATTGACGATCCCACCAACATGCACTTCCCTACTTATGGCAAGCGCATTTCGCCCAACTACCCTTACATTGAATCCGAAGTGCGCTATGCTTGCCGTGAAGAGTATGCTTGCACCGCTGTCGATGTCCTGGCTCGTAGAACCCGCTTGGCCTTCTTGAACGCCGAGGCTGCTCTGCAAGCATTGCCCAGAGTTGTCGAAATCATGGCTGAGGAACTCAAGTGGGACAAGGCACGTCAGGAGCTGGAGAAGCAGAACGCTGCCAAATTTTTGGTCACCATGGGTCTCCCCGAATCTAAGGCTTAAATAGCAATAACATCCATCATCCAACCCCATCCACTTTACACGCGCACAATCCAACAAAAAAAAAGAGAGAAATTCACACACACATGCACGCACAGACATACACCATTACATCCATCTCAACACTATCACACATACCACATCCCCTCGTTTTTTATAGAGAAACCCACACTTCATTTGCCGTCGTGATTGACGACGACTTAACTACTTGCAAACGTCTCGTTATCCAAATTATTATTGTCCGTCTCTTCCTTCTTTAGAACATTGTACTGTATATTACGGGATACTTTTTTTCCAAACACATATTCTGTTTTTATTACTATTATAATTGATTTCCCTTTGACTTATAATTACATCGCTGCGCTTGGTTCTCCATATGGGTGTTCATGGTCTCACCGCACTGTTACGGCGATACGCGCCTAAATCACTACGCACATTACGTACAAACGCATTTTCTGAACAAATCATTGCATTCGATGCTAGTTGTCACCTCAACAAATTCGTATATGGCGAAGACATTCACCCACACCGGCATATCTACGGCTTTTATTTAATGGCGCGCTATTGCCGTATGCACAACATTACTCCTGTTTTCGTTTTTGACGGTGCCAATCGAATTGCAGCCAAGCAATTAGAACATGCACGTCGTGAAAAGAATCGTCAGAAAATCCAACCCTCACTAGAATACGAGCGTGCAAGATCTGCGCGCTTGGCAAGTTGGACAAACGCGTACCGTGACTTGTCGGATGCAGCAGCAACGCGTGTTCTCGACCAACTTCAAGAAGAATATCCAGCAGCAACCACCACCACCACCACTAGCACTGTGTCTGCTATGGACAGTGACGATCAAATTGAACAGCAGCTTGTGCAACTAGCAACGGATTTAAAGCATGCGCTTGTTGTGGCCGAAGATACCGAAAGATATACTAAAACAGTCCGTGGCCTGTCAGCACGCGAGCATACTCTGATGACTTCCATGATCCGAGACAGGATAAAAGATACGGAAATTGCGTTGCAAGAGTTGAAAAACGATAACCAGCATATGATGGAATCTCTAGGTAAAATTAAGTACATCGCATTCTCGCACTCCGTCTTAGGTTATCTAACGCTTCAACAACAAAGAAAAGCGGTCGATTCGTATCACACAAGCCTTACGAGAGGAGTGTATCGAGTTTTTGCGGACATTGGGATACATCTGTATGACTTGCGAAAATCATGAAGCAGAGGCTATGTGCTCAGAATTAGCAAGGCGAAAAATGACGACAGCAACAGTGACAGAAGGTGCGTGTTTCCCTTAACACTTTACGAGACCGTGTACGTAGTATTGGGAGATATTTGGAGCAAGCTGCTAATCTGTCGTTTCATTAGATACGGATGCCCTCGTTTTTGGAGATGCTCCCATATTACGATACTTTTTTGCCCGTAATCGACCAATCCTTGAAATAGACCCGGTTGTAGCGCGGGAACAGCTCAACCTTACCAAAGACCAGTTCATTGACTTGTGCATATTATGCGGCACTGATTTTTCTGGCACGATCCAAGGCATCGGGCCTATCAGGGCGCTGGATTTCGTACAGCGTTACGGATCTATTGAAAATATACTTCCAAACTTGGAAGGCAAAAAGTACACCCCAGTAGAAACGTTCGATTATAAGCTTGCTCGTCAGGTAGTAGCGTGGAGAACGGTTAAGCTATGTTGTTTTTGTACTTTATTCTCTTTTGGCTTATTTTCGGGTCTCCGTTTCTCTTCATTTATAGGTCTTCAACAATCTTCCACCTGTAAACCCTGACGCGATGATATCCCCACCGATAGACGAGGACAAAGTTCGCCGAGTAATTGATCAATACGAGATCGACCCAGACGAAGCAGAAAGTAAACTACGGATGATACAACTACAAGAAGCAGCCTCCGATACCTTTGGCATTGATCCTTTTGCACAAAATACAGTCAAATTGTTATAATACTAATAAATAGCACATTTTTCTTGAGTATATTTTTAATCTATTATGGAGACTTTTGAAACTACAGTATGTTATCGTGACATGGTAATTAACAAGTTCAAGTATTTGAATTGTTAATCATCGTATTTGATAACTCCAGATTTCTTGATCCATGTCGAGGTGTGGTATGCTATGCTTTCAATAATCGAGTTGCTTGAGCACCAAATGTGGTAGTTGTCAAGCAAGATGTGCGCTTCAAATATTGGTTTTCTAATCAGTCTTTGGCCAGCGTTTTCCACTCGTTTTTTCGACTACATACGAATGCTCGGTTTTGGCCAAGTAGTACCTTGGTTAGTAAAGTAAACTACAGTACCAGAAAGATAGACTGACATACAAACCGTTGAGAATATCCTCAACGGAAGTACTGGTAATAGGGGTCGAATATGGTGGTGGTAGCGATTACTTGATAGGTTGTTTAAGAGATCCTGCAGCAGTTCCTAAAGATAATGCTGACAACTGTGACACGCTATATGTCACTGGATCATACTCTGGTCGCACACTTATGATGATCTACGTAGCTCATATCAAAAAATTTGCTACAACGGTTCTAAGGTGTTAAATAACATCAGTGTCAATCTCTCGCATTACTTATTATTCAGTGCTGGGCTTTCCTTGCACGAAAACGATTCGCGGTCTGTGCAGATGAAAACTAAAAATCGATCGCACTAAATGCACGAATACTGGACACCTCATCTGGTCAGCAAAATTTCGAACCACTACAAAGTGGATCTCTGTACAAATTTCTGTCGATGTTTAATCGAATTACAGCAGCAAAGCGACTCGCCAGTTTGTGCATGAAAAACGTCGCGAATGCAAAAAGACTTTTCCAACACAGGTAGGGTCAACACTGTTAAATTTGCCTTTATGATCTGTCCATGGTTTTTGTGGAAGTACATACTACTCTATTTGCTGTAACAGCTCTTAGTACGGTTCACCAATCCGTGTGCATTCGTAGATAGGCTTGATAGCCGAATATATTTTTTATGAAATGAGGAACCATTTATTTGCGATATGAAACGTATCTCCTAAAGGAGGTGTTACATGCTGATGTGCTTATTGATCACGTCGCTCTCGTATTGGGTGCCTCTAATCGTTGCTTAAGAGGTAGACTTTAAAAGTTACGCGTTCAAGCTCTCTTGCTGTTTTGCTGGACATCGAAGGGCACGTTGCACAAATTCTAACTAGGAAGCAGCATTCAGTACATTAGACATCTAAAATTTCTAGAACAAACAGCGATTTATTAATGATATTAATAAGGATCATAATTTCAATGATATTATATGTAGACAATGTGTATTTTGGTAACTAGTTTCTGAGAATATTATCATGTTGTATCATGGAAAGTAACTAGGCCAGCTGTGTTAATTCCCTTCTTTAATCCTCGTCCTCATCGTACTCTTCATCCTTATCGTGATCTTTTTCGTGATCGTCATCCTTGTCCTTGTGGTTTTTGTGATCATCAGAGTCATCATCATGGTCTTCATCATCATGATCATCATCCTTGTCCTTGTGGTCCTTGTCATCATCAGAGTCTTCATCATCTTCATCATGGTCATGATCATGGTCATGGTCCTCGTCAGAATCGTGGTGGCCTTCCGAACCCATCTCCCAGTATGGCATGCCTACAGCTGTGCATTCGTGGATAGGTTTGATGCTGAAAGCCTCCTTTAACTTGGGGAGCCACTTTTCGGCCATACCAATGGTGACTTCGTTCAATTCATGCTGAAGACCAATGTGTCCGTGTGTTTCGTTACCAGCCATACGCTCGTCGATCCATTGACTGAAATAGCCATCCACGGTTTCGGGTTCGAGCTGACCTTTGTTCGTCATAGAAGGTAAATTCCAATCGTTCGAGTCCCGGCTCCAGAGTACGGTGGTAAGGCCCATCTGGTGTGCAATAGCACGAACACGGTCATCGACATCGCCGAAAGGTGCTAAAAGATCATTGAGTTATGTGAGACTTCACGTTTACCAAAGGTTAAAAAGGAAAATAATAGAGAAACAAACACTTACGACGCCAGCATTTTGAAGTCGCTCCAGTTGCTTCCTTGACGGCACGAAGAGCCCAATAGAGCTCAGCAACGACCTCCTCGTCTTTTAAGGTCGTCATTGCAACGTGAGACCAGGTATGCAGGCACAAGTGATGACCAGCATCAAAAGCGCGCTTAGCAGCTTCGGGATATGTGACAACGTTCGAACCGACATCTAATTGTCATAAAATATATTTTGCGTATTAGTCATGGAATTCAGAAAAATAATGGATATGCAACAATATCCAAGTTTGAAAATATCTTACAGAACAGAGTAGCTCTGGTGCCTTGCTCAGCCAAAAAGTCGTACAAGTAGGGTTCAGCGAACTCATCAATTCCATCTGGACTGTTGGCTACGACGTCTTTTCTGGGGTTCAACGGACCATCATCAAAAGTCTATATGAAACAGAAGAAAAGAAAGAAGAAATGGGTATGAACGGTCGGATAGAATTCAAACAGTTAACAAAAAGTTAGTTGCTTACCAAACCCCAATCACCGGGTTCGTTGCAGATATGGGCATCCTCTGGAATATACTGGGCCTTGGGCTTGACGCAGCCAGTTGCGCTCCACCAGCAGTACTCATCGTCACCAACGTCGTAGCTCTTCATATCCAAATCCCCAGTGCCCTTGTCAGCAGTGCGGACAGGCGCCTTTGGAACCTTGTCCCAGTTGATTGCTGCAATAGCTGCTTGCACTTCTTCATGGTCACCAGAAGGCGTCTTCCAGGTATCAGGGTAGCTTTCAATCTTGAATTTGACTGTGCCACGCTCGATGGGACCGGTGGGTGTCTGCTCCTTGGGCGTGAAATCGGGCTCATTGAATACAGGCATATAGTGAGGAGATGAAACTGGCAAAATATCGCGCGTGGATGACGGATCATTTGTTGGCGTAGGGAATGAAGGTGTACTGTATATGTATGAACCTGTGGATGATGGCGACGATGGATTTTCTGCGCCATCGCTAGCAGTGGTGGGCTCTGCAGGGCTTGATTCTACAGGCGCTGTTGTCGTTGGAGGTTCTGTTTGTGTAGGTTCAGAGGGCCAGCTTGATGTGAGGGCGGGACCAGATCCAGGAGCGCTGTTGCTTCCAGATGGCTTGGGTCGTGGGATAGTAGGAGGACAGCCATCATCTTCATCTTCTTCTTCTTCGTCGTCCTCGTCATCGTCGTCCTCGTCCTCACCCTCCTCTGGGAATTCATCATAGATCGGGCAAACCTTAGTTGTGGGTTTGCCGTGGATGACTGTTGTGACTACAGTGGCATCAGGGATATCGAGTGCAGATGTTGAAGAGGGGTCCTGGCCTGGGGCAGAGAGAGGGGAACCAGTGACGGCCAGCGCCATGGAGATCGCAACAACAACACCGGTTTGCAAGAAACGCATGATGTATGAGGGAGAAAATATGTATGATAGATATGTGTGGTGTTAGTTCGCTAAAGCAGCGCAACGATGGTGTGTTTATATATGGAGGGAAGGGAGCGCCTTGTTATTGTTACGTATCAGACCATGTTGTTGAAATTGTCTTGGATGTGCAAACCGACAAAGTTTATACCGGCCCTCGCTCCTGTAATGTTCCTTGACAGCAACATGCATTTGGGGGATGTGAGACAAAAGTACAAACAGCTCTTTTTTATTTATTTTACCGGCATTCTATGTGAAGTGATAATGAAAAGGGGGAATATATTTTACAGATGTTGGCGTGCGTGTTGCTTTGTGTGTGTGTGTGTGTGTGTGTGCGCGGGAAAAAAAAACAAGGTAAATAATATACAATTCAATTATCTGCTGTTTGCTGCTATGCGGAAGAATCTTGAGCTTTGTTTTCTTGCGAAAGAAGGACAGCGTCGCGGAAGATCTTGGAGTCCTGCTCCGGCGTATTCTCTGGGCCTCGATAGTTGGCAGTTTTCAGGAATTCCTATTCGCTCGCGAATTTCAGTTTGATTCCCCAGATCCAACGAGCAAACTGTTTGTTCTGTGCACACACAAAAGACTAAAATGCAAATATCGTGGCATTTACCTTTTGCTTTTTGTAACAATCCCAGAATTTCTGTTTTTGGTGTTCACACATCTTTGCTTTATCCCACCAGCTGCCATCCTTGAAGCACGTCAAAAGCTCCGAGTGCAGGTCGGCACAGTTATCTAACGCTGCTTCATGGATTTCCTTTTTCTGGTCCATGAAGTCTCGTACAACCCACATTACATTCTGTTTCTGTGGTGACTCTACTGTCTTTTTTTGTTCTTCACTCGCAAACGGATTCTTTGATCGTTCGTGAAAGTTAAATGTCGAAGTTGGTTTGCTGCTGTCATTTGTTTTTTCCGATGTTGTTGATGTTGCCGGTGCTGCCTCTTCAACAGGAGTGGGCGTTGCTTTGTTTGGATCGTATTGTGGCTGGTTTTCGGAAAGGTAATTTTCCAAATCTTTGTCTTTGACGTACGATTCGACGAAATCGCGTGCTGTTCCTGACGATCGATCGGTCATTGGTGTATGTTTACAAGGCAGCTTTTTGGTCCGCTTTGCTCCAGGTAGTCTTTTTTATTGGTGTGTTGATGTCGTATCAACTCCGATAATTGCTGATTGAGTGTTCCTATGCTTAGTACGGTGTCAGGAAACTTTCGTTCTCACATGAGACACGAAAAAGCAGCAAGTTGCTGAGACTTACGTTCAGCTCCATCGATCTATGGCTCGCCAATACGTGTAGCTTTTGTAGTACTGCAGGTAGCTGTATGACTGCTATACCTTGTACTGATAGCCGTTCATTTTTAAAGAAAGAGTTCCTAGTAACCAGCTACGAGTTTTCATGAACAACATGCGTTCTTATTGTGTACATCAGCTGGCAAGCAATGACTAAACGTACGTAATAGATAACATAGCTCAAGAGGTATCAACCGCCCAACTTTCAATAAATGAAGCAAAGCGTAGCACTTTTTTTCTTGACATGCATCACATTTTGAAGCTAATATCAATTCGTTGTTTATGGCATACACTAAATTTAGCATATTGAACAATCGAAATGGGTCATATGAGTATATTTTCTTCAAACAAATGCTCAGGTTGACTCCCGTGTATGGGCATCTGCGCCATATGCGAGAGATCGAGGGAGAACTTGACAGGTTCTATGGCTAAAATACTAACTGTTTTTATGGAGGCTGAGAGGGCTTCTCATTCTTTAATCTATACTACAAGTAAAATGAAAGGATGCATCATAGATGGGGAAATTATGCGGAAGAGTTGGCAGAAACGAAGCGGTTGTTCTTCAATTCTAATTGACCGTGTTCGAGGAAGGCTGGCCACTCGTGATCATCGCCCTTCATCTCCAAAAATCGAGGCTGTTCCCACAAAGCTGATAACTTGGTCTCGCCGTTGAAATGCTTAGGAGCGACAGATTCAAGGGCTTCGCGCAAAGAGACGACTGATTTTTCGACCAAATCCTTTTCATCAACAGTTCGCATTCGTTTGGGTCTGGCAAGGTGTTCTGGTGACGTTTTGAATTCGAGTTGTCGCACCTGCGAGCGTTGTAACAGGGCGTCCGAAACAGCTTGTGCAGACTGAAGTGTGTTGAACCCAGTAATGGCGACTAGAGGGCGCCAGTGATCTTTTCGCAAACGAGGTGGGCGCAAGACAGTGTCGAGTTGGCGTAATGAGCGGTTCTAGTAACACAGTGGTGGAGCGAGTTTGACATTTCAGTTATCATTGTCACATGTTTATTTTTGAGCAAGTTGTCGAAGGTTCGGTGGTTATTATCGGTTTAATCGTAATGCAATTGTTACCTGAGTCCATTGCCGCATGCTTACAATGACCTGGTTGGTTTGAATGTGTCGAAATAAATATACGCTGTGGGACATGGTGGTGGTGTGAATAGTCGAGTTGTTGCGGGTTTCCAGAAAAAAAAAGTGCCCTTTCAGCGAAAACAAACTCGTCGGCACTGGCTGTTGTGACTTCAAAAACGGCGACAACTACCTCACTAGCTTACTTCACACACCACCACAAAAACCAGCGCTTTTTTGTTTAAAAGTCTTTTTTTTTAACATAGAACAATGTATCGTCCTAGCACCGGCATTGATTTAAACGACTTTCCAGCGTTGGGCACGCCGGCATCCAGTAATCGAGGAACACCCACGGGCTCTCTTCCACCGCAACCACCGTCTTCATCCTTGTTGCCGTCGAATCGATTCGCGAATTACCCATCCACACCGTCAAATTCAAATCACGTTCAAGACGCCTTCTTGGGCACTGGTGCTGGTGCTGCTGGTGCCAGCAACAATGTATCAGACTTTGGTACTGTCACCAGCTCATCCCCGCTCGGTTCTTATCAACCTGTACATAGCGGCGGTGCAGCAGCTTTCGCCGGTCATGCGAACGATCATCAGTTAGCAACAGCTCGAGGCCTTGCACCAAGAACGTTCTCAATGGATGATTTCCCTGCATTGCGAAGTTCAGCAACAACAGCAGGAGGTGCTGCTGCACCACCATTTGGCAGTGATTTGGCCAATTCAGCTATAAACTCCAAAGCCGAGCCATGGGACTATGCCGGTGCACGAGAAACGATGCCGAATAATCTAAACAGTAAGCAATAGCAGAAAGCAGAAAGCAGAAAGCAGAAAAAATTACTTTTTCTCCTCAATCATTCTAATTGTGTTGTAACAATCACGTACTCTATGACGGCCGTGTACTATCTAGGCAGTAAGCAATATGGTGCAGCGGCAGCGGCAGCCGGTGTAAAAGGTGACATGCTGGCATCATCTCAATGGGTAAGTTCCGCAAAGAAATATATTTACATGTATCTCCTTTACCCCAGATGGACAGATTTAGTTAATAAACATGTTTTATATACAATATGGAAATATAGTTACAAGCGCGTGGCGAATCTGCAGCACCACCACAATCGCACGTACCACCAAGTTCACGGAAGCCAGTGGGGTCAACACCATTAGGCAGAGATCAAGAAGGAACGCCAAAAGGCACATCAGCAAGCAGTGACGGCAAGGCAGCGGATTCCTACGGTCTATTAGGGCTTTTAGGAGTAATAAGGATGACGGATCCTGACCGGAGCATGCTTGCACTTGGAAGCGATTTGACGACCCTTGGCCTGGATCTGAACACGGCTGAGTAAGTTGTCGTTACTACCGAAAAACGATTTCATCTACAATCCCGGAAATTTCATGTTGACAAAATGTTGATGATGGTTATAGTTCCATATATTCCACATTCATCTCACCATGGTCAGATACGCAAACACCACCGGGTCTGAACGTCGAGCCAGGCTATTATCTGCCGCCATGTTATCGAACGGTACAAGCAACGCCTCCTGCCCATCAGCGTATGCGGACGTTTTCGGACGAAATCCTGTTTTACGTATTTTACTCGATGCCAAAGGATGTCGCTCAGGAAGCAGCAGCTCAGGAGCTGTAAGCGTTTCTTATCTTGTATGCACACATACCATGCTAGGATATTAAGTAATTACTATTATGATTAGCTACGCACGGAATTGGCGATACCACAAGGAATACGGTATGTGGCTGACAAAGGAAGCAGACGAGAACGGTCGACCTGTTCAGGGCTTCCGACGGACGTCACCAAGTCCAGTAGATCGAGGAGTATACGTAATCTTTGATCCTACGACGTGGCAAAAGGTTAAGCAGGAATGGACTCTGCCGTGGGATGCACTTGAAGATCGACAGCAGCAGCAGCCTCAACAGCAACCGCCACAACAACAACAACAACAACAGCAGCAACAAGCACCTTCTCAAGGCTCTTCATCACAGCCATCACGGCCGCAGCAGCAGCAGCAGCCACAGCAGCCTGGGATGAACATGGCAAATCCACCAGCGGGCATTTCTCCAGGTCTTGCAAGCAGAGGTGTAATGATATAGAAAAAGACCTGTGTTGTTTGTTCACTCTGTTTGCCTGTCTCTTTGTTCTTTTTCTCTCCCCTTTTAACTCTACTCTTCACCCCCACAAACGCACACGCCTTTTTTTACGTCTCATACTTCTCCCTCCCCACCATGCGCATTATCCTCCCTTCTTTTAATTGATGAGTTAGTCTAAAAAAAAAGAGAATGGATACATCGTTTTTCTAGTTGCGTTTTCACTTACTGCTACAAAGAAACGTTGGCTGAACACAAGGGTTGTCAAATTCTTTCTCGCATAGTTCATGGCAACGTATCAAATCTGCAGATAGTAGAAGGGTCAAGCTACTCGGAACCCATTTTTTTCTTCTTCAGCTCGCAGCACGCCGGAACTCTGAACGTGTTGACTTTCTTTACACACACTTTAAACCATGGCGGGTCAGCAACATATGCACGAGATCGCACCTCGACTGTTTGTCGGCAGTCAGGCAGCGGGGTATTCGATCGACTTACTAAAAGAACATGGCATTACACATATTTTATCCCTTGGCGATTTCGATTCTACACATGACCATATTATTTACAAGGTAGATCACTTTCAAACGTTTAGATCATTGGGAAAGAAAGAGGCCAAGGGATACCGATCTGTCAATCATTCTATCTAACTATTTTGTTTCCTTGATTCGACAAGAACATTCGAATACTCGATCTCGCAGAAGAAAATTTGCTTCAGTATCTTGACGACACGTACGACTTTATACACAGTGCTTATGAAAACAATGGTAAAATCCTTGTACACTGTGAAGCAGGCATGTCACGAAGTGTGGCGGTGATGATGGCATATCTTATGCGCACACAAAATTTGGCGCCAAAAGCTGCACTGGATATCATTAAAGACGAGCGAAACTTTGTTCAACCCAATGAAGGATTTATGGATCAATTGGAGCTATACCAGATACTTCAATACAAAGTCGACACAAATCATGCCGCGTACAGAAGATTTTTGGTGGCAAGCATGGCTAGAGAACAGCAAGGTACAAGGAACTAGAGATGTGCTTTTTTCTTGATTTTGGCTTGAAGAAAATAAGCTAATCAAAGAGGATTTAATTTTATAGATACCGGGTATATCGCCAATCTTTCATTGACGCCAAACCCAGTACCAGACAGCCAGTCTCAGCTCATTGTTCGATGTAAAAAATGCAGGTTCGTCATCACTTGGTTGACTGTAAAGAGAGAGTGTGGACACTGATGAAAAAGATTATCCTGCTTGCTTTTATTGCTACTGCTTAGATACGTTTTGGTGAACAAAGAACATATTTTGGATCATCAGCCGGGAAAAGGACAACAGGCCTTTGCATATACCAAGAGAAATGCCGATCTTAATATCACATCCGCCGCTGTAACCCCAACCGCTCATCATCAGCAGCAGCAAATGCTTAATCCACTGCTCGCTTCATTAGGCGCAGCCAACAATAACTGCTCGTCGTATTTCATCGAACCCATGGAATGGACTGCTGTCTTGCAGGACGGACATATTGAAGGTCGGATCGATTGTCCAAAATGTATGGCTAAACTGGGCCAGTACAACTGGTCTGGTGCACAATGCTCCTGTGGTCGATGGATCACGCCTGCATTCATGTTGCATCGTAAACAAGTGGACGAGATCAAACGTCGGCGCTAGTAATCCGATCAACGACTATTTAAGTATGTACAGCTGTCATTCTTTCCTCTAAAAGTACATTTTGTTTTTGTAAATCTATAAATTTATAATAAACAAGAGTAGTTAGCATTCTTATTTCTTAATGTACTATATATATATACATCATATCTCAATTTTGTACATCTGAAGGAAGCACGACAGACGAATTTTGGTACCATAGCAAACTTTCGCATGGATGTTTCAACAATGACAATGAGCCGGATAATTTGAAGTTTGTGCCATGGCAGCGATGGGGAAGGTTAGCGATATCCAGAGGACGGAGTCATCCTGAAACATATTAGATTCCACGCAGTAGAATTTAATAATGCACAGAGTTATACTCATGAAGAAAGCAACGAGGTAAGAAGGAAAATAGTTAATCTCATTGTGGTGACCGTGAAGTAGTGGTGGTATAGTAATGTCGACAATAGCCTAAGCGCGTATCTCTCCCAATCTATGCATATTGTTCTGTTAGAGAAGTAAAAAGAGAAACAATAAATGGTTTCTTTCTCTTTGTAGCTTATATTGAGAAGATAGATGCGGATAGTATTTACTCTAGTATGAAAATCAATAGTAGTTATCGTATGCCCTAATTATCGATTAGTGCATCAGCTGAGGCTTCAGCATCTCCGTCGTGTTTTTTCAGGGCACGACACGAACTTTTTTACTTTTTGACACCGCGCGTCTTTTTCCATATCAAATTATAGAAAATGGGTCGTAACGACGATGATAATCAAAGAATCAACGGCAATATGGAAGTTGACGATGTAGAAGAAAGTGGCGAAGACAGCCAAGAAGAAATGGAAGAGGAAGACAATGAAAACGATGCTGATTACGAGACCATGAAAAGTCAAATTGAGGAAAAAACCGATCGCAGCAAATATGACCCATCGCAAAACAAAGAAGAAAGACGTCAAATTCGAGGAGAACTACGAAGGCTAGGCAAAAAGATGGAAGGTAATATTAGAATTACGAAAAAAAACAGCGATGTTGATTAACTTGGATTCTGAAGAGCTATTCGTTTGGTTTAATTATAGAAAATAAGCGAACGTTACTGCAGACAGATAATGACGGTCTTAACGAATGCATTCTAATGCAAAATGAAGTATATGCAAGAAGTATGTTGCAATCTATATATATTTACTCTCGTGTTCTCTTAACTTCATTGGGGGCCGAAACAGATGAAAAAGGAAACTTATTTGTGCGTGGTGGCAATGTATGGTGTTGATGATATATAGTCAAGAACGTATCCGAAGCAACTATCGATTCCAAACTGCTGGTATTGACAGCCGATATTGGTGCGCAAAAGGCACGTAACCTGAAGCTGGATAGCGATTTATTCAACGCAGACGAATTTGTGGGCAAAGTAAAGTCATTGGGTAGTGGTAATCGGTCTACGATAAACTGGAAGCGGATCGGTGCCAGAGCTTTCGAACACAGTCAGCGTGCACACAGCATGGACTTTATGTATGTCTTTTTTTTCTATCTCATCCAACAGTAATACGCGTATATACGCATACTTAGATCGTCGTCTTGTGGAATATGATAGGCTCGGTCCATTGTCAGTGGAGAAGAAGCAGCGCAAAACCGGCCGGCAAGTCCGTATCATCAAAAACAAAGAGGATCTCGTTCAACCCACACAGGTGTGCAAATAACAGACATAACGAAAGCTGATGAGAGTGGAGTTGCTAAATTGTGTTTACATCTCTAATAGCTCCAAGAAGGTGATATCGGCCAACAAGAAAATGAAACCTCGGCTAATGTCAACCAAATCTATAAAATCTTGGACGAGTACGGCCCCGTTAACTATCTTGAATTTATCACCAATCCAGAATCGTTCTCACAGTCCGTGGAGAACCTGTTTTATGTATCCTTTTTGATCCGTAATGCTGTGGCTGAAATCGATGATTCGAGCGGCCAACCTATTCTGTCAACACGAGCACCTCCAACGACCGAAGAGCTTGCTGAAGAACTCACAAAAAAGCAAATTATGATGAGCTTGGATATTCATCTGTGGAAGGTTCGTGTTATCTATAAACTTTCTTTCTTTCTCTGGCGGCATGTCGTCAATTCATGCATCGATACATCAACTCACGGGTATGATATACATTTGCGTATAGGAAATTATCGACACATACGGAATACGCTCCACCATTATACCCACTCGATCTAAGCGACATCAAGACATGACCTCTACTAGATGGTATTAAGTTTTTTTTTTGGCAGTGCCGTGTGAATTTTACAAACTGTACTCAAAACACAAAACCCATGCCGCTGTATATATGTATAATAAACTTTCTCAGCATTTTGATCATGTTCTATGTACAAATATTGGATGAAGAAATAGGAGAGCAGTATGTGGGTGTCGGGTGTATGCGTGCATCATTTTAGCGACGACGAGCGTTCCAAATGTTTGAAAAAAAGGGGTTGTGGGAGGGGAATCAATGAGGTTTTTGGATGCTTTTTCTCCTTATTCTACACGCGCCTTGATGCAATCATGTCTCTAAACATGCTTCGCAAATAGGTCTTGTAAATGCCACAAGCGCTGGGAGGCTCCCGCGTACAAATGAACCCATTTTGTTGTGCTTCCATGTGTTTGTTACGCCACGAGTCCAGCTGTCGAAAAAAATCTTGATGGATGTTGACTAGCGTCTCTTGTATTAAGGGAAACAAGTTCACGTTCCACATAGAGTTTCCAGTCTGGCTTTTCACCACAATGATATTGTCGTGTTGATCCACCGGCCACATGCGAGTTTCGTCATCGATGATCAGCGGCAACGAGAAACCACAGCCTAGCGATCGTTCTTGAAGAGCGCAAAAGGAGTAAAGGGCCATAAGGTCCTTGGGTGGTCGGCTAGGATCAAACGACCGTTTTATGTAGTCATGTTCGAAACGAGCCGAGTACAGGATACCTCGAATACGTGTCCGTTCAGGGTCCAGTACGTTGACAACATTTTCGACGTAATTCTGGTCACTATTATTAGGAATCAATGAACAAGGTCAATCAATCACTTTTGATTCCCCTCCCTCCCGGCTTCATCAATCCAATCAATCGTTTGCTTACCCCAAAGAGCAAACTGAGATCTCGTAAAAGTTTTGGGCCCAATCCAGAAACTCATGTACGCGTTCTGTTAAAACGACCCGTCGATTATCACTCAAGGGCACCACGCGATTACCATCTATTTGCGTATCGAGTCAGATATTTTGTAAACAAGAAGCTCTAGGAAAACAGCACTTACACCTATGGACGTCACTTTCCGGTACATGTCTATCATTGCCCTCGCCTACCAAGCGGACCAATGTATCATCCAAATCTAGAACGAGTGGTAATTTTCGCGAGTACAATAGACCCTCCATTGATTCATTAACGATACGGAGCATGTCCTCGTGCTTGCACAAGTAGCCAAAAAGATGCCTGAAAAATAAAAAATACAGCAACAACCACAGAGCTTAGTATCACACTCTATGTCTTTGAAGCGACTCTTGATTTGCCCGGTTCCTTACTTGTTATCTCTTGAGCTCTTTAGATGGCACTCCCACATCTCACCGTCCTCAGTTCTCATAGCGAAATAAGCGCTCTATAATCATAAATATAACACTCGTGTCAGCAAATGTGTGTGTGTATTTTATGTCTAAATACAGCAAAATGACAAGAAAGATCATTACTAACCTTACGCAAACCATACAAATCCTGGAACCACGGATGATCCGGATACCGAAAGACAAAATTATGCTGAATGTTCCTCTGGGCCATGACCACAAAGAAGCCACGAGGATACGCGCCCTTTATTTCGTAGCTTTCCTCCAGTAGAAGCTTCGGCTCGGTGCCGCGATGAATTATTTCCTGTGTGTATAAATGTACCTCCATTGACAAGTTGTTGTTGGCTCTGCCGTTGTTGCGTCTACCCACAAACGCCCGCTGGTCCTTTATTACGAGATCAAGCGAAAGCTTTGGTTGCCAAATGGATGGGTTCGGGGTGATTTCTCGGCAGAACGGTATAGAGGACGCGGCAGGTGCAACGGATTGTGCTGCTGCTGCTGCTGGCGTCGGTGTCACGACAGCAGGTGCCGCAAACGGCTGTTTTGGTGATGAAAGCGATGGTGATGGATGATGGTGGTTGTTAAATGGTTGTGGTTGCTGGTCTTTTGAGGAGAGCTTTGCGTCTCTGGTAACTACGAATTGCAAAGCTGCACCTAGTTGAAAAATGGCCTACAAGGACAAAAGTTTACGAGACAGGAACCACCAACAAAAAAAAGGGGAGTGGGAATTCAGTTACACACATTGCGAGTTTTCTTTGTTTTACACTAGACAAAAACCAGTATTCTTACCGACTTCTCTTTCGTAACAATGTCGTCCGGAATGGAAATCCGATGGCGTTGTTGTTGTTGTGGCGGTGGTGGTGGTGGAGGTGGCTGCTGCTGCTGTTGTTGTTGTTGTTGTTGTTGTTGTTGTTGTTGTTGTTGTTCGGAGCCAAATGGCCTCCGAGGATCCTCATTGAGCATGCCTGACAGGTCCATACTGTGTGGAGTTGTAAGAAAAGTAGGAAAGAAAAGCGAAAATGCTCGGAAGTGCCGAACGTGGAACTTAAAAAAACACAACAAATTTTACTTTATTTACACTTTACAGATGCTCGTAAGCACCATCCTGGCCAAAAAAGCCTTTACACAGCTGTCTAATAACTCTTTCATAATTGGTCGGCGAGTGATCCATGAACATAGTACGCGAGAACAGAATTTCTGAAAACCGCGCTTGGATATCGTCACAACGGCTCAGTACCGCACGATATTGCTTATGCCGTGATGGAATCAGCTCGATGGTATATACCGTGCTAGGCGGGTACAACTTTTCGGCTCGCATATCAGCGCGCATCGTCTTGATTAATGCCCAGAACCAATCGTCTTCGCTATCATCTACCGTAGACGTGCGGTATCGATTGATCACTTTGCTGAGGATCTGGTCCGCTACCTCGGCTTCTGTGTGCAGGCTTACTGCGACGTTCTTGAAGTCTTTGAGCAGTCCGAGACTGAGAGAGCTGACAATGTCATATCGATGAACGACACTGGTTACTAAGCCGCAGCAATACAGGCTCAATTCGAGCGACATGACGCATGGTGGACCATAAACGTAGCAGTGGATCGGGCGTCCGGATCCAAGACCTGATGTTGGCGACAAGACAAAATTACCCTGTTTGTCCTTTTCGCTCCAGAGTAGACTGACGAGTGCTGCGACACCGCCGCCGAGTGAGTGACCACATAAAACAAGACCATAGTCCGGGTAGCGCTCAAGACCTTCGAGGATGGCGCGGAAGACCTTGCCCTTTTCCTTGGCAAGCATCTGTGCCGCTTCAAGCATGCCTCCGTGTGCCTTGAAATTGTTGCTGTCGATGCCAGGTAGATCTACTTCAGAGTAACCGCACGTAAGATCCGTCAGTACGTCGCTTAAGCCCAATGTACCGCGACACGTTAAGACAATCGCCTGTGCAGCATGGTCAGCAGTGACGTAATGGACGAGTTCGTGTATGGATGGATGATGCATGGTCAAAAACGAGCGATCAGTGTAGCTGGATAAAAGGATGTCTTCGAGTGCAAGACCTGTATGATGGACAAAGGAGTGGTGATTGGAGTGGTGCGCGGATGGTACCGCGCTGGGTATCTTGCCGATGCCGAGAATACGCATGAACGTCTCGCCGTAAGCTGCACTGGCGTAGCGCATAAACCGTGCAATGTTACTGACGAGATGATGATGTGGAAACTGAGGACCGGTCGTAGTAGTTAAGAGATTAATATGAGTTGTAATATTCGTAGTGGTATTAGGAAGTGCTTTAGGTGAGGTGTTGTTGTTGACATCGTTCTTAGAGGCGGATGGTGGCGGTGATGATGATGCTGTGAACGTGGCAAAAGTGGTGCTGCTGGATATAGAATGGGAGCGGTATATACGTGATGTTGGCGGTGATGCTTCGTTGTTGTTGTTGTTGCAGATAGGGCTGAGGGAAGGTATAGTTATAACGTTGCCCGTGGACGAACGTCGTTGTCGGATGATGCGCTTTCTGTTACTATTGGCATCTGCACATTTCTGCGCCTGTAGTGCCAGCATCTGAGTGCCTTTGTGGAACACGCTATTCCGCCTCTTGACGGGTCGTTCGTCTGCTGCTGCTGCAATGATTGAGCCAGCAATCAAATTCCGTTCTTTTTCGCCGAACTTTTCTTGTCGATCCATGGACTTGCGAGTCATTTTCTGTGAAAGAGCTGATACAACCACATTGACGGGTTGTTGCTGTCGTTGTCGGGGGTGTTGTTCGGACTCTTTAATAGGTTGGTCGTCTTCTTCAGCATAGCCCGAATCAGACCTCCGTGGTGTAGCAAGAACAAGCTGCCGTTCGCGACTGTTGACTGGCGCCGCATTAGATCGATCCACAGCGGCCATAAAGGCCTGCTGACTTTCCTCGTCGGAGCGAACGACGACATATTTAGCATCCGTTGGCTCCTTAGCTACAGGCTGAATCCGCGTGGTTGTTGTCATGGTGCGCTGCGTTGTCGTGGTTATTTCGTACATGGTATCATCCATGCTCTGTACTAGTACCTGCTCTAACTCTCGAATAACGTCTTTAGATGGTCTCACGGAATGCACCAAAGCATGCTGGTTATTTCTTTCGCCATGTCTGGCTGCTGATGGATCATCATCATTATCATCGCTGTTGCTGTCGCCTTCTTCGAGCACAAGGCCTTCCCAAAGGACTGTGAACTTGGTCTGCTTCATCATGCGTTTGTGCGTGACATACTGTAGCACTGCAAATGCGGTCATGGCTTTGGTCAGCCCTGCAAGCATGGTTACCTTGCCGGTCTGTGCGAGCTCAAACTCTGGATCCAGCATGAGTTCCTTATGCACAAGAGTAATGATGGAGGCGATCGCCCTTGACGTTTCGTTGGATCCAAAAATACCGTCGATAATGCGAACAGACTCTTCTGCTGTCTGACAATGAATAAGTGGGTTGCAGAAGTGCGTGTGTCAACAAATTAAAAGCTGAAACTTGTGATATTCATTTAAAGCTCCTGGAATTTCGGTTTGCTTGCTTACCTTAAAACCGGACTTGACCGTCTGAGATGTCAGCTGCAGACCTGACAAGGCAAACAATTCGGCAAGTGTAAAAGTGTTGTGCACAATGTATATTCCAAGGTTGGTATACTTGTCCAGTATCCGCAGAAATCCGTTTCTATTCAGTTGAGCGTTAAACACAAATCCATGCCCTATTTGCCACACACAAACACACGAGTGGGGGAGGGGTTGTTGCCACAAATAGACCTACACACAGACGGATACATGTTTGGCACATTATGGAGAAGTGGTGTAAAGAGGGTTGTTTTACCTGTCTGCATCGGAAATGGATTCGTCGCAGGAATTGGGATAGGTCAGTGTGTGTAACCGCTTCGCTGTGGCAAGAGCATTGGTCAAGGCCTGTCGCGAGATGCCCAGCGACAGAACAGTGCCATACTTTGCAGCCTCAAACAGAGCTTCGGCAAATACAGACGAGCAACGTAGCGACAGTCGTGCAGCCAAGGAGGCGGCTGTGACGAAGCTCGCGAGATTTTCTGGTAGCAGCGTAGGTGAATCGTGGATCGAGCTCGGATATGTTGGTGTGGATACAGCCATTTTCTTCTGTTGCATGCCGATGTTATTGGATGGGTGGAGATAGGTGGTCGAGCGGAGGGAGCAGGGCTGTAAATGCAGTGCGTTTGCTGAATATGTACAATAGATATATTACTGATGAATGATACTGTGTATTGAAGAAAAGGAAGAAAGAGAAAAAATAACAGAAAAGGGGAAATAAAGCTGCTAAAGTCGTCGTAATGCGTTCGTTTCCCCCCCCTTTCCGGACGTGTGTATTGAGCGATAGTGTGGTGTCTGTTTTGATGCACGCAAAAGAAGAAAGATGCAAAAAAGTAGTAGTGATGAAAGGGGAAGAAGAAGAAGAAGAAAAGCAAAACACCTCCTCCCCCTCTGTCTCGACATAAAACATGCCTTGATTTTTGTGTGGGGCAGGCACAGGTTTTTTCCTTTGCTGCACAAATTATCCAGGGCGGTGATAAAAGAAGCGCCTTGCCTTTTACAGCTGCATTCGAACCCCACTCCCCCAGCGTGTATTCATGCCCAATCTTGCGTAACACTGCATGATGTGGTGTTTGTTGCTGCTGTGGCTCTCGCTTTGTCACGGAATAGCCGACATGATTATATGTAGTAAGAACAACAATGTGGGGTGTATAAAACCTTGTTCTACTTTGTTTGTTTTCTTTCTTTCCATATATTATAGTAGATGAATAAGAGAGCGCCTCATCTCCATAATAGCATGTCTTTGTCTTGCTTGCTGTGTGGCTCACGTATTTTTTCGATCGCCAAGCGAAAAAAAATTGGGGAGAGACTCTGTGGTATAATGCGAGATGAGCAGCACAGAATGGTGATGATGACCTCACATGACATCCATTTTTGCACGTAGACGCATGGTTGATTATGATTAGTTTCTATTAGGGAAGCAGAAACTACCGGCATATAGAAAGATGATGTTTGTATGTAGAATAGCTCTCTCTCTTCTTAGCTTTCTTTTCCGATTAGCTATAGCGGGAGAGCTACTTTGCTGCAAAGCACGATGATGAAGAGGATCAAATACGTCCATGTGTGGTGGTATATACCAAGAAAATGCACGAAGTTTTCTCACCCAATAAAAGCTTACGGTTTTACTCGGTCAATCAAGTAATTTTAGGTCACACTAAAAACGCTGATTACGCAAAAAGAAAAAAATGACATTTTTGTGTTACAATAAAGAGACCAACAGTTTTTCCTACTTGGTGCGTCAGGTCATTATGGAGGTAAACCCTGTGCTTGACGGTTTTGGGGGCAAACAACCGACCTTGTCACCAGTACATAAACACCCGCGCCCGGGCCGCTTTTGTACGATTATATGCTGGGATGTGGCTGTCGTCTTCTCTCGTAGTATTTGTAGTGGGTGAATTGTTTATAAGCCCCGGTGTCCTTCTTAGCCCCTCCGTCCATCACTTGATTTTACTGGGTCTATGCAAGTGACTGTGTGCTGTCGGTTAAAAGGGGGTGATATACGTTTGGGGGTGAAGCCTTTTCTCCTCCTGCCTTTACACATGTACCAGACAGTGTTATAGAGACAAAATAAACTGTTTGCTAAGAGACGACTGGTCAGTATCATAGCAACAAAGAATCAAAGTGGTTGCTGAGGGGCCTAAAATCAAAGTGAGCATTCGCGAATGTAGTGTTATCATGGCAGCTTTTGCATAGTTACAAAATACATAGGAACCTAATGCAGCCAATTACAAACAAGCAGGGGTCTCCGATCATCATTTTACATGAAGCAGATCTTCTTGATCCTTGCTTTTTATTGGGTTTTATTTATTATAAACGTTTTTCATAACTTTTATAATTTGTTAAACAAGGCGACAAAAACAACAACATTAAGTAGCATTGGAAGAATTACGGTTGTGTCAACGGCTATTGATCGATATGTACACGATCGACTTGGAACCATAGTCATTCCATGATATGAACAAACGAAAAAGAAATAATGCCGACCGTACATATGGCTGCATTACCGTCTTGCTGTTGTGTGACATTGACCAAGGTAATCCAACATGAAGAAAACCAACTGAATTCAGCCGCCATTGCTGCTGTGGTGGTGCGGAGTCTTCAACTGCACTTATTATACTTAAAAAAAGGATTATGCAGAGTGTTCCAGTCTGGAAGAGCTTTGGCGTGTAACTACCCAACAAGTGATACTTATGATAGTATTTGAAAGTTTATATTCGAGAAGTTGACCGCTTTATATGTATCCTAGTAAAGCATGTTTTTTTTTCGGCAAAGGAAAGCCCTTCGGCTAGATGCACAATCACCACCTACCGCGTTATTCTCTCTCTTGAATGCTCTCCCGATATTATATATTGAACTTTTACTGTATACACCGGTATCGGTAGCGTATATCTTGTATACAGACATAAAATGGAGTATTGGAGGAAGTCTGTTTCCTTTAACAGTATAGTTAGCTGTTTCTTGGTACATGCCCCGACCATACTCTGGCTTAAGTAACCAGCAACTCTTATTTGCTATTGATATAGACAGCAGTCGAGGAAATGATAGAGGAACCGTTCATCAAAAAGCGCGTACATGTGTCAAAGTCTATCCTACATCAGTGCTTGTATACAATTGAGCAGACATTCATAGTAATGCTAAATAGCAGAATTGCTCGATCTTCTCTTGCTGTAAAATGCAGTAGTTGCAAATGCGTATCCGAGACAAGTCATTGTTTTGCAATTAGAAAAGTGGTATTTGGTAAAGCAAGTCCGCGTGCAATAAATAGAATAGGTGGGTTGGGGTATACGGTACAAGAACCTTCATTATCATTCATCTGTTATCCACATTCCCCACTTCGAAACAGATGGGCATTGATCCACGAAAGCCTTCTTCTTTTTCATCACGCCAGTATCATTAATCGTGCTGCCACGTACAAATGCTTTCACTCCGGCATCGGTGATTTGACTGTTCCACAAAACCGAGATAAGCGATAAGCTTTTAACTTGTGCAAGTCTTTCAAGAACGACATCGTTCAAATTGTGCACAGAGATCAATTTCAAGGTATCGAGACTACTATTGGTCTCCTTTAACTTGTCAGCGAATTTCAGCAGCGTTTCGTTATCCTCGAGTCCCATCTGTAGTGACAATTCTTGTAGTGACCGGACCTTGCATAGGTCAATCAAATTTTGATCCGAGATACAAGTGTTGTGGAGATCCAGGCGACGAAGGCTGCTATACTTGGAGAGCATACGGATGCAGTCACCAAACTCCACATGTGGAGCTGCTCGATAGTCGTTGTCATGGAGCCGTAAATGCTCTAATCGTCTCAATGACGATGTGATTCCTTTGATTATACGGTCCCAGCGCATATCAAATGGGCCCAGAGACACATCCAAACACTTGAGATTCCTGCATCCTGCAAAAAGATCGACCCATCCCTCTTCGCGTGGCATTTCCAGGTTTGTCATTTTGAGCGTCACCAGTCGCGGAAATTGGGTATATACCGGGATATCATGCCAATCACGAGATCGGTCCATGTCCACATTGAACAATTCCAAATGAGATAGCGTTTCTTGGGACCTTGTAAGTATCGGCGTAACGCTATTAATATCGTCTATGTGACCCTCGAATACAAGGCCCTGAATCCTCCCTTCCTTGCTGCTGCTTCCTCTACTTCTTGCTTTGTCAATATCACTGCTATGAAGCGTTCTTGTCGAAATTTGTCGCCATTTTGGTAGGTGTGCTTCATCTCTGCGAAGATATACTCGGTGCATATTCCACATGACATACTGTAAACGCGGACACAGCTCAAAAATTGAGTCTAGATCAATGGTGTTGGCAGTACTGCTTGGTGATGTGATAGTATGGCTACTGGCGGCTGCGACTAGCAAGCATTTCAGCTGTGGGCAACGTCGCAGTACAGGGATGATGCACGTCTCGATTTGCCCACCAAAAGGTATCTTGAGATGCAAATAAACCAGATTATGGTACTCATCTAAGATCGTAAGGTTCGTGTTGTCCGTTATCGTTGGGAAGGTGACCTTGTTATCGTATAGCAACGAAAGATGAGTGAGTTTTGGGAAGCGGAGCATCAAGTTTGTCGGCGGCATATACGATGGATAATTAATTATATGCAGCCCCTTTAGCGTATCCTCAAATTGTTCAATTGCACCAAGAAGTTTCGCATCCTTGGAAGAGTGATCACCAGCAAGTGGTATATGATTTCTTATCTCTAGACATGAAAAGAGGAAATTTTTAGTTTATTGAACCCGCCATTTTTATAGATAATCGCTGTATGTTCCGAAGAGTGTGGGTGACGTTAACATTACTAACCGAGCACAGTAATTTCGCAACCCGTCTTCCTGAGTTTGTTTATTATGCTACATGCATTCAAACGGTCAAGAGTTACTTTTTGTACTTGTGGCCCAAGGCAGCTGAGCATACACTCATTAGATGCTTGCCAAGATTCAGGTGAAATGAGCAGCTGTTCCCACAGGTGGATCGCGTAACTAGGAATCTCGAAATACCACTGGCGACACACACGCATACACTCAACACAGTCGGCTTGGTCGAGGTATTTAAAGATTGAATAAACAATGTCGGTGGGTAAAGATGTTGGAAAATGGTGCATTGTTACTTTTAAAAGCGAAGAAACGATGAGGTGGAGTGGGGTGGGGTTTGCTGCTGGAAAGGATAGTTGCGTGGACAACAGAGCTATTATGCAACTATGGTTTCTATTTACAATCGACAACACCCCACGCTGTCCCCTTTTGGATGTGGCGCCGCGGGAGCCGGGAAGTGCGTGTTGCTTCTCAGTTCGCTCTTCTTCCCTCCAATGGGTGTTAATGTAACGAAACGATGAGAAATACAACGAAAAATACTATTAACTAGAAGCAAAAGCAAAAGGAAGTAATCATCTTGTCAAGATCGAAAGGACGTAAACACACGGGGCTTCTCGCCCGATGTTTGAAGCAATACTTGATATTGCGACGCGTATCGTTTACATTGCTTTGCTTGAGAATTATAGCAGCATCAGCATCACAAGCTCCTGGTGGTTCCAGTAGTACTTGCGCATTTCCCACATCTAACCACTATACTTCTAACGAGTATCAATAAAGACGCGTTGTGTAGTTTACTTATACGTGCTTGTTAGTTACTCTCAGCAAGGCGCCACATCTCTTTACACTATCAGGAGCAACGCCACGTCAGCCTTGACTCGGTTATACTAGTTGCCGATTCGGACCGTAGGTTTCACTTTAAGACTAGGTACACACAACTCCTTGGAAAGAATCTACTAGAATTTCCCTTTTTCTCCAAACCATCTATAGTATGAACATCATTTCCAGCAGCAGTTGCATTAAAATACTGCCGCTGAACACCAATTACATATCTATATGTTTAAGTTGCACTTTGGAATTTAGCAAACCAAGTTATAAGATTTTATTGTCAGGAGATCGGGGTAAGAGGGGGTTATTGAGCTGGTACTGCTATATGGATAATTTCTGGTTGTGGAGCGACTGTGTCGACTGATATGAATTGCTTATTATTTCGCCCGCTCCTGATACTGCTACTTCAATTTGAGAAGCAAGCAAATCGAATTCCGTGGGTGTACTTTTTCTTGCTGAGCAATGGCAGGGATCTCGTTTTTGATAAACTTTCGCTCTTGCTTGTTGTACTCGTCCAATGTGAGCCTGTGTTGTTCGTTATGGCAGCTGTCAAAGAATGTGGTGGTAGCTTGGGGGGAGGTTGAGAGTAGCCCCAATGAGACACTTTGTTTGTACATTGTTCACGTCAGTTCGGTGGCGCTTCTTGTCGATAAAAGCAGTAAAGCGACCATCGACCCCCAGGACCTTGCGCAATGCTGTCGAGAACTGGATTGATGGTGCTCATGATGACTTGTTGGTAGTGCCGGAGCTGGTGGTGATTTCTGCATTTTTTTGACAGTATACTGGCTAAGACGCCTTGACCAAGAATACATTGGAATGCTCTCGTAGCTGGAATCATATAATCCACTGCTTGAAAATCCAAAGCGTATATAAATTAACAATAGACTTATCGGGACTAGTGCGAATATCAATCATTGGAGCTGTTTTTCTTTGACTCTACTTGTGGCCAGTTGCTATAGAAATATCACTGTTATGAAATATATTGAAGAGAATGAGCGTATCCAGCCACAAAAAAAGGTACAAGGCTCGGTACTAGAATCAAACGTATATGAATTTTTATTTGACCACCAAATAATGCCGATTGACTTGCTGAGAATAATTACGGACTGCGCTGTGACAACCACTCCATACTGTTCCGCGTTCCTCACTTTTCCTCCTCAAAACCACAGTTCACATGGCTAACCATTGGGATCACGCGCGAAAATCCAGCCGCCCTTGGTATCAATCGACTGACACTTATTGTCAACGACAAATGCAAGATCAGCAACAAGAACAACCACAAACGATCGCTGATCCCAATGAAGAAGTCCAAGGAGTCCCTTGGTACTTTGACAGTGAATCCGCTTATCCAGGCCAAGATCCCCAATACCAGCAAGTGCAGCAAGGTTTAAAACAGCAACAGCAACACCAGCATGCTCAACACCAGCATTACCAGCATTATTATCTTGACCCTGCTCATGCTGACTATCACCAATCGTATGCTATTTACTGGCAGCAACAACAACAACAGCGCGATTACCAACAATATCAGCCGGACCTTGATCAATACCATTACTACCACCATAACCAAACACCTGCTTCTGGCATTGCTGAGCATTCTAGCCATTACGCTGGAGCTCCTTCCGAATATTACGGCACGAGCACTACTGCTATTCCTCTCCCTGTTCAACAATCTGCGCCTGTTCAAATGACCACAGGTCATCTCACAACTGACACTGAACGCCGTGCGCAGCAACAAACGATGGAAATGATATGCAAAAATGAAGAGCCTGCTTTTAATACTCCACCTATCAACATTGAGAAAAAGAACGGAAAGAGTATCGAGACTGCGTCTTTCCAAGGTCTGGAGCTAGAGCAAGAACCGCCTGGTCCTATTGTCGTTATCAGCAGTGATGATGAGGATGATGAAGAAGAAGAAAGCGATGATGATCGAATCATAACCGTTAGTAGCAGCGAAGAAGAGGACGACGAAGACGCAGCAAGCATCATGATGGTCATCGATGATGACGAGGAAGAAGAAGAAGTTTACGACACGGATTTCGATTTCGACGACTCTAGTAGCATAGATAGCTATGTCACGGCAAGCGAGACACCATTCACAAACAGCATTGATACACAATGCATTGCTATTGTCAATGAGCTACCACTTGGACGGCACTTCACCAAGTTACAAGAGGAGCATGGGCTAGCACCAGGTGTCAGTCAACTTGATGGGGAAATAGAAGAACATTCGATACCCTTTGCGCCAGAAAGTAACTCGCTGTTTAAGAATGAAGGTATTAAAACAGTCTTTTCTTCTAGTGTGTGTGGAATTCTCTGTTAGCAAAAAGATTCACCGAGTTTTTTTTTTCGCTCTATTAGAGAGACGGTTACGTGCTACAAACACAATTAAAAGGTTCTCGAATGCCGACATACACATCACCAGGGCCAGAAATAATTTCATTTTCAACACTACAGGAACCTTGGGACAAGTCTATTTCTCTATCAAAGCTGCCGATGCCCTGGTGAGTATGGACTGTATAAGATTTTCCATTATTGCAAGATACAGTTTGATTAATACCTATCGTTTGATTTCATAGCTACAAGATCATATCCGGCTTTCCGTGTACTATGTCTTGCTACGAGTAGACGGTCCACAGTTTGCGGAATGTATAAAAAAATTACACCAGGTCATCGAGCCTCTCGCCCCAGGTTCAAAGTACATTACACCAATAGAGGACCTTCATATCACCGTAGGTGCTACCCATGTCCGGAATGAAGAAGCACGCGAGCGCTTGATCTCTGTTGTTGAAAGCGCAGCCAAAGAATTTGAAGCAGCTTTGGAAAAGCGATTGTTCGTGGGTCGACTGAACGCTTTAAGTAATTGTAACAGACGCTGTAAGTCTGACGCCCTTGTTTTACTTTCCCATTCATAAGAATTGGCTATCAATCTTTGATCGACTAACACTGGTACTATGTATATGCAGACCTGGGGCTGGCATCCAAGGAAATTAGCCCATTGCATATTGCCCGATGTAAGCAGCATTGATTTATGAAGCTGCCTTGGTTTATTATGAACAAGCAAAATGCCGATTCTTTATTGACGCAATAACCTCCCTTTCTTCTTCGTATTTAGCTGTATTTCGCGAAAAGCTGCAAGATGCCGGTATAGCTATTAATCGCGCAACCCAAGTACGTTGGCTTTTTTTTTATTTAATATCGAACTTTCTTTCCCTGCAGTGCTAAATTATAGACAACATTTAATTTTATAGTTGCATATGACCTTATATAGCGTGCCTCCAAAAATCTGGCCACTGCTTCCTAGCGAATACAATCTTTCACCAAAGACCTTCAAAAAGGAGTTAAAAAAGCAGGAAATGGCTCTTGATGTGGGACCCTTGAGTTTTACTCAAATTGAAGTTACGAGACGAAATGTAACTCTATCGCGTGGTTCTGTACATCATCCTGAATACATATACCGATTCTAAAGCTTATGCTATGCCTTCAGCCTTCGTATCAAGAGATATACTCTGTCTCACGCCAACACACACAAACACATCCCTACCAGTACAACAAGCACCCATGTATATCACAATCAACATAAGCCCTTTGTACTTACCATCGATTTATCAACGTGTACTATGATCATCAATAACAACCTTTGCAAGCATTTTCCATTGTACATGCGATATCATGCTAGCGTAAAAACTTGACTGTAGTTGGTACAGGAAAATATAAGCGAAAGTTCTGAAGAGGAGGAAAAGAGAGAAGTGAGTGCGCTGCCGCTTCACATCCTCACAGCAGCAGAACTTCAGAACTCGCTTTCCCTCGTGTGTAAAAAAATAAAAGCGAAAATGAAAAAAAAACACAGAACGTTGAGAGCGTACCATAGCGTGTCCAGACACGGCGTGGTATTGCGCAGAATAAAATATACAGCGAAGAGAATACTGCACGAAATACGTGGTATGATAACAAAGAAACCACAGCTGCGTGCCGAAGCGAAAGATAATGGCGAGATGAGCTGACATCTATACATAGACCAGCGTGCAATTTACTCTAACCAGCAGTAACAAGATCATAACGCGCTTTCGTTACGTTCTTCTTTCACTCTATTTATTTTATTCTGTAAAGGCTCAAGCACAACCTACTTATGTTGATACAGCATTATTTCATTTCTTTGTTCTATCAAAAACCAAAACGCTATGGGCAGCACGGTTTATGATAATTAGGCAATCTGTTGTTATCAATGTTGGAACGGAGAAGGTCGATGTGTTCGCAAGGGTTCATTGAGTCCAGCGTAGAGAAGTTATTGCATTATCTCTATAGGGTTTGCGGTCGCTGTTATTGTTGTTGCTCTTGTACAGTCGATCCCCCTTTATCTAACATACGTCAACGGTCAGCCCTCAATAAGTTCACCGAAATTTTGGGACTGATAAGAATAACATAATCTTGAAAAAAGCTAATCAATAAGCTTTGTCTAGCAAAAACAATTTTGCTTGAAATTTGTCGCGTAACTCTCGTATTTTCGTAGGGAGACCGGTTATAGTTCTTCATCTTCATCAGAGGCTAGGAAATCCAGTGCAGTATCGACGTAAAAGTTTTTTTTCTCTTGTCTTCAATGGCACTGCTGGGTGGCAAGCGGTCTCCGTTTCACCAGGTGCTTCCTGCCTGGTCGGCCAGCGTCACTTGTTGGTTACTGTCTTTAAACTTATTTCTATCCATAATGCGCTTGACAGCCTCATCTTACGTGTAGGCTTTCATGCACCAGGAATAATTTTACTTTGGGATTAAAATCGATCAATGGGAGAGAAATATCGTCATCATAGATATATCGGCCTGGTTCTTGGTGTTATCTTTCTCAACAAGATACAACAAAGAGGCTTTAGTCGATCGCCAGCAATTGTCGAAGGTAATCTCAGAAACATCCTTTCAAGAAGCCTTGACCCAGCGCATACCGTGCTGTTGGTCAGTGCGAAGTAGCTGTTCAAATGGAATAATTGAGTTAGCACGGTGGCGGAGGGGGACTTGATATGCTCGTTCGTATTGCCTTGCTCAAGTAGTACAGTCAAAGACGTCATCATAGTACTTGAAATCAATTATTTGCTTAATGACTAAATGCGTAATGCGTTTTCATACTTACTTGAAATGTGTTAACAGTCTGATGACTCCCCATCAAGAGTCTGGACTTTAGATGTCGAACTGGTAGGCAAAAAGATGAGCTTAGTGTTTACCTGTTCCACGCCAGAAAATCACTTGAAAGTAGACAATTGTCTCTGTCTGCTGCATGCATTGCGTTGTCAAAACGTCGCAGTTATATTATGGATATTATGTTTGTCATTCAGGCAATGGAACTGTTAAGGTACAAACTGAAACCACAGTCTATAACTTTTAGATATTACACTGTATGATATAATTGTATGGTGTGATGCTGTATATAAGATACCGTATCTTTTTATGAATGAAGCAGGTCTTTCAGTGTTGACAATAATGAGCGTCTCGCGTTTATAACTGCTGTTCTCATGTTGCATGTAAGGGCCACGGTCGGTCTCTTCTTGTTACTCTTGATACCAACGTAGGCACTTTTTGATATCGTGGAAGCAAATGGAGCACGATAGTGAACTGCAGCTTCATCCATTTTATAGATGTCCTTAGGTCAAATTTCGACAATCCCTTTTGGTCGGCGCTTTCAATATCAGCGGATCTTTCTTCTCCGTGTAGCCTGTGGGACTTGATCTATACATATCTTCTTGAATCCGCCCTGTCAACCATTTGACAATTTGAAGTTGCATATTGACAATCCAAGCTTTCCAGAAAACAATCAACGGCCTCGATACAGTAATCATTGTTAGTTGATAGAAATGTTATTGCTCTCCGCTTTTTCGATCCGGATACGGAGCGCTTCTTCAAGCTTTTACAAAAAATGTTTAAAGCTAGCTCTTTGGTTATATGTTTCTTCCTGTTCTGATACGTTTAGTGATGCGTTGTTAAATTGAAGTTCTCGTGGGCTTTCTGCTTGCCTCTTTGCACGCTTAATTATCTTGGATACCATGCTAACATCTGGGGCTTTGAACAGAATAACCTCGTCGTTGGCCCAGAGGGCGAGAGAACGATTGGTGTTGGTTTTTGGCTTTTTTCCACCTACGATAGCCTGCTGATCGGCTGTAAAAGCGGTATTCGTTGTCGTAATTTCAAAACAGAGATAAAAAATGCAAAAAGAAAATGGCAAGATGAAGGCTGTTGCAGTCGACACGCGCTTTACAGAATCTTTATCTATACATTTCCGTCCGAAAGCTTTTCACTTCGTTCTCTTTCTAACAAAATGCCTTTAAACAACATGATTATTCACTCCAATTTCTATCACGAACGACGTAAAAAAATTGCCGAAAAGCATCGAGCACGAAATCATTGAGCTCTATAAGGGAAATAATAAAACTCCTGAGATAAGAAGGATACTGAAGGAATACAATTTAGCGCTCAACATTGCTTACAAAGTTATCGAGAAATGGAAAGAAACAGGCTCTATGGCATAGAAACCAAGAAGTGGACGATCACCCATGGCCTCGAAGAGGAATTTAAACGCTCATTGCTGTAGTGTGCGCCCTTATTTGCTTTACCGGCTCCGCTAGGCTGATATTGCAAATGCAGGCATGAATTCTATCGAAACACAGTGATCGAGTACCTGATGATGCCCTGGTCGGAGCAAAGAATAACTGAAGGTTTATCCGACATTGGCAAGTGAAGTCTGGACTGTGAATCTCTTATGATACAGGTAAAACTATACAATCATCAAAATACAGCATGTTATATTATAGTAAAAGATATTACACTATCGCTTATACTGACAAGCAAGTGAAGAAGCGTATAGAATTGCTGCTACTACTTGACCCCTGATGATATTCAAACGCACTGTATTCAAGATTACGCAGGAATGACAGCGTTGAAAACAGTGGGGATGGTGGTCCGATGCATGCACTTTTCAAAGCGGGTACTGCGTGAAATAATATGGGCTAGTTCTAGTTAACACTCCTTATTTCCAAAGGGCGGGAGGGTCGACTGTTGGTGGAGCGACGTGTGAGGGCCTAGTGGCGATACCAAAATGACAGTCTTCAAGCTCTGTAGAAAGACTTGGTCGGCGCGATGGTCGAAATTCTCTCGATAAATCAAGGACGATATACCATCATCAGATGTAAGCTTCCTTTTGAGGAGTACTCGCATAAATGCAGAAAAGAAGCTGTCACTTCCACCATCACTAAATGGATGTCAAGTCTTTAAAAGTACACACGGCCCGCTCCCCTTCCTCCCTTTCTTTTCTTCCACTATCGACTTTAGGCACATCCGCTATGATAAATCGCATCGATAAAATTGGAGCAGGACTAGGAGGAATCCGTCACTCGTTCAATCAGGACAATACTATTACGACCTCCATTGCCGCTGCAACAACAATAGCACTGTGTAGCAGTGTCTTATACTATCTTTGCACCACATCGGCTTCTTCCACTCCAGGCTCAGCAGCAGGCAAAGTACACACGAACAAAATCCCTTCTCCGTCAGGCTCCCTCCCGCTTTTTGGTAAAAGCTGCATAATCTTTTATTCTCAACGATTATAAGAATGCGGTTCACACCGATTCGAATTCTTGACACATTTGCTTATAATATGGAACGACCACATACGTTTTAGGGCATTATTTCCAAGTTCCTAAAGAGTTGCTTGTGCTTAAATTCAACGAGTGGCATCAGTATTATGGTTTGTAAAACACGTCGAGCTGATTAATTTGGTGGTCGTTCAAAGGCATTTTGTCGTTTGTTAAAGAGCTCGCTAACGTGTCAAGCGCAATGACGATAATAAATAGGTCCAATCATCCGCATCAACATGGGTGTCAAACCTTGGGTCATCATTGGTGATCCGTACCTTGCACACGAAATTCTAAAAGTCAACGATGCCGTGACCTCTGGACGTCCATACCATCTCTACTTGTCCAAATATCATACGATGAATCGAAAGTATGTAAAGCTATTATTGGAAGAATAGACTTGATAAAACATGGGTCCTTTTGTCATTTGATTTAGAGGGATGGTGTATACGAATGCTGATAAACAATGGAAACGATGTCGAGCAATTGGTAAGCAATTTTTTAAATGTTAATGCGTGGTTGTCATGTATCAACCCAAAAACATTGTTGATTAACTGCCAATGATGGCTCTCATGCGCTCGTGTGCTTAATTTAATAACAAACATGAATAGCGCAAACAGTACTTGGACGAAAAGGGGTAGCCCAGCTGAGCCAGACGATGGAATCCGAAGCTTCTCGAGTGACCAGTCTATTGCTAGAATGCGGAAAAGTTGTTGATGTGTCCAAGTACATGCAACTCTATACCCAGAACGTAATGCTACAAGCTCTTTTTGGTATATCCTCAACAGCTATCGATGATTCTTTATTCACGTCCGTAGTCGAGACCGTTGATATTGCTATCAAATGGAGTGCACCGGTCGAAGGCATTCGTAGCTTTTTGCCCGGTTTGGCAAAATCACTTGGTCTCTATAAGAACACGGCTATGTCAGACTTTATTGAAAAGAAACGCAATCCGCTCTATCGACGATTAATCCAACAGAGCCTTGAGAGTGATACTCCTTGTCTTGTCAAGGAACTGTACAGGGTGAAAAAACAAAACGAGTTTGATGACGATGATATCCTTGTGCTCATAGGTACGGAGAACAGCAATAAAGCGTGCTCTTTGAACGCTATGATACTAACACAACGTCTTGATATCAGTAAACATGGTCAATGCCGGAACGGATACTACTGCCATGACACTTTCTTGGGCAATGATTTTACTATGCCACCACAAGGATGTTCAAAAGCGGCTTCATGGCGAGGTCGACTCGTTTATCTTCAAACACAATCGATTGCCAGTGTATGATGAACGAGAGAATTTTCCATTCTTGATTTCGGTGCAGAAAGAATGCATGCGATTCCGGGCACCTAATCATTTTGCTCTGCCGCGCGAAACTACGGATGACCGTAATGATTCATTCTCCCTTTTCATCTCTCTAGTCTATCATGTATTTAATCTGTTCACTGATAGTGGTTTGAACTTATTATTGTATGCTGATATGATATAGTGGAATGTCAAGGCTTCTTTATCCCTAAAGGAACGGTGCTCTTGAGCAACACGTACACATTGAACCGTAGTCCTGATTTTTATGACAGACCCGAAAAGTTTATTCCAGAGCGATACCTTGACGACCAAAGACCACTTGTTGTTTCGGCAAATGCAAATCTTGAGAAGCGTGATCAATATACGTTTGGTTGGGGCAGGTACGACAGAATCAATACATTCAAGTCACTGCTGTTCTACGTATGCTGTTTCTCTAATTACATCATCATCACGTCTCTTTCTAAATCAACAATTGTTGACGATATGGATAGACGGTTGTGTCCAGGAGCTCATATGGTAAAAGCATATTTTTTAATATGTAGTGATCAGATGTTTGTGATCTGTGATTCGAAAAGAAGGAATTAATCACCCCAATTGATCTATTCTATCGAATGTAGGTCGATGTGGAACTTTTTAACTTCTGGGTTCGCATACTAGCAACTACTACTATTGAGCCACCTTTGAATGAAAATGGAGATCCTGTGTATCCAGACTTGAATAGCTATCGTGATATAGGAGTTGCTATTGCCCCCCTCGATTCACGCATCCGATTTGTTGAGAGACATGACCGACTTATTTAGTAGTAGTAACATGCGTCAATACTGTCAATAAACTGAACAAAAAACTTATGCTCTTCATCGCAACACAAGCATAGTACTGTGAACGCAACGTATATCATACAGCATAGCACTAGAACTTTACCTGTGTCAATGGAGGTAAGGGTGATAATAGAGAAAGTGGATAAAAGAGACATGGCTTGAACAGTCGTAAACATGCGAGCAGATGATCCGCTGCGTTTGGAATATAAACAAAGCGGATAATTATGGCACTGGTTCCAATACTCTGTCGTGTTGCATATACTGCATGCACATAACAATGCATATACTTCCTGCAGCGTGTGTAAGAGTGATAAACTCTAGATTTGAATTAACCAAATACCCTTGCTATACATGAAAAACGCATACGGACAACAGCAGTGAAGTAGAATACACCGTCGACGCAAAGGTTTAGGTAGGAAAGGGTATTTATTCACATGTTTGCTACTACTCGGATAAAACTGATACTGTGAGCTTATGGAAAGAAAAGGGGAAAATCCATGCTATTCGCTAATCAATATGTGCTTGCTTTCCTGTTCTTCTCACAATTTGTTGTTGTTGGGATGGGATCCTTGACTGTTGTTCTTGGTAATGATAGACATGCCATCAAACAATGGTAGCATAACTACCCGGGTTCGGGGATCCTGCGACACATGTTGATTGAACTTTTCCATTTGTTTAGCCACACCCTTGATGTAATCTGAGGCTTGGATCGTGTTACTGTCGCTAGTATCGTAGCCGGCATGTCGATGGACTTGTCCAAAGAACAGGACTATCATACACATGATAATTGAGGGAAATAAGTAAAACAGGTCGGTCTGCTAGCCGTTGAGCCGTAGTAGATGTATATGACATGAGTTTTACATATATACACGCTTACCATTATCAGCAATGATAACTCCTCGATCAGACAAAAGGTTATTATCCATGATAAAATCATAGTATCCAACGTATCCTGGTTTGTCAGCATCTGTGAAAATAAAAGGAGGGTGCAAGTTAGCGTAATTAGCTTACAATGTTTTGTATAGCATTAAGCAACACGTACCGATAAAGACAAAGTCGAACTGCCGTTCTGGTTGCTCTTTTGCGAAGGCTGCAAGACTATACGTAATTTCTAAATCATTAGGAGCTCATTGTTGTATCACCACTACAGTATCACTGTTTCTCGACTACCAAGGAGTCAAACGACACCACATTATACTGTAATACAATACCTTTCTAATCCTGGACCTAATCGAAGGTCCACACAATCATCAAGCCCGAGCTTTTCAATATACTTTCGTGCCACTGCTTGTGCTTTTGGATCGATTTCAAGCGAGACGATTTGGCCCCCACATCCATTTCTTTGCTTTTCCTCGGAAAGAGCCAACGCCATGGCGATAGCAGAAGTACCAGTAAAGGTACCAATTTCAAGCACATCTTTTGCACTAAAAAGCTTGACTAGTTGGTAGAGTAACTTGCGCTGTGTTTCAACGACCATGAAGTGGGGCTTTACAAAATCCTTGACGGTCTCCTCGATCAACTCGCTCAAGACGGCTTCCACATGGGGCGGGAACGGGGTGCTTTGGTCATTTGCGTATTTTTCTTCCTTGGAACGCAAACGGTTGTCGATGTTGCATTCCCAATTTTCAGGTAAAGTAGATGAGTAAAATGGCATTCTTTTTTTTGTGCGCTTGACAGGAAAATAAAAAGCAAAAGAGAAAAGGAAACATGCAAAAAGTTACATGTTTTTATGCATACAAGCTGCAACATTAGCAGTAGCGTTCTATTCGCCCACAGTTGCATAGTGTAGATAGCTGCAGTGCATATGTCGTCGGATGCCTCTCTCATACCCCCTTTGCCTTGTTTACATTTTATCACCTTAGACTACGCATACACCACACGTCGCAGAGTTGATAAGCCCTAAGGTAGAGATCCCATAAGAAAGCTCCAGCTGGTCTTTTGCTTGTACCTGAAGTTCTCATCGTATGATATGCGTTTTGCTTTATCATGGCGGGCAAATAATCCTTTCAGCACTTGTCGAAACCAGGCTCGTGACCAAATTCTGTTGCTTTCTTGCTATATACCCGCTATTTTTATATCATGTCTGATGATTAATATCCTGAAAAACGTCACGCACACGTACGAGAGTAAACATAAAAACACAAACTATAAAATCCCTCTCCCTGTTTGTAGGCTTTCATGACAAATGACTTGATGGTATGTCCGTGCCAAGAACAATCAAGTCTTCTTTTATCACCCCTTCCTACTGATACAGTATTCTTACAAGACAGAGCCAAGAAATCTAAGCCGTCCTTTTGAATTCCCAGTATAGCCAACAAAACAATCACGTAATGACGACGCATCACTGGAGACACCCACGATGTTATAAACAGACAACACAGGAGCTGCATACTGCTCTTCCTTTACCAAAATAGGTTATATTCTTGTTGTGCCACCGACTTTAGCTTTTTTTGTTCACGTACTTTCCGACCGGCAATATATTCGCGCCACTAGTGCTTATTCTTTTTTGTCAAACTCTATTGGCACTAACCGCAATACGACATACTAGCGATATCCTTTTTTATCTCAACTTCTACAAGCAGATGAACACCACAGGGTTGTGTGCATTAGCCAGCCTTAAACGCAACTTCCAGTCGTAAGTGATGGACAGATTTAGAGCTATAACAAACGCACTTGTTCAGTACATATCAGAATTACCTTGCCGGTAATCAGTTCCCAAAGAAGCACATGGAAGTAGTCAAGCGAAAGTATGCTTATATATATTAGGCAACACACAGTCTATCCGTACATTGTTGACACACCGCACTTCTTAATACCGCGATAGTGAATGAACGATGACAGTCTTGATGTATGTACTACGGCGGTTAAAATAATACGCTGCGACGAAGACAGATCAGCGCTCTCGGCGTCATACAAAGTGGTGCAACAGAGATGATTTGATTCCGAGATCCGTGCAGTTTGATCCGTAAGATGAGCTCTGTGTCACACCACTTTTTTGTGTTTCCTTGTTTCCGTCGATCTGATAACGATGGAGTAAAATTTTTTTCCTCGCTCACTACTTGCTTAAAATGAACATTGTGATACCAAACACAAGCGATCGTTAACACAAGTATGTAGTCATATTTTGGACCTCTATAACTAACTATTCTTGAAGAGAAAACACCATCTACATATATCCGTATCACAGTTGAACTACATAATCTATATTCTGGCATAGCGAGATATTGTGAGCGCAGTTGTCGGTAAACGACAATACTGCTATCATAGGAACAACTTTGTTTGTATTATAGTACATAAGAGATAGTGGCTTTCTTTAAAGAGGAATATACAAGTAGCAGGTGGTGTGGTATGGTTAAATACAGCAGTAGGATAGTAGTATCATAGTAGTAGCAAAAGGATAAAATATTTGGGAGAGTAAGAGTGCTATGGTTGCTGGCAATCATCATCACGGTGGCGAGACCGCGATGATGCGCTTAGTAGGATTGAGTATACTTTTGGAATGCACGGGCATTTGCTTGTTTTTCGTGACGATCCATTGCAAATTCAAGGCCAAACCCGGTGCACCACAGACCAAACGAGATCGAAATGGCAATGTAGAACAAGGTGCCGCTCGTAAGGATGGTATTTTCCGAGAACGTTGGAGTGTGGCCATGATGATGCTTTGAGCTGGTAGTTTCACTGTTTCCGCCATGTTGTGCTTCAGCCATATTCACCTATGCAACACAAGCAGCAGATAGTGAGAAGATGAAAGCGAACTGATTCCTGAGACGGGATGGGATTACTTACTGCCAATGTCATCAAAAAGAACACAACATAGGTGATGTGGGTGTTGTAGCGGCGCATCATGATAGTGGATGTATGTCAATTGAATGTGTGTGTGTGTGTTATGCGCTTGAGGCTGTTGACGGCTGTAGCCGGGAATATTTATACCAAAACACAAGTTACACAAAGAAAAATAATTTGCCTTTTGTCGAAATATTATCAGATTACAGGAAAAAAAAAGATGGGTGGGACAGACACAGACCGGTGAAAATTTGTACCGAACCGATCCTGGATCCCTTTTTCATTTTTTATTTATAAAAGAGAGCACAAACCAAAAAGAAGGAAGAGGTAACGTATTTATAAGAGCTGAAAGAGAAGAGAAAAAGAGAAAGAAAAGGGATAATGGAATAGATAAGGAAGCTTTTTTTTTGTGGAGAATTCTGCTGCAAGCTTGTTTTTGTTGCGTTTATACAAAAGGATTCGCGGCCAAGACGCGTATCAACGGCGGACTTCTGTCAGGGTCGCTGGTGATAACGACGCGGATGTAGTCGAAGGGCCGGATAACCTGCCGTGACTCATTAGGAATGGTGCATTCCTGCTGACTTGTCCATGGGTTTTCGCCTTGGACGACACGCAGCGACATTGACCGGGGTCGTTTCTTGGTGCTGTTGTTGCTGCTGGGGTTACTATCATGCTCCTTCTCCTTCTCCTCCTGCTGCTGCTGCTGCTGCTGTTGTTGTTGTTGTTGTTGACTGCCACTACCACCACTGTTGCTCCCATTATGCTCAGTTGCCGAGGGAGGGGCTGACTTGATAGAAAGTTGATGCACAGCTTCTGACATGGCGTTGTCGACTGTGGAAGGCGGTGCAGAGGTGGTGGCTGTAGGCGATGAGGGTGTACCATTTTCACCGGATCCAGCATTAGCATGAGCAGTGGTAATTGTAGTAGTAGTAGTAGTAGTAGTAGTAGCAACAGCCGTTGACTCTCCGTGACTGGTCGTGGTAATATCATCGTCATCCTCTTCAGCATCCGCATGCTCAACAATAGCATCAGCTGTGGGCACGCCGCGACGCCAGAACAGATGCAACACACCATCCGCAGGGCTGTATTGAAACGTTTCCAAAGGCAAGTTGATGACATGGATACGACGTTCCAGGATCAAGCCCGGCACGATCACATCGAACGCTTGTTCTTGCACACCGACAACGATCGCTTCATGGGTTGTGGCAGTTTGGCGCGACATGGACAGGTAGCGCGACATGAACAAGTGTTGCGATTGTTCGCATGCGTACTCACCCGCTTGGCCCTTGACATTGCAGTGACGAGCAATCTTCTGGATCACCTCACATTCCAAGTAGAATCGTTTTTCTATTTGTTTGTTTATCAAGTTAGTAGACTGTCTTTTTTTATAGTATTGAACAGACACCCAACTTACCTCCTGCAAGTGCAGCGTCGAGTTGACGATGGACAATCAAGTCGGCATAGCGGCGCGACGGCGATGTGAATTGGGTGTACAAGGGCGTGTTCAAGGCATAGTGATGGTACCGATTGATATCGAATTTGCCGGTACAGAAGAACTTGGATGAATGCATGGTCTTGAGCGCCAGTGTCGTGATGACGGTCTTGGCCGCTTCGTTTTCAATGGCATCCACTGTCTGCTGCAAGGAGCTGGCCGTAGATGGATCGATCGAATAGCCTAGACCGCGCAGATAGCCAGCCAGTTCACGCAGCTTGCGGTCATTGGGCATCGACTGACACTGCAGCAGAGCGTGGTCGGGAAAGTGGCTCGATATCTTTTGTGCGACGCTGGTGTTGACGAGGATCTTGAGCTCATCCATAATGTCATCCGCTGGCAGGCGCTGCTTGAGTGAGATTCCCGTAGGATTGCCTTGCCCGTCAATGCTGACATCGAGTGCAGACTCGCTCAAGAACAATGCGCCGCTGCGACGGCGGGCCTGCTTCATGTTTTGTGCCAGCGAGTAGAGGTTGTTGACGTCGTCTTCCCATTCGGGCTTTTCATGGTCCTCGATTGTGATATGTTCAGGAACGCCGACACCGTCCAGAATATCTTGCAGCTGATTGACTGTCAAGGTGCCGTGAGATCTAAAGATCGTCAAGAGAGTAAGCATCAACACATCGTTGGGATAGAAAGGGATTGCTCAGAGTTGAGTGGGCGCTTACCTGATGATAGTCCTGCCATACCAAATGTCGTGAACTTTGCCAGTCTGATCTACCTTGCCCACGACCGAGAAAGCCAAACGGTCTTGGCCGGGCACCAAGTTGGTGCACTCTTGCAACAGTTGCTCAGGCCATAGTGGAGCCGACTCGTACAAATAGACGCTTGTGGCACGCGCTTTGGCCTCCTTGTCCAACGGCGAATGTGGCTTGACAAAGGCTGACACGTCAGCAACATGAAACCCAACCTCAAACACGCCGTCGGATTTGCGCTGGATCGAGAGCGCACTGTCTAGAACGCCATCGCCCGATGTGTCGATGGTAAAGCTTCGGATGGTGCTCCAGTCCAAGCGCGAGCTGCGTGCTTCTTCAGGAACCATCCATGGGATAGGTGGCAAGGTGCGCATGATAGTGTCGGAGAACGGATCAATGGCAAAATTGTTGTCGGCCAAGATGGCACGGAACTGGATGGACAAATCATCCACATGGCCGAGCTCATTTTCCAAGACACCGAATGGATGCAGCGACGTGATGGGCCAGCGTTTGATTGATCCCTGTTGTAGGCATGCCGTTGTATTCTTAAGTTAGCTTTGTTGTTGTTGTTTATAAGAGTTTTCAGGGGCTCATCAACAAGCCCAGTAGAGTGAGCCAAAAGGAGTAACGGGAAGGAGAAGAAGGAGAAAGAAAAACCCAAACTTTACCAAAAATAGCCTATTTTCAAACTGCTGACTGGACTCAATGAAGCCTGGAGGCGCTTGCTCCACAGGGATTGCAATCAACGGAACGCGTTTGTCGGTCGGCTTGAACCACACGATTCTGGGCGTACCGGAACAAGTGCTGACCGTGGCCGTCGAAGTAGGAACATCGTCGTCGTCATCATGCTGGGACATGGGCGTGCCGTCCTTTCTCATTGTGATGATTGTGCTTGCACGACGATTGCTTGGACGGGTCAAGCCCAGCGTACCAGAAAACGCTTGGTTCTGTGCACGCTCCAGGATGGCCACCACGACGCCACAATACTTTGGCTTGACCTTGTCAACATCCTCTTCGCCACCAAACATGATCTCCTTTTCGTCTTCCTCGTCCGGCTTGCGAACGATGGGTTGGCCGTTGTTGCGGATGACCTTGGCTTGCTCTTTCTCCTGCTTCTCGCGGATGACCTTGTCCACATCCACGAGCTTCACCGCCACGACGTCGCCCTCCAGGGCCCTGTTGCGGTCTCGGGAGCCGCAAATGTAAATGTCGGCGTTGAACTCTTCGCAGAACACATAAGCGTCGGATCGGTTGCGTTTGTTGACACGCAGGATGCCGCTCACGAGTTGGTGTTCTTTCAGCAGTGGCACGAGTGCCGAAAAGGGTAAATGGGCGACAAACAGTGGGCGACGTTGTTGCTGGTTCTGCTGCTGCGCAGATGTGCTGGTGCTCACAGTGTCTTCGCGAGGAAAGCTAAAGCGGGTCGGTGTGAAGGGGACCCAGTTGTAGGATGAGCGGTTCGATGGTGCTGTGGGACTGCGAGCCGAGCTTGAGAGGAGCGACGAAGTGGCTTTTTACAGTGAGAGCAATGCAGGTTAGTGATGTGTTGTCCCCCCCCTCTTCAGAATGTATTCAACACAAATACAAACAAAAACAATCGACTCACATGCTCTCCAGTCGGCCCCATAGTTGCGCGAGGACCGTCTGTTGCTTCTTGATGTATCAAGTGTCAAGCCTGCAGGCTTATTACCACCACCACCACCACTGCCTGTAGCCGTGCCACTCTGTCTCCTATAGTCCACGTCATAGTTGGCACCGGAAGGGCCGCCGCCAGCAACATAAGCTGCAGCAGAGGTGGCATCATCATAACGTGGAGGTGGCCATTGCAGCGATGTGCGTTTGTTGTAATTGTTCAATGATCGCCGTTGCTGGAAATCGTATTGGTCAGGATCACGATAGTAGCCGCGTGCGTTGGGTTCTGACAGTCGGCGGTTATGCTTTTCCTGCTGCTGCTGCTGCTGCTGCTGCTGTTGCTGCTGCTGTTGCTGTTGTGGGTCAAACTTGTTGACAGGCGGCAAGTTTTTTTGCCGTTGCAAAAACTGATCTGGCTGCTGCTGACGCAAGCCATACAGCTCTTCACTACTGTAGCCTCCTGTGCGTGAAGATCTGCGATGGTCGGCATTATTACCGTAGCCATCGGATGCTGCTGCTCCCAACCCAAGGGGTTGTTGCGACGAATGGCGTCGGGATTGCTGAGAAAGTCGGTGGGGATGTGCCGTTACAGCATGATGATGATGTTGTTGTTGATGATGGTGATGATGTGCAGCAACAGAAGCATTATTGCCATAAGCACCTATTAATTTAGCTTCTGCTTCAGCCAAAGCATCCGCTCTTGACAATCCGTATCCACTTTCGTCATCGTCATCGTCGTCGTCTGCTAGCACTGACTGATGCCGTGACGAGGGCACATTGCCCATGGGAAAGTTGTTGAATATGGCAGATGAACGATGCTTACGCTGCAACGAGGAAGAGTCCGTCAGCCGCTGTTTGCTGTTATTGTTTGAGGAATACGACAAGGAATTGCTGTTGTGGTTGTTGCTGCCAACGTCAGATTCTTCATTGACCGTATGCAAAGCACTTCGATGCTGATGGAGCTTGCTGCTGGTGAAACTGGCGGATTTGCTTCGAGGATGGATAGCGTCTTCATCCGTCATGGAGCCATCGTTGGCGCCACCACCACCACAAAGTGCTGCAGATAGCTCGAGTGTCGAAGAGTGCCGTTTCTCGGCAGACCAGTTCTTTTAAAACAGCAAAAGGTTTTTTTTTGGCGCTTTAATCATAAAAGGAGTCATCGTTTGATAGAAAAAGAGGAGGACCCGCCGGGAGTGGGAGTGGGGGTGGGGGGCTGGAGGGATCACAGCACACCAAAAAAAAAGAAGGGGAGAGGAGAAGAGAGGAGGGCGCGCGTCTTCTGGACATTACTACTATTAATATTACCTTGGCTTCCGGAGGGTCAAAGAGGCCACGGGTGGATTCGGGCGCTGTTTGACCATCCAAGTCGAATATTTCCATCATCCAGAGGGATGTGTTGAGAAAAAAGAGAGTGTATGAGAGAGAGACAGAAAGTAAAGAAGGTAAGAGTGCTGAACCACGAACGAACGGAAAGGGAGGCAGTTATCGCAAAAGGAAAAACGTGGTAAACGCAAGAGGGGAGGGAAGAAAAGAAGAAAAGAGAGAAAGAGAAAGAGAAAGAGAGAAAGAGAGAGAGAGAGAGAGAGAGAGAAAGAGAGGGCGACGAAGCAAGCAAAAGTAGAGGCAAGGTGACTGGGTTGCGATACGTAGCGAACGACGGACGATGATGGGTGCTTTCAGGGGGTGATGATGCTGATGTATCAGTGGGTTGAGTGAAGTGGAGTAGTAAGTATTGAGCCCAGGACAAGCAGAGGGTCAACCCATGAGGGAGGACTCGACGCCTCCTTTCTCCTTTATTTCCTTCTGGTTGTTCCGTAATAAACCTGCCTTGAATGTTATTTTCAATGCCTGCTCAGTGTGTGTGTGTCTCTCTCTCGCTTGTTCCTTTGCTGCCGTTCGAACATGCCACTCGAACATGCAACAGTTTTTTTTTTTTTTTAGGCGCGCAACAAATTATTGCGTCGGTTTTTATTTCAAGTCACGTGCATATTAAATATGAGAGGTGAGGAGAAGAAGCTAAGGAGCGTTTGACTAGTTGGCGATAGAAGGAAGATTTTCTTGAGTGCGGGTTAACAAAAGGGAATGGATTTGCGTTATAATGTTATCGGGAACGAAGGGAGAGTTGTTTAAAACAAAGCGCCAGTGGGCGTTCCAAAGACATTCTAATATACAGCTGATAATTATATCTGAAGGGAGACGGGGAGCATTTTGGGGAAAATACAGGTGAAAGATGGCATTGTGTACAGCAGATTCTGTAACAGATTGTAATAGTAGGTCGGGCCATACGGAGCACCAGATCGACCATTTGCGAGGGCATTGGTACAGGAAATGAGACAAATCATCTTCATCTTGGTTACAAATTGGGCATACAGCGGATGTGAATTCGGAGGGCATAATTGAATGTAGAGTTTTACGGCATGAAATCTTATTGTGAAGCGCTCGGTACCAAACATTTCTTGCCGTTGGCGATATCTTCAATCGCCAGAAGGTATCCCATTGGCTAGGTGTTAAGATCGTGTTTTCCCGGGCTTCGACGTGTATAGACTTGTCGATGATTGCTTGTCTGAGTTCTTTTGCTGTGATCGTGGTCAATTGTTTATCTTGGACCTTGCACCATGCTCCCAGATCGACCGCCTTATGTTCACGGATAGCGGGATCAATAGAGTTGTGAAGAAGATGCCTCGGGATCAAAGTCTGAAACACCGCTGGATGGAATCCCAACTCACCCAAGTCCAAGAAGCGAACCAGTAGACCCAAAAGGCGCGGGTAAATCAAGAATTCCGTGGCGAGCCGTCTCCGTAAACAGCCCTTCGCTAAATCAAAGATGAACAAATCATCCATTAGGAGCCTGTGTTTGGCTATGCGTCGTAAGCATACGTCTAAGGTTTTGGTGAGCGGGCGCTGTGTCGGCGTCATGGCATCTAGGACGTGCAGTTGTAGAACTGTAGCGGTCGGTATGAGTTGGGATTGATAGTCAACCGTAAAATTGTCTAAGGCCTTGCATAGCTGATTTGAGAAGCTGACGGGTTTACTCATTGAAGCGGTCCGAAGTCGGGGAAATAGGAGACACATATGTGGGTCCTGGTTTGGAGTCCATGTTGCCTGAGTATTAATTATCCACGAATGTATGAACGATCGCTGCTTGGTGTCATTACTAAACATAGGTTGGATCCATCTGAGCTGGAGTGCTGATTGTTGTGCTTCCGGGACTAATATTGCAAGGCCCCCTTGTTTGCGAGGTGGTGCCAGTCGGTGAAATGCAATCTTGGGAAACATCTTTTTAGTCAAGAAGTCATGGCAAATGCTGCGAACTTTCTTCTGGAACGCTTGAGGGACCGCGCAAACTCGTAAGACGTGCCAAAGTGATGATAAAATCAGCACATTCAGAATTGTCGCTCGACCGCGAATCGAGAGTGACCGATGCGCATGGATGTTGCAGGCTGATTTGATCTTGCCTAGAAGTTTGTCCAGGAAGCCATCCCGTTGCTGCGGCGATTGATACAAAGGATATCCGAGATATACCAAGGCTTGATGGGCTCGTCGATCGAACCATGATCTAATGCCCATTCCCTCCAAACACGAGCGCAAAGTGGATGACGACTTGCCAGATAGCGATATGGCGTGCGTTTTGTCCATATTGACCTTGGCGTTTGATGCTCTGGAGTAGGTGTCTAAGTGGTGGCGGACTTGTTGCAAATCTGATTCATTATGAATGAAAACAAAGCAGTCATCGGCGTAGGCTAGAACCTTTAGTTTAGTTGGAGACGGTGTGACTGGGGTAAGAGCTTTACTTGCTGCCATCGATATATCATATCCGTGTAATTGTTCATCGTTGAGGATGCGGACCAAGAAAGGCTCTAAGGCCAGATTGAACAAAATAGGCGAGAGAGGGTCTCCTTGTCGAACGCCACGTTGTTGTTTAAATGCTGGAGACAAGGACCCGTTAATGTTGATTCGTAGATTGCTGCCGAAGAAAAGAGTCTTGATAGAAGAGATGATCTTTGCTGGGAATCCCCATTTGCTAAGACAACATTCGAGATATTCTGGATGAACGCGGTCGTACGCTTTTTCCATATCCAAAGATAAACCGACGTCATCGGCATTTACGCTGGCGGCATGGTCCATAGCAAGTCGTACAGCAAGCCCATTGTCTGCGATGTAGCGTCCGTGCACGAAACCCGTCTGATACTTGTTAATTAATGCATTACTAACACGGACTATTCGTGAGTTCATGATACGGGTAAATATTTTAGAGTCCGTGTTGATCAATGCAATTGGACGCCAGTTTCGTAGTTGGGAGAGCTCCCCGTTCTTCGGAATGAGACAAATACATGTGTCTGACCATGATGCTGGAAATAGTGCCTGATGTAAAGCTGAATTGTAAATATCAACAGCCATTCTGCCATATAACGGGTGTTTGAAAATGGTAGACAACATGTTATAGGGCAGGCCGTCTAGTCCCGGACTGCTTCCTTTCGGTGCACGTTTGGTTGCGTCAAGTAACTCGTCGAGAGTCATGTCTTCTGTTAAGATGTCGCAAGAGTCTTGTGAGAGCACGCATGATGGCGGTAAATGGTCCAACAGGTCTGATATTGCTGCTGCATCAGTCGGTTCCGGTGAGTATAATTGTGAATAAAATGAACAGACTGCTTGATGCATATGATCAATCGAAGAGTCTACGATGCCTGTTACTGGATGTTCTAGCTGGAGGATGTTCCTTTGTGCCATTCGTTGTTGTGCTGTGCGTTTTAGATAGCCGGCCGATATTTCGCTACGCTCTCTCCAGCGGACATTAGCTTTGATAGCTAAAATTCTAGCGTGATCTTCTTGAATCTTGTTGAGCTCGGCGGTAATATCAACAAGGCGCTGAGGTCGACTTCCTGTTGTCTTGAAATGGCGCATCATCTTATTACGTTGACGAAGTAGGTGTTTTTCGCGATGGTCTTTTTTCTTGGCTAGATAACGTCCATATTGACGGCATTCCTCTTTCGCAATCTTTTTGACTTCATCCCAGGCCTCTTGTGGCGAGGCTATGTTGGCAATTCTTATATGTGCCGATGAGAGTGCTGAATTCAGTTTTTCTTTAAACTGTACCGAGTTGACAATAAGTGGGTTGGCTCTCCATATGTCTTGGCCCTGCCGGATATTACTGGCCCGCATGCTGGTCACTATCAATGCATGGTCCGTCCAGTTGCTATTCACATGGCGGACATCGGGTGCCGAACACAGCAGGGAGAGTGATGATGACGCAAATATATAATCAATTGACGATGTGCCTCGTCCGTTGTAGAATGTCGTCGTGAGGTTATTGGATCCGTCCGACGGCAGCATCAGGTTGACAAAGTTTTCATTCAAGTGTGCGCACCACTCTTTTGGTGCTGCTTTCATGAATGATGAGTCGCGCTGCGCATATGAATAGTTGAAATCTCCAAGGATAAACAACCTATCACCATGCGGAATCATATTTTGCTGTTGCAGGATTGGAAGGAGTTCGAGACTATAAAAGTCTTTCCGATCCCTGTAGGCGGCAGGCGCGTAAAAATTGATAATGTTGAACGGTGGAAATTCATTATTGATGTGTGTAACCGTCACCAACAATATCCGGCCGCTTTGCGACGCAAAGACATGTTGGATGTTGACAAGGGGAGAAAAGTTGATAATGGCACAGTGTTTACTCCATGAACTGTCGCGAGCACAGAACCGTTGTTGTAAAGTTTTGTTGTGTTCATCGTTATGAGTGCCCGTATCTTGAAGTGCCAGCAGGTGCAGGGCTTGGCGGCGTAGATGACGGATGAAGTGTTTTGTTTTGTTGGGGTTGTGTGGGTCATGTTTGACAAGATGTCGAACGTTTAACGAACCAATAGTGAGTGTCATTTTTTTGTTTTTGTTTTTTTTTTTTTTGGTTTGTTTTTGTGTTTTCTCTGTTTCTGAACTTCTTTGCTTTCCTTTTTTTTTTTTTTTTTAAAAATAAAAGGGAGGGGTTGATCTAATCAGAGGCCATAGTCTCCGCGGACGAGTGACCGGTGATCAAGTCGTTGGCGTGCTGTGGACCGCTGTCGGGGGACGTTGACTCAGTGGCGTCGAATTTGTTGTCGTCGCTTGAGTCTTCACTTTGCTGCTGCTGGGGATTGTGCTTCGAGGCCGAGGCACCCGATGGTGTGCTGATAGGCGGCGTGTTCCGGTGCTCTTCAAGTGTGAAGGCGGAATCCGAATCTCCTGCTGCCGACGGAAGCGGTTGGGTAGCATCCTGGGTCAATGCATCCACTTCGTCCGAGCAGAGTATCATGTCTTCTGTTTCATCCTTATCAGTTTCATCGGAGGATGATTGAGATGATGATTCATCGTCTGTTGGGGGTGTGAATTCTTCGTCTGAGGTATCCGTGTTGTCGCTGAGCGGTTCTTCGGTGACCATGGGTACATGTTTAGGCTGGGAACTTCGACGTTTTGAGTTCCCTTTGGGTTGTTGCTTTGGTGTGGCCTCGTTGACCTTCGAGTGTAGCTGAGCCTGGTTTTCACGCTCTTGTTCACAATTCGGGTTTGGAATGGTAATCGTCGTTTTGTCCAAAGCTGACTTCGAGTGAACATTATGAGAGCGATGATCAGATTGTGTATCACTTAAATGTTGAGCTGGTGGATGCGATTGTTGGGTTTTGGTCTTCTTTGGACCTTTGCTGGTTGTCGTCGACTTTATTGGCGATGCTGAACCAGTCGTCGTCTTTGGTTGTTTGCGCGGGAGTGCGTTGTGGGGATGATCGCATTCTCTCGCATAGTGACCGATCATTCCACAGTTGAAGCATTCTGGTTGAACGCGGCTTGGACATTGTTTCAGAGTGTGGTCTTGGGAGTGACAGTATCGGCAGTAATCACCCATGGATTGCCAAGTAGCGTAAAAAGACCGTTCTCGGCCTTGCACGAGACCGAATTCGACCTTGTGGGTGAGGGGCTTGTACGACTCTGGGGTGGTGTTCTTAGATTTCATGAGCACTGCGTATCCTTTACCCTGGAACCAACCACCCTCTACAGAGCGGTATAATCCAAGTTGCAACACGTGTCCGAATTGGGTAAGTGTTTGTCGCAACAAGACCTCCAGCTCATACATTTTGACGCCTGTAGGCAGTTTTTCGAGTTGTACTTTGGTGAGATCGTGTTCCGGAGGGAGCGATCTTACAGCCGGGAAGTGAACATCACCGACGGTAACGCCCTTTTCCAGTGCCAGGTTGCAGATGTCTTCGTCTGCAAAAGTCATCTCATACAGGACTTGTTTCTTTTCGCGATGGTGGATGAGACCTATGGCCTCATCCCAGTTTTCAAACGTTTCTCGAGCTGCTCGGAAAAACGCGTCCTCTTTGACTGAGCGTGTCGACATATCAAAGAAAACACTGTATTCTTCCGTTCCTCGACGAAGTAAATGGGATGCGATTGGTTGACCGTCGGCTGCCATGCTGCCAAGTGTCATTTTTACATCTTCAGGGACGTATTCGTTAAGCTGGGTTATCAGACGACCTCGACTGATTTCCGGACGTTTTTGGGTAACTGCTTGAGCATACGTTCGTTTTGGATGTGTTGGTGGATTTTCCTTGGGTTGGTTGGAGTCACCATCAGGAGTGACCCCAGGCACTTTTTGAAGGGAATCGGGAAGAGCCATGAACATGCAACAGTCGCGAAAGGTGTTTCATGTCAGATTTCCCGTGTAACCATGGAGATGGACTGACATCAACACACGCACACACTCTCCTTTAAGCCCTTTTGATACCGTAAGTGATGATAGGTGTCCATTATCAGCTACTAGCTAAGCAGTACGTGTTAATCCATATACGAATCTGTCAATGATGCCACTTACTTTGTTCTTTAATATACACGGCCCACGAGAATAGGGCGTATCACTCCTTCTTTTAAGTGCGCTTTTTATTATAAATGCAACAATCATCTACATCCATCGTTATCAGCAGTGGCAGTGAACGCTTCAAATTCCTTTGGAGTTTGCACCCATTGCGAGAAACATTGATCCAGCAAACACGTTTTGGCTGCTTGATAGTCGACTGCACGCTGCTTCCATGCATTGTATGTCGTTGTTTCATCTAGTTCCTCTTTATCGGCATCCGTGCTAAGTCTATTACCAGCCCGCACCCCACTGACATGAGTGAATAAGCGTGAATCAAGAGTATGTAGCATCTAGCAGAGTAGCGCACCTTGGTCTTAGTGTGTCCTTGCATTCCAGAAACTTTTGAAACAAAACCAATTTGCAGATAGACGATCTATATGTATTTATGGAGTATCGTTGTTTAGAGACTGATCATTGGGGCGGCGTGTTTCTCTTTGTCGCTCGCAAGCGATAGATCAAGCCGAATCTGGTGTTACCTGGTTTTTGCAGTGGTAGGTTTCCCTTTCGGTGCGCCTTGTTTCCTGCCATACACAAGGACCTCTGACTTGGAAAATCCGGCTATCCACAAGATGGCTACACGATAACAACATTTGCAAGCTTAATGGGGGAGCCATGGATCGGGATTGTGGCGTGGAAGCAAGTAATCATAACGAAGAGTGTATGGGGAGTCAAAGAAGGTCATGTTGTTATTTGGGGGGGTGGGAGGAAGGCAGGCTGAAACAACAACAACAACAACAACAAAAGTTTACCTGTCCCAGTAGGTATGACTGTCGCATTTTTCGATTCCACCACGGGTTTGGAAAACTCAAATGGCTCGGATGTGTGAACGATTTTAGGGCGATGAAGACCGTACGGAGCAGGCAGTGTGGCTGTTTTTTCTGGAAAAGGAGACGAGACGAATAAGACCAACGGTTAATAATAAACTTCTTTGTTGCTAATATAAAATACGCTATTATTATCCCTTTAAACAAGAAACACACACACAGAAAGACACATATAGCGCCATTTCTATCCCTTGCTCCATGTAACAATTACCTATTTCTTCTAGTCTTCCGTACAATGCACGTTCTAACGAAACTTGGTCAAACAGATCGCCAATCACCACGGATTCGAGGTAGACCGGCTTTTCGAGGATTTGAGATAAGATAGCAGATTGTATACCGAGGACATTCCATCGAGCCAACTTGTCACTGTTTTCGTCGTTTTACAATGCATTGATCATTTATCAGATATCCTTTCTTTCATTTTGCTGCTGCTTTGTTGTTGTTGTTGTTGTTGTTGTTGTTGCTGTTGTTGGTTTCCTCTCTCTCTCTCTCTGTCTTTTACCTGCATGACATGCATAATGTTGGTTCAGAATCTAAACGTCCTATATACAAAAATAAGGGGGTGTGGCAAGCAATGAGACAGATTGATCAGTAGCCGTGAATGCTCTTTTACGTACAATCATCTAATCTGTCCATAGAGCGAGTAGCAGCTATCGTATGGAGACAAGTAAAAGGGGAAAGGAGGTTTGATAAAAGGAGCTCGGAGGAAAAAGGCACGATCCAATGTATATAGTCAGCCCATACCTGGTTTTGTCCGCAAGATACCCAGGTCATCAAACCCGTAACGACCCCTTTGAAATGCTTCTTCTTCTTCTTCTTCTTCTTCTTCTGCTTGTTGTTCCCGTGGCCACTGATTGGTTTTCCGCTTTTTGTTTGCATAAATGTTGTTCGTCAGAGCTGGTATATCAAATGCACCTTTCCGTTTAGTGCCAGCTTGGAATGCCGCCAAAGACTCTGCTGTTTGAGATTCAGCAATGCCTGTCATGGACGCATCGCCACCTATTATTATTATCAATACATCAAGTAATAGATGTTTCCATCGAGTTGCACACCCCCCCCCCCCACCCAAAAATGACCGAGTCCAAAGCAAGAGTATCAACATGAGTTACATGTGTGTACGATATCAAGATGATGGAAATCTAGAAAGAACAAGGGAGGGAAAGCGACTTACATGGGGACTGGCTAATATACATATGGAAACTGTAACCTGACTTTAAGATGACACGCCCAGCATCCGTCACACAAAACGGCCCTTCCTCTTGCTGTTCCTGGCTGGTTCTTCCGACACGGATGATCTGGTCCAGCACGTATCTAAAATGCGCTGGTTGCTCAGTGTGCAGCAGCATATGCGTATCGTGTATTCTCGTGTGTCGCGTGTGTACACATCGTTTAGAACACGACCAACCTCCCAAGCGTAACAAAAACAACAACAACAAAACGGGAGTCGTATCTGATATTAACCTTTGAAACCCTCTCTTTGCAATCACCTCGGCGTGGCTGTCATGGACCATTTGACCTTGTTTACAAAGCTTGCTGTATGGCAAACACTTTAAGCCCGTCCTGTTGTCGTGTGTGTGTGTGTTTTTTTTGTTTTCGGTGGGGTTAGAGATATCACACATCCACATGAGTTTCATCTTTCTGCTTGCTTGCTTGCTTATCTTACATACCCCAAAGAAACCACCTGGATCGAATACTCCTCTGCGGATCCTAAGAGCCATCAAATGTGTTATTAGGCCTTCTTTGTTGGGGTGTGGGGGAGAAAGCGAAGAGGGGTGTTCATGTACGTGTGCCACTGTGGGGTTTTGTTACAAAAAAGAAATTAACACTTGCTGGCATAAACTTCAAGTATACACGCTAACACGGTCCATTCTGCCTTTTCATTCTCATGGCGCGTTGGTTTCCCCGATTTTGGCAATCTCTTGAAACACTCTATGCTCTTTCTGGCCAATTGATCGCTGAATTGTGGAATCTCCTCCCAGATCATTATGTAATGTCAAACTTTGCGCTTTGTTGAGGGAGAGAAAGACCAATTTTTGTTTTGGGGGGGGGGCGGGAGCACTAAGAGAGGCGGGGAGGGGAACTGAATTAAATGCGTTGAATGAGCAGCAGCAGCAGCAGCACCAAAAGGAAGGGTGGGGGGGGCTGCTGTTAAGATGATGATGAAGGAGCGAGAACTCCGCGTAATGTGCAGCATGATTGTTGTCTGCACAAGAAGAGAAATATAAAACTAAAAAGAAAAAAAAGAGCCGGTAGATTATCCATCCTTGTCCTTTCTTTCTTTCTACCCTCCCCTTTTCCGTTCCTTTCTTATTCCACACCTCTTGTAAAACCTCAATGGCCATGGCAGCAACAAGTGTAATTGCCAACAGCAGCAAAACAAGAAGCAGTGACGCCAGCACCGCCCTACGTGCTTCTTGCAACCCAACAACCCACCTTACGGATCTAGTGGCAACAGTTGTGCCCTCACTGTGGAACCGCAATCGTCAGAACGAAAGCCACATTGTGTTCATGCGATTCGTCAACCAAGTGCTCAAGGTCATGGAGGCCTCCACCAACTGTGTCTTGATTGCACTCTTGTATATATACCGACTGTACGTTCTGTACCCAGACATGGTCACACAGGCTGGATTTGAGGTACGCACGTTTACAACGGCATTAATGTTGGCAAACAAGTATCTTGAAGACTACACTTACAAGTCCAAGGTAATAATAAAGTCTCTGGTGTTGGTTGCTTTGGTCTGGTTTTTTGTTGTCTTGTTGGCGAATGAATCATTTCTACCAATTAAGAAATCGATCGATCAACGATGTCGTTGCATACTTAATAACGCCTAGTAGTAATAGTATTAGTGGTTACTAAAACAATTTTCTTTTTCTCTCAAGTCATGGGCAGATGTGACCGGTATCAACTTGAACGAATTGAATCTCATGGAAGGCGAGTTCATGAGCGCCATTCATTACCGCCTACATGTGACAAAGGAGCAACTCTCCGTATGGGTCAATTATTGCCAATCCCAAATCCACACCTGCTACTATTGCCACAATACCAACGCCAGCAGCGACCTTCTTCCCCTGCGTGCCAACATCACCACCTCCTTCATGCGAAACAAGCAACCTGTAATGGTCGCTCCCACCAATAACAACAACAACAACAAAGGCCGACCCTTCATTGATGAACTACCCGAAGAACGACGACGGAAATCCTTCGATTATCAACACTACCATCAAGCAAGTCAACCGCAACTAATGGTGTCCTCATCACTACTACCGTACAGTAGCACCGCAACACCAACAAACAATGCGATTGCCACGACAACCAAAAAGCGAAAGCGCGACGAACCGCCGCTACCAGTATTAACCCCGTTAAAGCGACGCAATTACAACGGCACTCACACTACTGCACGACACAGTAACCACCATCCACCTACTAGTACTACAGCACGATATGTACATCTAACATCGGCTGGCAGTATTCCTGAGCCGTATCATCATCAACAGAAGCAACAACAACAACATCGATTCGCCATACCTATATACCCATAAATAACAATAATTCCTTAACTTTTTTATACATCGTATATAAAACTGGGCAGGTTTCCCAGTGGTTTATACTGTTTTTTATCAATGTTTCGCTCTTTTTTACCTATTACTACTACTACTACTACTACTACTACTACTACTACAAATACTATTATCTACTTTAATACTGTTTATGAACGAGAAACGACCACACGTTTGCATTGGGTCCCCAATCTGCGTTAGTTTCAAGAATGTATATATATAGCAACCACAGACATACACGGCTTTACAATAAAGAACATTAACGAAGGTTCTACCTATTTAAAACTAGATCCTTGAAGTGTAAGCACATAATTTAGTGATAAGTATAGTATTAGATGGAAATTGTGTACTCGTATTCATAGAATTATTATTGTTTTACTGGAGAAAAATCAATGAAAGTCAATGATTTTATCTGTGTGGGCTTCGTTGATACTGTATATGTTCTGGATGATTGCCTGATCCCCATCACCACCTCCTCCTCACCCTCCCTTCGGTTAAAATCTGCTCCCCCTACAAAACGAAATCATAGAGGGGAAAAGGGGCGTATTTGGCTCTTTGTTGTAGAATGCATGAGTCATTGATAAATAAAGCGTTCTTAACAGCGAGACAACCAATAATCAAAGAAAAAACTGAGAACAAAGTTATCATCTAAAAGTATATTATAACAGAAGCAGTAGAGTGCTATATGTTGTTTTGCTAAAATACAGCAAATTACCACTAGATACATGCCTTGCTTCTTTGTTTGGATCTGTGCAAATGCAGATACTGATACGTCAATAACGATCATCTGTCTACAGAATGATCAGCATACAACATTGTTGGCTGAAATTAGATTTCTTTCAATGGCGATCATGCAGCTATGTTTTTTTAAAAAACAAACAAACAAAAAAACTCCCCGCCGAGATATATTTTGCAGTATTATGTTCGAGAATTGAACGATGCCAAAAAGCGAGTGTTACATTATACTGTAAGAGACGAAACATTGTTCAAGTAATCTAGTAGTACATCGTGTCAGCTTGTGTCGTTCTGTAAAATATACACATCAGCAGAATTTCCATTCTTTTCCCTTGATATTGTGACGCCAAATGGGACATTACAAAACTCCTTTGATAATTCAGAGTATGAGATCTGTTATCGTATACCAGCCAAAAAAGTATCTATATAAACCACCTCTTCATGCAAACGAGGAAAACACCAATACCTTCATGTCAAACCCATATAAAAACTTAGTGTTCTCGCTCAGGAATGCGAACAAGAACGATCTTTTCTATAATTCCAAAAAAGAAAAATTGAGATATAATATCGTGCATTGGCGTATAAAGCTCTGTTGCCCCCCCCCCGTGCTGGCACGTAATTGGATCAACGTATTCAAATCTCAGATTTTTCTTTCTAGCAATCAGCTTTATTAAACGCTCCAGCACTTCATCATAGTTAGAAACGAGCAGGACAATTATAACGGTTTGCAAAAATTATTAAAGACCCACAACATCAAGCGTGTCAATTAGTAGCTTAAGAACCCTTCCTCCAACAAAAGAGCGATACCACGACGCCAACGAATGATAACAACACGAGTATACTAACCTTTTCCAGTGTTGCCACTACCCCTGCACACAGCAGCAGAAGTTTGCATTCGATTAATGGGAGGTTATTTTATCCAAGTTTTGCACATTGCGACTTTTTGGTGTCTCTACAATTTTGTCATCAGCCTCTCCAATTGTAAAGATACTTGCACCACAGTAAAATACAGCTCAGCGAGAATAGGAGATGAACAGCACTCATTATGGATAGGCCGTATATATCATCAAGTTCAAGCATTTGTGTAAGTTGCTTGAAAGCTTATAGCTTGACCTCAATTATTGCCTGCAAAATTGACGGCAATTCTTCCACCTGTTACTTACTATGTAGTCCGTTTGGATAAAAGTATGCACAACATTCTTCTTCAATGTTGTTGGTTGACATTACCAAATGAACTGTATGTACAGTCATAATACATTAACAAAAGCAGAGTAATTAAGCAGGGACACTACAGAGAGATGGCTCCGAGTGGGTGCTATGCGAAGCTACATATTGTATTTATTTTTTATTTCATTCCCTGTTGTTGTTAAATACTGTATTAGGAGCATCATACATTTATAAAAAGAACCGGGTATATCAAACAAAAAGTGCCGTTGTAATAAGAAGGGAGAAATGATGATTGGAATTACTTAATACACAAAAAAAGGATGTTGGGATGACGGACTAATAGATTAAGGTTATCTTTTCTAGAAAGAAAAGGTGGGGGGGAGGTGAGATTGATCAATTGGGCTGTAATACGGCCTTGTTTTTTTTCTAAGCCAAAAAGTACGAAACAGCTCCGGCAAGAGCAGCAGCACCGATGACTGTACGGGCAACAACCACTTGGGAAGCAGCACCTTCTTGGGTTGAGTCTTCGGCAGCTGAAGAGCCATCGGGCGCGACGCCTGAAGACGAAGCGGATGATGACGGGGTGGCCGAGGTGGTGGCGTTATTGGGAGCTGCGCCTTCCTTATATGCTTGCTGACCTGTACAGGCGCCGACGGTTGTTACTTTGTAAGATTTCTAAAAATCAAAAGGTCATTGAGCTAGTGAGCTTCTTTTACTCCTGTATTGAAAGTGTAGAACTGAATCAGCTGTAATCTGGACAGTACCTGAAGAACGGGCAAAACGCGAATAGCAGCGTCGACAGTTTTTTGGTAAAGATCATGTTCAAGGGAAATACCACCCTCAGTGGCGGTGGCATTGGCAGCGGCCCATTCAGTGACGTTACCATCGATCCATTGCTCGTTGAAGCCAGGCTGCTCACCGGCCATCCAGTCGTCCGTGTCATGATTCCAGATAACGGCTAGATTTGTTTGCAAAGATAGAATTGAGTGAGCAACAATAACATTGCTTTCAACCACGGTGGTTATGATGATCATGAATATATTTCTTTTTGAATATCTTACGTGTGAAGCCCAAAGCGGCGGCAATGCCACGAACACGATCGTCAATGTCACCATAAGGCTATATACGATTGGAGTAGTTATAAAGTGTGAGTTGTAAGTTCAATTCGTAAAATAGATCACTGGTGGTATTAGATATACATTCACCCCTTCACCGCTCGTCATAATCACATCAGCAAAATAAAACACTTTGTACTCTCCACACACCAACCCCAAACACAAACATCAAGTTCCGACACGCATCACCACCACCCCCTTTCTTTTTCTCGATGCTGATGATGATCAACGATGGTGGGGCTTCAATGTTAAAATACGTACAGGTCGGAAGAAGCGAGGCGAGAAGCCAGTGACTTCTTTGATGGCAGTCTCTGTCCATTTTAATTCGGCAACAACTTGTTCAGTTGTAAGAGTGGTCAAGTAAGAGTGAGACCTAAAATGAAATAAAGGAAATGACGGTTAGTGAATCATCGCGCGCGTGTCTGGAATGGTGGCAGTGATGCAGGGAGAAAAAGAGCCTCTAGATAGAGTGATAGCTGGATAAAGAAAGAAGCAGGAGTGATTGAATTCCGCTTAACTGATGATAGAAAGATGTTGTAAAGTGTGGTAACTAGCATACAGGCGAAGAGAGGACGCGAAGTGAAGAGGAGTATGGATAGGATACACAAAAACGGGATAGAAAACGAGCAATGAAAGTAGGACTTGAGGAGGCGTAAGAAGGGGGTAGATGTATGTGGTAACGATTTGGAAAGGGGAGTGCCCGGGGGAGGTGGGGGGCAATGCTATTCCTGCCTGTTACTGCGTCTTTCCAAATGGCGTAGATGGCGCCGGAAATCAAGACGATAAAAAACAGGCGATACTTACCAAGTATGGATGGCCAATTCGTGGCCTGCTTTAAAGGCTCGCTCCGTTAGGTCAGCGTACTTGATAACCTGGCCGCCGATCAAGAAAAGCGTAGCTTTCTGTTGGGTTTGGTCGAGGAAGTCGTATAGCTTTGGACTGAATTGAGTAGGACCGTCATCGTAGGTGATGCCCCATTGACCTTTAGGGCAGGCGACGATATCGGTTTCGCGAGTGCAGCCAGTGAAGGTCCAGTCGCAGTAAGGATCTGCCGTACCGGATTGCTGAGGACCTATTGGGATAGCAGCAATAATTGTTGTCACGGAAATGATTGTCATGGAGATAATTGTTGTAACGGTGGTAGTTGTTATAGCATCAAAATGCCAGATGATGTAGCATAAAATATGTAGGTACGTAAAATTGATTTTTTTCGGCATGAGTATTTTCTCTTTGCTCAAGTGTCACGCCTTTGCTTTTTTTCTCGGCGCCACTCTTTTCAATTTTTTTTTAGAATGAATGCTTACCGGCATTGCCATTAGCCTTTACAACAGGCGCATCAGTAATGTTGGCGTTTTGGAGCAAGGCCATCCATTCTTGCTTGGGGACAGGGACACTACCATCGGTAGGGTACGATTCTTTGAATTGGAATCCGCTAGCACCACCGCTAGGAGTAGGAGCAGCAGCAGCAGCAGAGACTGAAGACGATGCGGCGGGTTCAGAGGGAGCGGCAGACGTAGCCTCTTGAGCATTAGCGGCGGACAAGGCCAAGGTGCCAATCAAAAACAGCTTTTTTAATACAGACATGCTTGTAATGGTACTTTTCGGGATTTCTTTTTTACAGATAGAAGGGAAATGAGAGTATGTGTGCGTGTGCGTGTGTGATAATTAGAAGAACAAGAAGATTAGAAAAACCGAGGTGTCGTCGCTGATTCTGAAGAAGAGAAGGATATGAGGAGTGTAGTCGCAAGAAGAGGGGGCCGAGAGAGAGAGAGAGAGAGAGAGAGAGAAAGAGAAAGAGAAGGGAAACTATGGCTTAAATATATTTGTATAATAGATTACATTTATAGTTTACATTCCAGGGACTTTATAGATTCAGCCTTCGTTTTCTTTTCCCGTCTTCCAAACTGTTGCTTATGCCTTATGCCTCTTGTGGATGGGCCCATGCAACACCGCCTCTTTTCGTGTGTAACACAAGGTAAATTCCAGCAATAATTCGGACCGATTGGTCTTATTTTGCCCACTTTGGTATAGTCTTACCCGCTCTTTTTATTTCAGTATGCACCGCGACAAAAGTTATCTGGGGCGTGGCGAAACTCTCTTTTTCCAGCTAAAAATACCAAAGACGTTCACTAATACTGTGTGCTTTTTACCAGGCGCAGTGTCCCTTGGGCTTTGTCTCACCATAACACACACTTTTAAAATAGCCTCATTCGCCTATTATTTTCTAAATAGAGGAAAAGCGATTCCGTGTTTATTCAAATATGCACCGCACTACTAAACTTGTCGGTGGTTGCGTCATTTATTTCGCCACCGAATTTGATGTGTCCTTGTTTTTTTAACCAGATTTAGAGTCAATTGGAAAGTATATGGCAACCTGTTTTCAAGCATCATCGCCAAATCCTCGTGATTGATTTGTTCATATCCCACTTGAGAACAACCCCCTCGCAACAACAACAGATCGTCATCTTCGGCACCATCAACAGCAACAGTAGAGAAGATATGATATTAAGGAGTAATACGAACGGGTATCGGATCATTTTATCCGAAACTCTCTTTTTCGTGCGCTGCACCGGGTGTATACACACGACAGCCTTATATGAAATACTTAGGACTCGGCAAAGCCTTTACGCCGGCTATTATTATTATTTTACGCAAGCCTGTCTACCAATCCGGATAGACAAAGCGAGTGAGTTCCACCATCGAGTAATACATGTAATTGTATCCGGAAACCATGGCGTTACTGTTGTTGTATGTTTATGTCGTTTAAACGGCGACTAACTGATCGACTGAATGCAGAAAAAAACTTTTTTATTGGCATAAGCAGGAGCACGGTAATATGATCGTATGTGTAGCATATCGAAAAAACTGCATCACTGCAAGCAAGGTATTATAGAGATCTCACTGTTTGTATACTCGTAACAGCATTGCTATACATAATGTACGATTTATGGTTGCCGCTTTATTTGTCATGGAAGGAGGGCGTAGCGCAACAAACAAGCACCAGCAACAGCATGTATTTGTGTGATCATCGTCTCGCTTTCTCAAAACAGGCGAGACATGAGGCTTTTCAGTACTCTTAAAATATCGATGAAGTTAAAACACGCGGATTAAGAAACAGCAGGGTGGAACGCGACGGAAACGATTTAGACTGCTGCTACTAACTTGATTTTGGCTTATCAGAATAGCCCAAAACTTGCATACTACTGCAGCTTCTCTCTTTTGTATTCCGTATAGTCAGCAGGGGATCGAGGAGGTGCTGTTGGAGCGAGTAGCTTCCAATAGATAGTAACAGCCAGACGATTTGCAGAATGATTATCGCGGTATATTCGGGCTTGTTTCTGTCTCTGAATTGTCCGCACTGTCATGATGGTTCATGGTAACAATAGCGCTATCGATTCTGGGTAATGTGAGCCTCGATGTTAGCAAGCTACAAATTAAGATGCTTTTTTTGGTAATTCTGCCAGTTAAGGCAATAATGTTCGATACGATCATGTCCCCTACCAGAAAGATTGCGCACAGGGAGAAAAAATTGACCCATTCATTAGGCAGACACACACGCTTTCCCAAACTTCGCACACACAAACAGAAGTATCTGTTTTATCCCTCCATCTATTGGTGCTGGTTGACAATAGTAGATAAGGATATAAAAACACGCGCATCCATTCTCGAAAAAGAAGAGCAATGCCATCTTTAGCAAACATAGGAATAATGATGCAACATTCAAGACGACGATAGCAACGGCGATACATATACATGCTTCAACCCCTTGGCTCCCTTACAGTATGGATGTTTTATCTTGCATTTCGCATTTTGAAAATATTTAAAGATGTCGATTGAATTATAATATCGTGATATACGAGTAGAGGCTCCCATAGGTACAAGTAGGAAGAAGAGAAACGAAGAAAAGAAAAGTGTAAGAAGTGTAGCATGCAGCATGCAAGAAGCCTGATTCTCCTTGTTACATTTGAAACTTCTCTTTCTTATCTCCAATAGGGCTATGAGTATGCGAGGAGTTATTATGTAACATCCCCATCTTTTAAGCGTCTCAGGATCCTCGACAAAAATCCTGATAGAAGCTGAAAACAGAGCAAAGCCGAATTCATATATCGTACACTACAGTATGCAGATTCCCAGATATAAACGACACGAAGCAAATGGTAATGTGCATTTGTCAGGTTAAGCAGCTCAAGTTACTTTGTTCTATCGATGTATCCACACTATACATCAGTTAGAGCGACGATGGCTAGGCTCTGTAATGACATAAGCAAAGCGGCCAGCTATACTACTATGCAAGCACTATAAAAAGATGGTGCATCTAATGGCGTAACGGCATTAAAGCCTACTCGAAAAGTTAGGAGAATTCCTGCATGAGCTTTTGCTTGCAGCATATGCGTATGTGAAACATTAGATGCTACTACTATTAACCCCGTCATTGGAGACATAGATAGTTCTTTTCTTACCTAAGCTCGTATGTACCGAGTTTTTTAATTGAACATAATTCTAACTGGCTTAAATTGTGCAGTTGGTGCTTACTATTTGCCTTACTTCCTATTTAAATGACCCGTGGATAAAGGGAAACCTTTCACTTAGATCAGGTTAAAATCGAAGCTTCTATTGATAATGGATTGTTGTGGTACACATGCTATTATTACAAAGGAAGAAAAACTGCACTTTGTACGCTACGTACATATGCTCCGATCTTGGTATCATGCAGGAGTCACAAGCTGGACAGGCAAGGGAAAGAAAGCGAGGGCGGATTTTGCATAAAGTTTGTCTCGTCGCCAAGCGGCTCACCCTCACCCTGTCTATTCACCATCGACGATATGCGCATCTAGTGAGGATGCTTGAGGCTCTCTCAGAGGTAGCGAATTTATGATGGAATTAACAAACTTTCTCCCACTCAATTGGAACGTGATTCTAAAAAGTAGCTGTGCCATATTTCTTTTGCGATTTCTATTCACGTTCGCGCTGACATAAGATATGAATTAGAAAGGGTTAAGAATGCATATTTAAATTTACGCTGACATTGTTGATGACAGTGTAGAACGTTTTACAACATTATCATCCTCTTCCTAGTACAGTACCTACAACCTGTCACATTATAAGAGCATTGCTGTTATACAGTAGCTGTTATATGCAACGGGTTGAATAAAGTATCCATGATGGTATTTTCAAGTAGGAATCTTTGGTGTATGTGCTATGACGTATCTTTTGATTTAATTGAACTCTGTGTCCACCAGTTGCCTCTAACACGTGGCAAAAGTACAAAATATGACATTTATTATATCCATTTATGTATAAAATATGGTAACTATTTCCCGTCGCAAAAATGTGAAAAGATCGAAACGCCTCAATGTGATGAAGCAAAATAGGTAATGAACCAGATTGACGGTCACCATTATCAATGATCGTTCTTTTTTGTGTTACGTACAACAATAAAATACCTTTACTTAAACTTTCTAAACAGAAAAGGGTCGTTTTTGTACACAGAATAAATTGAACTGGAGTGGTGTGGTGCGTGCCTAAAATATGTAGTGGAAATGTGTTATTGATCGTCTACAAGTCAGCACGCGAAGGCCGGTTGACAATAGATGCAATATCGACGCCAGCTCAAAATGCAGTCAATAATTGCTTAGAACGCTTAAAGTGCTGCCAGTGAGCACACCCATGGCATAGATAAAAACAATGGCTTAAAGGGTACATCTGTACATATGACATCACTTACTTGAATAATTCCATATTTCGTGATCACCTTGGTTTTTGGCAGAAAGCGATCGCTTTAACAAAATCTCGGTAGTCCGTTAGTAAGAACTTCCTAAAGACTACCAGAACCTTAAGAATATAAGGACAACTGGTATTGTAGCAACGTGACCGGCTTAACGAGCGGGTATATAGTGTAATTTATCAGGTGCTCTGCAAAAATGCATAAAATAGAGAATAAAAACCCTGTCCTGGTGAGGCTCGTTTGGAAGTGAGCGTTGTTACTTTCGCACATCCGGATGAATGGAAAAGGCTGTGCAGACTCTTTTGAGATAAAGGTGGATGTTTCCTGTCAAATGTTTACGAGTATCTTTAAAAGAATCAATTCATCACTATTAGCAAATTATTATTGTTCACGCAAAAGTTTGTAACATTTTGCTTATTTTAGGTCACAATGATTTACTGGATATACTTACTAGTTGTCGCTTAAACTGCGAATAATAGACAGCAAAGCGCGAGTTAAGCCAAGGACATTCGATAGAAAGGTGAATATGTAATCGCATATACGTCTTCAATAAACAATGCACAATATAATCGACAAATGTATCTTCATACTGTAATTGGGATTTGCAAAGGACGCTCCAGAGAAGTAAGAGAGAATAATAACGCAGCAAGATGATACACATATATTCTAATTATGCACTATTGTGTGAGTGTTCTTGAAAAATTTAAAGCTATACCATGCGGACGATATGGCATGAGTAATTCGGTGTAGCTCTGTAGCGATATATCGGAAATGATGGCCCCGAAGACGCATACGAATGAAAATACAGTAGTACTGCCGGCATAATCGGGGTGGCCGAGAGAGAAAAAAACATTCACCTTCGTAACAAGGCCGCAACAGCGAAGAGAGCCTGAGCACCTTTCGCTCTTGATGCAATGTGCTCGCAAATACGTAGTGCGAGCCAACCATATGCTATGTTGTCGCGTACAGAACGGGGTTTATAATGACGGTTGAGTTGGTTCTACTTGTTTTAATGCTTTGTTTGAAAGTATGACAGCATTCATGGCGAGCAGCTTTTCAATTTTAGTAAGGACGCTGATGATGTCGATGATGGTGCTGCTGTTGGTGCTGCTGCTGCTGCAGGAAAACGCTCGATCTTATACATTGACTCTATTCTACCAACAAGAGAAAAGCCGCCTCTCTTACAAAGGGCGGAACAAGGATAAAGGCAAAATTTGCTGAGTTAGTGACCAGTGTCTATGCAAGACAGCCTTTTTTAGGCACTTCAAGCGCACCTGGTTCTTTTCCGCAAAAAATGAAAACATGTTGACGCACCTTAAAAGACAAGTAACCTGCATATTGTTACCAGCAGCGTCAGCCGTTGAGGAAGATGCCACAACGAATGATCAAGACGATCTTATAAACTTTGACATGGTGAACGGTAAATGAATTGCAAATCGTATGTTGGACCCGCATCACTTTTTTTGGAGAGTATTGAATTTCCTTCTTTAATTAAACCAGATGACGCGACAAGGAGAGAAAGAGGTAATGAATACATTTTGCCAGAAGATAAATCGCGTAATTATGATTTGTTTTTCTTTGAGTAACACTGTCCCGTTTATATTATACGCGAAAAGTAGAGGTCAGACGCGCTTCGCAGTTTCCAAGCAACGCAGCATGTTCCACATGGTCTGAGAGCAATAGCCCCGAAGGTATAGTGGGGCGATTAATTAATAAGGTCCGGCTGTGCTCCGTTCCTGAGTGATACGCATTCTCAAAACAGCAATGCCACTTTTTGCAGTAGAACAAGAGGCAGTTACGAAACGACGAAAAAAGACCATTAGATTTGCCCCAGGTAAGTTAACATTGTTTACACTTTGCAATTGTGTGTGCACGCGTGTATGCGTGTGTGTTTGGGTCTTTTACTTTCCTACGCGTACTGACTACAGCAAAAAACAGAAACTGATGATCGATTTTACTGCCCTTACAAGCGATGCGAATTTTTGGGTGCTAACCAATTGGAATCTATGTATGAGCACATCCGCTTATATCACGACTATCGCTTTCCACAGTATGACCCCGAGTCAGCGTCTATACAATTCTGTACTCCAAGTAATGCCAAGGTGGACCTGACAGGTAAGATCATGTCATTGTATAAACTGCTCTTTCACATCCCTCAATTGTTTCATGCATTTAACTTGCAGTTAGTATATTATTGACATCGTCCGCTTTTTTTTAGTTCTATCAAACAAGCTGCTTGAACCCGGCCAGAGATTAAGAAGTGCGCTCTGCACGAGTAAGTAAAGAATCATTCGCTACCCAATTCCTTCTCAATTATTGTGGCCGTCGTTCAATCTCTCTAACTCCTGCCTCTGCCTTTCGCCTCTTTTCACGGATCCTACTATCTGTACTCATATCACAACACTGACTGATACTTTAATCCTTACACCCACAAGACACATCAACAAAAGTAGCAGGAAGAATTTTGTGCCCGTACATTAGCTGTATGTGGGATGCACAAACGCGAAACTGTATCATCCCTCATTTGCGCCAATCCCATCTTCTTCCTCTTCCAAAATTTCGCAAGAAAGAGCAATACTTCCTTTTCTCGAAAGATGGTGACACTATCGAATTCTCAGGTATATATGTAATAGTTCTATATTGGGCATTGAAAAATTTGAAACTGATCATATCATTGGGCACATCACACATCTACACGCGTGCGTCTTCCCGCACATATACACGAATAGATGACCCTAAAAGCAAAATACTAGAAGATGGAGGACCTATTCATGTGGTCACCGCTAATGATAAAGAAGGCTTCCAATCGCGAAATGCGATAATACTAACACCTTCGAATCCGATTCCACTAAGAGAAGAGGGCAAGTTGACTGGCCGGCGATACTATTGCCCTTACATAGGATGTCCATGTACAAAAAACGAAAGAGCTCGCATCTTTCAGCATATTAGGGGCAAGCATGATTGCACGTTCCCTATCATCCAAGCTCATCGAAAGTACACTTTTAAAGATAGTAAAGGTGAACCTGTGTCATTGGACGGTAAGATAATATGAACTATTGGTCATTACTAAAGTTGAGGCGTATTATCAACATGACTTGTAATCCTTTTTCTCTTATTACATATATCTCTCTTATATTTTGCTAGGCACTAGTCGACTAACGAAAGGCGAGAAGATGACCTTAGAATACGACCATACGGAAAGTAAGTGTTCTCTTCTATTTTCTCTCGCTCTCCCCTGGTTCTAACTCTCGGCCTTATACTTACAAAGTGCTGTGGTATAATGTGTTTTTAAGCTATTCTAATAAGCTAATATGGACTTTAATATATTACTAGGCAAAATTCGATACTTTTGTCCTTTTGAAGGATGTACAACATCGAGCAAGTTTCGACGCTATGTGATATGGCACATTCGTGACGAACATGATCCACAGCTTCCCGATATTGCTATAATACGTCAACCTTTTACGCTTTGTACATCGTCAGGGCGAAAGCTGAGTTTTTCATGTAACGTATTATCATATGTTTGCTTAATCGATGAAACAATTGCAAAGTGGAATGTGAAGCAAGTTCAGTCGTGCTACAAAATGATGATGATGAAAATTTAAACTCTGCAATGAATTATAGATGAAGAGCAGCAGACGCCGGTTCGAAATGGCGAACGATTATCTATAGCTTTTGAAAACTCTGATCAAGGTAAGAGAAAAAGACAAACATCAAACATCTCCCCCACCCAATCATACAAAATGTTGCCGACTATAACTCTTAATTCTATTCATCCTCGCATCTTACAACAAAACAAATTTTCCACCAGATCGAACATACTGCCCTTATCAAGGATGTAATCAGTCATTTCCCCTTTCAAGTCGTTTGTATGACCATCTTCGTCGCAAACACGATACAAATTTTCCATACGTGCAGTCCCATCGACCACGTATGGTAATGTCACTCTCTGGCGAAATGATTGACTTGACTAGTACCGTATATCGTTCTTATCTTCTGGTTCGTCACAATTATACTGAGTATGATATTTCTTCAATGTATATTAGACAATCCTAAACGGAGGTTACTTGATTCCGACGAATGTTTGACGATTGTTTATCAAAACGAAGAAAATCGTAAGAACCAACCTCGCTACTATACTGTGCCATTATGCAATTTCACAATGTGAGTATGATGGATATTAACTTTTTTCATTGGATATGGGTGGCTTTGTGTTCCATATAAGATCAAGGATCCTGTTATCTATGCCCGTACTACGGATGCCATATGAGAAATCCTGTACGCGCTCGTGTATATTCTCATATCCGCGAAATACACGATCAAGAGTTTCCAAGGTTCGAAAGACACCGTGGATCATATCATTCGAGAAGCATGCTGACTGGCAGGAAAATTGAATATGATGGTATGTATGCCACTTTGTATTGTTTCGACTGTAACAATATATACAAGCGAGTTCCTTTGGAGCTCTATCATATTACCACACTGTATACTAACAAGCACGATAATATCTTGGTTTTTCATGTACCAGAGCAATTTATGAGGAAAGGGGATAAAATTGAAATCGTCTATGAAGGCGAAGACGACGAACAAATTGAAGGTATGTACTACAATGTTTGATTTTATCGGTTATTACTTTTAAGCATCAGTGCTTAAATGCTGCTATTGTTGCTGAATAATGATATGATGGCTGACACTGGATCTACTATATGAATTAACGTCAAATTTGTTATTTTGTCCCTACCAAAATTGTTCTGCACCCGCATACAAACAACATACCAAGATTTATAGACATATCCGAGAAGCTCATGATTGCAAGTTCCAATTAGAACGTGTGAATAGAAGACCTATAGTCTATACCGCTGAATCACTCAATACGCGCGTTATAAACTTTTCACGTAAGTCTTCTTTTGCTTTGCACCTTCAACATAGATGATTACTCCTGATACAAGTCAAGCTCATTGCTTTTAACGTTTTTGATCTTTTGCGATTCTATTTATAGTGAATGAACGAGGAACCTTGAAGCCCTCGCAAAAATTGAAATGGCAGCCTTCGGTTTCGAATGAGTAGTTTTAACAGGAAAGGAGGTAGTAGTGAGCAGAAAGGTGCAAAACGAGAGTCATCAGTCTTATAAAAGAAGCAGTTAAAACTTTTGTTTCACATATACATCATACGTTTCTCATACCATATGTAACTTTTTCATTCTAAGTTCTTCTGCCTTACATTCAAAGTCTTTTAAACTGTGTTACGTTTAATTAAAAGCTACGATCACTGTGGAGGTAGGTAGTAATAGTGAATTGAAGATCATTAAAATCTATATTGATTGTTTGAAGTCATGAAGAGTGTGAAGCGGCAGGTGATGTTCTGTGTACTGCGCTGCTATGTAATTGATACTCTATGTACATATGAGGTAACTTCTTCTTTCATTTGCATACACACCTCCACCTCTCTGATATTATTCTGTGTATACTACCAGTTTTTAAAGAAACCCACATCATGTGATACGGCTAAAAAGTCTTTGGCTTCTTTTCTGAAAACAGACCAAGCTTAATGCTACATACAGTACACACAAAAAGTACGAATTGGGTGTCAGAATGATGTATGTATATCTCTTTTGCTGATACACTAAATACAAAGAGATGTCGCCAACGAAGAGTATATATAAACGGCACATGTACACAATACTTTTTTCTTTCAACTCAACTTGTATTATTGTTGCTGTTGTTAGATGACGCAGAAAATGTTCGCGCGTATGTACATTTAGTAGGAGACCCTGTCGGGTGCATCATTATGAAATCGCAGCAAGGTAACTTTATCATTGTTCACACGCAGTCTGCATACTCTGTAGCATTATGTATTACCAGTGTGATTGCTAAAGACGTGTCATATTTGTCCTGACGATGGTTACTGATGTGTCGAGCTTATATATGATAAAACTTATAAATTATCAGATGGTAGCGATGATAGCTCAATCAAGAAGCAAAACAACAAGAAGAATCCAGACAGAAATGATAATACCACCGCAGTAACGGAATCACACATTCACCAGGTGCAAGTTCATTTGGAAGAAGAAGAAATAGGAACAGGCGAGCAAGATGGCTCCTTTCGTAGGTGGCTTGTTGAATTGAAGGCATCTATTTGCGCCCCTCAAACTTCAGCAATTCCATTAAGCAGGTATCTATACATAAATCAAAGTATGCAAGCGAGATCTACTCATTATTATTGACCTTAACACTGCCGATTCTTTGTTTCCCTTTAATGTTTCTTAGCACACTGACATAAGAACCACTCACTAACATCAAGCTACATTTATTATACAGACGTCATGATCGATCTACTGTACTCACTCAAAGGATACAAATTCGAGCATACCAAAGAGTTTACAACGCGGTCAACATGCATAAGAACTATTTGCACGGTCATTGCGCAAGCTTTATCGTCTTCTTGTCGCCTCTTGGAAGTGACATTTGGTCCAAGAATCACGCTTAAAAAACAGGCGCAATTTTCTGCATCTTAATCAGATGAAAACCAAAATGACAAGAAAATCCTGTTGCGATAAGCTACGTGCAAGAAAGAGAGAGAGAGAGAGACGAGCAGCTGAAAACAGACTTTCCAATTTGAAGATCTAGCAGTTATACTAGCCTGTTGGCGTATGCTCTGGTGTTGCCTCTTATAATATAACCCCCTTTCACAAGAAGGGTCGCACCATATCCGCGGTAACAAGCAATTTAAGCGAACACAGAAAGTGAAAAGGAGTGTCAAAGTGTAATAAAGCGCGTTGTGATCATGTCAGCACGGAGCTGTGGGTGGGCAAAAAAAATAAGGAACTTGTCAAGCACATGAAAAAAAAGGCAAAGCAAAAAAAAATAATAAAGCGGTAAAAACGTTTTTGAGAAGAGTGCGAAAGTTTTATTTTGTTTATCATTTTCTTATTTGTGTGTAATAATGTGTGTAATAAATAATAGGAATAATAATCTGTTCGTTCCTCACCCTCCACTGACCCGCACTGGTACATTGCAATCATCTCTTCATGGCGGACCACTGAGCCCATCCAATCATCAGAAGACTCTGAACAATCGCCAGCACTGGCACGGAACTGATCATAGCACGGACAGTGACTCCCGCGCATACAGCCCAACGCCTTTCCAAAACGAACTAAAGTGAAGTAAAAGAAAAGCGAAACTGCTCGCTTTATATAGACGTTTTTTGACTGTCACGCTCGGGACTTCAAAAAGTTCCACCAAGTTCCATGGATTTTCATTGGCTCTTGCTTAATAGTATGGCTTTTAGCATATGGCTCAAAGGGACTATCACGAAAGGAAAGGAAAGGGGGTGTGCTTGGTGGTCATCCAAACAAATGTGCTGCGGCGGTAGTGGTACGTGTCTCTCACCATGCGGAGCTGTACCCTCCGACGATGGTATCGGCGCTTGTTTGTGAGTGGGGCCGTGCACGGCACCGTGTCAAGCGAAAACAAAGACACGAATGCGAATGAGCAAGTACATTCACGGAAGAAATGCTTTTCTGTGAGCAGTAAATGCCGGAATTAGGCGTGACTGACAAGGTAGACAATTCACCATCAGTGAACAGTGAGAACACAATCCACCCAGCAGCCAGTTTACATTCCTTCAGCCAACAAGGCAAACAGCGTGTGTAGATAGCGTAGTTCACAGTGCTTTGATATTATCTTTTGACTGTGTGTGTGGTACTTGATGTTATGTGTGTGCGGAAAAAGATGCCCCCATCGCTGCACTATATAAAACAGACCCGTTATCTTCTATGTTTAACCGTGCTCGTCAAACTGTTGCTTTACCACTTTCGCTATCCGCCAACAGTTCTCTGAAAGTTCTATCCTCCATCCTAAGTATGTGCTGCTGCAGATACGTTGACCCGCTCATAATAAGTATCCGCTGCCGTTAGTGAATTCGACTCATCCTTCTTTTAAAGCAGCGTTCAAGATCCATGGGGACGATCAGAAAAATAACACTACAAACGATGACTTCCTCCAACTTTTACCACTTTTGCGCGTAACTCGTTGCTCCATTTATCACCTTGTTCACTCGCCATTCCTTTGTGCATTTCGAGTGCGAAGTCAGTTGGCCAAATCGTTGCGTCACAATGCGCTTTCACTCTACATAGTTTTCGTTTTAAGGGAAAGCTGTTGGAACGCTCAAGGTTTGACACACGCAACACTTCGTCACTATTTAAAATAGAAAGATCCGTGTTGCGCTCTTCCTGATTTGCTCATTCCTAGACTACCTTTTCTTCCTGCTGATTTACGTCCGTTTTATGCTTGCCATTAGTGTGGGTTTGTGCGTACGCGCTCATAGCCTTCGTTACGTGATAAAAAAATAAGAGAGACGTAGCAAATTTTCCTCTATTGTTGCCTAATTCCACAGCAAAATACATATTGTGTCTCTGATCGCCTCTTTGCAGACTACGTGTCGTTGCCGAATTAATGATGTTATAATAAACCCGAGAGAAAAATCCTGCTCTTTTGCAGTTGCTTTTTATATACGTTTGGTGCACCGTTTACTGTGCATTACGTCCCACTTGGCTTAACATGTAGTCCCTTTTGGTATAATTTAAGGTCCGCTTAATTTTTACCAAGTCTTGTCTTTAGATGCCACAGCAGAATGTGTTGGGGACGAGCAGCTTCTTCGCTACAACACTTCTCCCAGCAGTAATTCCATTCACGACTGGTGCATTGTCTGGTGGCAAGGTGGCATATCAATTGAAGTTGGCAGGGATAGTAATATGTGTTTGCTCTTGGACTACATGCGTTTGCTTTAAACCATGTAGGGTTTCCCGTATAATGAACGCTCCAAGGCTACGTTTTTGGTTTGAGCCACTGTTCCGGTCAGTGTACGGAAATGTTTACCAAGCTCATGTCACCTTTACCAATAGGTCAAGAAGGACTTCGTCTTTGGATCGCTTTTAAAGGCATTGCATACCGTGGGCGATAGCTGATAATGAGCGCCGAAATGACTATCTGTCCCTCCAATAGGGATCGTCGTTTAACAGAAATACCCATAATTCTTGAAAGTTCTCCCAACAGTGGATAATGATGTTTGGGGAATCGTTTGGTCTTATAAATGTGTGGACAGTAGCATATCATCAAATACATAATCAAAGGAACAAGATGGGCGGTGGAAATAAGAAAATCACAACGTGATCTGCCGACGTTGGTCAACATACAAACTTGGGTTAAATTGTTTTAATTTATAATGAGGATAATCATGAAATATCTCCAACAACCATTGGAAAAGAAACGTCGTATATTTGGGCAAGAAAACCATGGCAATCATCATCTACATTTGTGAATGCGGTGCTTCCCGTCTACTTTGCACCATCATCTCATCGATCAAAAAGGCCTCACAATGTTTTTGGTATAAGTTCTATTTTGTCCTGTACGTCGTTGGACACGCTGATAATTACGCCTTGCGGTATCAATTGACGCTCAAGCGAGGCGTGCCCTTTCCCCAGTATCATCGAACAATTGATGAAACACGTTGTAGCCCGACAAATTGCAGAGTAGTTAGTCTGCAAGAGTTACATTACCGAAAGTACAATAACGTTTATGTGCAATACAGTAAAGTGTATAACAATTCAATAGAATCTGTACAAACGACCCATCTGGACGCATAACCAAAACAAGGAGACCCTCAATATGTGTATAAGCAATGACGTATGGCGTGGAGGTGGATTACGATGCCCTTGTGCAAACAAAGCCTGGGCGAAAAGGAATCTAAACAGGAACACTAACAAACATGAACAAAGAGATAGCAAGGGTGAGTATTCTTCAGCATTGATTCCGGGGAAAAAATAGCTGTAAAAGATAACGAACAACAACAGCGCAAAGCATGTGTTATTTCCATTGCTGTGTGGGTGGGCTTAGTTGCATTGGGGATGTGGAGTGTTTTTTTCTTTTGATGAATATAAATATAGGTATATGATGGTGTGAAACTTAGATATGCGGGAATTGTAGGGATACTGTTAGGGTGACTCATACTAAGTCTGAGGGCGGGTACAAGTGATGAAAAGTGAATATCGCGGCAAAAGTGCTTCCGTAGGAAGAAATATGTTGGTTACAAGAGACTAACTCGCTTCAAAGAAAAGCAAATCCACACTCAGAAATCCTGGTCGCCTGTTATCTTCGTCAATTAAGCTTTTATGAAGGAACATAGAGATGTAAATGAGTACAGCTATCCAACAACAGTCAAGCTCAAATGCTCAAGGGATTCGTCCGTAATATAGTTGTTTCCTTTGTTAGTTTTGGGGTGCGAGAAAGCTGTATAGTTGCTGCGGTTGCTGCGGTAACTATGTATTGTATTCTGATTGCGCTTGGTATGTGGTTCTTTTGTATGTTTGGTTTATTTGTTATAGGTGGTTCTCGGGGTAACAGTGGACATGACAAACACGCGAAACTGCCAGGTAAACTACTACTAACCTACGTGACTGAATAGCCAGCTAATCCTATTAAGAGAGTTTTTATGCACATAAGCTTCAGTGAATTGAACACTACCGTTGTGAGATATAGCGAGCTGTACTATTAATACTGTTAAATAAGGCTATAGATACAAGATCTTCGGCCTTTGTTTGAATGATAATTTGAAATGATTATATAGCTTCAAAGTTTGCTTTATTTTATGGAAGACTGGATTGACCAGAGCCATTGAAATGATTATATGCATACTACATTCAATGTATTGTACCGTTTAAACTTTTGTTCTATTTAAAGACGATAGTCCTTGAGGCTCTCATCATCCCAACTGCAGAAAGAACCGGTCATAGCACGAGGAGGCTTCGCTGCAAGAGCTGCCAATACATGTCCCGACTGCTCGGGGCGCACAAGTGCACCCGAGTTATACAGGTCGATGAACTTTTGGTGGTCATCCTTCATCGATTCCTTGCCTGGCAAAGACAGTGTCGTTGTTAGTGTACAGAAAAGGAAAAGTGGATATAGAGCGCCAAGTGCCCAGCAATAAAGCGTGCATGTATACCTTCAGCGCGGAGCACGCTTTGCATGTCCGTGTCTACGATACCAGGTCGAATAGCAATGCTGGTCACATCAGACTCTTCGGCTGACAAGGTCGAGGCCAAATGATTCATGGCAGCCTTGGATCTAACGTATACGCATACATACTAAGCTGAGTTGACCTATAGCAAAAGCTTAAATTTTAACTTACGATCCATAAGCAGCCCATCCAAGATATCCTCGAGAAGCGGCACCCGATGACACCATAATAATTGAACCCTTTGACTTGCGCAAGTGAGGCAATGCTTCTTGAATAAGCGAAACAATTGAGAAAAAGTTGATATCAAACGAACTACAGAATCAAAGACATATTCTCGAATGAATCTCCTCGTACAACGTCTACACACCCTTCAATTACTCTTTCCCGCTTTTTCCCATATTCCTACCGCTTGAACTCTTCGATAGAGACGTCGGCAACCGAAGCTAGTGGCTGAACGACACTTTAAACATGTAGTAGGTTAGTACCATCCTCCATACAATAAAGTCGCGCTTATACATGTTGTATTACCCTGCATTGGCAATTATAGCATCAAGTTGACCCCATTTCTCAATGGCCAGTGCTACGGATTGCTTTACAATCTGAATGTCAGTAACGTCGCCAGCAACAACAACAAGCGAATCGGCCTTGCCAAGTTTATCTGCTTCGGATTGAAGCTCCTTGAGTAAATCAGCATTTCGTGCGACGGCGACAACGCGAGCGTTAAAGGTGGTCAGAGCAGCCAAAGCAGTTGCCTTGCCAATACCACGGGACGCGCCTGTGAGAAGAAACACGGGTGAAGCAGCAGCCATTTTTTTGTTACTATAATAAGTATGCAGGTAAAAAGAAACTGGTTTTTTACGGAAATTGCTGCTTTCAACACCTTTATATTCGGTTTCAAGAACCAAAGTTTCAAGCGGAGAGTGGTGAACCAATGTTGGTACCCAAAGTATGGTATGGTCACAACAACCAAAGCTTGTAAAGTTATTTTCATCAAATTTGTGAAGAGTGGATATTACTTGCATTTACGCTCGACTAACGTCGATTGCCTTATAAGAGCTGGGCACATCCTTTTTAACCGTCATAGTAATGTAACGAACGCGTCGTTGCTGAGCAGATGCTATCACCTTAGCTGGAAGCTTATATGCTAGAAAGGACAGCTAGTACCTCGATGCATAGCTCCTGCCATTATGAAGACTTGAAAACATACATAGGAGCCGAGACGTGTCTGTCATCCTTTTTTATGCAACCGCTTGGAAATATACTCAGGGAGACCTTTTGATATCACATAACAGCCTTTCAATTGACCATTATTATTTGTTCTCGACAAATGCTTTTAGTCCTTTTACTAGTATTTTTGTTTTTAGATGCATGATAAAGTAAAATCAAAAAGAAATTTATCGGCTTTGTACCTATTGTGATTTATAAAAGCAAACATTTGTTAAATAAGTTCATCTACCCACTGGCGCGCGAATAAACCCCAAAAATAAAAGGTTGTCTTACCAAATCGTCAATCTTGAGGATCATCTTGACAGTTTCGGCTGCAAGCTCCATAGCACTTGTTGATACCAAAAGGGGCTGAATGACATTTTCTTCGAGAATGTTGGTAATAGTGCCCTTCTTGACATTGATACCGGCGGTCTTTTCGCCGTGAGCGTGTCGGTTTCTAAGCTCAGTGACGATTGAGATGGGGTTCAGACCAGCGTTCTCGGCGAGCGTGGTAGGGATCACCTCAAGTGCCTCTGCAAAGGCCTGGAAACAGTACTGTTCCATGCCCTTCAAGGTCTTTGCAAAGGCCATCAATTTCTGCGAGATTTCGATTTCTGGGGCACCGCCACCGGCAATCAAAGCCTTCTTCTTGACCAAGCATCGAACGACGCAAAGAGCATCGTGAAGCGAACGGTGAGATTCTTCCAAGACGAGCGAGTTGGCACCACGGCACAAGACAGATACGGTTTTGCCGGCGTGCTTCATGCCCGTCACTTTGACAATTCTTGAGCCTGCAGAGTCGCTTTCTTCAATCAAATCTGCGTATCCGAGCTTGTCATCTGTGAAGGATTCAACATCGGCCACGGGCTTACATCCAAGCGACTAGCCAAAGGAGGGAGCAGAGACAGAACAATACTGTTAGATCTGAATAAAACATTCATATGATATACGAAGATGTCTATATTTACCTTGGCAATAAATTCAATCTCATCACGTTCAACGTCCTTGACAACCATAATCTTAAGTTTGGCCAAGAAGTGCAAAGACAAATCGTTGACGGCATCACGGAGGATGGACTTTTGAATAAGCAACACATTGCAGCCAGATTTCTTGATTTTCTTGCACATGTTCAACAAGTATTGACGTTCCTCCTTCAAAATCTTGTCCATTTGTCTGTAGTCGTTAACAACGATTTGGTTTTCCATCTATTATAAAGTCACCGTTAGTTCATTTCTGCTGTTGCTCAGACCAACCTTTAGAAATATTAAATAACTTGCAACTGATATTGAGAGAGCTGCTTACATCAGGCTTGGGTGGTGAAAGCTGGAACTGAATTAAACCAATCTTGGCCTTTTCCATACGAGTAGGACCACCAGCGCTCTTGACCACGTTCTGGTTCAAAACAAGACCATCAATGAGCTCGGTATCATCGATGGTGCCACCCACTTTCTTGACGACACGAATATCTTTGATATTCACATTATCAGTGACGGCAGGATCGATCACGCGCGTTACTGCGTCGACAGCAATGGGAGCGAGGAGGGAGGAATATTGTGAAACGATCTTTATATGGACGAGAAACAGTTAGCGTGTCTTTTTTCTTCCAAATTCATATTGTCATCTCTCAAGATCCATATAGCTCTCCGTTTCATCTCTTTGTCCCTCATGTTTGCCACGCAATCTTACCTTGGAGTTGAGGGAAGTGGAAGCTGCTCTCAGCAACGATTCGCGATCAGAAAGATCAATTGGAGTGGCCATCTCGGAAAGGTACTCGACGGCTTTCTGGGCAGCACGTTGGAAGGATTCGGCGATAGTAGTCGGGTGAATACCTGTACATTATTGGGTGAAGAAAGGAAAGGGCGATAAGAAAGTATGAGTTTTATTGATCAGTTTACTGCTTAGCTTGGGATCGAGTTCCACACCATATAAAAGCACCATAAACTATCTTTTTTACCTTTGTTCAACATCTTTTCGGCAGCAGCAAGAAGAGAGCTGCAAAGAACTACAACGGATGTAGTACCATCACCAGCTTCAACATCTTGTGCAGCAGCCAAATCGACAAGCTATACACGTCATTAAATTAGCGAGATCTTCCAAATGACGACGTCCTCGCCCCCTTTCTTTCCTCAAATAAAGAGCTCAATCGATCGTCGTTACCATTTTAGCAGCAGGATGAAGGACAGACATATGTTTAAGAATCGTGGCACCATCGTTGGTAATAACAACTTCACCACTACCGGTTTGGATCTATCGAATAATTTTTTTTAGGTTTGACAGTTTATAGCACGACGCATGTGCGTGCGTAACGCGATTGAACTCGGAACTTGCATCGTGTAAGGAAAAATGAAAGGAAAAAATGGGTATTTACCATCTTGTCCATGCCACGAGGACCAAGCGATGTTCGGATGGCATCACCAACAGCTAGAAAAATATAATGTAAAGTGTCAAAATGGTACTCATCTGTCGAGATCGTCGTAATCCTTCCACCCCTCCTTTTTTTCTCGCAATCTTTTTCTAGGACGTCCTCGGCTTTTTCCCAAAATCTCATATATTGACAGATTCTCTTTTTCGTGCTTTACCCTTAGCAGCAACAATGTTGCTTAACCGGACTTCGGTGGGTTTGTCTTTTTCTTGAAAGCTGTTTTTGCTTGGTGCGGGTTTTGCTACTTCGGCCATTACTGTGATGATGAGAGAGAACGCGCGTGTTCAGAAAGTGTGTTTTTGACGGGAAACGAAGTCTCAAACTCAAAAAGGTGCAGCTGAGTTCCAGAAAATAGCGTGGCACACAGGACTCAGTCAGTCCGGTAGTCTGACAGGTCCCAGCAGCGCTCAAAAAAGAACTACCCATTGATAATTGATATATCGCCTTTCCTCTTGCAAGAAAGAAATATGTACTTTATACCAAGAGTCACATAAAGAAGTACTTGTAGCAGTAGGTATCATTGAAATATGTACATTCGCTAACAAAATTCGCCTATCCTATATTTTATCCATTATTTCGACAATGGTGGAGGCGCACCCTTCCTTCATAGCGACACACTGTCACCACTGTTCTGTTGCCCATGCTCAACGTCAGATTCGCTGTTGTTGTTGATTGATTGTTCGGTCGAGTCATTGTAACAAAACGGGGCATCTTCCTAGTATCGAGATCAAGGCTGATATTGGCCGCTGCTTGCAAATGCTCGATCCAAGAGACCATATCCGTAGTATTCATCAACCGCATCAAAAACTGATCGCCCGTAGTAGCAGCTCTGAGACGAAGCACGCTTGGCTTCTTATGAAACTCGGGGGCCAGCCCCGCTTCTACGCGTTGCATTGAGAGGGTATATACTGGTTTCGTTTCATCCTTGTTCTTATACATGTATAATGCCGTGCCCCATAATCGTATATAAAACTTTCTATATATACGAATACGTTGCATCAAAAGTTTAGTCCGCGTGTCGTCAGCATAAAATGCACTCTCATGCAGCAGCAAGTATTCTCAAGTAGGGAGAAAACTGAAAGTAGTACAGTAGCTATGATATATCACTACTATTACTAATATTACTTGCCTCCATCGAATTCGACTGGATGACGGCGGTTGACTACCAGTTTCTTGCTTTATTTTCACATAGCCCATTTTATAAACTGTACACGTGTATGGCGGTAGTTCATCGACAAGAGTACTATGCCCTCCTTCGTCTTCCGCTTGCTGTAATCGTAATCGGTTCTTGCTGCTGTGGCTGTGGCTGTGGCTGTGGCTGTTGTGGTTTTTGCTGCGGGATGGATCCTCAAATGCGGAAGAATAACGATCATGATCGTTATAGTGATATGCCGGAAGTTTGCGTTTGATCATATCCGTATGCGATGAAATGAGCGGCAATCCATTTTTCTTTGAAAAGCCAACCATGCAATAAAGTGAAAAGTGGAAAGAAAGACAAAAAGATAAAATAGGGATTCAGTTCGTCGTGGCAAAGCCAAAGCATTGGAAACCACTGGGGGGGGGGGCATTTGAAGAGTTCCTTACTTTGACAGGGGACTCACTCGCTTATGAACATATGATAATTTTGCCACCCCGTCTCCCTTGTCATAACGATTTGGTAATGTCAATGCAACAATGGCCAATATAGACCCTTGCTTTGTTGAGTGCGAGATCTCCAAATATGGCCTTTTTCTCAATAGGAACTGCGCGTGTACATAAACATGTTGTATTCTTTTAAATACCCAAAGCTGCCTTTTGCAGCATTGGCCCATGTTGCAACCGTTGCTATGATACAAGTGTTTGACGGGAATTCATGTTCCAAACTCTCGGACCCGACCTTCGCGAACGGTGAAGAATAAAACCAGAGTTTATATATGAACAAGCGAAAGAGGTTAAACGAACCAAAGATCGTGCTGGCTGATAGACACACTGTATCAGTCACGCACATTGGGATTTGCGGGAACGACAAAAAAAGAGCGACGCAAAAAAAAAGCGTGCTGGATCAATACCCCCTGCTTCTTGTTCCGCTTCTTTTTTACTTTCTCTTGCTCGCTCCTGGAACCTCGGGTCCTTATTCTCATTCATTCGCTTCCGCGCCTTTGATTTCTCTTGATTTCCTTCCTGGGAACGTCCTGCCAAAACTTTCCTGACAAAGAAGGTATACATTATTGAGAAAGAACGAGTAGCTTTTGCAAATGGGCAACAACAAGGAATATGTGGATCAGCATCGCGCTGCCACCGACTTGGTAGACCATGAATCAGTTACTTCTAGCACAAGCAATCAAAGCCTCTGTGAGTAGCTTTTTGTCTCTTTTTTTTTATATAGCATAAGGAATACTGCTAAACCAGGAAGCAGTAGTTCCTTGATATAGTGGAAACCGGAAAAGAGAAAGGGAGGGTTTCCAAGGGAGCCGACAAATGTCAACTGATACATTCACGTGTGTGGCTTTCCTTTGCCTTTTTTTTCTACTATTTGTATAAGTTCATCCACATACCCTGACGGCTCTGGCACTTTTGTTGGGATGGTTATTTTATGCTGCAGTCCGCACCAACTATGAAGACACTGAAACAAGCGTCAAACTGGGCATTTCGGCTGCTATGGGCTGTTTCGTCTTTATTGGCATGCTCCAGTTCCGGGATGGTCCCTTTATTCGACCCAGTGTGCCGTTCTGGCGTGCCGTATTAAGTCTAAGTGTCCTGTACCAAATGGTCCTTGTCTTTTTACTGTTCCTGGTAAGATCACACAGAAATAACAAAGTCTTTTTCTTTTGACACGTCGTAAAATCCGACTCGTTTTTGTGTTACTCACATCCCACGTAATATTCTAAATGCTGTGCTACAACGGAACAATTTAGAACAAGGATGAAGCCCGTCGATTCATGGTTTATTTTGATACCGGGTTGGGTGAACAATTGCCAGAACGATCGTATGCAGATCAGTGTGATTTGAGTATGGAAACATTCAAGGTTGGTTCTATATGGTCAATATGAGCAAGAGGAAAATGGTGGACAATGGAAGAGATATTGATTCTATCTCATATTTTAGAACCAAGTGGATATTTTCGTATTAGCCCACGTTGTTGGTTGGTACGGAAAGGCTATTATCTTGCGCGACTATTGGCTGTGCTGGATCTTGTCTGTCACATTTGAATTGTGTGAATATTCATTAGAACACCAACTCAACAACTTTGCCGAATGTTGGTGGGATCATGTAAGTAGTAATCTGTGCGTTTCATCTTGCAATATTGTTGGATTATTCCTTAAGCTTGGCTAACCGGGGTGTATGCTGGGCTGGGTTTTTTTTTTCATTTCACAGTGGATCTTGGATGTACTCGTATGTAACTGGGGTGGTATCTACCTTGGAGTCAAGACCTGCCAGTACTTTGAGATGAAGGTAAATATACGATTTAAAATAGCACTAAATCCATGCATAAATCATGTACTGAAACCTCTTGCGGTAAACTATACAGCAATACACGTGGGTTGGTTTCCGTCAAATCAAATCATTACGAGGCAAAGCAAAACGCGCAGTCCAGCAATTCACGCCTCACGATTGGACACGGTTTGAATGGAAAGCTACCAGTAGCCCTAAAAACTACTTTGGTGTTGTTGGCCTAATGATCGTTGTAAGTATATTATATGTAGTGAACGCGTTTATTTCAGCTCTCAATGATTTTTGTACTTTGACACATTATTCGTTATGCTAAACTCGCGTACTCTATAGGCATTACAATGCGAGCTCAACTGCTTTTATCTGAAATATTTATTGTGGGTTCCCCCAGAGCATCCAATTAATACCTACCGCCTCATACTCATGTTCTTGTTCTCGTTGCCCGCAGCACGAGACGTTTATCAATATCTAATGGCTAGGTAAAGTTGACGCGGCGCTTTGAACTTATCGTTACCAAAATGGGTAATTTTACCTGTCTCTGTTCCTCACTCTCACATTGCGCTTTTTTTTTTAGTGGTGACACCAAGCTGGGTGCACATGCTTGGCTAATGATATGCAACATCATGACTGAGACCATCATTTGCTTGAAGTTCTCGGAAAACGAGTTCCCTGTTCCAGCACCTATGGTCGTCAAAGTCGCATGGTCTGCAGTAGCCTTCATTGTTCTCTTTGCATTCCCATTATGGCGATTCATTATTTATCAACCTCCACCACCTATCCAGCTGTCCTATGATGATAAAGACGAATAAGCATCTTAATTTCTACTAGCTAATGCAACTATACTTCACATAACCATAGCTATATGTTTACATACTTGTCATTTAACTCCTTTCTCTCTATATGTATCCAGTATCCATCCCTCCCTCTTCGATAATCATAGATCTTATTCTACATCCCATCTAGCAGACCTCTTTATCCCCCGTTTCTTTTTATCATTATCATCATATTTATCTGTCTTCTCCATCCGAAGGCATTCCCCCAACTGCACACGTGCACCCCATCTTCCTCCTGACAGAGATAACTTTAGCGTCGTTATAATATCACTCGAATTGGTCGCTTCGAACCATCATCTGTCTCTCTATCTCTTACCGTCCCTTTGCCTCCGCGGATGCAGACCATGTAAAAGAGACCGTGTACTTGCGCTATAAAAGCTTACTGTTCGGAGGATCTGCGTACCTGGTTTTGTTCATTTACACATATATATTTCTATCCATTTATCCAAAAACTTTTTTTCCTTTTTCTTCCTGAACCCGGACATTCTATTGTATTGCTCAAGGATGGAATCGTCCACTTGCCTTTTTGTAAGTGATATCATCAATTTTTACGGTTTGTGTTCCTGGACTATTTATCGATTAATTACTTGAACTAGCAGCATCCAGGGGCAAATGGAGATTTTACCCCATGTTTTCGAGAAATGTTAGTATATACAGTATGTGGTAGCGCTCAAGGATGGCAAGGTTGCAGCTGCAGGCAAGCCACAGGATGTTGCTGCAACAGGTGTGCTTGGTGATGAAGTTATTCTCTCCTCTAGCAATGATGAGGATACGTTGACCACGACAACGATGCGAACCGATACGACTGCAGCTACTGCTTACACAAGATCATCGGGCAAAAAGAGAAGAAACACAGGTTTGAAGGGCAAAAATAACACCACACTTGGTACGGGAAATGGTGGAAAACTGATCAAGGAAGAAACCAGAACTGAAGGCGGCGTCTCATGCCAAGGTGCATGCGGTTTATTTCTACGCCTTCGGTGGTTTTCTCTTCTGGATTGGAGTATTGTATCACCATGACGCAAGATCATTGACTCAAGATATGACAACAGCTTCTTCGCCTCCTTCTGATGAACCTAACAACAGTGTTGATGGTTTGATGGCCTCATCACTTGTAAATGTTTTCCAACAAGGCGAGTACAACGGCATCACTCTCACCTATGGCTGCGCACTGGTCGTTCGCCTCAAGGTTCTTTTCTCAGGATAGTAGCGATGCTGGTACTGCGAACGTGCTCTATTATCTTAGTATATACTTTAGGATTGGTATATTCGGCGTGGTCATGACTACGCTACGATCTTTTATTCTTTTCACCGGATCTCTTCGCGCTTCGCGCCATATTCAAGCGCAGCTCCTCGACGCTATCCTCCGTGCCAAGGTCCGGTTCTTTGATACAGCACCTATGAGTCGTATCATCAATCGGTTCTCGACTGAAATGGAGACCATCGACCAAGCACTCGCACCATCCATGTCATCGCTCCTGTACTCATGTGTGGCAGCTTCATGTGTTGTGGTCCTGATCAGCACCATCATCCCCATCTTCTTGATCCCTGGTGCGTTTATTGCTGGTCTCTTCTGGTATATCGGCATGTACTATCTCAGCACCTCCGGCGACATGAAACGTCTCAGCTCTGTGTCACGAAGCCCAATCTATATCCAATCCCAAGAGACCGTCAGCGGCGTGGCCACCATCTGTGCTTTTGGTTTCCAGCGTCGTTTCATCAAAGAGAACTACGACATGATCGACAACAACAACCGGCCGTTTATCTGGATGTGGGGTGCCAACCGATGGCTTCATTGCCGCATTGACATTCTTGGTACATTTGTTGGCTCTGTGACTGGTATCGGGCTTCTGGTCTCACGATCCTCCATCGATGCTGGTTTGGCCGACTTGGCGCTATCCTACTCGCTTACCATTACAAGATACATCCTGTGGGTTGTCCGTCAATACGCCATGTACGAGATGAACCGCAACTCGGTCGAGCGGGTCCAAGAATACCTGGACGTTGAGCAAGAGCCATCGGCACTGATCGAAGCCACGCGGCCACAGAATCCAAGCTGGCCGGAAAACGGATCTGTCAAAGTCTACCAGTTGGAGATCAAATACTCTCCTGAAAACCCGCCTGTATTGCATGGCATTTCGTTTGAGACGCGACCACGCGAAAAAGTTGATTCATGGAGGCCAGCAGCGGGTCCAACGCCATCGACGGGGTGGACATTGCCCAAATAGGCCTTTTCGACCTGCGTAGTCGATTGACCATTATTCCACAAGACCCAGTGCTATTCTCAGGAACGCTTCGCAGCAACTTGGATCCCTTCCACGAGTTCACAGACGCAGATTTGTACGCTGCACTGAAACGACCGCACCTTGTCCATGACGGCAACTACGAACAGGTCAGCCCCGACAGCCCAGTAGCAAAACAACGGCCGCAACTGGTCCAAGAGCAGCGGCAGCTGATTGCCTTGGCCCGTGCGCTTGTGAAGAAGTCGTCGCTCATTGTCTTGGACGAGGCAACGTCGTCTGTGGACTTTGTTACCGATCACAAGATCCAACAAACAATCCGGTCCGAGTTTACCGGATCTTGGTTCTGGACCAGGGCAGAGTGGTGGAGTTTGATACGCCGTACGCACTGATGACTCGTGAGGGTGGACTGTTCCAGCAGATGTGCGAGCGTAGCGGTGAATATTCGGAACTTCTGGCAATTGCACAGAGCAAAGCCGATTCTTCCTCCTCAAACTAGTTAGGCGCTCCCTCCCTTCTTCCCTACCTTCATTCCTTTCTCCATGCCTCACACGGAATATTTATAGTCCCCCCTCCTAATACTTTGGAGCTCCTTAAAAAACGTCACTTCTCTGTTTGCTTTTGTTTGACCTTGCACTCTCTCCCACTACTGCTACTGCTACTAGACCGTTGTTGATCACCACAGTGAAACTTATAAAGATCGTTTAGACCTGTGGCTACTGTACTGCTAAAATTTGTCATGTTGTATTATTTACAGAAAAAAAATGAAGAAGAAAGACAACAACAGAAGGAAACACATGCAAAGGAAAGAAACGTTGCGTTCAGGAAGCATGATGCCACTGGTCAAGCGGCCCATTGATCCAGCCACTTTCAAGCGAGCCCTTGGTGCCCTCGTCGAGAACCGACGATGGTGTCTGAACGAGCGTTGTGAGGTCGTCTTCGTCCGTCGAGTCTGTTTCATCTACCATCATGGCGCCGCCGCCACTACGAGGCTGTCTTGGCTGTCTTGGTTGCTGTCGCTGTGCTACTTGCTGTGGTGGTTGGTGCGGTGAAGGTTGAAGCCACAGTGGATTGAGCGTTACGGGTGGTCGGTAGTCAGGGGAAGCATAAGTTATGGATGGCATCAAAGCGTCCTGCTGCTTTTGTAACATGTTTGGCTGAGCCGTTGACAATGCGTTGTCGTTGAAGCGTTTGTAAGTGGGCCACTATGGACAATGAGATAATTAGGAAGTTAGCTCACCCATGATCTAATGAATGCAGATAGTTATAGCGTATTAAGAATCAGGTGCATACCTCCTCTCTGTCATGCTCATCATCCTCGCTGAAACGACGTTTGACAAATGCTATTGATTGCCCGCGCAAGAACATCACATATTTCCAGATTATTTCCCAGTATACAATGAATTAATGCGGGTGCAGAAAGAGAGTAAGTGAAATTTAGGGCTGGATTTTACCTGTAACTGTGTTAGCTGCCATTCTTGATATGATAAATTTGGAGTACCAGACAAAAGCAAGAAGAAAGCTTGAAAAAGTGAAGAGAAAAAGAAAGAGAAAGAGAAAAGTGATGGGAAATCCTGTTCGTTTCTTATAAGAAGATAGCTGATGCGGTTGGAGATCAAACACGCGTGGGCGCGCCTTCTCTTCTATTTAATACAGTTTATATATACAACGCACGCACACACTAGTCTAGTAGTGCCGCTGCTGTATTGTATCGTATATAAAGTTCCACTAGGAGAGAAAAAAGACAAGTCACCACCCACCGCTGACGACATCATCATACAAATAGTATGAGGCAAGGCCCCACAAACACAGGCACACACATTCATCCCACACATACCATTTCGATCATAATTGTACGCAGGTGCCAGAAAAACTAATTCAGGCCCCACGTGCATCAGTATTAACTAGTACAGCAAGTGTGCACAAGACACGCATACTGCAGAAGCAGCAAGAAGCAAGCAGCAGTGTCATTAGTTTCGCATGTTTGATTGGCAAGCCTTGCCTTTACAGTGATGATGCTATGTGATTGGTCAGTCCGGACTCGGGGGTGGGGTGGGTGGGGCTGGAGGGAACGGCGAGAAAAAAAGGTGGGGAGTGTTTGGGCTGTGAAGAAAAAAAACACACACCAGTGGGGCCGGATCATCGCCTTGCATTCCCGCTGCTCACAGCAATAAATTCAGGTCACAAAAATAGAGAAGCAAGAGAGTGTGTGTGTTTGGTTTTCGTGCAACAAGCATAAACACACGTCGCACACGCCGCATGATGCTAAAATGACACAGAATGGCGTTTCGTTGTCACAGATTATTGTCGATAATAGTAATAGTAATAGGCACTCATCTTTTGCTATAAAGGTACATACGCTATGCCAAGAAAAGGCAAGGGTAAAGTGAAGGGGTGATGAACAGCAGCAGCAGGTAGCTGGTATCGCCAGTATCTCTAATAGCAAGAGAGGTAGCAAATACTAAACCGTAAAATATATCCGCGTATGTGTGTAAATGGCTGTATGTACGTGCGTGCGTGCATTCCGTGGAGATCCTACTTGATCGCCGTTGACCTAATTTTCTTCTTTCCATAGCTCAGCAAACCCCCTCAATTCACCTGCTAACCAGCTATTTATCATACATCGTCCCCCTATTCTTGTGAACAAATAGGGTTTCAGACATTCTATTCGTGAACTGCCTTATTATTCTTTTTTAGCTATTCTGGTATACTTGGTTGTTGCCGTTCTTTTTGCTGTATTCAGCTGCCATTGCCCAGCTGCTTGAAAAATATTTGAGAATCTATATATTGACCGGTTAGGAGAAAAAACCTTTCTTTTCTCTTTGCTTATTGTTACATTCGCTAATACCTTTCTATATATACCTCTCCCTAACTCACTACATTGACGCAATAGAATACGTAAAATGGCAGTAACGGCAACTACTGCAGAACCATTCATCGTTCGACCTCCACCTCGATCATCTTCACTACGGCGACCTTCATCAAACAATAACAACAATGGTAGCACTACCAATGCAACTTTGACGACGACGACGACGACGACTACAGCAGCTCCTCGCGCCGGATGGTTATCTAAACTATCGTCTACTTATGCCATTGGAAACAAACAACGATGGCAAGCTCGTTTCTTTGTGCTCTTGGACAAGGAACTACGATATTATAAAAATGAGGTAGAATATTAATCTTCGACATGTTTGTGTTTTATGCTCGATAAAATGAAAATTGACAGATAGCAAAATGATAATTAACTTTTCACATCCGTTTTCACTTAGCATACACAGTCGCCTTCATGTGTGATAGACCTGCGTAATACATGCCAGCCTGTTATAATCACCTCTTCACTCGGCCGTCCTCATTGTTTTCGACTCGAGCCAATCACCCGTAGTAGCGGAGGACAGCAGCAAAGCAACGACAGCTCTAGTAGTCGACCATTAACAATTGCATGTCAATCAGCTCTAGAGCTTTCAAGCTGGGTTGCGGGAATTGGATCAATCATAAAGCAACAGGAGCAGCAACAGCAACGGTTAAAACGAGCAATGACTTCTTGTCAGGTGGAGCATCAAGAGATGTTATATTTACCACAAGTGCATCCTCGTCATCATCAACAAAGGCGACGAGCAGCAACAATAACAACGTCAACTGACGATGATATTGATGAAGAAGAAATCTCAATAAAAGCAACAACAACAACAGCAGCAGCAACAGTAGAAGGAGAAGATTCAATATCTCGACGACGAGGCGTATGGTTACCTCCACTGATGGTACACCCACTGGATGACATTCCAACAACTGTCATGACAAGGTCATCTCTGGCGCTATCAGATTCGAGCGAAGAGGGAGACGATCTTCTTAAACAAGTCAAGGTCGCATACCACGTTACTACTGCTACTGATCAACAGGAGCAACAACGACAATGCCGATATAACAGCGCTAGCGCTACTGAAGAAGATGATGACAACGACGACGACGACGACGAAAGGTCTTCTAGCACAGATAATGATAGCGCTTGCGCAGTTATGGAACGAGGGCGGAAACTTTCGAGCTATTCGCCTACATTTCTCCTTTACCAGGAACGTTTCCGGCTCTTAAAAAATTAATTAATGTACATATTCCCTCTTCTCGTCAGACTTCTTTTGTGTTATTATTTTCTTAGATCAATTTTTTTGTAATATCACCACTTTTTCCATCACCATTCTTTCGCCAGTTCTTTCCCCTATTATCTTGCATACACACGCACCATCAATTACTTCATAGCTACAAACTACAACAACAACCAAATATACTTAGAAAAGAACACATCATACAGAATTTAGAAAAAACAAAAAACAAATTTTATAAAAGCAAAAATGTTACAGCTGAGAAAAAATATGTTGTTTTACATATGTACAAAATGATGGGATATTGATGTTGTTAATATTGGTTGGTTGGCTGGGGAGCGTTGCTATCATCACTACTAGTTCTGCTATTAATACTATTGTTGTTACTATCGATTCTTTTACAGGTCATCGTCATGCTCCAATTCGTCATCTCCTTCGTCACCCGAAATATAGTGAATGTGCGGTATTAAATCGTTATTATCGCCGCCATATTCGTACGCTTTTGCCCACCAGATAAGCTTTGATGGCTCGTCGATGCTCAAGTTGTAATTCAAAAAGTGAAGCAATTCCAGTTCCATGCGTGCCATGATCGTTTGGTCAACCTGTTGCTTATCTGATGCTGCTGCTGAACCTTTTGGCGGGTTTGATAATACGGATAGCAGCGCTGGTTTAGTAGCTGTAGAAGAGTCGTCGGCAGGGGGTGTGGTTGGCATCCGGTCGTTCATGATGAGCTGCAGGTTGTTGCGGAGATACTTGGCCGCCACGGTATATGCGACCAACAATAAGCGAAGTGAACATTTATGAGCGCCTTTGATGTTGATATAAAGCTAATAACAATTTAATGCACGTCGCATATGTTAGAACATTCATTATAGCAATTTGCCAAGTCATATAAGAGCGAGAGAATTACCTGTTTAAGCCGGTCAACATAGTAAATGGCAAGGAGGAGAGCAAGACCAGGACAGTATGCTGGAACGCGAAGAGGGAGGCTGTGCATTAAGCTGATTAATTCGTCCAATAACGATGGGTCTGCCGGTGTGGTGGGTTCCCAAGCATGTGCTATGTATTTGGCAAGATACTCTACAACAGTATATATCATGTTGTATGTCTTCTGATTAGCGCTTTGTATCAAAAAATGAGCCCAGAATCAAGTACCAATGCAGTGATTGCTCAGGGGTTGTTGACGATTCATTTCCACCGCCTGCAGAAACTGGTATGCCTGATGCACCGTGCCTGCGTATGCATTCTCTACGAGTTTTTCTGTACTACTGACTGGCCGATCCACCATTCCTATTGTTTGATAAGAGATCAAGAAAGAGGAAAAGAGTAAAAGAGAGAGAGGAAAAAGAGAAAAAAACTGAAAACAACCGTAAGAAGTTAAAAATAAAGTGGTTTATATACTTGTTGGAAAAAAAAACAAGCTTTGGAGAGCTGTAAAGCTAATCCGTGCTATAACCAAAAACCCGCCGTAATAGTTTTGCTCAAATCTTTTATACTCGGTGAAACATATTCGCCGTTCTCGGGGTACCCACCATCACACCAGCCTACGGTTACTTTTACTAATATCAAAATGAAACATATGAGCCCGCAAGAAAATTACGCAAAATGCCTTATTAGTTTGATATATGCTTCCCATATAAAAAAGACGGATTGTTTTTTGGGCTAAAGTCACCATACTCACAAATTGTTATTTTACTGCGGGCAGGACAGATTGCAGCTTACTTTTACGCTCCTCCCAATGAGCGATCAACCAGTACTCCCCCGCGCCATTTCGGAAACAAAATAAAAATAAACAACAATATCAAAAGACTTGTACATATGGGAGAAAGAGTAAGACTCCGATCATTGAGCTGATTCTGGTTTACGGGTAAAGGTTCCTGAATCATTTATTTGATTTGGAGCACGTTGTTTGCTGGTGCCTATCAAACGTGCGTCGGTGTTCGTTTTCTGTAGCACCCAAAAAGAACGACCGGATGTCGAGGGACATCCATCCTATCCGATCAATTGTTGTGTATGACTTAGTACCACCCTCTCTCATGCCGAAATGTACGCCAGTTGCCTTACCGGTCTTTTTTGGTTACGTTTTCACCGGAAAAATGTTCGTGTGCTGCCATTCCCATGTTCAGTATCACTCAACACTCAATAAGCTTTAGTATTGAATTTACGCGCTAACAAATTTACCCGCTTTCAAAGATAAATACACACTCATGTTTCGAAAGGCCCATGGTTTCATAAAATTCAAATCTCGTGTTATACGATTCTAAAGCTATGGGAAGGTAGAGAGAATCTGTTGTGTGATAGAACGTCTGTAAGTCCTTTATTGTTTCGCTGAGAATTTATGTACGGGATTTTTCCTGTGATTTTGCGGTTGATTTTTTTCAGCATTGCGTTGGAGGAACTAGCACATTGGTGGAGGGATGTTTTTTACTAAGCGCGATGTTCTTTTCAGCTGGAAATCCCCTCCGCTAGTAAAAACCGCATAACTGCGGTAATTGAATTGTGTGACCCAGATTTCGATATGAGCAGTAGCTCCCGTAATACATGACTTCCCCTCCTTCTCCGTAGTTCCAATAAACATGCCTCCCAGACGTGTAGGAAGTTTCGGCAACAAACGCGCTCCTCCACTCTCTAAATCGTCCCACCAACACTGTCAACGCCGTGCTCGCACAAGCTCGTAATGGAGAACTAGAGAAGCGCCGCCAAGCATCTCTGTCGGTCCAGTGTCTTCGGCCTACACGCACGATCGACCCCGTCCTGTATCTCCCAGCATCTCAGACTAACCGCCATCGCTTGATTAACTGGCGCCTGCACTGGCTACCCGGCTATTACCCTTGGAAGGACTGTCGCTGTGGTGCACGAGCTGTCACCCGCGACCACTACAGTCTTGTTTGTCCGCTACTCCGTCCATTGTGGCAAGAGCTTACCGACGCCTATGGCACAGCTCCTTCAGTACCATCTGGGATGCATACCATTGATGTCATCCTTAACAAAATACCACGCACCGACGTCGTTTTATCCAACGGAAGATGGCCAACCATATGGCCAGCGATATTAAGTATCCTTCGAGAAATCGAACGGCTCTGCCATCCCGAAGATCATTTGCTGGATGGGGAGTTCCCTGGGGACGACATTTCACTACCATTGCCATCCGAGCACGACTAAAGTGCTCCGACTACCCTCCTTTCCTCTGTCATTATTTTAATTTACTTGTAACAACCTACACAGACCTTATCACACATGCACTACCACACTGGCTTAACTTTTTCCTCCTAACCACGGTGGGGGGTTTTTTAAGTTCTTGCATCTTTTCTTTACATATCACATATCCACACGAACCGCAAAGAAGCGACCGCAATGTCTATTGGCGCAGGTCAACAGTCTTCCACAAACAATAAAACCAAAATTTTCATCTATTGCCATGGTCATCAAAAATGCAAGCACTGATGCAGCTTAATCAGTTCGCCGTTATTGTAAATGAAAGGAATAGAAGCTCAGAAACGGGTTTACATGAGTGCGGCTATTGTGTGCGTATGCATATGTGTGTGATCGAACGCCATAATGCCCGCGTATGTAGAAGAACGCACTCTACTACAATCTGTGGGATCAATCTCAAGTCTTCTTATATTCAGGGCAATATACGGGATTTCCACAGCGACCCGCTGTTCCTTTCTCTTCTTATGCACAGTGAGACACAAAAAAAAGAACCACCGCTTCAGCTCCATGTATGCCCCAGTTCCTACTAGTCAGTCCGAATTCTTTTATTCTCATTAGCTCCATTTGCTGTAGAGAACATGCTGAAATATCCTCGCTGTCATATGCACAGTTGTTGTTAGCCGTTCTACAGCAACAAGGATGTCAAATTCTTCGTAATCTATTAAGGTAACTCGTAAAACGGATAGTTTACGGCAAGACGATTAGCAACAATGAGTGAAAGAAGATGTTGCAGCAGTAGTAGTAGCTGCACTGAAAGTGAGGAAACCAACGCATATTAGATATCCTAATCGATAGTGATAACGACATGTCTAGTGCCTTGTGGTGCCCAAAAAATAACAGGACATAATCCAATGCATAATCTGGTGGATGTCTTGGCGTATTCGATCTCCATGGAACGCAAAGCGTTTTCGTGAGTTCGAGAGCATCGAATATAAATTGCTTAGGATTTAACCAAACAAAGATTCGGCTGATAGGAGGATATCTCATCAAGTATCGATTCACCTTACCTTAACTGTCACTGAACTTGTGTGGCGGGAATGGGGCGAATAGCAAATTAAAAATGGTATCACAAGGTATGTAACCGAAAATGTTTTAATAAACAGATAATTACGACTATGTGAGCACTATAACCAAATATGCTCTGTTCACTGTAGTGGTGGATGGAGGAGCCACGTTTTCAGCAATTGATTATTGCAAAGAGAATCAAGTGTTACTTGCACATGGTCATATTGGTTTAGCTGATTCAGAGATGAAAAGCAAACGTATCGCTATTACGAGACCCTTGGGAGTGTGGTATATTGTCGCCAAATAGAACACACCATGAAATCAAGCGTCTCATGCGAAAAACACCTTTTGAGCATTGAAAAGAAATCCTTCAACAATTTTGGCACTGACTACACTAGTCATCCATCGGCATGAGAAGGATCCAGAAGAAAAATGAAGATGAAGAGGAGAATTCTGAGTTAGTAGAACCAGACTTGTTACAATTAGGTTCAAAGACAAAACTAGTCAATTGATAAAGCTAAGAACGGGAAACAGCTTGAAGGCGAAGGTAAAATAGGCCGTAGAATACTGCTCCTTCTCGGCCAGCGCGTCTATATTTCTGGCCATGTTTTAAGGACTTACCTCTATAGAGAGTGGCTAAGCGTAGGTTTCCACAGGAAGAAGAGATACACGTTTGTTGGAGAACTAGTTCTTTAACAACTTGTTTGCCATCATGGAAAAACACTGATCAAAGACTCCCAGGATATCTAACGAGACGGTCTTTTTCACAGAGTCTGCGAAAGATAAACCTCCTAATTTGAGAGCAAACCCTTTTCTGAAACTAATGCTGACAACATTATCTTTGTAGACATTATCCTCGGGTCAAATTGTGGCGCTCAGAAGCCGGCCAAAGCCGTTCAATGGCGCATATCGGCTCTTATAGTTGGTAAATCCACTCTTCTTCTACCAGACAGTTTTGGCGTCTATTTCTCGATATGGACAATGTTGCTCGAACAATTCTGTACAGTGGGAAGGTCTAGGCGTAAAAGTTACAGAGCGTTTCTGAGAATATCGCAAGAAATGTATCGAAAAAGCTACAAGCAGTGTACAGTGGCACACCGTTAAGATCAGCCTCAAAGGGGATCTTAACGGTTTGAAGCTAATATGAATTGAAAACAAGTGTAAGTAGATTTTGTATAGATCTATATGCTTTCTTATTTCTAAAGGTCCCACCAAAGGGTTGACAATCACTATTGGAATTTATTTGAAAATGATCTCAACTGGTCCGCTGTATTGACCAGCATACACGAAGAGCTGTAAGTAACTGTGGTTGCAAATGATCATCTTTTAGCTGTAGATTTCTACAACCCAACTGCTGAAAATAAAAGCCAACGTTCTTGGATCGCAATTTTGCATCTTCATTCTAGATACTATTTGCTACATTGCTACTGTCGATGCCTGCACCGAGTACGGCTTTGACAAGGATATTTACTCAGCGTTGATGGCCGAATGCAATACCCATTACAGTATCAAAGAGCATTCACACGAAATACAAGAATGCTTCATTGGTTTCCTCAAGGTACGCCGTGGCCTCCCTTGTTGTAATCGCTGTCAGGTGACAGACACAAGTTTTAAAAGATTGTCCTTCTTCCTTCGCGATAAGAATACTTGCTAGCATCTTGTTTAGTGATGCCTTGATTTGTTTAACATCAGAGATATACGGTGCATACTTTGTTCATTCATTGTTTACTGTTGTTAGCAACATAGAGGAACAATGACAAGTCCAAGTGCTATATTTCTCCCACGTATTGGTCATCTGTCAGATCCCATTGCACTACACCGTTTGTGCTACATTCATCGATTACGCGTACACAAGGAGAAGGTGATAGTGATTAAGTAGGCAAGGAATAGAGCCTCACATGCTGAACGAATCGTATAGCTATAGCAGTATTCATCAGTCTCGTACTCAATGTGATAAAACTGCCACGATATTGTCAACAACAAACTTCGTTGTTGCTATGGGCATTCTAATCGCCTTACTCCCAGTTAAGTCTAAAAATGTTTTAACTGGAGGAAGAAAAACACAGTTCTCTTGTAGCACATTGCAAGTGTGCTATAGCTGAATAAAGAACGAAAGCTCATATGCACTATTGGTAAGCATGCGATTATAATTGAGCAAACGGCGTGTCAAAAATAAAATAAGCAACCTGTCTGCTATATGGCTAGTCCTGCACTTGAAAAAGAAATTTTTGATGTCGGGTGGTGTAAAAGCGACATCTGACTTTATTTAGAACCGTTTTTTTTAGCAAAACCCTTCAGTCTTTTGTCTTCTCTCTACCAGATAGTCGATACGTACCCGCAACCCTCTCTCAAACCTTTTTTCTAATACCAGAAAGAAATCAACTCAAAAAATGACTACTAACTTGAACTTTGGTCCCGAATGGTGAGAAGAACCGCAATAGAAAATGGCTTCTTGCTTTTTGTTGTGAAAAAACGAGGAATCTAAATCATTTTGTTTTTGAATTCTAGGATGCGCGGAAGCCTTCCAAAGCGATCCAACACGCTCGATTCGCAAAATGCGCGCTCCTTGGCAACCTCTGGTGCTGGTGCTCGTGCAACAGGCTCAATCAACAATGCTCACGCATTTGCTTCCTTGGGTTCTTCTAATGCTCCACCGTCTACAACGGCTTTTGAAGATAATGCAACTCAACAACAACTTGCATCCGACGGTCTGTCGTCGTCCTCGGGTGAAAATCCTTTCAAGTACTCAAAAGACTTCATGTTAAGCCTTTATAAACCGGTGAATCCTCCAGCATACTTTGAACGACACGAATATGTGGCTGTTGAAGAAAGTCAAGGTCCATTGTCATTTGTTGATTTAACAGACGATGAGAGAAAGGCAAGTTGCTTCTATTCTTTCTTCTTTTGGCATGCTTATTTAAAATATATACGAGCATATATTATATTACATTATTTCTCTCCCGTCAAGCACAATCCATACCCCCTTTTTTTCCCTGTCTATTTTAAAAAAAAAACAATCAAAACTGACCTTAATTTTTTGTCTTTTTATATTTTTAGCTATTGGCTGGACCTGTTCACTCTGAAGTTGGACGTCGCATTATCTCTTCGAACAATGAAAGGGGAAACAATGGACAGCGAAATAATAACAACAACCATCGTGACATGTACAACAGTCCGTTGCACAGCCCAGCATCCGAAAACACGCCCGGTACACCTGGTAGAATGAACATGTCACGTTCTAAAGGTAAGGAAAAGAAAAATTAAAATGGGTCGGTTTGTTGATCATTTGTGGGAGGATGGCGCAAACTGACGATTTTATACAACATGATCTTCAGGTCGTATGCACGACTATTTCTCGCGAGACCGGGATCAATATACTAAGCGACATGATCATGGTACGTGCAAATATTGCAATGTTCAAATCACAGTTGGATATCTTCACTTACAAAACATGTATGCGCTTCATCAGACGGCGTAAGACAGCGCGAGCTTTCTCAGTCAGATGGTTTGGGTACAATCTCACCTAGCAAGTCGCGCGACGGCGAACAAGAAGAGCGTCCAGCATGGGGATCTGTCAATCAGGACACCGTTGGCTCATTCGACAGCAACGGTGTATTCCGAGTTGGAGGAGGCAACAACGGTACTAGCGCATTTGAGGGTCGACGAGATTGGCAAGGAGGAGACAGAGGAGGGTTCCGTCACCAGGGCGGCGATGACTCTTTAAGAGACGCATTTGGTGTATCTAATGGAAACCAGTTCAAGGGTGCTACCACTCCTACCAGCGGTTTATCCGACCACCTTGGTGGCATGAGTAATGCCAGTCCATTTGGTAGTGGCGTGGAAGACATTTCCGCGTCATCATCGATGTTTGGTAGTGGTGGTCCTGCACCATCCAAAAAGCAATTTGCCCAGCTCAAGTGGCTGTACTGTGATCCTCAAGGCACTGTGCAAGGTCCATTTGATGCTCAAGAAATGCAAGAATGGTACAAGGCAGGTTTCTTTGCACCCACGCTACTGGTACGACGAGAAGACGATTTGCAGTTTGAAAGCCTGATCTCGTTGATTCGTAAGGTTGGCACCGACGATGAACCTTTCCTGGCGCCGTTTCCTAACGAGCAACAGCAACCATCCGCCGATTCGCCCAGCCAGGCTGCGCTCAACATGGGTGCTGGCGGTGGCAGCATGCCTCCTCGCCCACGCACGCTCGACCCGTTCAACCGTCCGTTGGCAGCTTCCTCGCCGTTGGAAGCACCCGGCAACGGCCATTTTTACGGCAACTCGCCTCAATCAGGTGCTGATATCTTGTCGCCTCAAACCGGCGGAGGACTTGACTTCGGTAACAAGTATAATCCCCTCAGTGGTGGAGGTATGGCCAATTTGTCTACCAACTTTTTGCAGCAGCAAATGGGTCAAAACCCTGTGTCCCCACAATCACCATCACTCCTCCAAGGCCCATTCAACGGGTTCGGCTCGTCCCTACTAGGCTCTCGAGACGGCTCATCACCACTGTGGGAAAAGCCTAGAACACCTGCTTGGCTGAACAATACTAGCCAAAATCAAGGCGATTTGTTTGGCTCTAGTGATTTACCGGGTATGAATCCTTTATTACGACAACAGCAACAGCAACAGCAGCAGCAGCAGCAGCAGCATACGCTTAATCCGTTGTTTGGTCCAAACATGGGCTCTCCTGGTCTTTTCGATTATCAACGAGCAATGAACGACCAGTTTGGACAGCACCAACAGTACCTTCAAATGTTGCAGCAAAAGCAGCAGCAGCATATTCAGTTTCAACAGCAGTTGCAGCAACAGTTGTCACAGCAACAATCGCTTGATGCTATGATGCAACAACAACAACAACAGCAACAACAGCAACAGCAACAGCAACAGCAACAGCCGTCTCAACCGTCACCTTTGTCACAGACGGCATATGCCTCTGCCACAACAAATGAACCTATCGTCGAACACATCCAGCAGAGCAAGCCACAATCTGTTATATCCCCTCCTGCCACATCTGGATGGGGTTCTGCTCCTGGAACGCCAGTGGGTACAAGACGCCAGCCTACTACTCCTGCTCCTGCTCCTGTTGTTGAGCCTGTCGCCACTGAGCCTGAAGTCGAACGGGAACAAGTCGAGGAAATTGTTCAGCCCATGTCTAGCATGCATTTGGAGGATGAGGCCGTCAGCCCTGTTTTACATGCCGAGACATCCACTTCTGCTACCACAAACACCACACCTTCTGCACCCGCACCGCAGCGACAGCAAGAAGAGGAACAACAGTCGGCAGCACAATCTCCTGCACCTGCAGCTCCAGCTGCTGCCAAGCCTGTATCGCTTCGTGAGATCCAAGCAGAAGAAATGCGCAAGCAGCAGCAAGAAGCCAAGGAACAACAACAAAAGCTCCAGCAACAGCAACAGCAGCAGGCTAAAGCACAGAATGGCAATGGTTATGCAGCAACCGCTGGTAGCAAGAGTGGTTGGGGTAACGCCAGCTCGCCATGGGGTCGGGAGCAGGCCACCAAGGGTCCTTCCTTGCGCGAAATCCAAGAGATGGAAGCCAAGGAGGCCGAGTCGCGAAAGCAAGCCGCCGCAGAATCACAGTTCGCAACTGCTGCTGGTATTGATCGTTCGGGCAGCCCACCAGCAAACCTCTCGTGGGGTGTTGTGGCTCCCAGCAAGGGTGCTGCAACTGCTAATGCTTCCAGCTCATCACCCGCTTGGGGTGCTACATCGGCACCAAAGAAGACGCTTCGTGAAATCCAACAAGAAGAAGAGGAGGCATCCAAGAAGAAGGCCGCCAAGCAACAGGCAGCTGCTGCCGCTGCTGCTGCTGCCGCCGCATTGGCAAATCCAACCAACCTTAGCAAGGGTTATGCCAACATCGCTGGTACTGCCACAACAAAGGTAATCGAAGCACTGTTTGTTGGATGGATGTGGATAGAAAAAGGACAAAGGAACTAAAACGACGGGCTTTTGCTTATAACGTAGGTTTCTCCATCTGGCGGTGGTTGGACTACTGTAACGAGCCAGCGCACGGCTCCCAAACCTGTTTCAAGCACGACCACCTCTTCTGTCAACAGCACCTCGTCTCCAATGTCGTCGTCGAATGCTGTCAAGCAAAGTGGATGGGAAGTTGTCGGTGTTCCCAAGGCAACTCCATCGGCTTCCATCGTCACTGCTCCAGCCTCAGCATCCCCAGTTGCATCAAGACCCGCCACAGCCGCTGCAGCTGCTGCAAGAAACGTCAACAAGTCTGACGAGCAGAAGCCTCCCAGTGAAGAATTTGTGCGCTGGTGTCGCCAGTGCCTGCGTGACCTGAGCAGCGGTGTCAATGGTAAGAAACAAAGAAAAGAAGAGCTTTCATGTGGTTACTTTATGCTAATACATCTGATCCGTATTTCCAACAACAACAACAACAACAACAGCCGATGAAATTCTGTATATGCTCCTGTCGTTCCCTCTGGACAACAGCTCAACCGAGATCATCCAAGATATCATCTATGCTAACTCTACTACCATGGACGGCCGTCGCTTTGCAGGTGAATTCATGAAGCGACGAAGAGCCGATCTCGCTGGCAAACTGAACGTGACCATTCCCATGATGAGCAACGCAGCACTGGACGATGACTTCCAGGTTGTCACCAAGAAGGGTAAGAAAAAGGCCCAAGCTTAAACAAGACTTTCCGTAGCACAAGAACAAGAAGAAACACAATAGAGGCAAGGTTGTATTGTACGTGCGCGTATTACATCTCCATCAAATAAAGAAAGAAAATTTAAAAAGCTCGCCTTTCTCTGCGCACATTGGTTTGCGTGTTTGGGTTTGGGTAACATGAATGAGGATGGTCAAAATATTTTTTCCACAAATGTAGACAGTGTATTAGTGGTGATTTCAAATGTTTCAAAACAGTCATTGAAAACAGATTTAGTACTTACTCCAGGGTCCGTGGCTTCCGCGCTGAGTAAAAGCACTGTCCTCTTGGCCCCAAGAAGATACAATCGTAGTGGACTTTTCGACTAATTCCTATCATTTTCTAATGCTAAAATATTGTTTTCAGGTTCCCCCTGTTCTTCTTGATGTTCTTGAAGTTGCGCTTGTTGAGGGAGCTGTCCACCTGGTGGTAGGAATGCCTCTGGTCGAAAGTCTGGATGTCCATCATTATTCATATAGGCTATGCCTATGCTTCTTATGTTCAATGCCGCATTTTTATCCCGGTCTACAATCTAGATGAGAAAACAAAACCCTTTTAGCCTATAATTAGGAAGAATCCTTCGTGGATTTAAAGGGTGAAAACATACCACAGCCTCTGGATAAAGCTCTGGATGGTTATTACAAGCTTTAATCTTCCACATCACCCAATCTATTATGGTATTCCATGCCAATTTAGTACAGCAGAACACAACCACTGATTATATACCTTATTAGTAGAAATTTGCCTTTACCTGGCGGTGGTGAGCGTGCCTGTATACAGTCACTTGCCGGATTCAGCAAATTGCCATCCTGGTCTTGACAGTACTTTATTTTCCTTCCTCTATTTGGAATGAAGCCGCCTTGAGGTCCTTGAACCGAGTACGTTGCACGTTCTCTTGTTTCTCTGTATGGATACATAGGTAAAAATGATCCCATCAGTCGTTGTAAGTGGGCTTCTTGAAGCGGGAATTATGTATAGCAATCAGATATTATATTATTACGTACCTGTGTCCGCAAACCTCCCCGTCATACGGAATACTTGTTAGCCGTTGCTGACACCCTGTGTGAACTTGAGAAGTGTTGTACTCGTCCGTCAGTATCAGCAGCATGTGTGAAGCCAATTTTTTAATTATTCCCTAAGATATATGTTACTCATAAGTGTATGTAGCAACCTCTTTGCGCATTCTCTCTTGTAAATATACTAACCAAATGGGGGATCGGAGCCCATCCCGGGAAATGCGGCATTCTGCTGGAGCTATAGAACACAATTGTTCGTTGTTGATTTGAGTGCCAACGCTCGCGTTCTCGCCTCAAGCGGGCAGCTCTTTTGCAAGATCGGTTTGCAAAACTTGAATATTGAAGTCAAAAGACCCAAATTCGGAAGGAGGGTAGAGGACCTCCAACTCAAAGTCGATTATTGGCTGAGATTGCTCCATTATAAACTTCTTCTTCACAGCAAATTGACTAGTGTGAGTCCAATGAGTGTGGTGCTGATATATAATGAAGTCTTGTTGAATCGTTGTCATGAGCTCAATGAAAAACATCAAGACTCAGCCACTACACAAGACAAATACTGGCCATTCTATGGCACATCCCTTTCCTAACCAGCACTTTAGTTTCTATTCTTGAGAATGCTTCAGTGGCCAATTTTTATAAAGTTGATTCCGAAAGATAAGTAAAAGAAAATAAGTCAGTGAAATAAACTAAAAGACTTTTTATGGCACCTGCCTCTTCCCCTTTCTGTGCCTGATTTTGATCTGCTTTTCTGATCCTTATACCTTTTTATAAGTCAAAGAGAACTCTGCCTTTTCCTACTGCCACAACATGGAGCATCAGCATTGCCTCATCGGATTCACACTAGTTGATTTGCTATAAAGACGTTTATATGTAATGGAGCAATCTTAGCCAAATTGACTTTGAAAAAATTGTGGAGGTCCTCTACCCTCCTTCCAAATTTGGGCAAGAAGCAACAAATGGTAATTTTTAAAGAGCGATGACATTTAAATTTTATCTAAATTTGCATAATATTTTTTTTAAAAATTGAATTTTTATAATATATATAAAACTAATATCAAAATGGAAGAGACACATAAAAAATTTACATCAAAAATAAAAAGATCAATTATAATTAATTTTATGATTGAAAACAATATTAAAAATGTTAATATTCTATATGATGAAAAAAATAAACAAATTGATTTTGAAATATCATAAAATAATGAAAATGGTTAACAAGAAGAAAAATATCAAGAATATTATAAAATAACAAAAGAAGAGGAAGTAAAAGAAAAAAATACAATAACAATAAAACAAAAAATTTATCAACACCATCTGTTATAGATGATAGTTTATTAGAAGGTAATGATGTATTAGTAAGTAATGAAAATTATAATAGAGAAAAAAATATTGATGAGCTATTAACAGATGGATAATAGTGAAATAGAAGATAATAACAATGATAGTAATAAACGAAGTCTTTCAAATCTTAGTACTCCTGATATTAGTAATACTAAAAAGAAAAGATATAATAATAATAATAAATGTAGAAATTTTGAATACAATGGATGCTATGTAAAAGAAGATAGTAATAGAACATATTGTGAATATTGTTTAGAAGATGGTAATTCAGATGATAATAATTCAGATGATGATAAAGAAGATGATAGCAATTTAGATGATAATAAAGAAGATAATGATAGCAATAACATTAATAAAAATTTTCAAAGAGAAGAATATTGTTTACAATTATTATACAATATATTAATGTATGAAAAGAAATTATTAAGTGAAAATAATACCAATAAATTAAAAAATGTGGATATAATACTGTATTTGATAGAATAAAGAGTATTTTTATTGATCTTGGATTTTCGTTTGATTTTCATTATAATACATAATAACTGTTTTTAACACTTCAAAGAAATTATGATGGTATATTTTTCTAAAAGCATATTCTAAAAAATACAATGTATATAGCTCAGAATCTTTTTTTATATTGGGCATATGTTTTCTTAAATGCATCCAAAAACCTTCCATACTATTAGTATGTATTGTTGAATCATTTAGATCCACAAAATATTTCGAATGATCAACTGCTTTATGAATATATCCCATCTTGTTTAAGCTTGTATAAGATCGTAAACCATCAGTGATTATAGTTGTTCCTTGATAAACTTGATCCTTGATTATTGGTAATACAGTAAACCCCCGTTAAATACAACCGAAGATTTTTCTGGAAAAAGTTGTAATTAGCGAGGGTTGCATTTGTCGAAATGGATCAACGTTTAGGCTGTGGTCCCCGACCATTCGCCGAGAAGTTTTACCTCGAAAAAAAAAGGAACTTATTATCACTTCCTTCAGTTTCTTGATCGTGCTCTTCTTTCGCATTATTATCATGGCCAAAACACGTCGAGAGCGTCGTAGAAAGAACGTATCATTCACCATTTACAGTGGTCCCCCGCTTTTTGCAGCCCCACTTTTTACAGATCCTCAGTTTTTGCAGATTTTTTTGGAGCATACCCGCTCATCACTTAATAAAATTGCAGTTTCCTCACTTTTTGCATTTTGCAGGCCAAAAATGGGGACCTGCAATTTTCCGCTATTAACTCGAGAGCCTGGGCCACAGAGTCTTGAACCAGTGACATCTACATGTAATGTTAATAGATAGCGTCCTTTTGCTCGTCAGTAAGCTTTGGGTATTTTGCTTTTACCATAGTGGTGTGGAGGTGTTGATAGTGCAGTATATAAACATCAAGAATGAGACGACAGCCTTTTATATAAGAGTTGATTTATTATAAGTAGCCTCAGTACAACACCGACACTTTTAATTGGTTTACTATCATTGACACTTGATTGACATAATAGACTCAGTCTGTGTAACATCTCATACTCATCCTCACTTTTTGCAGTTCCCCACTTTTTGCAGTTTTTTTCCACCAAAAACCGCTGCTGCAAAAAGCGGGGGACCACTGTATCAACGTCAGGAGCTGTTCAAGCATTACAAAGAAAAAAACAAAGCGAACAAGTTTACCTATTCAATGTTAATTTCCTGGGCAACTACAAGGTTCAAACTCGAAAACTCTCCAGACAAGTCAACTATTTCAAGGCTTATTGCGCGCATGGAAAGGAAGAGGAAGAAGGCTTCAAAAGGGCAGATTTCCCGTATGTTTCGATAAAATAATAATTGCAATAATCAATTTAGACAGTATAATTTTAACGAGCTCAAAACACATGGCTACAACGTATATAGGAAGTCGAGGATGCTGTAATGCTGTGGATAAACGTCGCCGAAAACAATCATATACCGGTCACTTGGAGCATGGTTCATACTAAGGCGGTTAACTTTGCAGAACGCTTGGGCAAGGATTTCAAAGGGTCGAACGGGTGGATGCACCGTTTTGCTCGACGTCATGGGCTGCGTAAACATACACTTCATGGTGAAGGCGAATCTGTTGATGCGAATGCCATTCTCGAAAACAGGGACAAAATACGCGACAAACTTTCTCAATATGATCGACGTGATATATGGAATATCGATGAAACAGCATTGTTCTTCACTGCCCAGCCTCGGACTACCATCGCCCAAAAAGGGTTCTCTGGATTCAAGGAAAACAAAAAACGGCTCACGGTTGCTCTTTTGTGCAATGCAGACGGCTCAGAAAAATGGGAACCGATGATAATTGGCAAACACAAGAAACCTACATGCTTTGTGGACTCGACCGGCAAGCGAAAAGAAGCGTACGAGCTCGGTTTTCGGTTTTACTTCTATAATCAAAAGGCATGGATGAAGCGAAACATTTTCGAGCACTATATCACGCGTTTCGATAAAGCCATGCGTTACCAAAATCGACGTGTCTTACTTGTTCTTGACAACTTTAGCGGCCATGCTATTGATGCTGTGCTCACGAATGTCGAATTATTATTCTTGCCGCCAAACACTACTGCAAAGCTACAGCCGCTCGATGGTGGGATCATCCGAGCTTTCAAAGCTCATTATAAACGAATGCAATTTGATAAGGCCTACCGTCAAATAAGTATGACACAAATAGGTCGTCCAGAAGTCGTTGGTCCGGTTGAAAAATTGTTCGATGTCAGCCAATTGCAAGCCATGAGGTGGATTAAAAAAGCCTGGGACAATATAAAGCGAGAAACAATTGTCAGTTGCTGGATGCTAGTATTTATCGAATGACGGCGCAAGAGGACGACGCATCACCTGAAGCAGTCAATGCCATTACGCATCAAGACCTTTTCATGCAGCAACATTTACAACAACAAATCGAACAAATTGCGTCCATCGGAAATATCAGCATCGACAAATGTCCAACATCTGAAATTGATCCTGACCATGAACGCCAGATAATCCATGGCAATTACAGTGACGATGAAATTATAGAATTAATTGCAGAGGACATGCAACAAATATCTACAAACGAAGAGTCTACAGCCACGGAATCCGCCAACAATCCAAGCACCAACATTGTTAACTTGTCTGCAAGAGAAAAGGCAACGACCATGCTTACCTTTTTCATATTTTTGATGCCGAAGATAGTTTGGATAATGACATTGTTGCTGCACTTACAGCACTTACCACCCTCCGTACCAAGCTGGTACAAGAATTATACAGCCAACAATCCCGCTTGACGCGATTTTTCTCTTCTTCCAATAGAAATTAACATATAATAAAGGACAAAGCTGATTAAATTTTTAATATCAACACCCTTCCGATGTGGTGAAGTTTCATTAAAGCGGAAAAGTTGCAAATTCACTATGTTTTGAAAAGATTTTTTCTGAAAACGTTGATATTGATGAGGGTTGCAATTATAGGGGGTGTATTTAACGGGGGTTTACTGTAATGCTGACATTTTTCGATTTTGAACAGGCACCAAAAAGAACAGATTTGAATTTCTTTGATAACCGCCTAATATCCACATATGTTTTCTGTATCGTTTATGCTTTGCAGTAGTAATTTTTGTTTTGCCAAAACAGCATATGTCGATTTCAACAATTTCATCTTGTCCACCAATTACATTTTTCCATAACTCTTGATTGTTAAGGATCCATGTTTTTATTGCAAAGCGTATTTTTGAATATAATCGTGTAACTGTTTCATCATCAATTCCCATTTGTAGAGACACTTTTATAGGAGAAGGATCTATATATAAAATAATAAATTAATATTATATATGTTATATTATAAAAAATACACACCAATCATCAATTGATGTAATAGTTCTACTATTTGTATTGGTCGTAGATTTGTTTTTTCAAATAATGTTTCGGTAAATACACCTTTTCTAATATTATCTGGATAACAATAAAATCGATATCTTTGATAATATTTTCCAATAGATAATGGTTTTTCGCATTTTTTACAAATAAAAGGTTTTATAAGTCCTTGCTTTTGTAAATAGATTATAGCTTGTTCATCGTCGTAAAGTGTTCGAAATAGTTTTTCATTTGATTTAAACATTTTGATAAAGAAAAAGAAAAAAAGTGTTTTATGAAAAATCAAAAAAAAAAAAATTAAATATAACTTTATATATTGAGGTTCAATCCATAACAATTAATTTTACTGTAAACAGTAAATTAATTTTAGTTATTCCTTTCACCCCCGACTCTAAATCTCATTGACGAGTTAGTTTTCGTCCTTCGTCCTCAACTAAAGGGGGGGTATGCTCACTACCGCTCCGCTACTTTTCAAATTCAAGATTAAACATTAAAGGATATAACTCTTTTAAAGGTTTAAACATGTTTCTACGAAACCTAAACATTTTAAAGAATTAAAAAAAAGTTAAAAATAAAAGTTAAAAGTTTAAAAAAGAAAAAAATTATAATCTAATTTTTTATTTTTCCTAAATATGTTTAAACAAGGATATATCTTTTAATTAATGAAACCTTATAAAGAATTACGGTTAAGGATTACCCCCCATTTTGTGTAACTTACCAAAGAGCGCTTGTAACCCAAATTTGGTTCATTTTGACTTCAAAATTCAAGTTTTGCGAGTTTATATCAAGTCATGCTGAGTGTTGCTCTTTACTCTTTCCCAATCGCCTACCACACGCCAGCTTCATTTTGCTCAAAAAAGAATGCATGGTAAGTTACACTAGAAGCAAATGAGGACTTCCCAAGTAGTAGACAGTAACCCTCTGTATTTTTTTCTAGATGACCAAGTCAAGTACCAAAGATCCTTTTCGCTGATCAAGATGTGACTTAATGGAAGTCACAAAAGGTTCGCGCCTGGGAGCAATGGCATATAGTACGAGTAAGAAAAAGGAAATCACAAAAACTTGTGCTCACTCATACATCTCTTTTAGAATGCAGAACAGTATTATCTTCACCATGTGGATCCAGGCACGATGATTGACATTGGACAATTTAATGTTGCACAGAAGGAACAACTTCCAAGAAAGGCTTCAAGATTGGGAGAAGAGAAATCTCGTCCAGAGTTCTGTGTGGGGGGCATTTTCTCTTTCAATACCAGGCAGGACTGGAGTACAGTGCCGCGAACGCTACAAAAACATGGTCAAGGAAGGGACTACAAGCAGTTCAAACAAATCTTCATCTATAACTACTGCGGTACTGCCTGACACTGAATTATCCGAATCGTGGGGAACCTAGGAAACATGACAACTCGAGAATCACATCGACTGCGTTTATCAGCAATCGCATGGAAAGAGGTACTCCTTCTCTACTGTTATTTACCAGGGGTTTTGATACACTAAGAGTATGATAATCTAAAACGTTCTGTCCTATAAAAGGCGAAGCCAAGTGACATCAACATCAGCAGCCAGACAAGCAGTCGAACTACAAACAAATGGCTTGCCATTTGATTCCAAAATACCACCAGCTCCAGCCCATCGACCCGTACGTCCAAAGAAAGACGTGCCCATTTTGTTAAAAAATCTTTTGTAAAAAAGCTAAAGCCACTTCTCTTTTGTTTGAGGAACACCCAACATGCAAGACGAACAAGTGAAAAGAGTTAGATTAGTCCTGTCACAAAAATCTATGAATTTGGATGAATAAGAGTCTTCTGTTATTATAGTACTGGGAGTGGGATAAAGACAAATAAGCACGTTTGTGCTTCATTGTCATTCATTTACTGAACGAGTATCTTCGATATGTTATTGTCTGCACTCAAAAAACATGACATACTTTGTTGTCAAAGCTCAGCTTTATTGGCGAACTCAAATATATCAATGTCTAATTTCATTGGCTCGCCCAGCCTCATACGTACTATTCCTGGAGACACCTGAAAAACGGTGTAGTCCCCCCATCGTGTACTAAGCAGTCACTGGTATACAGGATTACCAAAAACAGCATTTTGTGCGATGATGTACTACACGAACACACGATCGGCATAAGATAAATAGCAGAATAACAGTCACTACACGATTACACACTATCTCGTAAACGGTGCGATGGTGTAGTTCACAGTCACACAGCTGGTGTTGTAGTGCCCGTTTTGCTTGTATCGCCTTTCGATGGTACCTATCTTTTGTCTTGTCTGGATAATATAAAACAATGCATTTCAAAGCTTCTTGTGCCCAAGGCTTTTACATAAAACAAAGTGCTACAGAAATTGACCCTACTCTCGATTGCTTCGTCAATCTCGATCTTAACGTTGGTTGGGCGAAAAAAATTGTCAATAGCAATCTTTAAACGCGAAATGGAAGATCATTTGTTCGATGATACTCTGTCATACACATATAACCTGACGAAAGAAGGATTCCGCATAGATGCATCGAATTAAATGCGCAACTTTGCTTACCAGTTGGTCACCCAGCTTTATCATGGACGACGACCTTACAAACGAGGACTAATGTACGATGTTGTTAATTTTGTTGCTGATTTCCAGGAACAGACATCACAGAAATTATGTGATTTGTTCACTTTTCCATTACGCTCGGTACAATTTGTGCTTTTATGATAATGAGCACTGCTGGTTCACTGAAACAAAGTTCACGAGTATGCCTTGTTTAATAACGATTGTCCCAAACAAGGTCGATAAATCCGCTCTATCAACACCGTCGAAACGATTTCAAGAGGCGGTTATGGACATGTTTGGTATAGCCTTCCACGCAATAACCCCCATTCATTTGTATCGTTGGAAAATTGAATAGCGTACCAAGAGGAGCTGATATCATTATGTTCCCATATAGGATTCAAATGTAATTTCAGCAGTGTCAATTGCATGCCAAGATACACTCGACATGTCGTAACGGGCTTCAATTCAAAACAACAGCAATCATTGACAATAACGGGGATCAGTTTCTCGCATGTCTGGCAATTTGACACGTCCCGGAATCCGTATTGTCACAGAAGTTGAAAGCAGTATATAGAAAAATATAGTTTACCACAAATATAATCAATAAATATTATTATTATGATCCATATGCATGTCAACTACCTGTCTATACACGATGTAGATACAGAGATACATGATGAACAGGCGGATACAGTCAATCGTGACTTGCATGACCGCTTAGTACACGATCAATGGCTGCACACAGACGTTTGACCGTGTAATCGTCTAGTAACTGCTGCTACACCATCACACAAAATGCTGTCTTTTTGATAATCGTGTATCACGGTGACTGTTTTGTACATGATGGGGGGACTACACGATTTTTAGTGGGATCCCTATTCCTGCCCGTGTTTGCATTCAAATTTTACTTTTCTGTTTCCGCTCAGTCGTCCTGCTTGAACGAGCAATAACAAAACCCTCTCTTTCTATTTGTGTGTGTGTGTGTGTGCACCCCCACCGCTCTCCTCTTTTTTGTTTCCAGTGGAAAAAAAAAAATGAATTTTAACATCTTCAAACCGAAGCAAAAGACACCACACGATTTGGTACGGTTGACTAAAGATGCCATTAACAGACTCGATGGGCCTGACCGACGCAAGGTAAATTATTTGTCGCCAAGTTCTGCAATTTTCTCGAGATGGGTTTTTTGTCCCTTTCCCTTCTTTGTCTCTGTCTCTCTTTCAGGCACAGCTTTCTCTTCCTCGGGGCAACTACCCACGGGGAGCCAATATACGTAACATACATAGACGCGCCTCTATAGTGTGTGAATACACTTACTGTGCATACAGTCACTCTATGTGTGTGTATTTCTCACAATATACATGTGCGTGTGTCTATATGTGATGCGTATATTTGCTTTCTCTTTCGAATGTCACGTTACTTTTCAAACAACGAGAGAAAAGCAGGAGGAGGGGAGACACGGGAGTAGTAGTTAAACTTGAGGATATTCAACGATGATCGTTCGTTAAAAAAGAGTCAAGGAGAGCTTATACTAACGTTTTTTTACGGGGCGACTTTGTGTTCTCTATTAGGCAAATGAGGAGATATCAAAACACCTCGTGTCCATGAAGACCATTCTCTATGGTAACGTTTGTTGCTTAAAAGAAATACAGAACAACAGCACGAGCAGCAGCATATGTGTATAACACGGACTATATATCGGATGTCGTGGTTTTGGGGTGTGGCTTTGGGTTTGGTGAACTATATAGACAGTGATCCAAGTCCAGATCTGGTTGCACAGTTGGCACAAGAAATCTACCACAATGACCTATTACAAGGGCTCGTAATCAACATCAGCAAACTCGACTTTGAGGTAAATATCTGTTGCTGGTGGAAATGAATGGATTTGGGTGCAAAAGAGGAGAGAGAGAGAGAGAGAGAAAAAGGATGCATCACTGCATGTACTTTCTGAGCTAACAAAATACAATTTTACTAGGCAAAGAAGGACGTAGCACAAATCTTTAACAATTTACTGCGAAGGCAGATAGGATCACGGTGGCCCACCGTCGAGTATCTTTGCACACGAGAAGACTTGCTGTTTGCTTTGCTGCAAGGGTAAATTCATTCTTTATTGGAAAAGGATTAGTGGTTAGAGTGGCCGGGGGTCCTGTGGTGTGTGCTGTGATAAGAGTTTGTGCTGATTCAACGGATTTTTTTCCTTTTGGATACAACAGATACGAGCATCCCGAAGTCGCATTGAATTGTGGATTAATTTTACGCGAATGTTTGCGAAACGAAGCACTTGCCAAGATCATTCTTTACTCCAAAAAGTTCTACCTGTTTTTCGACTATGTCGAAATGAGCACGTTTGATATTGCCTCTGATGCCTTTGCGTCGTTCAAGGAAATCCTAACAAAGCATAAGCAAATGGTGGCCGAGTTTCTGGATGCAAATTACGATGAGGTCTGTACTACAAAAATATCAAGGGGGGACCAGACATATCATTCTAGTTCACTGACATCAATGATTCCTTACTCCCGCAAATATGTAGTTCTTTGAACATTATCGTCGATTGTTGACCTCATCAAATTATGTCACAAAGCGCCAGTCGCTCAAGGTAAATGGCAGTTTTCGGGTATCCCGAGGAAACAGTAAGAATCAAGGGAACACATTCTGACACTCTTTGCCTTTTCAAAAAGCTACTGGGAGAAATTCTCCTGGATCGATCCAACTTTAGTGTGATGACACGTTATATCAGTAATGCCGAAAACTTAAAGTTAATGATGAACCTCTTGCGTGATCGCAGTCGAAACATTCAATTCGAAGCGTTCCACGTGTTCAAGGTAAGAGAAAGAACCAAAGCATGGGGAGGGGATGGGATGGATTTTCTTTTTCGCACAATATTTGTAGCGGAGCAAAGGAAAAGAGTTACTGAACATGGAAACTGTCCGTCCATCTACTATAATACAGGTCTTTGTGGCCAACCCTAACAAGAACAAGCCTATTCTGGATATCCTTCTTAAAAACCAAGAAAAGCTGGTTGTTTTCTTGAGCAATTTCCATAATGATAGACAAGGTAATAACATTTTTGCAGAGTGGTATGGATGCGCACAATGTTCCATAGAGTCATTTACTGAATGCAATCATGATCTATCTGTACGTTGCATAGACGACGAGCAGTTCAATGACGAAAAAGCATTCCTTGTGAAGCAAATCCAGGATCTGAGACCCGTTAGTGAATAAAACAGAATAAAAGCAAACACACATACCTCTCTTTATATCTTCACCAGTATCCGATTAGTGCGCCCTTTTTGCTCTATACTATCCTAGTATGGTGTATACATTTGTTAGCTTTTAATAACGCATGCTTCTAGTACTATATGTCAGCTAAATAGCTGATAGTTTCTTCACATAGGACATATTAAACTCGGGGGTGAGCATATAATTATGGAGAGGGAGGAGAAACTAGTAGAAAATAAGCATGTTGAGCTGTCAAGGAGCCGTGCTTGTCTTGGACTGACTTGGCGCTGCTGTTGCCACAGCGAACACGATAAGAGATAAAAATTCGGCGGAGACGAGGACTTGCTCTCTATCTCCTTGGCTTTCAAGCAAACCCAGCTTCTCTTTCCTTCTACTCTCTTTTCCACTTTAATTGATTTACAAATTAGTTGGAAAAAGATTGTAATTTAAATGCTAAAATTCAGTTGGTACTCATCCGCACTCGAAGACGACGTTGATAAGCAATGCGGATCGAGTCACGATACAATGACAACCTTCATTAGCATCTTTTTATGCATCGGGCTCGTCGTATCGTATATGCCGCAGGTAAACTCAGCGCTCTCGTCTCGCAGTAAAAACACAAGAGGAGTGAGGGCAAAAGTGTATAAGTGGGATAAAAATGTAGCACTTTTTTTTCGAACCTGACACGTTACCATATATTGCAGCATTATCGTATCATTGTCAACAAAACCAGTGAGGGGTTTAGTGCCTGGTTCCTCCTACTAGGTGTCGTTTCATCCACCTCCAGTTTTTTGAATATCATTCTGCTTCAATGGGATGCTGTCGTCTGCTGCAAGTCACTGGTACGTATATTGCGAGAATTAACTGTTGTTGATGGAGGGCGGGAAAGGAACGCTTTAGTGCGCAGCTAATACGCTTATTTCTCTCTCTCTCTGTCTCTCTCTGTCTCTCTCTTTATTTCGTGGCGGTTGCTCTTACTTTTCTAAAAAAAAAAAAGTCTACTGGAGCATGTCTTGAAGGCTTGCTAGGCGTATTCCAGATTATGCTTCAATGGGCCATGTTTTCACTTGTCTTCATCCTGTTCTTGATCTACTTTCCGGAAAGCCACAAAAGGGTGAACAATCTGGACTTACCAGCCAAGTTGCACGACATGACTAACGAATGGAAAACGGCCCTCTTGGTTGCTATTATCTGTATTGGCCATTTGGCGATTTCTTTCTTTATCACTGTAATATTGTTGGCGGTCGTCGGAAGCCCTTCAGAACACTGGCAAACTAACTACTGGGCCGGCTTTTTGGGCATTGTCAGCATGATTCTGGCTTCTTTCCAATATTTGCCACAGATTGTAAAGACATGGAAACGCAAGGTAAGAGTACAATTTATATATCCTTCATTAATATCATTTAATTGAGCTACTATGTGAATAGGCGGTAGGCGCTTTAAGTATACCCATGATGCTACTCCAGACACCAGGTATGTTGAAAACTCTTCTGTTGCATGTAGATATGATGATTACATGCTAACATGAAGGAAACAACAGGCTCTGCACTTTTCGTTTATTCGTTGGCAGTTCGCCCAGGAACCAACTGGACAGCATGGATTACATATCTTGTCACTGGAATTTTGCAAGGCACACTGCTGGTGATGTGTATTGTCTGGCGTATCCGCAACAAGCGCCTCGGTATTGACGATCTCCATGGCACCCGCATCGTCAATGAAGAAACACCGCTTTTGCGTGACGATAACGACAACAACAGCAGTTAGCTTGAGTTTACATCTATCGAGCTTGGATGCAATGTTGATTGATGTAAAAGAAGAATGACGATGTTTTGTATACCATAGCTTAAACAGCAGACAATGTTATTTAAGTAAACATTCATCATATACAACCCTTTGCATTGTGATAATAGGTGGGCTAGTTCTGAGATATGAGCTTTATTCTAAAGAGGTTGATAAGTTGACTTCCATGGCAGCACATCCGCTACAACATGCATTAATTCGCTGGGATTGACAGCGCTAGTATCCCGTCTCAATTAATTCCTCTCCGCCTTTTCCCAGTGTATACACGAGATCTTGTTCCTGTCTTTTCATATATATATATATATATATAAATGGCAACCATTGTCGACGTAATCTTTGTAGGCACAGGCACTTCTGGTGCTGTGCCTAATGTATCTTGTCTTACGGATCCCAAGAAGAAGTGCAAAGTGTGCACGTCTGCCATGACGCCTGAGGGCCGGAAAAACATGAAAAAGAATACCTCCATGATTGTACGATATCGGAAACACGACGATCCTCCTAATGCAAGACTTCGGTATGTCTCGAAAGCGACCTTTTCATTCTCTTTCTCTCCTGTATAGAAAAACATAAATAGAGTGGCAATAAGCGATAGTCACTGCGAAATTCATACAATGTGAATCAATGAGATCTTGCACACACCTTATCCCTAGTGGGTTATTCTACGTGAAACGGCAAGCTAACTAATTCTTTTTTCGATACATAGCACCGTATTGATCGATTGTGGCAAAACATTTTACGGTAGATATTTTGGCTTTTTGTTTGTTAAAGTCGCACTCTATCAGGTACATATTTCTGATCGTTTAACGCATCTGTACAAATAGACAGCGCGTTGCATATATTCCCTCAATACGGTATTCGTGAGCTGGATGCAGTAATCTTGACCCACGGTCACGCAGATGCCTGTTACGGTATGGATGGTTTGCGTCAGTGGACATTGGGTGGCGCCATCCAGAAATCAATCAACATTTATCTGTCGGATGAAACCATGGAAGTTATCCAGAGAACATTTCCCTTTCTCGTCGACGTTCGCCATGCCACAGGTAATATTATTCTCTGAGATGGGCACTATTTTTTGTATTACAGGATCACTGATATTTGCTCTGGGTCATCCGTCTTGTCAAGGTGGCGGTGATGTAGCCACGTTTGAATACAAGGTCATCTCACCGGATACACCATTCACCATCCAGGGGTTAGAATTCATGCCTCTTCCAGGTTAGTTCACCTTATCGAAGATTACTTGCCTGTTTTCCAATGGCGAACCAAAAACGAAAGTATGCTAATATACTGTGGCTAAATCAGTACACCACGGCACATATCTCTCCACGGGTGAACCTTACTGGTGTTACGGATTCAAAATGAATGACATCAGCTACATTTCCGACACCAACTATATCCCACCGGAAACCATGAAACGTATCACTTCCTCACCGAACCGCATATTCGTCATTGATTGCTTACGAAGTGAGTACAATACAGAGACCCCCTTATATAAGAAAACATAGTGCTAATCAATATGTATACTTCATTATGGTCAATAACAGTGGAAGTGACGCACGCGTCACATTTTGCCCTTCCCGACTCTTTGGATGCTGCAAGACATGTTAGGGCGCTTAAGACATACCTTGTCGGTAGCACGCACCGAGTGGATCATTACGGTTTGGAAAAATCACTCGGAGAATTGGCCACTTCTGAGGGCTTACATGTAGCACCAGCATACGATGGCTTACTAGTCGTATTTAACGATGATGGTACAATGACAGAAAAATCTTATATAGACCCAGAGCCTAAAACTGTACGTCCTTTACCCACTTCAAATAAATAGAAAGAATTACATATAGAGTGAGAAAAACATTACAGTATATGACATGGATCGAATGGTTCTATTCTATAACATCATAGCTTTTTCCACTGATAGAAAAGTGGTGTGATAGACATTGTGTTTGCATGACAATGACAAAGGGCTGAGGTTGAATTTGTGTGCGTGCTTGGGTGTCTGGACGAGGAAGATCATTTTTAATCAAGATGATATTATGCATAAGCGATAGAGTTACATGTATCCATGTAAATTAGTAGTTGGTGGTAGTGATGGGCGCTTTTTTAAAGATGAGGTGTTTCGTTTTTAAGAGTTGACTATGGTTGCATAGTGCCTAAATAGGGTAGCTCTTTGACATTCCACTCACAAGTGGAACTACTAACCTCAGCAATTGCAGCCTCTTGAAGCTTTTCATTCCCATTACAGCCTGAACGATTTCACCGCCAGTCAATGTTGGACGCACAGCAGCCATATCCGCTCTGGAATATCAGCATTAAACATCTTAACATTTGAGGATACACAGCCATACGTATCCTCTGTTGTAATCTGCTTTACAACCTCCTTGTGAGCATTGACCAATTCGTCACTTGTTGTGTTACTTCTAGCAATTATCGCATCCAGGATATTGATTTTTTTGAAACAGTTGAAAAAGGTCTCCTTCAATATGTTTCAGTTGACAATAGAATTATTATCTAGTAAATATTCACACTGATGTATAGAAACTGTTTGTCCGCCATTAGTGTGTAATCATTGAGGCTCACAGCTATATTTTCCCCCTAAAAAGCGCTGTCGTGATTCGCAGCCACCCGCTTTTTGCAGCCTAATTACTTTTTTTGATGGCCTGGAGGCAAAATTTATTTCCAACAGAGTGTCCAGAGGAGTAAGTGACTATTGGTTGTGAATACATGTATGAGAAAATGTGGGAAAGAGAAGTGACGGAATAGAGAAAACTGTTTATGTGTGCGGTGGTAGATGGCAGTGGCATGAGCAGCTACTGCCTACGCAGCCTAATTACTCAAAATCCCATGGTTGCAAAAAGCGGGGTTTGACTGTATCTATCATTCTTCCTCACCACTTATGTAATATGCTTTATGTTACGCACCGATCAAGAAATCTATAATCACTAAACAGAAAATAAGATTAATAAATGCATATATGGACGTTATAAAAGTAAGTACTTTTGCTCCTACAGAAAATAGCATTTATTATGAGCGTAAGCACGTCGGCTTCAATATCATACAGTAGTAACTGCTACGCACAAAACTAGTCAGTGACAGATTGTTCTGTGCAAGCACGGTAATACTGTTGTTGTCTGGTATTGATTCAATCCTTGTGTCTCCATGTGCTGCTACAAGCCCCGAAGATGTCCATCAATCACCTGTGTTTAGCCCGCGCTACTCCTGCCAAATCTCTTTTAAAAGATAGCCATGCGCGGGGAAGAAAAAAACTACTATCTAGTACGTAACAGAACGCTATTTATGCAGTATGTACAACTGTTTTGCTGCGTTACTGTTCGCTTACATTTGACTATTCATCCCTAGATTCTTTTATATCACTTGATAGAAAAACTCTTGTAGCCCAAATTAACGCATATATTTACGTCTTATATATCAAGCAATGGAAATAACACATGCTTTGCGCTGTTGTTGTTCGTTATCTTTTACAGCTATTTTTTCCCCGGAATCAATGCTGAAGAACACTCACCCTTGCTATCTCTTTGTTCATGTTTGTTAATGTTCCTGTTTAGATTCCTTTTCGCCCAGGCTTTGTTGGCACAAGGGCATCGTAGTCCACCTCCACGCCATACGTCATTGCTTATACACATATTGAGGGTCTCCTTGTTTTGGTTATGCGTCCAGATGGGTCGTTTGTACAGATTCTATTGAATTGTTATACACTTTACTGTATTGCACATAAACATTATTGTACTTTCGGTAATGTCTCTCTTGCAGACTAACTACTCTGTAATTTGTCGGGCTACAAGGTGTTTCATCAATTGTTCGATGATAATGGGGAAAGGGCACGCCTCGCTTGAGCGTCGTTTGATACCGCAAGGCGTTATTAGCAGCGTGTCCAACGACGTACAGGGCAAAATAGAACTTATACCAAAAAACATTGTGAGGCCTTTTTGATCGATGAGATGATGGTGCGAAGTAGACGGGAAGCACCGCATTCACAAATGTAGATGATGATTGCCATGGTTTTCTTGCCCAAATATACGACGTTTCTTTTCCAATGGTTGTTGGAGATATTTCATGATTATTCTCATTATATTTGAAAACGATTCAACCCAAGTTTGTATGTTGACCAACGTTGTGATTTTCTTATTTCCACCGCCCATCTTGTTCCTTTGATTATGTATTTGATAATATGCTACTGTCCACACATTTATATGACCAAACGATTCCCCAAACATCATTATCCACTGTTGGGAGAACTTTCAAGAATTATGAGTATTTCTGTTAAACGACGATCCCTATTGGAGGGACAGATAGTCATTTCGGCGCTCATTATCAGCTATCGCCCACGGTATGCAATGCCTTTAAAAGCGATCCAAAGACGAAGTCCTTCTTGACCTATTGGTAAAGGTGACATGAGCTTGGTAAACATTTCCGTACACTGACCGGAACAGTGGCTCAAACCAAAAACGTAGCCTTGGAGCGTTCATTATACGGGAAACCCTACATGGTTTAAAGCAAACGCATGTAGTCCAAGAGCAAACACATATTACTATCCCTGCCAACTTCAATTGATATGCCACCTTGCCACCAGACAATGCACCAGTCGTGAATGGAATTGCTGCTGGGAGAAGTCTTGTAGCGAAGAAGCTGCTCGTCCCCAACACACTCTGCTGTGGCATCTAAAGACAAGACTTGGTAAAAATTAAGCGGACCTTAATTTATACCAAAAGGGACTATATGTTAAGCCAAGTGGGGCGTAATGCACAGTAAACGGTGCACCTAACGTATATAAAAAGCAACTGCAAAAGAGCAGGATTTTTCTCTCGGGTTTATTACAACATCATCAATTCGGAAACGACACGTAGTCTGCAAAGAGGCGATCAGAGACACAATATGTATTTTGCTGTGGAATTAGGCAACAATAGAGGAAAATTTGCTACGTCTCTCTTTTTTTTTATCACATAACGAAGGCTATGAGCGCGTACGCACAAACCCACAATAATGGCAAGCATAAAACGGACGTAAATCAGCAGGAAGAAAAGGTAGTCTACGAATGAGCAAATCAGGAAGAGCGCAACACGGATCTTTCTATTTTAAATAGTGACGAAGTGTTGCGTGTGTCAAACCTTGAGCGTTCCAACAGCTTTCCCTTGAAACGAAAACTATGTAGAGTGAAAGCGCATTGTGACGCAACGATTTGGCTAACTGACTTTGCACTCGAAATGCACAAAGGGATGGCGAGTGAACAAGGTGATGAATGGAGCAACGAGTTACGCGCAAAAGTGGTAAAAGTTGGAGGAAGTCATCGTTTGTAGTGTTATTTTTCTGATCGTCCCCATGGATCTTGAACGCTGCTTTAAAAGAAGGATGAGTCGAATTCACTAACGGCAGCGGATACTTATTATGAGCGGGTCAACGTATCTGCAGCAGCACATACTTGGGATGGAGGATAGAACTTTCAGAGAACTGTTGGCGGATAGCGAAAGTGGTAAAGCAACAGTTTGACGAGCACGGTTAAACATAGAAGATAACGGGTCTGTTTTATATAGTGCAGCGATGGGGGCATCTTTTTCCGCACACACATAACATCAAGTACCACACACACAGTCAAAAGATAATATCAAAGCACTGTGAACTACGCTATCTACACACGCTGTTTGCCTTGTTGGCTGAAGGACTGTAAACTGGCTGCTGGGTGGATTGTGTTCTCACTGTTCACTGATGGTGAATTGTCTGCCTTGTTAGTCACGCCTAATTCCGGCATTTACTGCTCACAGAAAAGCATTTCTTCCGTGAATGTACTTGCTCATTCGCATTCGTGTCTTTGTTTTCGCTTGACACGGTGCCGTGCACGGCCCCACTCACAAACAAGCGCCGATACCATCGTCGGAGGGTACAGCTCCGCATGGTGAGAGACACGTACCACTACCGCCGCAGCACACTTGTTTAGATGACCACCAAGTACACCCCCTTTCCTTTCCTTTTGTGATAGTCCCTTTGAGCCATATCATATGCTGAAAGCCATACTATTAAGCAAAAGCCAATGAAAATCCATGGAACTTGGTGGAACTTTTTGAAGTCCCGAGCGTGACAGTCAAAAAACGTCTATATAAAGCGAGCAGTTTCGCTTTTCCTTTCTTTTTCTTTTTCTTCACTTTAGTTCGTTTTGGAAAGGCGTTGGGCTGTATGCGCAGGGGTCACTGTCTGTGCTATGATCAGTTCCGTGCCAGTGCTGGCGATTGCTCAGAGTTTTCTGATGATTGGATGGGCTCAGTGGTCCGCCATGAAGAGATGACTGCAATGTACCAGTGCGGGTCAGTGGAGGGTGAGGAACGAACAGATTATTATTACTATTATTTATTACACACATTATTATACACAAATAAGAAAATGATAAACAAAATAAAACAATCTTTTTCTTTTCGCACTCTTCTCATAAACGTTTTTACCGCTTTATTATTTTTTTTTGCTTTGCCTTTTTTTTCATGTGCTTGACAAGTTCCTTATTTTTTTTTGCCCACCCACAGCTCCGTGCTAAACAAAGCGCAGAACAATGAAAGATGCCCTGTATCGTAGCCGACAGTAACACGATCACAACGCGCTTTATCACAATTTGACACTCCTTTTCACCTTCTGTGATCGCACAAATTACTTGTTATCACCGCGGATATGGTGCGACCCTCCTTGTTATTTTATAAGAGGCAACACCAGAGCATACGCCAACAGGCTAGTATAACTGCTAGATCTTCAAATTGGAAAGTCTGTTTTCAGCTGCTCGTCTCTCTCTCTCTCTTTCTTGCACGTAGCTTATCACAACAGGATTTTCTTGTCATTTTGGTTTTCACCTGATTCAGATGCAGAAAATTGCGCCTGTTTTTTAAGCGTGATTCTTGGACCAAACGTCACTTCCAAGAGGCGACAAGAAGACGATAAAGCTTGCGCAATGACCGTGCAAAAAGTTCTTATGCATGTTGACCGCGTTGTAAACTCTTTGGTCTGCTCGAATTTGTATCCTTTGAGTACAGTATATCGATGATGACGTCTTTATAATAAATGTAGTTTGATGTTAGTGAGTGGTTCTTATGTCAGTGTGCTAAGAAAACATTAAAGGGAAACAAAGAATCGGCAGTGTTAAGGTCAATAATAATGAGTAGATCTCGCTTGCATACTTTGATTTATGTATAGATACCTGCTTAATGGAATTGCTGAAGTTTGAGGGGCGCAAATGGATGCCTTCAATTCAACAAGCCATCTACGAAAGGAGCCATCTTGCTTGCTTTTTCCTATTTCTTCTTCTTCCAAATGAACTTGCACCTGGTGAATGTGTGATCCCGTAACTGCGGTGGTATTATCATTGCTGTCTGGATTATTCTTGTTGTTTTGCTTCTTGATTGAGCTATCGTCGCTACCATCTGATCATTTATAAATTTTATCACATATAAGCTGCGTTATTGTTCGTTTACATTAGACTATTCATCTCTAGATTCTTTTATATCACTTGATAGAAAGACTCGTGTAGCCCAAATCAATGCATAAATTTCACGTCTTTTATATTAAGATACCAACCATCCGCTCCGTTGCCGACCCCCCACACGCTCTTGGTCTTTCATCGTTCCTCGATTTAACTCACAAATGTCTCCGAGTACTATTTTTTGACTTCTTGTCTATATCTATTTTTTTCCCTGATACTTATAGGCAAATAAAAATTGACCCACGGTCATCTACCAAAAAAAAGGTGACCGTCGTATTTTGTCGATACTAGATTAATGTAGATTGGCAAAAACAACATAGACTCGGTTTTTCTCGAGGACCAATGGTGATTCAATGCCAAAGAATTAGCAATGTGAAGAAGCTCATTTTAAAATAGAAAATAATAACTGGAATCTCATCTGAGATACCATGCGAGAACGGACATATATAACGATTACTTAGGGTTGACCAAAACTCGTGAAAAGATTCTCTGTGGTCTCATGCCCGAAGGCAACAATTTCTAACTTCTCCTGAGAGCAGCGTCAATGAAACACGTATCATAGTATTTCATGCACTTGTTACATTTTACATTCTGTACTTTCATGTATAAGGGACAGATTCTTACTAATTCTTGTAGAAGCGCATATAGACGTTTTCAGGACAGTACCTCTCAATATTTTTGTGCCATGATCACGGCTCATAGTGCTATTACTGCCAGATTTAACCTGTTGACAAATATTTTGATAGTTTCTACACAAAGCTCATTAGATCCTACGACTTGCCGAAGGTGCGTGTCTCGCCTCATAATTAGCGCGATCCTCGCAAAATACAATGCAAAACGACTGCAGAGTATGGCTGTGCCATCCTTCTTAAGTATCGTATGGAGCTAAGCTGCGATCAGAATGTTGTTATTACTTTAAAACAATGAAGCATTAATCCATGTTGTTATAGAAATTGAGAACGTTTAAACAAGCAATAGTAATGAGAGCTGCCTATTATAAGATGTGTGCTTATAATGCATCATATACGTTCTGTGTAGAAGCTGGAAAGTACTTTCACATATCGGGATAATATGTCCTTATCTTTAACATGCTGTATTTCTCCTTTGACGGATACAGTGAGGTTCTTGTACTCCGCTTTTTTGCAGCATCATCCCAGATTATCCAGCTCGAACGTGTACTCGTTTATTAGCGGTTTTTAAAGGATCCTTCAAAGCTATAGACAAGAAAAGAAGTAATAACCTAGAGCCGAACAATATCATAGGAAATATAATTAGCACGTGACTTACAAAAGAGTACAAGTTTTCAATTTTGGGTGAAGTGCACAGTATAAATGGCCTCCTTTAAATGAAGCGTCCTATTAAGCATGGGAGGGGAACAGCCGGCCGCAAAAGTATATTTCTATTAGTTATTTAAGTTTTGTTCAATCAGTCTACGTACTTCCATCGTTTACGGGGAAAATAGACAAAAACTATGATTATGCATGAGGATATAAGGATGGGATTATTGATGAGGGTAAACATTCACTGACTTTCACGTTGCGTAAATCGAGATATCCAGGACTAACGCGCCGTTTATATTAATGATAGTTACTACTCTGTACAAACTTTGATTTCGTAAGAGTAACTCCCTGCTCAGGTTCTTCTAATGTACCAGCTGCATAACATGCACAATATGTACCACGACAATGTAGGTCACTTTATTTGGAGTAAAGGATTCTATAGTGCTCGCTTGATGATATGTATAGTATAAATATTACCACATAGAACCTTGAGCTTCTTCATTGGAAACATTTGTTTCTCGGTCACTTTGTGTTCAAGTTTTTTCCCACAATCCCTAATTTGTACTTAGAGCTTAACATCGACTAGTGTCAGACTGCCAGCATATAGTTTCGTAAACCGGTGTATCATCTCAAATTTGTTTTTTACCAAGTGAAAACTTCAAATTGGATTAAAAGCCGTGGTTTTGTCCGTCATTGAGTCTGTTTGTGTTTGTTGTTTTTTTCCCACAATCTCATGAATAAGCAAAGAATGTTCATCTTCTACTATCGTATAATCCACATGGTCTCTGTTTCGAAAGCGTCATTTTATTTTCTCCAAGTATTAATTATTGCTGCTACTTACTAAGAGTGATAGAAAAAACGAGTCAAATTTTTCTAATTTTGAAAATGACCCCTGCCGTGTCGCTAAATTGTATTAGATAAGTCAAAATTGGAGAATGTGAAGCCACGTGCCACGCACACAGACAATGAGGTTATAGATAAAAGCTGGTTCTTTTGTTCTATTGGTAGCTGTTTCTATAGGGTACGACACTTTTTTCTTCTGGGGATACGGCGTAGTTGACAACAGATCACCCGAGATCTACCACAGGTTTTGCTGATTGTTTGTTTACAGCCCTGGTATGTAACTGGTGATAATGATGATCAAGTGCACAGTCAATATCCAGTAATAGTGTAACCATGACACCTTGTGATGGTTACACAAGGCGACGTGCTCCATTGCTTGACAACAGCTCACTGATGGGTAGTTAATGAGACAACAAGCGGGCAAAATTGAAATAGCTTAAAAACGCTGATAGCAAGTATGCATTTTGGTAGCAGTGATAGTTACTGAAGCAACTAAAGCAGAGTGGTTGCATGTAAGCAAGCATCGCACTCTTGTGTATAAAAAAGGATATTCCGGTGGCCTGCCTATCATCGGATAAGTCTGTTCTGTGATAGAATTTGATATATGCTGTCACACTCTCGCTGCAAGATCATCTTCCGGCACCAGATAAAAAACAAAACATCGGCACACACAAACAAAGCATGGTACTGTCTCTGCCAATGAGAACTCTTTTCTCCCCTGGAGAACAAGCTGCTATCATCGGCCTTAAATAAGCACCATAATTATGCCGACAGACCAAAGGAATGAACGGTCAATCCTGGCAACCACTATCTTAGATGATACGAGATTTAACATATGTGGCGTTCAAAGCGTACAGGATGTTTCCCATCAGGAGATTTTCCTAAACCGACAAGTGAAACCTATGTCCTAAAATGGCATCTTATAACGGCGCGAATCTCCATCCACAATTCTTTTTCTTCCCACTCTTTCTCTCTCTTTCTCTCTCTCTCTCACTCTCTACCTTCTTTCATCGAAACCTCTTTGTTGACTCTATTTGTCATCCGGTCCCCCTTCGCACGTGAGAGTTTTTTGTTTTAATTTTTGACAATTCGCACTCATGCCGGCAATGCATCAGATGAGATCTCTGGACGACTACGACATCTCGCCAAAGACGGGGTTTCTTCCCTCGGAGCCTCCACTACGAAGACTGGAAGACCCGTACTTTGCGCCTTGGGAGTCGATGATGGACGACTTTAATGGCTTGCTATTGGCGGGAAAACTTCGACAGAGTGTGCACAAGGTATCAAAATTGATAGCTCGGCTCGGGTAAAAGATTGCTCCGTGAATGGGGAAAATAGTAACCGTTCTTTCTGTGCTTGTCATTAAGATGCCGCTGCTGGATTACACTCGTCTGAAGACAGTGCAGGAATATCGGCGTGCGTTCCTTATTATGTGTATGCTGTCGCATAGCTATGTGTGGGGCAAACTTGAAAAAACTTCAGAGGTACAGCAGACAGACAGACATATCAACGCCGCGCTTTCTCTTTTCTTCCTTTCAGCCACCAGCTTGCTTGACGTCAAAGTTCCCAAATCTGACATATTCTCTCCCACGGTTTTCCCGTAGACGTTACCAGCAAACCTTGCGGTTCCATGGTCTGCCATTGCTACCCACTTGGGTCTTTGTCCTGTGGTGTGTCATGCAGCCGTCGTGCTATGGAACTACAAATTGCTTGACAACGATGGTCCAATTGACCTGAGGTATACATACTTATTCCTACGTCTTTGTTAAGGTTGCATGGCATAGTTTGCTAACGCGACACCGTCGTTCATCGTCATCACGATCCTATCTAGCAATTTGAGCGCCTTGTCTACTTATTCGGGCTCACTAGATGAGTCATGGTTCTACTTGGTGACTACAGCAATCGAGAGTGTGGGCGCACCTTGTTTATCAGCCATGATGAGCTCCATCAATCATGTGCAAAAGGGTGATTACGAGGGTCTACTTGCAGACTTGCAAACCGTCCTCACCGCCATGAAAGGGATGAACGATACATTGCAACGGATGTATGAAAAGTGCGACCCATACGTATTCTATTGGAAGATTCGTCCGTATTTAGCAGGATGGGAGAACATGGCCGAGGCGGGTCTTCCATTTGGTCTCATCTATGAAGGTGTCGACTCGTTCTGGAGTGCCGAGACGGACGAATATGCAGACATGAGCCATTTATCCGAGGCAGAGCGTCTTCTTCGACAATACCGTCGTTATGCAGGCGGTAGTGCTGCACAGAGTAGTTTGATTGCTGCGCTGGATGTATTTCTCGGCGTGGAACACTATCCCACGGGCAAACGACCACAGGTTCAGAGGCCAGATAGCCATGATCAGAAAACCGTCAATGACCGATATACGCAATTACCCACGCCTAACCCAGCTGATGAGCTCAACAAGTCGAAAGCAGCATCAGAAGAAAGTCGGCCTGTACAACCCACGTTTGTGCGTACCAACCGCAACACCTTCTTACGCGCAATGCGCATGTATATGCCACGACCGCACCGAGAGTTTCTTGAAGATCTCGAACACGCCGCCAACTTGCGCTCATTCATGATGCATTTGGATCAACAACCCAAAACAAAGCGATCAGCTGAAGAAACCATGCTACTTGAAGTGTACAACGACTGCTTAGCACAGCTCAAGTCCTTCCGCGACATACACGTCCAGATCGTCACGTTGTACATTGTCAATCAAGCGCGTAAGGGCCCCAATATTGCCCATGGTGGGTTTGCCATTGAAAAAAAGAAGCAGCAGTATCAACAAAGCGACGACAGCCAGATACAACAAGATGATCAGACCCGCCCAGCAAAGAAGGCGAAAATCAATGCGGCTGACCACAACGTACTCTACCCGCAAACTGCCCTTGAAACGTCCCCTCGTATTCGTAAAGGCTCGCTATCGGCCATGGTCAGTGATCTGTTCCCTGAACTGGGCCTGGCAAAGCACGTCGATCCGAAGACGGGTGTGGTGCGTGGTACTGGCGGTACCAACGTGTTGCCGTTTCTGAAACAGTCGCGAGATGAGACTTCTGACACTAGGATTGGCATTGCCAGTGCTCACCCGAATGGAACAACAGTGAAAAACCCAAATACAGTTGCGTCCATTGCAACAGAACCTACACCAGAACGCCGTCGATCATGGCGAAATTGGTTCATTACAAAATAGCGTTGTACAGTCATAAGGACATTTATACCTCGGCTTTTTTCTTACTCTTCTTACTATCTTCTCTGCTGTCTAGCTTACAGTGTTCCTCTTTAATTGCTTGATAACCTAACCACCCCTCTCTTCTGTCTCTATTTTCCTTTACGTTTCGAGCTCTTTATCTGTATAATATTTATCATACCATCCTCACTACCACGAAAAAACCCCCCACCCTCGCTTCTTCTTTCAAAACACACACACACACACACATACGCACACACAAAATCATCCTAACTTCTGGGAAATACGAGACGTACGATGCTTTTCTTTTGGTTGATAGTAAGCGATATTAGTTTATTATGTCGTCGAAAGGGAGAATTCGTAACATACAGTATGTTGATTCGTGTTTACCACTTCCAACGGTGTCGTCATTCCATCAAACTCCCAGTCCGGCGAGCGTGCGCTTAATTCTTCCTTCGTTGCATCATCCATATTGGGATCCGGTCCTCGGTTTTGAGCCTGCTCATTGATTTCTATCTTTATCGCTGTGTAATGCTCGCTGTCTTGTGAGCTGTTGATGATATATAAGTCGAGGATTTGCTGGCACACATCTACCAACACAACAGTTAATAATCATGCAATCAGTTACGGTCACGCTACTCCTTACATCTTCTCTGCTTACCTTCAATATCCTCCATTCTAGAACAAAAAAACTGATCCCATGGCTTATCACTTTCTAATCCCACAAACGATTTGTCTCCGTGCTTGAGCAATATGGATGCCAAAAAAATACAGCCTGCTGCAATGGTATGGGCAGGGTATTCGACGCATAATGGCGTTCGATAGCTGTCCACTGCTAAGAGATATGCCTTTTGCGCCAGCCGTTTTCCATCGAGCGTTTGAAATGCTTGTATCCATTTGACAAATTTGACGACATAGTCGTACGGATGACGTTGTTGGAAATCAAAACAGAGCGTCTCGAGCAGTAACTTTTCGTACCCAATGACCTTCCTCCGTCGTTCTTCAGAAACGTTTTCTGGATCCAATTCTTTGCTGTCCGGATATCGTACGCTGTGCGCTGCCACACATATGTCTTTTAACTTTTTGATGGTTTCTTCTATCTTGGATGCGACAAAGATACATGTCACGCTGATATCCTAAAAAGTTGGTATCAGAGATAAATGCACGGTTGTTCTTTTTTTAATTATAATGGTCCCCTTTTGCCTTTTTTTACTGGTAGTTTACCTGTGGAGGATAGTCTCGAACAGAGTAGTACAAGTAAAAGCGATGGTATAGAGCTTGAGCAGTGCTGATGGTAGCCTGGGGACTAAAAAAGAGTCCAACAACAACTTGATTAGCGATTTACCTTCTCCAGCGATCCAGCTCCAGATAACTTACAAGCCAAGTTTTTTGCCAACTTGTTGAATGAATTTACAGCTGACATTGCGCGTAAAAGCTTCTTTCGCGACACCCATTGCTTTTGTGGAATTCTTAAGACTTCCCAACGTGGCCAGCTGTCGTTTGGTAAAGTATGGTCGGAAACGTCGTTTGAATGAAAATCCCGATGTGATTCGTATTGGAGTAGACGGTGCTGTAGACGATAACGGTGACGATCCGCTCATTTTTCCTTTTGTATTGATATATGGTGAGTAATATGAGGAATGGGGTCTTTTATATCTTATTTTTTTGAAAGAAGAGTAAGCAAAATAGAGAGTGTATAAGTGAAAGGTTGGTTTTGATTTTTGCTTGACTTTTTGTTGAATAGAGATAAGCAGTGACTCCTGCTTGCCTACTCCGCAGCACTTACTAGGTGTTGCCAGTTGACCGCAATTGAGCTACTTAGTATCCATCAGCGCTTGTTATGCATTACCATCTGTCCAAGTTTCCCAAACTTGTAAAGTCCAAAGTGCAGCAGCAGCTATACATGCGTTTGAGTCATACACACTGTGTTCTTTCAAAAGGCTATTGTCTAGCCAAGTATTGGAGACAATGGGTGCTAAAAGAATAAATTTTTGTTGTCAGCTTCTCTTAACTGGAAAAACTTGTTTTATACGAGTCTGTGGAAACAGACAATGATCTCTGCATATATGATTAGTACATATAAATACGATAGCACTTGTCAACGAACAAGACTTCATTTCACAACAAACCGCACAACGTCATATCATGTTGCTCTCCAGAACGACGCGTCGTATACCGTTTTTACTGCAGCGTCGTTGTTGTTACTCACCATCGTGGCAAGCCAAAAGTGTCCCGTCCTTACGAATATATAATCATAAAGTCCTGGCTTCTCTTTATGCTACCCGATCTCCTCGACCTCAGATGACAACAGAGAAAAAATTCATCACAGCAACGAATCCAGGCAATAGCAACAGCAGTAGCAGTAGCGACAGTGTTGTTCGACAAAACGTTGGTAAAATCCCAACATATCACTATGTGCGTCCCTTGGTTCATGGCATAGTTGGTTCAGCCGCCATTTTTACCGTCGCCGGATTAGTCCAAATCATGCAACATGATCCTAAAACATCTTCTCGATGGTCGTTCCCCCCAGGTAACATCACCATTGATACGAATATAAAACCAGCTGAGGGCAGTGCAGACAGGCCCAAAGTAGGAGAGAGCAACATCATTGAAGAGGAATTGTTGTATATTCTCGGACTCAACGCAATCATCCTCGGGTTTTGGAAATTACGAGGCAATAGTACGCGACGTTTCATGGAAACTTGGTTCCAGAATCAAGTTCTTCCTCGTCCTCGACCATTGACTCTACTCACTGCTAGCTTCTCGCATCAGTATTTCTTAGTGCATTTTTTTCCAAATATGGCACTTGCGCTTGCGACTTATGGCTCGGTTAAACGAATATCAAGTGGGCATGAAATGGCAGCTGTGTATCTTTCTGCTGGCGTTATGGGATTTGCCGCTAGCCATGTCACACGACTTGTATACTATCGATATTTTATGCAAAAGCTGACGCCAAGTCTGGGAGCGAGCGGTTCAGTGGTCGGAATAATGGCTGTGGCATACTCCAACTTTGACGGAGAAACTCACAGGAAGTTGACACGCGTGGATAGGTATTGTTACGAATTCATTTGGAGAACAGGAAATTCAAGTGCTGGACAACGGGGAGGAGATGATTACAATATTCTGCTAAAACCATTTTTATCACAATTGCTAGAGAGGCGCTATTGGCGACATTGATAATTGATGTGATCGGTCTATTTATGCGGTGGAGTGTAGCGGATCATGCCGTTAGTATACATAAAAGACGCCTATCATAAATCTCACCTGACATTCCGGCTAACTTGTTTTCTTCACAAAAAAAATAGGCACATCTGGGTGGTGCAGCAGTCGGGTTCTATTATGCGAACTATGGACGTCAATACGTTTGGAATCCTTTAATTACTACGCTACAAAAAGCACGGGACTCGTTGTAGATAGCATTTTGATAAAAATAGACTTTGGTATTATTAATCCTGAAGGTTTTTATGCAATGTTTCACACTTTTTGGTTATGGACGCAATATACAGTGTAGTTGAGGGCAAGGTATGGACTGGAATCGGTGATGGTGGTGGATGTCAAGTATTTGGGAGAAAGTAGAACAAAGGGAAAGGTTGAGGAAGAAGCCTTTCTTTGTAATGAGTATGAACATGATTATATTAATAATTAATTTTCCACAGAGCTATCGGCTCAAAGCATTTGGTCGATGACTTTCTTTTCTTGAAATGATCTCTTTGATTCGTTCCCTAATCTTCACGTATCCGAGATGAACCTACGAATTTGTGTGTTAAATGACGCGTCATAAAAGGAGAAACTAAATGTAATACTGATTATCTCTCGATAAAAAAACGCACCTTTGAATTGTCATGATCACGTGAGCCGTCAGCCGTTGGTACGTAGTTACCACATATATCACAGAATTCTACCGCTGGTGACATAAACTCTGTCTTCTTCAACTCCTCTTCCAGCTCCTCCTATTAAGGATGTGTTAAGTGTTTCGCGACTAGAGAGACAAGCTACTGTATACTTGACCCTTGTGTTCTCGTACCTTGGCCCTTTGTCGTTTCTCGTCCTTTTTGTGTAATTCTTCCAAATTTGCAGCTATGGTACCCTTACCCTGCGTTCCGTCTATACGATACATGTCAGTAACATTAATTCACTTATGCCTTATATCTAGCTTTCTATAATTCCATCCACCGATACTTTACCAAATACTTCAATGTCATTCGCCTTTAACAGCCAAGCTTGAGTTGCGCCATCCAGTTGCCTTTTCTAATTGTATAAAGTGTATAAGGCAGCGTAAATAGGATATAAGAAGGTAGCTATTTACAGCAGCAGCATCAACGAGCACAGGCTCGCTTACGTTACCAGTCGTTCCAGCTTCTCTGTCGTTGGATGTACGCGCTGTATCAACCCTTTCCAACCTGGAGAACCCTGGTCACGGTTGTGGACAAACGCGTACAAGTTCTTCTCGTGTTCATAATGTAAGGATTTGCTCGGATCGAGGCTGATTTCTTTTTGATATTGTATTCTGCATTGCGGGTTGTGTTCCCTTGTGCAGTGTCCATTGGCCTATTTTTCGCGGGGAGCAAGGTTTGTACGCGTGTGTGTGTGTGTGTATGTGTTAAAAACAAAACCCTGTTCCTGATAAAGTAGCAGTAATGCTGTGCACAGTTTTATACCGATCCTCTATATATGCAAGGAAATGAAGAGAGTCTGTGTAGGTTATTGTTTCTACCTTCTTCCGGGATGAAGTAGTGGCTTCCTCTCATTTAATTAACTTACATTACCAATTCATTAGGGCAGAAACCACACAAGTAGTCAACACAAATCTTCGGATCGCGGTATAATGGCCTTGATGTCGGTTTGTTCACTGCACATTGTGAATTTCGGGTAGTAGTGTTAGTAGACGCGCATATGAGTCGTAACACTAGGAGGTAGTACGCGTGTTTATCATGACATACTTGCTGGGGAAATTAGTGCTTTAGTGGAAAGATAGAGAGGGAAACTTGTTGGAGCTTTAAGCAACTTGCAGCGTCAAAATCCTGCAATCGTTGCACCAACAGGCTGAAAATTCTTGCCCACCAAAACTGGTGCATCCTCATCTGTGTGCTATAATATCTTGTCTGCCAATGACAGCTTCTATTTCTCCAGCAAATGCCTGCTTCTTTTTTCCATGGGACGTAGGTTGCTCTGCGAGTCGACCCCCTTTCTTTGATTCGCTCTCTTATGACCATGCTAATAATAATGAATACATTTGTTTGTTTTGTGTGTTGTGTCAATATTGGTAGTGATGTTGGAGCACATATACTTTAAGTAGTCAATGTGTTATTACCTATAAAATATTAAGCTCTGGCATTTAATGTAACCTCTTTTAACTACACAAAAGCAGTAGTTAACTTGATCTGTTACATAAAGAAAATACACACTTTGACACAAGCTCGCATATACAGTATAGTGCTTTCTCGATAGCGCAGTAGCAGTGGGAGGTCAAGTGAGAGACAACAATTGATCGCAGACCTCTAAATCCCCAGCTTAGCTATATGTGCCAGTCAACCATGGCTTCGTAATAGCTTTTACGTACACCATTGCAAGAATCATTAAAAAGGAAGATTCTGTTCCGTGTTCAGCAACTGCAAAAATAAACATTCTACATGAACAATCGAGAGTATGTCTTACTTTAAGGCCTCAGCTTAATAAACCCGAACTTTTTGTAGTTATACGTAATGGAGGCGAGAGTGTTCCACATAGCAAGATATGGCTTAGTATAGTCATAACAGTAGCCCCTGAGGGCAACCAACGGGTTTGGTTAGTAAAGTTACAGCAATGGAACCTCTTTTGCATGAATTTCCGACTGCCCAGCTGCAAAGCAGGATATACCACCTTCAGCAATAGGAATAGCTTTATCCGATGAAAACCACCTCCATTACTTATATCTTTGTTTCGTTCTCTAATTACTTGAAGTATTGCACTCGCTACTGATGAAACACACTCATCAATTCCACTGTCACCTCTAAACAAAGTGCAGTCGTCGTTGGGGGGAGTGTGTTCTCCACCCCCATCTATGCCCATGGGCATCAGAAATCGGATTAATTCCCCAACCCCCAATTTTGTTTCCATGAATGGCAATCCGCTACAGTCAATTTCCACTCTTTTATTTTTATTGAACCAGCACAAAGAGAACTAACCTTGTACCACTTGCGCTTTACATGGTTACTCAAAAGTCGCTACAGCAGTTTCATACGCTTGCGCTTCATTTCTACTGCCATGTCTTTAGTGACAGTGACGACAACCACCACCACGACAACAAATCTCCTCCTGCAACTATCACCGTTCTCCTCAACGACCTCGACGCGGTGGAAGCACCTGTAAAAAATGTACCTGATCAGGCAAGGAAGCTTCTCATTCATCACTTTGCTTCATTTCCGACTCTCAAGGAATTGCAGCTCCAATCTTTTACATACAGTCAGAAAAAAAACAAAAGTTAACGTTGTTGGAGAAATCCCATCCTATATTTTAGCAAGTTATTGACATTATTATTGCTGGATGCAAAGGATTGACAATAGATCACGAAGCATGTCCTGCCTTTTGTAAATTCATGTTTAAGGCGTGCGCAAAACAGGCAATTCATATTTTCCTGACAATCATTGCTTCTCGAAAAAGAACTGTTTCTAAACGAGTTTGTGTATGCAGATCCGGTTGACGAGTTTGCGATCGTCCCAGTTTGAAATATGCATTACGTTTTTACTCGACGGACTCGAACGAACCGAAACAGCAGCTGAACTTCGCGTCGATATGCTTCGAGCATTCAGCGCATTGGTATTTGAAAATGCGTCGAATGCAGTCAAAGTAAAGTCTCACCAATCACTGATAAAAAAAAATGTTTGATTGAAAACTGATCCATAAAGTTTACTCATGCACTCTGTGTATGTGTCGTTTTTAGCACTATCCCCGAGTATCAAATCTACTACTTCAACTGGCAAACCGATCTACACGACCACTTGAAGTTCGGCGCATGGCTATCAATTGTATCGGAAATAGCTGTGCTAATGCTGGATCGAAGCTACAACCGTATTATGCAAGTTACTATCAAGCACTTTTAGCGAATGTGTGTGTGGTTGAACATGGATCACACGGTACCATGATGGTCGCATCATCTTCACTGGATTTCACCGACTCAGCCGTTCGCAAAGTTGCCAGCAGCACTCTACGCGCTCTTCAATTCGTCTTGTCGCAAGATAGGACATTGGTGACCAACCCGCTATGTGATATCATTCAAATTGTACAAAAGTTTATATTTACTAGCGTCTCGACGCAGGCATATAACGCGATGCGAGAAGAGGCACTGCCCACTACCCCACGAGGACGTGTTGTCCGGCTACAGCAGCAACAGACCAATCGACGGCCATCGCAGATATCATGGAGATCTATGGAACCTAGAACAATTGGGCTGACAAGTTCGGATTCTGAGTTATCTGATACAGCAGACACGACCATGGCAAATCCACGTCGACAGTAAGTGTTATTGTTGAGGTGTTGCGTATACGGCTAGATATCAGAATTTGTTAACGCTGATATTTAGGAGAGACGATGCGAAAATACGGATCAACGCATTACTTTGTCTTGCTGCTATTGCCAAGGTATATCACATACATTACCTTATAGTTGTCACTTTGTTATCTAACGTACAAACATCTGTTTAGACATCATCACGCGCATTATACCCCCACTGGCAAAAATTTATCCCTGATACATTCTCCATTTTCCTCAGCAACAATACAGACCAGCATGGCAATCTCTTTCCAACACTCCAATCCGATAACCAGCCGCTCTCACTATTTACGCTTCTCTTATATGACCCAACCGTGACTGTACGCACTGCTGTGTGCAACACACTGATTGCCATGTTGGACGGATCTAAGCAATATTTGAGTGTTGCATCTGAGCGGTAAAAAAGCAGAACATCTTTCATCCGTATGTTATGAAAAGAATAGCTCATACTCTTTTATAGAGACTCAAAGTCATCCTTCACCTCATTATCCGAACGTATTGCGTCAACCCTTCGTGATTTCCATGCAGCCATAATCTGTGCGTTGGAAAAAGAACAACAGCCTCAAGTTCTTGCTTTGATTATGAAGTTGGGCTGTGTTTTAGTGGTCAATAGTCCTTACGACCGACTGGCAGCTGGCTACGTAGCGAATTTGTACAAAACTGTGCTGAAACGATGGCCTAGTGGATGTATGTTACTAAAGAAAGATGGAAAGGCGCAAAAGAATACACATTTAATGGGCTTTATTTAGCGACGACAATCCGGACATCAATTCTCGCTGTTGTTTCTGCAATTCTGGAAAAAGGCCCGGTCGAACAAGTTGCTCCGATGTTAGGCTCGGTCCCTTTAGTTGACCTTTTACTGGAATCCATGACAACAAACCAGGATGCTGAGTTGGTTGCCATGACATGGCAGACACTAGGCATACTTGCTAAATCTGACCTAGGAACAACGCGGTAAGTAACTAAGCTGCATACCCTATAAAAATTTTTGCATAAACTGACAAAAATCACATGAAAATTTAAAATAGCAGCGACAAGTGGCAGGTTATTCAGGAGCAGTTCGAAGAGGCACTCAAAAACCAGGAAACGACAATCCGAGTTGCCGCATTAAAGTTTGCTGAATCTTATGCAGCTTCCATGAAACCTAACGAAAAGATGGTACGGCCCTCTAAAAAAGCATGTAGACAATGAATTTAATCATAAGCATACATAAACTAGGGACAATACAAAACTTGGTGGATCACCATGCTTGAGAAACACATTCAGTCCACGTGTATGGACGCAGATGCACCTGTGCGTAGCATGACTTGCGACTGTCTTGCCAGTATGTCCAAAAATGTCTACGAACGCCTTCCACCACCAAACCAAACATTGGCGATTACCCTGCTACTGCCACTGGCAGCGGACCAAGATACAAATGTGCGTGCTGCTGCATGTCGAGCACTGGGCGTATTTGTATTATTTCCAACCTTACATGAAGATCCACTCTTTGTCTCTGATATGGCATCAGCAGTATTGGAACAAATGGGTGACAAGGCCCTTCTGGTACGAGCCAGGGCGAGTTGGGCGCAAGGCAATTTGTGTGACGCGTTGGTTATGGAGAGGTAAGGGCAACAAGAAGTACAACAACCCAGAGTGTGGGGTTTATGTTTCCTTTTTCTTAATGTGAAAATCAAACATGCGGACAGTGAAAAACCAGAATTTGATATACGCGAATGGGTGTCGATGCAAGTATGGGCGGACATCTTGACGACCGCAACGTCAGCTGCATTGGATAACGACAAGGTAGAGGGCAAGGTTCTTTAATAATAAAGAGAGAAGGAGAGAGAGGAGAGGGAGACTAGGTGCCAAGTGTGCTTTGGCTGATGTAAAAACGGAAAGCTACGATCGAATGCAGTACGTTCCATTGGCAGCCTTCTGCGTATCACCCCGCATGACTATTTTGGGTTTGGACGAAACCTCCAGCTCGTGAAAAAGGCCATGAGCGGGGTGACCAAGAACATTGAATCAGGGTCATTGAAGACACGGTGGAACGCGTGCCATGCAGCGAGCAACATGCTCAAGAATCCAGAGTTTCCTATCGGTGACAGCGACCGGCATCCGTGGACAGACGCCCTATACCATGCGTTGATACAATCGGTACGACAGTGTCGCAATTACAAGGTCAGAATTAACGCCTGTCTTGCCCTGGCAGCTCCTCAAGAAAGATCAAAGTATGGACAGCAGTTCGATGCCGTCGTGCAAGCAGTCCTTGGGGCGTGGGAGGCGTGCCATAAAGAAGAAGAGAATGAGTTTCAAGAGTATCGGTATAAGGAGCAGCTCAAAGACCAGGTACACACTGTTTATCATTATACGATGCGCTGCTGCAAAGAGAGAGAGAAAGAGTGTGTGTGTGTGTGTGTGTGTGTTGTGTGTGATATCTCAACAAAAGAAGATTAAATGCTCACATGATTGGATTAGGTACGTGAGGCATTACATCACATCCAAAATCTACAGCAGCCGCCCTAAAAGAAAGCCCTCAAGGATCTTCACGTGCGGTTGCACACACTGTCCTTTGATTTTTCTGTGTGCCAAAAAAATAATAAAGAGCCGTTTCGCTTCTTTTTTTTCCTTTCTTTTTATTCGTTCAACCTTTCTCCACACACGCACACTTGTTCTTCTCTCTTTCTCTCCCCCTTTCTTATCTCTTTCTTTTATATATCTCCACCCCTTACATTGTGCGATGCCAAACGTCTTGTCCACTTTGGCGGGGTCGCAATGGGGTCCTATGCTGAAACAATGGGCACGGACGTACATGACCCACAGAGATTCCGTGCGGCGGGGCCTTGTTCTTTTATTCCTTGTGCGTACATTTTTGACTGTCAGACAAGTCGTGCGACGGTTCCAGCGAGAACAAAAGCGACCAAGCAAACCAAAGCTTACGACTACAGAAGACAAGCCAGCCAGAAAGCGCAAAGTTGAGGTACAGAGCTTTTCTCTAGATGATACTACCTGGAGAAGCTTTGTTGTGCCTAACAGCATATGTATATCTTCTAGGTGGATATGACGTTTCTCAAACAAATCCAACGGCTACTATCTATCGTCATGCCAGGGCTTCGATCCAAAGAATTCTTCATGCTGGTCATTCATTCAGGTTTTCTAGGTAATCGAACGTTTATGCTCGCTGTTAAAAATAGCAGGATATATGTCATTGATACCAAAGTGTTTATGTCATAGTCTTCCGAACAATCTTGTCGGTCTACATCGCCTCTTTGGACGGTCGTATCGTAAGCGCTCTTGTCCGTGGCAAGATGCGGGAGTTTGCGATGGGCATTGGCTGGTGGATGTTGGTGGCTGTACCAGCGACATATACCAATAGCATGGTAAGCAATTGCTGGGTTTTGAAGGGGGATTACATAAGTGAGAGAAAACTCAAGAAACATAAAAACTACAGTTATCGTACATGCAAAGCAAACTCTCGTTGGCTTTCCGCACACGGTTGACGCACTTCATCCACAAGCAATACATGAGCGACATGACCTTCTACGCCGCAGGCAACCTCGACGATCGTATCAAGAATGCCGATCAATGCATCACTGTCGACACAACCAAATTCAGCAACTCACTAGCAGAACTCTACTCCAACCTGGCCAAACCCATCCTTGACGTCTTTATTTACAACTACCAATTGACACGTGGTGTCGGTTTCGAAGGTGTCTTAATAGGCACGATCATCATCAACCTGTCCTCAGGTACCATGCGTCGCTACACCCCCTCATTTGGCAAGATGGTGGCAGAAGAACAACGATTGGAAGGCGAGTTCCGATTCGGCCATTCACGGCTGATTGAAAATGCCGAAGAAATCGCCCTGTATGAAGGCCAAAAGGTGGAAAAGAGCGCATTGGACCGATCCTACTATGCCTTGATCAAACACGTCAACCGCGTCTTCAGACTGCGCGTACCTCACGGCATGCTTGAAGACTTTGTCATTAAATACTTTTGGGGCGCATGCGGTCTCGTCTTGTGCTCTGTGCCTGTCTTTTTTAAAGTCCCCGGCTTGTCCAGTACCGATATTGGCGGCCGTACCGAAGGCTTTGTGACCAACCGTCGGTTGTTGATGAGCTCATCCGATGCGGTCGGTCGTATTATGTATGCTTACAAGGAAGTGACAGAATTGGCTGGATACACAAGCCGTGTGACAGACTTGCTCGATGTGTTTGAAGACGTCAAGGCCGGTCGCTACCAGAAGCGACTGGTGTCGTCTGCATCCACCGAAAACAATGCAAAGCAATTGGAGGGTCGTGGCAAGATTGAGCAGAGCGAGAACATTGAATTCATTGATGTGCCTATCATCAGTCCCAACGGTGATGTTCTTGTCCCTCAGCTTAGTTTCCACGTCAAGCCTGGTGTAAGCTCTAAATTTCATTTTGGGATGGATTGGTTTACTTGGTTTATACTCATATTCTTTTTCTCCCTTGTAGATGCACTTGTTGATCGTTGGACCTAATGGATGTGGCAAATCGTCCTTGTTCCGTATTCTGGGAGGTCTGTGGCCTGTCTATGGCGGTACCCTGCACAAACCCCACCATCGCGATATCTTTTATATTCCCCAGCGACCCTACCTCTCTCTGGGTACTTTGAGAGACCAGATTCTCTACCCGGATACCATTGAAGACATGAAGCGTCGTAAGGCATTTTCATGTTGTGTGCTACTATCGAATATATATATATATTATATTCTAGCTGAAAACTCATAATTCCGCCGTTTACTGCAGGAAATGTAACCGATAATGATCTGCTTGAGATCCTCAAGGTGGTTCAAATTCAACACATTGTCGAACGTGAAGGTGGATGGGATACTGAGAAAGAATGGGCTATTGCGTTGTCCGGTGGTGATAAACAACGTGTAAGTTTCAACTTGTACTTTCTCTCGTAATTTCGAAGCAAACAAACCTTCACATATTATTTTCTTTGTTGTAGATCGCCATGGCACGATTATTCTACCATTCCCCTCGTTACGCTATTTTGGATGAGTGTAAGCTCTTTTTTAACATACGAAAAGGCATTATCATGATCCATCTCGAGAATAACACTAAAGTACCTTAGGCACAAGCGCTGTGAGCATGGATATTGAAAAGATCATGTACACACACGCAACAGGTAATAATAATAATGATGATAAAAGATGGGTGCGAACGAAAGTCGGTCCTGGTGATAAGTTGGCTAATCTCTGGGATTGCTATTTTTAGCACTTGGCATTTCCTTGTTGACTGTGTCGCATCGTCCATCCCTGTGGCAATACCACAACTTTATCTTACAATATGACGGCCAAGGTGGCTATGTATTTACTAAACTAGACGCCCAAAAGCGTTTGGCACTTCAAGAAGAAAAGAACGCTGTAAGTGTCCAATAGTTTGAGCAATAGACGGTGTAAATGATGCTTATCTATGATTCCAATCTTTATAGATCGAACAAAAGTTGATAGAAGTACCCAAGATGCAAAGCCGATTACAAGAGCTACGAGAAATGAAGGCTGCTGCTACCAATGCTTAAACACTTCCAATATAGCAATGACAATACATATTTTAATATTAATAAAGACATATATCCAGGGCCCCCTTTTGCTTGCTTTTTACATCAATATCGCGCCATAGAGTAGCTACATTTTACTACCATGGAAAAAATCGATCCTCGATTAACGATCCACCGCGCTGTTGTAGTAAGGGCTCAACAACAAATCGCGTGAGCCCAAGGTTGCAATGGAGAGTGGTAAGGAGAGGGAGCTTGACAATTAGCTGGGGTACGTTGTGGATGTCTGGATCAAGGGAAACTTCAAGATATTTCAAACGGTTGGATCCGTCACTGCTAGCGTAGCGGTCGAAGCCTTGCGCTGTGTATTCATGACACGGCCCTCCCACAGTCAAATGCTCAAGTTGTGTACACGAGCTAGCCAACGTTGTCAGTACCGTATCAGTAACATTGGCACTATATGGAGCAAGCAGCTTATAATTATAAGCTGCTGTCACCTCGAATGGATCGTGGATGATGAGCACCTGCAGAGCTGGACACCGCATCAATAAGGCGCAAAACGACGATTCAAAAGCTGGCTCATTTTTGGTCGGCATCATCGTATTTCGAAACAATGATTTGCAGCACAGCTCAAGCTGCCGTAAGTGACAGATATGACGATTCAGGAACAGTCGTGGCGTAAAGATGCGCAAGTCATAGTCTACCGATAGTAGTTCCACAGGCTGGTGGTGATGATGAACAAGCTTTTTCAAAAACTGGCAGACGTCGTTTAGTTGTGCAAGCACGTGTCCATCCTGGATAACGAGACCAGTGCTACTACGACTGGCACGTATAGAGGTAAATTGGGCACCTTTGGATATACAGCAGATTCGAAGGTGATGACAAACATGGCTTGTCACATGCAACAGCTGTCCGTGATTGATTTTGTCCCGTGAGTCAAGGTAGAGTGATCCCAGATTGGGACATTTCTGTAATAGCTCGGCAAGTAAGGCTGTGTCGTTCATGCCGCAAAATTTCAGTGAAGTCATCATGCGAAAAGTGGTGGTTGGATGGAACGTCCGTATCTCTCGGCGTCGCATCATTGTGGGTAGCGATGTCCTGACAAGCTTTTTAAGCGGTGGCTGGTCGTCGTCGTCTTCGTTCTCAATATCGTCGTCGTCAGCGATGATGTGCGATGTGAGCTTGGTGCTGACATAGGAAAAATACGTTATGTTGACGCATGCATCAAGTACCAGGCCGAGCACTTCTTTGGAAAAATCGACATCCAGAAACGAGAGCTGCATTAGCGGTGGACTAATGGATTGAATGACACGTGCAAGTAACGGCACGATAGTTGTTGTGTTTTGCAGTGTCACACTCTCGAAATCTATCACGGACATAATAATATTATTGTTATAAGGGTCGCTACGCCCACTCAAAACCAACAGAAGCAACAACAGACACATGTGAAAAAAATTCAACGTACGTAACGAGTTAACTATTTGACATTCAGAATGCAATAGAACGGTCAACAGACCTTGTATGTCGCGTGCCTGTTTTCGCACAATACGCAACTCTGAAGAATGATGATCTTCTATCACCATTGTTCGTTTCCAGAAATCGGGCCAATCAACAATAGCATAGAACCAGGACTCACAAACATTGGCGCATTGGAGCAGATCAGAAAGTGAGAGCGTGTCAAAGATAATGCCAAGGATATCGTAGGGCAATAGCGGCGGCGTTTGTCGGTTGTGTTTCTCAGCAATGATGGCCATGACTCGTTGTTTCTCGCGCTTGAGTGAGTCATAACCGTGATGTGTCTTTGGGTAAACGAGCCGTAGACCTGCACTGTATACGGCGGATGCGGCGCGCCATTTGCTTTGCTGTTGATAAAGCTGGCCGGATAAAAGATAGCCTTTGGCGGATGTCGGCGTCTGCCGTATCAGATCATCAGCGAGTGTCTGCGCTTCCCGGACGTTGCGACTTGTATGAATACGGGTTTCGAGACGTGAGCGGTGAACAGATCGCAGTGTTGCAAGATCGGCGGCTTTCTGAAAAAGCGTGTACATTGTTTTGTTTTGATAGAGTTTCTCCTGAAAAGAGAGAAGAAAGGAAAAAAGAAGGACTAGAAAAAAGAGAGAAAAGTTTAAAGGCGTATTATGCTATATATCTTTGTGTGACGGTAAAAGGAAGGATGGACGGACCACATGACGTGTGATCAAAGTTCGTTTTAAGATGTAGGCTGAAGTAGTACAAGCTGCTGTTTCCTTATTATTAAGAGTAAAAAGAATGAGCTGTTGGTCACTTGCATAAGAGATCTTACAGACAATGTGGGGAACGGTATTCTTTGGGCCAGACGTTTATTCTGATGATATGCGAAAGTTTGTTTCCTATGTAAGATTGGTGTTATGCAAAATATCATAGAGATCGGCTGCTAACAGTTGATGTGTCGCAGTACTTGGATGCCAATCGTCCCACCATATATAACTAGTTTTCGAACAGTTCAGCACAAAACTCTGCACAATTTCGAACAGGGGGAAAAAAGTCTAGCTGCTTACTTGAATTTGGAGCTTAGACATTGCTTAAAATCGCGAATGCAGGCCTGGGTTATATCTGCAAATCCGTCTGTGTCCTGCAGCGTGAAATATTTCTCAAAGAGTCTGCGCGTGTCGATGAATCGAATTACACCTTGTGCTAGTGCTCGTAGTTTATCGTTGAAAGTGTCAATCAAAGATGACAGTGCATCGGATGTTCCGAGATGCTGTGTAAAAAGCGGAAGATGCTGGATAGGTGCCAGCCCTAACACCAGTAAATGTTCATGGGGGAGCCTTTTCTAAATATTTAAGCTTGTTGTGAGTACTCTGTTTTTTTTCGTTATAGCGGAAGATATTATAGTACCATTTCGTTGGCTATTGATTCTATAATGTTGTCCAAGAGAATATTCTGCTCCGTAATATTGGACGTGGCTACATAAATGTCGTGAACGTCGTTGACTCCTGTGTGTTTCGATTGTGCATTGTAAATTTTGAGCTGTTGATGCTGCTGGCCTGAGTACATAAAAATTGAATTACTACCTGTCCAAATAATGTACAATGTCTCTTGATCATCAAAGCTCGTGCAGCTCGTATGAAACTCTTGGATTTGCTCGCTAACGTCAGGCACGGCTCGAGGCAAAATTGTCTATAGTGGATTGCTGAGCTCTTTGTTTCTCTTCTTCCTCCAACTATATGCCAGACCCAATCTCGCTACCTACATTATTTGCAGTTGCTCCCGAATAGGCATGATTGAACAGATCAGTGCCCATAAATGCTGATAAATACTCATTCCATGTTGGTCCATTTGTCATGCGTCCTCGCTAGAAAGTGGAAGATTTTCATCAGAGAACCGAAGAGAAAATGCTCTTTTGTGCATCATAACTTACATAATCACCAAATGCATAAGATGTAAAGTTTAATGGACCTTCCCTAGAAATATGGTTTTCCTCCAGTTAATCTCTTTCTCTTTTACTTGAGAAAAAAAGGGAGCATGAAAACTGACCCGTTTTCGGACCAAGAATCACCAAATACTACAATATTACGATATAGATCTTGGTAGCATGGACGGCTTGGGCGCAGTGCCTTATAGATTGGCGGGAACACAGAGAACGGTCCGCTGTCGCAATGAACTGTATATCCATACACATTTGTGCTCGTTATTGCTACGAGACAAATGAGAAAAAGTATGCACACTATTTTACTCATGAAGTGTAGACCAAGAAGCCAAGACGAGGTAAAGAGCGAAAGAGAAACTAGAATATATTTAAGTGGGGGTTTTCTTTTTCTCTCTTCTGGTTCAGTGATACACCAAGTCCGAGACTTATATTTGTACATTGTATGCACGGTATGATCACCGGGTCCGGCGAAATTGAATTTTTTTGTTAAGGAGGTACATTTGTATTGTTGATGTTATGTAAGGACAAGCCAAAAGAAAAAACTTTATTGTTGGTTATACAATAATTATGATTTTAAACCCGACCTGTCATGAAGAAACCAGGCCCATAGTATATCGTATCACTGTTGCTACTTTTATAAGTGATAGTGAGTTACAGGGGCGCACAAATGCAAGTCAAAGCCGGAAAAACTGAGGAACTTGCCTCTTCAAAATCAGAATAAGATTCGATTGAAAAGCCCCTCCTACTCAATACTTTTATTGACTTTAAACAGAGGGAGCTCACGACGGATACAATCAGATAGATATGATCAATCTTTTGACTGGCACAACGTGCGAATTGATAACACAGCTCATCAATATTTGGTGAAAAGCACATACTTGTTTGCATATCTTGTAGCATGAAATATAATATGGTTAGCAGCTCTATACCAATTTATCGGTTGAAAATGTGCTTTACGAAACAAGAACTGAACGTTGAACCCGCTAAAAATCCTCTTCTAATCAACATTGGGTCAGCAAGTACAAGGATACGTAGCTAAACGATATGGGAGAAGTGTATACGGTATATATAAGAGGAGTACTATATATAAGGATTCTCAGACCTTCTTAATATTTAATGTCTATCACGTCTCAAGAAGCGCTAAGACTAGAGAGGACATACTGTTGGAGTAATACCATTTCTTCTCTTAAAGAAAAAAACATAACATGTTCGTTAGGACACAATCACGCATTACTGGAAAATATAAAGATGAGCCACAGCCATACTTACATTACCATTCGCTCTACTACATGTATGTATGCTCACATGCTTTCTTTTCCATATCACAATCCCACAATCACAGAACACTGCTAACTTTTTTAAAAAGTGTTCATTGTATACCATCATTACAGCTCTTTGTGATACATCAACCGTTTTCATGCATCTTAATCTTCCTGTTTCTCATTGTTATCCAGCACTTTATAAGATTGAAATTTCGTGTACGCATATACTGCAGCAAGTAATACAAGCCTATTCTTTGCCGTTCTTGACAAGCAAAGCTTGCAAAAAGTGACGACCGTTGGGATCGGCAGAATTCTCAATGGTATTGACGTTGCAACTAGGCCTAGAATTTCGTGTTGAGGAATTTATTTATTTTCGCTCTCCCTCTTTTTCTTTTTCTCCCCGCTGTTTTTTCTCTCCGGAAGATGCGTTCATTCAGTGCATTTTGTGGTAAGCGAAGATAAAGCATACTAAGAGAAATTACGAATGCGGTTACTGATTATCTTTCCCTCTAGTATTACTGGGCTTATGCGTGATACTATGCCTACAGCAAGTGCGCGCTGATGATGGTAAGGAAAAAGAGAGTAGGAGAGAAAGCAAGAGAATAGCATCTAACTGCTATCGTATTTCCATGGTTGTTTACAGGCACCATGCTTCTGCCCATTTGGAACCACCCAACAGATACGGCGAGTGGCACAACCAATCCTGCTCCTCAAGCCACTGCCTGCGCTCATCCAGGCCATATTGCTCTTACTTATGTAAGTGATCTCCTAAGAAGGAAGAGGAGAGTATCCATACTGACCATTTACTATCGATTAGAACGAAGGACCTAGCGACGTCACCGCCAAAGTGTTGAACGGCCTGAAGGCTGGTCAGGCCAAAGCAAGCTTTTTCGTAAATGCCACATGGCTATACACACAGCAGTATGCCATGATTTTGCAGCGTGCCTACAACGATGGTCATTTGATTGGCATGACATACCGTGCTCCGGGCGATACCACAGATGGCATGACAGACGAACAGATTCGATCCGACGTGACAAACTCGGCCAAGGTCATCGAAACCTTGATTGGTGTTGCACCAAAATATATCCGTTTGCATTATACCCAGCCGGAAGATACTCGCTTGGAGAATATTGTCCGTGATATGGGCTATACCTTGGTCTACTACAATTTGGACACCCAGGATTACAACTTTAAAAGCAATCCAAAGGGAATTGCAGAATTATACCAGACCACGTTTGATAAGCAACTGGATACTTACGATTCCAAGGGTTCGTTTATTTCTGTCCAATATGATATCCCTGATACTGGCTCGTGGCAGGCAATCTATGATACCATTAATCAGGTTGACACTGCTGGTTACAAGTTGGTGCGATTGGATGGCTGCTTGAATGATAAGCAACCCTACAAAGAATGTATGTCGTCCTTTTCGGAATGTCATAGTGTGTGTGTGTGTATACGTGTGTGTGCGGGGGAAATTTTGCTAACTATAGAAAATATAGCTGCATCATCAAAGAAGGCCATTAGCGATAAGCACTCGTTCGGCACATCGGGTTACAAGGAAGGGCAAGTTCACGCAGAAAAGCCTGCCAGTATGATGAATGATGATAATGCTACTAGTGATAGTGGAGAGGATGGTTCCACCACTAAGAACGAAAATACCGGCTCTATCACAGTGTCGAGCTGGATCTCTTTATTCATCTTTGTGCTGGCCATTAACGTACTAGCTTAAATAATGATATTCTCCCATATTTCACCCATACTAGTTTTTTTTCTTTTACTTCGCGTATATATCCCAGTAATAAAGTAATTTCTAAGGCAGAAATGCTATAAAAGTGGGCTTACAAGTCATGTGAACGAGCCGATTTTTTTAACCAGTTTCAACTGTCAACATTTTTATTCCACGTTGGACACCCTCCAATGCCGGATTCATTGGAAGCAGCTGCCATTGAAGAGCTGGTTCTTCACGGATCAAAAGGTTAGCACAGCAAAACGGCACCTGCGCTTAAATTTAATGGTACATAGTTCCTAATTCTCCTTATTCAACAGGCTGCCCTTTCGGCACGTTGTGGTCCTCTTTGAAGAAGAAAAAGAATGCGTCGCCAAAGACACTTTTGAAAGCTTTTTTCAAAAACGATTCGGTTGAGCTATACGAGGTAATTCATCCCAGATCTCATAATTGTCTTTAAAGAGGTGGTTTTTTTAATAAACCAGTTCATTGCTGTAGAACGACCAATGTGTAGACAAGTGCGATCACTCAAACGACAAACTTCATGTAATCGCTTCCGCAGACCTACGTAGAAAGATCTTGATGCGAGAACTCAAGGTACTCTCCTTTTATTTAAGAGATAGGATTTACAGCGTCGTGTAAGCAAAAGAACTCATGTGTGCATGACGATCTATTTATCAACAGAACCGTAAAGCAGTTGTATCTGACGACGCGTTTCGAGTACTTGAGCATATTGCGAGCATGCGCCATGACGGCATAACCCAAATACAACTATCAAAGGATATGGGTTTGACAAGTGCTACGATATACACGCGAGTTAAACGATTAGAAAACCTTGGTTTAATGTAACTTTTTTCATGTATTATGCTTTTGCATGATTGAAACTCTAATAACCTGTTCTTTTTCCGCAGTGTACGACATTCTGCTTCGCATGAGAAAACGTATACGCAAATGTGTTATCACATCCGATTCACACCGAGCGACGACGACCAAACCAGTATCATTAGCAGCAACGGCATGATTCTTCACGAAATGGTTGATCGTAAAATAGTCAAAGTGCTTGCAAACGCCGAGGACCACATGATACCATTGACGGACGTCTTCAATGCTTTGGTAAATACATATACACCGTTCTTTTACATAATCGTGCGCTTGCACAACTGCTGAGTAACCGACTAAAAAATTGACTCGTTAGGGTATGACGACGGAAAAGCATATTGCGTGGATGCGTAACCATATTGTCAAACGAGTTGAGCAAGGGGTTTTTGAAAAAGTCAAAGTGGTCGCAAGCAACAAGCGAGTAGTTTATTTAAAATGGATTGCACCATTGTCCTCAATCGCAAAGCCCCAAAAGACGTCGGCTGAAAACCGTGATCAAGAGCGACCAGATGCATCGCTGCATGGTGAGGAACTGTCAAATGTTATTCTGGAGCGTGTCGAAAAAAATCCTGGAGCTACTACCAAGGTAAAAAGCATGTTATTCATCTGAAGATTGCCGAATTGCGTATTCAAGAGGATTGGGCTTTTCTTTTATCTCCACTCATATATAAAACAATAGGATTTATATGAACTGATACCCAACGCCAAATGGACGAATCTACGGAAATCACTTCATTTCGCTGTACAAAAGCACACAAAATATCGATTATATACCGTTATTGAATCACAAGGTCGCACGCGCCATTATCGCTACTATACTCGTGACGGGATCAAACAATATTACAATAATCGAGGCGAATCTGCTGAATTGAGTGATGAGGGTAGGGACAACAATGATAAGCACTCCAACAGTAATACATCCTCAACAGGCAAAAAGCGAAAGCGTGGAGATGGCAATGGATCGATAGATACACAGCGCCAAACCGACAATAACGAAATGGGGAATAGCAGTAGCAACAACATAAAGCGACAACGCCATGAGGAAGAAAGTAGCGATCTCTTAACCAATTTATTAAATACGAACGATCAACCGATTACCAAGAACAAGGATTCACAGATCCAGCCTATGAAAGGCTCCAATATCACCGCTAATAAACGGAAGCAAGCTATGTCAATGATTGTTCTACGTGATAAGGTGCGGGAGATTGACCATAGTTTACGGGATGAAATCGCAGCTGCCGCAGGAGAGGCAAAAGATGCCCCACCCATTGCTCGACCAACAATGATACGGTTGGCGGAAGGGTTGCATAACAGCAAAACCATACGTCTTGTGCGATCTGCTGTGCCAGTCTATGGTGGTGGAATGGAGAACAAGGTCTTACTCTTACATCCGGATTTGAATCAAAACGATGCCCTGGTGAAGCAATACCTCGATCATGCTCGTACGAACAAAGCAATCCACCCTCATCCAGCAAAGCGAAGAGCAATTTCGGAAATTCAAATTCCCAGCAATAGCAATGATTCACCGAGCGTAACGACGGTGTCGTCAGAACAACACGTATCGCGCAACATCATCCACTTGGCACCGGAAAAACACTGGCGAGAAGTAGCGCAACGGCATGGATGGATTCAGTCTAAGTGGTTACGAGCCAAGCTACTGCACGAATATCTTTTTAATCAACACAAGGATTTGATCCGTTTGGGTGATCTTCTCAATGAACTGCCTCTCAAAGTCTATTGCCAAATGATTGGACTATACCGTCACAGCGATAAAGTCGAAGCGTTCATGCGTACCACACAAAAAGATATGCCGCTCGCCAACTTGCCGCGAGATATTGAGACGGAGATGATAACGAGTCGATACCGATTACGTCTACAGCTTTCTGGGTTAGTCGATGTACTTGAAGCACTGGAATTACTGGAACGCGTGAACACTGGCATAGTGCCATCCAGCGACACAACGGTTCGGCTGCTCAACATTGGCAAAATCAGAGACTTTAGCGTTGAACAATGGCCAGTGATACAAACATTTGAGCTCGGTACCTCAAAGGATATCCACGACTTCTGGAAAGAGCTACAGTTCGTTTGTACCTCTTCAGATACTGCCAAAAATATTAAAACCGGGCATATTTTGGATACAATCTTGGTACCACATACATGGAGCAGCATGACGATGCTGACACAAGAACAGCGGAATACACTTGACCAACACCTGGGTTGCTCACAAGAAATGGCGCCTGTCGATGATGTACCACTTATTGCTCATTTGTCTCGGACACTCGGCTTGCCTCAAAAACGCATCAAAAATTATTATGATGGGTATATGCGCGCCCATAACAAGCAAAAAACAGTAAATGTTAAGTCACCAAAACGAATGATGGTGAGCGACCTGATCCGATCTGGTCGTACTTTTGATCCTGCACCCGCAACCTACATGTCTACACGCACTGAAGAACGTACCTTTGCACCGACGCGCAAATTTATACGGAGCCGGACTCCCCGTACAGGTATGACAGTAAAAGAAGCGACATTTATGTGTGTTTGAAAAACTAAGAATGGAAAAAAAGAAAAACTACCCGATAGCACAACCAAGCAACCACCCCAACGATGGCCTGAAGTTGAACACGATGCTCTCATACATACTTTTGCAATTATGCGGCATCGAGCGGAGACTAATAAAACGACATTTTCGTGGATGCCTATTACTCAAGTGATGAAGAACCGAGAACCAGATGTTTGTCGGCGACGAATATCTCACCTGAAAGAGACGTGGCCACGATTTCATGATCACATAGAGATTCTCAAACGTAAATGGGCCGAGATTTATGCACATGGTATTGCTACGGGTGAGCTTGTTGACGGACGACCTTGGGACTGGCTTAACTTTGACTTACTTGGTCAATTAAAGTATTTTATCGTCAAGTTACAAGAGACCGAGAATGGAAGGCAAGTTGTATAACACGTTTATATGAAAATTACTTACAAGAAGCTAACATTCACAGCAGTTCGACCCCTTTACCTAGTAATACTGAACTTCTGAAAACTAAATACCAAGTCATAACAAGTCGTTTGCCGATATCAAAAATACGACCTGCTGTTCTGGATTCACATTTGTGTGACTCTTTAAAAGATAAGGACGGATTATCAAATACTGAGTTATTGGCTACAGTGGTGCTCAGGGTAAGTAATGTTGTCAATCATTGTGAGAATGATATTAGGAGGTTAACCGTTGAAATCTTTAGATGGTCTTTATGATGCCTCAGGATACATACGATGCTGAGAAAGCTCGTGCTCTTTTTCGACCATTTTCTGAGAAAACTGTCGAGCGTGCTCTACAATATCTACGCGCTGCTGGTGCTTTAATAATCATGCGAAAAAATTATAATCGGCTTATACCTGGCCAAGTATACAATGTGTCTGAAAAGTATGTTTCTGCATTTGCCAATGTTTTTGTGTGTATTGCTAACATGGAAAGTACTGTTGCTAGGTTTATACGAATGTTTACTAGCGAGCGCTTTCCAAGGAGTATGCTGGACCAAGCCAACGATTTTTACAACAACAAATTACGTGATGACAAAGAGTTACCAAGCAGAATGACATCTGGGTCCATGGTCGTGCTTTTAGATATGATATCTAATGAAGAGGTAAAAGAAAGCAATCTGATGTTGCTTTGGTAGTCACTAATAAGCACTCGTATATATGTAGCTTGCACTTCACATGACATCGGTTGCTCGTTATTCAAAAACTCATAAATCTGTCTATTACCCACGGATAAAGCATGGTATATTCTCTTTGTATAGTATTTTCGGGAATGTAAACAAGTCAAATTAACTAACGGTTGGTGTCTGTTTTCTAGATGCCCTGGCAAATGCCTTGATCGAGCAAAGTCTAGCGTTCGCTACGACTATTTCGCGTAAAGATGATACCCGACATTTTATTACTACACCTAGTAATGGCAATGTAACGATACCCAAATCTGAAGAAATTAAAAAAATAATATCCAATCTATCTGTACAAGCACGATGTGTCTATCAGACCCTGGAAGAATTTGGTGCTGCTGGTGCTACGCTGGTGATGCTTCAGGTAGATATCACAGTTTGCTCGCAGAATTTGTTTTGTTTACTCATTTCCACGTAAAATGAAATAGAAACATGTTCAGGACATGAACAGTCAAGATATTATCAAAAACGTCGAACAACTCAAGTCGGATAATCTAGTGCACCAAGTTGGATTTGAGGATGATAAGTTTGTGACCGCTGGCCATGCACCGATTTGGTTCGTTGAACCAGCACCACATCGATACTTGAAACCGCGAATGTGGTACTTTGTCGACGGGAGCGTGAACCAGGACGTGTTTCAAGGATGTGTACGCAAACTTGTGCTGCTTATCACTGAAAAGCCGGGTATATCCTTGGTAAGGATTCTTTATTTACTTATTTTTTTGAGTGCGAGGAAAAAGGAATTTATTGGATAGATGATACCATAGGCACAAATTCAATCGTCATTCAATGGATACTTGACCGTTGCCGAACTGGAGGATCTTTTACAACATCTATCCGAAAAAATGGTGATTAAAAGCGAGAGCTATGTTCAGTATAAAAGGCCAAAAGGATTTGATGGGTTGTTCAAAACTTCTTCTGTCCTAAAGAAGATTGGTATGTTATCCTGTTTTCCTGGGTAGAAGGCGAAGTTTGGATGAGCTCTAACCTATGTTTGATTTTAGGACCGAACGAAATCAAACAGAATGCAACAAAGCATTACTGGCTTCGTGACGGGTTCCATCCATGGATGGTTAGTTAAAAAGTAACATGTAATGAACAGTTGTATATACATGCACCCATTTTTTTTATTGAGATTTGATGCCAATATATTTGCTTGTCTAAAAGTTTACTTGCTTCGTTTGTATAAGATTATCAGCCAATTAATTTCTGCCTTTCTTACTGACCGCCATTGGTGTCTTCACTAAAGCTGATTGACATTGGGATTGTCGAATTGGAATGTTATCACGATATGATCTTGTGCACCGCTCGCTTAGTTTATTTGCAATTAGATGATACTGTAAGTAACCACATCCTATTAATCCTACGAGAAGAGGACCGGTTGCATCTGCTGTAGGCATAATATAAACTACTGTCAAGATATCACTTTCTCCGTCAATTAAAAATAAAGTGCTTTCTGGTCAAGCACTGTACAGATCTTTCCATATACCCTCATTTCCTATAAGCTGTGCCAGGCATACCCTTTCCATGTTATGAAGTCTTTTGATTTATGCTATGTGAATTGAAAGAAGCTGTCGGATTATTACAGTGATGGTGGCGTTGATTAAGCACTAGTGCTTTCACATTGAAAGCTGATTCATAATTTGAATACAATAAGATCAATATAGCAATCTAGATAATATATATATATATATATATGTCATATACCCACTTTATTAGTATATCTAGAGAAATGGCTTAGTGTATACACATGATGCATACATATGGATATTAGATATAGGGAATTACTACGCGCACGACAAAAATTGACCTCGCGCACGACATTTTTTTTGGTAGTTTAGTATTCCGCAGTTGTCGTGCGCACCGTCTCTTGCACAGCCTGAAAGACCCGCGCACGACAAAATCTGATCTCGCGCAACGTCAATTTTTTTTGGCAGTTGTCGTGCGCACGGTCTCTCGCACAGTTTGAAAGACCCGCGCACGACAAAATCTGATCTCGCGCAACGACAATTTTTTTTTGGCAGTTGTCGTGCGCACGGTCTCTCGCACAGTTTGAAAGACACTGCGCACGACAGAACTATGATGATATATGCCGAGTAACTGGAACATTAACATACCGTGTATCCAAATGGCAAGCAAACAACTTTGTGCCAACATAAGTATTATAATATAGTGAAGCACAAGCGAGACGATTTCTTAGTCAACACAAAAAGACGTAGCCAAGACCATAGAAAAGTGGGTAGACGGTGCACCAAGTGTTTTCACCAATTTAATATCAATGACGATGGTATTGGCTGCAAAGACACATCCTGTGTTTCGTGTTCCAAAACTTGCCACAGCTAGGGCTGTCATGTAATTCTATTCAAATAAAATTATTTTTGACGGTCAGTGTAATATTCGACGTATATATAACGAAAGATGATAATAATGTGTCAACCAAATTGTTGAATATTTGGAGGGCGAAGAACAAGAACAATTAAATCCGGAGACAAGGCACAAGAGCTTAAATATGAGACAAGAAGAACATAAATCGTCGAGTACGTTGAGGTAAACGACAACCGCCAAAAAAAATTGTCGTTGCGCGAGATCAGATTTTGTCGTGCGCGGGTCTTTCAGGCTGTGCAAGAGACGGTGCGCACGACAACTGCGGAATACTAAACTACCAAAAAAAATGTCGTGCGCGAGGTCAATTTTTGTCGTGCGCGTAGTAATTCCCTAGATATATGCGACCGCGCTACTACTATTAACAGCTGTAGTTTTTTTTTTTTTTTGTATGGAGGTGTTTAAACCTCAGAAATAGTTTATTGCTGTGGGCCGTTCAAAAGAAGAGGGAAAGCACAGCGGCCTCGGAATTGTAAGGAAGGGAAGACAAGAGATATATACAATTAGAAAACATATTTTTGAATGGCTGCGACTGCTATTGATGCAATCTTTGCTGGAATGAAAGGGGAATCATTGAAAATGAGGTCCCAATGGCTTCGCCAGAGGGCCAGTAAAGTATATGCTCCAATGGATAGAAGTTGAATATGTGTGAAAGAAGAGTAGGGGGGATCACCAGTCGTGAGGAAGTGTAAGAAAGCCGATGGGCGTGGGTCGTGATAGCAAAGTTGAGTCCACACCCGTTGCCAAACTTGATACTTTTTTGGGCATAGAATTAGGAAATGAGGTAGGGTTTCGGTGTGGGATCTACAGATCCGGCATGTTGTTGATGAGATAAAGGATTGGTTCATATTGAAAAGCCTTTCAGCTGTAGGGATAGTGTTGTGGTAGATGCGATACAGGACATTGCGGGCAGCATGGTCCATAGGTGTTCCCCAAAAGCGGATCCAGTTCCTCGCAGGTATAGTCACATTTTTGGGTGCCCGGGTCAAATGTCGTCGATATATTTTGGGTTGCCCTGTTTTGATGGCGGGATTGGTGTTGATCGCTCTTGTTAAAGGTTGGAAGTTGATTGCTCCCGGGTCACCTAGGTGACCTCCATCCGGGTGGTTTCTGGGAAGGCAGAGCCTAGCAAAGAAAGGGCGGAGGATGTATTTGAATTGAGTGACATCTTTGCGTAGTTGGTTCAATAGGGTAGGGTGTTTTATATAGTCTCCTTTTTGGCGGTCCCTGGCGCGGATATGTCCAAGAGTGGTGTCGAAAAGGAAAAAATCGTTGACGATACATTTCTTGAAACCTGGTCGTTTTGGTGGCGGGTTTGTTGGCGACGGGCAAATGGTGGCTAGGAGTGGGACTTGTAAGACCGTGGCGGGGTTGAGATTGTGGATATCATCCCATGAGATACTAAGGGCGTCAATAATTCGAAGGACCAAAGTCACAGGTGAAGCGGCGTCTTGATTATGGTTCTTGCGGCTGGCGGGACAGAACAGAAGCAGCCGGTGATCTGCGATAAATTTGTGCGTGGCCAGTATTCGATGTATCAGACACAAAATATGCTCTGGAAACATACCATGTTCCCCCAGCATCGGTTGTATCCACCGCAGCTGGAGGGCATTTTGTTGTAGGGCGGGATCCAAAAGGCCAATCCCTCCTTGATGTCGTGGTAGGCAGAGTGTTTGGTAGGATACCCGCGGGAACATGCGGTGCATGACAAAGTTGCCGATTATGCTTTTGACTTTTTGATGGAATCCGGAGAGCGGCGCACCGACGACCCTTAGTACATGCCATAGTTTCGACAGAATAAGGGTATTCAAAGCTGTCGCACGACCACGTACGGATAGCCCTCGTTGTAGATGTTGGTTACAGTGGTTTTTAATAGCTTCCAAGAGTCGATCCATGAAAGATTGTAGTTGCGAGCGGGATGATGAGAGCGGATATCCGAGGTAAACCACTGGATCTGGTTGGGTCCTATCGTGACAAGCTGAGATGCCATAGGGTTGTAGCCTGGTATTCCATATCGGCTGCGGTGCTCCACTGAGGGAAATGGCTTGAGTTTTTGTTTTATTGAATTTTGCATTGGAGGCTTTTTGATAAACATCCATGTGATGGAGTACGCGACTGAGGTCTGTCGTGTCTTGTAAAAAAACACAAATGTCGTCAGCATATGCCAGTGTTTTGATGGGCTGTGGGTTGGGGATTGATATAGTCCCTATTGGGTCGCTTGATGCAAAGGAATATCCTTGGTATGACGCATCTGTTTGCAAGGCCCTTAAGAAAAGCTCTAGAGCCAGATTAAAGAGCACTGGTGAAAGGGGATCTCCTTGGCGGAGGCCTCGTTGTTGCGGTATTGCCGGACTAAGGTGACCATTGATGTTGATTTTGATTTGCGTGGCGAAGAAGAGTGAGCTGATGCTGTTGATGAGTTGTTCTGGAAAGCCAAAGTGTTGCAAGGTTGCCCGTAGGTATTGGGGGTGAATCCGATCATACGCTTTTTCTTGATCCAAGAGCAGTCCGATGGCTGATGAGTCGTTTTCGTTAGCGTGTTCCATCACCAATCGGGCGACCAAACCATTTTCGGCGATGGACCGATTCGGCATGAAACCCGTTTGTTGGGTGTTGATGAGAGAGGCTGCTGCTTGGACGACTCGTTGATTAAGCAGTCTTGTGAAGATCTTGGCGTCGCAGTTAATTAGGCTAATTGGTCGCCAGTTCTTGAGAGACGTCAAATCTCCCTTCTTTGGCAGAATCCGAACACAGGTCTCTGTCCATGAAAGTGGGTAAATGCCCAGTGTCAGTGCATCTTTACAAACATGGTATATCAAATCCTTTGCTGCAGGGTGGTTAAAAACAAGCCTCCAAATGCCATACGGCAGTCCATCGGTCCCCGGGCTGCTTTGTCGTGGGACTCGTTTCGACCCTTCTTGAAGCTCTGCGAGCGTAAATGGCTCGACAAGACTGTCTCTGGTGCTGTCATCGAGGTGGACAGTTGCTGGAATGCTATTATGGAGTTGCTGCATGACGCTGTCGTCAATCGGTTCTGGCGAGTATAAATCGCGGTAGAAAGACGTCGCAGCTGTATGCATGGCTTCTGTTGTAGTGCATAGTGCCCCAGTATGTGGATGTTGTAAACTTGTAATATTGGCTTGAGAGGTTCGTTGTTGGATGGTGCGCTTGAGGTAACCTGCGGATTTTTCGCCTTGTTCCCTCCAGCGCTTGCCTGCTCGTAGGGCAAGAGTATCGCACACTTCTTGTTGTGCTGCTGAGATTTGTTGTTCAATGATGTTCAAGAACCAGGTTCGTGCCGCTGGTGTTGGATTGGACCGTAAAAATCGGTTGCGCTTCGATTGTAATTTGTTGAGGTAGGCTGAAGTACGGCTGATGCGTTGCCGGCAATATTGTTGCATTTGGTGCTTGATTAAACGCTTCAGCTCTTCCCATTGGTGCTGCGGTGTTGAATTGCTGTTGGTGTGTTCAAAGAAAGCAGTGAGTTGTGTTGCGAGTTGTCGGCGAAAGTCTTTGAACGTTAAGATCAGGGGGTTGCCCTGCCAATATCCTTTGCCTGTAGGAGCGGGACCCAGGTTATATGTAGTAGACAATAATGCATGATCAGACCATGAGCTAGCGACATAGGATACTTCTCTGGTCTTCACTGTATTTTGGAATGCGGAGGAGGCTGCATAGATGTAATCAATAGTGGACATTGTACTATCACCTCTACGGAAGGTCGGTTGTGGTGATTCTTGCTGATCTGGGGTGATGCAGTTGGTAAATTGGTGTTGGAGCATGTTGAACCAGGCTTGAGGTGCGTTGAGATGATATCCTGGTCTTTGAAGGCTATAATTGAAGTCTCCTGTGAGGATCAACCTTTCTCTGTAAGGTTGTTGTTGGTCAAAGATTGCTGAGTGGTATAGTGCTCCGAAAAATTGTCGTCTTTGGGTTGGTGATGTTGCGGGTGCGTAGATTGTGAGGATATAGAAAGGTTGAAAATGTTGTTGTTTATGTTCTACTTGGACTAGCAGGTGGCGCGGATTGTCTAGAGCCGAAATCTGTGAAAGTTTGAGATCTGCGCTGAGTGAGACGATGCCACAATGATTTGTCCAAAAGGATTGTGTTGCACTGAAATACGGTGAAATTTCTCCTCCTGTGATGATGTTGATATATGGGTTTCTTGCATGGTGATGATATGTGGTTGATGTTGTTTGATATGTCAAATGACATGTATTTTGTTGGTTGTAAGTAGTCCATTGTAATTGATGGATGCAATTGAGATATCGTTATTGTTTAATATCATTAAAAAAATTATTATTGAGTATGGGGTGGAGGTTGACGCTCCTTTGAAATTTTTTGTTCATATTCGTGTAAACTGATGTCGCGTTGGCGTGAGAGGCGGACATACAGTACTTGTTGCAGATCGCTTGGTAAATCTGCTTCCTGCAAGATCTCCTTGACCGTATCCGAGAGTTCCATGTTATCGATCCAGTCCTTGGCCGGATTAACTTGCGTTGCGAGCTCCTGTTCGTCAGCTAGGATCATTGGTCTATCGTTCTGATAGTCCGCAAATTCCATGGCAATTTCGTCGAGAGCTTGTTCAAGATACCCTTGTTGCATCAGTGCTGAGGAGTTATCTGCGATGTTTTCGTTGTTGTTGTTGTTGTTCTTCTCATCGGTGGCGGTATTGTCGGCACCCAGGTCTTCCAGAGGCTCAAACCGATTGGTCAGTTGCCCCTTCTTTCCTTTTCCGGGCGCATGTTTGGATTTCGATAACTCCTGGGAGGGGGTTGTGTCATGCTTGTGACCAGTCTTGCGGCGGCTGGTTTTGTTGTTGCCCGGCGTCCATTCATCACTATTGTGTGTTGTGGGGCAGTTTGCAGCGTAGTGATTCTTACCACCACACTTGAAACATCCTTTCTGGTTGCGGCGGAAGCATGGACAGTCTTCAACGATATGTCCTAGCTCATGGCAGCGGGAACAGTGGAGGGGCATTTGGTCGAAATGTGCGTAGATTAAGTCATCCTTGTCACCGCACCAGGGGATATGGTGGTCAAGGGGAAGGAGCTGTTGATTATGGCGTGGCTGTATATCCAGAACGGCGAAACCGTTTCCCATGTATGCTTTTGTTCACGGGTCACAGTTGATACCAACGTCTAGGATGTCGCCATATGGACGAAACGTTTCGTGCAGTCTGCGTTCCAAATCTTCTTGACTGAGCAAAGGGAGATTTGTGAGACGAAGCTTTTTAATCTTTGCATTTTTTTCAAGAGCAGGCGTTGCACAGATCGTGATGGTCGGTGTGAACTCTATGCCCTTGTCGATGGCATGAGTTTGTTCTTTTTTAGTTTGGAGATTGATTTCAGCGACCACACGTTGTCCTTCACAATGTGTAAGGATGCCATTATTGATGGGATAAATCTTCATCAAAATATCGACTGCGTCGTCAACGGATCCTGGAATGGGGCTGATGTCAAGCATAATGCTGCCAGGCGAACGTCCAACTCGCCAAATGCGAGAGAAATAGCAAACTTTCTTCGCTTCGCTTGTGCTTAGTTGACATTGAGCATGAACGAGTGACACTCGTTCAGGTTGGGCAATGTGAGCCTATGTCAGAACGGTTGGTGGGGAGGTGTAGATGGAGGGTTGTTGGTTGGTGCCCATATCACGCATAGGCAGTTTGGGAGGAATATCAGAAAGAGCCATGACTGTATTCAGTAATAAAACACAGAGCTGTAATTATTTAAAACACAGAACCCTTTAAAAATATCTTTTTAAAATTATTAGAAAATAAAAATAAATTGTCATACTCCATTATACGCATTCTATAACAATGCCATTAATACACAACGTAGATTATATTTTTATGCATTTACTTGTAAAAAACCGAGCTATCTTGAGCACTTTCCAAGGAAGTGATAGACATTTTTATATTACAAAATGTGCGTTAAGTTTAAATACAAGGTTGTACATTCATCAGCTGGGCATGTGGCGCAATGGATAACGCACCTGACTACGAATCAGGAGATCGTAGGTTCGACCCCTACCTTGCTCACAATCTTCACTCACTACTGAATAAGTAGTGAGCAACATTTTTAAATTTTCTCAATCGACTCGTAACATTTTTGTTTGTTTTTTTTTGCTGACAGTGCTTTTTTGCATCTCACTGTACCTTTTCTTTTGCTACTGTTGAAGTTATACTATCATTGTTGCTCTTCAAACCATTAAGAATAGAACCATGAAAGATCAACGATGGCTTACTGCTTGCCCTAGCGCTACTACGCTGCTGGATATTGTATTCACTGTTATGGCGTATCGGCGAATGCTGGCTCTTTGAATAAAATCGTCCACTTTGTAGGTTAAAATAATGTTTTAAGAAAAATGATAGGAATGAAAAAGAAATTGGGATGAAGGAAAGGAATGCTACTGCTGTTAAAAAGATGTAGCGAATTTGCGTGAGAAAAGAAGATTGGTACTCCTCGTTGAGGTAGCGGAATATGATTTAATAGCTCGATGCATGCTCGTGATGGTACTACATTTGATAAAGAACTTTATTACCAGCGGCGGTATATATTCTCGTCCCACCCATGTCCCCATGAAGCCAAGTATATTTTGTGCAATGGTAACTGGTGCTATTAAGTCTTTCGCGAGCCACGTTTGATACCAAAAGTGACGATTAAATTTATGTTACGTTTGAAACTAAGTAAACCAATAAACACGCAGCTTGTGCTGACGAATCGATAAATTGCGCATTATTAAGGGTAGCCCGAATCGCGCCAAGCGTTTTTCATCCACATGAAGCGGCTTCCCCAATACATCTCATCGATTGCGTCGATACCCCTGTCAGCCGTGGTAGTAGGCCGTTTTGCAAGGGTCTATGATGGTGCTATAAGTGCATTAAGCACATATTTTATTATTGATGTAGTGTAGTACAGTAGTCATTCTCCATGATGTGATTTTGCTATTGACGACTCAATCGGAGATGGGGGTGGTGAGTTGTTTCGCGCGGTATCAATAATAAGATGCCTGACAATATGCGCCTACTATTTCGTCGTGCAGCACAAATCTCATATAAACCGTTTCCTTGCGAATCTTTTGTTCAGAGAAATAAAATTTAGGGGGATGCCATATGATGTCAAATCGATTTATTTGGAATGTGATGGCAAATTTTCAATGACTTCTTTGTAACGATCATAAAATATTACAGAAATAAAAAATGTCCTGTAGACTCGGCGACAATAACAGATATAATGTCCATAGTATTGGAAGGTCGTGTTTTTAAAAGATGCCCGGGTACAAACTGGTAAAATTGTTTTGTTTGAGTTCGGATGTATTACGACACCATGAGGCTCGAAGGCATTGTCAAGTACATCATGGTAGTGTTGATAATGTTCATTTGCAACGCTAAATTGTCACACCGCATAGACTTGAAAAGCCATCGTTACATTGACCAAGTGCTCTAAGCGGGGACGACAGGTGCTAAACCAAGTAGATAAATTTATTAGGAAGCTTAAAGATAAACACGTATATATACGCCACTAGTGTAATAAGATACAAAACGAAAAAAAAAACTGTCATCACTTTGCTATGCTCGGACTTTGTCTATTGCTGGTCACAGTATTTGACTCTTATTGTATTTAACTGTGTGGGGATCATGGCGTATAGCCTGCCAAAACAATACAAGCTAAAGATTTCATTGGTGTTGTCCCGTTCTGCATATGTAAAACGCTTACTTCGAAAAAACGTGCTCCAAGCATTCTCGTTGCTTCCCGAATCCCGACACCTGCTGCTTCAGGATCTATTTTGATTTCAACTCGAAGCTGCCGCGATGATGACAAATGCACTCGGCAAATAACTGAGAATGATCTGTGAAAAACGCGGTACTACTGCAGCCACCTGCATATATTGCTCTAAGAGACGGAGGTTTCTTGCGACGGTGTAAAGATCCATGTATGTTTTTAAGAAAAATAAAGGCCATGCAGTAGTTCTCAGTGAAGCCCGCTCTGTACATTAATCTGTCATTCTTTACCTTATCTAACCACTTACTATCATCATTGAAAACAGAAGAGCGCAGCGTAATCATCGACACATTTGAGCTCAAATGCTATGTGTGATAGCAATAGTCACAGGCGATAGTAGCAGTGATAACGGTTATGATTGTTGCAGAAGGTAATTTTTATGAGTAAGAACGCAACTGGATGTAGAAATAGTGAGCCGCTAACACTCATCGTCGTTGGCTTGTGCTTATTATAGAAACTGTAATTTTTTACTAGAGCCACAGAAACAGAGTGTATAAACTCCTGGACATATATAATGTAGACCAGCAGCAGTCTCCACATTCACAAAAGCACTTTTGTAAAGAGAGGACATTCCTCGACTCGCTGCATCGAGACAGTAGATCACTTGAAAGACTTACTGGAGTGCTTAAAAGTGTTCCATGTCGCGCTCAAATAGGGTTTGTAGTATCTTACTTAAACAGTGAGTGAGCAATCTATAGACACACATTCTTATTAGACGCTAATCAAACTCGAAAAGACAAATGCATGCTCTTACTATGATGAACTTGCGCCTAGAATTGAACTAGGGTATGCTATTTCCCACTTTTGCAAGATGCTTCCTTAAAGCGAGCAGCTATCAATGGTTGAGAGGAACGCAGTCCTAAGTTTAAAAGAGCACGGCACAACACCCGAAGCCGAAAGAAATGTCGTAGACCATAGGGCGTATAAAGGGACCACGTCGGTACAAGACCGCAAGTCAAAAATAAAAAGAGAGCCACGGAACAAGTGCAGGTGAACAAGTCAGCTTTGTTTCTATGACCAGAGAGAAAGTCCGATGGACTCGTCCTTGCGTCCGGCCGAATTAAGCAGGAAGAAGAGCATTTTGGCAGCCGACCATGCATCAAGTGGTATGTCTCACCATGATCGTATCTGACCCGAAAGCTTCACGGCTTGCTTTAATTAAAAAAGGTGCCAAACCTCCTGCCAGAAAAAGACATAAGAGGTATTGAAAGCCTACATGTTATATTGAGTACTTAACTGCAACTAGACCTCGAAATTTCAAGTGCAGTGGAAAGGCGTTATTGGGAACAAAGAGGAAGACAGGGTACCACTTTTATAGTTATAGCGATTGATGTCTTTGATATGTACTACGAAATTGTTGTCACAGAGTATGCTACGGGACTAATGAACTATACTAGGATACAATGGATATACGTGCAAGCAGTCAACTTCTTTTTTCAGTTGAGACGCTCGATAATGACAGGCCCATTATCGACCGACACCTGCGCTTTCGGATCAGTTTTCCTCACCATGACTGGCGGCTTTGGATCCACACGGAGTTTCTTGGGACCAATCAGCATGTGATTCACCATCCAGTAGGCGTGTTCACTTTTCAGCCAGCTCGCACCTAGTATTATATCTGAGCCTATCTGTTGGTATACAAACATTGGGCACCGACCACGGTGTGCGCCAATTTTGATAGGCACCACGACAGCTTCTTTCACCACAATCATTGGTTGGTGATTACTACCCCAGCATTTGAAGCGAGCAGAGGGGCTCAGTTTCTTTGGCATCATTCCTGCGCGGCGTACAACATCCTCCTTAATAAAAGACACGCTCGCGTTGTTCGCCACGATAGCTTCAGATGTAACTTTGTCATTTACTAGGACTTCATAGTGTGGAGCGCGTTGCAACTGTACCCACTCTTCGCTGTCCTCGTAGTTACCATCAGCACCGATCGCGGCTGTAGTGGCAGTAGTAGTTGTGCGGTGGTTGCGGTCATTTGGTTGTAGAACTGACCTCTGTTGTTGTGATGCTCCATTTAAGCAATCAACGTCGTCATCCACAAGTTTCAGTCGGTCTCTGTCTCGTAGCACATATTTCTGTAGTTGCTCTTCCAGTTGAAAGCACCGTTCAATAAGCTGGTCTTCATTTTGTCGCGTCACTTGTAGTTCGTCAAATAGGCTTTCATTTTGCCAGATCGTTTCCCGCAGTTCAGCCTCCGACACACGTGATTGCATTTTGCATGAAACGTTGTCGTTTAAGCACTCCGTCAGCCTTTTCTCAGCCGTCGCCAGTTGCATCCGAGCCTCAACAAGGTCCGCTGTAGTTGTTACGTTTTCGTGTTGCTGTATCTTAAGCTGCCGCTCAATATCCTTGATGTCAATAAGAGGAGCGCCTTCCTGAACAGTAGTAGTACCCAGTGAGTCTGATACCGCCTTCGTCGTTGATGGATCCACGGCATTCACGACCAAATTATGAAATCCAAAGACAGTTTTGCTCGCGTTAATGTTGTCTTGTATTGAACGATTGCCTTGTTGCACTTTTTCTTTTACTTGCTCCAACAGCGTTGCATTTTCAGCCTTTAAAAGCTGGCTCTGGTATTGAAGTTCTTCATGCTGAAGAGTCTTTTGAGCAATGGCTTTTCGGCCCTCGGTAATAAGTCGTTGAAAAGTGTTGCGTTGGTCGACTATGACACGTTGACAGTCGCTCAAGGCATCAATGACTCGAGCGAGTGTAGGTGGGTTGCTATTGCCGCTGCTGCTGTTGTTGTTGTGATATTGCGGTGGATTATCATAAGCAAAGGGAGGTGCTGATGGTGCACTAGTGGTGTCGGTAGCGCTGTGGTACATTTCTTTTTGACAATTTATACAGCGGAAGAAGAACCAAACAAAAAGGGATCCCTGCCTTTGTTTTTTCTTGTAAAGCTGTGCTTAGAGTAAGTAAATGACGTCTGATTTATTTCCTCTTTCCACGTTTTCTGTTTTGATGATCCATGTGCGTAACTTATCAGACTCATTGTTTCTGCTCGGTTAGTGGACAGATAACATTTATCTTCTTACAGCATTGGGAAGACTGGTATTCATTCGCGAGTACATATTACTATCCTCAAAGTACCCAGACTGTATGATGATGCCATGATCAACGAAAACACACGACCTCTTATTCGTATTTTTGGTACTAAATTATGACTGAGATTGATAAGTCACATATGTTGACGGCACATAGAATGTCAATGTGAAGACTCATATCTAACGTTTTCACGTGTCGATCGATACCTTTTCTACAACTTCAGATCCGTGGAAGCGAGCTCTTGAAGCTGCGCAATGCTTCTTACAGCTAGTAGAACATCTACGGCTAAGACATAGTGCTATCTTTTGATTCCCTTTCAGTAGATAAACTTTAGGTATAGATATGAAGTGCTATGGAGATTGATATTTCATGAAACATACTACAGAACACGAACAATGCTTTGTGCCGAGTAACTGGTAACCGGATATTTAGTGGCATGTGGAGTACCTATAAGTGAACTATACGTTTTTTGGAGCTGCATGCGGTGTGTCAATAACTGTTAATTTTCTTAAGTTTATATCCTCCCTGATTTATGCGTTTAAGCATATCCGCACGTGCTTCTTCTCTACAGATATAATTTCCTTTCTCCATCTATCATTGCTTATTTTCTGTTCTTAATGTACACATTGTCTTTCGACGAGAGGAAAACAGATAGTTGAGCGTATAATATGGTTGGCTTCTTTATTGGATCGGCATGTAATAGAAGCAGAAGAGTAATACTATGGAGACAATCATCCAGCAAAATGATACATACATAGTATGACGGGTCTATGTATTCCTCTTTGAAACTAGCGGGAGATTGATGCAGTGAGCTACCCAGAGATAAGGTCTATTACTTTAGCAAATGGTCTAGAGATAAACGTTGTCGTTGATGACAGTGATTGTTCAAGGTTGGGACCATCGAGATAAATTCTATCAAATTCGTCATCGTTAATGAAGAGCTACTTAAAAACAATTTCTGACCTTCACAAACACAATCCTTTTGTATGACTTGGCCTTCCGTGCCACCACTCAGTTTTTCAGATTGTGCTTCTACATCTATGGTTAGCTAATACTCTCATACGTGATATAGGTAGAGACTTATATGGATAACTGAGGAAACATACTACACACTTCTGATCTCTGGTATTGACATATTCAATATGGATTTTATTACTGGGATTTTTTGTATTTTCAAAAGCAAAATATTGTATGTAAATGTTAATATGTGATGAAGCGGATATATGTTTGTATAGAGGATAAAGGACAAAAAGAACATCACATGATAATACAAGAAGTGGTTGTTCGAGGTCGTATACTGCGTCTTTCATGTTGTTGAAGTGTTACAGATTTGTACTGTCGTTCGGCTGCCGCTTTGTGACCCTTGGCTCCTGCATTTTGATACAGTTCTTGTGCACGAAGAGAATCGCGGGGAACGCCAACTCCTGTCTCATAGTACCAGCTATATGCACAGACAAGGTCAATGTGTCAATATTAGATACAAAAAACCCTTTCTATTTTCCCTCTAACCAGCTCTCATAGACGTATGAATGATCCTATGCTTACCCTAATAGAAACAAAGCTTCATCCAATCCTCGATCTGCTGCCTTTTGGCACCAGCTAAACGCTGCATCCTCATTTCTCGCTGTTGCTGCAAGCCAACCAGAGACATCGCGTGCCAGTCGTTCGTCTTCAGTTAGCATATCGTTTGGACCACGACATCCACGATTGTACAGCCGGCTCAAGCCCAGCATGGCCTGTGGATGTTTGTGTTGTTTTGCTGCAAGGTCGTAGTATCCAAAACTCTTGGCAAGATGCATGGGCGCGCCATACATCCCGTACTCGTAGATGAAAGCAATTCTGCTTTGTGCATGGCTGTAGCCGAGCTGGGCAGCATGTTCGAAATAACGTAGTGCAGCAAGTTCGCCACCATAGCGATGGATCACCTCCCTACAAGCCCGTCCAAATTCAAATATGAAAAAGATGTACTCCTTTTCTTTTTTCCCGCGGCTTGGAAGGGGGAAAAACTTACATGGGAATATCAGCTTTTGGATATGTGTTGGTGAGAATTAGGCCAAACAGGTAAGGTGGTTCAGGACAGGCTTCATTTGCTCTTTCAGCTGCTTGAGACAGCAGTTCCAGAGCAGAGGACATGTTTTGCCGTTGACCAAACTCGCCATGAAGATGTACTTTTGCCATGCGCTACATATAAATATGGTTTTAAAATTACGTAGCCTTTGCTGGTGACGCGGTAATAAGACTTTTCTTGCTATAACCCAATGAACATTGATGGTCATTGTATTCACAGTACTTACAAAGATAGCTTCGACAACACCCTGAGCAGCTGCACCCTTGTAATTGAGAAATGCTTGTCGAACATCACCCGATCTTTCATAAGATACAGCGACTTTATGCATGGCTTCAGGAATTCCTTCGTTGGCAGCGATCTTGTATAACTTGAATGTCTTGGTTGAGTTCTTGGAAAACCCATATTTTCCTCTTTCCATCCATGTCGCTTGGAGGTAAGCAGCTTCGCCCACATTTTGTTTCGCTAACCGTTTGATCCACCGGATTCCCTCGTCCTCAAGCATCTTTTTCTTGCGTCGTTCCGAATCGTTCAGCCGGTGCTGTGTGGCTGTTGCTGCAGAAGAGGATGGTGATGGAGCCATTGGCGCCGAGCGAACACTGTCCAATGAAACGCGTGATGATGCGGCTGACTGGTACCCGTCCAACGACATGGGTCGTCCTACATCATTTCTTGGAGACGATGCAGACGATACCACACTCGTACTGCTCCTCATCCCTTGATTCGAAAATTTTGACGACGATGGTATTCCTTCTCCCTGTCCACCTCCACCTCCTCCATAGAGTTCGGCAATTTCCAAAAGATATTTTGCATAGCTGAGCTGCACAACCGGATCCCCGGTCTTTTCCGCCATGCTGCGATATATTTTAATTGCGTCTGGATGATTTGTCAGGCTGTATGATGCTTTTGCATATTTTGAAAAATATGTCTTTTGCTTTTTCGTACTGCTGTTGTCGCCGTTGCTGTTGTTTTGGATAATGAACGATCCTTTTGCATGTGTTGGCGTCATGGAAGCCATATGTGGGTGCTGACGTGAAGCCACGATAGGATGTTGATGTTGGAACTGTGGTGATAGTAGCGGTTGAGAAAGATAACCAACGGTGGCCATGGAAGGTGTCCTGCTAGCCGGATTGCCACTGCCAGACAGAAGTGGAGACGACGGTGGGGAAAATGGCGCCAAGACCATTGATGGGGACATTGGACGCGGTCTCGTATATGCCGGCGTTCCACGTGCGTATGGTCTACTGCTGCTGGTAGCGCCAGGAGGTGCAGGAGGAGGAAATCCGGGCTTTTCGATCTTTGTGGAATCTGAACGGATAACGCCGCCACTGCCCGGAGATGGAAACGGAGAGTCTTCCGAAGATGATTGTTGCCTGAATGTATCGAAACTGGATCTCGACCTGTCTCCATGGTAATGTGTCGTCGGAGACAGTGTAGGTGTTGCTGGGCCACTGTTGTTGTTGTTGTTGTTGTTGTTGCCGCTGCTGCTGCTACAAGGGGCTGCGCCAAGAACAACTGACGTCTTAATTGCGGGAGGTAGCTGACGCTCGTCGTCCATAACTTCTTCCTCCATCACTTTGGATTGTCGATTCGTTTTTTTACTGTTGGATTGTCCGGCACCTGCAATCTTCCACCCTTGCGCATACCAATGGCTTCCCACTGGTGTGGTTGGTGTCTCTACTGCTGCGGCTGCGGCAGGAGCAGCGGTAGTAGTTGCTGGATCTGAAGAGGACAGGGAGGGTTCCGTTGAAGGAGGTGTAGACAGTGCGTGTGCAGGTGGCGGTGGCGGTGGTGAAGAAGGGGATGGAACAACAGGGGCATCCTGGTTAATGTCTGCAGTGGTTTTGGCAGCAAGAGCAGCGTTGCTCATGTTGGGACTTGATGTATCGTTGCCCAATTCAGCAGCTGTTCTGTGGTCGTCTTCATCCTGATGTGTCTGATAATGGATAACTTCATGGTCGTCATCGTCATCGTCTTCTTCATTGTCAATCCTTGACGAGTTGGTGCTGTTGCTGCTGCTTAAAGTATCATCGGGATTCATCACCCGAAAAGTCATCCGGTTCGGACTAAGCTTGTCGATCGATGACTCGGAAGAAGATACCGTATCTTTTCTTATAAGGCCACCAGCAGCAGCCACTGTAGTTCCTTCTTCCTCTTCGTCAAGTACAGCTGGCCGCGATTTTGCTGAAAAGTAACCAAATGATGCATTGCGACCGATCCTTCCGGATCGCTTCTGGTCATTGCCATACCAAGCTCGAGCGGAGGGAAATAGAAAGGACAGTGCTTTTCGAGGTTTGCTGTAACCTCTTCGTTCGGACACGTCCGCCATTCCTCCGTAGAAAGAAACCTGAGAAAGAAAAGAGAAGAGAAAAAAAGAGGGAAGGAAACACAAGGGGATGCAAAGAAGGTTAAAAAATCAGAGTAGGGGTGGCCAAAAAGTAGGACTGGGACGTGCGCTTGGTTGGTCAGAGGGAGAAGACGCACTAATATGGTTACTCTCGCACATAGTTGCTGTGCAGAGTAAAGATCCGTTTATTGTATTATCCCTGTATTCTTTTCTTCCTTTCTGTGTCGCTGATAAACTGCCCAAATCAATAGCCACATGACGTTTCTGAGTAATCGTCGCTGTGTACATGCGTGGGGTATAAGAAGCCCATCATGTTACTTTTACCATCCCTATAGCACGGCCTCTTCTTACTTTCTTGTTTATGTAATGAACATCTGACTTTTTTTTTATTGCTGCCATTAATTAACCATTGTTCAGCAGCTTGCCCACTACCTTGTCGCCTTTGCATCCCATGACTATGTCTTGTTCCGAGATATTCAGCGACATACGCATCGCCAGGTCCATGCGCCCGCCTTCGATTACCAGCGCCCGTGCTTGTCCCAGCGACTCACACACACGCATCAAATCACTCGTTGTCGGCGGCTGGACATGGTGCCACCGGCAAGCCTGCATATGGTAATTCGCCGCATCTCCAAATTCAACATCGCCCAAACCCGACCGCCGAACGCAGAGCATCACTGATACGAGAAACAGCTTTTGATGCAAGGCGCATGCTTGTAGAAACGATACCGTCGGCGATGCTAGCATCTCTTTGATCGTGTCATTGATAATACCGATCGTGACATGGGTATTTTTCGCTTTATCACCGGCTGCACTACCGGGAGCAGGTAGCTGGTATTGCCTTGACTCGACAATTTCCACGGCTCGTCGACAGATATCCAAAGCACGTCGAGCATCGCCACTGACGGCACTGACTTTACGCGCAGCAAACTCGACAGCTTCGGTTTCAAATGCATCGATACCTTCCAATCTTGATTCCACGATTTGGTATAATTGTTGGTACGTATACGGTTGAAAGTTGATGCGTGTTAGACCTATATAATTATTAAAAAAAACGCTCGATTAGATAGCTTCGCACAAAACCCTGGTGGTATGTAATACAGAATTTGTCCCTCCCCGCTGTAGGTTACGTTACCCATACGACTCGAGATCTTATTCGTCAGCATTCTTTCTGGAAGATCCATGGTATTGGCAATCGCGACAACAATGAGCTTTGAATTAGGTCGGTTCGGCCATTCGAAAAAGTTGTACATGACGGTTTGCTTTTTAGTAACCAGTAAATCCAGCTCATCCATAAGCACCACCCTAGAAACATATTCATCGATACAGACTTAGCATCATACACTCTTGATTGGGTGGTCAACTGCGCTTCTATCTAGAGCTAAATGTGATATTGATGATACATACGTGGTTTTTTGTCGATCATCTGGCGCGGAGAACCGTGCTTCAAGTAAATCCAATGCATGTGCGGACGTTACTCGGCGTGGTGCCGCGGTGCTGCTCCCGCCATCTGACTTGTTCAAGCATTCCCACAGGATACTATATGCTTGATTTGGATCGGTTACTTTCATACCGTTGATTTCGACAAAATCGAATTCTGGTAGTTCCTATTTACCATACAATAGCAATAGAGAGAAAGAGAGAGAGAAAGAGAGAGAGAGAGAGAGAGGGAGATTTGGATTAGCATCTTCCATCGTTTTTTCCAATTTCCTTTTTTTCCACGTACACACGCATACACCATTTTGCTATGTTGTCAAATCTCGAATAAGATCGATCCACGTCTTTTTTACCTGTTGTTCTGCTTTGTATTGCAAGTGTCTCATGACTTCAAGTACAGTGGCTGTTTTACCAGTGCCAGGCACGCCAGAGATATATACACATGTGCCTGTGCCTGCTTCCACAGCACTTTCCAGAAATCCCATGATATCCGAAAATTCCACTTCACGACAGGGCAAAGAATCAGGCACGGCCGATACATGCAATCGTTCACGCGCCAATTCGTATGCTGTTGCTGGTGTCGATCGTTCTTGTTCACGACGCCGTAATGGCGTTATCGCTGCAATGGCATTCACACTAATAAACAAATCAGTCTAGTTCTATTTTTTTTTGCGATCAATCGTGCGGCGATCTTTTCCTCACAATCACACAGACAGACACGCAGTATCCATTTTCTTTACCGATGGACTGATCGTGGTGCAATCTTGGGTTTGGCTTTTCTTTTCGAAGGTGAAGTCGCTTTAGAATTGCTTTTGCGTTTTCGCAAAGTAGGCGATTTGAGCATGTCCAGCATGCGCGGCTTTGAAATCGTTTTTCTTTTGGAAGATCCATGTCCTCCGTCGTCTTCTTGATCATCGCTACTGTTATGAGGGTCGAAATCGCTCGATTCGCCAATGTCGCTGCTGTCACTGTTTTCGGTATATTTGACATTTTTATTTTTTTGTCGTGTGGCTCTTCTTCGTGGTCGTGCTGCTTGTGCCATTTTTCTCAATTAAGTTTATAGGGCAAAAGATAACAATGATTAACTATTGCTTTGCCTGCATAAAATTGATGGTGATGGTGACTGTAGCAGGATAAACGATTTTCCGTTAGCATATATGTATTCTCTCTATAACACATTGCGACACACACGAAAAGAATACTTATGCCTTCCGGGCTCGGGTCGTTTCAGAACGTTTTGTCAGACTTGGTGTAATAAGCCATGTTAACCAAGTGTAGCTTGGCCTCATTAGTATCCGCAGAAAAACCAAAAAATAGCTTGTGGATGACTTAACTTTTTGAATGGCCCTTTTTGTCAGTGCAGCTGCGATCAGTAGTTGTCGTTCACAAGACGAGAGAAGGTCATCACAAAGAGAAGTCCTAAGTATATACTCTTCATAAAATATAGTAACTTCCAGCGTTGATGCGTTCCCGGTCATAGTACACACTATAACTTTGTGGCAACATCCCTTGCGATTGACACAACACCTTGAGTCTCAAAGCCGTTATTGTACGTTCTAGTAATAATTGGTTTTAGATCATGCGAGGCTCAGTTCTGCTCAAGGTTCTTTGTGCTTAAAGCAGTTCAGTTTTGCTATTCTCATTTGTTTGCTGCCCAGGCTCCCGAATCCATACCCATTCTTCCTCGCCGTTTCGAGTAGCTCATCATATTAGCCAACCATCTGCATATATAAGCTCAAAAAGTAGAATGCGATTCGATAAGTGTAGATATGGCGCCTAACGAATGAAGAGCACTTAATAGCATATTCTCACGACAACGGCAATCGATGTTTTCGATATTGCTATTTTATGAGATGGCAGCTTTGAATAATATAAAGGTTGGCTGGGCCGAATTTAATTAAGGTTTATTAGTTTGTAGCATTGGTAGCTTTTAAAGTTCTCTCGCTTTTACTATACGGAATACTTCTTAAAACAACACCATATTTAAGGAGCACTAGGATACTATGAAATGACAATCGTCTGAACAAAACGAGACGATGAATAAAAGGAAGCTAGATGAAAGAAACCTTTAGTAAAGTGCACGGTTACCCTAAAATTACCAGTAGCGAATTTACGTGCGCCGAGATGTTATCCATTTTAGGAGTGCCGTATCAAGTTGACACGGCGGCTTACCAAGCAGCACACAAAATTCGTGTGATCGCTGTGCCACTTTGGACCAAAAGCTATTACTATTTCTAGGGTGCGTCGACGTTGACTCTACCCTGAAAAAGTGAGTACGAAAATTCTTAGACTTCACTGACGATTGTGAATTTGGTTCCTGGGGGTTTTTTTGGAACAGCAATGTGGTATCCGGGAACATAAGTTATGACAACAAATTACAGCGTTGTCTATGAAGATGACAACGGGAGAGATTCACACGAATGTGTTTCTCCTTCAACAACAGCTATCTTCATTTTCGTTGGAATAACATACGTAAATATGGTACAAGGGTTTGAAAGATATCTTTATTTTACTGTTTTATCGAAAAATAGTAGTGCTTTTGACGCTTGTACCCATAGAAGATCCACCAGTGCTTGTAACTCTCTCCCGGAAAGTTGACGTATCCCAATGCAATAATTTTTTGACGGGGTATTGTAGTACACAGCGGGCTACTCCCCAAATTCATGCACTGCCTAACATGGATGCTGACACAGTCGCAGCATACCGTCCATCTCTTCCAGTAATACATCCAAGCTGTTGCGTTGTCCACAGATCGTCCTCTCTACCATTTGCCGAGCGTACTGGCCGATGACCGCGGCAGATCTTGAGTTAGATCGCAAAGCAGGCGCTGGGATCGAGAAGGTGAAGAGAATGCTTATCGCTGTTCTTTCTTAGTAGCAAGCACATAGTAAAGGAAACGCAGGGCAGCAGATATGGTTAACAGAAGTTTGCATTTTCTGCAGATTATAAGTCCACGACGACCACGCAGCAAACACACGCAGTTAGCAATTTCTTGTTCTTGATGACAATGACGATATTCTATCCGTGTCCAACTACTTGCTAAACGACACTATACTTTCTGTACATCGATCGTATTCGCCGTCACCGCAGGTAAATTGCGCAAATTGAACGTTGAATTTCAATGATATGATGTGCTGTGGTCCAAGTTGGAACTAACGACTGTCATCTACTGACTATAGCGAACCGTCCTTCTGGTCAATTTCTATGTGTCACGTAATATGGCCCGCCACTTCTTGTAAGATCCCAAATGGCTTTAGCAATTGTTCTTTTGTTCCCACCCACGGTCTTCTGTAGTTGATATCTCTGTATATATATACTACTTTCTTCCTTGCACTCATCGTAATAGATATTATTGTGTGTACTATATATCGAGACTAAATGTGACACATAGAGGATAGATAATTGCTATGTTTTGTCGGGAAGCGAGTTTATGATGGAAATTCTTCAAGTCTTCTTGCGATACGTGCGAAAGTAACAGAGCCCTATATTGTCAAGTGTAACCTTGGTAGTAATTGGTTGTTATCCAGGTTGACAACAAAATTTACAAAAAGACTTTTTGTCTGTAAGAAGAGTTCTGTAAATCATTGTTCGCGATAATTTGGCCTTTTATATGGGTAAACTCTTGAAGTGATAGGTTTAGCTTGTGCTTAAAAATGAATGCAAATATGGGCTGAGGGCACGATAGAGTTAAATGAGTACATATGCTAGCAAAACTTTCGTTAACGGTGGTAGCTTGGTTGATGGGTGATTAGCTTTAAATCAGCTTATTGGGATTCTATGATATACCTTGCTTATAATGATGGTGCTTATTATCAATTACAGTGATCTCATACCAGGTATTATAAGCATCCCTAGATGCCCTTCTATTTCTTATTTGCCGCACAAAAGAGCAAAGTATAAGCATACGCATTCGTTTATATATCTTTCTATATGTGTATTTCATCAAATAAGCTATATATGTATATACATACTATTGCGCATAAAAAATAAGGGAAAGATGCGTCACAGATATATGTATGAAGATGAGACAGTGAAGGGAATGAGAGAACATTTTGGGGGGGGGAATAGTACAAAGATCGAGAAGAGGAAGGATAATGACATATATTGGATATGATAGAAACTGATTATGGATGATGTGAGTATATGTAAGGTAAATTCACTCGAAAGATGAGGAGTTAGAGGTAAAAGAGAGAGAGAGAAGGAAATATGCATATATTATGACGGCGTACACATTCTACTCAAATCCCGAAAAGATATTATGAGCAGCCGACATATGGACCATGCCAGTATCGAGATCAATGGCATAGCAAAGGAATGTGGCATCAACACTTGAACATATCAAACATAATTTTTTAGCAATCTTTCATAAACAGCCTCAGCTCCCGTCTCATGCACCAGTCTTTTTGTTTTCTTACATGCTCATCATGGTATAGGAGAAGAACCGAGACACGTATAAAGGTACAATGGTAGCCAACGCACCCACAATGAATCCGTGTGACGATCGTAAACTGTGTGTCGCAAATATATATGCGGCGAAACCGGAAGACAAGGCAACGACAAGTGAACCGATATACAGTATCATCTTTGTCAGCAAATCTTCAAAAGTGCCAAATAACCAAAAAATATCAAATCGTTGTAATGTCAGTGAGAGTTGTATTCAATAGATGTTTCTGTTCCTTTTGTAAATATATAATTTTTTTAACGAACCTCCTACGAGACCAGATAATAGGTTTCTCCTAAAGATTTTGGTACTTGACCTTGCCGAGCTATAAAAGCTTTCACCAGTGATACCAGCCAAACTTATCGTATAATGATTGATTTGGTTAATCAGAGCTTCGATGTATCCCAGAATCAACGAGATAATGCTCATCAATGGCCAACTTTGCTTAAAATTCTAATAATATGGTATACATTAAATGAGGGTTGATTTCTCAGTAGCCCTTTTTCCAATTCAAATCTTGTTCTTCCCAACAACCCTCGTTTTTTTTTTCACAGAATTATATCGCAAAGCGTGTGTCTTTTTTCTGCCTGCGCTGTTTGTTACCTTTCGTATGTACTGCGTAAACAGTTGTAGAGTTTGTACAATCGTAAGAATAAGACTTCCGAGCGCGATTGTGCCTAGTGAGGAAGCAGCAGCACGGACCAACGCGTTCTTCCAAGCTTTATCTTGATGTGATTTAGCTGGCTCGTGTCGGTGGAAATACCATTGAGCTGTCACTGCAGATAATGCAAATCTATCAAATACAACTCTAAGTACTCTGGTATGTATGCATTTTATTTGTTTTACCGTAGGGTTCTCATAATTTACCTTTGCATGTTGCTAAGAATGGCTGCAGTCCACAGATAAACAAAAAGATAAAAGCAAGCGAGAAAATAAGCATTGTCGCTCACGACCCAAGCTAAAAAGTTAAATATATGGAGTAACAATAACGATTCAAATCAGCTGGTCAATAGTATTTTTAATAGTAGCAAAATCAATTGAATTGATAGATATCTTTTACCAGTAGATCCAGAATTCAAATGTCCAATTAGCCATAGACGATTAAACAGCACCATCCATATCGCCGTGAAGGCAATAAAAATAACTAGCAAGAGGACGGAGATGATGAAGACTCCAGGATTATGATGCAGTACATCGCAGGCCAACTACAAGAATTATCACGTCAGTTACTATCATACTCCCATTACTCGTCCATGACGCACGTATACTTAGAGACCCTCTGTTACCTCTAATACAGCAATTGTCTTGCTAATTTGCTGCTGGCTACTATGGATCATCTTGATAAAGATAAGGGCAGACACCAGGGGTATGAATGATAATGCTGTAAGGCTATATATTTTCATACTTTAGTTGAGCAAGTGTTTATCCTTAATCTCAAAGATACAGTTCCTTAATATGATCCCTTACCCGCCATCGATGTTTGGACGCTGACGTGATTCCACAATAGTCCATATAAACATTGACAATAATGACACTGGCACTATCACTACGGTTCCCCAAACGATGGGCTAGAGATGGAAAAAGTGGGAGGGGGTTAACAAGAGCATTCTATACGCAAATCAACACGGGGCTCCAGAATAACATACTTTGGTAAATGTGCGAAGAATATATATCCATAGAGTGCCACATACAAGTGCCGAAGTCACCATGATGGCCATGATCCCTATTTTCAAGAGATATGTATATACACAAGAAAAAGTTATTGACAAGCAAAATAGAATGTCACCATGACCATCCTGCTGACCGCGCATCAGGTAACAAGGGTGAGACGATCGGAATAAAGTATAGTTTTACCAGCACTATCAGAGATAGTCTTGAACGTGGTGCCACGTGCATAATTCTCTATAGCGTGACTCTATCGACACCAAGACGTAATGAGGGTTGGGTCACTTATTTTTTCTCCATTATGCTAGACACAAGACACTCCTTTTTTATTGTTTGGCTTACATTTGTCGTACATGCAATGATGATCCCCGAGACTATAAATACCAAAAGAGAGAGGCAATAGAGTGCTGCAAAAAATGGATCGCGCAATTTTCGCTCGGTTTTTACAGTAGTGATGCCTTGTGGGATCTAAGCCGTAGGTAGGGTGGGGGAAAGCGGCGCAGCAGAAGCAATCAAATAAGGATAGCACACATTTCTTTAGGATGATTTCCGTTCATACATGTATAGGATATAAAAAAAGGCTGAAAAACTTACAGCAGATACTGTCGGCAATAATGACTCTGACAACGATTTAGGATTCGGTAGTGTGGACGGACCAGCGACATCCGTTGGAGGAGTTTCGAGATAAATAGCCGAAGGTTTCTATCATTGCTTTAGTTTAATAACCTCTATTTTGCTTTTGCTTCTGGAAAACGTTGTCAAAGAAGAGAGAGAGACGGGCGAGTCCATGTATATTTTCACAAAAACACACACACACACACTTTAGAATAAGACTCACCGGGCTTTCTTCATAGTCTGAAAAGTGAATGGGTCGTGGTAGTTCGTTATCGCCATTGTTGACATTTTCTTCTTCTTCATAACTGTCAACTTGTTGGTCAAACAAGAGCTGACTTCGGTCCGAGTAAGCATGTGAATCGGTCAGTGGAATACTCTCTTCGCCAACGGCAATGTCTATTCCTCGATTCTGTTGAACAGAATAAAATAGACTATGTGACAATTCTCTATCGTCCTGCTCGTCATCGGATTCCTGGTCCATCCGTGCATACGCTGCACGAAAGCCGCGTGTCTGCTGAATGCTGTCTTTTATGGCTGAATAGACACTTTTTGCGAATTCTGGTACAGAATTGTCCATTGTCAAGAATAGAACGGGTATAAGTTACGAAAAAGAAAGAGGGAAAGAGAGTGAGTGAGTGAGGGAAAAAAAAGGTTGTAGTGTACGCCATTCATGCGCAGCGGAGTAACTAAAAAGTAATGCTGCTCGTTTTGTTGCCGCCCTTGATTGTGTGTAATGCGTAGTAAGAGAAGTGATACAGAAACAATGGCAAACAAGATGGATTATCAGGGCCATCAAAAAGTGGTTTAAGACAGGGGTCGCAATGTAGGTTTAAGGAAGATGATGATGATGCAAGTTGTTTATATTATGTAAATACAATATAAGGGCGTGTGTGGATTGCTTTTCTCTCTTTCTTTGGTGAGTTCTTCTTTATATGGTACAGTTACATATACAATCGGGATGGGCAATGACAGATGCCGCTGTGCTATACTCTTTTTATAGCAATAGCAGTAGCAGCAGCAGCAGCAACACTTTTTCTACTCTTCTTTGTTGACAGATTGTTGGTTCTCTTGATTAACAGATTTCTCTTTCTCTTCGGTACTCTTTCCCTCTTCGGGAGCAGTAGTAGCACCATCAGACTTTTTGTTTTGCTTTTCGTTCTTGCGCTTCTTCCTCCGTGCGTTGTTCTCTTTATACACCTGCGACATATCAATCGGGCTATCGATGATCTTGAGGGCAGATAGCAGATAGCCACCACCAGCACTCGTTGTCATTTCAGGATGTGTTCGACCCGGAAGTACCTAACACATTACCTTGTTAAACCAAAATTCACTCTGCAGAACTTCTTTCCTGTCGCGTTTAACATACCTGGTATTGTCGCAGACTGCTCTCAGTGATATCTACCGCCAAGAATTCTGTTGATCTGCGCATATAGTGCGCAGCTTCCAACAGCACTTCCTTGCTATGACTATAGACCACAATACGTCGAGAGCCCGAAATATATGGAACAAGTTTCTTGATGACCGTCTCGGGAGCATATTGTGACGAAATAATCAAACTATTGGGGCGACAGAGTGTGGCAGAGGTTAAGATACTCAGGAGGTCCATCATTGATCATCATGTGTCTCCAAAACCCAAGTAGACTTACCCATCGAAACAACCATCGAAAAACATCTTTCGCGTTTCTGCCCTTGCAGTCGATACACGCTGACGTCTTTCATAACCTTTGAGCACATCTTCTGACATTGCTGCCACCTCTTCTTCTGTTCTTGGTACGAATTCCTCTGTTTTGGAGAAGGTAAGAAGCTGGAAATCAACCGTTTACCCCGTTTTTCTTTTACCTTCAGGATCATTTGGATCAATTCTAGCCAGTGGGATGGTGTGTACGGATTCGAGAATACGCTTGGAAAAATTCATGTAGCGCATCACATCATAATTTTGGTTGTCACCATCATGGATACCGAAAATCTTGCCATAGCCACCCATACGTTCAGCAACAGCAGAGATAATGAGCCCTTGTGTATCATCCACAACCAACATTTTGCTGTTTGCATGGACGTTGGCCAAGCTGAGAATTTGTGAAAGCGTATCGACACGGATGTTTCTTTTTAAAAAGAAGATTCAGTTAAGCTGCGCTTGTTTGCCCACCCTACCTCCCCACTCCCAAGATTAATTCGTACTTGATTTTATCAGGATTCTTGTTGAAAAAGAATTGGGCAATCGAGTACAATGTGGGACGAACAGGCGTAAACACCTTCATGAACTTTTTCCGCTTTCGCTGGATGTACTTTGCTTTTGAGAATTCGGTCTTTTTGTCAAATTCAGTGTGCGATTCAATGATTTTTTTGATGATTTCCTGTTGTTTCCATATGTCACATGCACCAGATTAGTTTCCAAGCTGCAAAAAAGTATCATAGGGTATATTGGATTCTTACATCATGAGCCATGTTGCCCTTTAATCCTTCCTGCTTCAATTTCTCGACTTCTTGATACGACAACTTTTGGACCGAAGCATTGTCGACAATGTTCTGGTTATTGGCATTGGTTTCCTCTAAAAGCATCAAGTCATTATCCATGTATGAGTTATCCATGTATTGCACACACATATATATATATACAGAGATACGCTTTCTCTTATAATCATGCGTTTTTTACAAACACCCCCAACTCTATCACCAACTTATGACAAACCATACCAACAGTAGCAAGCGCCCAGTTACGGACGGGTTGAATATTGCCCTTTTGATCATAGATCTCGTACGACAGACCAAATGGCTTGTCAATCAACTTGTCTGAATTGAACGTACCAAACTTGCCCAGTGACACTTGACTATTTTATAGTAAATTATATTAGAGAAAAAAAAGATTGTTGCTGCATATTTTGATCCCGGAGAGGAAAGTTCAGATTGTTGTTGTTGTTGTTGTTGTTGAAAGGGAAAGTGTGGGGAGGAGGAAAACGAAGGTTGAAGAGGTTTTTTTTTCGTGATCGATCGCATCGTTCTCGTTACAGGCTACTTACGTGTTGGGCTTTAAATTCACCATTTTGACATTGCCACTAGGCATGTGGATCAAGACGTATTGGTTTTCGTGAACATGAGGAAACTCTTCATCAATGTCGTCTTCTGTTGTAGTGGCGGGAACCACTGTTTTGATGAAATTGGCTGCTGTTGTTGTTTGAGGGTGTGCCGGTGTTGCCATTCTCTTCTCTTCTCTCTCTATATATTATGTGTGTCTCTATAACGGCCAAAGGGGCGGACACAGACAAAGCAAACTTTTTTTTTTCCCTTCAAAAATTCAAGCGAAATTTAATTCAGAAACCAGAAAGTTAGCCCCCGACCGACCGACCACGTTTTTTGTAAGAAATGTTTTCTTCTTCTTCCCCGCACACATCAGTATATAATTTTTTATTGTTATTGTTATTAGTATTATTAGAAGAAAAAAAGAGACAAGAATTTTAGAAAGACAAGTGAGAAGAAGACAATTGTGTATAGAGAGAGAGTGAAATATATAAATTAAGCAATTGGATAGTAAGAATCTTGTTGTTGTTGGTTCTGACGAGACACTTTTTGTTGATAGTGTGACAAAATGAATGGAATGGATGATACGGATGGGTTTGTTGTACTTGTAGTCGAAGAAGAAGAAGAAGAAGTGGCAGCGGCTGCCGCGGCCGCAGCAGCAGCAGCAGCAGCAGCAGCAGCAATTGTCGCGCCAGGACTGGATTTCACAGGAGAATGATGACTGTCGTTATCATTGGTATGATCCATAAACATATCAGGTGGAGGTAGTGCATAAGGAATGTGCTGTTGTGATTGTTCTGATGAAGAGTGAGATAGCGGAGGTGGTGGCAGTGAATGTTGCTCTTGCTGAGGCATTGCTGTGTAGTAAAAGTGATTATTGGCTGTTGTTGTTGTTGTTGTTGTTGTGCTGACTGGAATAGCAGGTGGAGAACAAGAGGAGAATAGAGTAGCGTCGCGATTACTGGGTGATGAAGGATAGAAATAGTCATAAGAGTCATAAGGTTGTTGTTCTTCTTTGATAGTAGATTCGTAGTTGTTCATAAAATGGGATTGTTGTTGTTGCTGTTGGTGCTTGCTGGTTGTTGTTTCCATCAGCGAATGCGTCCAATGACCAAGATCGCTTCCTGCGGCTGTGGGTGTATGAATAGAACATGCCGACGGCGACTGGTCGTATGGATCAAAGGGAGACGAGGGCGTCGATCCCGAAGTGTCGTCAATAAAAGCAGGGGAGTAAAGCAAAGCAGAGCTATTGTGCATGGTGTGATACAACCAAGGCTGCTGATGTGCTGCTGCCGCTGCCGCTGCCGCTGCTTGTTGTTGTTGCTGGTTGTTGTTCCAACAAGGTTGCAGATCAGATACGGAGGGATGATACTTGTCCTGCGCTAGGGCATCCGATGATGACGACGGTGGTATTGGAGGATGCTGCAAATGCTGCTGCGGTGAATAGATTGTTTCAGCTGTAGTAGCCAATCCATAAGCAGGAGGCGTATTTGGAAGTTGTTGTTGCTGCTGCTGCTGCTGTTGTTGGCTGGTGCTCGTGCCACTGCTTTCACTTCCAGCACTGACCAACGTCGGACTTTGGCATCCATTCCTCCGTGTAATGCAAAAAGGGCAGTGCCGGACAAAGCGCGCAATCAGCTCCTTGGGAATCCACGAGTACCGTTTACGAACCTGCAAATAGAAAAAAGAGAAGGGGAAAAAAGGGTTAGATAGGGTTGGTGTACGGGTAAGATTTTTTTATTTGCTGTGTAGGAGGGAATTCTCATTGATTGTATACAAAGACGAAAACGTGGAATCAAAAAGTGTTATGCTCAGCCTGCAAAGGGGGGGGGGAATGGGGGGAAGGCGTGCGTTGTATTTGTAAAAGGCGTGTGTAAGGAGAGGCGAGAAGAGGATTGAAAGCATGACAATCACAAACAGCAACAATGGGACACAAAAAAAAGAAAAAACTTACCAATGCCGATGTCTTGTCTCTACCGCCGTGATGAGCCTCACGATGAGCGCGTACAAGGATGCCATAGATATGCTCACGCATAGCCACGGGTTTGTTGTCATGACATACGACGTCAACACTATCGGCTGTGACGAGCTGGAACATTTTCTTGACCCAAAATCTGAATTGAGCCGTGGATATTGCCGTGTTGCGTGGATCCTTGAGCACTTGAAGGATCAGCTCGTAGCGTTGTCGATCTACCAGCGCCTTGTCACGTTTCTTGGTCGACAGGTTCTGTAGATAGTCTTGCACAATGCTGTCGAACTCCGTAGGTCGTGGAAACTGGTCTTGATCGTTCAGTACGGTCTCGCAGCCAGGGGAGGCATTGTCCTCTACTACTAGATGTTGTTGTTGCTGATGCTGGTGCGGCGTAAAAGGATGATGAGGAGGAGGATACGACGGCGGCGGCGCGACGCGGAATGGTGTGCGATACAAGCAGGCCTCTGTGTCGTTACTCGTGGGCAAGAGGAAATCGATACCACCACCAGCTCTTGCTGTTGGTGTCGGTTGGGTGTTGTTGAATAGGGATGCTGGATCGCTGTTGTATGGACACCCTGTTGACAGTGCGGCCGTGGGACGACCCGTGGTAAATTCTGTAGCTGTTTCGTGGTGCTGTGAGATCATTACAGGATAATAATGAGCTCAGGTAATTATAGAAAAAGAGAAGAAATTTGAACAAGAAATGTACACGAGATGTATATATGTTACAGTAGGAAATTGGGATGATGGGGAATTGGAAGGAGAAAGAGACAAGTGGTAATAATAATGATAATAATAACACAAGAAGTAAGAAAAAAAGCAGGGCCTGTACAGGAGAAAGAAAGCAAAGAAAAGAAGAAAGAGAAAGAGAAGAAAGGCAGGACGGGAACAAGGCAAAATATGTAGAAAGAAAGAAAAAAGGTCAAAGCGACAAGGAGGCGACGGGGCTTCTCTCTTTTAAGCGAGCAAGTCAAGTGTGTGTGTGTACGTACGTGGGCAGAAAGCACTAGTAAGCAAGAGCAGCTCTTTTAAAGAAAAAGAAAAAAGAAAGAAAAAAAAGAGGAGAAAAACACGCAAATTATATAATATTTTGGCGGGAAAATGGTGCCTTTGGAATTTAACCCTCTCTCTCTCTCTCTCTCTCTGTCTCGCTTCTATGCAATACCCACACAAGAGTAAGCGAAATCCGAAAGAATGGTTGGTTGGAGTGTTGTCGTTGTCGTCGTTATCATGCTAAGGCATGTCCTGCCTGCCTCTCTCTCTCTCTCTCACTCATTTTTGCTGACGCTAGCTACTACAGAGCACCGTTTTTCAATTAATCACGACATACATCTAAGGGCGTGAAATGATGTCGCCATCTTTAAACAAGCGGTCCCTTCACTCACACACTCTCTCTCTTACTCTTACTCTTATAGTGTGCATAGTTCATGCACTCTTATTCTTTGTGATTGATTGAAACACCTCAACTGGTAGTATACACATACACACACACACACACACACACGCACACAAAAGGATCTCTCTTGCCCCAGCTTGAAGAGAGATGGATCGTGCAAGAGCAAAGGCACGGGAAGGGAACAAGGGAGCAGGGGAAGGTTAAGGAGTGGGGTTGTTGAATGAATGAATGAATGAATGAATGAATGAATGTGTTTGTGTTGTTGCTCTATCTATCGCTTCAGCCGTGCATGGGAGAAGGCAACAGCCATACCGAACAACAAAGACGATGGCGATGATTCAAGGTGGTGGGTCCCTTAAAAGCTCCTTTTTATTATTTACTTTATTGAATGCACGTACATAAGTAAGAGTCATTCATCCACACACACACACATTCATACATGTACATATTCTGTGTCCTTTTCCTCGCATCCTTGCTACCTCCGTGAAATGAGCTCCTCTCCCCCACCCCCCAACATTTTCCCTCTGCATCTGCCCAACTCCGGCCCTTCTTATACACCACTTGCTGCTGCTGCTGCTGCTGCTGCTGCTGAGGATGATGCTCACTAACACCAATGTGTCTCTCGACATAGCAAGGCAACAAACCCTTTCCTGTTGCCTTTTGCATGCTTTTGAGAAAAAAGAGAAAGAAAGAGAGAGAGAGAGAGAGAGAGAGACAGCGTGTTGTGCCTGATATGTGTGACAGCTTGAGTGACCTGGTCTGTGCGTCCATTTACCACTTCAAAATGTTGTACAAGACACACACTCGCTTATCTTGACAGTTGCCATGGCGATGTTGTTGTCACTGTCCGCTCAATCTCCAAAACACCAGCCTCTCTACATTAGTGCGATCCTCCCCCCCCCCCAAAAAAAAAGAAAAAGCCGATCCATTGAACCGAGGAACATGTCATCATTGTTGTGGTTACATTTGCAATACTTTTTTTTTAATGGCTGGGGTCGTTGTTGGGAGGGTGCGTAAGCATTATGTATGACAGATAACAAGGTGGTGGTGGTATGAGAGTAGAAAATGGTACACTACTAATTTATAGAGAGAATTTTTTTTTTCTTGCTTATTGTGGATCTACTACAAAAAAGCGGTTTGTTTAAATAATACGAAATTAACAATGGCGATAATGATTCAAAAGAGGAAGAAAAGGGTATGTTTGGTTTTGCAAGATCAACGCACTCGACAGCGATGTATCATCGAGGATGCTGCTTTTGTTGTACTGCTGCTGCTGCTGTTGATGATGATGATGGTGATGATGATGGTTGTTAATTATGATGATGATGATGACGACGCGAGGAATCGCCAAACGAAGTAAATATGCGATGTCGTATGCCCACATTTGCTCTTCTGGACGAGTCAGAGGTGCTTGGCCGTGAGGTCGGGGAAGAGGCACTCGAAGTAAAAGTAGTAGTTGTAGTTATGGAGGGTTGTATGAGATCCAGCTCAGACCGACTCCTTTGCTGCTGTTGTGCCGTTGTTGCTGTTGCTGTTGCTGTTATTGTTAAGAATAGGAACCATTAATTAATGCCTGCCATGCATCCGTGTGTGTGTGTGTGTGTGCTTGCATGGGCTCATTCTCTCTTACTTTCTAAAAAAAGTAAATATTCCTTTACCCTCCGCCTGTTTGTTTGTCTTTCCCTTGCGTGGCCTGCTAGAACGCGTAGGCTTAGGACGTGCTGCATCAGAATTGTTATCTGGCCCACTGTAACCACTACTGTAACCACTGTTACTACTAGCACTGGTGCTGGTAGCATTATTAGCAGCAGTATCAAAAGTGGTGGTGGTGGTGGTGGTGGTGGTGGTGGTGGTAGCAGCAACAGCAATACCACCGCTACGCCGCCTTCCAAGACCGGCGATGCCCTCGGATAGCTCCCTTATGATGCTCGATCGAGAAGGAGTAGGAGTAATATGATCACCCGAACCAGCACCAACACTCCTCGTACTCCGGGAGCTGCTTCGATCGGACGACGTGGACGGTGACTTGTGGTGGTGTTTGCTGCTCATGAAGGATATTTCGGGGTCCTTGCCCAACTTGTACCCTCGTTCGGCAATGTTGGCCAGAATGCCTTCTCGTGCACGGGCCATGGGCTGAGTAAACTTTGGTGACTTGTATGCCGCATACTCGGCGTTGATCACTGTTGTCCATTTTGTTGGTGCTTTGTGTTACCAAGCAACCCACTCCCCCCCCCAAATATGTTTTTTTTTTTTGCAGACCCCATCTCCCCCCCCCACTCTCTCACCCCAGAGCACACATATTTTCCCCTTTCCCTTTCCAAAGAACTTACGTTTGGCAAGGATGAAGGAGCGCAGCTCGGACGCGTGGAAGAATATAGACTTGTCGGGTAAAGGAGGGCTGAATGTCGGTACAGGCTCTGCCATGGCTACCTCAACCCTATTTTGCAGGGAGTAGTAGTAGTAGGTAGATAGGGAAGGACGATGGTTAGATGGATCGGCCAAAAGATGGGGATAACAGAGTTAAGCACCAGCCAACTCGTTTTCATTCTATTTGGGCGTGTGTGCGTATGTGTGTGTGTGCGTGTGTGGTGTCCCTGCATAAGTTACTCACCTCCAGCAGACTCTCCCTTCCCACTCTTCCTCATGCACCACGATGAATACATGCAGAAATTGTGACTTGATCGCTGCAGGGTTAAAAGGCTGTTTTCCTTCGGCAAAGACAACGCACACGATATCTAATACACGCATGCACGCACATGAGTATTTCAGAATGTTCTCTTTCTTTCAAGGGTCCATCAAGGGCTCAGCATATGAGAGAGAAACGAGACAGCCCTTACCATTCCCGATGTGGCGCTTCTTTTGCACTTGCTGCTTATCTCCTGGCCGCGAGGGTATGAGAGAAGAGACATGGTATGCTATGTTGTGTTCTCTCCATTCTTCCACAAACGTGTGTTCGCCCGAGTCTCCACCTTGGTTGACATAGTTTACGAATCAGCTTTCCTTCGCACATCTTCTTGTTCAACACACTGTTTATAAAGAAAAAAAAAAAAAGCAATTCCCCATACTTCTTGTGTCCAGTCCTGCTGCCCAGCCACTGTATCCTTGCAGTTCGACACGACGTCCAATGATCCGCAAGAATCGATCCAGCTTCTCGGAATCATGGTTGTTGGACAACCATTCTTCTTCCTTGGTTTGGCCTTCCTTGACATAGATCACGCCAAATTTATATCGATCGTGAACCTGTTGAAGAATACCGTATATTGAGTTATCGTCGTCCTCGCACGTTAGAGCTACTGCTGCTATTGCTCAACCACGACTCATCTTTACTTTATCTTGATTTTACTCGTTAAAAAATTACAAAGAAACACTCACAGCTTGTTCATCCAATCGAAGAATCTCGCCCTCCAGACCCGCCGAGACCATGGTTTCGTGATCGATCTTCTTCATTCGATCGAAAGGCATATCCAACGACATTTCCATCACCGCTTTCCATGTGCTGTCGTCAACCCTTGTTTCCATATGCGTACCATTGGCCGACGGTGCACTTAGCAGAAACGAATCGGGTATAATCTTACGGACATCGGGTCCCTTTGTAAGAGGTAATTAGGAGATCCAGCACATGCATACCACCCCCTCTCCCCCAAAATAAACTATAAGAAAAGGGAGGTTCCATGTTGTAAAAATATAAATATACCTGTTTCGTTCGAATGATTAACCTATATTGCTTTTGGGCGCCTTCTTCGCTTGTTTCACAGATGGCCGAAAGCAGTAACGGTTCGTTGTCGTCGTCGTCGTCCCCATATCCGACAAACGTTGTATACTCTCGTCCCACAAAGTACGTCCGGTACCAGTACGCCTCTTGGTCCATGTGCTCCACGCCAGAATCACTATAATCTTTGGTAGCAGCACCATTGTCGTCATGGTAATCCTGAGCTTGTGTTCCAAATCGATTCCGTCCCTCCACTCGATACCCTTTGCAGGGAATCACCATGGATTTCTCAAATACTTTATGGTACTGACAAACACATTGGTTGACCATTTGCTTCAGACACGAAACCTAGAGTATTTTTCTTAGTATATATTTTAAATCACTCGAGCCCTTGGTGAAAGACACTCACGATATCTTTGACAGCAGTAGCTAATGCTTGATCCGTGTCGGCATAAGGCATTGAATGCTGTGGTTGCTGCTTCTTGTCCTTTTGTTTTTGACCAGCAACAGCAGCAGCATCCACAAACGCCTGGCCTTGTGAGATTTGTTGATCGAGAACTTGGAAAAAAGCCGCCACCGACTTTTTGGAGACGGGCCCTTCGCCTTCTTCCCACTCCACCATATCCGACATTTTCCGAAGATCGTTCATGATGGCTCGGAGCTGGCTCTCTGGAAACAGCCTTTGTTGTTTGTTGTTGTTCTTTTGTTTGAGAGAGGATGGCGGAAGGATCGTAGACGCTAGCAGCTGGTCGCAGTCGCTAATTAACTTGCTGTGCAACGTTGTCAGAGTTGCCGTAACTAGAATGGTGTTGTACGAAGCACTGCTGAATTTAGATTCTGTTAATTTCCGTTGATGGCCGTGGTGTCGTTGTTGTTGACTTGAAGTGTTGTTGTCGCTACTGGCTACCGGTAATATGTTCGCCTTGAATGGATTCGTGTCGTCTGCTTTGATATCTAGTGCACACGACGGAATAGGAGGTGGTGGAGGTGGAGGTGGTGAGGTGTGCGAAGCGAGTGCTGCAGTCGAAGCATATTGTCCCTTGGCCAGTTGTCGTAATGACGGCACCTTGGTTTCCTAATTCATTCGTATTCGTGTCGTGACAAAGACACCCCATCTTTTAGCAACATGCCAACAAGAACCTGGCAACAAAAAACAAATCCAGCCCCCAACCCCATCATCCAATCTGATCCAACTCCCCTTTCTCTCGACCACCATCGTCAGCCTCGCCCGATCTGTGTAGATGAATGTTTTTTTTTTTATTTTTGTTTACCTGACATGATTTAGCCCGTTGCCGACTCCACACAATTTCATGTGTGGAAGATTTTGAAGTGATGTGATCGCTTTTGGCGTCGGATGACGGCGGCGCTGATTCCAGATCATATCCATCTGCTGCCGAGATTGTGCTTGAAGTAGCCGATTTCCTAAAATCATTATCGAAAAACTCCATTTGATGTTCGATATCCACGCCAAACAGCAGTTTACCCACTGCCTTTTGATTCGCTGGTGAATGGCCAGTGGATGAGAGTGATGCTTCTACTTTTTCTTCTTCGTCGTCTTCTTGTCTGATGGCCTGCTCGAAGTCGTCACTGAATCCATACTCTGCTGCTGCTGCTGCTGCTCCCTCCTCATTAATTGCAGATATACGAGCACCGTGATTATTTTGGCTCGGATCGTTGTTCTTGCTGTTGTTGTTATTCGTGTGGTCTCTTTTCAAAAATCGTGTGGCGACACCAACAACGCTGTTCCTACGTCCATTGTGACGATGATTACCGCTATTGCTTGTTGTTGTTGTTGTTGATGCTACAGCGGGTATAATATGCCTCGTTCGGGGCTTTGCATACTTTGCATGGTGCGGATCTTTGACTTCCAGGATTGAGTAGCTTGTAGATGCACTCGGACTAATACCCGACGAAGGTGATGGTCCATATCGATGGTCAAATTCCTTATTATGATGATTATTATTGGACGTTGAAGAGGACGACGCCGACGAAAACATACTCGCCAGTCCCATTGTACTCGGTGTACGTCGACGAAACCGTGACGCGAGTGATTCTCGATCCGAATAAGGCGACGTGCCTGGTGTTGAGTAATGGATCGTTTGTGGTGAAAATTGAGGTGAATGCGGTGGCTGTTGTTGTTGTTGTTGATGCACAGGGTCATTCGAAGAAGGTGTGCCATGCGATATGGTTAATCGTTTGGCCCTTGACCGGTTTGATTTCATGAAATCTTTGACAGATACAAAGGACGACTTGACTGCATGTGGCAGTCTGGATATTTTACTCGCTGTACTAAACACTGAGCTCGTGGTTGAAAAGTTGGACCGAATGGATTCATCCGATGGCCGTTTCACAATTGTACGTTCAGGAACAGGTGCTGGGGCTGTGACATTATATCGCACTTGCTGTTGTGGTTGGTATGAGTGTTGTTGTTGGTATTCATCGTGATGACTGGATCCGCCACTGTCCGAGAATGGCAATGTGATCTGAGACGAATTGTAGTGTTCCTGCAACCTGTTGTTGTTGTTGTTACTGCTGATACTACCACTACCCATGGTGTCGGTATTGGTGATGGTAATAGCAGCAGTGTCAAATTGAGCATCTTGATCGGGAGTCGTTATTGCTGTTGTTAATGTCGTCGTGTCATTAAGGTCGTCAGAAGACGATTGGCGGTGTCGTTGTTCGTTTACAGAGTCGGTTGTCATGGTGCATCTCTCGGTTTGTCGTGAGCCACTCGAGGCGTCTTCAGCGGTCAACATGCAAGAGCTGTGTACAGAAAAGATATGTGCAAGGAGTGATATGTGTTTAAAGAGAGAGAGAGAGAGAGAGAGAGAGAGAGAGAGAAGTGAGAGGACTGACAGCAGGGAATGCGAAAGAAGGAGGAGTGGGTGCGGTGTGTTGTAAAAAGGTGAATTGTCTAATGAACAAAAGATAACAAAAGGGACTAAAAGACGACGATCGAGTCTTTGAAAGAGTGCGTGAAAGAACAAAAAAGAGAGAGAGAGAGAGAGAGAGAGGACGAGACGCAGCAGCACACCCACACACTCTCACATACAATAAAAGGAAAGAAAGTTGGTTTGGGGGGAGGGAAGGGGGAGGGGGAGGGGCTTACAAAAACGGGAGGGCACGAGTGAGCGTGACATGAGAGACAGAGATGAGCTCCGCAACAAGCATAGCCAGAGAGCCAGAGAGAGCGAGAGAGTGTCATCATCTTTCGTTGTTTATTCCGTTTCCAAGACAACAGTAAGATCCGCTACACCCCTTGCGCGTCAAACCTGTGGCCAGTGGAAAGGTATCACCTCCCCCCAAAGTTCTCCCTTTGAGCTTGACAGTGACGTCGCATCCTAGTAGTAGTAGTAGTAGTAGTAGTAGTAGTAGTAGTAGTAGTAGTAGTGGCAGCAATAAAAGTAGATGTATGCTCATAGAGCAACAGTCCTTTTAGCCCATGCATACACCATCCCCAACATTCTTTGTTTTTCTTTCGACACATCTACTGCAAGCTTAAAAGAATGCAATGGATGCACATACTCCAAGTGCTGCAAAAGGGGGTGGTCCATCCCAGCCCTCCGAAAAACATAAATTGGTACTCAGGAAGAATCACACAGAGTGCTAGACCACGTGTAAAGGCAGGAATGTAACTACTACTACTACTAGTAGTAGTGCCTATCCTTATCAGACATATCCAAGAAACGAGTGTAGTTGAGGATCGACACATACTTGCGATTGCTCTCTTCCCCACCCCCCAACACCCACCCGCCCCATGTGATAACTAGTCTTTTTCTGGATTACAGCTAATAAAGCGCTCAATAATTATCGTTATTTATCTACTATGTGTCTAGTGGTAGTAGTAGTAGTAGTAGTAGTAACAACAACAACGAACATTCTTTATTTCTTTGCCACGTTTCAGATATCATATAATTCGTACAGCGATGTACTTTCATATCAGCGGCGCCCTTTTTCTCGCTTCTCGTAACCTTCTCCATCTGTGTTAATGGCATCCACAGTAAGCTTACACAAACAAAAAATAGATCTTATCCCCGCTTTTTTTTTCTTTTTGTGGGATTGATTGATTTATGGCTTCTTTTGTTAAATATAGCAACATCTTTACACCATACATAAAGCAGTAAGCGTGCTTCATCACGGGCCCTCGCTGTATTTGCTTCTGACAACAGAATCGGAGCTTGACCCTAAAACAGTGAATGACAACGTATGCATCACACTACCATATAAAAATGTCCTAACCGTTTTGTTATTGGCGCGGAACGTCTCACAAATAAGGGGGGGGGGACGTGTGTCAAAAAAATAGATAGAGTCAGTGCCATCATGTCGTCTGCGTCCAGAACGTCGGGTTAGAACAAGGGGTTTACCACGCTTCTATACTACAAAAACGCACGTACCCATATGCACGCATTCAGTACTACGCACACGAGATCACGGATCCCTCGTGTTAGTACTCCCTTGCTAAACACGTACACCAACATACTCAGACAACAACAAGGAAACGTTAGGTTCGTGACGGTTATTACAGAAGGTTAACGTTGCAGTGCCGAGAGAGGGAGAGGTGGGGGTTGGGGCAGCTGGATTATAAACACAAAGAAATAAGTCTATATGTATTCTTAGTGTTGAAAGATAAAAATGACAGACAAGAAAAGGTAGTTCGAAGATAAAACCTATATTCTTCAAGCTAACCATTAATAATTACTATATCAACCCTTCTTTTGAGATGCAGTAAACTACTGCTATACTACACCTTCCCTCTTTCCTTTCCATCCTGATCCAGCCCTTCATATATAGGCCTTCATTCCACTCCATCAATTAGAAAAGGAGCTACGTTGGGAAATCCATAGATCGATAGTAAAGAGATAAAGAGGATGATGAACAATCGGATACACATGGATGATAGTTGTTTACTATGATGCACATTCACCATGATTCGGTAGAATCTAATTTGAGTGGGTTGCTATGACAACAGCTCGCCATCAAAAAGTCTCTAATTGATCCAAGCAATCGTTAGCTCCAGGCACTTCAACGAGTGACTAGTGGGACATTACATAAAAGCGAAATTAGAAGAAAGCAAATCATGGATATCCAGGTGAGACAGGTCTTATCCTCTAATCCACAAGCTGAACGATGGCTACTTGTATATCTACGCACACGATGTGTCTTTTGTACTCAACCAGTCGATAACGATATGCATCGTGTGTCCGACAACCATAACAAAATGCCTTTATCAGAGTGACGTATCACGGAATCACTTAATCTTCCATTCAGCTTCAGGTCTCATAGCGAGCCATGTGGCTTGCAAGCCCACCGTGCTTAGCAGCGAAGGGACAAGGCTAGATCAATCGCCTCTTTGCCATGGAACATCCTCCTAAAACTATTCATTGATTATGATTGGATATAAAATCCCATTATTCTCACACATACTCAATCATAGTCTTTAATCTTTCTTTCCAGGTTGCATGATTTCTCATTTTTGAAGCTTGTTCTTGGACCGATCCAAACAAAATCGTTGAATGTTTTTTTCTGACAATTTTATCCGTGGCACTGTGTCAAACGTGGCCCATTAACAGCTGTTATCCGCGTTCCAAACCGTTGCCTCCTCAGCAGAAGAAGGCCTAGCCATGACCTTATTGAACGACTAGGGCATTTTAAGAGCTCTTCTCCCTCTTTTTGGTTTTTCTCTTCTCAGGAATAAGGAAAGCCCACTGCAAAAACTCTTTCAGCTCTGTAATAGATATCTATGCCAACTCCTCATAGAGCCCTCTTTCGTCCGATCGAAATCGAAGGCCACGCCAACAAAGGCGCGGAGAACGTAACCAAATAACTCGTTGGATCGTGTTTCGGAAACGAACCTCGCAAGGACTGGATGGTAAATATATTGTTTTATACAGCTGCATGCTGTTATCATTCATATTATCTTTCACAATTTTCCATTTAACAGCAAAAGGCAAGCAATGGCAGTTGCAGTGGTGGTGTCCAAGGTAAGATAGCGTACTTTCACTTTTACAGTATCTGTGTTGTTCAACACTCGTGCTCCTTACTGTCGGAATGATGCTACAGGCGTTGTTCCTGAAAACGCCTTTGATGAAAACGCGCAAGAGGATGAAGCGGTGGCACCGAGTGATGATGACTAACTTTTTTAATTAGGACCCCATCATCGCTACAATATACGCTTGAAAACCCCAAGTCAACTTTACAGCAAACACATCAACTTCAATCACACTGCACCTTTGGTCTTTCCTGTGCTTTCAGAAACATCCCCAAGGCGTTGAACGATCAGTATCAGAAATGTCGTCAAGAAGAGTTCCAGCTTTCATGTTTTGCAAATCACTAAAAAACCATACACCAAATCCATGAACAGTTTGGGCAAGACAAGCAAAAACCACAGGAAGACTTTGTATATAATGATTAGAACGTAGGCTGAGATGGATGACAGCAACTACCGAATGACGACGAACGCGGTGGTCCGACGATTGGTGTGCTTTTGCTTGACGCTATTTTGCTCAACATGCAAGAGTGCTACTTTCCATATCGATGACGAACGAAGCTTTTGGGTCCAAAGTAGGGTTGCACTTGACAAATATTTAGGAGCGTGCTCAAATGTGGTGTTGTCTTGTAGGAAAAAACGTGAATGAATATATCATGCAGTGAATAGATTCAAAACCTATGACACCATTCCTTTCTATTAAGCAAATGAAAAAGGTGTGAAGATAGCGGTTCATCATAGCCAATTGATCCGCATATATGGAATATAGGAAGACTGGACGGCCTTAAAAAGATGTTCATAAAGTCATCATCATTCCACGAAGAAGATTTCCGGCACATCATTGATGACTTATTGAGGAAGTGACGAGCACTTATGGACTTACAGGAGGAGTCTAATGCAAAAGTATGAGTCTATTCTCAGCCTACTCCACAAGAGGTTCACATCATTGGTCAAGTCGTGAACACTCTTCCTCAATTGGAACTAGGAATCTCTCAGCGTAAATAGCTTTAAAGTCTGGACAGCACTGCCTGCCACACTGCGCGAAATTGATCGTTTGAGTCCGCAAGAAAGTGACCGTATGCCTTATGGCGCTTGTTAATCCAGTCTTCCATGAATCATACCGACATCTAAGCTGCTCTGGTGCCTTGCTGTATTCGGGGTCCAGTGTGAATATGACAGCTTGAAATTGATAAAGACATCTCTTGAGCGCACTAACAGATGGGACTTTAGTCTGCCACCATACCAACGACGTGGGAAAACGGTAGCGACATATCAAAGTGTGTTATAATTGATCTTTTGCCTTTTCAAAAAGTACTAGTATCTAGCGAATTCAATATTGTAAAGAAGCAACAAACTAAAAGAACGAGATTATTACTAGGGAGGGCTGAGAGTACAGAGTAATCTTGAGCACAAAACTCAATGACGAAACGAAACAGGTGACAACGATTGCATATATCTGCTCGCATACAGCTATTCACGGCACACAGCATTATATGCATAGCACCAAAAAGTACTGTCTAAAAAATGCTACGTACACTGTCAGATTGCCGAGCAATCGATCCACTGTGCCGAGGGCGGGGAGAGCGGGTCGAGATGTCCCACCCAATACTACACTCCTCTTCTCATCCTATCTCTATCTCACCCATTCATTTAACAATTATCAATGTTCAATTTGTTAGCCCCCTCCCTTTCCGATATGTATACTTCACGTCTCTCACCGCGTGTCAAACGGTAATTTCTCGACTTCAATCATATTTGTATTATCCAAATACAATTTGTGCGCTCTTCGAGCAGTCGTTATACAGAGACGAGCTCTACGAGCAACAAGGACTGTCTCAACACAGAGTATCATGTATGACAAAAGGAACTGTATTAATCGTTCATCTAAAAGACCCTTGGAAATAGAAGAGATATTTGGAAGGGGAGCATGGTAATTTTAAACTGACAAAGACATTGTATTAGAGAAGCATATATGTATGATGTAGAGTCCACTTACTCACAGGCATTTGACATCCACGTTGCCGATAGACGTTTGAGTGCTAGAAGAATGATGTGTATCCAAACATGGCGAATTTCACTTTTGACTAGCCATGAATTACGCATGGACGCTTCATGTATAACAGGTGCATGTGCTTGACGGACCAAGAAATCTTCGTCAGTTATCGCTAGTCATATTTCATTTTTTATGCAAGCAGAAAACAGAGCTAATACTCCATGCATTATCCATTTAAAACTGGGGTGGTTCTTTCTCCTCTCCATTCCGCACAACAGAGCGCGTATATAATGCCCCTCTCCCTCTTGATGTCATACTCGTAGGTGTCCATTACAGTTTTTCGTCCCCTGGTAGTACGTCACAACTGTTTTGACATTGAATGGATGCCAGGCAGGAAACCAATACTGTATCATGCTGAAATAAAGTCATGGATATAATAGGTGCACCGACAATAGGACAAGGGAACAAACAAACAGAAACATCCTTGTACTACTATGCGATCTGTGCTAGCAGTACCAACTGTTTTAAAGCAGCCTTTCTCTGTCAACGTAAATCTAGTAAAAGTTGATGATGGTAGAAGAGCAGCAACAAAAGAAAGAATGGTTGCCGATGTATCGAAAGGAATCTGTCGTACGACAGATAAGCGGGTCAAAATCGAGCTAATTAAGACCCGCCCGTGAGGGACGGTCATAACATGGGAGAGAGGCAGGTGGCGGGCGCTAGGACCTCATCACTCATGCCGCACCAGGTGGGTTGAGGCAATTTCATTGGTCTGCCGGTGGTCATAAAAAAGTTTTTCTTTTGAGAGAGAAAAAGCCTCAGCACGCGGGGTGCGTCAATATTTTTCTTCCTTCTCTCTCTCTCTTTCTTTTCTCACCTTTTTAAAAAAAAAAGAAAATATGTCGTTCCGTTCTTCCCGTGGTGGCTGTTACAAGTGTGGCGAATGCAAGTAGTCTCTATTTCTATTTAATACAAAGCTGTTGGGTGTTGGTCGTGCTGTATATCGTGTCGTGTATGCACGAGAAAGAAGAACGATCTTGTTGGAAAAACCTTTTCTGGTGATTCCAGGTTTCTTTTTTTCCTTTCCACAATGCACTTGGGGCCGCTTTGATCTCTGTCAAGACTGCGTTGATCTGCGTTTGGATTGCAAAAAAAAGAAAAAGAAAAACTCTTCTTCTTGGGGGCTTGGGGGCGGTGTTAGGTGTATACATATATACATACTTTTATACGCTTCTTATTATCCCATGTTGAATAATAAACAAGAAGAGAAGGAGTGGTGCTTATGTCAAGAAGAACAAGAAAGGAGGTCTGCTGTTTTCTAAAAAGTGTCTTTTTCTGTATGTATGATATTTGCAAATTCAACAGTTGGTCATCAAGCCAAAGACTGCTCCAAGACTGAATCCGTTTGGTAAGCTATCAATCTTTGTGCGTCTCTGCCTATGATGAATCGTCGTTGCTTATGTAATCTCGTTACTCGTGTTATCTAGCTACAACTGCAACCAAGAAGGTCACATGAGCAAGGACTGGTAAGTAAAAGCCTGGGATGGGAAATTGGGACCGTCGTCGATCGCCGAAATATTTTTCTTTGTTGCTGACATGTCTTGAATGTTCCTCTAGCTCCGAGCCCCGTGCTGAACGTCTCTGCTACAAGTGCAACCAGCCTGGCCATTTGGTAAGCGTCAAATCTTTACTTTTATGGACGCTCCTGACCTCTCTCTAAAACTAATATGTTCATAGTCTCGCGACTGCCCTGACGCTGGTGCCGGTGCCGGTGGTGACTACAGCAGCAGCGGACCTGCTTGCTACTCTGTAAGGAAATTGGGAAACTGACATGGCCGTTGTGTATCGTTTAACTTACTTTGAACCTTGTGTATATTAGTGCGGCAAGACTGGCCACATTTCCCGTAACTGCCCCGAGGGCAGCGGTGGCGGCTATGGCGGTGGTTCCCGTTTCGGCGGTAACGGTGGCAACAGTGGCCGTGCCTGTTACAACTGCGGTGGCACTGGCCACATTAGCCGTGAGTGCCCCTCCGGCCAGAGCGGTCAAAAGTGCTACAACTGTGGTGTAAGTCTTTTAAATGAGTGGAACCTACAGTACTGATCCCAGGTTGGAAAGATATGCTAAACAATGACATCGCTACTGCCATCTGTAGAGCTTCGGACACATTTCGCGTGAGTGCGACCAGCCCCAGCAGGACAAGGTGTGCTACAAGTGCCAGCAACCTGGCCACATTGTAAGTACTTGTTCTCGATCTGTGTAGAATACATGGACATGATGAGTTCTGACAGCTTTTCCTTCTTTCTGTAGTCCCGTGATTGCCCTGAAGCCTAAACAGTTTACCAAGAAGGCATCTCATGAAACAACCTCTCCCTCCTATAAAAAAGTACACACACATGCATGACTCCCTTCCATCCCCGTCTCTCTTTCTGTCCGTCTTCTATTGTTTCTCAAATCGATTCTATAAGTGTACATACTTTCTGTCGTTTAGGCATGCAATGCTGAAGCAATCACTAAAAATAAGCACCCAACCTCTCTTTTTTTGTTTGCGGTTCATCAAAAAAAAAAAAAGAAAAAAAAAAAAACTTCTTTTGAGTCATTTCGTTGGATATCGGATCGGAACTGAATTGAGAGTAAAAACATACAATCCATGGGAAGTATGTAGTAACGCTGTCCCAAGGGGAGGCAGGTAACAAGATGTACTGCACTGTATGACAATCATTCCCTCCACATAATCAGCTTCGTATCACCAGTCGAGCATGACTCTGTGCCATATTTCGCCTAGAAAGGGAGAAAGAAAAAGCCACCTTTAGTTATACCGGCTTTCAAAAAGTACCTGGGAGTGTTACTCCCCCCCCCTCCCCCTCCAGGCCTTCACAAACCTCGCACTTTGAAAACAAGCACCGCGAAAATAGAGAGGTGTGTGTGCTTTCTATTTTGATTTTCCCTTCCTCTTTTACTCGCAACACAACCGTGTGAAAAAGAAAAAGACAAAGTAAGCAGCGTGCCAATGTACTTTCTCTGTCAAAGGGACAGACGAGCAACTGGAAGAAATTTACACATTGCACATTGCTGATCGTTCTTCTTCCCACCCACCCAACCCAAAACCAAACTATAGTCATGGCCGACAAAGTCGAGCAGCAGATCCCCTCAGAGGCCAATGTCGACAATCGATCGCAAGACTTGATCGCGTCTGACGTCCAAGAAGTAACCGAAGCTAATGCAGAAGAAAGTACGTGCTCTGCGGTGTTCATTCTTTAGAGACGCGTGTGCTTGCATATTTGAGGTGTTTTATGAAAGGAGAAAACTGACAGCTTGGCATGATCATCATTATAGTGGTTGCTGAAGAAACATTTCAGTTGACGATCAAGCTGCCTGGTGGCAAGGGCTCCGATATCAAAATCATTGTTAGTAGTTGGATCTAACTAAGGGGTAGTGGATGTGCGTGGAGTTCTTAATGTGCCATCATCATTGTCTTGTAGGCAAGCCCACGGGAAGCCATCCACGATATCAAGCAGTCGGTGATGGAGTCACCCGAAACTTGCGTTCACTCGTGCTTCTATCTGGCTTTGAATGGCAAGCGTCTAAATGATTTCGCGGAACTCGGCGAGATTGAAGGCATGACTCCCGAGACAGAGCTGCAGTTGGTTGAAGGTAAGCACACTTGCTCTGCAGTACATGCTGCTATATGCTTGATCTATACTAATTAACGGTCCACGAATGGATGATTTGCAGATACATACACCGAGCGCGATGCACGACTGCACATTAACCGTCTCCGTGACCTTTTGGGTGGTCCCTACAAGCCGAACCCCTCGGCAGTTGGCATCGATTCTGGCGTTTCGTTCTTGACAGCTGTCACTGGCGAAGTTGGTAATATACCATACATATTCAGCATTCCACGCATACATACCCAATTTACGTCATTGTACTTATACATAATTTGTGGGTTTGGTGTTTATGATACTATATAGACGAAGAGATCGTTCCTGAAAACGAAAAGAAGGTCGAAGATCTGTTCTCAAACGAACCTATCCCGGAGCACGCATTCACCGACGCCGATATGAACGCAACATCCAAGTTGTCTGAATTTGTACCACCCACATTCCAACGCCTTGCTCCACAATGCCTCAAGAGCCTGTCATTGTCTGGCTGGAATCCAGTCCCTCACGCCCGCCGCCTCAAGGGCGATTTGCTCTACTTGGTTGTCGTCACCCTCGAGAACGAGACTCTCAACATCACTGCCTCGTCTCAAGGCTTCTTTATCAATAACTCGACCAGCAACAAGTTTGATGCATCCCGCAAGTCGGGCGGCAAGAAGATGGGTGCCCACTCTTTGATCAGATTGCTTCAACAAGCATCGCCCAAATTTGCTTCAAACTTCAGCGCCCTCCAGGAATTCATCACCCGTCATCACATGCTGGAAGTCTTGCCCGTCAACACATATTTCCCTGCCCATCCTTGGGCCGTCCAAGCTCCCGAACATGTGTTTGATCCCGCTCGACCCGCTGAGCCTCTTTTGAACTTTGGATCCGACGCTGTCGAATCCCTCCGTGACTGGAACGATGAATTGCAATCACACCGCGAATTACCCAAGGCTAACTTGCAGGAACGTGTGCTCCGTGAGCGTTTGGTCAACAAGGTGCAGTCAGAATTCACAGAGGCAGCTGTACGTGGCGCTGTTGCCGTGGTCAACGGTTCTGTTGTGCCATTGAACCCCATGGAGCCTGAGGAGTCGCACATGTACGTGTACAACAACATTTTCTTCAGCAAGGGCAACGATGGCCGCGGCACATTTGAGGCACTTGGTGCCGACGAGGCAGCGCATGTCGCCACAGGCAAGGATTTGGAGGGTGTCAAGGTTTTCAACAGCATCGATGCTTCGGGTCTGTACACCTTGGGCAGTGTCATTGTTGACTACAAGGGTGTGCGTGTTGTTGCCCAGAGCATTGTTCCTGGCATCTTCCGCCGTCAAGACGAAAACTCGATCGTATACGGCTCGGTTGACAACGGTGCACAAATCTCGGCCGACGACAAGTTCCATGATACCATTGGCAACGAAGTCGCAAAGTCGCTTCACTTGTCCGAACATGCCTTGTTAGATAGCAACGACGAAAAGGTCAAGCTGTACACTTCCTTGGAAACCAAGGGTCTTCTTGGAGCCGATGGTCGTCGCTACTTGCTCGATCTCTACAGACTCAACCCTGTCGATATCGAGTTTCAAGAAAACGAGTGTATCGACAAGGACGACAAGCCTGCTTATCCCCACAAGATGACCTTGCTGCGTCCAGAGTTGATGGGCTTGTACTGGGAGCACCGATTCAGAGAATGGGTCAAGGTGAAGACCGAGGAAATCAAAAAGGAAAAGAAGCTCGCTAATGGCAGTGCAGATGATAAGGACAAGGAAGAAGAACAAAAGGAAAAGCCCAAGGCTTCAGAAGAAGAAACCCCCGCTGCTGGTGAAGGTGAAAAGAAGGCCGAAGAAGAAGCACAACAAGAAGAAGAGGAGGAGGATGTCAAGATTGACGTGAGCGAATTCAAGCTGTCGTTCAATCCCGATGTCTTTACTTCTGCCAAGCATGGCGAAGACGCAGAGACCATCAAGGAGCAGGAGCAGGCCGTTCGCGACGCATCCAAATTCCTTATCAACGATATCATTCCAAGCCTGGTCCTTGACTTTGCCTCATATGCTATCTCACCCCTTGACGGTGATGCTTTGACCAAGGCCATGCACCGCCGTGGTATCAACATGCGTTATCTCGGCAAGATTGCTGAACTTGTGTCGATCAGCAAAGACAAGCGTATCGAACATATTCAGCAGCTTGCTGTCCAGGAAATGGTTGTGCGTTCCTGCAAGCGCATGCTGCGCAAGCTTTTGAACGAAAGCCCACTTGAGCAAATCACTGCCTGCGTGTCCCATTTCCTGAACTGTCTGTTTGGTCGTGAGTTTAACGCCAAGCCCAAGCCTGAGGTTCCTGAAGGTACAACTCGCAACGATTTCGCCTGGTCCAGACTCACGCCCAATCATGTCGAGACTGAGTTGAAGCAACAGGTGCTTCGTCGATTCCGATACAAGCTTGACGACGATTTCTTAAATTCGCTCAAGGTTTTGCCTACCCTTCGTGAAATCTGCCTGCGTGTTGGTATCCAACTTGAAGCCCGCGATTATCGTTTCACCGCCTATACCGAAGAGGAACGTGCTGCTATTGCCGCTGAAGAGTCCGCCAAGGCTCGTCAAAAGGAACAGCAGCAGCGCCAGAGCAGCCGTGGCAAGCGCAGCGCTAAGAACAAGAGCAAGGAAGAAGAGCCTGTCCGTACACGCCGTATCACTACCTTTGTTCCCGATGATATCCAAAACTTGATGCCCACTGTCAAGCAAGCTACTGGCAGAGTAAGTCTTCTCACCTTTTTTTTCAGAAAGTGGCATGAGATTCGAGTTTTTTCTAATCCATAACTGTTAATATAGAGCGTATTCGCAGAAGAGACCTTTGAAGCTGGCAAGATGAGCTTAGCACAAGGCCACCGACAGCTTGGTCTTGAGCTCTTGTTGGAATCCCTGACACTTCATGAACAGACATATGGTTTCTTGCATCCAGAGACTTCCAAATGCTATGCTACGCTTGCCATGATCTATCATCATGGTGATGACCGTGAAGCTGCTTTGGACCTCCAACGTAAGGCTGTTATTGCTGCTGAGCGAACAAACGGTGTTGATCACCCAGAAACCGTTCATCACTACGTGCGTATCCTCTTTCGCTTATTACATAATATCAGTTACTGCTATGCTTTGACGACTTGTCTAACACTTGGTTCGCCTTTTATTCTTATTAGCTCAACCTCGGTCTTTTCGAACACGCAGCCGGTCGAACAAAACTTGCTCTCCGTTACTTGAAGCATGCTCTGTACTACTGGGATCTTGTGTTTGGCCCTGGCCATCCTGACTCTGCCACCGCCGATGTAAGTTACTTTCCATTCAAAGACATCCGCTATCACCTGGAGTACCTTTTGCTGATTGCTTGTTTGCTGCCAATTATCTATCGTCAAATCAATATAGAACAACGCCGGTGTTATGTTGCAATCCTTGCGTGACTATCCCACGAGCACCAAGTTCTTTGAACGTGCCTGTGCCACACAAGAGGAGATTCTTGGTAAAGAACATGTCCTTACTGCCACTGGCTACCATGTTCTTGCCAAGGCATATACCCTTTTGGGTGACTTTAACAAGGCTCTGAACGTTGAACGTGTTGCATTTGGCGTTTTTGAAAAGAAGGTAACGCAGGGGATATTTATGTAAAAGACTTCAAAAAAAGAACAACAGAATAAGGTAGATATGCTAATAGAGCTTCATTTATTAGTTGGGTGCCGAAGATCCACGAACAAAGGAGAGTGATATGTGGCTCAAGGAATTGACATCAAATGCATTGTTATCGGTAACTTATTCAATTGGAAAAAAAAGCCCTGCGTGTGTGCTTAGAGGAATCGATACTGAACACGTTCAATCTAAATAGGCACAACGAGCACGAGAACAAGCACAATCTGCTGTTCGTCCATCTGGCGCAACTGCTGCTGCTGCTGCTGTACCTAAAGGTACTGCCCAGCAACAACAACAGCAGCAACCTGGTGATATGCCCATTGAACAAGTCTTACAATACATTAACGGCGATTCTCCACGAACAGCTACATCCGCACGAAAAGGCAAAAAGAAGGCACAAAACAAGCGTCGTTAGAGCTTTACATAAACATGTATAAATACTTTAAAAAAAGTTGTTTTGATTTTATTAACATAGAGAGTCTAAAAAAATGATAATATACTCTTGTAAATTTACTTAGGACAAAGTATGTTTCTTTTTGTTATATGAATGAGCTATTTTATGTAAGATATTTTAAAACATGTAGAAGTACAGATGTGTACGCGACCTTTTTTGAAGGATTCAAAATATGCTTCAATCAGTACAAAATATATTGAAAACGGCCGATAAAACATATAAACTTTTATGCATGTAGACGTATTCAGTGATAAGCAGGTAATAACTACTTATTCCACCCTGCACTACCCCTCTTCTCTTCATCACAAATGCTTTCCTTATTAACAGAGTCTTATTTAGACCCATGTTCGCTAGCATGGTCGCCCAGTGCAAATTGTATATTACACATCAACTTTTTCGCTGTCCAGCCAATGTAACACTTTCGAAATGTGCGGTTCCTGCTACTACAAGAATAAGAGAAAACCACGCAAGCGTAATTTTTGTCTAATTAGCATATCACCCCACTCCATCCACCCTCCTCGTTTTCCATGATACCTGCTCTATTCGTTGATAAGTCCACCAGACAACAGCCCTCGCAGTTAAAGACGCGCTGCTCAGGACCGCGTCATCGTTGAAGAAGAAGAGGGTGTAAAAAAAAGTGAATGTAATGAATAAAGGTCGCAGAGAGAGTTACAAACTGAGAGGCGAGCCCTTCCCCAGCGTCCACAAACCCACTTGGGAGTACACAACTACGCGAGTGACTCAAGCAGCAGAAGGTTCCCTTGATGGTGTAAGAATGCCCCAGGAGCAGCCAGCCACGGTCAGAGATGCAGGACTAGCCACACTTGGAGCTCTTGGAAATTAGAGAAAAAGAAAGGCTTCGCAGCCACTGGTCGCCGGACAAGTAGGGATTCGTCCTCTCTTACTCTGAATACTCGTAGAGGGCATATACTTGGAGCCGGTTACGGTTTAGGACCACTAGGCATGCTCATATCAGCCCGCCATGCACAGCGGATCCAAAGGCGGCCAACCCTCAAACCCGCACACTCGCTGCACACTTTGGGCAGTCTGCTGATATGAGATGCCTAAAAGAAAAAGTAAAAGGGAGAAGAAGTGATCCCAAGCAGCATCGCGTGCCTGCAAGTATGAAAAAGAAAGAAAAATAATAATTATTAAGAACATGTTATCAGAATTTACCAGAAATTAAGATTGAAGAGAAAGCAACCATTCAAAAGTGTTCTGCGTCTCTAACCTAACGTTTTTTACCGTTGATCAGGGGCAGTTTGAGTCGTACCCCAGACTTTCGGAAGGCTCTAGTGTGAAGCAAAGCTCAGTGGCAATGTTTCGAGCAAACCGGGCTTCTTTTGCAAGAAAGCCAGTGGCAAATGCTTGATAATGAAAGTAAATGCCATAATAGTTAACGTTTGTTTCTATTTCAAAAGTGCTAACAGGTGTTAAGCTACGAGATCTCTTTATACATACTTGTTGTCGTTTTGCGGGCTACAACTGTTGATTGCTGTCCTGTACACTTTGTGAGATGTTGATTTGGTGCAGAGCAAACACTGGAAATATGCAGGCTAAAAAAACACGTCACAGAAATTCAGCACCGCTGTGTCGTCACTAATATCTATGATATTGCTGTTGTGCACCTTTTATCGAAAGAGCTATGGAGGAAGAAGTTTTCGTATTTAAAGAAGTTGCCTGTCATTATTTTTGGTGCCGTAGCAGTGCATAGATGTTTCACAACTGCAGGGCAGCTCCGCTTATTTATTTTTGCAGGTACAGTACTTGAACTGTCGCTGCGAACTCAGCATTGTACATAAGATACATAAACACGATGGCTATATCAACGCTATGTACAAATTATGCATATGGTGGCTACAGAAAACGTAGAAAAAGTTAAAATGTGAAGCCAAAAGTGATATGCGGGCCATGGTTAGGCACGACACTAGGTCGTTAGAGTGTTCTTCTCGCTGGTCGTGCTAGCAGTTTCATGAGGAGCCTTTTTGCGTTGGGATGGCGGGGGTAGTCATGGACCATGTACCTATTTCATCGACATAATATTCGGTTCAACACTATAATAGTATGTACGCCTGCTCTGGCGACGTTCGAAAAGCTATATCCGCAAAAGTAATAAAACCAATGGCTCGTATAAAAAAAGGTATTCAAAATCTCAGATTACCGCTTGGGCCTTGTGAGACCTACAAAGTCTTAAAGGTCATATTAGGTGTCTCAAACGCAACAAGCGACAACAAAAGACAATTTGTATCTTTCGGATGTTATTAAAACAGACAAGAATATCTTTTACATATTTATATCTACATACAGGTAATAATAAAGGTTGGGAAAAGGTAGAAGGAAAGAAAGTAGCTAACTCGAGTAAAGCGGAAGAGTATGAATCAACATAGTTAACTTTGGGGTTTCAAGGAATATAAGGTAATAAAATTTTGTGTGTGAAATAAAAGGGGAATTGAGCGTGCTGCTGTATATATACATATTAAAGAAAAGAAATGTTGTAAATTATGAAAAGCAGCGGTTATTTCTTTTTCCTTCTTATTGAGTAATCTTCAAGCGCTGGACAGGGTACTTCTTGGACAAGAATTTGCGTACAGGGCCCAAAACGAAGAATCGCTCGTAAATGAGACAACAAGCGACGTTGGCGACGCAGATACCCCACAGCTTCCAACGGTATTCCCAAGGCATGACGTTGTGGCCTAATGGGGTATTGAACTGTTCGACATTGGTGGGTGGTACCGGCCAGTTGAATTGAGCCAAAACTTCCTTAGTACCACAGTTGATACGGAAGAGACAGCCAAATCGGTTAGGGTCGCCCAGCATCCAGTATGAAAGAATAGCCATGTACAAAGCCCACAAGAAAAGCAAGGGGTAGTTCTTGTAGATTGGTTGACGGAATTTGTGACCGAAACTGAATACGGCGGCATTGTTGATGAACATGAACAATGAAACAAGTGCGAGATGCTCAGCTTCATAGTTATCGGCCAAAAGCCACCACTTGGAAAGATCAGCAGCGTTGCTGTCGAATTCATTGCAACGGAACCAATCTATATTCAAATGCATATGTGAGATATTTTGTAATGCCGTTGTAATTGAAGGGGTTAATTGTTTTGAGAAACTACCTTGGCTGTACAAGAATTTGAAAATGCAGCTCATGAAGATCCAATTGATAGATACCAGACCCAAGCACGAGGCCATGGTCTGTGGACCAAGAAGACGAGCAGTAGGCCGTTCTTCGTTCAAATTGTCTGCAGCTCGCGACTGAGTCACAGCCCAAGTCAAAAACACAGTGATGAACACATCGATAGCAATCCAGACGTACTGCGCCATTGTGACAGAGAAGTAGAAGGTGAAAATCTTCATCATCATCATGACCTGACCATACACTATAATAGTAGCATAAGGTAAGTATAAACGCACACGCAGGCAATGTATACAGGGTATGATAGGATACTTACTGATAAGGTACTTGTAGGCAGTAATCGAAGTGGCAAGAGCAGCACGTCCCTGAAGAAGCAATTCAACGCAGGATCGGACACTACGAATGCTAGTACTGAAAGGAGACACAATAGAAGCTTCAGCATCTGACATGGCAATACCAACATGTGCAGCACGCAAGGCACCACAGTCGTTACCACCATCACCAGTCATAGCCGTAATACCACGTTCCATGTGAAGCTGGACACACTGAACCTTTCCAGTAGGAGTCATACGAGCAAAGACACGAATGTCTAACAAGTACTTGCGGATCAAGTTGTTATCGACAAGCCATTGGAAGGCCTTGCCGGTAACGGCCAATTCAACTGGAGTATGTTCCTTGTTCAAAAGATAGTCATCAACATTGACATCGGAGAATGTCTCGGGCTCATCAACATCTTGCCAGACCAAACGGTTCGAAACCTTATCCACGTCACCAAGCAGGATACGGCTGTTGGGCAAAGCCATACCACATTGACGGGCAATGAAGACACCAGTCAATGCAGTATCACCAGTGATCATGATGGTGCGTGTGGCGCCATTCTTGAGTTCAGTAATGTTTTCGGTGGTGTCATCTTTGAGCTGATTCTTGAAAACGATGAGACCCATGAAGTGAATTTCTTCTTCCATTTGATCACGCGACCAGTTGCGGAAAGCTTCAATGCCACCGATTTGTTCCAAGTCAAGTTCACGATGAGCCAAAGCAAGAACGTAACAGCCTTCGCGAGCAAGATTTGAAGTGGTCTTGTCATAGTCAGCAGGGATGGACTCGCTGTTGGACAATTCCTTAATCTTTTCATAAGCACCCTTGACAAAGATGTGAACCTTGTTAGTGTGTCGGTCCAAGACAGCGACAGACATGGACATGCGAGCGTGCACAAATTCGAATCGTTTCAAGACATCGACAGGAGTCTTGATTTCAGCAGTAGCGGGAGGCGACAGAGTATCCACAACATCATCACCAGATTCTTCAAGCTTCCATTCGGACGAACGGAACATTTCGATATCGACAGGGTTACCAATGAACTGACCATTCAAGGTAGTCACGGCGTGGCAAGTAGCAAGACCAATTTGCATCAAACGTGGAACCTCTGCCACGGTATCGACGCGCTTATCGAAAGCAGGAGGGCCAGTCTTACCCTTGCTGCTGTTGCTTTGGGCGTCGACAACATTCTCGAGGTCAGCCACAGGCTGGGCACCATAGTAGTCCAGACCTTCACGAGTCAAGGTGCCGGTCTTGTCAAAACAGAACAATTGGACCTTGCCGGCCATCAAGATACGAGGCAAATCAACACAGAAGATCTGCTTGCTTCGGAGACGTCCAGCAGAAACAGACTGACCAATGACCAAAGCGGCAGGGAGCAAAGGCGAAATCAACTGAGCGATGGCAAACATGGCGTAGAGCCAGGCACTGGTACCAGTAGCATAAAGCCAGATAGCCAAACCAAGACAGACGAGACCACAGCATAGCAAGATGAGGATAGTAATCTTGATTTGCTCATTGAAAATGAAAGACACTGGCGAGGGGAAAAGGATCTTCTTGACAAGTTCACCCTTGTCGGTACCAGTACCGGTCTGAGTAGCCACAGCAGTAACGCGGCCACCTTGTTCGGTGGGCTGGGCTTGCGAAATGGTAGTACCACAGAAGATGGTGGAAATCTTGCTAGAACCCATACGGTCATAGGTGGTAGAGTCGTCAGAGCGAACTGGGAACTTACGGATAGGAAGAGGTTCACCAGTCAACGAGGATTCATCAACGACAATGTTACCAGTGAGGACAACAGCATCACAGGGTACAGTCTTGCCGTCAGCCACTTCAAAGATATCACCAGGAACCATATCAGCAGTTGACAATTCTTGCCAGGTACCATCACGTAAGATGTTGATTGAGTCGGTGAATTCGGCCATCTTCTTGATGCGGCGTTCAGATCGAAGGCGCACAAACACCTTGACAAAGGCAGACAGAAGAATGACAGCAGTGTCGGCAACACCGACCTCCCCTGTGAAACACAAACAAAAGAAAATTCGTTTAAATATACAAGCTACTCACAACAACACTACCACCATGGAAAAATGAACAGAGAGAAACTTACAGTAGGCAAAGTAGTAGAAGAGCCAAAGCGCAGTGAATTGGTAGGTATAGAAGAAGGACGAGAATTCACGCAAGACAGCCATGGCAATGTTGGGAACGTACACATTGATAAAGTTGGGACCAACAAGTTCTTCACGCTTAACAGCTTCGTCAGCGGACAAACCCTTCTTTAACTCGGCCATATCAGCATTGGTCTCACCCAAAACAAATTCGTGCGGGGTGAAAATTTGAGTCTCGGGGTGATAGACATAGCGAGTGCACTGGTACACAAAGAAGCGAGCACCGGAGCGAGTGGAACGCATGGCAGAAGTGGTAATGACGACATCAAGACCAAAAATGCGACGAGCATGTTGTTCCAACCATCGAACGGAATCAGTAATCTTATCACTGCGGTCCTGCAAGAAAATAGTGGCTATGGAAAATAAAATATATAGTGTGTAACATGTCAGTAAATAATCGGTATACCCCTATTTGCGCAAGATCGTCTTTATCTGGGCTTGCGACACTTACGTGGTTCGTGCTTTTCAACCTGAACATAGTTCGCTTCAGCATAGGCGCACTTGATGCGGAAGAAGTTCATCAGACGATTCTTGAAAACGGACAAACAGCCAAACCAGCCGAAGAAGATATACCTAAGTAGCACGTGGGATGTAAGCACATAAAACGATATTCGATTTTCCCCCACCTCGGATGAGAAGGTGGATCACGGGACTATTTCCTGTTTTTAAAATGTGCTGCATAACTTACCACATGCCGATAAATGTACTAGACTGTACCAGCTGGTTGCCGCCAAAGAGAATATATTCGTTGTAGTAATCCCAGGTAAGCATGATCATGTAGGCAACCATTCCCAGGGTTTGAAGGATATACAGGAGGAAGCAGAACATGCCTAGGAAGTCTCGCTTGTATGCCTTGATGACCATCTGCTCCTCAGGCTCCAGAGACGAAGACATGTTGATCGATGCGTTGTCACCCTATGTATAACGCACGGGCAATGCAAGGTTGCCGGAAAAAGTTAGTTTCTTCGCAACAACAGTAACCATCTTTTCGAAACGTACCGATTTGCCAGCAACGTCGGGCTTCTTCTCACTGTCACTGTCCTTTTTCTCACCCACTACTTCAACATGCTCACTCTGTCGTTGACGAGCATACTGGTTGAACTTGGACATGTTGTACTATGGAAGAACCAAAAAACAACACAAGAAGCAGGCAGGTTTTTTAAGTATATGCATCTTTGCTTCCCACGTATCCCATGTAGTAAAAGAAAAACAAAGTACCTTTTCCAATGCTTGCTTATACAAAGTCCAGCCAATAAGCATGGCAGCGCACGAGCCATAAAAGACGTACAAGGCGATAAAGGCAGGTTCATGGAAGGTCAATTCGCCCGAAGGAGAAGGGCAAGTGTTCCACATCAATGAGGCAGGGTTGTTTGTCCATTGAACAACCGAGTCGACTTCAATACCGAGGTCCAAAGCACAGGCCTCGGCAGTTTGGGCAGTCAAGTTGGTAGCCAAGAAGTGTTCGATGTTCACTCGTTGGCCCGTGGCGCATGGGTAGACGTCACCAACAAATGAATCTTCAAAGGTACAAGAACAGGCAGATTTCAGATCGGAAGGGCAGTTGTCTCGGCACTCGCCGTCGACACAGTAGGTCTGACCCTCTGGACAGCTCGGACGGACACTTTCTGGACATTGAGAGATGTCACGGGCGCAAATGTTGGAGCATGGATACTGGTTGTACGTCGGTAGTTCACAGCGGTTTCCGAAGACATCGAAGCCGTTCACTAATTTTTCCCAATGTAAAAGTTTTTAAGAGCGTGAGTTTTCATAAACACCGAAACTATCACTAGCAGCACCACTAAGGGAAGAAGAGACAGGGAGACAGTATGATGATCGGTTTGTTTACCTTCGTTCCATGCAGGCGTTGCCTTCACCACGAGCGGGAGTGATACGCCCAGAATGAGGCATAGCAACCTAGTGGCAAAGCTAGATCGCATATTGTTTGGTTCTACTCGAGGCCGTGGCAGTGGGTAGAAGAAAAAGAAGCGAGCAAAGGCCGATCGTGTTCATTTTATGGCACGGTAATTCCACGTCGCACAAGGTTTCCTGCCTGTCTGAATCCGTGCAAGCGCTGTTCTAAACAAGCTGGCCTTTGCCATGCTTCACCCGCATTATCTGTTTTAGTTTTCTCACTCCTTGCGCAACCCCGCATGCTGCTGCCCAGAGCAAAAGATGGGGAAGGTGCGTAGGTTGCTGTTCATTGCTGCCATGTTACTGCCATACCCATCCCTCCCTCCAATTCCCCTTCTTTTTGATCCAGGAACATATGTGTTATCTTTCTCTCGTTTCAGAATCTGGCTTAAGACAGAAAAAAAATATCTCAGCGATGAGAAGTTACACAAGCAACAGACGATCTGGACGAAAGTGGCACGAAGCGCCCACAAATACGTCATAGCATGTTTCCCATTCAGCCGTGGTTTTTTTCTGAACGAGCGTGCGTGCGTGCGTCGACCCCACCTGTGGTAGAAAGTCCAACGGCATCGGACACGCCCATGCATATAGAAGGATCGCACAGAAGTAATTGCAAGTAGTGGGCGCATGCAGCTCACGGTAAGGCAATGCTTCTCTTTCTCCAAGGCCTGTAAACTCAGATGGGAAGCGACATCAGCTCAGGGCACTCTCTTTGCCAATGATCTGTTTGTAAAGGGCCCCAGAGCCATGGGTGTATATGTCGGATGCTAAGATGGCGAGATTTGGAGCCCGTAATAGCTTGGTGCCGGAAACGAATTTTATTCTCAGTTTTCTGTATAAGCCAAATAAGCTCCGAATACTCAGGTCACCTGGTTCACTTCTTGTGCCCAACGAAGAAAGACAATGGCAACAGAGCCTCTTTTTTTGTGGCGTGCCATTGCCGATAAATGGCAAGTGTACGCTTGATTATGCAGTACGACTAGCTGTGTGTGTGGTATGAACTTGTTGATTGCTAAATCTTTCGAGCCATTGTGCTTCTTATATGTCCGTGTATATTGCACATACAATTGCCAAAATTGACAGACCAGTATTTTCGAATTTTTTTTTCTGATCCAACCACTCCGCCGAGAGGTTAGGGTAGAAAACCTTTTTTTTTTCTGATGCTTCACCCCGCCGTTCGGCCCCTGAGAAACGGCCTGCGATTGGCTCGGGAAAAATGCCCGAACAGCGCTCACGTGCTCCTCAGCTGCGCAGAATTATTTCTGCTATACCTTAAACCGATAGTAGGTGGCCGACACAGCCACTGCATTGCATGCTATCACCAGGAGCCAGCATGACCTGGTGTTGTGTACAAAGTAGAAAACACTTTACTCCTCTTTTGAGCATCAATGTATAAGTATGGGGTACTCATTATACAGAAAAAAGCTCGGGTGCGCGGTGTGTGTTTGTGGCATTAATCACAAATCTGCTGTAGAAGGAAGTCTGTGGTGTGTGTGTGTCTGGGCTTGTGTAATAAATCTTCTATTTCACTTTGGAGCCCCGAACATCGGCTCCTCCGCTTACCATTTCATTGCTGAATTCATAAAACCGCGCTCCCTGACTGTTGCTGTTGTCGTTGATGTAGCACAACTCATCCAAAAGGAGGGAAGATCAAAAAAAGAGAAAGAGGATCAAGCCAAGACTTTTTGTGCTCTTCCTCATCAAATTGATCATTGAGAAATACACACACAACGAGATAAGAGTAATTATGGGTCACCTAAATTTACGCATTAGTGTGAAATTTTGATAATAGTTAGTAATTCCTTAGAGAAGCTCTTCTCCATGACGTTGTGAGAGTTTTTACGCCGTTGTTTTAATCTTCATACATTTTTTTTTGACAGCTCGGTATATCCAGTCATTTTGCTCTGTATGAGTAATAGCATACCAAAAACGGAAACTACGTTGATCGGTGATACACTTCTTTGTCGGCTTAACAAATTTACTAAACCGAAGACCGACACACTGGCCAAGGTTAATACAGTCTATGACAGTTTAAAAAGAATATAAATGCTTAAGGGTGTGTAACTTCAACTCTATTTTATAAAAAGAGAGAGAGCCGCCATACACATAGTATTTCGATAACTGTACTTGGTGCCACGAAGAAAATAAAGTATGTGCTTCCTCTTAACAAGTCATAGACGCGAGTTAGAACCAAAGAAATGAATTAACGTTCCTATCTCTGAAATGTGTTTGAACTCTGGGAATGTTGATTTACATACGTGTGAGGAAGTACGTAAATTAGAATTCATTATCATAAGAGACCAGCATCAATAATCATCTATATATACTATGCTCGACTTCATGGCACCATTACCAGGCGATATCACATGTTATAATTACTTTGTACCACACACTACATCAAACGAGAGTGTTTTGTTACTGATGATAATAAACTTTAAAATCGACAAATGCAGCGGGTGAATCTTTGAAGCGTAACAAAACACTTCAAAAAACCATATATAGAACTTACTAGATACTACACCAAGGTTTTTTAATAACATTTTAAAAGCTAAAATACTGATAAAAATCAACGCTATCATCAATTTCACATTGCAGGAGCACGTAACGGGAATTTGGGGAGCCGAGGGTACAACAATGATATATATTGTTAAAAATGTACTACAAAGTACTTAAATCTCTCAACTAATTAGAATGGGGATTGTTATCTATAAGCTGTTGGCTGTGTCAGCAAATCCTTTTGCTTATCAATAACAAGCCGTATCAACTCCTATCAGTGGTTGGTAACATTATTATTCTGTCTAAGGTTTTTGCATAACACTTCGCAGCCATCGACACATGTTTCCCTTTTCGAAACAACAGCAGCCGCTAACAATACGACAATATAAAAGTCGATCTACTGTATTGCGGGAAGATATGTAGCACATTAAGTGTTATTGTCAAAGAAATTTTAAATGATTGTGAAAGCATACTCTTAAACTACCTGACGTGTGAATGGGGAAAAAAGCTCTTCCTCTTGTATCCCCATAATGACAAATTCGCCGGAATGACTGATCCAAATGTAGGGATCGGTACCACCTTGATTGTGGTTTTTACGAAATTTATAGATACTACAAGTCCACGGCTGTAATGGAATAAAGAATGTTGTAAGCTGGTCTCACCGAAAATATTTGGCATAATAAGAGAGGATGACTAAAGATTGCTACCGAACGATAACAATAATGTGACAAACAGCAATTATTGATAGATCGCAAGAAAGATTATGCTATCCAAATAGCGAGTTTATTGTGCTCATTGTATACAGAAAACTATAATATGCTGACCAGATGATATGTAGGGCTTGCTCATCCATATCAGAGTGCACTGATTACCGCATCCGTGAATTCACTTGTGCTGCTGTTCCCTCCCATATCCCGAGTTCTAGCCTACATTATTACAAGCATAAAATGTTAAGAAATTTTGAAATCATAGTTAAAAGACATCCTTTCTCCCTACCTTTCCGCTTTCGATAGTACGATATACTGCGGTAGAGATACGATTAGCATGTTCATCTAGGCCTATGTGGCGCAGCATCATCACAGAGCTTAATATCATGGCGGTCGGATTGGCCACATTGCTGCCACTGATATCAGCGCCTACATGGCGGCAGCCCTATTTGTTTTTCGATGAGGTATTGATTTCTAATAAGAATCAGAGAGATAAACGGTGGAACGATGAGAAAGAACATATACTAACCGGTTCAAATACAGCGTACTCTCTGCCAAAGTTGCCACCAGGTATAATACCAGGTCCGCCCACCAATCCAGCGCCAACGTTTGAGAGAATACTTCCGTACAAGTTGGGCATTACCATCACGTCAAATTGTTGGGGTCGCGAGACAAGTTGCATAGATGCATTGTCGACGATCATGTCATTGAGAGTGATACCAGAACCAGCATACTCCTTGGCAACGTTGCGGCAAGTCTCCAAGAACAATCCATCACCCAATTTCCTGGTTAACAATATTGATTTTAAAAGAATGAGCATAAGATCATAGTAGTTATAATATCCCGCGCCAATGGATGTGATTATTCTCAGCGACTTACATGATGTTGGCCTTGTGGATACATGTGACCTTTTTGCGGTTGTTTCTCAGGGCAAAGTCAAAAGCAAAGCGTGCAATTCGTTCTGTCTTGGCTCGAGTGACGATCTTGAGCGACTCGACAACGCCAGGAAACGACTACATTAATCAACATTACAGTAAGAGATGTTAGATGTAATTATCAAGCTTATCACATTCTGTGTAAAGGTAAAATAGCAAACCTGATGCTCAAGACCGGAATACTCGCCCTCGGTATTCTCCCGGATGATGGCAAGATCCACATCTTTAAATCTTGAAGGGATACCGGGGATGTTTCTGATCAAAGATATCGATCCATAAATATCGAGATCCTGTAGTCAAGTAATACTTCATATTAGACTCGCCACAGATTTTTTTCTTTCCCCATTTCTGCCTTTAATCTCCTGAAGGGAGACATATCTATGGTATTTCTTACCTTGCGCATAGATACGTTGAAAGACACGTGGCCCAGCTTTGAAACAGGCGTGTAAAGGGTACCTTTAAGACCGACTTTGTTGCGACGAAGCGATTCAAGTGTATCTTTCATAAGCGTGTCGCCCGTAGTAACGTGACCCGACAAGTCAAACTGCTCCCACTCAACAGGTGCATTAGATGCAGCAAAGACAGCCTTGACAGCCTCGGAGAGTTCCTTGCCAACGCCGTCACCAGGAACTAGAGTGACAGTATGTTTGGTTTTATCTCTAACCTCTCTCTACGAAGGCATATACGTCATGAAATTCTATTTTTCAGTTTCCACCTTCTTCTCCTTTTACGCTTTTCCGCACTTTGACCAACAACAGAAAGAAAATACTTTACAGCTCGTTGGCCGAGTGAGGGTTCTCTAGCATTCTTTAAAGCGGCGTTCGTGGTAGCCAAAGTCCGCGTCGTCATGGCCTGTGCGATGGTAAGAAAGGTTGGCAAAGATTTCAATAATGTTCGCGTGTTTAATTACCTTAGCAACCACGTTGCTGCGCAAAGGAGTACCGCGAGCAAATTTCAGCATTTTTTATACTTATTTTTTTTATTGAATGCAGATTTATGGAAAAGGAAAGAGGAATGAAAGAAGTGGGAGGGGGAGGGTGTGCGGGCTCAACGAAACGCAGGATTACCGTGACGGTCAACCACACGCTTCTATTTAGCCCCGTGATCTGTGAGATCCAATGTAGATAGCCTTGCCGTTGTGGGTATACTAGTACACGTCATTATGTTGATATGAAACAAGGTCAAACTATCGTTCAAAAGCTCTTACTGAACAAACCTTGTAGTTCTTGTCGAAAATCAGACCTTCAGGCAATATAACGCTTCTGTAAAAGTCTAGTTACATTCCGTCAGCAAATGCGTAATAACAATGCATTGGTTTGTGTTACTTACTGCTACACTGATATCCAACGCTATATGGGTGGGATTTAAAAGGAAAACCGTAATTCGTCAATTTAGTTCATGATGGCCTAAGACGCAAATGAGATTTTTCAGCTTACCGGTGAGGTATATAGGTTGAAAAAAGACCCCACTATGCCACTCGTGTTAATACACACCGCGTTGAAATATAACTTGATTTACTACTGCCATGCTTTTTCAACTTTTTACCTTATCACCACATCCGTATTTTTTGGCCGTCTTTGTAAGAAGAAAAGGCCAGTCAGCGATCATTCAAAACGCGTATATTCGGTTAAATTGTACGTACCTCCAGAAACAGATTTTTTTCCTCTTCCGTCCATTCGGTAACCCATTGCTCCTACAACGCTCTTTGAGCATATTGAATCCAAGAAACCTAAATAGTTTTTACTTACAACATCCGGCTCAGTATGTCGATAAAAGTATGCGTTTGGATTTTTCTTAAACATCAGTTTTGCCACCACCTAATAAAAAAGCACGCAGTTAATGCATAATTACTGCGTGACGATAGTCCGTATAAGAAGCTAGATACACTTGCCTTTGCGTTAACGCGGGATCCTCCCTTTTTCTTTCCAGTACCCAGTGGATCTTTGTAAGAAAAAGTACCACCTCCATTCTTTTCCCAAGCGTCAGCTGCATTGTTTTCAAAGCCGTGCTTTGCCATCAGCTCCGGGTTGATCCAACCTATGAAAGAACATAAATAGCGTAAACAAGCTGTAATTTCAGTGAAAATTGATGGATGAGAATATGCCTACTCGTGTAATGTCCATCTGTCCTGTACGCATTCTGTCGCACTTTTCCATCAAAGTACTCATCCGCCTCCAGTAGTTTTCCCTCCAATAATTCATCTTCAGTAGTAATAAGTGCCTCAATATCCTCCTTGAGTTCATCTTGTTAGTTTACATCCTTTACAAAGGTGAAATAATGAAGATCTTTTTTTGCACCTACTTCTGATCCTTGGACAGACTCGCCCGCATTAATTTGGATCTTGGGCGGCTCAATACCACGTAGACGTGATGATTTTCGTGCAGGTAGTGGATCAGCTTGTTTTTTCGTAGGTTTTCCTATAGCATAAAACATGTGACAGCGTGAGCGCGTGTTTATCCTTGTCGGTGTTGTTTAAAATACAGAATATGCGTTTATTCGTACTGATTCTCTTCTCGGTTTTGACAGGTATGCTTTATGGAAGAAGAAGACGAAGAAAAAAAATAAACGTTAGCCGAGAAAAGGGAAGACATACAAAAGCACAATTTTATCAGATTATGAACCGGCAGGTTTAAAAAATGGATCTCAAAACCTACTTTTCGGTATCTTTCTTAACGGACGCTGGTGCTGCTTGTTGTAATGCAGAGCGCGCTTCAACGAGGTTGAATTGTGCTAGTAGTTCGCGATTGCGTTCAATATTTTTTTGTCGTTCTATTTCTGTAGATAAAGAAGAAAGTATATTTACGGTTGAATAATAAAGCACAGTATACACTAGATTTACAGTGATTCAATTTACCATAATCGTTTATTTCTGTCATTTTGTCAAAGTTTTGTCAAGGAAATTCTTTTACGAAATTCGCGGCAGTGTGCCAGGTACGCGGGTATCTTTCGGCGGACTTTTACTGTCAATAATTACTGCAATGCACCCTTGACAATCGTGAAAATTGATGCGTCTTATAACGTCTATAGTTACTTACTTATGTGCTCTACTACACCGTTTAATGATATTGATAAATGATAGTTTTTCACTAAAAGTGTGGCTTACAGCCATATTAGTGTAAAATAAGAAAGAAAATTAGCGGATGTCGGTATACAAGCAAAAGGTATTTTTCTTTATCTATATCATTCAATGTCGCTATTATAAATAAAGGTGAAAGGTGTCAAAAACTTCTGCTATCATGTCCCTAGAGCTGCTAACACTTGCATTGCGTTAATCTTATTGTAGAAGATACAACATAGTCAATATGTGTACAAGAGCACCATTATACAGATAGTTATTTTGAATACACAAAACATTATGTATTTACTTTATATGAACTGCTGACAGCTCAGAAAATATTAATCACAAGAAGTTGGTACTACACATAGGTTTAAATTTACAGGGGATACATAAACTCTATATAAAAAGAAGGGTTGAAAAGAACTATATATATATTTTCTGAGGAGTCAGTTCAGATCTTCATCCAGCTGGCGTTCCACTTCTTGACAAGCTGCTTGGCTTCCTTGACATGACCGTGTTCAACAAGAACCATGACAACACCTCGGATGGACGATTCCAAAGCAGCACTAATCCATGCGTGCTTGATATCGGTATGCTCTCCTACAAAGACGATGCCGTTGCTCATCTCAAAGTACGAAGGCATGTACAGCTTATGCTGACCAGGCTCAGCAGAGGCCCAAGAGCCAGACTGGAATTCGTCCAAGATCCAGCAGACACGATCGTAGTTGCCGGTGTACTTTTCTTTGGCAATGCCACCGTGAAGTTCGTAGATGTCCTCAAGAACGCGTGCAACATGCTGCTCTTCTGTCATGGATGCAAAACGGAGACCACCATCGCCGCTGGCATAGCTGGCAAGCATAACACCGGGACCGTCGCTGCCAAAGTTGTTGGAAGGATAGCAAATGGAGCCGGAAGCCAAATCAGTCGAATCACAGCCACCCTTGATAGGAAGCTCATATTGCTCCCAAAAACGCTCGGAGAATTCGAGAGCAACCTTGCAGGCTTGACTGTAGCCCAAATTCTTGATAGCACGATCCAATGTGTAAGGAAGCTCTGCAAATCCACAAAGATTAAAGAAAAGCGAATTAGCGTGAATTTCATTTTATAAAGATGCGTAAAGTGGTGAGTAATCATACCAGGTAGATGCCAATTACGGACAATAGTGAATGGCACGCCAACAATGACGTTATCATAAGATTCGGACTTGTACTTCTCGTCATAAGGATCTTCCTTCCACTGGACAGAGACCTTACTATCTTCGACTGCGAGCTTGCTGACTTTGCGACCAAATGTAACCTTATCACCCAACACAGGCTCGTAAGCCTTGGCCAAACGGTTGAGTCCACCTTGGACAGTTTTCCAGTTGGTTGCACTGAATGTGAAACGGTCATAAAGGTCTTCCCAGATATTCCCTGCTGATAAGCCAGTAGCATAGTCCGTGGCGTTCAACGAAAGACCCGATTTTTGATGAAGCCATGCCCATTCAGACCAGTCATCGTACCCTTCATCAAGTGCTTTCTATATTGAATGAAATATAATAGATCATCAATCAATGTTGCATATACCACGGTCTTCTCGTTTGCCATGTTCGTAACTCAAAAAGGTAGTAAACATACCGCATGTGCCTTGTACAAGTCCTTACTCATCAACTTATACCAGTCATCGGTGTAGAATTCCTCAGTAGCCTCGCTGACGGCAGAGCTGAGGTCACCGGTGCCAGAGACCATAGTAAGCGAAGAGTTGGCAGCAACTTGGCCCTTGGTAGGGACGCGGCCGTCGGATAAGCGGACACCATTTCGATACGACAGATTGCTATCAATTTTGCGCCATTATTAGTTCAGTATATACGACATACCCTGACAAATTCAGGCAAATCTACGCTGCTGTCCGATACATACTTATCAGAGGATTGAATCCATTTGATAAACTCTATTTTGTAATGGTCGTCGTTCATCTTGTTGAGCTCCTCGGCCATCTGAAACCTGATCATACAATAAGACCTTATTGTCAATTTCGCTTTCGAACTCGCATATATCCAGAATGAGCAAACTTACACAATGTTGTGATCAGTCACGGGGAGCGATTTTCCATCTTCATAATCAATTGATACGGGAAAGCGCATCGGTCCTAAGTAGTAACATCATTGTTAGCAAGTGGCACTTTATTAGAGATACATGGTGATTGAGCATTCTAAACAGCAACATACCCATTTCCTGATAAGCAATGGTCGAGTTGTTGAAATAGGTAGTGTGAACACGACTAATGGAGCAAATATGTTAGCTTAAATAACGCTTTCAACAGTATAACTTATAAAAACAGCAGTGAAAAAGATAAACGTTTACCCTCCAAGTCTATCGTTTGCTTCCAAAATCTCATAATTATGGAAGCCAGCTTGATCCAAAAGCAGACCACTAAATAAGCCAGACATACCGGCGCCAATAATACCGATTTCTAACGAAAGAGAGATTAAAAGACGGGTTATATCAATGAAACAGAGCAAGTAAAACCATAAACATCTCAACAAGAGATGATTTTCTGACTTACTCTCAGATTTGTCACTGGCATGAATCTTGCTGCGCTTGGACATTTGGCGCTTGTGGTACTTGACAGCATCAAAATACATGTCTTCAAACTCGGGATGGCCACGCTTACTGAGCGTTGTTGAGACGGTGTAGGGCTCACTCCGCGCAATAATATTGCCAGCAGCATCCTTGGCAACTATACAGCCAGATTGCGCATCCGAAGGAACAGCCCAAGCGAATTTGGTGGGTTGGAAATCGGCGGTTACCTCCGTAGTACCGATGAGGTGGGTTGCTTCAGAGTCAACTTCGCAAGAACCATAGGAGAGAGTCATGGCACCTTCAACGGTCTTGGAACCATAGTTTAGATATACGTTTGTCAGAGAATCAGCCTTCAAGGAGTCGTCAACGTAGATCTCGGGACCAGAAGAAGCAGGAGCCGCCATGGCCTGCAAGGTGGCGGCAGCCAAGACAAACAAAGATGTAGTCGTCTTCACCATACTGTTAGATTATATGCACTTGATGATGTAGGTTAATGAGAAGAGATATTGGTTGTTTTGACCAGTTTCAAAAAAACACTTTGCCGACTGCAATAGTGCCTTTATATACTAGTGACCATTAAAAAAGGTTTTTTATCATCATTTTGTGTAACGGGGCATACCATTACGACGATATCCAATCTGCACGGTTGACGATTGACAATACATGGTTGAGTACAGTAAGGAGTAATAGGCGTGGACAATCTAGATAGAAGTATGATGTAGAACAATACTTAGACGATAGCTAGCCCGCTATTACTCAACGTATATATAAAGACGGGATCCTGAGTTATATGGATCCCTATTGTTTTATCCTTTGATATATCCGAGTCTCACTTGTTCATATTAATTCACACTGTCTACCCATTCACATTCCCGATTGTAAGCAATTGGGTCGACACTGTTACATTTCGACTTAATCTTTTTTTTATTCATTATCATAAAGATACTCTATCGATACCCAAGAGATAATAGATAGCGCGCGCTCTTGACTTTTTGACTTGGAGTAATCGTCATACGTGTACACTTCCTGGCTACTGCTCAATGTGACTTATCATTGAAGTGCTTCCGACTTATCGCAATATTGAATTTGATAATTTGAGATAACTCAAGATACTGTTTTCGTATCTATCAAGAACCATTCCTGTTGTTGCTTCTGCTGCCGTTCAACTTTAAACAACTCCTATAAGTTTTTATATGCTATAATACATGATGCGGCAATGATCCTGTTTATGCCTTGGTCGTCTTCCATGCTCTGCTATATGTTTTCATACGTGCCTTCCCGTCACTTGTGAGCAAGTAGTTATTCGTTATCAGCAAGTATAGCAGCAGTCAAAATTATGCAAGTCCGTATGTTTGAAGCGTTTGCAAGTTCAATTAATACCGGCTCCGGGGTACCACAGATGCAAAAATAATATGCATTTGCCGAGAGACTCCAGCTACTTTCCCGTTACTCGCTTCATAAGATGTCGTATTTCGTTGACGCACATGGTGTGTAACCTCGCGACTGCGGTTATTTTCCTTTCTTGGATCATTTTAGAGGGCGGGAAAAGCGATCCTTTAAAATCGCTTACTCAGTCAACGATGATAACCTTTCTATCGTGTGTGACCATCGTATCAGTCTGGTAGAGAGCGCGCCTTCTCTTAAGTTTTTTAGAGTTTTCTTTGCCTGTATGTACATGTAAGCAGTAAGAAGGTGACGATGTCGTCTTTGCCAGCAGGAAAATCAAAATGTAGTCGGTCCCATTTAGATAGAAGAAGAGAAGGTTTGAATTTTTTAAATGAAATAGACATACTTAATAGAATATGCACAAAGACAAAGCAACAAGTCATAGATAAGTTAGTAGTTACATTTTTTGTCATCCACAGTCCATCGCCCGTTCGCTCAGAATGTGCTGGATTCGAATGATTGAGAAAGTGCGAACGTTATTGCTTGATAAAAAAAACCTCTAGATCTGTCCAAGGCTTTCTGCACCGTTTTCTATAGATTTATTCACCCTTAATTAATGCATCACTACTTTCTCGTGCTAGATAAACTCTGTCCCTAGAAAGGCGTTTAAGCTCGGTGCATTCCCGAGAACATGACCCCAACAGGAACCCCCAATCAAAAGGCCTTTTGATCAAGGTAGCGGTAACGCTAATGACCACTGTTGCTGCTCTTGTGCTTTCCGTAAGAAATCATTAACGATGTTTTTGAGCTCCTCTCGCCATCTGACGGTTTATAATTTGGTGTTGCAGCTTTGCGCGTTATTGGATCTCAGGCACGCACGCCTATCGTTTTTATCCTGATAGTGGTAGTTTATACTTAGTCGCCAAAACAGTCTTGATATCATAGCATTCTTTCAGTATCGATAACGACAGATCTTATCATAATGCGGTACATCTTGATTCTATATAGCGATCATTTTATACATACTATTATTCATCTAAAATAAAAGCTCGCATGTCATGGGCAAAAGAAAGGCCTACATATTTTCCGAGCCAGTAAGCTTAAAGCTTACTGGCCTGAATCTAATGGTGAAAAGAATACATTGTCGATAGACATCAAGAAAATCTATAGTAAATTATTATGACGCAAAGAGTTTTTGTCACTGGAGTTACTTATCTTGCATAATATCGATAAGCTCCACACATATATTGGTAATTTTTTGAATGGATGCCGATATTAATTGCTGTGATATTACAGAGCGTGGAACAGCAGGGCCTTTTTGCGATGATAGTTCGCGTTGTGTTTAATCTTCGATCAACTCAGAGTAAAAAAGTGTACCTGATCAGTTGAGTGAACTAGCAAGCCTCATCGTTCTTTACTAAGTGTAATGATCGTGGTCGAAAGTGGAACAAGCGATTGTCGACCTACCATCTGCAGAAAGTGTCGTCAATACATATATGTAATTTCTAGTCAGGCAAAGGCGAACATAAGAACATGTGTTAACCAAAAACCTTACTCTTTCTAACATCGAGCTACCACCTCCAACGAATGTTAGTGTCAACCCAAAGGTTTCTGGAAACAATTACATAGTGGATATGTACACAGTACGTGTGATAGGTAGCAATGCTATATCATTCCTGCAAGAGAATCTCTCATTTGCTTTTATACGGGGTGTGACACAACGTGAGCAACAACAGAACCGTTCATACTCATATTCGCTCGAAACAAATACCCCATACTAATCATAAGTAGAGAATACACATGCCAACTTGAGGGGTGTACGGCTTCCTATGCTATCAAATATATGCGACTGATCAAAAACTTTGAAACGGCACATGATGTTTGTATCTTATGATAAAAGATATCAAATGAGTGATTGATCAATCCATTTAGTGCTGCATGCAGTCTCTAAGAGACGGTTACTTCAATCCACGGATTCTGATTTCAAATTCCCGCTGTCCTGTAGTAGAAGATCGTACAACATTTATCACAACCCATCAAGCGCTTCACATACATATCCCTGACTTGCACCGTAGCCGCGACCCGGCCTTGGCACACAAAGCTCCACCTTTCCGAGCCGATGTTCGCACGGTTTGATCGAGTGGTATTACGAATCCAAGATGCCAACCTAGTTTGAGTGGATGAGCAGGTCATCGGGGCGTACAATCCTTCCAGAAAATGACTGAGAACAACATTATAAATACATGTATGCTTTTGGTATATGTGTATCTTTTACCATTTGAATTTAGCGAGTATATTATGTACCTAAGCAAAAAGGTGGTTTGTTCACTGTGGACATTGTCATGTACTGCCAACAGCCAAAATGAAAAGCCGTCAATTCGATCCACATTTCAGATAAAGGATGAGAAAATATATATTGTATTATTCACAAAGTCGACAAGATATGTACAAAAACTAGTGGAAGATATATACATTTTAGTGGGTATATATTTCTCCATCCACGGTCCATCGCTCACTCAGATACTGTGGCTTCGAATGATCGAGAAAATGCTGACGCCATTGCTTTATAAAAACCTCCAAATCGGGCCATCGCTCTCTACCATCATTATCCAAAATCTTATACACCCTCAATTGCTGTACCACTCCTTGTCCGTGTTCAACAAAATTTGCACCTTGAAAGACGTCTTGAAGCTCGCTGCATCTTTGAATAACGTGATCCCAATTCAGGGATTTCCAATCGGCAGCTGATTCGGTCAAAGTAGCGGTGGCGCTAGTAGCAGTATCGCTAATATCCACAGCTGTTGCATCCTGCTTCTTCCGCTCCCAAAAAGCAGTGACGGTATTTTTGAGTTCTTCTAGCCGCCCTGGGGGAATCTTATCTGCTGCGCGAAGCAATGCCGTTGCAGCTTTGCGCGCTATTCGATTCTCAGGCACACGCACCCATCCTTTGCCTTCTAATGGTAGGTCATACTTTGTTGCCAAGTTTTTCTTATAGGTCATTGCATGTCTTTCGTATCGATCATGACAGTTTTTACACAGTAATACTAAATCTCGACTCTATATAATAGTGTGCACATAGTTAGTCATTACTACACACAGTGATAACAGAAAATTAGAGTTTGGTATATCATGGATAAAAGGAAAGCCCTTTTACCATGTCGCTCCGTGCCACGTTCCAACGAGGTTCAAAACTTACTGATTTGGATTTGATAGTCAGAGGAAACCACTGGCGATACACATAGGGAACCTAGATAATGATACAAAAGAGTTTATCACTGATAGTTATTTATCTTGGACAGTATTGATAGACCACATTTGTATGCTGTACGTACGACATGATGTAAAGTAAGCCCGTCAGCTGACCCACAAACAACGCAAATATTATCGCGGTCTTCCACCATGTAATCATCCTCGCTGTGACCGTCGCCTTTAGCTTCGAACGTTAGCATAATGGCCCGTTCTTCGTTGTCCTTGACAAGAGCTAAATCGCGCGTCAGGTACCACTGTGCTTTCCGCCTGATATATTTTGGTGGGTGGTCATTGGTTAAAATGGAGAAGGGAATTTCGCGAAAACTGTCTTTCAATGAATGCTAAATAAGCTTAATTTTGAATGGAGTGAGAATGATACTTGCTGGTTGCACCTGAACATGAGCTTTCCGTGTTTCGAGTACACTTTCCAGTTCTCGTATATGTTTTTCGCCTTTCGGCTTGGCATGACTACAGCCTTCTTTTCAGCTGGCATATTGTGTGTTGTGTAGTTACCAAAATGGATACAGAATAATGAAAACAAACTCCTTTTTATGGACTAGGAAAATTAAAAAAGCCCAGGATCATTCCCCATCCTCTTGGTAAAATTTAAGTATACACACCATAATACACCTCATTTAATTACATAACTGTTTTCTTTCTTTCCCTCCTTTTCTTTTTGTTCACAATTTGAATAATCATAAGTGAATGGAGCAGCGCAGCAACCGCTACATAGATAATCGAAATTCAGCATCGACTAATATGACACAGCAACAGAGTAAATCGAACAGCCAACAAGAAGACGACGGTTTTAGTGGCTGGATCTACAATTTTCTATTTGGCAAAGAGAATACAGTATCATCACAGCAACAGAAGCAGCCTGAAACCGCAAGTCGAATGCGAAGCCCTATGCCCTTGGATGGTTCATCGTCAGTACCTCCGCCCGCAGCTGGATTAGATCAGCACTACATCTTGACAAGCCCGTTCCGACCACGAACTGCACCTGTACACGAGCTTCCACCATTGACAGAAAGCCCACCACCCCCACCTCCGCGACGAATACATCAGCAGCAACACCATCCACAACAATATGCGTATGCAGATACTTCACGAAACCATTTGCGGTCACCATCCACAAGTCCTACAAATCGCTGCCAACAGCGTGTCAACCGGGTATCGACAACGAGCACGCTGGTCGACGAAGAGGATGACGACACACAAGTTGATTCAGGACCACGGATGCATTACGGACGGGCTCCAGCACACACAGCTCGTCGTTACGCAACACACCGGATACGTCTGACAAAAGGCAACCTGGTAGTAGAAAGTCAAGTACCCGATCGACTTCTGAATGTGCTTTCCAGAAAAGATCCTGAATTCACCACTATGCGATATACGGCAGTGACATGTGACCCTGACGAAGTTCCCTACAAAAATTACGAGCTTCGTCAGCAAATCTACCAGCGCGAAACCGAAATATTCATCGTAATTACTATGTATAATGTAAGCAGAAAACTCTGTTTCTTTGCTGCTGCTTCTTCTAGTTGCTAACGGCTAAATTATTCTACACATATAGGAGGACGAGATTTTGTTTGCTCGGACGATGCATGGTGTTATGAAAAATGTGGCCCATCTTTGCAAGCAGTCAAGGTCGAAAACCTGGGATACGGATGGCTGGAAGAAGGTCGTTGTATCGATTGTCGCTGATGGCCGAAAAATTATCAACAAACGCGTCTTAAGTGTGCTCGCCGCAATGGGAGTATATCAAGTAGGCGTCGCCAAGAACGTAGTTGATGATAAGCCTGTCAAGGCACATATTTACGAGGTAAAAACATATAACAAGCTACAAAAATGAGAACTGCACAGACCATGCTAACACATGTATGCTAGTTCACCACACAAATCTCGATAGACGAGGATATGAAGCTTAAAGGCTCAGACAAGGTAAGCTGCATGTCATAAACGACCGTATAACTGCACAGCTTACTATAGAAACAGAAGCCGTGAGCTTGGGTTGATTTTCTTACCATGTTTTGATATAGGGAATTGTACCAGTCCAAATCTTGTTTTGTCTAAAGGAAAAAAATGCGAAAAAGATCAACTCCCATCGATGGTTTTTCAATGCATTTGGCCCGCTATTAAACCCCAAGATTTGTGTTCTGCTCGATGTAGGAACACGACCTGGCAACGTCAGCATCTATCAACTATGGAAAGCCTTCGCACAACACGCTCAAGTTGCTGGTGCATGCGGTGAAATCCGCGCGATGCTGGGTCCTGGCTGCAAGTACTTGCTCAATCCACTGGTTGGCGCACAAAATTTTGAATACAAGATGTCGAATATCCTGGACAAACCCATGGAAAGCGTATTTGGCTATATTTCCGTGCTTCCCGGTGCATTTTCGGCGTATCGGTATTCTGCACTGCAGAACGACATCAACGGTCATGGTCCCCTGGAAAAGTACTTTAAAGGCGAAAAACTTCATAACAGTGGCGGACTGTTCGAGGCAAACATGTATCTTGCCGAGGACAGAATTTTGTGCTACGAGCTTGTTGCGAAAAAGAACGAACGGTGGTTGCTCCAGTATTGTAATAGTGCATTTGCAGTTACAGATGTTCCTGACGGCCTACCAGAATTCATATCTCAGCGACGGCGATGGCTCAATGGAAGCTTTTTTGCCGGTGTCTATAGTCTATGGAATTTCCGGTCCATGTGGAATAGCCGGCACTCGTTTACACGTTTGATTCTTTTGACCATCGAGACAGTGTACAATATAATCAGCCTGATATTCAACTGGATTGCATTGGTGAGATATCTTTTTCGTGTTTTAAGTTTCCATGTGCTCCAGTGCTAACGGAAACTTATATAGGGCAACTTTTACATAGCCTTTTACTTTATAACTAAAAGCTTGGCCAACGAAGAGGTGGATCCATTTGGCAATGGTTGGGGCCAGCGGTTTTTTGATATATTTCGATACGCATATCTTTTTATCATTGTGGTTGTTTTTATTTGCTCCATGGGAAACCGTCCACAAGTGTAAGTAAAGAAAAAGTGTGTAATTTTTTACTCTTTTACCTAACTGAACCCCATTTACTTCTAGCTCAAAATGGCTTTTTATAGCTTGTCTCGCAGGCTTCTCGATAATAATGGGCTATATGCTTTTCGCATCCGGATGGCTTATATTTCAAGGAGTGGAGCGTGCAAAAGAAGAAGTACAATGGACAAGTGACTCAAGCAGCAACCTTCTCCTAGCGCTTCAGGATCCTGGACTTCGAAATATCCTTGTTTCCGTCATGGCTACATATGGACTATATCTTGTATCAAGCTTACTGTATCGTCAGCCGATGCACATGATAACAAGCTTTCTTCCCTACCTCATCTTATTGCCGGGATTTACTAATATCTTGACAATTTACGCCTTCTGCAACACGCATGATGTTAGGTTGGTTAAGTTATAGTTATATTTATTGGCCGGTTAAAAGTGTGGAAGGAAACTTGAGCTAACAAATGCTGTTATAAATTCAGCTGGGGTACAAAAGGAGATAACACAGTATCAAAGGATCTCGGTGTCGTCAAGAAGCAGAAGAAAGGTAGTGGTGACACAGGCGAAGATACTGTAGAAATCGTATTGCCAGCGGATCAAATCGATATCAATAGTCAATATGACGAGGCTTTGCTTGAGTTAGAGAAAAAGGAGAAGCCAAGTGAGGTAAAATGAGAAATAAGCCCTATAGCATACGAAAGTTACAAAAATATTTGATACTTACTGCATAACTTTTAGCCACCGGCCGCTTTTAATCAAGAGGATTATTACCGGTCTTTTAGAACACATTTAGTGCTTGCTTGGATCGCATGTAACGCACTTTTGGTAGCATTCGTAACATCACCCGAATACGATACCATTTATGTTGCTTCTGCGGGCTCTACGTACATGGCTGTTATCTTATGGACGAACGCAGGCTTAGCAGCATTTCGATTTTGTGGATCCGTTATGTACTTATTACTTCGATTGTTCTCCTCCTAAGATATTTAATGATAATCATTGTATAATATTCGATTGATTTTACTACTACAACGGATAATCTGACAAATTAATGATATTTATTAATTGTTTGCGTGAACGAAAAGAAAAATTGAACGAAAATGCAGATGAATGTAGAGTGTGAGGATGATAAACAAGTGTGACATTTAAAGAAGAGAAGGATATAAGTAGTGACAGATGATTGTTAGAGTGTGATTATATGAAAAAGAAAGGAGAACAATGTAATTAAAATGACGTATTATGAGCTTTCAATACTTTTTAGTAGCCGTGCATGATTTCATCAATCATGTTGTTGAGCCACCAGAAACGGTCTTGAGTGGGTAAAATAGTGAGAATGGTAGGTAATTCGATGGGTGCTACCGGAGAAAAGTTCTGAGTAGCAGCACGCTTATCTGCTAATGACTCCAGGCTGAGCAAGGATAGACCCGATGCAGCGGGGAATTGGAGTTTTGGTCGTCGTGTTCTCGGTGGAGGTGGTAATGAGGGAAGCGGTGCAAGTACACTCGTGCGATTAGAATCATGTGACGGTGGATCTGGTGGCGGTTGCGATGGTGGCGGTAAGGGTGTTGTTGGGGATGTAAGGGATTTGCTATTGTCGTCAGCGTCATTCTTTTGTAACTGTGAGGTGACAATGGTGGGCGAGCTACCGCTGCTATCGCTATTGTTGAGGTTGTTGTTATTGCTGTTATCATAATTTCGGTTGCACTGTTTATTGTTGCCGTAGTTACGCGTTGATGGTGCGGGTGGAGGGACGGCTTTCGATGCTACAGCTGAGGGCGCTGAGACTGCAGCAGTTGACTGGTATACGCGTTGTTGTACCAAGTATGTTGATTCAGGAACGCTACGCACGGTCACTGCTCGGTATCGGGCAACAGCCTGGTCTGTAATATGATAAGCAAGACTGCGATACAAAGGTAGTGGGAGGCATTTGACGTTTTCAGTAAGCGTTTGATTGATTGCTGAAATGGTTCCTGGAATGGTAACCCAGGCACGGAATAAGATCAATTGGCATGGTCCCAAAGTCAATCCAAAGGGTGGAATATCGACAACTTCGCCATACAGTTTTGCGACGCTTGCCAATGGTTTGCCGTAGTTCGACATTTCCATTAGTTGGCGACAAGACAGTTCGAGTGCTCGAGTGAAACGTGTCGTTAATGTTGCACCGCGAGTGCTAGTTGGCGACACAGGTGAGAACACGTTGGAGCTGGATATTGGAGAGACGCCGCCAAAGTCGGGTGGTGATGCACCAGAGCTAACAAGTGTAGATGTAGCATCACTAGCTGTTGCCCAATCTGTCGATTGTCTTCCCAACAATGTGCTTCCACTTTCTCGCGGTAATTGGATATGCGACTCGAGCGCACACATGTTCTGTAATGATTGGCCGTGTAAGCTGAGCACACAGTTTCGTTCTTCAGGTGCAAGTGCAACTGGGACCTCATCGTTGTCGTACTTGAGCTGTACCATGGGGAATGCGTGTCTCCGTTTCTTGTCCACAATGATGTGAATGTTGTGAGGGTTATCTTCCTTGTCTTCTTGAATGAGGACCGAAAGTCCCAAATACACGGCACCACGAGTGGCACTCTCTGGGATCGGATCACTGTCTGACGATATTGAAGCTGCGGAGGCACTCTCTGAGATCGACGGAGAACGAGGTGATGAAGTTCCGTGTGTGGAGGAGTGAATAGCCTGTCGAGGTGGCAGTTGTTGGCCCTGCTGCTGCTGAGCATGCTGCTGTTGAATAAGCATTGATACTGTCAAGGCCATGGATCGCATGTCGTTGAAATGACTAGCCATGTGGTCCGCTGGAATACGTAAATGGTCGCCCATTGTTCGCGAAATAAAAGTCGCTTCAGCAAAACGGTAACCACATGCTAGTAGTCGAGCAAGTTCTCTCTTGTCGATGCGCTTAACGATGAAAATGTGGCGATCTTCCAAGTGGACATCGTCTTGAGATGACAATCGTTCGGTCGTAGCTGATGTTGGGCGACTAATCTCCCTGTGCGACGAATCATAATCTCTATTGCTCCCATTGTTCTGTTGTTCCCGAGCAGCGGAAGTAGATAGCGATGTCTGACTAATTTCTTGAACGTCACCGTGGGTTGCGCCTTCTTCCAGAATGGTAGCATTGTCAAAATTCGATAAGTAAAGGTCGCTAGGAAGTCGCTTCAATGGTGACTTTTTATCCATTTGGAATGTTTTACTAAACCGCTTGCTCTTTTTGTTGTTGTTATCGTTGGTGTGATTTTTGCTGGTATCCATATCGATCGACTTGGCGGAGCCGTGAAGCATCATGCTGCTGCCGTCTGATTTACTGGGACTCTTGGACTTTCGGCGATTCCAAAATCCGCTGCGCGGCTTTGCAATAGTATTTGTTCTGATTACGTCGTCGAACATGGTGCCCAATTCCGCCAAAGTCGGCAAGCGTAGCTCGTACGCAAGGTCGCGAGCAGCGTCCAGGAATAGACTTTCGACGACATCATGAGGATCACTGGTTCGAGTAGATGATTGCTCGGATGGCCTGTCACTAAAGGAGGCACGTCTAGCCCATTTGGTTGTGACATCGAATAACCGAAGAAAAAGCGGATGGCTGGCTGTAAACTCCATGCTCGAACCCTAGATCACGCCCAAAAAGGAAAAGATTGCGTTAAGACCCAGCTTCTACATTGAAGGTGGTACCAATCACTCGGAGCTAATTATTACATGCATATGCTGCATGTGAATGTGCGACAGCCTGTACAACCCATCATTTTAGCTAGGTTTCACACTTACATTGGAATGGATGTCACTCAAAACTTCCCTTGTGGGCACTGTGCCATCCAGATTGACCATAATTCGACCGTTTTTATCGAAGAACACCACATCGAGAAAAAGGCGCTGACTCTTAGCTGGTGCCGCACTAGGCAAATGAGCAACCCCCCATTTCACCGCAATATAGAGAAGTAGCACACAGGCTACAACGACGATGGCGGATATAATACCAATCAAAGCAGCGCGACTAAGCGCTGGCGTAGGCGGGGTGTGGTTGGAAGGTAACCGATACTCTGTGCCTGCCAGGGCAGTGTAATGCATGCCTAACGCGAACATGAGGTTAGACTCCTTGATAAGTTTATCGTATGATCTTTTTGTACGTTACTGTACCACACACAGCAAGGCCCATGAGCATAGCCGATCCAAGCCGTTTGTACCACTGATTCGTCCAATTTTCTCGAAGCTTAAAAAAGATGTACAACGCAACGTTTACTGCAGCACATGCGATGATAACGGCGCCCGCAATATACTCAATTTTGTATGTTAGAAGAAAGAAGTCGATCGCGAATTGACCTAATATCATTCCTATATTAGCACGTTCTTGGGGTTCTCTGTCTGGTGTATTTATTCAGCATCATTGTCATATGCTTACCGAGATAGTGCATGACAGCAATTCCTATCTATAGTATACAACATAGAGATACATACGGCAGGACGGTTAGCATACAAGGATGATCAGTTATTTCGAGCAGGGGAAAAATAACAACATAATTTGCACATACACCAGCAATTGTGCCACTTGGTATGATTCGAACAATCTTGGCTTCTTCGGTGATGCCGACAAACGCAAACGCAATAAACATACAGGCGATTGCTACAACTAAACTTGCAAAAGTGAATCCGGCACTGTAATTAAGGTGATAGTCGTTTCCATTGTGTTGTAGCGTCAAACTGTTGTTTCCAATAAAATGCATAGACCATATTGCTACGCCTCCCATTGACACGGCTGAAGCACCTAGTAGAAACCTGTTGAGGTTTCATATAAATGTTTTTTCTACATTGTCAGTTTATCGGCGAGCAAATTCGTTCCGTGTTGGGGTATTTGATTTTGGTTTTGACGATGACGATAATGATGATGGAGATGATGATATGCTCGTACCAGTTGTGGATGCCGCGAATGTGAGTTCGCCTGGATAGCAGTTCAAGTGTTGTTTGTGCGCCGACAACGGAGATGACATAGCTGACGAAGATGATGCCACCATTAAACTCCTGTGTTGCCACCAGGTCTGTTTCAGGAACATCCATCGAATTATAGTAGAAGGATATTCTCCTTGTGAGGAATTAGAAACGATAGCAAAAGGGTGGGGAAATCCGAAAGAAGAACGAAAAAAATCGAATGATTTTCGCGCTGTTGTCCCAATTATTGTTCATGTCCAGCCAATCGAAGTGGGGCACACGCTTTTCCCAAAGGGACGTGCGCGGAGCTTGTTCAAGCTACTGCTTCGGACTGCGCTTTTTGTCGCTCTTCCTTTTCAATTCCCATATATTACACATTGCCGAGAGATGGTTGCGCGGCACAACAATTTAGTGGCCCATAGAGACTGCCACGCTTCCTTGAAAGCTGTGTGCTGCAGGTGCATATTCAGCGTCATCAATTTTTCTTTACTCACTCATTCGCACGTCGTGTCATATAGAACGCGTCCATCAAGACAGGTCTAAACGGCGCTTATTTCCGACTGAAACCATCATCAATTTATTTTGTCTCGGATCTTCGTTTAAACGCTTAAGGAATTTTTGTTTTGCTTGGCTTTCCTTGCATGTCATTGTGAAACTATCGTCCATTGGTTACTTCCCAATGCCTCGGCGCTAGAAACACTCTGTACTACATAGCGTACTTCTTTTTGTCAGTGGGAAACCAAAGTCTAGTGTTTGTCAATCATTGCCCTTTTAGACCATGTTAATCGTTCCGTCCCAAAATGCAATTACAAATCTCAAGTCTCTGTGTACCCGCTGCTACAAACGGTAAGTGGTGTCCATCGAGTATAGCCTTTACTCAACAAATGACAAAAGTACCAGGTCGTCGATGCTATTGTTTCTTCCCACTCCTTTAAATCGGAGTGGTGCGACGTCTCGCGCGGGCAGCGGTTGTGTTTCGCAAGTGCATAACTGCTAGCCCTTTAGTGGTACAAAACCGATTGCTCTAAACCACTTTAATGTCCTTTTAAATACAGTCCTGTAAAAGGAAGTAATCGCCCAAACCTCAATGATGTATGTAAACCGTATAAAAATGGAGCGCTGACACTCATAGTAGATACCTCTGTGCCAAATTTATCCTGTTTACTGTATATGGACCAGCATGGCAAATGGTTCCTTTTCTTGTTAATCAGGGTTTATTCTCAAGCTCACATTGAAAAAGTTCATCGTAGCTGTTTTGTACGTAGCAACTAGTTTGGGATATTCTTTCGTTTTACAAAGTGAGAAATAAGCAGAGAAGATTTTCACTGAAAGTATATACTGTAGCCATGCGGAAGACAATGCCATAACTGCTATCCATCTCATTATGGCAGTTACCACGTTATTTTTCTTTCAAATTGCTCGTACTTGCTGCTCAATTAATTATACAAATTCCATCGGGTACCATGACGGGGCAAGAGAATGTTCTTTACAATCTGAGTTGGTTATCTATTCCGCTGGTGTCTTTCCAGCCGCAGCTTATTAGCTCAAGATGGGCATCAATTTTAAAAAAACAATGCCCAGTACAAATAGTTGTTGGAAGCACAAAACTTACAGGATTTTTCTTTAGAATTGGCGGATGGTTTATTTCATAATGGCGCTTAGTTTTTTTCAACATGGTGGTGGGGTGATTATTATGATGGCGGGGGAGCGTTTTTTACTTGGCGCGACGTTTTTTTCGATTTGGCGTCGCTACAGTATTAACATGGCGCATCACGAAATATAAGATGACGCCTTGTTTTTTCAACATGGCATGAGGAATCATTATGGCGCCTGCTACATTAAGACATGGCGGACGATAAATAACAAGAATATCAAGTTAGGGTAAAATATACAGATAACTATCATAATATTTGGGGAAAAGAAAGATTTAGGATGTTCAATCCAGCACCTAATCGCTTGCTATAACTTGGTACAGTTGCACCCCGGTTTTTGCAACCCCTGGATTTGCAATTCCTCGTATATCTGCAACTTTTTATTGAAAAATCCAAAAAAACTTAGTAGTTTCGCAAATTTGCAACTTGCAAATGAGTTTATACGATTTGCGCGTTATCGGGGTAAAAACAGCTTCAATTTTTTCAATATCAACTGAAAGAAGCATCTGTTGCGTATTATCGAGGAATAAAATGATACGGTTACTGCACTAGACAGCTTCAATAAAAGAACGGTCTTATATATGCAAGTAGTAACATTTAGAGCTGTGTGAAATCCCCACAGAACGTATCGTACATCATCTCTAACAGATAAACAATGGGTTAGTGTATATAGGATGACTTATCCAGTGTCTATTTGAAGCAGAATTGTTTACCCCGTTACTTGCAAATCCTCACTTTGTGCAAAAAAAATCGGAAAACCCTCGGTTGCAAAAACCGGGGTACAACTGTATGCTGCAGATGCGACGATACGTGGAGTTAAAGAGTCAGCCTTGGTCAAAAGCTCGCGCTTGACACCAGCTTTTGACTTTGACCAAAATTCTTCTATTGGATATAAAGAATGGTGAATAAGGCGGAAATTGCAAAATTTGGAATCAACGCTTAGAAGCAGTCTCTTGAACCAACTCAGTATCATGAATTTTAGCGTTATCCATGACCAGAAATCTCCCTTGCATATCGTCTTTTTCAGGACATCCATCACCGTCTCCAAAAACTCGCAAAAGTATTCGGCTCTTGTGCCAACTTTGGCAAACTAGCGTTGTTCACCTTTGGCCAACTTCCTTTTCTTTGAGCTCCCGGTTACTGCTTGTGGTTTTCGTAACGAGAAGGATGAAAGAATATCGAGGACATAGCGTTATTACAAACTCAAGGTCGCATCCGGCGGTTTGACGAATCGTTGCTCCTCTTGAGCAATTTCCACAATTCTTTTACATCAAACTATCATATAATGACGATTTTTTCACTTTTGTGTTTAAGTAAGCAGCGATTGAGAAAGAAACGAAAGACAAGTTTAGTAAGAGCTAGCATGAAGAATGGCTATCTAAGTAAGATCATTCTGCTATTCGCTTTTTCCACTTAATAAGGGAGAGGTAGAAGCTGCACACTCCTTCTTCTGGGAAATAGCTGGTTGTTCAGTTCTTTCTATTCGCTACATCCAGCAAGTTCCCTGAGATCTGGTAAATCAGCATATCAAATATACCAAAATACCCAGCTTTAATAATATGGAAGTTGTTATTAATCTGGCATGGTACGCCCGATAGGTTGTACAGCTGCGTCCTGATGTGCTTTAGTTGGTGCAAGTACTTCTGATATAGAAGCTAACATGCTTAGTAGATCTCGTGGCCGCCGGCCGTTCCACTTTCTTGATCCTAAGCGCTCGCTCGCAGGTATTAACTATAAACCGAAGTATATATATTGTCAGGCTAGTAGAAGTTATAGTTACCCACTCTGCCACATTTTTCTTTTTTTTTATTTCGACCCTAATGTTGCTTACCACAGGAACCTTGATACACTATTATTGATGGACGAATGAAAGGATCACTTGCTAAGTTAATTAGGTTGCGTACTCCTAATTTTTGGTTTCCCTCCACCGGACACATACTACTTGACGCTATAATTTCAATATTAGCACCGGTTGACTAGCTCGACTAATCTTGGTAAGTTCAACATTATGGTAGCGTTTATATTTGTATGATACGCAAAATTCGATAACGATAGCTGTTGCGGTCAAGTGTTTCTGCAAACCTTGTAAACAGTCCCAGGAGAACCTCGTCTGCTGGCCTTTCCGACATAAATTTAACGAGTAATAAATATAGCGCTACACCATATTTCAATCATAGAGAAGCACGGTTTTGCATTAATGCCTCTTTTCTAGTGATAGCTTCTCTCATCATTTTTTAACGTGCGGCACTCCAAGGTTCAAGAATCTGCAATGATAAGCAAGAAAATCGCTGCTGTGATAACTGATGAGACGAATGTCTTGGCCAAAGTGTAGCAACTGAATACTTGAACTCTTGGATCGACGCAAACAGATGTTCCTCTGTAATCTTCCTTTTATTTTAGCAATATTAGACATCTGTAATTTATCTAGTGTACGATAATGCTTGCGACTTTAGATCATCATCAACTATTACTTGGTCATTGCTTGTATTTATTTATATAGCACCACCTTCCCCATGCACCCCAGCACGGACTTTAGATCGTGAAAATTTATCACAATGCTCTAACCGTTAAGAGAGATAGCGTTTGTTTAGAAGAGTACTGATACAAGACAGACCCTTCTCGTCATAATAATCAACGATGGCTCAATAGGTGATATAAGGCAACATTTGCTGGCTAAAATACGTAAAGTCAATAGTGACAGTGACGAGCTTTGACGCTAGAGAAAATAGAAAGAGCGAAAGAGACAATTTGTTGAACGGTCAACATAGTACATAATTTTTTTTGGAGCATCAAATACATGAAATAGGCCCAGTAGTAAAGCCGCACACACCAGGGCATCAATGGATACAGCAGTCTGACAACAGATCAGATCCGTGCTCTGTGATGCTATCACCGGCAAGCTAGTTATGTTTCGGCACAAATGTTCCGTTTACCCAGATATTAACGGAGTGTCAAAACCGTCTCCAAAAACAGACAATGGCCGTGACTTCCGAGACACCGATTTGCATATGAACGATGCAAAATTTAGTTTATTTATAAACAAGAGGCAGATATAAGACGATGACCAGTTGCTGTTCAAGTACGAGCAGCTTTGTGCATTATGACAGCTCCTAGCCAGCAAAGATTGCTTCGGTTTAGAAGAGCTTAAAGCTCAAATGTAACTTGACCCGTATGTTCTCACTGTAGCGGAGTATGCTGTTTAAAAGTTACCCAACAATAATACCAGTTTCATTGGTGTATGTGCTTAGTGCTATTGGGTAGTTTCGTGCTATCAGAGAGTAATGCATCGTTATAACAACAACAGCAGCACATCATGCAGGCTATGTTTATTCTTCCTTGTAGGATTGGCTGCTACATGGTATGCCTCAAACCCTGGCGCTACTGTACGACGACTGGCCAGGGCGGAATCGGTGGTTATCATCCGGGTAACCCGGCCGTTATCCCAGATGATTTCTTTTTGCGTTCTTGCTTTCTCATGATCATATGAAAGAAGTTGTACAACATGTAGAGAGATAAAAAAAAGTGAATGGGGTTCCGCAATGACGCCTGTCAACAAGACGTCAATGTGCACATTCTTGTTGACATTTTTCGTGTCTCGAGCTTCTCCTGTGTCTATACACAATATGTAGTATTGTGTTGGTATGTGTATACCATGTGATCCCCCAAAAAGTGCCACGACCTAAGCTCCTTGTAGAAAACAATCCCTGCAGCTAATCGCTATGTCAAAGAGGATTCCTGGGGAGTTCCAACCAACCATCGCGAGAGATACCAAAGAGTTATTACTCCGCCCCTTGGAAAAGGGTTTGGGGTTGCGGCATGTGAAAGAAGTTTGCCGTAAGTGCCTTTCTTTATATTTGTGTCTCTTCCTTTTATTCCACACGACTTCTTCTTTAGCTTTTTGCTTTACAACTGAACGTAAACATTGATCGACACATATGATACCTGACTCGTTCATTGCGAGGAACATGATCTATGCGATTGCCGTGTTGCAAACTGCTGTTGCACCGGCAGCATTCATGTATTACCTATATTATCTCGCCACCGACGAACTCTTCATCACCTTCTCACCTGCCATCGACACCTTGCTCTATTACTGGCTTGGTTGTGAGCTTATATTCTATGTCTTCTTTCAAATAACGCGTAACCGAATGCAGTCGCCTCTACCACCCGTATACCCTGGCCCCAAAGAACGGCGGACTCTTTACTATAACTGCATCAACAATATCATCGACGTCGAAGAATGGCTGTCCGGTTGGTTTATGCGAGCACACGATCCAGAGCAAAACCCAACGATCGAAGAAATTCGCCGTGAAAATCTGGCAGAATGGTAAAAAAAGAGCAGAGAAGAAAAAAAGACGGAAAAATCGTTAAGAGTGTGGCTGATCAAATATCTCCCCCTTTTCCCAAACCTTTTTCCCATTGTTCTTCTTGATATCAAAAGGATCGCTTGGGCATTCTTTGCGCAGCCCCTGGAAGGCGTCCTTGAGGATGAAGCAGCAACCGACGAAATGTACTGGATGATCGACCATTTCGCGGAAAAGTTCGAACTCAATTTCACGCCCGGCTACGACGAAGACATCATTGCGTTTCGACTTACATTAGATCCAGTGCAGGCATATCATCGCCCACTCGTATTCTATCTGTTCATCATCAGCATGACATATCTCAACACCATATTAATGCATTGTTGGGGCTTCAAAAAGTTCGGTCCCGATATACCCTCTGCGTTATCATTGTGGTCGAATACGTCAGAAGCCGCATCCGCCACATTATTCTCAGCAACAGCACGGTCATCGTCCGCACCATCAACACCATCAACATCAACTTTGACGGGACGCGTTGCATATTGGTATCGTGAAGGCAAGCGGACCGACAAAAAACCGATCATTTTCATCCATGGCATCGGCCCTGGTTTGCTGCCTTATCTCAAGTTTGTTTACCACCTTATCGACATTGATGCTCCTTTGTTTTGCGTCGAACAGCCGTATGTGTCTATGCGATGCGTCGAAGATGTGCCAAGCATGCAAGAGGCTGTACAGGATCTTGAGCGCATGCTGCATCATCATGGCTTCCGAGATGCTGTGTACGTGTCCCACTCTTTGGGCACTGCATTGACATCGTGGGCCGTGCAACATATCCCCAAGACAGTTGCTGGCGTAGTGATGCTCGATCCAATTTGTTTCATGTTGCACTATAAAGACATCTGCGTCAACTTTGTTTATCGTATACCAAAGACTGCTAGCGAGGTAAGACCGAATCTCAACCAAATCTTGTATATAAAAATCTTGTTTCTCTCTATCTATCGTTATTCGTTCTTAATAACCGATCCATGATTTTTTCTCCTAATTAGTCTATCGTCAAGTTCTTTGCATCCAGCGAACTGTACATTTCATACTACATTTCTCGACATTTCCATTGGTTCCAGCTCGCATTGTATGTAACACCCCAGCAGCCAAGACAAACAAGACTGTCTAGAAGGAGAAGGAGTCAACATCAAAACCGCACAATTCGCATGCCGCTTGCCACCAAAGTGTTTCTCTCCGAACATGACAACATTGTCAACTCCTCGCGCGTCCATGATTATCTCGCCGGGAACGGTATCAGCTCAACTGTCATGGCTGGTCTCGATCACGGATGGTTTCTGTTCAAGTCGGCATGGCAGCAAGAGATTCTTGAGACTGTCGCGGATTATACGTCCAACTGAGACTATTCACTTTCCATCCGTGTGCTTCTATTCCACACTTTGTAACATAATAATTCGCTCCTTGTACATATAGATCCTTTATACGTTATCCACTATACAACTACAGAGAACTTTTATAATCCCTAATACCCTCCTCATCCATTTATCATACAATCAGCTTCACCCTCTAACTTACTACACTACTCGTACTTGTTTCTGCAACCCCATTGATTCCGTTCCAACTTAATTGAATTCTTTTTTATTTACACAGGAACGCCTATCCTTTGTACCAATCGTTGATATTGTTCCCTTGCCAATTTCCTTTGTCTCCACAAAACCAATGATACCGCAGCGACAGCAACCAACAAATTGATTGTCTATTTTTAAAAAATCAAAAGCAAATGCATATTCCATCAGACCATTCGCCCTCTTGGAGAGAAATTTACCACTGCCACTAATTACCTCAAACTTGATGAATTTCCAGTGTTCAATCCGCTTCACGTGCGGACAACCTCGAAAGGAGGGCAATGAAATAGCATCATAATCATAAATTGTGGTCTGGTTTCGCAAGTTCTCGGCTAGATCGGGATCATCCCATTCACATCGTATGCGTTCCTTGTTTCCATACTCCATACAATAAGGTGCTGATTTCTGTGTGATATATATACATATATGCGTGGGTTAATCGGGTTTTAACAGACGTTTGTTGCTTGTTGTATGTACTATGTTTTTTTGCATACCTGTTCAAATGGCGTGCATACGTCGCAATCGCTAATGGCCGTACAGGTAAACGTCGATTCAGCAACGTCTTCGTGTGAGTGGGTATAATTGCCGAGATGGTTTGGTATTGATTCATCGCCTTGAGCAAACGGTGGTGCTCGTTTCTCCCGTAAATGAAAATTTGGTGTGGTTGTGCTGGCATTACACGGTTTTGCCGACAAAGCAACAAAACTAATTTTAATCATGGAGAGAGCAGAGTTTAAATCAAGCTAAGAGCAATGCATTGTGTTTCTTGGTACTTGCGAGCCTACCTTAATAAAGAGACAATGCAGCATTGTATTAATCGTCTGTGTAGCATCGTAAGTTGTGAAGAGAAATAATAGAAACCGAGACCCGCTTTGTGTTGCTTGAATTAATTTCAGGCAAAGCACCTGGATCACGCGACACTGTCATAGTTGCTATGTTGTCTAGCAACACATCGTGTAGCTTATTCTTGGGGGAAGTGCTCATACGAAAATATTATAAATCGTTACAAAGCTAATATGAAAACGCTACTCGCTTTATATGTGTATTACGACAAGAGGATAAAAGAAAAGGACCGACCAACAGATCGAAAGTCTATTCGAATTCGTTTTTACTTAGAAAAGAGAATTACAAGCTATCATAGCAAATAGCTTAACAAAGGACGGTCGCTATTATAAGCACATGACTTGTCATAGTTAGCTGCAGATATGCCATCTGGCGTGCATATTTTATGTTGTCAGCTCTCTTTTCTACAGCCTGGCTTGACTCCGCTATTCAACCATTTTGACATTATACAAACATGCAGCGAAAATCGTTGTGGGGATCCTACAAGGCCATTAGCCCACGTACACGTATTATGATCGGCGTTGGTATGTCCTTTTTACTTTTTAAATATTCGTCTCGGAAGATTTTCAAGTGAACTCAGATATAATTCACATTCTTTCAAAAAAAGGTGGAATGATCTTTGCGACGACAGGAATGCTGCTCTCTGAGCACCTCGAAAAACAATACCCAGCAACCGAAGACGAAAAGTTGCAAGCCGAGGCCTTATCACCAGTCACTGTTGTCGACCATGTTGATAAAAAGTAAATAGAGCCGACGACAAAGACGAGCTCTTTGATCAGGGTTGTTCGTCAACAAGGCTCACAAGAAGGTTGTAGTGTAATGGGATAATACTGCCGGATGGATAATGTGTATATACGACAACCCCTCCTCGGGATATTCAATAACAAAAAGATAGTGTAAACATTTGAAACATAATAAAAAAAGCGCTTGTCAACAAACAATATCATGAAGGATCTATGTGACCTCTAAGGGTAGAAATAAAAGAGTCCCCAGTCAGATCTACGGAACAACTCGAAGGGATATTCGTACGATGTTTGGTAAAGCCGATTGATAGACAAATGGTCAAAACGTCAAATTCTAGATACTTTTAGTCTTTCATAATAGACCATAGTGAAATAAAGGAATAACCAGAACAGGACAACAACGATAAGGTATATTAATGATACTAGGAGTTGACAGATTTCCATTTTCCCATTAATATTATTACCGAATACTGGATTTTTTCAATCATCAGCAACAACGACTAACAAAACAACTCGGCAACTTGGAACCAAAAAATAACAACAAAGATAGCAGTGATGGCACCTGTTATCAATTTCCATTGGTTGGATGGCAGCGGGGGCGATCAAGTCCGTGAGGCATCTGACAACTAAAGCTCGACTTCGCCCGGCAGGATTTAGGTAGTTGACTGAGATCCTCAACCTGACAGGGGCGGAGGGAGGGTATATTTACCGTGTGTATGATCATGACGAATTAATGAGGAGAAACCTTCACTTATATCCACAACAGCATCATTCAATGCCAGAAGAAGCTCTACTTCAAGATGCATGATATTAGTAAAGGCATTTTTTTAACTGGATGCCAGAGAACACAGAGTCACTGTCCATGCGCGACAGAATACTTGTGATCCATACAGGCGAATGGAACTGTCGCTATCAGATAAATGATGGGTTCAACAGGAGGAACCTTAACATTGAAACTTCACAAGAGCTAGAGCATTAACCTCATAATGAGAAAGTCGTGTGAAATAGTTTGTTAGTTAATCATCAATATGCGAAGCGAAAAAAGAAAGCCTAAATATATGGATATTGGGGCTGTTGTTTTAGTACTCTGCTATATATTCCAATCTTAGGTTAGCGAAGCCAGGATCTGTTAACGGAGACTTACAAAGTCTATAAAATGACTATTCCGATAGTTACACTGTGGCACTAGCTCTTCCACTCATTCATGCTCTGGTACTGTATATACGCATATACAGTATAAAGACATATGATACAGTAATCACTGTATCAATATAGTCACATGTAATACATACTACACAAGTTTTCGAGAGAGAAAGTACTACTACTCTACTTTAACATTGAAAAAATCATGCGTGTTTATTGTGCAAGATTATTCTAGAAGTTTTAATACATTCGTCAAACGATTAATTAAATAAGTGGGATTGTAAGGGAATCCGCCTGATTGTAAGACTGCCATGACGCCCCTTAGCATATCAGTGACCTCTTCTTTGGGATGATCCTCAGCAACAAAATCATTACATGCATACACAAAGATCTCTGGGTTACGTTCCACGTATTTAAGATACTGCACGAAAAAGAGGAGAAATTCAGTCTCATTGGAAAGCAACAAGTCAACGAGCAGGCTGTGATCCATGCCCGTGCGTTGACAGAAAAATAAAAACAGTCGATTTGGACTGATCCCAGCTGTGTCCAGTATATGCTTAATATCATTGTGTAATCTTGGTAAAATAAAAGAATGAGAGGCTGCATTGTTAGTGCTCAAAAAAAACTTTTTTTATAGAAAAACAGAATTTACATAGTTAAATATACTTACCCTTGAGCGTTTCCTTGTGCTGATGAAAGACTTGTTAATTTTTCGTACAGATTTAAGATATCGAGTTGAAGATTGACTGCATCTTCGTCATTGTTGCCATGAAGCTCAAATAAGATATCTAAGATATCTTCGGTTTCCTGGCAAAAGACTAGCGGGTTTATAGTCAATTAGTTTTTCTTTTCTCCTTTAAGAGTAAAGGTATCATAGGGAGAGAGAGAGAGATGGAGAGGTAACAATACAGTTTTGATCGAATCAAAAAACATACATGTAATATAGTCAACGAGCTCTTGTAAGCAGCCTTTCAAAGTATCATAGTTCGGACTGTTGTTTGGCGTCACATCAGCTAGTGCTGCGATGGCAGTAAAGAATATCTGAGTCGCTTGCTTTAGACATTCTCGGTCCACGGTCAATTGTTCATCTTCATCATTGTCGTTGTTATCACCACTACTATTACTGTAGAAGAATTCCGTCCTTTCAGGTTCAAACAAGGAGTATAGCTGTATCCGCGTCATATGTTGATGTAGCGCTCTAATGTAAGTGACTAGAGACGTCAAAGTAGTTTGTATCTAATCAGTAAGGAAAAAAAGGAAATGACATATCAGTACTTATATGCCATCATCAGCAGGGCAAGAGGAACCTTTTTTTCCTTACCGCATCCGGATGCTTGTGATAACGTAGTATTGCTCCGGCAAGTGCTAAAGAACGACGTGCTACGGCTATATGAGTACCCAGCCACAAGGTACATATCTGTTAGGTTAGCCCCAATAGCTTTTTCGTTACAACGTGTCTCTATCCCTCTTATTCTGCCATGCTTTCCACGGTGTTTTATGATATCTTACCTGGTTTAAATGTCGACCTAGCCACGTCCATCCCTCTTGTGACACACTATCGTAACGTGCCCGATCGCTTTCCACTAATGCTTTACATGTCTTTCCGATATCCAGCATCAATACCACCAACGGAACCAGGTCAATCTATATACCCTTTAGCAATGTGCTGCCAATAAATCCTATTCCTCCAGTTATTTTTTTCTTTTCTTCACACTTGAGCACTTTACCCCTTGTTTTGCAGAAAGTGCATACTGGATCCATCGGGAACTATTGTCATTGTGTATCCAAACCAACAACAACGTGTATCCAGTGTGCTCGTCGCTGTCGATGATATGTTTTCGGAAATCCTTGAGAATGGCGTGACATACTTCCAAATAGGCAGTGCAGCACGATCGATCAGGTATCAGTCTTTCAACAAGCCGGCTTATCCATGCGCGTCTGGCACCATTCAGTTCGTGTTGTTGTGCGCTCTGTTTGAGCGTGGTTATTTAAAAAATGTGTATGAGTAGAGAAGTTGCGTGAAACTGCTACAGAGCCTTTAAGCCTACAAAAGTGTACCTGTTCATTATAGGTGTTCAAGGTCATAATTTGCTGTAGTAAACGACTCGCCATGTATACTTGAAAAGGATCATTGTCATGAACTAGAATGTGTTCCTTTTTTTTTCCACATTCAGAAAAGAAAACATGAGAGATCTGAATAGGCAAAGAATCCAAAAACATACCCAGGGTAGTTCAAGGAGCAAACGTAACGCGAGATCGGGTGTTGGGGATTTATTTATTGCATAAAGACAAGTGCTTATGTTGTCAGTGGTGGCCATACGTAAAAGTGCATATGCACAAAAGAAGGGACATCCTATTGTCGGAGACTAGTTGTCCAACCCATGTAACAGTAAAAGGTTAAAACAGGTTCTTGAATGACAAGTCGAGTAAACATTCTTATAGCGGTTTCCAGAGAGCTGTACTAGTGAATGCTACGCTTCATGTGCGCTTCTCCTTTGTCTGCTTTCTAAGAGTTTTAATAATGCAAATCTAATAAGATCAGTCAGTATTCTTATGCTAAAATATGGATTTGGAATAGCAGCGGTGACGATTGCCCTACAAACATGGCTAACTCTTCGTCGAGATTCTAACAGAAGAGGTCGGGTTATTTGAATCAAGACTCGTGCGCGTAATTTAGTAGGCTTGGGGAATTTAGGCGCTTGGAACATTTCTTAAACTTGTATATATGCAGTGCGGATGATAATAACTCACAAGCAATGACATATATAAAAAAAGAACCGGCAAAAGAATCTCTTTTCTTATTCTTTCGATACATTAAAGACAAGTCCTTTCTTCGTTTACTTGTGTTTGTGCCCATCCGTTTGAACTGACTCACTATGGTCAAGCTATCCTTTGCCTCTCTTTCTATCTGGGCCGCTGTTCTGGCTGGAAGCCAGCTCGCTGCTAATGCCTTGGACACATTGATTACTGAGCCAATGAAATTCAGCCTTAGAGAAGCCGAGATCGTTCCTCACTGTAAGAGACAAAGTGTGATTGCTAGCAAATGAAATCCATCATTTCTCACAAAGGGGTTGTTCTTTTTATTATATCTAAAATATAAAGTGCTTCCAGAATTCGAACCTTATTCGTTTCTGAAGATCATGTACGGCGACAAGGTTATCGAGCACGGCGAAGAGATGATGCCCCACGAGCTCGTTAATCCGCCTCACATTTGGTTCCCAGCGCCCAATATGGACGCTCACTACACGCTGGTATTGGTAAGCAACTTGCCCTCGTCTTACCCCGCACAGTAGCAGGCAGGTCTCACAAGAGCAAAATATAGTTTGATGCGGATGCACACGTTCCTCTCGTCAGACACTGGATTGTCGCCAATATCGAAGGTAACTCTATCGTCTCTAATGCATGCCATACCACAGAACTACTACTAACAAGAAGTTTGAAGCAGGTGGCAAGCCTGGATCCAGCATTCGAGATCCACTGCCGGAGAATAATTACACGCCTTATCACGGACCCACTCCGCCATTGAACAGCGGCAAGCATCGCTATGTGTTTGCGCTGTACGAACAAAGCGCAGTGAACCAGACGACTGTGCCGGTGCTGGAGGACACGGTGCATCATCGTGCCTACTTTGACATTGGAAAGTTCAGCCAGGACAACAGCCTCAAGCTTGTGGCTGCAACGTACATGCGGGCTGAGCATGAAGACGGCTATGAAGGTAAATACAATTTATGTAAGCCTGTTCCGCGGAACTCTTTCTGATGATCGCTTTTATATAAGGATTGGCGAGTATGCATACCAATGGCGCCAATGGAGCAGCAGCAGCACCTACGCCAAGTGCGCAAGCCAAGATGATGATGATGATGTAGTAGCAGTAGTAGTCGATACCTTCCAGCTGTAATGGCACATTTAAACGTTATGAGTGTCCTTTTTTTTTCCCCATAGAAGCATACAGAAGGAATTCAAAAAAAAAAAAAAGATGAAACAAGCACACTATTTACCGGGTAAAACAATTTCGGTTTTGATTGGATTCTTTTTGCATGAGGCCAAAACGAGGCCCCGGCTACTATTCATCCGGCACCGCCGCATACAGTCAGCAGTCTGTTCTGTTGGGTCGTCGGGTAAAATATATAAAAAAGATTGGGCAAGCCTGTACAACCGTTCTTTCTGAGGGAGATGCGGAAGCGAAAAATAAAAGATTTGCAAGCGTCAATCGAAGAGGTCTTTCTGCTCCCTCCCATAATTGGGCGGGATGAGGTGATTTCACATGGACCCAGCAGCAGGGTTTCTTTTTTTTATTATGCGTACCTGATCGACTATTTTGTTTTCACACGTGGCATTCTACTACATGTCCCAGAGGTGTGCGCTCTGATGAGGGAATGATGATGGGTGCCCCATACGCTACTTTTGTCCTGTTGAACTTTGTTCCTAGCACCTTTTATCGGAATGCCAAATTCTCACTTTCCTTTTGGGGCTTCCTTCAGAGTGACGGGACAAACGGTGCCTCGGCCATTCACGGAACAATTTTTTTCTTTTTTTTTTTTTTTGTTGTGGCTCTGGCTCCCAAAATAAAAAGGTTCGTTCGCCAAGTCGGTTACAGAAAGGGCGTAATGACAAGGCATAGATGAGATGTCCATGGGGCAGGGAGAGAGAGTGGGTAGTAGGTAGGAATGCGAGGATCAATAAGAGACAAAAGATAAAGGGCCAATTTGTCTCCATGATAGGTCGCATAGGCGCTTATTTTAAAAGTCGAAACGAATGATGTACTTCTTGAAGCGGGTCACACACACAAAGACCGTCATCGGCTCATTCCTGTAATGGCAAACGTAGCTGGAAACTCCGTTAGGTGGGTGGGGGTGGATTCTTAAAGCAGCCCGAGACTAAAAGCTTCAGAACCTCTTTCTTTTCCTTCGATCCTCCGCTTCTCTATTTGCATGCTCTTTTAGATTTGTTTGCATTGCCATCTGCAATTCTAGTATTGGGCTTTTTCATCCATATCCTCCTCTCTTATCTTCTTCTTCTTCTTCTTCCCTTTATCTTCATTGACCACCCAATAAAAAGAAACTCCCCACTCTTTTCCCCACTCCCAGCGTGTTATGAATGTCGTCCCGTCTCACCCTTAAAGATCTGTTCGCCAACATGCCATCCAAAGCAGAGTCGCTTCTGAGCCAACTGACGCCCGAACAGATTCTCTTAATCGAAGATACCATCTCAAGAATCAAACGCAGAAAAACCGACCACGACAGTAATGACAATGACCTCACGAAGAAAAACATCACAAACAACAACAGCACCACCACCACGACACACAAGACTGATGAATCCAACAAGAAGACAACCACAACCACAACGAACAATGTAATGACTAATGATCACGAAAACTCAAGCACTGCCACTGCCACTGCCACTGCCACTGCAATCGCGAATGCACTGGCGTCTGCCATGACCACAGCAGCCTTACAACAAGCATCCTCGCCCTCGACAGCTGCTGCTGCTGCTGCTGCTGCATCGTCACCATCCTCTTCATCCAATGCACCAACAGCAGCGGGCGCTAAAGCTGAGGTCGCTATCGCGCCCACGACCAGACAGGAGCCGGTGGCAGAGATGCGCGATGGCGTTGAATGGGTCTCGTTTGTGTACTCGCATAATCGGACGCTCAAGCGTTACAACATCCGCACGGATATCCATACGGTCGATCTTGAAACGGTTGACCCAAAGTTTAAAGAAGACAACTGTGTAAGTACACAACGACCGAAAAAAAAAAAAAAAAAAAAAATATTTCTCCGACACGTGCACTCTCTCCGGACGATCCGATCCCGAAAGTCACAAGCCAGCGGCTAAAGCTTTATTCGCCCAAGCTGGGCAATTACCCCGCGTTGAGGCGGAGTGCACTTTTTTTGGGTTTGGAGTGCGAGGGAGCTTTTGTGCAACGGGGCCGGTTTCGTTCTTTTTGTTCTATGGAAACCAAAGAAAAACTTTTTCACTCATTTTCTATTGTTTGGCGGGGCCTGTCTAACTTTTTCCACTGCTCAATAGGTTTATCCTCGAGCCAACCTCCCCAAGGAAACCTACCGCGGCAACCGCTGGGCCTATGAAACTGAGTGCAATATACTGGGATGGAAACTGGCCTGGTTGAATGCTGGCGAGATTGCAGGCAAACGCGGTCTGATCCAACGCGCGGTCGACTCGTATCGCAACCGCTACCCAAGCATGCGCTCCCGACGCGTGGCTCGACAAGAAAAGCTGCTCAAGGGCACACTGCGCAAACGCAAGAATCGCGAGGACGAGCCTTTCTCCTCGGAGTCTACTGGCACGGTGAAACAACATCAACAACAAGCATCATCAACAACATCAGCTGGGCAACAACAAGCAGGAGCTCCGCTTTCGACACTGGCAGCGGCGATCGTCAAGCCGGCAAACCATCCAAAAACATTGGTGATAGAGGATGGCGGTGTGCGTCTGCGAATCAAAATCAATGTGGAAGGAATGGATTTGGGAGAGATTCCATACGAGTTTCGCAGAGCCAATTGCGTGTTCCCGCGAGCCATGATTGTCAGTCAGCCTGCTGCACAGACGACTACCCGATGGTTGGAGGAGTCGCTCTGCAACGAATTGGGATGGAAATTGGTAACGTATCCGGATGCTGAGAGGGACAGGACGTTTGCATACTACAAAGCTCATGGAAAGGCTAAATGGTTCTTTTCGCACGGGGTCAATAATAGGCTTGGTTGAACCAGCGACATTTGGCGGGTAGAAAGAACCTGTTGCAACGAGCGCTTGATACATACCGTACGCGCTACATGCCTGCGCTTCATCCGCGCAAGAATTCAAGACGTGCACCATCCGTCCCTGTGCCGCAAGCTCCGCTTATGCAGGCCACACTCAAAGTTCCGACCACGCCTACGACTTTTACACCACTCACTGCATCTGCACTCTCAGCACAAAATGCATGGTATGCACAGCAAGATCAGCACAGCCAACAAGCACAACAAGCACAACAACAACAACAACAACAACAACAATCCACAGCAGCTGTCACCGGATACTGCAAGGTACCCTCCGCCGAGTCATGCACAAGCGGCACAACAGCATCATTAGACTTTGGAGATTGCTTCTCGCTGGCCGACGAACCAACTTCCGACGACGATGCGATGGTAGAACAAGACGAAGATACAATCATGATCACGCCTCCGTACTCGCCCAAGATGATGAGTACCAAAGAATGCTGCGAAGCCAGCACCAACAATCGCTCTACACCCTGCTCCTGCGGTGACGAGTCAAGCACCACCATCAGCAGCTCGTCCGCATGTACCCCAAGTCCACCTGCATTTTCTACATTCTTTGGAACGCTGCCAGACGACTTTGACGTCGATCACTTTGATTCCTTCATGCTCCCTCCTGCAGGCGACATGTCCCTGTTTGCCGACAAGTCGGATTCCTCTATGCCCAAGAAACCCACAACGACGACGACGACGACCACCACCACCACCACCACCACCCTTCCGACGCCCGACTTCAAGACGTATGACGCCATCACCATTCTTTCCTCTCCTTCGTTACCGTCCAGTGCAGTCCAGCAGGATGACCTTATTGTGAAGATGGAGGAGGACGAGCTCCTACTACCCTCCGACTTTACCATGTCAGCAGCAGATTGTGGGGCAGGTCAACTCTTTGATCTGTTTTAATCCCATCTTTATTATTTTTCTTCCTTCAATGTCCATATTTCTGTTTATTGATTCTATGTGTTTATTTTTTCTTTTTTTCATCTCTTTCTTTTCTCATTGTACATATGCATTCTTTCTTTCGACTCATCCATCTTTCTCCCCAACCAAATTTACCAACTAGAAGTGTATTGGCATCATTCAATTATCAGTAAAAAAAAAGTTCTATGTGTTTCTTAATCTTAATCTGTCCGGACTTTTAAAAAAAAGAATTCGCAATCTCTGCTACACAAACATTCTGGTATCGCATCTCTTATGCTCTTATCTTATTTATTATCACGAGGTTTCTTCTTTATCGTGAAATCTCTCTAACGTATTCCGCCTATACTTCATATGTTAGCAGATGGGGGAGAAAAAAACGGGAGCATATATTGTTTGCTATCTAGTGCTGTTTTTTGCCGTTTAAAAAGCATGCATATGTTTATTTACTGTTCGAAAGAACACGAATCGATGGAGAAAAGGCTCTTTCAAAAAGCTATTAATGGCACGACTAGCAACTAAGATTCTATAACTGTATTTAAAGCCATGCCTGACGTATTCGTGCTTGGTCTCGTATGGTGACCTTGTTTGATTTTATCTTGGTGAAAGGTCAAAAGGGTACCTGCTTGCTGAGTTCTGTACCGAACAATCCTTCTGCTAAAAAAGTAAGCGGAGCTGCCTTGCAGTTGTGAAACATTCAAGCACTGCTTGGAAATGGCACTCAAGACAATGACAGGCAACTTCTTTAAGTTCGAAAACTTCTTTCTCTATAGCTCTTTTGATGAAAGGTGCACAGTAGCAATATCATAAGAGATTAGATGACGTCACAGCGGGGCTGAATTTCTGTGACGTGTTTCTAGCGCGTATTTTCCAGTGTGTGCTCTGCACCTTCACCTGCAAAAAGGTGCTTGCTCTGCACCAAATCAACATCTCACAAAGTATACAGGACAGCAATCAACAGTTGTAGCCCGCAAAACGACAACAAGTATGTATAAAGAGATTTCGTAGCTTTAGCACTTGTTAGCACTTTTGAAATAGAAACAAACGTTAATCATTATGGCATTTACTTTCGTTTTCAAGCATTTACAACTGGCTTTTTTTGCAAAAGAAGCCCGGTTTGCTCGAAACATTGCCATTGAGCTTTGCTTCACACAAGAGCCTTCCGAAAGTCTGGGGTACGACTCAAACTGCCCCTGATCAACAGTAAAAAACGTTAGGTAAGAGACGCAGAACACTTTTGAATGGTTGCTTTCTCTTCAATCTTAATTTCTGGTAAATTCTGATAACGTGTTCTTAATAATTATTATTTTTCTTTCTTTTTCATACTTGCAGGCACGCGATGCTGCTTGGGATCACTTGTTCGCTCCCTTTTACTTTTTCTTTTAGGGCATCTCATGTCAGCAGACTGCCCAAAGTGTGCAGCGAGCGTGCGGGTTTGAGGGTTGGCCGCCTTTGGATCCGCAGTGCATGGCGGGCTGATATGAGCATGCCTAGTGGTCCTAAACCGTAACCGGCTCCAAGTATATGCCCTCTACGAGTATTCAGAGTAAGAGAGGACGAATCCCTACTTGTCCGGCGACCAGTGGCTGCGAAGCCTTTCTTTTTATCTTATTACCAAGAGCTCCAAGTGTGGCTAGTCCTGCATCTCTGACCGTGGCTGGCTGCTCCTGGGGCATTCTTACACCATCAAGGGAACCTTCTGCTGTTTGAGTTACTCGCGTAGTTGTGTACTCCCAAGTGGGTTTGTGGACGCTGGGGAAGGGCTTGCCTCTCAGTTTGAAACTCTCTCTGCTATATTTATCTTTTTGCTACGTTCACCATTTTTCTTCTTTACACCCTCTTCTTCTTCTTTCAACCGTAAAATGGTCCTGAGCAGCGGTGCACCTTCAAGGCGGCGTATTCTGGATTGCGCGGGGTATCGGCTGGTGGATGTACCAATTTTAATAGAGAAAGTAGGATGAGGAGCGAGGAGGGCGGATGTAAGCGAGGGTGTCAAGTCAGACGTAAATTATGCTTAGGTGGATTTTTTTTCTTTGTAGTAACAGGAGGCAGTACTTTGGTCAGTCGATGAGTACTGTACTCTGCATTGGGCCGCCATACTGGCGAACACGGGGCTAACCAAGACTCTGTCACTAAGGTAAGCAGCATGTGTGATGAGTAGTGGATAAGATGCGGGGTAGTGTAGGCCAAACGTATCTCATTTCGTGAAATCAGTAGTGACTGGCTATTCCATTGACCATGTAGGCGCTTTCCGCTGAATGTTTAAAGGCTTTTTAATGAGCAACAAATTACAATCTTGAATTCAGACTTGTGCTTGATGTTTTACTGGGTCTTGGTCCCAATCATACAAGTTTATGTAAACTTTCGATTACTTAAAAGAGTTCTTTTAATTTGAAAACAATGCAAAGTGGGCTATCGTGTCGACCAGGCAAAGTTTCTTCGTTGTTTTGGACGCTGATCCGGTGCTCTGGATTTATCTAACTTTAATGAAAGTCTCCGGCATCATGAAAAGCATGCACTTACGCTACTAATCCTCATATCCTGACTTGTGCAAATTATTACATAGCATGGTCTTGGGCAGATTATAAAAATATGGTGCCAACCGGCCTGGTGTGGTGCAGGTTGAAAGGATTGTTGCTCAAGTGGCTCCATTCTTGGTACAGTCATCTTATATAAGTGCAAACTTCGTATGTATGTCCGGTCAATGAACCAGCCTTGGTCAAATCTAAGTCTAAATGTTTGGACGAGGATGATGGACAAAGATAAACAGAGAAGGTGGTGTAGGTATCTGTTAAACTTATAAAACTGGAGGTTATAGTCTCTCCATATGATATTAGCAATGAACATAAAAGGTGTTAACGAGAGTAACGTCGCCAATGTTTATGTTTAGTAAAAGCAAAGGAACAGTCTTTGTTGTATCTATTATAGAGCCGTCAATGCGGGTCTATCGTTGAGGTAGATAGATCACAATATATGTGCATCGCCAATATCATACCCGCAGAAGAAATAACACGTCCGCATGACAGTTATTCATGTGCAACAACAGCCTCCTGTGACTTACACATCCGCATACCATCACATTTGACACACTTGTTGAGAAGCGCCCTCTATTTTTATTTTTTATTACCACATATAAGTATGGTACGCACAAAGAAACCAGCGGTAGCCACAGTTAGCAGTTCGCAGGCCATTCACTCTTCCTCGGAACACGGTAACTATTCCTCTTACTTTATCAGCATAATCCTTCCGCGCACTCCGATAAAAAAAAAATAACGGAGATACCTCTTTTAAGCGTAATCAATTCTAAAGCACCATTCATGACATTCCTATAGGTAATGACTTTTTGTCACACAATCATTCATCACCATGTGGAGCAGATCAAGACCACGTAAAGTTTTTTATTTTTAATCGAGAGCTTAAGAAATCAAAGTGAGAAAGGTTTTTTTAATACGCGTTAACAGCAGAACCGTCAACAAGGATTTGACACGACGCAAGGAGGAAGTGGAAGGTATAATGTGCTGCTTCAGCTAATATATGCAAAATCAAAACGAAGATTCATTTGTTGTTATCCGCAAAAAAAAGAGTATCTGATCCATGCCAACAGCAACAAGTACTCGAATATCTGCACCGAGAAAGAGAGCGAAAGACGTCAAAGATCAAAGAACTTTTTAACGACTTGACACAGGAGGAAGTAGATGTAATGCTGATGGATTGTGCGTGTAGCGAGGTATTTAACCAAACTATTATTTTGAAGGGGGGCGAGTATTACATTTGGGTGATTGTAATCTTTAACAAAAAAATGTAATAGGACGAAGTGATTAAGCGACTGCAGAATCGACCTGATTATCTTGAAGGGATCCGTCGCATTGTATCAGCAGTTTTGCGACCTTCAAACAGTGTAACACGTAAGTACATCCTTGCAGATACGTTTATTGTAGCTGGACTATTTTTTTCAGTAACTGCAAAAACAATAGCTTAATCGAACATACTTCTTGTGATGCTGTAGCAATGTTAGAAAGCAGGCATTCATCAATAATAGATAGCAGACGCTCATCTATGCCAGCAACACCATCTACTACGCAAGACCAACAGAAGGTGATTGGGAAGCAGCCTGCTGTACAGCAGCAACAGCAGGCAGCTATAGCGAAACAGAAGTTGAAATCACCACAACAGCGCATCAAACCTTCCCCGGCACAGCAAAACCATCAGGAAGCTGCTACAAAGAGTGTATCTCTTATTGCTAGTAGCGGCCCTCATCTCACTACACGTCCGCTCCCTTCTGAGAATACGACCGCGTTTTTCAAGCGTGACTCCAAAAAGTGAGAGGGGACAAAAGAAGTGTTGAAGTTCGTGGGAGAAACCGGGGGACAATAGGTGAAGGATGAAACTAACGATGTTGCTACTTTTTATAATTTTTAGGCGTTCCCGCATGATTGGGAGGCTAGCGCTGGATGATGCATTGCGGCAAATCAAAGAGAGTCCAAATAAGGCCTTTGAAGGCTGGTCCCAAGCGAGAATCAGAGCATTTCGAATGATCGAACAAAATCCCAACAGCTACTACTATCGATTCAATGCGCCAGGCGAAGAGCAAAGGAAAGGTCCTTGGACAGAGGAAGAAAAGCAGCTGTTCTTTAAGAGGTTAGAAGAAGTAGGTCCCAATGGTCAATGGGGGATCTTCTCAACAGCTATTCCTGGTCGTGTAGGTTATCAGGTACGCTTTTACGTGGTGCTTATAACGATTTGATGCCGCACAAAACCATAATATACAAAAAAAATTGGGGAACTCAGTAGTGGTACGAGCTCCTCCTTGTTTTTTCTTCTTTTTTGAGTTAGTGCTCCAATTACTATCGACTACTGATTGAGTCTGGCCAACTGCAAGATCCAAATTATATTGTTGATGATAAGGGAAAGGCCCACTATCTTTTTGATAAGCGTGGATCAGATGGTCGCGTGGAGAAAGCATTTCGGACACATAGCCCGCATGTATTCGACAGCTGCAAGAAAGCCGGCTCTCGTGAGTCGGCAAACAAGAAGAAAAAGGCAAACGACGAAGATGATGGCGACAAGTCTGGCACGTTCAGGATGAATCTACGGTCTTCAGCAAGGCTTGCTGCAAAAGTACACACTCGTAGCAAAACTGTTCCGTAGTGTTTTTTTTTTAATCTCGCAGGTCCCTGCATACTTTTGTAATATGTCTGGCAATAGTCAATATACTGCCTCTTTATGTTTGTTGCTTTTTGTACATTTTGTGTTCGCTATCCTCTGACTAAAGTATATACGCAGGGTATGATAGATGCTACTGGTGTTATTTGGAAGAGGAGCTGACATTGCGTCAATAGGCTTGCCGTGGATCTACGAGCCAATTTCCGGGATGAAGTCATATCAATACAGCTTGAAGCAACAGCCACAGGCCATCTATAATGGTCCTTCAATAAGCATAATGAATGGTTGACAACAGTCGTCTTAAATTATTGCTACGCTGTCTGAATCAATTACAAAACGAGACATGCATTATTCTTGTACTTTCATCGCTGTTGGCTATTTTAATCACAGACAACAATCAGGCAAAAAAAAAGCCCTTTTTTTTTATCGTTTGCAATCGCACATGGCAACCAGCACAGAGGACATTATCAAAACCAAACGCGCTTTGCAAAAGGCTATTGATAATGGAAGTCCACAGGTAAGACTTTTTGTTTCGATTCAACATTTTCTTTTTGTCTTTTATTCTTTTCCATGACACGGTGTTGTTGTTGTTGTTGCAAACATTTAGGGCTCTCCTTCACTCTCTCTCTCTTTCCCCTCTTTGTATGTGTGTGTGGTTGGCTCCTAGCACGCATTGACAGTGGCACGCATGCTTAATGAAAAGGATCCCACCGTGATTCGCGAGAGAGAGTGAGGAATTGAGTTGCTTTGACACCGTGTCAAGGAAACAAACTACTACTGAGGGATCTTTGAATTTTCCGACCGAGTGTCATCGATTTGGCTTTGTTGAGATCCTTTATGTTGGTAGTCCCTCGTAATTTTTTGTTCGCTCAGTTGCTATACCTTTTGTGGAAAATGTCTCATCACTTATCCCGTATCTAAACTTTCTCTTAGGACATTCTCGATATTCTAAACCAATTGGGCAAAGTTACGGCTACCCAGGATATGCTTCGGGTATGATCAAGAAAATAGGTTTTCCGTTGATATATCTTGGGGTTTTGAAAGGGACAGGACATGCTTTCAAATGGAACAGTTAAAAACACGTAAATGTTTCGATTGTAATAATAGAAAACGGACGTTGGCAAAATCTTGGGCAAGTTGAGAACCAATGCCGATGTTGCTATCTCGCAAAAGGCAAAAGATATCGTCAAAAAATGGAAGGATGATGTTGTCTTGGCGACCAAGGCGAAATCAGCCGCCACGAAGCGTAAGTTTTTTGGGTCTTTGGGTTTCTTTCCCCTTTTGTGTTCATAGTTAGATAAGCTTCAAATCAAAGGAGAGAGAGAGAGGCTAATTTGCATTTTGAACTTAGCAGCAGCACCAGCAACTTCTAACAGCACAACCACCTCAACAACGTCGCCATCATCCAACGCTAACTCGCAACGCACGTCCGCAGCGTCATCACCGAAAACACCCACGACGGAATCCGGACCTCCTCGAACAATTAAATCCGACGAGATCAAATTCGAATCCACCGGCAGCGGTCCCAGAGATAAGACCGTTGAGCTAATGTATGGTGCAGTTGCTTTAGGCAGTTATGCAGGTACGTACCTTTTCTAATATACGTGGGTACACGTGTGCGTGCGTGCGTGCGTGCGTGCGTGTGCGTGTCTAAAACCATACTATGTGTCGTTGCACAAAAAAATTAAACAATGGCGGGGTGTGGGGAAACAATCTTTGCAGATTCAGAACTGTTGCTCAAGAGAGCAATGGCAATCGAAAAGGCGGTATTCCATGAATTCCAAGGTGTCAATGACGGTTACAAGAACAAGGTACGATCACTAGCACTCAATCTAAAGAGCAAAAGCAACCCTGGATTGCGGGAAAGCGTCGTCAGTGGCGAATTGCCTGTACACAAGCTGTGCACCATGAGCAAAGAGGACATGGCCTCTGAAGAGTCCAAGGCACGGGACAGAAAGCTGGCGGAAGAGGCACTGTTCAACGCGAGAGGCGCTGGCTCGGCTCAAGCTGAAACGGACATGTTCATGTGTGGCAAGTGCAAAGGTCGGAGGTGCACTTACTTCCAGATGCAGACTCGCAGTGCTGATGAGCCGATGACCACATTTGTCACCTGTGTTTCATGTGGTAACCACTGGAAGGTAAGAAGCCGGGGGTGTCTGTTTGTATGGGTATGCGCGTATATATGCTAGTGTGTGGTTATACTGACTCCAAAACTGTAAATCCTCCACGTAGTTTTGTTGATCCAAGCTTCCAAATTAGTATCGGTTACCCCACGCTTTTTATGTTCTTATTTTTTCATCTTCTTCTTTAAGCATGATGCGCAAACGCTAATAAAAATCACCTCACACATAACAAGTATCACTGATCTGACGGCATGTTTGCTATTGTGCTGCACCTTTCAAATCCTACATCGAACTACAATGTAGGCTCCTTGACGAAGATGGTGGGATCCAGTTTCGTCTTGGACACTGAAGACATTATGATTACCGGTACCTTAACTTAACGGCCATGTTTCACAGTCAATGTCAAGCAAGTACGTGGGTGTGCCATTTTCCATTAAGAGCGGTCACTGTGCCACTACTTTGCCACAAAGACCCACACATACGCTTACACGCGCATAAAGTAGCGCAGATTGTACAATCAATTGTGTGGTTTTGAGGCTCCAAATATGGGTGATGATGGGTAACTTTTATAATCTCAATAGCAATAATAGGCCTATAGTTCAATCAGAAACGCCTTAAAACAAATGTTTGCTAGAAATGACCAAGTTAAACGATCTGTATTGTTGAAACAGAGCACAATACCTCGCACCAATTACTGGCCGTGTTCCTGTATCCTCACCAACAAGAGTTCTGTGGATAGACTTGAGAAGCAGCAAAGAGATACCCTCAAATTCAACAGTTCTTGCGAGAAATTGCGACGATAAATACAGTAGAAGAATAGCACGATGCAGATAAGATTTGGTTCATAGGGTCAAAGCTAAATTACTTCTTCGGCATACATAACAATATAGTGCTTAATAAGAAAAAGGTATTTTATCTATTTTGTCACAGAGTGTATTCAAAGCTCTTTCCGAGTTCGGTATTGTATGATTGAGATGGCGTACTGAAATCAGTCAACAACAGCGACAGCACTTACGATTGCCCCTTTGTGATGTCGCTTATCTGTTTTCAAGATAGTTTATATACAGTATGATCTTACGCAAGCCAGGACAAGTTAGAGAAACATAGAGCGTGTCCGGGACAACCATCGGCGTGCGAAATATATGCTGTTTAGCACTTAATCAAAAGTTGTTTGATGTGTATTTTGTTTAATATGAGACGATGTAGGATATGTGCGGTGGCCGTTAGAAGGGAGGCACATGTAGAGTAAAGGGAACATTATGTTGTAGACACACATAGCTGATTAATTCTTACACCATTGAAAAATTCTCACATGGTACGCTGGTGTCACGGCGCTTTTGCCGACGCTCCATTTTTCAAAAAATTAAATTTGGCAAACGTGCGTAGAATTAGCTTTTTAAAGAATTTATTCGTATGCAAGGGACTTCACTCTTTCCTATCAAACACCTATGTTTAGGATAATAAATCTTCTTTTGCTGTCACGAATAATCGTCAAGTGCTACCGGCTAGATATGGAAAGAATTTGTCATCGTCTCGTATAAAAGAATGGCTGCCAGAATGCGGCAAAGTATATTATAATCATCCATCTCTACTCCAATTTCACTCGAATTCTTTAAAGTCTTTTACTGCTACTTTATCAGCCGCAATGTCTTCCTGTAAGCATATACAAGAGCATCAACCAACGGGTCAAAAGCTTGTAAAGAGTTCATCTGGCTAATCTTTTTTTGTTCATTTTACCCTTCATATTTCATACAACAATATAGCTGAAAGCAACAAGATCATTTTCTACGCTGCTGCCGGTTGCCCCTTTGTTCAACGCGCTGAGATTGCTTTCAAAGAAATCGATCTTGAGCACGAACGTGTAGAGATTGACTTGGCTAACAAGCCATCTTGGTACTAATTTTTGAAGTGCTTTAACTAGATCATTCTGTAACATTCAACTTTGGGCTAATCGTTTATAAATCGTTTTTCTCTTATTATTGTTAAAACAAACCACTATCTATAGGTACAAGAACATCAATCCAGAAACTAAGGTTCCTGCTGTTACAGTTGCTGGCAAGAACATTGCCGAGTCGCTTATCATTATCGAGCTCGCAAACGATTTGAAGTCTGAGAAAGGGTGAAGTTATTTTTTGCCATTTTGTATATGATACAGTGCACATATTATGTAATTGGAATTAATCATTTTATTCCTTATATATATAACAGATTGATGCCCGATGATCCAACGAAGCGGGCTCAAATTCGCTTTGCTATTGAGCATTATTCATCCAAGATCATTTCGACTTGGGCGAATTATATGCGAAATTTCAAAGATGGTGACCGTCAATCATATATTGATACACTCGAAGCTGCATACAGTCGTGTAAGTAAATATATAAAAGATCCTGCAAGTAAAATATAATCATGTCAATTGTATATAATACTGTCTTCAACGATAACTGATACTTACCTACAAAGCTCAACGAGTTGCTACTGGAACAAGCACCTTCTGGTCCTTACTTTCTCGGAACTGAATACTCTCTTGCAGATATTGCCATCGCGCCGTTTGTAGCTCGCATTGCCGCTATCAACTACGCATTCATGGACGGACTTGAGCTTGAGGCTGTGAAGACGCATTCTCGCTTGCAAGAATTCATCAAAGGATGCACAAGCCGTCCTTCATTCCAGGAAACGTACACTGGTGACAATGCTTTTGTTGAAGGAGTCAAGGCTAAATTGGGACTTCAATGAAATCGGTAAATATCAAATAAATGATTGTTCTCTTTTTGCATGGCACCCTATGCATTGGTAGAGTACGTAAAAAAAGTCACTTATCTCCTTCAATATTAGAAACACTAACACACTTTCATTGTGACATCCTACATTATATGTTAGTTGCAGCAGTAAATTGAAATACCTATCACGCAGTCGGTAGTCGGTATACCTTCACAATGATTATCTCAATAAAATGAACGTTACCATATGTTTACGGTTATATATACTGTATAGTAAATAAAGTGATTGAAAACTAGGTAGAAATTAAAAGTACAATTTACCAGTATTGATTATGTAGGTATTGAACTCTGTAAGCTATATGATTATTATAAGCTAGGTGCATCGACCATTGAAAACATATAGCTCTTATCGTTCTTTCCATACCATTAATACCAGTGGATGGGAATAAATTATGGTGACGAGCACGTAGCTGTACGCAGCCCCTACGTTTTGGACGTATACAACAGAGCCGTACCTGCTCAGCGGCACTTAGAGAAACCACATGGTGATGATTCATTATTGCGGTAATTGAGGCAGACAAAGATGCGAAATAAAGGGTGGTCGTAAATACCAAATAAGTTTTGAGGAAAAGTACTCGCTTACAACACTGCCGGCAGTCTAAACACATAATTTGGCAGTGAAGATTAGTAGCTGCTTTATATATACTACGAATTTTCACTGCGGGTTCATAAAACTAAAGAGAAGGTGTATGTAAGTAAAAAAGCTAAATTACGTGTAGAGGAAAAAGAAAGTATGTAAAAAGGAAAACGAAAAACGGATAGCACCCAAACAGGATGTCCGTGAGATTCTTTAAACCGTATTATGATATAGAGAGCAAAACATTGTGGAACCTAACTGATGACCCGATCCTTTGTGTGCAATAATGCATCGCCTAAATTGTAAAGTAAGCTCGAGACGTCACATTGTTTCTTTATTTCCTGGCTACTTTTCTCTATATCGTTGATCCGGTTGAGTCATATTAAGAAGTATTCTTTCTAGAAACTTGAAAACAGAGTCAACGTCAACAGTGTCTGTCAGACACAAACCTTCGGCCCGATGAATTGACCCTGATTCGGTTCTAACAGTGCCGCTCCCTTTTATGAGTATGACTCTTCAGACAACTCAGTTGCTGAAACTCCAGTAACAGGCTTACATTCCACCATGTGCGCTAATTCATGTTTACTGGTGGTCTACTGTTACGATCGAAGGGAAATTAGGAGAGCAGATTAGATAGTAGTAGTTGTTGAATCATGCGCCCATCTTTTGCAAACAATAGTCAAAAAATTAATATATCATATCTGGAAATGTATAAATGAAACTGTTCTTGAGACACATACAACAACCACACTACTACTACTACTGCTACTCTTTGTTACTCTTATTACAATCCTACAGTACCGTTAATATTATGTCTTCATGTCAGTACTACATATCAGATTGCTCAATCCAAGTGGTATCACTCACCATTCTTTGCAGTATATAACTAACTTAACTGTAGCTGAATACAAGATGACTTTTTATACCTCTACCGGCTCCCTTTATGCCCAGCGTCTGTAAATCGCATTTAAAGAAGTTGGTCTCGACGCTGAACGAATCGTAATTGATCTATAAAATAAACCTTCATGTAGGCTTACATACTCTTATAAATTCCGCGCCAATAATAGTCAAATAGTGATCACATTATCTTCTAATTTAACACGAACGGATGATGGCATTGCATATATAGGTACGGAGAAATCGATCCTGATTTGAAGGTTCCTGCTCTAATCATTCAAGAAAAGAAGCTGACAGAATCGTTGGTTCTTGCTGAGCTTTTAAGCGATTAAAAACCAGAAAAAGGATTAGTGGTATTCGAGACCTTACAATGAAAAAAAGAGTTATCAGATGTCGTAAAGAGCGTGGTGTAAATGGAAGTGTGATAGGAGATCGATATTACCAGCTTTGTAACTCCTTGTCTTCTTTCCTTTCAGTTTATTACCTAGCGATCCAGTGAAGCGCGCCCAAATCCGGTTCGTGATAGAGTTTGTCACATCCAAAATTATTGGTCCGTTCAAAGTCCTCATTCAAAGTTTTAAGGAAGAAGTAGGACGCCAAAAGTATATTGAGTCTGCTGGAGCTGCATATAGCCGTGTAAGTTGTTCAGATTACTGCCAATGCTAAATATAATGGGGCCTTATGTGATTAATATGACTTTCTAATATACTTGTGTAATAAATAATAGCTTAACGAGCTGCTACTAGAACAAGCACACTCTGGTCATTATTTCCTTGGATCACAGTACTCACTTGTTGATATCGCAATCGCACCAATCTTGGCTGGCCATATGTCTATTACAGAGGCTTTTATGAATGGGATCGCACTCGAAGCTATGAAAACCGTCCACGTCTTCAAGAATTTTAAAAAGGAATAACCAATAGTCCTACATTCAAAGAGACGTATATTGGCAACGATTATCTCGTGGAGCACTTCCACACAATACTAGGGCTCAAGCCACTCAATTAGTAGCAGCACTAGAAATCCATTATTGAATGTAGTAATAGATTTGACTTTGGCAAAGGAGCACATTCATGTAATACCATCATTCATATACTGCTATATTTATCGAATTTCAGTGGAGTGAATAAAATAAATAGCCATGTTCTGAAGCTATGCATGAAGTATTTTGGTCTTTTATCAGAATGAAGTAATGAGCGGCTTAAAGGGCTCAAACACTCGCTTTGTTTGCTGTTTAAATAGACATGCGACACATGGGTAGCTATAGGAACTAAGCTCCAATAAAATAGTTGGAAGTAGGAAACCGGAAGCCGTCAAGTGCTGTCATAGATATGTAACGCTATATAGTGGGTACGAGTAGTGTAAACAAGCTTATATTATATACATGGTTTTGAAAGTTTTACTAATACACGAGAGGGAAAAGCCAACGGTTATAATGTGAATCAAAAGGTAGCGACTATAACTGCTTATAACTTATTATGATTCACGCGTTTATAACATATACAATTGGAAGGAGTTTACATATGATAGTGACGACTTCCATGTTACGTTACACCAAGGCCGTTTAGGTCCAGCTGCATTAACAAGAAGATTGGATGGAAAGCTAAATCGCTTGCCATCGCTCGCATTATATCAGGGCATGCATCTTGCAGCGATATTCTAAGTACAACAGCTAATTAGTATCTTCTATCATTACTTTGATACATGACTGCAAACGTATTGCTTTTCATATAATGATACAACACTTTGCAAGTTACCCTCATTTCACGTCAGCTCTCTGTAGTCACCAGGTGAAACTTGGTCTAAAGTCAAGGTGCAAATTATAAGACCTGATGTGTTTCTTTACATTTTCAGCAGAAAAGAACTGTCTTTAATACTTGTTACATTCAAATTAGGTTATTATCATGTGTGTAGAAGTGCTTTCTTGGGATTCTCCGAGTACTTCAGATCGCGGTCGGTACTTCTAATTATAATATTATTTGCATCAACAATGATGCGTTTAGATAAATAAAAATCAGCACATAACGAATACATATATTCGACGTGACATTATAATGCTAGTTGTCAAAAACTACCAAATATTTTCGTGGTATTATGAAGAATCATTAGATACAAGACTCAACGATCATGTAATATCGGAGACTCGAAAGAGCAAATATGTTTTTCGGGTGGTTAGCAAAGTGTGGGGCTTGTGCTCCCAAAGCATTATAATCAACATGGAATCCATGACAATGTTATGATGATGCGTAGTGGTGATTATCTTTCACTTGCAGCACATTTTGGGTGGCGCACCGCCCAGCCGTCAACATTAATCACTCGAAGCATCTCACTAATCCGTAATAGAGCACTCTTTGCGTTTTTGTACTTGCTTCAATCGATTATATAATATTTTGGTCTCCAAACAATGGGTATAAGGCACAGAGTGCTTAGGCGCGTGGTCATCAGTGTGTAGAATTTTACATTAAGGTGCGCTCATCTGACGCAGCCTTTTTAGAGTCCCGTTCTCTATGCAAGTGTAGAGCATTCATCAGCGTAGTAGTATGCACATACGTCACATGTAGTTACTCCAAGGTATATGCTTTTATCTCCTTGATTTTTCAACGGTAGAAAATATATCACTTGCATCAGAAGGTGATGACTATGTCCATGGTGGCGAGATACCTCATCATGCACCGTGACTTCATGTCTCTGCCCACTAACAGCTATCCAGAATGGGCGCCATCTAGGGCAGGGCATAAATAACGCTTACATTTCACTTTTTCGCAGATACAGACAACACAGTCGTTCTTCTTTGTGATACTTGAAGCTACATAAACCAGTACCCCTGGGATCTTAGCAAAGATTTATTCGAGGATACATGCTACACCATACAGAGTATGCGCAGAAGAGTTAAAGCGATGTGTCATGGGTGGAAGAGGACCTTGCATCCTGCGTGTGACCCAGCAGTGCAGCGGATACTGAAAAGAAGTTCGGTATGATGCAACAAAGATCAATTATGGAAAAGTCTGCAATAAGGAGTGAGCGAGTACCGGCGAATGCATGATGGGTCCTTTTTGCTTCTTTTCTTCCGTTTCTGGATCTCAACTTTCTTGTACATACCCCATTCAAAGTTGGCTCTTCCTTAATGTCGTCCCCATTGCCTGTCAATGCCAAACATAATTACCGAAATCGCGAAGACACCGAAGGAGAACAGCAGCCTGACGGTGACACGGCTAGCTCGTTCGGTCGGGCCGCATCCATTGCCCGCTTAGGCTCGTCGCCAGTTCCACGCAACGTTCGCAGTGCATCGCCGCCACGAAGTATCAGCTCTGCGCGATCCTATGGGAGCACTGACTTGGAGAACGTCACCACGACGTCCAGTGGTGCATTGTTTCGCCCGCTTTCAACGCCCACATACAACTACGAAGACAACACGGTGTCTGTCGATTTGCCAGAAGATCAAGTAGCTAGGGTGGTGAAACGGCACTTGGTGGAAACGTCACCAGCTGCATCAATCCTGCAAAAAGTGAACACAAACCAGTCGTTAGCAGGCAGTGACGACGCATACTCTTCCGGTGACAGCAACCGGGTCAAGTCAGTTCACCAGTTGCCGGGTGGTGCCATCACGCACGATATTTACAAGTGGGCTGAAGATGCGGATGCAGAACAATCCAGACGCAATCGATCGCAGTCAATGTATATTCCACGCCAGGAGCCATCGGATCCAGCGTTGGCACGTCTCAGGGATCCCGGTGGTTTCCGTCGCCACTTTGTTTATGATCAAGCACAGCGTCGCGGCCAAGAGCCTCCTCACTGGATGACCCGTACCTTCGTCGACTTTCTGGCGCTCTATGGCCATTTTGGGGGAGAAGATTTGAGCGACTCCGATGACGATGAGGAGACTGAGGAGGAGGGAGAGCCGGGAGAACGGACAGGGTTGTTGCGTCGTCGTCGAAGACGGCGTTATGGCGGTGATGACGAGTCGGATGGTGAAGGAGAAGATCGAGCACAGCGCATGATCCGTCGTGCGCAAGAAAATGCCGTTCAGGGCACTGCTAGTCCTGCAAAGGCCGTGTTTTTGTTGCTCAAGGCGTTTGTTGGCACAGGTACGAACAGAACCATCTATACAGTCTTATCAGGGCTACACAATCTCATTATTGCTACGATTCTGTCGCTAACTGATCTTGAAATCATCGCTCTCCCACACCAACAGGCGTCATGTTCCTTCCGAAAGCGTAAGTTCTGTGGTACCGTTTTCTTTCGCTCTTGGGCGTGTTTGTTTCAGAACTTGGAACCTTAACAAACCCTCCTTTGTCGCAACCCTTAGGTTTTACAATGGCGGTATTTTCTTTTCCACAGCCCTCTTGACCGCTATTGCGCTGATCTCGCTGTACAGCTTTTTGCTTCTGGTGGAGACGCGGAATAAGGTGCCGGTATCGTTTGGTGACATTGGAGGTATCTTGTACGGCCGCTTTATGCGGGCTGCTGTCCTCACAGCTATCACGTTTGCACAGGTAAAAAGAATGAAGGGCCCTTAAAAAAAGACAAGTTCACTAATAAGGGGGGGGGGGCATATTAGATCGGATTCGTGTGTGCGTACATGGTGTTTGTCGCACAAAACATCCAAGCATTGGTCGAGGCTCTGTCAAACTGTGACATTCGAGTGCCCCTGCCATACTTGATCCTGGGCCAAGTTGCCATCTTTGTTCCAATTGCCATGATCCGCAAGATCCAGAAGCTATCCTCGTTTGCTCTCATCGCCGATCTCTTTATTCTCATGGGCCTGCTTTACTTGTACTACTACGATTTCTTGGTGCTGGCCACGCACGGCATTGGCCAAGTCGAATGGATCATCAACACAAAGTCTTTCCCCATGTTCATCGGCACCGCTGTGTTCACATATGAGGGTGTTGGCCTCGTTATTCCTATCACCGAGTCCATGAAAGAGCCTGAAAAGTTTGGCCGCGTTCTTTCGTGGACCATGCTGGGCATCACAATGATTTTCCTATCCATCGGCTTCTTTTCCTACATGGCATTCGGCGATAAGGTTCAGACTGTTATTTTGCTCAACATCCCTGCCACGCCCGTTGTCAACACCATCCAGGCCTTGTATTCCATGGCCATTTGCTTGTCCATCCCATTGCAGCTGTTTCCCGCCATTCGTATTGTCGAAAACATTCTCTTCTCACGCTCGGGCAAACACAATCCGGTCGTCAAGTGGGAGAAAAACGGATTCCGTCTGGTAGCTGTGTTGATGTGTGCTTGCATTGCTATTGCTGGCTCGGATGATTTGGATAAGTTTGTATCGCTTGTGGGATCGCTATGTTGTGTGCCATTGTGCTTCATATTCCCGCCGATATTCCATTATAAGGCTATCGCTCGTACCTTTACAGCAAGAGCCATCGATATCGCTATCGTCGTATTTGGTGTCTTGTCTATGACCTATACGACCGGTATAACCATTGCTCTCTGGTCCGCTGGAGGTGAAGAGGCTCCTGTTTCTCGGTGTACACCTAATGGCAACTGAACTCAGATCCTATTCTTCATTATTTACAAAAGATAACTTATAGTATACCTAGGTCACCCTTTTCGGATTCCATGCTTAATCCAAGTATATATTAAAATTTTTACATAGTCATTGATTGTATAATCTAAAAAGACTTTCAACATTGGAAATTAAGGATGAGTAGCTGCTTATAACATAAAGTATTGTCAACTAGATGGTGAGGTATGAGAGAGATGTTTAAAAGAAGGGTATGTAACGAAGTATAAGGAGTAAACTTGCGTGTTGAGGATGATTAAGCTAGTGAACGGAAATAATTGTCAGTGTCTGAAGGGAATACAAGGCAGGAATTGCACTCAGAAGAGTCCGTCCATCGCACGAACCTTAACATTCCCGAATCCTGCTGTCCTCAAGGGCGAGTGGAACACTATCTGCTTGACTCACCTATTCAAAAATCGAGTCCACACTACCTCGCTGCTGATTGCCATTGATGTGGCGCACTACGTTTCGCACAAGTGTCTGTAATTGCTACTGCTATATCTTCCGTATCATCCATGAACTGAACAACCGAAACAATTATTGCCCTTTGTCTGTTGAGTATGAAGAGGGTTTGGTTCATCGATGTAAGCCTAATGGTTTCTCTATTGCCTACCGTCAATCCCGTATTCTGACATACAATCAGTTCTTTATATTCGTTAAACCCCGCAGTTCGCGCGTTCCTCTAGCTTACACAAGATATAAAATGAATGCATCGCAGCTGTTACCATTAGGTAAAAAGAAAACCAAAAGCGCGCTTCACCCTACATAAAAATACTAATTTGAATTCATTTTAGAACTTATTGATAAATGCATTGGATCACAGATCTGGGTGGTCATGAAAACTGAGAAAGAGTTCACAGGCAAATTGCTCGGTTTTGACGATTATGTTAGTAAGTAGATCCGATACAAGGATTTAACTCTATACTTGATTTCGATTTTCTAATCTCTTATTTATTTCTTCTTCCTTAGACATGGTGTTGGAAGACGTGACCGAGTAGTAAGCATTGTGAATAAAGAAGTAGAAAACCAGCAGCTACAGCGCTGACGCTTCATTTGACTGATTTTTTTTTTAATTTCTTTAAACTATGATAATAGCGAAAAAACCAAGGAAGGCTACAGCACCAGCAAGTTGAGCCAGATCTTATTGAACGGCAACAACATATGCGCGGTAAGGAAGATGTTCTTTACTTGCTCGCGTACACATATATATGATGCTAGGATACGTACATGACCGTTTCTACCTTTTTCTTTTCTTTCTACTAGTTGATTCCAGGTGGAGAAGGACCGATTAAGAATTAACAGAGACAAATTGACAAGAGGATCGAAGCTCAACAATACTACAACAACAATTATAATAATAAAGCAACACCATCATGCCACCACCGCCACTATTGCAATAATATACGGCTGTCGTTTATTCTCTCTCAACCATCTGTTATCGAGGGACAGGTTTATTTTGTAAATTCTGGCTTACTACTTTCCATTGCAATGTTGGCTTTGCATAAGTGCTTTTGGTGATGCGCAAAGGAACGTCAAGCTTCATAACGTTGAGTTTGTTCATTATGTCACCAACATCCTCGTTCTCCAGGAGCTTGTTTACCATGTGGCAGAAAATGTAGCCTGTCATGAATGCATCAAAGTGAGACGAGTGCTCTTTTTTCGGTAGTGAACTCGGTTGTGGTAGTGGTGCTTGTTCTTGTGATTTTTCTTCTACTGCTGCTGGTACTGATTCTGCTGGTGCAAGTTCTGGTTGTGGTTGTTGTCCCTTTGTATCTGCGGCGTTTACCTTCTGATCACGGTCCAGTATCCGGTTTAAATCATGAGAACGTTCGCATGCTTGGCCCGCAGGACACCATCCTCGCGCCTAAAACACCAACCCCACGTTCAACCGATTCTTAGTTATAAACTGATATAGAGCCAAAGTAGAAACATATAAAACTTACAGCATATTGGTCACAAATTCCATCATTTTCCTTGTTACTACTGCCGTTATCTTTGCGTTGCCTTTTTTTAGGTCTAGAATCCGCCACTTGATCTGTTTTTTCTGGTAACAATGCATCCTGGACATGGACCTCGTAGCCAGAGCGCTCGTATTTATGATACAGATAAGAGAGAAATGATGTCTGCTCGTATAGAACATGGTTTGCTATATACTTTGTATCATAGATCCCAGCCGGGAAAGCTTCGACCATATCCGCTACGAACCCGGAGAGTTTGGCCGGTATACTTGTGATGAAGCTTTGATAGATGTACATCAAGTCGAGTAGACCGTTGTGCACGATCAAAGGAATACCCTTTGTGCGTAATATGCAGAAGATATCAAACCATAGCTCCCGTAGCCGTCGCTCCTGTTTCTCTTGTTCTTGCTGCTGTTGCTGCTGTCGTTGTTTTTGCTTTGTACTGCCACCTTTCTTTTTGTCTGGCGCAAAGGAATAAGGACCGGGACGAAAAGGAATGCCAATCGAATAATGACGATTGAAATCAAATCCGTTTTCTGCAAGGAACTTTAGGTTGCTTGCGTTGGCTTGGTACGGGTTTTGATTGTTGAGCAAGAATTCAAAGTTATCAAACGCGCGATCCGCCGTGATCGTTGTCAGACCGACGGATAAGATTGAGTGCGATCGCACAATCTGTGCCATGCCATCGTAACGCTGCTCCAGGTTGGTGATCAAGCCGCGTAAATGGCCTGTAAACTCACAGTCAATGGCTATATATTGAGCTTGGCTCACTTTGTCGAGAATGACATTGTATAGTCCAGAAAGATTTTCGTTCGAGACTTCAGTGTACGCAACCATGATATTTGGTCCATGTAGCGGAGGAGAAGAGGGATTTTGGAGAGAGAGGATATTAGAGAAAGAGCTAATGGTTTTGATGATAAAATTCGCCAATACTTTTTTTATTCGTTCTGTTCAATCGCAACAGCTTCTTTTCGGGTTCCCCATCCAGTAACATTCAGAGTGAATAAGGCATACAATTTCATAAAGGCAAAGTAGAAGTTAAATACTAGAAAGCCGGGCAAAGCAAAAACATGTTGTGGATATCGGATAAGATGCGGCGACAGCTTGATGAGACGTGTCAATATCAACCAAACCAGATAGGAGGCGACAATGTTCCATTGTGGTAAATGGTACTGCAAGAAGCATAGCACAACGACGGATACAGGTCCACTGAGTAGTGTAAGTGGGTTGAAAAACTTGTCAATCATGGTGTATGACACAAACGGGTGTGTAGTCCACAAGTAACGTTCTGTGAACAAGGACCGAAAATCCGAGCGCCAAGTATTACGCGTCCATCTTAGTACTTGCATTAAAAAGCGCCAATTATCCTTGAACGTCGACAAAAGCTGGGCCTCTTTGCATACTTGCATGTACGTACGCCATCCATGGGATATCATCCATCGGGTCAAAAACTTGTCATCGCCTGAATTGAGCTTGTACTTGCCACGCCAATAATCGTTAGTAAAGCTGTGAATAAAGCCCGGGTCCTTAAGAATGACGGTGCGGTATGCAGCTGTTCGCCCAGAAATACAGCATACGCCACCGTCAATATGCGTTGACGCGGCGACTTCGATGTTTCGAATTGTCAATCGAAAGCCTGCCAAAATCTCCCATATGGTCTGACGCTTGCCGATGGGTTTGACAATTTGTGAAGTGCCTACACCACCGATCGACTCGTCTTCGAAACATGCCAAAATGTATTGCAACATGGTTGGTTTCCAGATCACATCGTCGTCTGCGAAAACAAGGATATCGGTATTAGTATGTCGGATGCCTTCGACCATTTGATCGCGTTTGCTGGCCTTGGGTACAGAGTAGATTTTGATCTTGTCTGGAGCAATCGTGTTGACCAGTTCTTGAATAGGTTGTCGCATGGTTTCTTCAGTCACGATCAGGATTTCTTTCGGCTTACATGCGAGCCAAGAGTGCGCTGCTTCTCGAAATTCCTCGCCAGCATCAATTGTAGGCACTACAATGGTTACATCTTTTTCGGGATTGTAGATAGGTTTTTCGAGCGGTCGAATGGGTCGGTATAGGCCCCAGGCCACCAATTTGATAAAGAAGATCAGGTATCGGTAGAATCCAATAACGCCTAGCGGCACAAAGATGGGGAAAAAGTCGGCCGTTAGGTACAGCATGATGGTAGTGGCGATGCGATGATGGCTGATATGTGTTTTTTAAACAAAAGAAGAGAGATAGTAGTCATTGCTGCTAACGCTATATATATGACCACTTCAGTTTTGTTCCAGGTACATTCGCTCAGTCTCATTTTGTCTCGGAGTAATAGCCTCTGAACGGCCTGAAGTACTGTCGATCATCGTTGTAAAAAGCACTACTTGTTCGCCTTCGACAATGATAACATAATGGGGTGAACATGTACGAATATTACTAGGGACTCGCATTTTTAGACATTGCAGGGAGGATGGGTGTAACATAAGAGAAAGGGGAGGGGTGTTTCACCGATGCCGCTCGATTTCATCCATGTGTGGGTCTCGCTACTGCGTAGGGCCAATAAAATTTATCGATGATTTAGCAGGGATACAATTTATTAGCCTGTATCCTATAGACAGCGCAGCATACAGAAAACATATGCTTGCATCATGTGTGCATATATAAAACAACTAAAATACTTTTACATGGATTTCCAATACTATGACCGATATTTCGCTTTATGTTGCCCCGGTGAGACATAGTCTTTTAACCCCCAAATTCCCTTTCTAAGCAATCTACAATAAACCATTATCAGACTTTCTCTTTGCGTAAACATTATACAGGGAGGAAAGATAGAACCTTACTTTGCCCTGGACTCTGTCTGCTTTAGTACTTCAAACTGACCCGCATACTGTGCGCCTTTGGCTGTGTATATACTAGCCATTCCTGCCTTGCACATTTCCACAGAAACATTCTTTAGTCGATAAAAAGGTGGATTCCGGACATATGCCATTGCTACCTATTGAGTATAGATATATGTGTAAATAGAAAAAAGAAAAAAAGTAATTTTCACACTGTTCTAACAGATCCATCCATTCTCATCCTTCTCTGGTAAGAGTGCATCCAACATCAGTCTGCCGCGTTGGTTTCTTACCACACGTTGATACTGGTCTCGACTTAATAGTTGGACCTTAACATTACGGTTTAATACCATGGATGTCAAAAACTCTTTTGATTCGGAGGATAGTGGTTGCGCAGGCATGCCAAAATGTGATCCCTTTGTATAACAAATTATCATTAGTATAAGCAGCAGTAGAACAAAGCATATTAATTTCTAATTCGCTCTGTCAGCTAACCTCAGGTGCATCAACACCAGCCAGTCGAATTGGAATTGTTTGGTTTGTCAGTTCTAGTAGTATATATATATGATAAGTAAAGGGACGAGTAGATGCATTTGGTTTATGCAAAAGATACGGCATTGTCCGTTTTCTCCATGCTACCTTTTCGTGTAGTAGGAATTCTTCTTGCCCAACCCCAACCCAGACCGGGCGTATGATATAATCGAAAATTGTCGCTGTCACCCACGGATACGACGCGGCCTCGTATATATTGTTGCGAAGTAAACGCCTCAGGTGGAATGTGCCCGGACGTTGGGAATCGTTTACCAATCACACGTGTATAAATGATGTACGTAATGGGTAGTCCTACACCGAGAACGATTGCTGCGGGTCGCCAGATCGTTTGGACGACTTTGTCCCCCCACGTTGGTTCATGCTCGGGCATGTGTATAAAGAAAAAAGTAGCAAAAGAGCAAGTCGGGGCCGGGTCTCACTCCGAAAGCAACAACAAAATACGTTCTTTGTTCTCTTCATCTTTCTCACTGTCAGTAAATCCGTCAAAGAATAGATTTATTTAGAATCGAAAAGCATGAAATGGACAAGTTGAGAAGAAAAGGCGTTATTTTCCTTGGCTATGGTCTCCTTTCCTCCGCAAGAGTATAAAATTTACACAGTGTATATAATGTGATGCTTGATAACTGGGTCGACCGGAAGATACATGTTGAAGCATTATTGCCACTCGTTATAATCCGACCTGTCTAAGATTAAGTACAGACATAGCAACTACGAACAAAATTAACTAACTAGGCATATTCTTCGCAAGCTGCGCTTTGCCAAGTAGAAAAAGCTCAACCTCTTAGGCACACATTTAAGCAATTTCAAAAAAGTGCATTTTTATTTTGTTACAACATGTACAGTAGATAGCAGTGTATCAAGAGTTATTGTCACTATGATTCATTTAGGCTTTAATGGGCAGATCCGCGCCATCACGCAAGAAGAGAGGGAGGTGCTCAAGTGGAGCATCAACGGTAATCGTTTGACCGCCTTCAACAACCTCGCCAGTCCAAGCATTCGTCCACTTGGCGCCAGCTGGCAAATAGACCTCACGAGAGCGAGCCTTGTATTCCAACACCGGGGCGACCAAAATCGAAGGACCGAACAAGAACTCGTCTTCGACAGACCAGGCCTTGGAATCGCTCTCAAAATCGTAGAACAAGGGGCGCATGGGTGGTGTACCGGCTTTGGCAGCCTTGTCCATTTGCTCCATTACATAAGGGCGAAGACGGTCGCGAATGTGCAAGAAGTTAGCCAAGATGTTGTATGCTTCATCGCCGTAGCTCCAGACTTCGTTTTCAGCGCCCATCTGTGGCTCAGGCATAGGATCGCGGAAGCCATGGAGACGGAACAAGGGGCAGAATGCGCCGTATTGGAACCAACGGACAATCAACTCCTTGAACTCTGCATCATAGATATTGCCCTCGACGAAACCGCCAATGTCTGTGGTCCACCAAGGAATACCGCTCAAGCCCATGTTCAAACCTGCGCGCACTTGGTCAGCAAGTGTCGCGAAGGTCGAAGAAATGTCGCCTGACCAGATGGCCTGACCCCATCGCTGGGAGCCTGCCCAGCCGGAGCGAGAAAGTGAAATGATGTCGCCATCCTCGTGACCCACTTGCTTCATGCCCTTGTAGAATCCCATACCGTGAAGCATAGGACTGATGTTGTAGACCGAGGCGCCGTCACCAATGTGGAAGCGAAGCATCTCAGGTTGTACAGGTTCGATTTCCGGCTCATCCGCATCTACACAGTGTAGTTTCACACGCACACGAATCCCCAAGGTCATTTATCCTGTGAATAAACGCAGATGGCATTTTCTTTCTTCCACCAAATTTGGCGACAAGATGTGAACTTACCGAGCCACCAAATCTTGATACCAAGGTCGTGGTAATTCTTCTGGACCTTCGACCAGATAAAGTCACGGCCTTCAGGGTTGGTGGCATCATAATGGGTAATGTACTTGGCTTCAACAAGAGTTGGGTTGTCATAGAAGCGATGGTGCACATTGGGTCCTCTTGCGTTACGGAGCAACAGGCCGCGGCGTTCCATCTCCTCAAAATTCTCGGAGTCCGGTTGGAGTGTGGGCCAGATAGAAACCATGATTTCTATGTTCAGCTTCTTCAACTCATCTACCATAGCCTTGGGATCAGGGAAATGGACAGGATCGAATTTCCAGTCGCCATGGTGTGTCCAATGGAAATAGTCAATGACAATAATGTCTAGTGGTAAGCCACGCTTCTTGTATTCACGAGCGACTCTCAAGACTTCATCCTGCGACTTGTAACGCAAACGGCATTGCCAGAAACCAGAAGCATAATAAGGAAGGGGAGGTGAGTGACCAGTGGCATCCACATAGTTCGACATGATGTCGGCAACCGAGTCACCAGCTGTAATCCAGTACTATAGAAGAGCCTCATGACGATGAGTAAAGGCCACCCGATATATATCCCCGTACATGTACTCTTTACCTTCTTCCCCATCCTCGACTTCTTTTTCAACTTACATCCATTTGTGGTGACACATCAGCAACCCAACGCGTCATGCCCATACCAAGCTCAACACGACCAACAGCAGGGTTGTTCCACAAGAAACCGTAGCCACGGCTCGACACCAAGAAGGGAATGGTAACATGGGCGTTGCGCTGGCAGAGGTCAATTACACAGCCTTTTTGGTTCAGTTTACCATGGTGGTGCTATTGTAGTTCCGCGGGTTTTTCCAATGACCAAAATGATAAGCCTGTTAGTTATCCCGCGTCTATTGAATTGAGATACATTTCCAGTCACGCTTATAATCTCAATGCATTACTTACCTGGCCAAGGCCATAGAACTTCTCATCATCGTATGCTTGAAAGTTGGCTTCAATTTTGTAGGCATCGCCAGTCAATGGACGGATAACGCGGCCGTTGATCCAAATATGGGGATGCGCTTCACGCACCAGCTCGCGGTCGTTTTTGAGATCCCAAAAGATGATATTGCCTTCCTTCTTGGTCACACGGGCTTCAATGTTACCATTGCGAATGGTGCCGCCAACTTCAGTGATCTTGATCGCATCCTGAGAGGCCTTGAATCCGATTTCTTCCAGACTTAACAATGCGCCAGGCAAATCGTCACGGATATGGCTAGCCTGAGTGATACGGACACGCAAGCTATAGAAAGAAAAGTGGAGCAAAATCAAATAAAAGCCAATTAGTATTTATTGACTAACAACAAAAAAGTTAGTGGAAAAAGCTGCTATTGCATTATAACAATTGCTATTACCTGTTCTTTCCCCAGGGCTCGATTTGAATCTGCTCATGATAGAGACGGTATGTTAAGGTGTTTCCCTGTTGAGCCACGATACCTTCGTTGTTGTTAAAGTATTCAAGCTGCAATTTGCCCATTATGAAAGTGTATACTCCTGTAAGCGAGCTTGTAGTCGATAAAGATAGAAGATGGAAAAAAACGCGGGAAAATCCATCAGCGCTTAAAGTATTTAAAAGTTAAGAAAAACGGTATTACGTCGTGAGAGTATGGTGCGAACAGGGAAGCTGACATTGGTTTTCTTTCTGACTGTCTAGCCCGCTTACCCGTTTCTAACAGGTTGAGCTTATGTAAACCAAGTTGATGTCGAGGGTCGTCTGCTTTGTGGAGCTGAAGGTTACACAGATTACACTGACGGATAGTAGCGGCATGATGATCGGAAAAATATCCGTTTGGAGTGGATATTCGCCGACAAAAGCAATTTATTTCCATCAACCCAAGAGTTACAGAACGAAGGGAAAGTTTGCGTATGTACCCCCACCCTTGATATTTTATTGCAAATAGGTTCTCAATGGGTACTGTGTGAAAGACGTACGGGAACCAAACCAATGGAAGACACGTTGGTACCATCTTGAAAAAAAAATGGAAGGTACTCGCCGTTCAGCGCGGGCCCTTATCCAATAAGAGAAAAAGAACCGTCATTAAATATTCCCATACTTTTGATGACCTAATGAATGTAACAGATGGATTCGATGGGAATATTTGGTATACAGCTTATGTGAGCAAAAGGTTTATACCGGCTCCTCGGTAGACTTCATCACACCACCAACCATTTACGGCCGCTATACGTTCTTCCAATCGATGTTACACCCAGTCCTTCTTACTCGAAATCACCTTTCAACATCTTCCCCGACCATTCCGTCAGAACCTTGCCCCTCCCATCACGAGGAGCCATTGCTACGGTATCAGATCTTTAAAAGGACATGATGGTGTAAATAAAAAATAATTTGTTTATTACATAACATTTGATGTCAAAGTCCAAAAATAAGGAGAAAAAAAGATGACACCAGTGGAAAAAATCCTGTTAAAAAAGTTAAAGTATTACAAAGTATTAAGTGGGGTGTAATTCTGTGGGTAAGACGAAGAGAAAAAAGAGGACATGCTACTTAATGTACGAGGATTTTAGAAGGGTAGCGGGGAGTACAAAGGACTCTTATTATATGATGCTAATATTGTTATTTGTCACCGGACGAAGTGGATCCTGCGGCAGCAGTTTCCACTTTGGCGCTTTCTTCCATTGGAAGGTCGTTTGTAATCTTTTTATCAGCATCACCAAGCGCCTCACTGAGCTCTTCGAGACTACGGCCCTTGGTCTCGGGATAGAAGAAGAAAGTGTACGCAGCAACAAGGTAGTTTGTGGACATGAACACAAAGAAGAACTCGGGTCCAACACTCGGATTGCTTAAAGCGATCGGTGACACTTGCGAAATCCATGTATTGAAAAGCCAGTTGCTGAAATAGAACGATGGTAACTCTGTGAGAGAATGCACTACCTTCGATTATTCTGTTATTATACTTTACCTGGCAGTGGCAGCACTAGCACCCATCGTACGAATCTTCAAGGGGAAGATTTCTGACTGGTAAATCCAAGCGATCGGACTAGAATGTTTGTGTCAGCGAATGAGTACAATAAGCCTAAATAAATTTGACTTGGATTTTTCGGTTATGCTTACCCCCATGACAGTGAGAACACGACGGAGAATATATAGAAGAAACACTGGTTTGGGTGATGTAGTATATAGTGTGAGTCAGCGTGTTACATGATTTAAGTATTTTTGATTTCCATGTTGCTATACTTACAATAATAGCATAATGTGCAGAGCGGTTAGTGGTTTCATAGCCGATGAGATCATTTGCAATTTGCTCATCAGTAGGACCAGGAAAACGTTTGTAAAGAGCGCCAATAAGCATCAACAAGGTACCCATGCCAATGCTACCTAACCACATGAGGCGAACACGACCAACACGGTCGACAATGAAAGTAATCGTAACGAAGTTTGCAACGGGGCCAACCACACTGTAAATGGCATTGACCAGCAGCGACGTATCAGTGTCAAAACCAAGAGCGGTGTAGATCGTAGGTCCGTAACTGATTGTTAATGTTTTAGAAAGTCAATATCAGTCTTTTTCTCCGTTCCTACAATGAACCGTTAATCGTAGCAACAAAGGACTTACTAGTTGGCAATGTTGATACCAGTGAATTGAGCTCCAATTTGACCGCCGCATGCCAAAAGAACTCGCTTGAAGTACTGGGGCTTGATAAGATCCCTTGGATCTCTCGAAACAACTTTCAACTCCCTTTCAACTTCCTCGATGATATCGCTGTATACTTTTTCTTGCTCTTCAGGATCCGCATACAGGCGAGCTACGACTTTACGAGCTTCTTCTTTACGACCAACAGAAATGAGCCATCTGGGAGAGTAAGGCAGGAAGAAAGTACCAAAGAACAAAATCACAGCAGGAGCAATCTGGATACCGACAGGAATTTGCCATTGAGCGTCCGAATCAATGCGATTAGCACCGTACACAACCCTGTAGCAAACGATTAGTCATTGTTTCGTCGTCTTCCTTGCTTATGCCATTGTTGAAAGTCACGAGAATTACCAGGTTGAAACCAGAACACCAAAACCAATAAACTGCTGTGCCAAACCGACAGCAAAACCACGAATATGCGCCGGCGCGATCTCAGCTTGATACAACGGAACAATCATAGAAAGCAAACCGATACCAATACCAATAATCAGTCTATATCAATCAACAAATCATATCAGTTATCCGTACAACTTCTAAAGCACTCCTCAATAGCACTTTAAATATTGATTAGAGACTTCCACAATATAGGTCGAAACATACCTTCCAGCAATAAACATTCCAACGTTGACGGAGGCGGTTTGGATGACACCACCAACAGTAGCAAAGACGCATCCGACCTGAATTGTTCGCTTACGACCCCATTTTGTTGCCAAGCTAGCAGCGACACAGGCACCAAAGAAACAGCCCACGTTAAACAGTGCTAGCAATTATATAACAGCATATGTTAAGTCTATAACTCCACAAGGAGGTAATGGTGATGCAGGAGAAGTAGCTAATATGGAAACAGACTTACCCACAATGGCACCCTGAACAGCGGAGTTTGGGTTATTGTGTGCCGCAAGGAAATGCTCTTGAATAAGAATGCTAATATCAAGATGGAATGATTTAATACTGTGTCCGGGCCTGCTCCTAGCACTTTTGCCAGCCAATATAATGAAGAGATTGCTTCTTACCCGCCAATAATGCCTGAATCGTAGCCGAACAGGAAACTGCCAAGCGCTGCATTTATTTTAAATATCTTAGTACATCATATAGTTACAGCATATAGCATTGTGATGACTATTTTAGGTGGCTAGTATGGTTATAGTACCGGCAAAGGAAGCGCACGTGATGTTATATACGAGACCCATCCGATTAGAGCTTAAAAGACAAGATGGAGTTGTCGACTCTTCAGAGAAACGAATGAAAAAAAAGGGAGTGAGAGAAAAACAGGCTCTTCTTTATAAACGAACAAAAGCAGACATGGCTTATGTGATCCTCTTTCTGCTATCCGGGCGCAAAAGGTGGTGCACCGCGGGGAAATTCTCACTTGTTTTCGATGCGTGATCTTGTCATGTCAAGGTTTACAAAGCAGCAAGTTTACTTTTTACCCAGTCTCCAATTCGACCCTTTGTGGCACCTCTGCTTTGCTTACGTTTTCCGCACTTCTTTCCAAAGTAGCTTCTCCCGCGGCTTCTCATGACAGCAGCAATTTCCCAGGCACACAGATTCCAGCAAGGAAATTGACTTACGGAGATTTTCATTCTCTATATGTCCCATCATTATGGCACGAGAGGTGTAGGAGCTGGCGCGTCACCTATCCGGACCTATCCACTCACGCCCCCTTTCTCGGAAAGGGGGTCGATTGTACTGGTAGTAAACACGAAGGAAACCTTGAGAGAACCGAATTATATAATCGTACAAGGAACATGTAGTTTTTCCCTTGTTTCGCTGATTCCCCGGTTCCGTCTGTAGGAGGCCAGGAAAAAAAAGAATATAAGTCGACCCGAACTTTCGCATTTTTTCTTTCTTCTTCTTTACGCTCTATTTTTTTTGTACTTTATAAAAGAAGAAGACAATGTGGGTGACGAGTGCCATCAAACTTCTTGTATGCGCGGTTACCGTTTCATCCCTGGCTAACGCCAGCCCATTGACAGAAAAACGAGATCCCCATGAGTAAGTTGTTATGGGCGATAATAACCCGATTTGGATGGTCCCGTTTACCTCCGCCCCATTTTTCTTGAAAAGCGTTACTAAAAAGGATAAACAACGAAACCTGCTGTTTGTTGTTATAGCGAAAAGAAGCCTGTCTACTTGGATCCACGTGCAGATATTGAAGACCGTGTCGAAGATCTTTTGGGACGTATGACTTTGGAAGAAAAGATGTATCAATTAATGCAAGGCAACATCGAAAACATGATTGACTCTGATATGCAGCTCAATGCAACTACACTCAGGCCGTGGGGAACCACTTTTGGTAACACACAAAGCGAATTATATAAGCTGCACGACCCTTTCATAGCAATATTACTAATACGCCCTTGTACATTACATACCACTTTAGCTGCAAATATCGCCCGTGAGCCATTGGTCCGCTTGGTCAATGAAACCCAATCATGGATGATCAACGATAATCGTCTTGGTATCCCAACGATCATGCAGTCAGAAGGTACAAATTTGTTTGCGTATTTATCCTTTCTCTTAAACATAAATGTAGCGTTCATAGCATATCCCGCATGGTTTGAATGTTCATTTACGACCCTTCATTTTAGGTGTCCATGGATATATCGATATAAATGCTACCATCTTTGCAACGGGCATGGGAATGGCTTGCTCGTTCAATACCGAACTCATGCACAAGGTGGGCGATATCGTAGGCACCGAAGCCGCAGGCATCGGTATCCACAACATCTTTGGTATGTCAGTTCCTTTTCTATTAATATTTGACCAGCAGTTAAACTTTCCTGTGTTACTGAATAACTTCTGTCAATTAAAATGCTCTCTAGCCCCTGTACTTGATCTTGCAAGAGAACCTCGCTTTGGAAGAATTGAAGAAGGCTATGGTGAAGACACACATTTGACCGGTGAAATGGGCAAAGCCTATGTCGAAGGTTTGCAAGGCGAGCCACGTCCTGGTACACCTAAAACTGCAAAGCACCGCATTGCCGCAATGGTGAAGCATTTTGTTGGTTTCGGCCCGTAAGTTTTGATAAACGTTATCTGCTATTGTATTGTACTTGTCGTATAACGGCTGATATTTATATGATGTACTCTTTCTTTTTAAGATCTATGGGTGGTCTTAACCTTGCCCCTGTTGTCGGTGGTGAACGAGACATGCGAACCATCTATCTTCCCTCCTTCAAGCGAGCCATCATGGATGGTGGAGCATTATCTATCATGACCGCTTACCAGTAAGTTATAATTTATATACTGTACAATGTCTCACACGAAGCAGTATAAAGAAGCATACTGATAACTGTTGATCTATCAGTGCATACGATGGTATCCCCTCAGCGATCGACAAACATCTTAACACTGAGGTCTTGCGTGACGAATGGGGCTTCAGCGGTTTTGTTTCGTCTGACTCTGGAGCTATTGCCAATTTGTGTGATTTGCACTTTGTCTGCGACGGTTCCATCCTTGATCCTCAAGCCGCCATTCTTGCACTGAATGCCGGTAACGATATTGAGATGGGTGGTCGACCTGTAAGTACTCAGTTACTGATCAGATTTAATATGCTATAAGTGATTAGGTACTGATTTACGTCTTTCCCCAATCCTTTTGTATATGTATCATAGATGCATTTTCAAAACATCGTTGAGCAAGTGGAGAAGGTATATACAACATACGTACTATATATTTGCATAGGATTAAAGCTTACCAACCCTTTTTTTCTTGCTGTTAATTATAGGGCAACCTCAATATTGATGTCGTCGATGAATCCGTCCGCCGCACCTTGCGTGTCAAGTTCTTGCTCGGCTTGTTTGAAGTTCCCTATGGTTCGGCCGACTACGCTGACAACATTCATACTGATGAGCATGTTGATATTGCCCAACAAATGGATGAAGAATCGATTGTCCTTCTCGAGAACGATGGTACACTTCCACTTGAAGAAGACTCCCTCGATTCGGTTGCCATCATTGGTCCTCAAGCTGCTGTCATGCAATACGGTGTCTATGTTCCTCACGGCGTTTTCGAGCGCGGTGTGACTCCTTTGGACGGTATCAACAGCCTTGTCGGCGATAAGGTCGAAGTCAACTATGCTGAAGGTTGCAAACTCTGGTCACTTGATGAAAGCGGCTTTGAAGAGGCCGTGGAAGCTGCAGAGAAATCTGATGTCGCTGTCGTAATGGTCGGCACATGGACCCGCGATCAACTTGAGCTCTGGCAAGGCTTCAATGCCACAACTGGTGAACACGTCGATCAGAATGACTTGGGTCTTGTCGGCGCTCAAATGAACCTTGTCAAAGCCATCCAAGCAACTGGAAAACCTACTGTCGTCGTCTTCATAACTGGTAAACCCACAGCTGAGCCATGGATCAAAGAAAATGTCAATGCGATTGTCAACGCCTTCTACCTCGGAGAAACTGGCGGCACTGCTCTTGCCAATGTTCTATTTGGAAAGGTTAACCCAAGTGGTAAACTCTCTGTTTCATTCCCAACTTACGTCGGAAGCTTGCCTGCCTACTACAACTTCCCCAAGAGTGGCCGACCTATCAACCCTGGCATGATCCATGAGAACGGTACCATGCAATTTGGCTGGCAATACACTTTGGGCACACCTGAGCCACTCTGGTACTTTGGTCACGGTAAATCATATACTACCTTTGAATACAAGAGCATGGAGCTATCCAAGTCCAAGATTCGTCAGAACGAAAAGAAAGACATCATTGTTTCGGTAAGTAATAAAAATGAAGGCGATTTCGTTTTTCACTGTCGCATATATCTAAACCTTCATAATTCTTCTCCTTGCGAATTTAGGTTACTGTTGAGAACACTGGCGACCGTGACGGAAAGGAAATCGTTCAGGTTTATGTCGACGATGTGATTGCAACTGTCGTTGTGCCAAACAAGTCCCTTCGCGGCTTTGCCAAGGTTGATATCCCCGCTGGTGAAACAAGAACAGTCGATATACCCATTAGACTTGAAGAATTGGAAGTCTGGACCATGGAAAACAAATTTGTTCTTGAGAAGGGCGACTTTGTTCTGTATGTTGGTGGAAGCTATGCTGAGCCTAGCTTGAATGCGACATTGACTGTTGTCTAAGAAGATATCCTGAAGCCTTTGATTTAATCTTACATATTCAATAAATTCTCACTCTGTAATTCTCAATAAATACGCAAAAGTGCTTCGCTCGGTTGATGTGTTTTTTGACACAACCCATATCATCACGCATGTCGAGTTACCTATGAGAGAATAGAGCTACATACAACATAGTATAAGTGGGCAAATTGCTGGCCTACAACAACGATTGTGTTTATATCAATATGTCAGAGGACACATTTGTTGCAATGGTAACGGCGATTGTTAGCCACGCGTATGTAACACAGTGCCGTCACCCAGTAAGTAGGGATTGCTACGAGTGTCATAAGTACTCTTTATAGAGCTACAAATTCCTTACGCGTCCACCGCCATCAATTTGCTACAACCTCAAGCCCATGAAATATATTGTCCCACCCAGTTTTCAAAAATCCGAGGCATTAACACATAACATTTTTGCCAAAAGTCTGATGTGGCAGCTTAAGCTCTCCTCAACGTTATAAAAGTCCTCAAAAACTATTATTTGAAACAAAGCCAATGGCGAAATTTTACATAATTGCCGAAGAGGGAAATGAGAGAAGCAGCGTTTTATGCAGTACGCATCGGACACTGTCATCATCTCCAGGGTAGCACTAACGGGACCACTCAACCGGCAGCTGATAGCATAATTTTAGACAGACGCATCCGTTTTGGTATATAGGGCGCTTTCATATTTCGCGTTTCGTGTATGCACAACCTGAAATTGGGAGAAAGACGGGAGCAATTATAAGTTTAGAAATAGTTTGATGGAAGTGGCAGAGTACGTCGTGACGAAAGTGGTTGCAATAGAAGAAAGGCAGCGAGGTGCTTGTTAATTCATATATCATGCGTTGCGTTTCCACAAAGCGAGCTTGCTGTAAACAGCTCACATCAGAAAGCGACATTGATCGGAAATATTTCCTTTTGGAATTGAAGTTGACACTGACCAACAAAACTGCAGATTGCGGGGTAAACGGTTCAGTAACCAGTGGCTTTCAAAATCTGCCAAAAACGGTCAGCGTGTGAATAAAATACTTTTAAAAGGGTAAGCTGATAATATCCTGAGCTCTGAATAAACAACACTATGACAATAACGTAATGTTTTAAAACATCCAGCGCTTGTCCTCTCCGACAGGATCTCACAACACTGGCCGTCATGTTTATTTCCCAATTGTGATACCTATGTCCTCTGTTTTTTTCAATATCATACGAGCTTAATGGGACAAATCGGTACATAGATCTGTATACGACATATGATAAGGTATTGACCGGGTCCGGCTTTCTTGTTCATCATAGTCAATGTTACATGTTCGCCCCCCGTCCAGTATTACTCCTTCAGCAGCATCTCTTACAGCATCTTCCCGAAATAACCGTACAGCCCTCTCCCACCCAACAATTATGAGCAATCCAACAGTTAAGCTAGTACAAAGCTGCTTATAATAAAAATAAAAGTATCGTAGTAGTATAGATTTTCTTTGTACATGACACAAGTCAGAGTGCTGATATTTTATAGGGGAAAATAAAAGTACGTAATGCTACTGTTGCAAAACTTAGAAAACGAGTTATATAGTAATAAATACGTAATTTTTCATGTCCCATTAAACCTGCTATATCTTTAGGTACAGTATGAATACGGCTTGTTTATTAATGAATCGTAGCTTGACGGATAACGTGTGGCTGTTGTGACTTCAAGGACCTCTTGCATTTCTAATTGACCCAGAAAATTTCGTCTACACTATTCAACATTTTTTTTGTACAGTATGAGCCGGGTGGAGGCGGAAATTTTATTGGTTGGTCACACGTTCAAGGAATTGGCGTGCCAAAATGAAACGAATAAATGAAGCAACAAGAGCAAAGAAAAGAAGTACGAAACAAGATATGAGATTTTAATCATCCACATGAATCTGAGGATGTAGTTGGTGGTAGCCCAAAAGGTAGCCTATTGGCTGATCGAAATGTTGTTGCTGGCAGTGTTGTCGATAGCGCCTAGTATTGGTGAGTTGGTCGACGATGGAACTGAGCGCTTGCCACAAAGGGAAGCCATCCATTGTGCCGAAAGTGTTGTCGTGGCCACCGAGGGCATGATATCCCGGAAGACAAAGACGAGCAAAGAATGGTTTCAAGCGCATGGCTCATCGATAACGGCGGTGAGAAAGCGGCGAAGAACCCCGGGGTGAGCAATGCTGCCATCTGTTGGCAAACGTGGCCGCAAATAGCCCAAAGCGTTGTCAAAGACATAAACATCGTTCGCAATCATGGTGCTGAGAGTGGGCGAGCGAAGAAGCGATGCAGTGTCTTGATCCGGTGCTGCAGTCCAAATGGCGGTGGTGGGCAAACGTAGAGCTACAGCTGGTGGAATTTGTATACTCGAAGAGTCGAAATTCAGGTAGTCAAAGGCTTAAAAAAAGATGGACGCAAATAAAGACAGAGAAGACTTGAAATACCTAAAACATGTGGGCGCCATAATCAAGTAGTGATTTGGAAATGACGGATTCAAAGCAAGCATGTGGTAAATCAAGTATGATTTAGCCAGGCTGGGTGCCAGATCACTGGTGTATGGATACGCCAGAATAGGACGAAGCCAATCGTCTATTCAACAGCCACACTTATCACTATAGTCAACCGAATGAAGCCAATAATGGAAGCCACTCTTGATGTTATGGTTGAAACAAGACAAGTCATTATATAGCCAGCGTTCAGCGAGTCAATACTAACGAGTTTTATGTAGCCCATACCATCACCATCAGGTGCTGATTAAGAGGAGTAGACTAAAGCGATCATAAAAACTTTTTTATCCATCCGCTTTTTTTTTAAATTGCATTGTTCGGCAGCCATTTGACCGTAAGATCCGTTACCGACAACTCGCCCGAACTTGCCATCCTGATAGCACTTATTTACTTTCTGATAACAAGTATGTTGAAATCGAACTGACAGTTCTCGAAAAACTCAATGAGAGAGTGCTTTTGGTGTGTTTGTGCCATAGTAATTCGTCTTTTAAAATGTTCAAAACTAATGGTTGGTCGAGACGTAATCAAGCATCGCGCGCGGCAAACCACATCCCTTTTAATATCCATCACCTCCCTCCCTTTTTTCCCTTTTGTAATAATTGCCACATTGTCATCAAAGACACAACAAAAAGCTACCAATCACGTGCTTACAGCAACACAAAGTATATATACCAAACCTTCTAGCATCAGCAAAATACGCGGTTGCACACCATGTAAGACGGCAACAAACGACAACCAAGCAGCCGCCACCAAACAAGCAAAGCATCCCACATCGCGACAACACAAGAGCATCCCACCATGCTTCTTGAAGAAGCATACCACAATATTATATAAAAATATCACATCATCTACATATTACCAGACAAATAACTAGCAGTTTCTCCCCTCTCCCGAATATATAAATAAGCATCGTACATCAATAAAAAAGACGGATCATTATTCTAATCTAGTACATATATACAGTAGGCGCTCGCTAAGCCGATCACTTCTAAGCCGATATTCTCGCTAAGCCGATCATTTTTCATAAATTACCGACCCGGGAAGCAGTGAATATCGAGCTTGCTCGGTAAGCCGATCACCGATCATTTCTCTGTGACATATCGGCTTATATAGACCAATAAAACCACAGTATTTCATATCCTCATATATCTGAGACATGCGGGAGTCGAACAAGCGATCAAAATGTTTACTGTGTATATAGTATTAACAGACGAAGACCCCACTCATTATATCGGGCATCGAATTCGATAAGCCGATCATTCGCTAAGCCGATCACTTTTGGGTCATGACCGAAGTGATCGGCTTAGCGAGCGGCTACTGTACTTATCCAAACTATATTCGATTAGCGCAACTTGGCCCTTACACACGCCAAGTCGCATAACAGTGTGCCATCATCGAGCCCTCTCCCAACATCCACACAACAAGCCGAGCAACCAATAACATCTATCGACTCTACTACAACATCGCGATAGCGAAAAAAAGCATTCAATACCTTGGTATCCCATTCAACCATGACGGAATTGACTCCGATTTGCTTGGAAGAACGAATCACCAAAGCATCAGGTGCCACAGCATTATATAGGTTTTTTCCTTAGTAATGGCTGTTGATTTTTTTCTACTTGGCGCAAATTTTATATATCTGTAATATAAAATCCTGCCAACCTGAAAAAAATTGTTGCGCCAAATAAATATAACCAACCGCCATCTCTAAGGAAAAGACCTGTATAGACGACTTGACATTCATCATATGGTATCGGTCTCTGCTAGCATTAACTAAAATAGCAAATCTTTGTCCGAGCAGTACTTGAACATGGTCTCGCTATCACAGCTTTCTCAACCACATATATTCACAAACTCCAGCAAGTGCAGTAGGGCTCTATTAAAATGGTACATACTCAACCGCAACGCCGACACCATATTACCCACTGTTGTCCTAGTGGTGCTATCCGACCTACCATCCATGCAATTCCACACCTGCGCGCGCTCCAACTAAAGTTCACCGCCTGTCTGCAATTATATCAGTATTTACGTTGGCACGCTCTGTCGAACTATTCTTTCTCTGTGAGAAAAAGGGCTATCAACATTGGCGACGTTTGGCCTCAGACAATCCCTTTCATTAACTTTATATCAAGTTAAACCACGGTGTCAACCTCCCAAAGACCTTGTTCTCTACCTTTCCGCCTTTTCCGGAAATTGCAAACAGCATACTCGCTCCAAGCTGCCGTTGTGACATCACCACTGGCCAATCGGTCAGACTATTGCCCCTAGTCTTTAATAGCTCCCTGATGCTTTCGGGCCACTTTCCGAGCTAAAACCCGACGATATACAACCACAGAGCTGCATTTTAACCATCTATTTTGCTCTGAGGCCAAGCTATTGTGTGGCAGATGGAAAAGAGCCTGGCCGGCTCTGCTCCGTACCCTGCGCGAAATAGACCGTCTCAGCCATCCAGGTGCTAACTATGATGCAACAGATACAGAGTCTGCTCCGGAGGATACCGTTCTCTAGACACACACACCCGCATATACTCTTCCTTACAGCCTACCCTAAAGTGTCATTCTTCTTGTTCTCATTATCCGTTCCATTTTTCTTCCTAATTCTAAAGCGACGAGTGCGTGCAGCGCTGGTGAGAGTCTAAAAAAGATGATTGCATAGCAATCCATATAAGAAATCATATCTATCACGATAGCAATCAGTTAGACAGCATATACTCAAAGGCGTATGAAAAAAAGTCGTTACTGCTATGCGATGATGGTGTACTGTGAAGGAAAGTGAAATGTGTTACTCAGATCGAAACGTTCCATGCACCACTTTTAACGGTTATTCAAATCCTAGTGGACTCGGTTAGCAAAAGAGGTTGGCTATACATGGGCATCAATCAAGTTTCGTCACACATCCCCGCCTTTTTTCTCGTCATTAATCCGCCTCAATTCCACCTCTCTCTTCCGCTTTCCTGTCCACCTCAGGTCCGCCTTTTTCACACGCGTACTTTATGGATGACTTGAGACTTGCGAAGGACGAAGAATATGCTATCATTAATGAGCCGAGGAAAGGAAACACACATTAGTAGAAACTAATAATCTTAGCTATATTTGTACGAGAAAATTCGGTGTATGGGAGAAACAAGGTGTATGGCTTATTGAAATTCCATATGGAATTATCTGATACTTCTTTCTTGGACTACAAATAGTATATATAAGCTTGTTGACCTTCTTTTCTTTTTTCGCTTCATCACATTTTACGATCCTCCAAATCACCAGTCCAAACGATTATGTGGCTAACCAACGCTGTCAAACTAGCTTTATGTGCTTTTGCGCTATCACCCTTAATTGAGGCTCTTCCGACGACAGAAGATGGTAGTAGTGATAAGTATGTATGACCAAAATATGTGTCCGATCCGTCGTTTTATATCAAATATACTAAAAAACGTGTTTGTCAGGCATCCGACTTATTTAGATCCTGATGCTAGCATCAACGACCGCGTCGAAGATCTCATCGGCCGCATGAACGTGGAAGAAAAAATGTGGCAACTGGTTCAGGGCAATATCCAACATGTAATCAACGATGAAATGCAGCTCAATACAAGTGCACTTAAACCATGGGGAACTACTTCAGGTAACAACACTACTGTTACGTTTCGATATGTGTTAGAACGAGTGCCCTTTGTTATTGACAAATCATTATAATCAAACTATGTTCTTTTATAATAGCTGCTTATATGGAACGTGATCCACTAGCCCGACTTATCAACGAAACTCAGTCATGGATGGTGCAGGAAACTCGTCTTAAAGTACCCACGATTATGCAAACAGAAGGTAACATAACTTCAACAATCTCGATACACAGCTATTAGACATCTGGGTTTTATCATCAATATTAATCACCTCTTCGTTGTACAGGTGTGCATGGCTGGGTCGACCCCAATGCAACCATGTTCACCACGGGAATTGGAATGGGGTGTTCATTCAACGTCGATCTTATGCACAAAGTGGGTGATGTCATTGGCACTGAATCTGGTTCTATCGGTATCCATAATCTGTTTGGTATGTCAGTAATATATACATCGCTTCTTCTAGTTTTGTGATATGTACATTTTTGGATGTTAATGAGCCTCGTGAAATTTTCTTTCTAGCCCCTGTACTTGATCTTGCACGGGAGCCTCGCTTCGGACGAATTGAAGAAGGTTATGGTGAAGATCCACATTTGACAGGTGAAATGGGAAAAGCCTATGTCGAAGGTATGCAAGGCGGACCGCGTCCCGGAGCACCCAAAACTGCAAAGCATCGTATTGCTGCGATGGTTAAACACTTTGTTGGTTTCGCCAGGTAATTGAAATCATTGCTACGCCTGTATACCTTTTTAGCGATATTCAACAGAAACCCTGTTACTCTTTCATAGCCCGATGGGTGGAATTAACCAGGCTCCTGTTGAAGCCGGCGAGCGAGATATGAGAACTATTTACCTACCACCCTTTAAACGAGCCATTATAGGCGGTGGTGCTCTGTCCATCATGAGTGCCTACCAGTGAGTATACTCGTACTAAATTTTGTCCTTGCTGACATAGAATCCCAGTACTTTGCTTACATTGTTACTTGTTCTTTTATTAGTTCGTATGATGGTGTACCTTCTATAATCGATAGACATACACTTACCGAAGTGTTGCGAGACGAATGGGGTTTCGAAGGCTTTGTTATCTCTGATTCTATGGCCACTCATCGATTGTGTGCTGCCCAATTCATTTGTGACCCTTCCATTCCGCTTAACCCTGAAGCTGCTATCCTTCCATTGAATGCCGGTAATGATCTCGAACTAGGTAGTGGACCTGTAAGTATATCAAATACTATTCTTCAGGAGTTGAGGAGATAGCGCACTTGTTTCCACATATAAAACTTACACATTCGTTTTAGATGTATTACGAAACTATTGCCGAGCAAGTCGAGAAGGTATGCCATTTCTAGGCAATATTTACTATATACTTTATGCGTATAATGACATCCCCTTGTCCGATCAAACTAAAATTATACATCGTACTTACATAGGGTAATCTCGACATTGAGGTGGTCAATGAGGCGGTTCGTCGACTTTTACGTGTGAAATTTTATCTTGGTTTATTTGAGCTTCCCCATGGAGGTGTGTTCAACTACAATGATTATATCCATACACAAGAGCATATTGATATTGCCCAACAAATGGATGAAGAATCAATTGTCCTTCTCGAGAACGATGGCACACTTCCACTTGATGAAGACTCCCTCGATTCAGTTGCCATTATTGGACCTCAAGCTGCTGTCATGCAATACGGTGTCTATGTCCCTCCAGGCGTTTTCGACCGCGGTGTAACTCCTTTGGACGGTATCAACAGCCTTGTTGGCGATAAGGTCGAAGTCAACTATGCGGAGGGTTGCAAGCTCTGGTCACTTGATGAAAGCGGCTTTGAAGAGGCCGTGGAAGCTGCAGAGAATTCTGATGTCGCTGTCGTAATGGTTGGCACATGGACCCGCGATCAAGCTGAGCTCTGGACTGGCTACAATGCAACAACCGGTGAAAATCGTGATCAAAATGATTTGGGTCTCGTCGGCGCTCAATTGAACCTTGTCAAAGCCATTCAAGCAACTGGAAAACCTACTGTCGTCGTCTTCATTACTGGTAAACCCACGGCTGAGCCATGGATCAAAAATAATGTCAATGCGATTGTCAACGCCTTCTACCTCGGAGAAACTGGCGGTACTGCTCTTGCCAATGTTCTATTTGGAAAGGTCAACCCTAGTGGTAAGCTTTCTATTTCATTCCCCAACTACGTTGGAAGCTTGCCTGCCTTCTACAACTTCCCCAAGACTGGCCGAACTATCAACGCTGGCAAGATCCATGAGAACGGCACCATGGAGTTTGGCCAAGCTTACACGCTGGACACCCCTGAGCCCCTCTGGTACTTTGGTCACGGTAATTCATACACTACCTTTGAGTACAAGAGCGTGGAGCTTTCCAAATCCCAGATTAAACAGAACGAAAAGGAGGACATCATTGTCACTGTAAGTGGAACGACATATTATATTTTCTTCTTTCGCTTTAGCAAGCCCTCTGTATCTCATATCAATCCCGTCTGTGAATTCCAGGTTACTATTGGGAACACTGGTGACCGTGATGGAAAAGAAGTTGTCCAAGTCTATGTTGACGATGTGATTGCATCTGTCGTTGTACCCAACAAGTCTCTTCGCGGTTTCGCCAAAGTTGATATTCCCGCTGGCGAAACGAGAACAGTCGATATAGTCATTAGACTTGAAGAATTGGAAGTCTGGACCATGCAAAACAAGTTTGTCCTGGAGAAGGGTGACTTTGCCCTGTATGTTGGTGGAAGCTATGCTGAGCCTAGCTTGAATGCGACATTGACTGTTGTCTAAAAATACCTAGTGGGTATTTCGAAGTCTGAACAATTTGGCTGAGCTTAAGACCCACCTTGAAACCATTTGCTTTAAAACTTGCGTGACAGATTTTGCAGTTTTCCGAACCCACCTTTTTTTTAGCTATCTTGTCATACCTACGTTCCCTCCTATATAGTCCCTTCTCACCCCCTTTTCTGTTTCCTCGCACGTCTTTCACCAATTCATATTGTGGCATCCGAAGTAGTATGTATCGCCGTTATCGTTTTCTTTATCATTTCATTGTTACTGATTAAAAACCATGTAGCTGCAATAAACTATAAAAAAGAATCGTCACGCATATCAACCTGGAGAAAAATTAAAAATTCCAACTTGCTGTACTTTGGAAAAACGACCACATCAACTGGCTTATATAACTTTGAAACTAATCACACAGAACGAACGCGTCAGATAATTGATATTTCAGCGATGGCTTGATGGACTCCATTATCGTCACTATCGACGGTAGCGCAATTGCAATAGTAATTTCGCAGATCAAGGTGTACCTTTTTAACGCATGTTATTCCACGTCTATATATTCAAGTGTCATATTTTGAGAGACAGGAGCTAGGTTGGTCCCTCAACAACTATACCATACAACTAAGCTTGAATAAAGTATTTTTGTCCCAGGAAAATATTAGCGTAGTATACCTCAAATTGTTACATACTCTTTCTTTCGAGCAGTGTTACCATTATAAATTGAGGGCAGTGGCTGCATATTGATTCAACCTCTCAACTTTGATGCGTCACCATAACCCTTCGTCGGGTATCACTATCCCCCTTACTGGGAGGATAACACTATCAGTAACTTTGACTTGCATGCTACAGCGCACAACGTGATGCACTTGACCAGTACTCACTTTCGTCAAATTCATTACGAAATATGTCAAATTATATCTTTTAAGTATTATCATATAGAACCAGTAGTGGCCATTCCATATCGAAAATGTTACAATTTTATGCTATGTTAATTTGATCCCTATATGTGTTAACCTAATACAGATGGTCTGATATATGTGGACTGAACCTACATTTGAACAACTAAGAGACAAAGACTAGTAGAAAAAGAAGCCAAAGCTTCTCATGGAAAACAACTTTCCAACGTAAGTAGAGCCATTGTAGATTAGTCCGTTCTTATGGTACTGATGCGTCTTTTGCACATATTATGTGTATCTAAATTTATAGAACAGTTCTTAACTTGTAGGCAACAACTCTATTCGCTAATCTATGGATAATTCTATGTATCTTACTCCTCGGTTCTACGACACTTGATTTCTTTTCCCAATTTGTCTATACTGATAAAGAAGTCACGACGTTTGTCGTCCATCTGGCTTGCAGCATCAGTGGTTGATATATAGCTTCCCCGTGCTATCCGTTCGACTTCCTCATATATCAGTTTTCTTCGGCAAAAAAGACCTCAGCTTGGTGGGATTCTTTCTCCATCGCGTGCGGTACGTTTCCTCCAGAAATTGTACTGAAGGCTGCCCTGCAATTCCAATGGTGTACTCGCGCCAGCCATCGGTGACAGTTAGAAGCTTTCTGTTAAGCGTATAGATTTGTGGAGGCGGTGACGGTGATGCCAAAGATGAAGCTTCTATTGGGAGCACATCGCCAGTTGTGGCAGTTTGATGATCAACTTGAAGGATCTCGTTTCTTGCGACGTCAACTTCTGAACTGGGAGCCATATTCGGCGGATTGCGGGAGAGGTACAACGGGTTGGAAAAAATGAAGTCAACAGCTTCTAGAGTACTGGTAGAGCCTTGTTGCTGTGAAGACGATCCAAGAGCCTCAATATCGCTTCTGATCCCACTGATGTCGCTGTTGATGTTGCCGAAGGAAGATCGCAGTAGTTCCGCTAAATGTGGCATAGCACTTTCGATCTGTATGCCTAACGGCTCTTCTTCTTCGCTGGTTCTTGCTAGGTAACGCAACATGTCCAATTCGTACTGTTTGTATAGCGGGTCGTCGAATATGGGTGGGTCCACAAGAAATGGGTCGGATGAAGCTTTTTCAAAAGCACAGAGTCCTAAAGTAATATTATATCAAATATTTAGAGATTTTTTATAACACTATGATATAATAAATAATGACTATGTACCTGAATGAAAACAATTCAAATATTTTAAGAGCTACAAAACGTTTGGACCTGTAAGATCATTTTGGGCAGTCCTCGTCTCGAACTTGTTTTCCGAGTACTCGATATCAGGAAAAACGTTTTGTTGCAAGCTCTGTGGCGGATCGATTTTAGCCCTTGGTAGCCAAAGTGCACCAGCTTTTTTGGCATGGAAACCAAATAAAGCACGAATCGCTGGCTTCGGAAGACTTGTCAAGTAGCATCCGATCATCGTGTCTGAACCCCAACGTCCAGTTCTGCGTTGATCACTGTCAGAAACATCTTGTCCAGCGATCGACCTCAGAGCCCTACCGCGGTTGATATGCGTTATTTTGCTTGATCGAATACCAACAGCTCGGAGCGGTTCTTGATACACATCCTTTGCGTATTGTAAGTGATAGCGTGTATACGGTTGGCACCTTTCGAGACGTGTATGTCGTGCCAATGTCTGCATGATGTGAAATCCGGGAACTCTTCGTTTTCAATATGCCAGCGGCAAAAAAGATGGAATGCTAAAGCTTCGATCGGACAAACTTCTGCATAGCGGTGTCTGATGGCATATCCGTACTCGACTCTTCCATGTTGATTGGTCTTGCCCTTATTCATAGTGATAACCAGAGCAATACACTTGTGCGGGCCTTCATCCTTGAACTCGGTACAGAGCAAATATGGCAGCTGCATAACACGCTTGGTCTCGCATCGACCTAGTATCGCATGGCCGAGCAAAAAATCCAGTCGGTCGCGCAAATAATGAGGCGTATTACGTCCAATTTGATAGCGCGAAACGAGCTTCAACTCATCCAAAGTATATCCGTCGTTAAGTGTGTTGATGCCACGGTCCGCGTATTCTTCTCTTTTACGCACTGCATTTTCCCGGTCGTAATCGCTCAAGAAGTTCTCGACAATCGTTCCTCAGGCTGGTGGGTGCATATTTACAAGGACACTGGCTTGCACAGCTTGTAATACTATAGCTGCTTTGGCATGAGCCTGTAGTGCTTCTTTACCGAAGCACTTGGATTTGCCGCCGTCTGGGAGCTTATCTTTCTTGTTTTTAATATTACTATTGGCCACTATCTCTTTCAAGAAAGCAACAAGTTTGGCTTCAGTGACGATGTTGCCAACTCTAAATCTAGTTTTTTGCACCACGACTTGAAAGAATAAACAAACAAAAATTAGTGTTACTGAGGTTGATATGCTTTCTTTAAATTCTAGCGCTCTACTTACTAATCGACGCACCTTCCAATGCGCCTGCTTCAAGAGATACATGTTTCTTGTGTTTTCTGCCAAGTTCTCGAGATGCCTTGTCATTGCGGATTAGACTTGCTCCTCGAGAAATGCTTTGTTGCGGTCATTGACACTGGCTCGAGTGCTATTAGCAGTGCCTGGTGAATTTAGAGTACATAGGAGTGCTTTAAAACTTTATTGGGCTTCGATTCAACCCGAATTCCCGTTGGCTCCGCCTCGTCCTCTGATGTGGTGTTGACTCCCAAAGCCGCGCTTTTTATCCTCAGTTTATATATAATGAACCAAGATTTACATGCAGCATCGAATTTCGCGTCCGCAGTTCCAAGAGTGCTCTCTCGAGTATTGGTGACAACACCCATTTTGTGTTGGTCTAACTCTACATAGTAGCACGATCATTTTTCCTACAACAAACGCGTCATCTCTTCGTCAATGTTTCCCGTACTTGTGGGCAGCGGAAGCAATTGCAGGAAATTCATGCATCGGGAACTTGCCTTCCCACGAGTCCTGTCAAACTCTTTACTCCTTCCCCTTCATTCTGTATCCATTGATGACACATTAGCAATAGGTTATCAAAAGAAATGGCAGGTATTTGGCTTTAATATGATACTAATATCATGTACAGTTACGACGATAAATTGTGGCGGAATATTGCTTTGAAAATTGCCTAGTCTGAAAAAGACGATGCCAGGTTCCCCTTCACCGTGTCTAGAACTTGTTTCTCGAACAATCGAATCTGAAGCATGCAGTTGGTTCGTGTCCGTTGCGACAGTTCCCTCTTCTTCCTTCCTTCTCAAATAACTGACTATGTTCATCATCGAGCATAGAAAGATTCATGTAGAGCAGAGCCGTGGCTATAGAATGATACCAATATTGAAACATTTCTCGAATAATAAACGACGACACTATAGCTAATAATGTAGAATGGTCAATGAAAAACGATCGTTTTTCTGCTGCACTGTTGACTGAAACATGCATCGTGCTCTTCCTTAGTTTTGGTCTCATCGCCTATGTGCTCGTTTGGCTATTGGACAACAGATAAACCACGCAATTGCCAAGAATCTAATCGATTGTTCCATTCATTCACAACGAATCTTATATAAAAGGTACACGTTCCCACCCATCCATAGTTCTTTGGCCTCTTCTCTTCCGCTCCTTTCTCCTTCTCCTTCCTTCTCGTCATCAACTGTACGTATAACTCTTGGGAAACGGGATTCATTGCATGAACGTGCATGTGGTGGTGTGCATGTCTGTCAAGAAGTATCACGACGACTCACGATCAAATCTCTTGCTTTCTTTCATTTCTATAGCCGTCTCCTCCTCGGCCTCGCCCGCCACTTTTTCTTTATTTTATTTTTCTAAAAACAACAACGTAAATGTTACTGCTATAAAAGAGGAGAGAAGCAAAAGTATACACAGTGTGTGTCAAAGATGATGATGACTGTGGTATTGATTACTCACGATCGAGCCTCTTCTTTTTTTTATAGCTCTCTCTTGCTCTCTCTCTCTCTCTGTACACGACGTTAGTATTCTTTTTTCTATGCCACACGCATGATGCTTTCTCTCTCCATTACCCGCCGCTATCTATCGCGATGTTGTTATTAACGATTCTTCCCGCTACTATATTCAACAGAGGCGCCTGGCCCCAACCGAAAGCCTAGCCCCATGCGCTAGAGTTCCGTTTCGCCACAGCGGACATGGATTTGGTAAGACTTTCACCTTCGTTTATACAGAGTTATTATCCTTTCCTAATGATTATTGTGTGGTGCTCTATGCAGTCTAGCTGTGGCTGTCGCCCCAATGTGGCGTAGTACCTCGTGGGCTGCCCGCCAACTCCAAGTAAAAATAAGTTTTTCATTTTGTTTCGAGGGTTATAGGGAAGAGTGTCTCTTGAAAGAAGGGGAAAAGGATCTTTTAAGTATGATACTGACATGTGTGTTCACTCTGTTTATATTACATTATAGGTGGTACGCCTTTCTTTTTATTATGCTTTGTGGCCTCTTCTTCACCATCATGTGTCATGAAGTAGTATAGAAGATATGATTACTAACTAGAAGTTAATCATCATGTATGTTGCCCGACGTCTGGTCATCCTTTGTTCCATTACTCAATCCGTTGGTGAGTTATTTTTTGAATCCCTTTCACACTGTCCACCGGTTAGCCTACCAACTGGTGTGTACTAATTTGTTCTTTTCCTGTATGTTGGCCTTTCCTTGCCCTCTCATTCTCCCTATTTCGCACACCCTTTTCTTTATCGTCATATATTCTTGTGTACACTCCAAAACTTGTAATTATATCTCTTCATTTTCTAATCCACGTACAATCACCCCTCCTTGTTATATACTCCCATGCAAAAATCATATTTTGTTTCATGTCTTGGATATCAAGACTCAACAATAAAGTACCTAGAAGTCACTGTTTACTAAAGCAATCCTTATCATATAATGCTTTTTAATAATGATTACAAAACTTATCTTGGACTATTGAATACTTATCTCGCAATGATTTACGAGTTAGAATCATGCAACAAGTGCAAGCGCACTAATCGATCTATTCAGAAATAGGAAGAACAACATGTAATGTGTACTATATAAATGTTGGCATTTCTATCCAAAAAGCAGCTGTATTTTATTTATGGTTGTCGGTCACCATATTCAATAATATGTACATTGTTTCATACCAATGCCCAGCAAGTCCTGCTTATAGTGAGTTTGACCAACCACCAGCTAGCTTTTCTCAAAGTAACCAAATCCATATAGGAACCCGTAAGATCGGTACAGTACTTGCTATGGTAGAAGTCAATCTGTTTTATTATAGAATATCTTGCAGATTTTCACTGCGTTTATAACCCTCCATTTCACAGATACGCTAGTAAGGCACTAAAAGTACTACCACTTGCATGTTGCTTAACGCACACAGTGATGCAACATTCTGGCTCTGTTTGTAAGTGCTCGCATTATAGCAGCTCTAGGAATTGTTTTTGTAGCTACTACTGCGTAAACCAGATCTTTTAAAGCGTGCCTATGCACTGACCACAAGGCGTCCTCATCTTCTCCGCTCGCTCTAGATTTAGGAGTGGAGGCTGCTCAATACCCAAACCCCACTTTTTTTGTTCAGCTCTGTCAAAACTTCCATGGATAATTCTGCCAATCGCAAAAAACGCAAACTCCCAAAACGCGGAGCGCTCGAACTAAGAGAATACTCTCCGGACATTGACGTACCAATTCCTGGATCCGAAACGTTTATATCGCCCTCTGCGCTTGATTCCCCCAGTTTCCCGCAATCGCGGAGGCCTGGCAGTCCCATTACGGTAGGCACGCCAACGGGGAGCAAGCGCGATCGACAGTACGCAAAGCCTCTCACTAAGCCAAGCAAAAACTTTGCCGAAAGGCTACAACACGTCACTGATCTTGGCGGATCCGCAGAAGACGAGTTCTTAACGCAGCATTCTATTCTTCCGAAATTTGACAGCGATTCGACTACTACCCCTTCTTCTTCATTCTTCTCCTCTCAAGCCAGTATAAATGATATCCTCGACGAAAACACCAGGCCAGATGCCAATGTCGATGCCAAGGACGAATCTAAATACAGAGTGATTCCACGAAAGGTAAACAACCTTGCCTTTGCCAAAAAGCTTCATGCTGATGTCCAAGTATTGCCTGAAAAAAAGCTGGTGGATACAGCCGTTCAAGTCGTAGTGAAATCATCATTTACCAATCCATGTATACCAATGTCGCTGCTGCTGCCATCATCACCACCAATACCACAATTGAAGGAACCGCTACAAGACTCGCCGAAACCCCCACCGTCACCGACAACATCGGTATCAAGCTGTGAGAATGGTTTGGCGGATCTTGCCGAGATACAACAACAACAACAACAACAACAACAGTTTAAACAGATGCGGCAGCAAGAAATGCAGCAACCCATACCAATACAAGTCTCAACAAGGATCCAAACCAGACTTAGCAAACGGAAAATACGATCAAAGTCATCAAATACCCTGGATGAATTGCGAGCGGTTGGCATGTTGGATTGGATAATCATCGGATTATAGGTACTAACGAAAAGAATTAAAAAAGCAGAGCACCTGTGTGCGCTCGTTGCACCACTAAACGTCCATCAATATTGACTTTTTCCTTTCCGTTGATCAATGGCAGGGAATGTTATGGCTTTGTCCTATCACATGAGACACGATGTACCGCAAATTAAATGACTGAGACGGATTAATAATGGATTTATACAAGGCATCAATAGCTTATCAATTATGTACATAGTAAAAGAAAGAGAAACAATTTACATTTGTAGAAAAGAAAGGAAAGAGAGAGTGTGAATGTGTTCATACGATGTGAGATTAAAGGAGGAGGTTTTTGGGGGGCATGATATGATATGCTGAGAAAGGTATCGTGATAGTAATAAATGGACGGTATGTCTGTTTAGTCGACATAACCATCCGCAAAGTCATTGATCGATGCCCATGCACCTTCCTCAATGGGAGGTGACGCTGCGGCTTCTACACCGACAGCTGGAACTGCCGGAGTGATAGTAATTGCTTCAGGAGGAGAAGCAACAACAACAGCTGGAGGACCACTGGTAGCTGGTTTGCGACCATAACATACAAACCAATTCATATGCGACTGATACTTTTCACACTCCCGCATCATATGTTCGATGGCCGAATCCGTCAACATGGTTGTTTTATTCTCCATTCCTGCGGGTTCCCAATCCGATATTTGGCTTTGCGTGGTGGTGGCCTCCCGAATTTTGGGATCAAGTGACTTTAAAAAGATGTCAAGGTTCTGCGAATGAATTTCACCGAGCTGTCCACCCCAGCCTATTGGAATGGTAGTTTTATCTTGATGGACGTCCACAAAGCCGTCTTGCTTGGAAGACATCATAAGCAGAGTGGACATGTGATGACCAAGATCGAGCTTGATATCATACGATTTCTCGAAGATGTCATACACTATATTTGAAAAAGAGATCATCAGGAAACACCGTAATCAATGGCGCGGAAACGACGAGAGACAGAGAGGGAGATAGATAAGGGCTTACGTTTTTGATTGATCAATGCATCTGTCACAGGGCCAGGTCGCTGGACGCGGTATTCAACATCACGCAGCTCAACATACGCTCCAGGTTTCAGCACCCGCATGGTTTCTCCCAGCATTTTAAGCACTTGTTCTTGTGTCATCGATGCAAGCATCAAGCGTACGTGTAAGAAATCAATGCTGTTGTCCGGATACGGAAGGCCATCAAGGATGTTCTGCTGTCTAAAGAACGAGTTGCTTGGTTTGATGGTACCAGGAAACATGGGGCAAATATCGACTCCATGGAAATCTGTAGAATCAATTATAGTGCCGCGAGTTGTTTGTTTAATGCACAGAGATAAGGGAAAAGCTAGCCCACCTGCTATCCAAGCTCCCCCCCCCCTTTCCCTCTCTTCCACCACCACAATCACTGTGTTCCGTATTGCTCACCTGTATTTGGAAATTCTGTTGCCATCTCCAGCACCCTACAGACGAATCGTTTCATATAAGGAGGCAACCAAATAATGAATAAAATGTATGCGGTTTTTCCTTGGCTAAAAGATTCATTACACTGAAGATGCCTTACCAAGTTCCCGGCCCGCATCCAACATCAACCACCTGCGGTCGCTTAGTTTTACCATTGCATAATGTTCCCTTTGTTAAAATATCATTGATAGGGGCCACCACATTCCCGTTAAACGCGTATTTGAGCAAGAAATGCTATGCAAGTAGGCCCCCACAAAGTTTCCAGTTAATAAAACATGAAATAACAGCCGACAATCAAAGCGAGAACCGAAAAATTCTTACCAAGATAACTAGGCGATCGGATTCGTCGTCATCGCACACCATTTTGTAGGGTAAACCCGGTGCAGTCATGAATTTGCGTCCTTCCACAGTAGTGTATTCGATTCCCCTCGGTAGTCGATACAGTATATCATCGCTGTCCGAAAATGTTGACGCGTTCGAAGACGAAGTTTGGCTGGGAACGTGGCTGATCGATGACAGTCGCCTGGGATCCTGGCCGGACAGAGAGACTCCTCCATCGCTGCTATTTGGCCGGCTTGATGGTCCCTTGACGTAGTAGGTGGTTGTGCTTACAATATAGTACGGTGCTTTAGGGTTCCCAGACGGCTTTCGAGTGGTTGTTGTCTGCTGGGTAACGATCTGCTGATTCGGATTTTGTGTTGCCAAGGGCTGAGCAGCAGCAGTAGTAATAGTAGTAGTTGCTGTTTTAGCGGTGGCACCATTTTTTTGTTGCGGCGATGCCTTTTTCACAGAGGTTCGCTGTCGCTGGCTATACGTGGGACTAGATGTTTCGCACCAAGTGCTCGTCAGTGAGGGCATATTGCGCGGTGCGTTACTGGTTCTATTGGCCTGCTCAATGAAATTTTGAATGAATGGCGATTTTGATATTCGTCGCCGTGCTTTTGGTGACAAACCAGAAGCGACTGCTTCTGGTACGTCGTCTTGGGATTGTTGATTGCCCATATTATTATTTTTTGTATTTGGTTGTGCAGGAATATGTGTCGTTGCCGATATTGCAAAAAAACAAAAAGCTTCTTCTTTCACTTGATGATCCTGCCGATAAGAGAAAAGAAGAAGGAAGAAAAGAAAGAAGAAAACCAAATGAATGAAGGGAATCCTTTTAAATAGAACCACGTTTTCTTTCTGGCGTTGAAAGAAGATCTGATACATAGACCTGTTTTGTAAAGGCGCGATTTACCCCACTAATAAGAGTGGAAAGCCTGCATTACCTTTGTCAGTAATTGATATAGATCGGCGTCCTTATCTCTCTCTGCGACGAATTATATACTCCGCCTAATCTTATGTACTGTATTATTTTATAAAGGACAACAACCACACAACTTGCATGGGCGGCCCACGAGCTCCGAATTAGGCAAAGCTGTCATCATTGAGCTCTCTTTTGAAAGACGCATAGCATAGATAACAACCTGTAGGGAGTGCAAAGGAAAGAAGCTCGCAGTCAATTGAAGCTGCTACTCCTATAGATAAGAGAAACTTGTGCGAAATTGTTGATTATGATTAGGACGGGAGAAGAGGCAAGCGGGGATGCCATCATAGGCGCGCATAGATGTTCTTGGGGGTAAACCTTCTTTTACTGCATTGGCCATATATCAGTTGTTCGGTTTTGCTTGATTATCTACATGAGAAATCAAGTGCTGCATGCCGCAACAACAACAATAACACCCTCTTACTTGTTGCCTTCCCTCACCCTATTGAATCTCTCCTTTTCTCAATCACTACTCCTCGTTCGTTACAGATCCAGGGTCTCCCTTGATATAAAAACAAGATTACTTGATATTGCTATTAACCACTGTCAAGTGCAGCGAAAAACGCTTTTTCTACAGATATACAGTACCAACCAAGTTTCTTGGTTGGTCGGACGATCGATCAAAGTACTGTAGAAACTGATACGCACGTCATGTGGCTGGTTTGGATAGCGTTATCTGCGTGATTGCTCAGATCATCTCAGTACGCCAGCGCGCATAGCACAAACAATCACCGTGGTGAGATAAGGCATACTAATATGCTTGGTTCTGGCACATGAAAACAATACAACACACAATAATACTTCAGCATCAATATAGAATTCACCCCTTCTCCGTATTATACCACGAGCCCCATTTCGATTCCGTTCTTAACTTTTTGACAACTCTCCCTTTCTTATTTTTGTTAGATCCCCTTTCAAAGGATCACATAGTTTGAGAAAATATACCTATATATACTTTACCGATCGATCTTTAGATTGACCTTAATTGTCTTCCGCGGGAAAGGAGGAGGCGAATCGTACATATAACACAAACATAGATGCAGGGTGGCATTCTTTCTCAATAACGAAGTGAAAATGTGCGCTATCTGTTATACTCCCTTTGGTTTATCTCGAGTAAATGGAATAGCAGCGTGATTCATAAAATATATTATGATAGCCGACAATAGGCATCCTGACACTTTCGTCACTTTTTTTATTATGTTTACCAATTCTAAATGGTAAAAGTATTTTAGATCATCAGCTATAAGTTTCTGATATATACATATATGAGGAGTGGCAGATATGTAGTATGTGAAGCCTAAATGCTTTAAATATAGAAAAGTACTTTTTTTCCCACAACAACTTGCGAAATTACATATCAATCAAATCACTCAATAGTCATCTTAAGTGTAAATGTGTGGATATCATATAATTACGTGGATGCTTTAGACTTTTAAAAACTGAAAGTAATGCAGCACAGGTGTCGCTTCCAAGCAGTAGTTCTTGCGATAAGCTGAATAATGCAGGCTACGATAAGAGCAACAGTAGCTAATTTGTACTTATACATATACCCTGATTCTAAAGCATAGAAAGCCATATCTTCTCAATCATTCTTTGTGTTCGTTGAAGGGAGGAGTCTCCGCACTCTAATAGCTTTAGCCGCAAATGTGCCTACACATCCTAAATCTCAGATTACCGTTTGGGCCTTTTTGAGACCTTACAGAGCCTTGTAAGGTCGTTTAGGTGATTGAAAGGCTACAAATGACAGCAAACAAAAATTGTATCTACGAATCACGTGTTTGGCAATGGGATCGTTCTTCTGATAATTCGATCTATACGATATAACATAATATATGTGTTCGCTAATTGGCATATTAGGCCTTCGAAAAGGAAGTTAGGAGTTGATAAATTGATGGCAAACACGACCCAGGAAAGTATGTAGTAGCCTATGTTGACATAACAATTATCAACGTTTTTTACTTGGTAGTGGTACTCTAGCACTATCACGTTTGTTTGCTTGCAGCATCCCGTGTTTAATGAAATGCATGTGTAGTATATGTGAATAGTATCAGTGGATATGCTAGGTACTAACTAGAAGGGCACGTTTAACAACATGAAGATCCATTGAAATAGTTACAGGTGAAATTTGCACGGATCTACAGCCTTTTTCGTTGTTGCCCATTGTCAGTTTAATATCATTGTTTGTCACATACTTTCATTTGTTTGCGACGATCGTTGCTTCTTGTTGGTCTAAATGATCATTTCGATTGGTGGGGAAGCAGCGGTGGCAACTATCATGTACCACGTGGAACTTAATACTTCCTTTGTATTCGTAACACTTGATTAGTGAAGCTTATTTCTAAAAGCTATTGGCTTTTTATTATACGTAAGACTGGACCAGGACGGATCATAATAGTTAAGAGAAAAGCACCAAAAATAAATGGTGGCAAAAATCACTTTTGCAGTTGACCTTATTGGTACCAAGTGATAAATAGGCATGGAAATGTTAAATCACGGTAGCTAGCAATAGTAAGTAAGTGGTTAGGTAATCAATAAATTACAGTTAAAAAAGAGCTGCAATGCAGAGTGACGACACTAATGCAAAAAGAGTTTTAGTATTCTTTAAGTTCATTTCATATAAGCACAAAAAAAAAAAAAGGAAAAAAAAAGATCGTCGCGAATAAGTCTCCGCAAGAGTAACGAGCGTGACAATGGGGTTCCGCCAAGAACCTACCCACCGGTATCCTAGTCCAGAACCAATACTATATGCTGAGTTTTACAGCTATATGTTCCATTCAAGAAGGGCAAGAAAGCGAACAAAAGCATGAGCACGAATAATGACGTTATAAACGAACTCGCCTTGCACAGAGACGCAAGTCCACTATCTACTATGTAAAGTGATGAATCTAGCTAGGTGAAAAGAACGCGCGCTTGAGAGCGGGGCCACCTTTTTTGTTTCTTAGCCCACTTGGGGCTATTTTTACACCTTCCAACTATTTGGGGCCCAGCTACTTTTGATTTGGAACAGCTTTGACCCACAACCGCACCCCCTTTTCCTTTTTTTTTTCTATATTTTCTTCGGTTAATTTGGTGAGGTCAAAACTATGGAGCCCTCATCTTCCGGATTCAACTATGCTGACTACCCCGTGATTGTGGGCATTGACTTTGGTAACTTGAGCTGCCTTTGCTTGCATTCGTCGTGTAATATAGTTATATTTTTAACCACTTTCTTCCATCTCCTTTATTATTCAAAAAACCAGGTACCACCTTTTCGGGCTGTTGCTACGCATTCGCGCAAAACGAAGAAGTGATCGACATTGTCAAGTGGTATGCTTGTTTTCGCTACGTCCATCTAAAATTATAGTGTATGACTCACTTATTATCATTTAAACGACAAACGTAGGCCAAAGCAAAACAACCATGTGTACCCAAAGGTAAAACAAGAAAACTATATGCACACACACACACACACACACTTGGCTGGCTTTCCCAGCATTATGGGTTTTGGTGAGAATTATTGTCAGTGCTAATTCTGTGATTAATTCTATTCCAAAAGACACCTACATTGTCGCTGTATCGAAAAGGATCAACACAACTTGTGGATTGGGGACATGGTGCACGACGACAGGCCATGAAGCCCAACAGTGTCGACTTTTTGCTTCTGTCCAAGTTCAAACTCTATCTCGACGAACACTTGCAGCAGGAAGCGCTTCCCAACAACCTCCAGGTGATTGATGTTATCGCAGACTATATGGGCGCCTTCCACCAACATGTGTGCACCGAGTTGTTGAAAGGTTTCGCGGGTAATTATGATCAAAGCAAATTCCGTTACGTAAGTTATCCCTTCCGTTTTCATGGCAACCGTTACTATCTTGGCAAAAAAAAACTAACTCACATTGTAATGCGGCAACGACAACAACGACGACGTAGTGTTTGACAGTTCCCGCCATGTGGAGTGACCACGCCAAGGCGGCTATGCGTGAAGCAGCTATTCGTGCAGGCCTTGTACAACGTGGAGACCACCCTGAGCGGCTTATGCTCATTTCCGAACCTGAAGCTGCGGCACTTTACTGTGAGAAAAAATCAGAACAGTTCAATTTGGTCCACGGTCAACGCTTTATGATTTGTGATGCTGGTGGCGGTACGGTCGATTTGATTGTATTTGAGATTGACCAGCAAATGGGTGGAAGGTAAGAACAAAAATAAGAAAACCAAAGAACATTCGTTTGTTAAATTTGAAGAGCCTCACATGACTGACTCTTTCTTTGCTTTCCGCTGGTTAGACGAACTTTGAAGGAAGTGACAAATGGTCATGGTGGTTCGTGTGGTTCAGGATTTTTGGATCTGCGTATGCGAGAATACATTAAGCACAAGTTCTACCACTTTGGCAGCATCAATGACTCGGCTATGGAGCACATCATGGACACATTTGTTAACATCATCAAGGTACTGAAAAGAATTGAAAAAGATGAATTGCTATTATTAGTAGCTCACGCTGTTTATGGTTAGCCCGAATTTGACGGTTACGAAGATCATTTCCTTGACCTTCCAGCATCAATGGGTCTAGGCGACCTGACCGACGAGAGCATCGGTCTCGAGAACGGTTCGTTGTGCCTCCCAGCAAATGAACTGAGAGATCAGGTCTTTGAGCCCGTTATTGACCAGGTTCTACAGCTGATTGAGGGTCAATTGGTGCAATCGCCCAATAACTTGGAGGCTATCTTCCTTGTCGGAGGTTTCGGCCAGTCGAATTACCTGTTCCGTCGAGTGGAAGAAGCGTTTGCCAACCGAGTTGGTATGATCGGTGTCCCTCCAAGAGGTGAATTGGCTGTCGTCCGTGGCGCGGTTTACTTTGGTTTGAATCCCCAAATTGTCACTGAGCGCGTGTCTCGTCGTACCTATGGTGTTGAGACTCGTATGCTGTTCAACAAGGACCTCGATCCGCCGGAATACTCGGTTGTCGGCGTAGATCAAAAGACCTATTGTCGTCAACGCTTCAGCGTCTATGTGCAAAAGGGACAGAGTGTACGAGTGGATGAGTGTGTGTCCAAGAACTTTGTCATCAGCTATCCTAATGATACAGACTCAGGTGAGTTATCTGTTCCTCGATGAATATCAAGTGGCCTTTTACGGAAAGACGCATGTTAACGAATTGGTTAATATGTACTTTTAGATTTGTTTGCCTTTGATGGCGAAGGACCACCCCCTCGTTTAACAACGCACCAACTTATCAAGAAGGTTGGCCATTTCCCTATTCGCATGCCTACGCTTGAAGGAGTGCGACCTGGTGATAAGGTCAACATGACGATTCGAATGTATTTCGGCCTGACAGAAATAAAGATTGAGTGTGTGATCCGCGATAAAACGTTCGTATTCACGTCGTCGTTCGATGCATCGGATGCGTACGGCAGCGTCCAACCACAGAACGAATCGGACTATCCCGGCTCGCAGCAAATGATGCCCCCACCGACGGCGGGCTTGGCACCTCCTAATCCTTACGGTCTGAGCGATCCTAGCGGCAGTCAGGTGTCACTCCACGGCCACCAGTCGTCATACACATATGGCACGAGCATGAGCACGCCAACAATGGTACCTGCTCAGCAGGCTGCGGGATACCCTCAGGCTGGAGGCTACCCACCTACTTCGTCTGTGTATGGCGGCGGGTATCCGCCAGTGCAAGGCGACTATTACCAGCAGCAGCAGCAGCAGCAACAACAACAGCAGCAGCAATACTCGCAAGGCTATCCTCCATCCCAGTCGTACTACTCTGGTTATCCTCCAGCTTCACAAGGCTACCCTCCGCAATCGGGTTCTTCTTACTACGGACAGCATTAAAGTAGAACAAGTAGTAGAAAACGCACCCAAACACTCAAACGCAAACACACGCACATATCGAATATATACACATCTCCGCTATCACATCCAAACTGAACGACAACAAGAACCAACAACAGCCCTTTCTGTCCTCTCTCGCTTCTCCCAAATACACACTACCCCCTTTTCCTTCTTAAACCCTTTTATCACTCAACTACCTGCTCTCTCTCTCTCTCTCTCTTTCTCTTTGTAGTTTATTCTTCTGACCAATTTCATAATAAACAACCTGAACTTTTTTTTCTATTCACTCATTGTGCATGCCGCAGCCTATTGGTTATTAACTCACCACCCTGCATAACATCATTTATATCTCAAATAAGTATCGTCTCTCTCTCTCTCTCTCTCTCTATCTCTCTTTCTTTCTTTCTCTTTTCTTTTACCATTCCTTTTTATTCGCTTTCCAATGGTGCAGGAACTTGGTGACGTCAAAGCAGTGACATGGGCACCGCCATCTGATTCTTCCACTGTTGCCAGTGGCGACGATCTTGCCTTGAAGAAACAACACAGCAAGCATCACGGCGACCGAGTCAAGTCAAAGCGCGCCATTGGCGACTACAATCTCACCTTGACGTTAGGTTCGGGAGGAATGGGTAAAGTCAAGCTGGCGGTGCACCAAAACGATTCGCATAAAAAGGTAACCGCCCTCCCTCTCTTCTGACGTTTCTTGTCCTACCTTGCAAATAAATTAACACAACATAACATGTAGCTTGCCGTCAAAATCATCCGCCGCCGTGGATCAAAGGACGACGATGAGTTCCGTGAAGAACGCACATTACGAGAAGCGAATATCCTGTCTCTACTCCACCATCCGTACATTGTCAACCTGAAAGCACCCATCATCGTGGATGACCACTACTACTACCTTATGATGGAGTATGTGAGTGGCGGCCAGCTATTAGACTACATTATTTCGCATGGGAAGCTTAAGGAGAAGCATGCGAGACGATTCGCACGACAAATTATGAGTGCATTAGGTAAATTGAAAAGAAACGGACACTCTGTTCGGGTCGGTGTGCTAAAAAAACAGGTTAAATTCATGCAGACTATTGTCACCGCAATTCCATTGTTCATCGAGGTAAGCGCCAATAGCCAAAGAAGTAGGAAGGAAAAGGAGACCTTTACTGATGTGAAAATATTAACAAAGATCTGAAAATCGAGAACATTTTGATCTCGCGTACCGGCCACGTCAAAATAATTGATTTCGGCCTGTCCAATTTGTTCTCGCCCGACACACCCCTTTCAACCTTTTGCGGCTCGCTTTACTTTGCTGCCCCTGAACTGCTCAACGGCAAGTCCTACAATGGGCCTGCAGCTGACGTCTGGAGCTTCGGCATCGTGCTATACGTTCTTGTATGCGGCAAGGTCCCCTTTGACGACCAGACCACACAAACTCTGCATGAAAAGATCAAAAAGGGCGCCATAGAATATCCTCCGCACCTGACGTTAGGTTTGTGCACACACACACTGTCTCTCTCTTCCTCCCTCTTTCAATTTCTGCATACAAATATGGCTCAAAAAGGAAAGCCCTGAGCTAATGCATACATGTTAATGATTCGTCGCTGGCGTCATCACGGTCAACTGTACAGAATGCAAAAGCCTGCTAAACAAAGTCTTGGTCACGAACCCTGGTCACCGATCCACGGTATCAGAGATCATGGTTCATCCATGGATGCTGCGCGGATACGACGGGCCTGTTGACAACCATCTGCCGCCCAGACAGCCATTGACCCTGCCTATCGACATGGCCATTGTGCGTCGCATGACAGTGTTTACCAAATTCGGCACCGAGGAAGAAATTAAGGAGCAGTTGGAGAAAATAATCACATCCGAACAGTTCCAAGAGGCAACCCGGTTACGCAACCAGCGCTCTGCATCGCACAGTCGCAATGGCAGCACGAGCAGCACCGGCTCTGGCTTCTTCTCATTGCTGGGCAACAGTAGCAGCAATAGTAACCATGTTTCGTCTTATCCAGTCGCCAAAGACGATCCACAATCCATTCCAGATGCCTACCACCCCTTGGTTTCGGTGTACCACCTTGTCAAGGAACGCATGGAGCGAGAAGATGGTGCCGACAATGTTGTTGTAGAAAATGATTTCAACAACACAAGGCGACCCTCTTACTGTGCTTTACCCCCTGGCGATGCTGCTGTTGCTGCTGCTGCTGCTGCAGCTCATGCGACCAAATTCGAAGAATCGGGTCCTCGCAAACATCATCATCAAAAGAGCGCCAGTTTGGCCAGTGCCACCCTTTTGCCTCCAGCACCGCCACCTGCATTAAAACCAGCAGCACAAAAGCGTAATGGACGTGGGCATAAAAAGGCCAAATCGTACGCTCCAATTATTTCTCCGGCGGATAACGAACCCAAACCTTCGACATCAAGCGAAATCCATCAGCACGTTATTTCTCGGAAGTTGAGCACTTTATTTTCGCGCACCAACCACGCTAATGGCAGCAGTGGAGAGACGAGTACCACCATCAACAACAACAGCAATAACAGTAGCAACAGTAATAGCACCACAACAAACGAAGTGAATGCAGACGAACACGTCCGACCAGTGTTCCTCAAGGGTCTATTTTCCATGACTACCACCTCCACAAAGTCGCCAGCTGTCATCCGCAATGATCTTACCCACGTGCTCAAGGATATGAGCATCGACTGGTGCGAAACCCAAGGCCGGTTTGAATGCACGGAGCAACAACAGTCAGTTTGCTTTGAGATACACATTGTCAAGGTCCCCTGGCTTCTTGGCATGCATGGGCTGCAGTTTCGACGAATCAGTGGCAACTCATGGGAATACAAAAATATTTGTAGTAGCATTTTGACTGCTTTGAAGTTATAATTGAAAAGAAATTAAAACAGTGATAATAATACTATACTATACTATATATATACAATTTTGTTGCCTAATCTTCTGAGGATGCTGACGCTGATGATGATGCTATTTTTCGACGTTTCGTCATGTATTGATCAACCATGGTATTGTGCAAATTGTCTTGTAGCGACTTGACCTTTTTGTGATGTTGATACAGTCGCGAGAGTTCGTCTTCCAGACTAGATACTTTGTTTTGGAGTGCGCTACTCGAGCCAGGTGCCTGGTAATCATATTTCAAATGGATAAGCAACCTCTTTTCATTGATAGTCTATTTCTCTGTCTTACATTTAACTGTTTCACGGCGTTTTCAACAGAATTGACGGATTGTAAGCAAGAAGGAATAGACGAGTAGAGGGGACCTGGTTCCAATATTTGCTGATGACGTTGAAGGTCCTAGATATATAATCATAGAAAATCACGACGATTAGTCTCTCTCCAACATGTGGACTGAAAGAGTGAAAGAGAAGAAAAATGATGACGAACCGATTGGGTATCCGTCATCAACTGGAATGATTCGCTTCGCTGTTCTTCCTCTTCCGTTGCTAGTGTTCGTTTAAAAGTCTTCCATGGCATAGGAATAGATGTGTTGCTGCTGCTGCCAGTGACAAGCTCTGAGGGTCGTAATATACACGAGACATGTGTGATAGGACCCTTATGTGATTTGAATTTGCGTAGAGGCTGTCTGCTAGTGACATCCCAAACTATACAATCTCCATCCTCTGAAGCAGATATTAACAGGCTTCCATCGAACGACAAAGCAAGCGAAGTTACGGTTCCACTACACAAATTTTATCAAATTTTAGTCTTGCATCTTTTTTCTATCATTTAACTACAAAAAAAGAAACACCATACCTATGATCAACAAATACAGGACCTTCTGTTTGGCCATTGGCCTTTTCTCCCGATGCATCTACTGCCTTGATACCGATCGACTCAACCTTGGCCATGCCACCTCCGCTTTCAACAACATCTGCATTGTATGTCTTATCGTGCCTCCGGCGATACAGCTCAACAGGATAAATCTTGTTTTCGCAAGCGACAAACAGCCTTGTTTCTGACGGATCTGCAATTACTGTGGACACTGCTTTTGGGAACAGGAACGTAGTCAACAGTTCGCCCGTAGAAAGATCCCACGCCTTGACTGTATTATCCAAGCTTGACGTATAGACGCGCGCTGTTGCCATGGTGCCTGCGCCAACGTGCATATCGGTCACTGGTAACGTATGATCTGACCATGAAAACAACGGAGCAGGTCGTGCACTGCTCTCCTCCTGGTCATGTTCCAGCAAATTCCCCAACAACCATACATGAACAGTCGCATCCTCACTGGCCGTCAAAAGCGTTGCGTCGTCACCGCTAAACGCCAATTTCGTAATGCGTCGAAAATGGGCCTCGTACACTTTTAAAAGCATTCCGGTTGAAACTTGCCATAAGAATACGCGACCACTCGCTGTACCGCCTGCAACAAGGTGGCCTCGATGCGACGCGGCGACACTGACGAGTTTCTCAGGCATGGGCATCTTGTGCAATACTTGATCACGTTGCCACTGATATACATTGAGAACCGCGCGATCGGTTTGAGCTGTCACGATCGCGCCTGTTTGTAGACCCGCATTGGGTTTTGCAACTGTGGCAAGACATGACTTGTGGCTCATTGACTGTTTGAACGAAAATAATGTAGATCCCGATCGAATGTCCCATACGTAGACGGTCGAGTCGGTGCTGGAAGCTGAAATGGCCACTTCGCTGAACATTTTCGGTGTGGTGTGGAAAGAAAAGACCAAAGTGAATGAGAGCGGGGAGGGGACCTCTTTCACTTACATAACAAGCCACGCACGAAAAATTGTCGGCTCGTCAAGTCGGTGAAACATCAATGTAGCATGAACGCAGCGTTTCTTTCGTCACTTGATGAATTTAATGTTTGGCACTCGATGCCATATACCTGTGAGCAAGACGGTTGACTCATGCTGCACTCTACAGTGATTTCTCTCACTTGTTATAGCTCAATATAGCTTATATCATTCGTACTATGCAATAACATGGTTGCATCTGCAACCTCGAAAACATTTTCAAGACAGACTGCTTTCCGTCGTATATCTGAATGTAGATTTTAACCCACTGTAAGAGTCATATTACAATTATATTCGCACAGTCTTCTTTCTCAAAATCTGAAATCTGAAATAATTACATCCAGTGGAACTGCCTTTAAGTAATATACAACAAAAACATCGTCGCAGCAAATGCAGTTGCCACAAAGGTATTTAGCATTTGCCGGAGCAGGTCATTTCCCTCATCTCTGGTCACAAACAATAACAGCGCGCGTTGTACCGTAGATCACAAACTTGCCTTCGGTTACACCGTTGACCTTTTCTATGTGGGCTCATAACGAGGCAACATCGTTGTGTAGTTTTGGATTCATAGATTGTATGAACAAAGAAAATTAGAGAATATAGTTCATAGTATATACGCAAGATGCCCATTCACTTAGTACTTCCTTCTGATTTTGGATAATGTCTGTAGCATATGAAGGTTCGACCTTACTGCTTCACGTGTCAGATGTTACACACAATCTTCTTTGTTATTAAAGAATTATGGTGCGTTAAAGCCGTTGGACGAAATATATAACTTATGCATTTTCCAGTGTATAAGCTGAAGACTTCTTGATGAATAATACCACGCTGATGGAGAATTGATGCTGAAGTCATGTCATGGCGGGGAAGAATATATATTAAGACACCTGGCAAGAAGTGTCGATTTATTATGATTGTAAACAGCTGGGATATATATACAAATGAAGAACGGAGGTGGGAAACAAAAACTAGAGGATATTATTGGGCAAGCGTACCAGCAAGCAAGAGTTGACCACCGTAATATAAAGGTAAGCCGATCCAAGAATTCCAGACAGACTTGGTGACGAATTCCTGACGAGCCACAAACAGATCAGACAGATAGAACATCAAAGCTCCCATATACTGTTGACGAGGCACTGGAGTGTGTGGGAGACTAGCAGTGGCAGTGACCACCATGCCTGTAATGACCAGCATGTATCCGAGTACAGCCTTACGCATAACAGGGTCCTTGACTTTGGGTAACAGCCAACGGCCTACAATGGTGCCAATTGCGCCTGTACCTGCCAATCCTGCTAATGCATAAGACGCGTCCATACCGTGCACTGTGAATGCATAGACTAACGACAGGTGGCCAACTAAGAAGCTACCGAGGCCAAGCAAGAACCCGGATTTAGGGATCAAGCACACATCGCCGACAGCACCAAGTCCCAAGCCAAGAAGAATGTATTTCGAAAAGACGGGTAATGCTGCTGTGCCCTGGTGGTTGGCCGTTGCTGACAACAAGAAACCAAGTGATGCTAATGGTTTGAAAACCCATACACCTTTGCGAGACTGGTAATATTCGGATGCAAGTAGTAAGGGTAGCGCAGCCGCCGTCAATTTGACGCCCTGGTTGATTGCAAAGGTCTCTTGAATCATTTTCTCCGTTTGGGAAAAGATAAAAGATGAATTTGTGCGAAAACAAAGAAGGAAAGAAGGCAAACAAAAAAAAAGAGAGTTTAGCTTTACATAAGACGAGGCAAGACGCCTGACTATATCCGGACTCTGAAACGGGTGGCAGTAAAACGTTGGAGTGACACAGGGGGGGCGGTATGATAACTCCATACCTTTGCTTTTCACTATTACTATACTCTCAGCGAATGCGCATTCGCGTCAAAGACCTTTGCATCGAGTCACCAGCTTGCAATTGCTTAAAGCTAAAAGTTCAAGTTTGGATCTACTACTGGGATATTTCTCATTTTATTTTCAAAACCTGGCTACGCTTATGATGAAAGCCGTCGTTTTTCAGCACCAGGCTCAATCATACACTACTATTTGAAAGCAGTTTTAAAAGCATTTACAACGGCGGTTTCGATATTAGATAAAACGAGCAGCATCAGCAGCAACAGGAGCAGCAACAAGCATTATAAATTATGTCAGAGATATACGGCAATGTGTGATGGCAAACGACGAAGTGTCTTTAAATTTATTTTCTGTGCCCATATCAACTGATGATATGCAGTTAATTTATACCATCATATTGAAGCAGTGCTGCAACTGCAACCAGTTGCTCTTAATCCCATTCTCGAATTGTCAGTTATTAAAAGGGAGCTTTTTTTAAAAAAAAGCCGTTTATCATGGGAAGAAGAAGGAGGGTATGAAGACAGGTAAAAAAATTGAAGATGCCCAAAGCGCATGTTATTGTTTATCGGTGTTGCTCGAGATATTTCTAATTGATCCAGAAATAGGATAATTGTCTGGTATGATCTTTTTTCCCTCAAGTAAATTGGTTTGAATCGTTGATCTCCAACAAAAGGGCAGAAGTTGATGGAAGATTCCGGTATATTTTAACTCTCGACTGAAAAAGCGGGATTTATTTAGTCGCTCTGGTCGATGCGTTATATGATTTGCTAACAACCCCTCTCCTCTTGTCACTCCTCCGTTCCCTCTTCACACACACTCCTCCTGTCTTGCATCTCCTCCTCCTCAAATTACCATCAAAGTGTCACATTATAAACCGACCAGAAATGTAAGAGTATACTGTCATAGCAACCTGTTTCCATGGCAACAAATTGTTTGCGTCACTACGCAACCTTCTTCTTCACCAAGCTAAAATCAACACGCAATTTGTATGCGCGGTAGGAGCGGTTCATACCAGATGTGCCTTTGTTTCAGTATATAATCATCCGATAAGTTCCTGAACGAGATAGACCTGTATACAGTAGTAGTCTTAGTCGTAGCAGTATAAGCAGAGGGCAGTGAAATGATTTTAAAAACTCAGTAGCACAAGTTTGATGAAGGTGAAAAAAAAAATAAGTGTGGTGGTGGTTGGATCAAGCACTCTTCCACAGAGCGACCTCCTCTCTTTCTCTCTTTCTCTAGTCACAAAAATCGTTCTCCCAAAAGGGATCTTGAGGAGTGCACCTATCTTTTTTTCCCACCTCGCTCCAACTTTTTTTCTTGACGAAACCTTCATCTGTAACATCCCGTCATATTCCTCCAGATTGCAACATGTCCAAAGCATCGTCTTTTGTTCGCGAATATAAACTCGTCATGGTTGGCGGAGGAGGTAAACTATGCGGTTTTTGCTTGAATTGTTACCCGACTCTCTTTTAACTGGTTACCAAAAAAAACTCTGTGCCGTATGTGTGGGTTGTAAGGTGTGGGCAAGTCCGCCTTGACGATCCAGTTTATCCAGTCCCATTTTGTGGATGAATACGACCCTACTATTGAAGGTACTACGCAACTAAATACGGGCTGACTTGACTCAAGATGATGATGATGCTGGAGGTATTGATAAGCTTGAGGGGAATGGTAGACTCATACCGCAAGCAATGCGTGATTGACTCGGAGACGGCCCTATTGGATGTCTTGGATACAGCAGGTCAAGAAGAATACAGGTGAGGTATCAGGAAAGACGGCAAAGAGTAGAAGCGATAGAAGAATAAAAGCTGACTCTGGTACCTATGATGATTATGAATGCTCGAAAAAAAAAATGCAGCGCAATGCGCGAACAATACATGCGCAACGGCGAAGGGTTCTTGCTAGTATACTCTATCACCTCGCGAATGTCGTTTGAAGAAATCACGACGTTCTACCAACAAATCTGCCGTGTCAAGGACCGCGACTATTTTCCTATGGTCCTCGTTGCCAACAAAAGCGACTTGGAGGCAGACCGCCAGGTATCGAGCCAGGAGGGACGTGATCTCGCGAGACAGTTTGGATGTCAGTTCTTGGAGACCTCCGCAAAGCAGCGCATACACGTCGACGATGCATTTTACCAGGTCGTACGAGACATCCGCCGGTTCAACAAAGAGCAAGAGATGCGCGGCAGTGGCCATGATCAGTTTGGTATGCAGGATGCGCCCGATGTCGCGTCTGACAAGTGCTGCGTCATGATGTAGACCTCCTTCTCCACCTTCACCTTCACCTTCACCTTCACCACCGTTATCATTATCACCACCACGCCAAGTGTATTATGTAAAGAACGATGACGACGATAACACACAACATACCTTTCTTGCTTCTTCTTCTTCTTCTCAAATAACCCGAATTCTCCCCCCCTTTTTTTTTCCATGCTCGTGCTTCCTCCCTTCTTCTTACTCCTCCGAAAAAGAACACTCTTGTCGTACTTGCACCGTATACAACGGTTACACTTCCCTTTGCACCACACCCCCGTCTTTTTCTTTTTTCCCGCAAATCAATCTGTTCTCCTCTTATTAACCTCCCTCTCATCCTCCTACGCTTTTCTTTTTCTCGTTTCTCTCTCTCTCTCTCTCTCTCTTTTCAAAGTTATCTCGACGATTACTTTCTTATTCCTTCGTATTTATTTTCGTAGACTCTGTATCAACAGCCCCAATATAATATCTTACTATGCTTTTTTTAAAACTGGTTAGGTTGTGTCACTATAGATGGCCCCAATAATTGCTTGAATGAGATAAGCCTCTTTTAATAAGAAATAGAACGAAGAAAGGATATATTACGGCAGCAAAGCGGGTTACAGACGAAAACATGAGATTCGGGGGGGGGGGTGGGGAGGTGGAGAATAAGAGCATGAGAAGGGGAATAAAAACAATAAGAGAGAGATTCTACAGGACTACACACTTGAGCTTCTTCTTGCCCTTATCTTTGCTGGGTATCTGCTTATTGATTTGCCGCACCACATCAAAAAACACCTCGTCTACATTAATCTTGTACCGCGCTGATGTTTCATAAAACGGCTTGCCTCCCCATTGCTGTGACAGCATCATGCCTTGCTCGCGCGACACCATGCGCTCCTCCTCCAGATCGCATTTGTTGCCCACTAATACTATCGGCACCTAACAATCGATCAATCCAAAAAAAACATGAGTCTACTCTTTTCCTCTCGGATATCGCACGTTCTTTCTGTCTTTTTCTTTACATTTTCCGAGTCCTTGACGCGCAGTATCTGTTCTCGCAGCTCGTGTAGATCGTTCAATGTAACCATACTGGTGATCGAAAATACAAGCAGGAAGCCTTGTCCGTTCTTCATGTACAGATCGCGCATCGCCGTAAATTGTTCGGTCCCTGCCGTATCCAGAATTTCAAGCATACATTGCTGTCCGTCCACTTCCACCTGCTTTCGGTACGAGTCTTCAATCGTTGGATCGTATTTCTCGACAAATATCGATTGGACGAATTGGACAGTCTGTGTATACACACGTTAACATATTGAATATCATAAATTTCATCGCTTTGTAGTCATAACGGTTCTTTTTTCCACTCTCTGCTACTTATTACCAAGCACTACCACTACCACTACTACTACTACTACTACTACTACAACCGGAGTCCCTCCGTTTCATAGGTTCCTCTACTGTCAACTTACCAAAGCCGATTTGCCTACACCTCCGGAACCCAAGACCACAAGTTTGTATTCTCTCATTGGCGGCTACTTTTTTACGTGATGATGAGCACTAGATTGTTTAATCTCGAAAGAAAAATGCTCTGATTGAAGTTATACCGATTTGTTCGAGAATGTAAAATAGGTACACCAAAGGGGGAAAGGGAGCACCAGAAAAATCAAAAGCAGCTGGCCCGAATTTTTTTCTTTCTTTTAGATTAACACTCACTCGTTCTTTACTGCTACTATCGCTACTACTTTACTACTACTATCACTATTGCTGACACCCCTCCACTACTTTTCTCACAATCCCGCACTAACTTATGCGTCCCGAGCAAACCGACGGATGGCAGCGCGTTTAAGCATTTTTTTTCTGTCTTGGATTCATGCAACATACAAGCACAACCTTACTACTGTCCTGCTGTATGATGATACTACATTTTCATATGTGAGGCCGACATTTACTCACAAACGGCTATTATCCGGATGTATGTACACCCATCTCTTTCTCTCTCTCTCCCTCCTCACCCTCTATTTCATACCAGTACCAAGAGTTTTCTTTCTTCTCACATTGTAGAGCTTAAAATAGCTTTACAAGTACACCAATTCGTGTTCAGCTTGATATGCAAATCAAGTAAATAACAAGAGAAGAATTGACGCGCTGAGTGTCTTTGTATCACTCCCTGGGTATCAGTTCGTATGGCAAGATTGATTTGCTGCTGGTTTCATTACCAAATGAAGTGAACTTACTTATCATTTGTTGATTGTTGTGCTGCTGTTACATAGTACTCCTGCGGTCGTCGATCAAAAGCCTCTGGCCTAAGTGTCGACACAAGCCATGACTAGCTGTTGAAATCTCTTTTCCTCTAGCTGATCCATTTAATTTAAGCAATGGTACCACTGGCTCACAACTGATTAAATACTTGCTCACTCACATACAGCACTCTTCTCTCATAGTCTACACCGTGCTATAGTGAATACAATATAGAGTAACATAGTTGACAATGAAGACAGATTTGTTTCTTGCTTCCTACTCTATAATCCGAAAAAAAACGATGTGATATTTTATTTGCGCTGACAGTGGCGTATCGGGTCGAGCTGATACGGTTGATCGACAGCTGGGTATGATAGCATCTTGGATTATCTGATATGGTACGCATTTTCTTAGATGAGTGTCATTGGCTGCAAGAACATGCTAGATGAGACTGGGTAGAAAAGAGCACATTTTATATACCACGTGTATATGAAAATGTTACTTTTGTTTCCACATCATATATAAGAGTGCAAGAGATTGGAGCAAGGTACATATGGAAGCAATTTTGGCGAGGTTTCATTATGCGACAGATCGGAGGGGTTATATGTGTCTATCGCAAGTTACGTAATGCGATTAAATACAACAGTCGCCTGAATGCTGGGTATGATGGTAGGTATGGTACATCTTTCTACAGAATAGGCAGTACACAAATGGCATCTTGTAAATACACATATTACTGCTGATACACACATTACCACTTCTGCCAGTGAGCATTATCCGGTACGTTCACTTGTGGTCAATTAGATAAATTCGTCCCTCCGCTTCGTTAAGTGAATATTTGCGCTTGAGCAATTTGTAAATCGGGTAATAAGTAGTTCATGGCTTTCAAATGACCTTTTTCCCTTAAGCACAATAATTCAGACCTTTGCGAAAAAAAGACTGGTACAGATAATGTCAATAAACACAGCATCGCTAGTATGACAAATCCAACTTGGATGAAACCCCAACCCATCCTAATTACTTGTTTTACTTTATTCTTGGCGATATTGTAAGCTTTTGGTTCATGTCGTTATAATTGCTTGTTGTTGACGGGTGCTGCAGCAGTTAAATTGGATGGCGTTGAATCGTATATGCAGAGGGAGAGGCAATCCATGTTTAACCGAACAGAGCTTGTCAATATTAACGAGTTTTCAAGGAATGAAGAGAAGCGGATGTCTATTCAAAATTGGGTGTTGCGTCGTACGCGAACAAACCTTCTTTGGTTGAAAGGTAGAGGCCACTACCACCCCACAATAGCGCTATCGACAAGCGAGCGAGAACAAGCGTACAGCCAGTGATTTTACCTTTGATATGCAGTAAAGTATGTTTTATATGGTGCGCAGCATAATCTTGAACACTTCTTACAGAATTATTGACATGTTCCTGCATTGTCAGATACAACAGCACTGATAAAGATAACACTTTCAGGATCGGCAAATGATACTCCGCGGGAGGGATGCTCTTGCTGCATGAGAGCACGCGATCGTGTAAGCCATATGTCAGGCGCGTTCCATACTGCAGTTATATGTACTAGTCCCTAAACTACCATTGTTCTTCTTCTTCTTCTTCTTAAAAGCAGACTAGAGCAGAATATTGTGTTATAGATCATATGTAGCCAATATATACATTCTTTCCGTCAGCATGGTACTGAGAAATGTTTGCATTGAGAAACAAGCTAATTTAAACGGATAGACTGATTTTCTACACGTCAGGTTACTTTCCCTTTCAAATATCGAATGACCAAATAAAACAGTATCTCATGATTAAAACAGCAAAGAAAAAGAGATATTACTGTATACATTATATTAGACGATTAAAATGAACAAAGCCATTTTTTTATTATTGTTTTTGAGTATATTATTATTAAGTTACTGTTACCAGCTCAAGGAGAAAGAAAGAATGCAAACAAAAGAAAGAAAGGATGATGTAGTGGATGAGAATGTGCTATGAAGAAAAAAATATGTATAAATGAAACGCAAAATGCATGAATGTGTGGTAGGGAATGACTAAACAAGAGATCAGTTTGAGTAGCTCCAGTACTTTGTCATTGGTGAAGAGGGTATCTGGTCCAAAAGCAACAGCTTGTTGGAATAATAAAAGCGGGGGTCGACTTGGCCTCGGCTGTAGTACGAGCGTCGGCCATGATGCACTAGCTTCCACTCTTGAATCTGTTGTGGATAGCGGCTATTGCCGGGGCTAACCTCGATGACCTTCAAATCAGCATAGATGCCGGGGTGCCTTTTATCCGTGTGCGTGCTCTGGAGGACGCAGACAAGGTATTTGAGATCCAAGGCGAACCAAGTGTGGGCCAGGTTCAGGTACTTGAGCTGCGGCATGCGACCCAGCAGCTTGAGCAGGGCATCAACGGTAACCTGCTTGGTGGATGCAAGCGAAAAGTATTCTAAGCGACGCGCATTGGCCTCACAAAAGTTTGAAAGCACGTGGTCATCCATGTTACCATGGCCGCCCAAATTGAGTGTTCGGAGCCGTGGCATATCCATGGACACCAAATGAGCCAGGCACTCGGAGCAAAAGTTCGATCCGCCAATCCCGTTGAAACTCATGTTGAGGTTGAGCTCGATCAGATCCTTGGCCTGGCTGAGGAATGGCAGAAAGGCTGAGCAGCAGCTGATACCGTGGCATCCTTGCAGGTTGAGGTGGGTGAGCGAGGTCGGGTCGAGATGGTTGAACAGCTCGCTTGTGATCTTGGTGTTGGCCAAATCGAGGCGGGTGAGCTCGTTCTTGGCGAGCTGTCCAAAGAATGGGATGAAGAATGAGGATTGGGACAGCGCCATGCACATGTAGAATGATATCCGGTTCAATCGGGGCGGCATCACCGTGTTTTCCGGCAGCTGGGACTCCAGCTCAAGCAGATCCTCATCCTCGTCCATGGCAAGCAGGAGCTCGTCGCCATCCTTCTTGTTCTTCTTGTTGCTACCGTCGCCGCTAAACACATGAGCCATCGCATCGGTAAACTTGCGGTCACAGAAACCCGTGAAATCCAGCACCTCCAGTCTTGGATGGCCGTTAAAGATAGCCCTGATCACAATCGGCTCGACAAAGGCCTGCATCATCTCTTCTCCGACGTACAGTTGGGTAAGATTGACGCAATCGATGAGTAATTGGGCCAGCGAGTGTGGCTCGACAATCGCCTTGGCTTTGGCTTCGGTCCATCCGGAACCGCGTGCGGAGTAGCTTGAAAGGTCGAGACAGCGTACATGCTTCAGCCAGCCTCTCTTTCGGAATAAATCTCTGTGGCCCAGGAATGCGGCGTACTGCTGAGGGGTCTTGATGGCAACGGTGTGGAAGAGAGATCGGATGGCAGCGGCATGATGCTGCTGATTCACGCGGGAGAGCTGGGATATATCTTTAGAGGACTGGCAGTTTTCGGCAATGAGTTCAAGTAGTTCAATGGACAGATGGCGCATAGATTTATCAGGTTGGGGAATACAAGTCAAGGGTAGATTCGTGGGGTTGTAAGAGTATGGATGGGTGTGTGCACGGTAGAGGAGTTGTATAAGAGGCAAAGGGCGCTGTTGTTGTTTTCTTAACAAGAGTGTTGGCTAGCGTGAAAGTGGTTGGAAGAAGAAGGAAGAAGAAGGTAGTCGTTGGAGAAAGAAGAAAACGACGGGTTCGCAAAAGTTCCTTTATAAGCCAGCAGAAGAGGGGGGCGGGTGGGGTGCATGTCGCACGCGAAATCCCTTGTCCGCGGAGTGATTTGCTTTCTCACGATAAGCATAACATGATTGGTGGACATCAACCCCCAAGATCGCGCTAGCTTCTGATTGGCTCTTTTGATCTAATCACAAGATCGTGATTGCTGCACGTTTGGCGATAATTCTTTTATTTGTGCAAAAACACACCACGGGGTGGCGTGATACGGCTTGCGACGTACTGTTGATACTGTGTGTACATGGGAGATTTTTATCATTACTACTAGACCTTTTATTGCTGGGGACCTGGTTTAGTTTGTCTTTTTGGGCGGGGGGAATGAGAGTGCTAAGCGATGATAGTAATATAATAATGGCTCTGGCACAGCCTATGTCTTAGTCTGAAGTAAGAAATTTAAGGGGGTTCACTTGCCCTTGTGGATGTGGGAGACATCCAAGATCTCTATCTGCCTTCGAATTTCAAATCCAAGGCCTGTTGTTTGTTGCTGCTGCTGCTGCTGCCCGCGGCTTATACGGCTTTACAGAGAGAAACGCCTACACGCGCATGGAAAGGGATTGTGCAACTCCGACTTCCGAGCATGATTCATTTGTTTGTTGGGAACGTCTCCATCCACTGTTGCTGCTGCCCCCATCTCAGCTTTTTAATAGGTTTGCTTGATCAGCATTGTTTGCTCATTAACGGATATTTGATAGGTTTCTTTGTGCGATGAGTAACTATGGCAACTTATACAGCACCTTGTGTTGCTGCCAAGGACACCAGTTTTCTCGTAATATGTAGTAGTAGGACGACAGGCAATGACTGATAGGGGTGGATCTAGACACCGTTTGTGCCTCACATAGCATTTGCAGTCCATCTAGCCGTCATGGTGATGGTGCACTGTTTGTTGGGATGATGAAAATGTCATAACCCACTTTTGGTTCCTCCGTGCAATGGTGTCACGGTTGCACAGGGGGGGAAAGGTATGTACATAACAAGTCATCCAACACAACGACAGCAGCAACAACAACGCTCGGCCTGCTGCCGTATTGAGTATAAAAAGAAAAGAGTGAAAATGACTGGTTCTCACAGCTTTGTCTGTAAGGTAGTACATCGCGTCCCTCTGCTTCAGCCCCTGCTGCAAAATCCCTAGATGGCACACTCACGCTCACCATCATCTTCTCCCTGCCGGAATAAGAAACCCCCAACGAGCTTATGGGCGTACATAGTGCACTAATAGTTAACTTCAATATTATATTAGGTAGGAAAAATGAGGAGAGAGAAAAGACGGAAAGGCTTATTATTCTTCCGTTCGCCGGTTTATTATATAACATTAAAACAACGTCATATGTTTATTCCTAGAAATAAGTAAGCAGATAAGATAAACGTTCTGTGAGTAACAGTGACATCATGAGATAAAGTTAGTTGTTAAAATAAGGGGTTTTTTAAATAATAACAACACGGTGGTTGGTAATTCATTATGGTTGATGCTTAATAAGTACAGCGCGGCACAGAACCTCATGCCGCGGAAACCGAGAGGCTAAATTCCTCTCTTTCCTTCTGTATACGATCCTATCTTATCGTATATCTGCTGATATGTAGATATAAATGCTTCCTTAAGAACAAATATATATCTCAAGTAATCATTTTATAAAGTTATATGTATATTACTGATTCTTCTTTATTCACTGTGAAACATAATTGATGGTATAACACCGTAAGTTCCTCGTCACCGGGAAAAGCGGTTACAGCAATGAATGGACCCTTTCTTCGGGGTTCGTTACTTGGCAGGATGTGCTGTCGTTCTTTTTGAGAAAGAGTTACATAAAGATACGGATCCCTTATACAATAACCGACTTCCCTTGATATTTGCACTATCTCCCCTTTCAACAGATACGCCTAACACACTACAGTTCACGCACCATCTTCAAATGCATCTTCAACCGACTCCTCTGCGTTGATAAAATATCTAGAAGCTGCGTACATACTCCCGATTTAGACCATGAATCTGTGTTCGCACACATATATTCTTCCGACTGGCAAAGTTACCAAAACTCTGCCGCTATGTTTATATACGCTCTAACAGCCTTTCTATCAATCAATCACCGTTAAGTGATTATTGTCGTCGACCCGTGTTTCGGAAACTATCGCCTATTTGAGAAATTTTTGGTTGATTAAGGTGCAAAGGTACCCTCCTGATATTTGCAGGGCCTAAACTCTTAAAAATGCTGCAGAAATAAAAAAGCTAAAAAGTTGGATAGGTGGACCGATCATTAAGCGATCAATTTCGAGATCGAGTGTTTTGCATTGATAATAATGTTGTGTACTGTGATGTAATCGGGCTTATTTTATGTTGGAATACTGCCTCTATCATACGAACCTTAGTCACTTGAAAAAGTCTTGTTCAAATACATGCCACCTATTACATATAAGGTGTTATTGCAATTGGCAAGTACTACTGTGTAGTGTACGTAGTACATAATACTAGAAAAATCTGATTCTTGTGAGAAATGTAACGTCTGTGGTGCATATGTACACTTGTATATTCTGTGCATAAATGCATGAGCAGCTTCAAGGCAGCAGCAGCAACATCAGAGGTAAAGTATCTAACAATGGTGCAGCTTATGTACTTTCAGTTTTTTTACGTACTGTATGTATAAACAATAAGAACCGAAAAAGACAAGTTGCCGATGCTGCGAATTTTTCTAACATCCATTACAGGTAATAGCATATAGTATAGCAAAAAGCGATATAATTTATTATTATTTTATCTTACATTTGATTCATGGTGCTGCATCATAAAAAAGCTGTATTTCATGGGATGAAAATAATAAACATTGTGTAGTTTTCTCTGAGTGTGTATAGTAGTATGTAAGTATGAACATGAAGAAGGAGAGGGGGCCTATATGATGTTGTATAAGAAAAAAAAGGAGGTAGCTAAAGATTTTTCGATGTGGATGTACATAATAAATAAGGAAAGAAAAAGAAGGCATATTGTGTACAAGAAAATAAGAGAGAGAATTCGCTCGTCTTTTAAATAAATAATTTTAGCAAAGGTTTAAAAGTTTTGGGCGTCAGCACGAAAAGAAGGTGAAGTACTTGATGGTGATGAAGATGAAGATGAAGACGCACGGATGTCTGACCGGTTGCTTGTCGTCGTTGACGAGGAGAGTGGATAGATAGGATAGTTTGTCCGATGATCGACAAAGGCTGCAGCGGAAAAAGTCCGACATGAAAGTTGATCTAGTAAAAGAGAGGCATAATACGTTCAGCAAGCGATCGACCACGTGCCACGTGCCACGTATAAACAAAGCAAAAACAAAGGGCTGGGGATGCAAAAGAGAGAAAGAGAAAAACTCACCCATCATGCTTGGTATTTCCTCTTTTGCTCGATGCACTCTCCTACTGTCAGAACCTAATGGATGGGCCGCGGTGACTGCGATATACCCTCGGGGCTGATCGTTTGGCGTTAATGACGGAGGGGGAGGAGTTGTAGGTGACCAATGCGTAGTGACGATCAACGAAGGGCAACTGGTCTGTTTTGAAAGATTGCTTCTGCTCGGACCTTCTATCAAACAAACCAGGATAATGGCGGTGAGTCCAAACATCAGATGATGTTTTGTGTAATCCTCTACCTAGTTGACAAAAACAAACCTAGCTCCTTGACCCAAGAAGGGGCTCCACCAATGATAGCAGTACCAGCAGCATTATCGCCAATACTAATACCAGCACTACCTGGTGGTACTGTCCTGCCAATATCCATTGCTGAAGCAGCAGATGGAGTAGGAGTAATATCAGCAGCGGCAGCAGTTGGTATTGTTGTTGTTGTAGTAGTTGTAGTAGCACGAGCGCTCATCACGGAATCGATATTGTTACTATTATTGCTGTTACTGCTACAGTTGCTTGTACTACTGGCAGCAGTATGATTTCTGCTGACAAAATTCGTTGATGTATTAGTGATGGCGATAGTTCGGCTACTATTGGTCGTCGTTGGATTATCAAACGTTGACGTCGTGCTGCCAATGGCTAAGGATGACTTTTTCCGACGCGTTGCTCGATGCACGCACTCAATTCCGTTGGCGGCGCAGAACGCACAGGGGTTACCGCCATCACATTTTGTTTTACGTTTACGACATACTTCGCATGCTGAGCCTGAGCTCAAGCGACGAGGAGGCACATTGGTCGAGTTGTAGGCCATTGAAGATGACCCGGTGCTTTTGGATCGGCTTAGCGAATGCGGCTGCTGCTGTTCTTTCATGCTTTGATGGATCGCAATGAAACGAGGGTCCTCATTTAGAATGTAATGTGGAAAAGAGTTGGGGCTGCTTGGCGGGAACGGCATATAGAGAAGGGGGAAACAAGGTAATGGCAGTAGTAGTAGTAATAGTAGGAAGAGGAAAAATAGGGATGATGACCAAGTAGATATCTGAAATCCGTGCGTGTATACGATGGAAAAGCAAAAACCAATTTTGAAATGTTATTTTCTCTTCTTTATATATATTTGCTACAGTACACTTGAATGTATGTTTTGATTGTATGTAATAAATTGTCCCTACTGGCTTAAAATAAAAAGAAGAAACAGAGGAGGGGGGGGTTAGAGAAAAGGAAAGAACGCAACGAGAGAGAAAGAGAGAGAGAGAGAGAGAGAGAGAGAGAGAGTGTGTGTGTGTGTGTGACTCTCTTGGCCACCCAATTATAAGGAGTTGGGAGTTAAAAGGGCGGGAGTGATGATCCAGCTTATTACAGGTATGTACAAGCTTTATGTAGGTTGCCCGTGGCAATTATGTACGATCCATGGTTACCGCATATACACGCGATATGGATACGGAGTCGCCAATTGTCAGACACACACACACACACGGGATCATCCAACCGTCGGTGCTGCATCGGAGGAAAAGGAGTGGGATGGGTTTTTGAGTTCTTCTTGTAAGATTAATGGGAGAGTATATGTACTAGACATGCCATGCACAAATCGGCTGCTTTGTTGACGGGTTGCCATTCATATGCTTTTTCTTCTTATTATTTGTTGAACAAGCGTAATCCTGACTGCGTATCTGTTTTTATGTATACTGTAACAACAGCAATAATAACCAAAATATTAATTACTTTTTTATAAGGATAGGCCCGTGGGAACGCAGCGTGCCACGCAGTATCAATATGTATGGCATTATTTTTTGTGAATTCTTATCCAGAAGAAGGGGTCAATTTGTATCAGGTGTAATATGGGTACCCACAGCTCGGCATCAAGTAGCACAGAATAGCACAACAAGAGGAACATCCGACCCAGACTATACTAAATGTTCTAGTTCAAAATGTTAGTTAGTACCACTGTCCATATAGTGGATATACAGCGAAAATGAAATTGTGAGTTTAGAATTATCAAAGTTTCTTTTCCATCCTTATTTTGCTCTTGTGTGCAATATACCAATTTGCTGTTGCTGATGGAATAAAAAGGCTTATTGAGGACATCAACAGCATTAAGAAAAGAGTTGCCGCTACTGCAGCTTTTGTTGTTGTTGTTGATGTGCTAGCAAATGATAAATAGAAGTGCTAATAGAAAGGCTAAAGAAAGAAAATCAATTTTCTACTTGTGTGTACTACTGCTGCGTCGAACTCGACGGAAGCCGATCCGGCAATGTTCCGACAATATATGTTTCTCTCTTTTCTACAAATGTGCATTTTTTTTTCTTACATACATTACATGACCCTCGGAAATCCCTCCCTTCCCCTCTTTATTTTTGTATGTGGTGTGCAATGCGTAATGTGTGCGTGTGTGTTTTTGGCCCTCACCAGAAGGGAATAGCAGGATAGCTGCTGCCGATTGGATAGAAACTGATCGCATGATAATCCTAATTCAGACTGCAACATTAATGCTACTATGTTCATCTGCTGTACATCCTTTATTAGTAGGCTAGCAGCAGATAAAGAAAGGCGGGAAAAGTAAAAGTACAATCTAGAGTGTTGGTGCGGCAGCAACGGCCCTTGGTTGCAAATGCAATTATTTTGTAATGTGATTTTTTATTTATCAAATTCTCTCAATCATCAATTGAGAAAACATCGTAAGGGTCGTCGATGATGCAGCCGGATGGTCGTTTCCTGACCGATGAATTCCGAGATATACACGCAACATGGGTGGAATCCAATCGCCAGACTAGGAGAAATTATGCAATGTATTGGGAACAACGAAAGAGGAGAACGGGGAGATAAGAGAGGGAATGTGAGAAATAGACATAGAGTGGGGGAAGGGTATGTATAGACACCCACCATCAACTTGGTATAGAACCATCACCGGCCTACTTTCTCTTCCCCACCTAGCCATTCCCTACTCCCTCCCTTTTGGCTCTGTGAAATGTGTGCATTATCTGTAGTGGACCCCCATCTGTGTACTATGCAAAAAAAAATCCTGCTGGTTGCAGCAGGGAGCTCCTCACGGTCTTAGATAATAATAAACATCAGTCGCAGCACTTAGAAGCAGATGTGCGCTGATCTCGTAGAACGTCGACTGTACTTCATGACAGCGTATGTTGACGGAGACACTTTTTGGACTTTACCAGCATCCCCTATTCTTCTTTTTCTAAAGATATATACTACTTTTACCTATTCTCCCTTCAGATGTGAAGAGTACCTTAAATACAGTAGTACAAACTGCAGAGCGCCGATTTTTCGATCTTTAGGCAGCGGACTCGATACGAAAAGGTTGAAGAAAAGAGATGAGGGAACATAACCCGGAAGCAGAGTGACAATACTACTTTTCTTAGTACCATCGCTACTAGCTAAACTGATAATGATAATGTTAAGATGGAAGAAGATATAAGGGAAAGAACGTCAAACGCGTATGGTTCCTTTTTTCATATTCACTGTTGCACTTTCTTTTCTAGTAGAGTCCTTGCATTTATATATAATGCAGTGTTTGCCCTCTAATTATTATCGCTATTATATTTTATCATCGTCGTGGCCTTTTCAGTGGTAGTAATGTATGGCGGACTGCTGCACAGAGTTTTGCGCGTGCGTGTAACCTATTAAAACTATTACACTATAGCGACTATGTACTATTGAGCCATCTCCATGCATAACATGCAGCATTGGCATTATTAGATCGCTCCTTATCAATTTTGGGTTCCCTAATTCTCTGAAAGTCCGAGTGATCCCTGCTGCTGCTGCTGCTGCTGTTCAATACACTTTATGTTACAACATTAAACGTACCAGCCACCACCATAACAGCATAGACTGACTGTTTCTTCCTTCCATCAATAGAGCCATCCATATCTTTTACCGTTTTTAACAATGAAGGAAAATACTCAGCCATAACCATACGAAACTGGTGTACGCTGCAAGACGTGTGCGTGCGCGCGCCTATGGTGCAAAAGAAACGCGCTAAGCAAAAACATGGTACTGTATCATCCTAGTAAATAATCATTTCTCATAATGAAATAATACTTGAGCAAAAGAGAGTAAGAAATACAGAAAAAAAGAGAGAGAAAACGCACGCACAGTTCAAGATTTATATAGTCGTATATACAGTATATTTACACGGTTGCTGTTGTCTTTGTCAAGAGTTTATGTAAACCGTTCTCTCTCTTCAAATGCACAAGGATGAAGCGTTTAACTTGCATATAATTTGTGTCAAATATTACAGACCTCCTCTTTTGACGAAGAATAGGATCCCATCCGCTTACTATTGTCGCGTTTTTCAAAAGAGAGTGACAAACGAGAAAGAATAACAGGAAAACTTTATAAATAAACTTGCCAATTCGATCACCCATTTTTCTGTTTATTTACATATCATACTCATTCCCAGCCCCCAAACTATCGCACATTCGGGACAAGAGCCATAAAAGAAGCAGGAAGATCCAAAACCATTTTCCGATGCCATCGAAGAAACTATATACACTGTAACTTTTATGGCAACAAAAGCACACGCAGTTTCTTCAGCTATCACTGTCATTCTCACCAAATCAATGCAATGGCAAAAAAGACTTGAGACTAATGGTCATAACTCATCCATTTTTCCCGCAAACAAAATCATACAGTTTATGCTCACCTCACGTTTCTGATATTCATTGAGTGTGATGATATAAATCCATAGTAATACTGAAATTTGTAAAGGGAATTACTACGCGCACGACAAAACTTGACCTCGCGCACGACATTTTTTTGGTACTTTAGTATTCCGCAGTTGTCGTGGGCACAGTCTCTCGCACAGTTTGAAAGACCCTGCACACGACAAAAATTGATCTCGTACGACAATTTTTTTGGCAGTTGTCGTTTACCTCAACGTACTCGACGATTTCTGTTCTTCTTGTCTCATAATTAAGCTCTTGTGCCTTGTCTCCGGATTTAATTGTTCTTTATAATCATTGAAACACCTATTTTTCTGATCCCTTATTTCTTACTACATGTTTTGTTCTTCGCCCTCCAAATATTCAACTATTTGGTCGACACATTATTATCATCTTTCAATATATATACGTCGAATATTACACTGAGCGTCAAAATTTTACTTGAATAGAATTACATGACAGCCCTAGCTCTGGCAAGTTGAACACGAACACAGGATATGTCTTTGCAGCCAATACTATCGTCATTGATATTAAATGGTGAACACTTGGTGCACCGTCTACTCACTTTTCTATAGTCTTAGTTACGTCTTTTTGTGCTGACTAAGGAATCGTCTCGCTTGTGCTTCACTATATCATAGTACTTATGTTGGCACAAAGTTGTTTGCTTGCCATTTGGATACACGATATGTTAACATTCAAGTAACTCGGTATATATCATCATAGTTCTGTCGTGAGCAGGGTCTTCCAAACTGTGCAAGAGACGGTGCGCACGGCAACTACGGAATACTAAACTATCAAAAACAATATCGTGCGCGAGGTCAAGTTTTGTCGTGCGCGTAGTAATTCCCTTTGTGAATGTCGAACCTACTATCTCTACAAATGACTTAGCTACAAAGTATATTAGCATGTTAATCTAAAGAGATCAATTTATGACAGGAGTTTGCGCGCCTGGACGCTTTTATTATGGATTGGCAAGTAGCAAAGCCAGTTAATATTTTCTCTACCGCGTTCGGCAAGACAGAGCTTAGCGAGTATATGATAGCTATGGTGTAGTTATACATTTGTAAATTCTTTGCGGTAGGGCGTGGTACGTACGCTTTTGTTCGCGAATGGACGACTGTCATTTAGTGAGTCAAGTATTAATGTAGACGTGTGCGTATATTTGTGTGGAGAAAAGCAACGCACTTATCGACTTTTTTTCAGCTTACACATCGTAGTATCTTTCGTATTGCTAAGCAGCCACCATCACCAGGCTATATGCCTAGTTCTTCTTAGATTATGGAGGTTGCTGTTTCCTGCTCTACATCAGCAGTTATTACGTTATTCTACTCCTCTAGAAGGCATGGGCAGTCTTTGTAGTATGTAGTATAAGTGAAAAGAGTGGTCCCTACCACCTAAAAGATACTCAGAGAAAGAAGGACAGCATATAAATTTCGAGTCAGAACCCAAAATTCTGTTTCGACACCGCTTTTGTCTTAAAGAGCTTAAGAACCAACACGTATAACAATCATGGCATTTATCGGTTGGAACCGTCAGCAAACTTGCGCGATCGGTGAAGAGCTGCAGGCTGATGAATCTGTCGATTAGCTTGCTGGGGCGACTTTCCAATTCCTGCGCTTCATAGAAAGCTTCGCATAGACAATGCTAGAGCAAAGTAAACCCCAACAAAGTAAATATATTTATACACCCATAAGCAGGCCAGAAAGGTATACCCTTCATAAACTACAATTGAACGAGCACATATGTATAAGTTAAACGTAATGCAGAGATCGATTCTCGAACTTTTTTATAAGAAAGCAACACTCTGCTGACGTCGACATGAGCCACCTTAGCAGCTGTACAATACCGACCTCACCAATCAACTTATCAATGATTGGTTGCTGAAGCCGTTAAAATGCTTCTCTTGGTCTGAAGTCCAAAACCAACAAAGAATATCTACAAACCTTTGTCCTCTAAGAGCACCTGCAGCGGTCGCTGTTACGAAACTGTTAAATTCCCGAGTTTAACAGCCCTCTTAACAGTGCGTAACAGCTTAACATCAGGGCATTTCGTGCAGCGGTTACTGTTACGAAGCTGTTAATTTCACACGTCGTTGGTTTTAATAAAAGCTTTGCCCTTTCTCCTGAGCAGGGGGCAGCGGCAGAAACGTCAGACAGAAGGGTGGCGTTAGAAGTAGTGTTGTTCAATTTGAAGAATACAAACAAAGAATGAAGTGAGATATAGCTTTATTTTTCAAGTCCTTTTTCTCGATTCAAGAAACTGTTAAATTTAACAGGACGTTAACAGCAACCGCTGCAAGGTTTGGCTGTTAAATGAACTGTTAAATTTAACATAACAGGTTCTTAACAGCGACCGCTGCAGGTGCTCTAATAAAAATTCAGTTCTAAACATTATCAAGGCTTCAGCGAAGCGTATTCGTTGTCCAAACACGGACTTGACTGTTAACATACCTAAGAAAAAGCAAGATGTCTACAACACCACCAATGAAAGCAAACGACAAGCCGACGATAATGAATAAAATACCTCTCTGCACAAACATATCTTCACAAGAATGAAACATCTTGTTTCAGAGCAAGAACAATCGAACCCGAACACGTTGAAAATCCAGGTAATGATTATAATACCTATCATATAGAGCTACCGTTTTATGCACATAACATAGGAAAGTTTGATGGATGTGGGTACAAGCATAAATTATGTATTAGCAATGAAATGTACCAGGGCATACACAACTTGCAGAAAAACGATTGGAACAGACAAACCAGAGTGATAGTGACCATAGCACATTGAAAAGTGGTTTAAAGGAGAATAAAGAGCCATGTAATATACCCATACCATATGCTCCCATATACAGTATCTGTGATATAGATTAAAATAATAAGGAGTGATGACTAGTGATAATTGTCATCATGACGACGATCAGCCTCTTCCAAAGCGTAGACACATATGCTCCTTCCATTACAGTTCGAGTATATGCTATAAAATGTATGTCGACCATAACAGGTGCTAATGTGTATATCGCGCCTGAAGTGCATATTGTTTTGATTTCAGATAATAACGTTAAAAAATGTTTTTGGTGATGAAACTAACTTTAGAACTGTTTTCGTCAAGAAATAGTAGCAGCTGGACATAGAGGTGTAGCATGTACTCAATGTCCCCAATTCTAGGGACGTTTGTACATGTGCACGCAATTGACATACGCTATAAAAATGTATAGCGTGCCTATACATACTCAAATTTCTTTATGAACTTTTAGAAGTCTGCGGCTTGTAGCCTCCGCCTTACTCCAATATCTGTGGCTGATCAACAGAAAACAGAAGTTGCGGCTCTTTGCAAATATATTCCAAAACAGATGAATCTCGGCAAATACAGCCATCACCATCAACCCTTTCTTCTATCACCAGAGTCACTAGATCCTGCAGGGTTTTGGTATACATTTAACACTTTAGTTTAGCGATTTGGATCTGCCGGAGCAACTATGTGTACACTATGATGTATAATAGTAGTATATAGTGCTTTCAACCTATGAAATTACAAAAGTGACGGGATCAAATACATTATTCAGTTCACCAATATTAATTTTCAGGAAAATGTGCTGTAGCTCTTGCCATACAATGACCGGCTATGGATGGTCGGTGTCTCTGTGCTTACTTACCAATGGAGAGCATACTAAACAAACTCTTTCACAAAAGCAAGCTATTGACGATGGAATGTGGTAGTAGATAGATATGATATATTTTCGGCAATGTAGAAATGAAATATTGAGTCTGTGATAGGATATATGTGAAGTGTGCTATGTATTATCTGCCGGGCCATGATCCTAGGACGGATCGACCTTTCTTATTTTTCACCATTTTTCGGGCGGCAAGATTGGATTATATGTTTTCCGCGGATGATCTCTCGCTTTTTGTTTCTGTGAAAGTCAAAGCACAGATTGGCATTAGCCGAGACCATTTGCTATATTGGTGTATTGGTGGTTAGTTATCATAAAATTAGGCAAAACCCTCCAACTTAAAGAATTGCAGCCAGCAACGATATAGCATTTAAAAGATACGAGAATACTGTGGTCCAAACTAATGAATGTATTCTTGAGCCTTTTAAATGCGATACCATGCTTCTGCTAGCAGAATCGCCTGAAATCAATAATATTATCGTTTGACGCATTGACATCAATCGAGGAAATTTGAAAACGTTAAAAAGCACCAAAAGTTCTCGATGGGTGTTACCGTATTTGCGACGGTAAACCTTTTACTTTTGCAAAGCTCAAGAGCCCACTTACCCGCATGGTTACCAATGCTTCGAAGCTGCTGGAGAGAACGTCAAAATCGTGCAAATCGCGGGGGATGTAAAAAACTGCAAGTGGGATCAAACGGTACACTGCTTGGTACTTGAGATCCATGACAAATAGTGTACATCGAAAGCCTACAACAAATTGCAGGTTATGGTATTGCTTTAAGTAATCGCTTCATCTTATATAGCTCACCTTCTACTAGTAACCCTAAAATCGTGATTTTAGGATTGTCGACGCCGTCTTGTACCATCTTGTCCAATGAGTCTTTCATCTCATTGGCAAGTTTGACTAAGTCGGGTCTGCTGCCAGTGCGGACTTTGTGCGGTGGTTTGATCTCAACGATCAACAAACCTTGCTTTGGCATTAAGCCATATTCGAAATTTACCGACAGGTCCGAAAACTGGTAACCCCCTTTTCCAGAGCTTTCTGTTTTTTCGCGATGTGCCCTGCCGTCGGTGCTAAATGTACACAGGAAGTTAATTGAGGATACCGATTATGCCATCATACCATTTGATACTGTACCCTACTCTTGTTGTCATATCAGTTTCTTCAAGGAATGACAGCACCAATGGGTATACCGCAGAGATAGAAAACGTGCTTTCGGCTTTATCCGTTTTCTTTGAAGATCTTGGGGAGTACACTGAAACACTAAAAATAATATTTGAAGGTATAAGTATGTATATGCACACATACAAACACACACACACACACACATATATATATATATATATATATATATTCATAAAATTAACTACATGAAGGTAACGTACATGTTTCGCAGCGACTCCTTGATACATCTTGTATCATCGCCTCCGCCGTGAGGAATGCTATCGATGATCTCGGTACACTGCGCATATTTTCTTTTTGCAGCCTATTATTATTGGTGAGTACGTAGGCACTCCTTTTTAATCGAGAATTACTACCTTTGCAAATTTGCTGATTGTAGCTTCAATTGAATCCGACAATTGTTCGAGAGGGTACAGTTCGTGGCATTCTTCAGTTATGGCTTCCCACGTGGCAGATTTGAAGCCGTATTCTAAGCATGAGCTAGGATATACGCTGTGAATGGCATCGAATAGAAAAATACTGTTGATCGAACTAGAGGTATAGTTGACAAAGTTAGCATACAATTCGGCATTTTTTACTAATTATGCGATCAGTTACTCACAGTTCCTCTTGATACGTATCGAGGCATTTGCTTTCTGCTTTCACGATTGTTGCTTGACGGTAATCTAGCAGTTTTTCGGAGATTGTTACGCCAGCAACTTCCCACTTCAAATTACAAGATTTAGCGTCCTCAATGTGATGTATGGCATAAATAGAGCCTTTTACCTTCGCTATACCCTCATGCAAAGTTATAACAGGTGCTGAGTTCTCCACAAGATAGTCAGTCAACTTTTTGCGCTATTCAAAGGATGGATAGGATATACAATTGGAGTTTCTTAACATTTATATGATACATCGATAGCTTGTAGCTTCTACTGCTACTTACGCGCTTGTTCGTACTGTCTGTTGAAGTCGTCGGTGTAGTGCCGTTGCTAATTGAGGCGGATGCTGCTGCGGATGTCGATGTCGAATTTGTTCGCTGTTCTTCAAAAGACCTCTTACCGAGGGAACCCTGGGTAATACAAATCCAATTAGTATGTGATGGTGGAAGACAGTGCAATGCATTACCTTTGAGCTTGACCCTCCGGACTCAGCACCTTCAGCGATCTAGTTGGTCGTAATAATATCAGTTTCATTTTCCACAAAAAGACGATGATACTAATCATATACTCACCTGGCTTTTCAAATACTCCCAGTCTGGTTGCTCCGTCTTGCTATAGTTCTAGATATGTGTACAATATGAGCAAAGTGAATATGCAATATTTCATGTCTAATACCTTCACATCCAATTTGTCGACCAGCTTTTTGAACATTCTTGTCCAAAAGTTTCGAATGTCAGCATCTCCAGGAGTACTACTTGTGAATGCCTCAGGCGCGTAATCGTAGAATTTCTTCAACGTCACCGCATCTTTCTCTTGTCCTATATACTTTTTAAAGCCTACAGCATTCCTTTAGATATATATCCGGTTATTGTATACGTTCTAACTCACTCTCTTGTATGTTGATCATGTCAATGATGCAATTGGAGGACAGTTGCCTAGAAACACGAACTGGGAGGAAGAATTAGTAGCTATGCAACGGACTCACAGCCGTAGCTACTGGCCGCAGCAACTTCTAAACACCGCTATTTCTGGCCTCATGGTTGTGACGGAGATATCTTCAACCTTGTAGTAATTCGGAGTGCCTACGTACTCACCAATAATAATAGGCTGCAAAAAGAAAATATGCGCAGCGTACCGAGATCATCGATAGCATTTCTCACGGCGGAAGCGATGATACAAGATGTATCAAGGAGTCGCTGCGAAACATGTACGTTACCTTCATGTAGTTAATTTTATGAATATATATATATATATATATATATGTGTGTGTGTGTGTGTGTGATTCTACAATTATTTCCCCTTAAATCACTATGAAGTTGATAATTAATTAAGAATATTTCTAACGTACATTAGTGCTCAGGGAATACAGCAACGAGCAACAATTTGCTGTTTGTTTGGGAACGTCAAGATTCGCTGGATTTATGTATGGCTCCGTTTATTGCTCACACAAACTGTCCTGATGAATTTATGATCATTACAGTTAATTACAAACGCTAAGTATCGCAATTTATACTATTCCTTTCTCTGAACATTTTTCATTTTATTGCGAGGACCTCTGTTATGCCTATTTCAGAATACGTCCAAGTGAACGTGTGTGAGATATTGGGCCTATGTCGTCCGTATCCCTCATCTCTCTTTTGTTCCTTTTCTTCAAGTGGACTGGTGTGGAATATTGGGCCTACGTCGTCCGTAAACCTCACCTGTCTTCTATTTCTTTTCTTCAACCGGATGGTGTGGAATATTGGGCCTACGTCGTCCGTAAACCTCATCTTTTTTCTATTTTTTTTTATTCAGTGGATGGGTGTGGAATATTGGGCCTACGTCGTCCGTATCCCTCATCATTCTTCTGCGAGTGGACTGGTGTGGAATATTGGGCCTACGTCGTCCGTAAACCTCACCTTTCTTCTATTTCTTTTCTTCAAGTGGATGGGTGTGGAATATTGGGCCTACGTCGTCCGTATCTCTCATCTTCTATTTCTTTTCTTCAAGTGGACTGGTGTGGAATATTGGGCCTACGTCGTCCGTAAACCTCACCTTTCTTCTATTTCTTTTCTTCAAGTGAATGGGTGTGGAATATTGGGCCTACGTCGTCCGTATTCCTCATCTTTCTGCTATTTCTTTTCTTCAACCGGATGGTGTGGAATATTGGGCCTACGTCGTCCTTATCCCTCATCTTCTTCTATTTCTTTTCTTCAAATGGATGAGATGTAAAAAGCGATATGAATTGATTTATAATTTCTGTAGTAGGACTGCATTGGCAAGTCAGCATGTATTCTCGGTATTGCGTGGTACCTCAACCTTAAAACCGCGTGCAACCTGGATCAACATCTTGTGCCGTTTGTATCGTCACACCAAGATGACTGTTGTCAACGGTGCATTTGAATCTACTACACCTTCTTTGAAATCCTGTGATAGGTAAGACTTTCGGTCGTCTCGGCTTTGGGAGGTCACTGCAGAGTGGGAGAAAGAGAAGGAGCGTGCGTGATCATAAGAGAAAGACCATAATATGTATGCGATAAGGCGTATGTATATACTAATCAATTGCTTATATAAAGTTATCCGACTTTGGACGCTGGTAAGAGTGACCATGTCCCATGGACCCATCCGTTGCTGCGCACGACAATACTCGTTTTATGGACTTGCAAGGAGCCGAGTATGGTCTCTGTAAGTGATCTTCCTCGCCACATCATTCTCAGTGCCGACTGAGGGATGACTTACCATGTCGTTGTCACGGGCACGCTCATTGTTTACCAGACAAAGCCTCAGTAGTCTCTTTTTCTCTCTTTATCTTAGACATTATTTAGATTACGGAACAATATAAGCACTAAACAGAATGGTTCAAGGCGGCATCGACAACCGGTAAATTACATGTATAGGTTACTTGATTGAAGGTGAGCCTCATGAAATATAGCAGTTACTTAAGTCAATACCTTAACTATTAACTAGCGACTTGATGTAGGCTTTCAGTGTAATACCAAGCTCCGGAACGCTAGATTCTGCTTGCAGTTTTCTATATCTCCCACGACCAATGAGAGCAAACGTCGGAGCCCGTACCGGGCGCACCTTTGCAGCTTTGTGATGCACAGACACCATCGTCATTTGGTTCCCCTCCCTTTCGTATCATGTTCACTTCGACTCTTTAAAATCATAGCAAAATCATAATGAGGGAGTCGATGAGTCCATTATTCTTTCAGAATCAAATGAAAGTGCAAGCCAGAGCTACAGAGTTTTGCCGAAGAGATGATGGTTAGTAGTTTCGTATTGAAATTTCACATTCTGTTCAAACACTTTTTAACTCATATGATAATATTTAGGCTAGTTAGAACGCTGTTGATGATGACGACTTGATGAGCGCGACGGATAGCGAAGACGACGATGACATTGAGTGTAGCAGCGACTACAACCACCAACATTTACAACACGGATCGTCCGTCATCCTCATCTATCGATGATGAGAGTAAGAGTAATGGTATCGTTACTGTACGAAACTGTTTCCATCCAACTTCCAACGAAGTGACACGGAAATAAATAACAGCACGAATAGGGCAAGACGCTTGGCACGCTCTCAAAAAGATATCGTTGCCAAAGAAACATCGCTTGAGGGTTGTATTTCCAAAGAAAGCTCACGGATGTGGTGTTATTGCTTGATCGGGCTGACCTGGTCGATATGAAAAAAGCATTAGAGACCCAAGGCAAATTATTTGAATAAGGTAAATATCAATCTGATTTTTAAAAGTATTTTCGAGCAGTTATATGTTTATCTCGGCAAAAAAGCAGTGCTTGAGTACATGCACAGCTTCGACGCGTTTTGCCCTTCAATCAAAGTTCTATACCCTGTTTACGATATATTAACCGCCTTTGTTCCTTTAAAAGATGACCTACTGGAGAGAACCAGCAACATATATCTACGTGATCCACCAGACGTGCTGTTGTAGCAAGCAAGAAGAAAAGATAAGCACCGTCTTACGGTTCATCACACGAACTCGCTTGAAGGAGGCATTCATCAGAATTTTCGACGACGATTTGGAGCTATAATGCAGCATTACGTTAGCCATTGCTTTGATGACCGAGTATAGGATTAGCATGATCTGGATGTGAGCTGAATATTATTTGCTGTGATGCGTGCAGAATATGTATATTAATTAAAAGCTACTTATCGTAGGGAAGGTTTACAAAGGTCATTACGACATATGGCTCAAGATTTCATACAGTTACTCTACCTCCCGCTCGTTGATACGTTACCACGACATTAACAAGGTTGGAGAAACTCATCTGCATGCACGGGAGCGGGCAAAGCATATCATATCGGTTTGCCGACAAACCAACTTGTAGACGTAACTAGCTCATGATTACTCAACGTATATATAAAGACGGGGACAGGATCACATAATTTATGATTGCCATTTGTCATTCATTTTTCAATATAATCCCATTCCCTCCTATTCTTTATCTATTACTGTAACCAGATGCTCTTTTGATGTTGCTGCGTAAACTGCGGCTACCAAAAAGAAAAATATGATTAAATACGCAGTTAGTGGCGAGCCGTAGTATCTAACTGCAATAAACTTTGCCACGTAGTCACGGGTGTGATAGGTAAACGTATGATTTACGCTAGCTTTTACAAAATCCTGAACAAATTTGTGTCAAACGTTATTTGCGGGCAAAAATAGCTCTCAGGGCAGGGTAGTGTGCCAAATTGATCGTTAGCAAAGTTCGTGACTAACGCTTGTTTTTGAAACCTCTAACTTTGCCAAATAAAAGGACTTAGCGGGTGCGCCAGTAGTGTCTTTCTCACAATTGCCTGAAATAAAAGATGATGAGACAAGCCTAGCAAATAAAAGATATGAGTTTTGCGTGTTACTAGTTAGATATCATTTCTGTGTAAGAGAAGGTCTCAGATGCATGTTCAGGGATAAGGACGACGTACGTCCAGATTCCACACCCGTCCACTTGAAGAAAAGAAATAGAAGACAGATGAAGAAAACGGACTACGTAGGCTCAATATCCCACACCCGTCTACTTGGGCGTATTCTGAAATAGGTGTAACAAGGGTTCTCGCAATAAAAGAAAAAGTTTAAACAAAGCAGTAGCATGAATTGCGATTCTTAGCATTTGAAATGAGCAGTAGTGATCATAAATTCATCAGGACAGTTTGTGTGAGCAATAAACGGAGCCATACATAAATCCAGCGAATCTTTGATGTTCCCAAACAAACAGCAAATTGTTGCTCGTTGTTGTATTCCCAGAGCACTAATGTACGTTATAATACTTAAGTAGTTATCAACTTCATAGTGATTAAAGGAGAGATAATTGTAGAAGCTCGAGAGATTATGGTGAGGTTTAGCCCAAGGTTGAAGATGTCTCTGTCACAACCATGAGGTCAGAAATAGCGGTGTTTAGAAGTTGCTGCGGCCAGTAGCTACGGCTGTGAGTCCGTTGCATAGCTATTAATTCTTCCTCCCAGTTCGTGTTTCTAGGCAACTGTCCTCCAATTGCATCATTGACATGATCAACATACAAGAGAGTGAGTTAGAACGTATACAATAACCGGATATATATCTAAAGGAATGCTGTAGGCTTTAAAAAGTATATAGGACAAGAGAAAGATGCGGTGACGTTGAAGAAATTCTACGATTACGCGCCTGAGGCATTCACAAGTGGTACTCCTGGAGATGCTGACATTCGAAACTTTTGGATAAGAATGTTCAAAAAGCTGGTTGACGAATTGGATGTGAAGGTATTAGACATGAAATATTGCATATTTACTTTGCTCATATTGTACACATATCTAGAACTATAGTAAGACGGAGCAACCAGACTGGGAGTATTTAAAAAGCCAGGTGAGTATATGATTAGTATCATCGTCTTTTTGTGGTGATATTATTACGACCAACCAGATCGCTGAAGGTGCTAAGTCCGGAGGGTCAAGCTCAAAGGTAATGCATTGGGGACCGGGCAGGGTTATAATAATCATGCCCCGACTTATTGGTACTAATTGAACGAGTAGCCACACAAAGTTAGTATAACCAAAATAATTTTCATAAAATTAAATTATGTATGTCTTAGCATGCATATATTTAAAATTTTGAAAAAATAAAAATTGAATTTTTTTTATCATATAAAAATAACACCTTATAATATTAAACATGAACAACACAATCACATTCAACAATGACAAAATTGTCCTTGATACTAATAAATTAAGTATATTTTTAAATAATAATACAGTGGACCCCCTTTAATGTCAACCCCTTTAATGTCAACCCCCGATACGGTCAACCTTTTTCTGAGAACCTCAAATTTTAGCAGAGATAAATTTCAACTTCTACATAAGGTCAATGTCAACACCTTAGCCAGGGTTGACTTCTTATTGAGGTCAAACATATCTAATCAAAAAAATTTATTCTGTCGTTGGTTGAAAATATTTTGTCAGAGATGATTGCGTAGCATACATTGCCTTTTGATATCTATTTCGAATTAATTGGATTTGAGGTATGGCATGTACTACTGCGTCATGGAGTTCCTCCTCCCTATCCAAAATATCAAGAAAAGTATTGATACATTCAGATTTCTCTTTGGTCGTCAATTCCTTTTCTTCCTCCTCTTCAACAACAACCTCTTCTACACTTGTTTCAGCAACAGCTGTCACCTCCTCAACGATTTCTTGTTCTGTAAGTGATGCAAGGTATACGTCGCGCTCATACTCAGGATCAAGGTTGACATCAGGACATTGATCACGGTTGACAGCTCCGGTAGAGGTAAGCTGTTGAACTTGAGCCTCCAACTCCCATCTGTCTGTCTCCTCTGCTTGGGCAACTTCAGTAGCAGCAAGACTATCTCCTTCTCCTAAATACTTGAAGATCGTAGCTTGGAAACAGTTTTGGATTGTTTCGGCGTTTACTGCCGTCCATGCCGCTTGAATCCACCTCATCGCTTGTAGTTGATTGACAATGAAAACTTTTTCAGCGGGGCCCACGACTTGACCATTCCCGTTTTGGATCATTCCAATGGAACGATACGCCTTTTCCAGCTGTCGTCGTTTGTACTGTGCCTTAAACGACCGAATAATCCCCCCATCGAGAGGTTGGATCACGGATGTCGTGTTGGGAGGCAAGAACAAAAGCTCAACGTTGACAGGTTCATAATCGACATAATGTCCAGAAAAGTTGTCTAGTAGCAAGATCACTTTTCTCTTCCTGGCACCCATGGCTCGATCGAATTTTCTCAGAATCTCTCGGAAACACTTTCTAGTCATCCAAGCCTTCTGATTGACGAAGTATTGCTTGAAGCCATGAAAGGCAGCATCCTTGCGTTTTTTATCAACCTTGAACGAGTCTGGACATACAGCATGACCAATGATAATGGGATCAACCCATTTATCACTACCATCTGCATTGCAAAGAAGCGCGACTGAGAGTCTTGTCTTGTCTTGTTTTCTGCCGCTGAACCCTTGAGTCCCAATTGTTGTCTTCGGCTCCAAGCGATAAAACAAGCTGGTTTCATCAAGATTATAGATATCTTGTTTCTCGTATCGTTCAAGCTTGGCATGGATAGTATCCCTCTGTGCTTCAAGGGCATCAAGGTCTGCTGATTGCGCTTCTCCATGGATGCTATGTGCACTTAGCCCATATCTCCTTGAGAATCGGTCCGCCCAGCCATTTGATGCCTTGAATGCTTGAATTCCAATCAATTCTGCAAAGTTCCGGGCCTTCGTTTGAATCAGGTCCCAGGTTATCTGGATTTTATTTTTTTGTGCACAGTTAATCCAAAGCAACACCGCTTCTTCAACTTGCTATATATGGAACATCATTTCAGATAGACGAAGAGAAACAATAGCTATCAGTACAGTTCAATCAAATATATATTACTACTGCTATATATATACTATATACTCATACTTACAGGATATTGTCCTTTTCTATTGCGCATCCTTTTGGCGTCCCTTTCGTCACCAGGAGCTTCGGTGGATTTTCGCTTGATAATTTTGGAGATAGTGCTCTTGCTAGGGACCTTACTCAAGCGAAACTCCTTTTTGGCATACTCTGCCGCCATCTGCAGTGTAATGCCCTTCTTCGAGCTCTTGTAAGCGACAATCAGATCGCGTTGCTCGTTAGTGAAGGAGACGTACTCACGTAGTGTGGTAGTTGAAGTAGAGCTAGACATTTTGACAACATTTCAATCTTCCAGAAGTTATTCTTTATATACAGTACGGTACTACAGTGTGTCGGGGTGCGCTGGTTCAAAACTTTTATTATACGGTTAAACTTTGTTCCTAAATAGTCCACCCCCTTTAACGTCAACCCCCGTTAGCGTCAACACTTTCAGCTGTACTTGAGGGTTGACATTAAAGGGGGTCCACTGTAATATAAACATTAAAGAATTTACTGAAAAAACAATTTATGAAAAATATGATATAAATTATAATATTAAAAAGAATAAATTATTAATAAAACATAAAGCATCAAAAAAACAAAAAGAGACATCTAAAAATAACTTAATTAAAGCTAATAATGAAAGAGATATTAATTCTATTAAAAAAAGTAAAGATAATACATTAAAGGAAAATATAAAACTAAAGGAAAAATTATATAAATATGAGAAATACTATGAAAATCCAGATACATTACCTCCAAAAGAAATAGTTACTGAAAATTCAAATTCTCAGTAATTTGAAACTCCTAAAAGGCCAAATACACAGACAAATGAGGCATATGCTGAAAATCCAAATTCTCAGCAATCCTCATTTCCTCATATTTCCGATGCAATGTTAGATGTCAACACCTCCGGCGCGGTTACCTCACAGGGTGGACTCAATAATATTAAAGATGATGAATGTGAATTTTATTGCTTACAGCTATGTGACGAGTGTAGTACAAAATTATGGGATATATATCAATGTAACTTTGCAAGTGATGTAATAGAAAAACTTGAATAGGAAAAATATAAGTATAAAAGATTTTTCAAAACATACTTTAGATATTATATTGATTTAATAAAAGCAAAAGAAGCAAACAGGGATGATATTCTGCAAATGACCCAAGAGCAAATGCATAAACTAATCATGGAATATAGTCAGATATATGCAGAGGAAAATAGAGATGAAGATGAAGATAGTGATGATTCTGATTAAAATTAAATCGGCCATTAATGGCTATACCAGTTAGGACAGGCTTATTAAATATAACAAAATCAACAAACAACCAACAGCTAGACAATTAATAGTAGGACGCCATTGCGGACTAGACTATGATTATGGATTTTAAGCAAATTTATAAATATTCGGAGTTTCAATTTGTGCATAATTAAAATTATTTTTAATATAAAAATTAGATTTTGTATTTATAAAAAAATAATAATTACAAAAAAATTAATAAATTTATTTTAATAATTCATTATAAAAATAAATGGAGAGGAAAACAAACATTATGGATAATATTCTAGAATATTCATGGATTGTAGAGAAAACTACATGGCCCGTTGATATGATTTCCATACTAATATTTATTAAAATAAATCATGCATATATTAATACTTGGTACGTGAGGCTTATCTTTATATTATCATATATAATTATAATTTGCACTGTGGCAAGCAGAATATCACTGGTACAAATCATTTTCGGTAGTGCTACCAATATGGGCAGAGTATGTCATTTTTTATATGAAATATAAAAAAATAAAAAAACAACAAAAAAAGGGAATATTAAAATTTTCAACAAATTAATCTAATAGACAGTACTGGAGTACCATTATACCCCAAAAAAAAGAAAGGATACATTGTATCCTTTTTTTTCTAATACCATTTTGGTATTTAAATATATACTATTGTATATATTTTCTTATTAAAATATATTTTATTTATTTTATTTATATTATTTAAATATTTACACTAATAACTTTTTTAATAATTTTTTTTCTTTTACCATTATCAATCACATATTCATCTATCATTTCATCATCACTATCACTAATATTTTTTTCTATATTTTCATCATTATCATTAATTTCAAGTTTTAAAAATTCTTCATGTAAATTTACTATTTTATTATAATTTTCATTCACTTCTCTTTCACTTGAAAATATAATATTTTGTTTGCTATTTTTTGATGGAAATTCAAATCCATCACTATACCATAACCGATGATAGGGCTCTTCTTTTATATTATATTTTTCTACCATTAAATTTATATTTTTAAATAAATATGCTACATAGAACTGTAAGTTATAATATTTTATGTCTGGAATTTGTAATGCAGAATTATTATTTGAAAACCTTTTAAATTTAGATGCAAGTATAGAAAATTGGTCTCTATTTCAGATCTAAAGCTACTAAATTTTTTATTAAGATTTTTTTTCATTAATAGTTAATTTTTTATCTTTTTCTTTTCTAATTGGATATTGAAAATTATAATTATTAAACTTATAACTAGATGTTAATGCATCTTCAGTGAAAGTATTTATAAATAAATCATAACCACCATTAGTTCCTATATAGTCCAATTCATTCATTTTTTTATATAGTTTCATATTAAGAAACATTGTTCCATCATTCTCCTTTGCACATTTTTGACTTTTAGATGTAAATATTATCATTTGATTCATATCACATAAAATTTGTGTTCTTATTCCTTTTCCTTTTAATTTATAAGAATATAAATCCTTTGAATTTTCATTAGGATGATAATACTTAATTTTCGAATCATGTCCATCTATAAATAAGGTTATATTTTTAAATCTAGTAGGATTATTTATTTTTGCAGCTAATATTCTTATTTTTATATTTAAAAATATATTTTCTAAATCATATTTAACTTTTTTATTTATTCTTATATAATCTGTTATCCAAAATGCTTTATATAATCTATAAAATGAAGAATATGGTATAAATTTTTCCATATCTATACCATTTTCACCATATATAATATGATACAATAATAGCAATCCTTTTTCAATTTCTCTGAAATCTAATTCATAGTTAAAAGATAATAAAAAAGTTATAACTTATTTATAGATTGTAATATCCTTTAATGTAATAGAAGAACATTTCTTTATATATAAATATAATAATTTAATAGAACAAATAATGTAATCAAAACATGATCGTTTAATATAACAGTTAATGTGCATATTATTATAGTAAATGTTATATAGTATCTCTAATTCTTATATAGAATTGTATGTATTGAAAAAAATGAAAAATGAAAAATGAAAAAAAAATTAAATTTTTAACCCTGCCAAGACATAATGCCAAGACATATCAATTAATCACATGACTATAAAAAATAAGTTAAGTCTCATTTTAATAACACTAATTATTTAATAACCAAATTGGGAATATTCATTAAATGCAATTTCTGCATCCTCTTGGTTAATTAATATAGTTTCTTCAACTATATTATGTTTTAATATAACCATAGTAGTTTTTATAATAAATATTATAATTGTAAATTGTTAGTTCCTGACAGTTCTTGTTGTTTAATTAAAAACATAAATAGTCATGTGATTAATTGATATGTCTTGGCATTATGTCTTGGCAGGGTTAAAAATTTAATTTTTTTTTCATTTTTCATTTTTCATTTTTTTCAATACATACAATTCAAACCCAATCATTGAATGTTTCATCATAATCTTTCCATTTAACATAAAATTTCATTCTTTTTTTAAACTTTCTATGTTTTATAATTTTTTCAACTTCAAAACTATCAAATGACTATTATATTTATATGATATAAAATTGAATTTAGTTTTATAAATAAAAAGTTGTTATGGATGAAATAATACGACATGAATTGTCAAAAATTAACAATAAATATTGGCAATTTCTTGATTTTAACTATCCAATAAAAATATCAAAATATAAACATAGAGAAGAAATTAAAAATATTAATAATATTCAGCAAATTAAACAAGAGTTAGTAGAAAAATTAGGTTATACTAGTGTATTTTTCTTTTTAGTTATTATTTTTGTAAGATATGATTATAAATCACCCTATGTGTTTATGGAAAAAGGATTATGCATTTTATATCATTTAATATCTGGAAAATCAATTAGAGATATGAATGATTATATGCCATTTACTTCATTTTATGCTATATATAAAGAGTTTTGGGAAAATAATAAGAATGATTTAAATAAATTAGTTACTGATATGTTAGAAAATATGTTTTCATCAACTACTTTAAGAATAATATATGCAAAAAGAATAAATCTATTAGGATTCAAAAATATGACTTTTTATTTAGATGGACATGATAGCAGGATTGATTATAAAGAAAAAGACATTAAAAAAAGAAACTTTTACTCCTATAAATTTAAAAATTCAGGATTAAGAACACAACTAGTATATGATATTAATGAACTTGCAGTATATGTATCTGATAGTAAGCCATGTAAGAATTATAATGATGGAAAAATGTTTTTAGATATGAAATTAGAAAACAAATTAAATGAAAATGATTGTATAGCATTTGATGGTGGTTATTATTATTATATTGAAAAATTCATTGAAAATTGTGAAAGAAAAGGGAATGATAAAATAAATTTAAATAATTTTATGTTTCCAATTAGAAAAAGTAAAAATATTGAATTTACTGATAAAGAATTATTATATAATGATACGTTTGGTAGTTTTAGAAGTAAAATTGAATCATGTTTTGGAAATCTTGGCAATAAGTTTAAAAGATTTAATAATAATGAAGGATCAATTAAAGTAACAGATTTAAAAGTTTATAATTTGCAATTAAAGCTGTCACTTTTATTATTGAATATAAATAAATTTTGTAATATCCATAATATAGAAGTTAAAAGTAATCATATATTATGGATTAATGAGAACTTTGACTATCCTAATCCACTTAAAAATGATTGCATAAACAATATATTTTATGAATTTGACTTATTAAGAATAACTGATATGACAAATCAACAAGATGAATTTTTGAATAATTATTTTTTCGATTCTAATAGTAATAATATTAATATAAATAGCATGGATATAGAAAATGATTCAGAATTAGATGAAGATAGTTTTGAAGTTGAAAAAATTATAAAACATAGAAAGTTTAAAAAAAGAATGAAATTTTATGTTAAATGGAAAGATTATGATGAAACATTCAATGATTGGGTTTGGCAGGAAGATTTTAATGATGAAGCAATTATTGATGAATACTTGGCATCTATTGAAAATAAATAAATTATTAAAAATGTATTGTTGAAAGCAGTACAAAATGTTCTTCATAACTTAAAAAAAGATTTATTTAAATAAAGATATATTTTTTTAATTTGTAACTTTTAATGAAATTTGTAACTTTTAAATATTTTTGTAACTTTTATAAAGATAAAAATTTCTTAAAGTGGCGGAACGGTAGTGAGCACCCCCTCCTTTAGGCTAGACCTTTAGGTCGACGCCTAACTTGACAGAATAAAGAAATATCATAATTTTGTTATTTATAACAAAAATTATAGATATTGATTATTCTCCTCTATAAGGTGCTGGATATTCATTTACACCATATAATATAACTAAAAAATAAAAAACAGCAATATATCCAAGTTTATCTAATAATTCATTTTTTATAATTTGTATAGTATTACTTTTAAAATTTTAATCTCAGTTCTATGATTATATTTATTCAATATTTCAGGCTATGATTTATTTAAAAAATCCCATTTATTAGCAATAAATTTTTCTATTTCATTTTTTAGGGTATCATTTAATGGGTTATCAATATCCATTTTTTATTTATATAACAAAAGTTCATTTTTATACTTATTTAAATGTTAAATATATTACTTATTTAAATGTTAAATATATTATTAATTATTAAAAACTTTTATAAATTTTTATATATTATTGAAGCTAACAATATATGAACTAGTGTCTATTGCACTGTCTTCCACCATCACATACTAATTGGATTTGTATTACCCAGGGTTCCCTCGGTAAGAGGTCTCTTGAAGAACAGCGAACAAATTCGACATCGATATCTGCAGCAGCATCTGCCTCAATTAGCAACGGCACTACACCGACGACTTCAATAGATAGTACGAACAAGCGCGTAAGTAGCAGTAGAAGCTACAAGCTATCGATGTATCATATAAATGTTAAGAAACTCCAATTGTATATCCAACCATCCTTTGAATAGCGCAAAAAGTTGACTAACTATCTTGTGGAGAACTCAGCACCTGTTATAACATTGCATGAGGTTATAGCGAAGGTAAAAGGCTCTATTTATGCCATACATCACATTGAGGACGCTAAATCTTGTAATTTGAAGTGGGAAGTTGCTGGCACAACAATCTCCGAGAAACTGCTAGAATACCGTCAAGCAACAATCGTGAAAGCAGAAAGTAAATGCCTCGATACGTATCAAGAGGAATTGTGAGTAACTGATCGCATAATTAGTGAAAAATGCCGAATTGTATGCTAACTTTGTCAACTATACCTCTAGTTCGGTCAACAGTATTTTTCTACTCAATGCCATTCACAGCATATATCCTAGCTCATGCTTAGAATACGGCTTCAAATCTGCCATGTGGGAAGCCATAACTGAAGAATGCCATGAACTGTACCCTCTCGAACAATTGTCAGATTCAATTGAAGCTACAATCAGCAAATTTGCAAAGGTAGTAATTCTCGATTAAAAAGGAGTGCCTATGTACTCACCAATAATAATAGGCTACAAAAAGAAAATATGCGCAGTGTACCGAGATCATCGATAGCATTCCTCACGGCAGAAGCGATGATACAAGATGTATCAAGGAGTTGCTGCGAAACATGTACGTTACCTTCATGTAGTTAATTTTATGAATATATATATATATATATATGTGTATGTGTGTGTGTTTGTATGTGTGCATATACATACTTATACCTTCAAATATTATCTTTAGTGTTTCAGTGTAGGTGTCCTACTATTAGTTGTCTAGCTGTTAGTTGTTTATTGATTTTGTTATAGTTAATAAGCCTGTCCTAACTGGTATAGCCATTAATAGCCGATATAAGTTTAATTAGAATCATCACTATCTTCATCTTCACTTCCGTTTTTATGTGTATATATCTGACTATATTCAATGATTAACGTCTGCATTTGCTCTTGATACATTTGCATAATATCATCCCTATTTGTTTCTTTTGCTTTTATTAAATCAATATAATATCTAAAGTATGAATTGAAAAACCTTTTATTCTTATACTTTTCCTTTTCAAGTTTTAAAATAAGGTCATCAATAAAAGTACAATTATAAGTATCATTTAATTTATCCATACAGGGCTTACATGCAATCATACACATATATTCACCCCCACCCGATTCACATTCATTGTTATCTGAATCACCCTATGAGGAATCTGCACTAGAGGTGTTATCTAACATTACATCAGAAATATGAGGATTTGAGGATTGCTGAGAATTTGATTTTTCAGCATATGTTTCTTTTATTTGTGTATTTGAAATATGAGGAATTTCAATTTGCTGAGAATTTAAATTTTCAGCAACTATTTCTTTTGGAGGTCATGTATTAGGATTTTCATAGTATTTCTCATATTTATGTAATTTTTCCTTTAGTTTTACATTCTCCTTTGATGTTCTCTCTTTACTTTTTTTAATAGAAATAATATCTCTTTCATTATTCGCTTTACTTCAATTATTTTTAGATGACTCTTTTTGTTTTTTTGATGCTTTACGTTTTATTAATAATTTATTCTTTTTAATATTATAATTTATATCATATTTTTCATAAATCGTTTCTTCAGCAAATTCTTTGATGTTTATATTATTATTAGTTAGAAATATACTTAATTTATTGGTATCAAGGACAATTTTGTCATTGTTGAATGTGATTGTTTTGTTCATGTTTAATATTATGAGGTGTTATTTTTATATAAGAAAAAAAATTCAATTTTTATTTTTTCAAAATTTTTAAATGTATGCATGCCAAGATATATATACATAATTTAATTTTATAAAAATTATTTTAGTTACACCAACTTATTGTGGCTATTCATCCAATTAGTACCAATAAACCAGAGCATAATCATTATAACCTCGACTGGTCCCCGTACTCCCCAAGATCTTCAAAGAAAACAGATAAAGCTGAAAGCACATTTTCTATCTCTGCAGTATACCCATTGGTGCTGTCATTCCTTGAAGAAACTGATATAACAACAAGAGTAGGGTACAGTAATAGTATAATGGCATAATCGGTATCCTCAATTAACTTCCTGTGTACATTTAGTACCGACGGCAGGGCACATCGCGAAAAAACAGAAAGCTCTGGAAAAGGGGGTTACCAGTTTTCGGACCTGTCGGTAAATTTCGAATATGGCTTAATGCCAAAGCAAGGTTTGTTGATCGTTGAGATCAAACCACCGCACAAAGTCCGCACTGGCAGCAGACCCGACTTAGTCAAACTTGCCAATGAGATGAAAGACTCATTGGACAAGATGGTACAAGACGGCGTCGACAATCCTAAAATCACGATTTTAGGGTTACTAGTAGAAGGTGAGCTATATAAGATGAAGCGATTACTTAAAGCAATACCATAACCTGCAATTTGTTGTAGGCTTTCGATGTACACTATTTGTCATGGATCTCAAGTACCAAGCAGTGTACCGTTTGATCCCACTTGCAGTTTTTTACATCCCCCGCGATTTGCACGATTTTGACGTTCTCTCCAGCAGCTTCGAAGCATTGGTAACCATGCGGGTAAGTGGGCTCTTGAGCTTTGCAAAAGTAAAAGGTTTACCGTCGCAAATACGGTAACACCCATCGAGAACTTTTGGTGCTTTTTAACGTTTTCAAATTTCCTCGATTGATGTCAATGCGTCAAACGATAATATTATTGATTTCAGGCGATTCTGCTAGCAGAAGCATGGTATCGCATTTAAAAGGCTCAAGAATACATTCATTAGTTTGGACCACAGTATTCTCGTATCTTTTAAATGCTATATCGTTGCTGGCTGCAATTCTTTAAGTTGGAGGGTTTTGCCTAATTTTATGATAACTAACCACCAATACACCAATATAGCAAATGGTCTCGGCTAATGCCAATCTGTGCTTTGACTTTCACAGAAACAAAAAGCGAGAGATCATCCGCGGAAAACATATAGTCCAATCTTGCCGCCCGAAAAATGGTGAAAAATAAGAAAGGTCGATCCGTCCTAGGATCATGGCCCGGCAGATAATACATAGCACACTTCACATATATCCTATCACAGACTCAATATTTCATTTCTACATTGCCGAAAATATATCATATCTATCTACTACCACATTCCATCGTCAATAGCTTGCTTTTGTGAAAGAGTTTGTTTAGTATGCTCTCCATTGGTAAGTAAGCACAGAGACACCGACCATCCATAGCCGGTCATTGTATGGCAAGAGCTACAGCACATTTTCCTGAAAATTAATATTGGTGAACTGAATAATGTATTTGATCCCGTCACTTTTGTAATTTCATAGGTTGAAAGCACTATATACTACTATTATACATCATAGTGTACACATAGTTGCTCCGGCAGATCCAAATCGCTAAACTAAAGTGTTAAATGTATACCAAAACCCTGCAGGATCTAGTGACTCTGGTGATAGAAGAAAGGGTTGATGGTGATGGCTGTATTTGCCGAGATTCATCTGTTTTGGAATATATTTGCAAAGAGCCGCAACTTCTGTTTTCTGTTGATCAGCCACAGATATTGGAGTAAGGCGGAGGCTACAAGCCGCAGACTTCTAAAAGTTCATAAAGAAATTTGAGTATGTATAGGCACGCTATACATTTTTATAGCGTATGTCAATTGCGTGCACATGTACAAACGTCCCTAGAATTGGGGACATTGAGTACATGCTACACCTCTATGTCCAGCTGCTACTATTTCTTGACGAAAACAGTTCTAAAGTTAGTTTCATCACCAAAAACATTTTTTAACGTTATTATCTGAAATCAAAACAATATGCACTTCAGGCGCGATATACACATTAGCACCTGTTATGGTCGACATACATTTTATAGCATATACTCGAACTGTAATGGAAGGAGCATATGTGTCTACGCTTTGGAAGAGGCTGATCGTCGTCATGATGACAATTATCACTAGTCATCACTCCTTATTATTTTAATCTATATCACAGATACTGTATATGGGAGCATATGGTATGGGTATATTACATGGCTCTTTATTCTCCTTTAAACCACTTTTCAATGTGCTATGGTCACTATCACTCTGGTTTGTCTGTTCCAATCGTTTTTCTGCAAGTTGTGTTGGCCCTGGTACATTTCATTGCTAATACATAATTTATGCTTGTACCCACATCCATCAAACTTTCCTATGTTATGTGCATAAAACGGTAGCTCTATATGATAAATATTATAATCATTACCTGGATTTTCAACGTGTTCGGGTTCGATTGTTCTTGCTCTGAAACAAGATGTTTCATTCTTGTGAAGATATGTTTGTGCAGAGAGGTATTTTATTCATTATCGTCGGCTTGTCGTTTGCTTTCATTGGTGGTGTTGTAGACATCTTGCTTTTTCTTAGGTATGTTAACAGTCAAGTCCGTGTTTGGACAACGAATACGCTTCGCTGAAGCCTTGATAATGTTTAGAACTGAATTTTTATTAGAGCACCTGCAGCGGTCGCTGTTAAGAACCTGTTATGTTAAATTTAACAGTTCATTTAACAGCCAAACCTTGCAGCGGTTGCTGTTAACGTCCTGTTAAATTTAACAGTTTCTTGAATCGAGAAAAAGGACTTGAAAAATAAAGCTATATCTCACTTCATTCTTTGTTTGTATTCTTCAAATTGAACAACACTACTTCTAACGCCACCCTTCTGTCTGACGTTTCTGCCGCTGCCCCCTTGCTCAGGAGAAAGGGCAAAGCTTTTATTAAAACCAACGACGTGTGAAGTTAACAGCTTCGTAACAGTAACCGCTGCACGAAATGCCCTGATGTTAAGCTGTTACGCACTGTTAAGAGGGCTGTTAAACTCGGGAATTTAACAGTTTCGTAACAGCGACCGCTGCAGGTGCTCTTAGAGGACAAAGGTTTGTAGATATTCTTTGTTGGTTTTGGACTTCAGACCAAGAGAAGCATTTTAACGGCTTCAGCAACCAATTCTTGATAAGTTGATTGGTGAGGTCGGTATTGTACAGCTGCTAAGGTGGCTCATGTCGACGTCAGCAGAGTGTTGCTTTCTTATAAAAAAGTTCGAGAATCGATCTCTGCATTACGTTTAACTTATACATATGTGCTCGTTCAATTGTAGTTTATGAAGGGTATACCTTTCTGGCCTGCTTATGGGTGTATAATTATATTTACTTTGTTGGGGTTTACTTTGCTCTAGCATTGTCTATGCGAAGCTTTCTATGAAGCGCAGGAAGTGGAAAGTCGCCCCAGCAAGCTAATCGACAGATTCATCAGCCTGCAGCTCTTCACCGATCGCGCAAGTTTGCTGACGGTTTAAACCGATGGATGCCATGATTGTTATACGGGACAAAAGCGGTGCCGAAACAGAATTTTGGGTTCTGACTCGAAATCTATACGCTGTCCTTCTTTCTCTGAGTATCTTATACTACCACAAAGACTGCTCCTGCCTTTATTGCTCACATAGAGGAGTAGAATAACGTGATAACTGCTAGTGTAGAGCAGGAAACAGCAACCTCCATAATCTAAGAAGCACTAGGCATATAGCCCTGGTGATGGTGGCTGCTTAGCAATACGAAAGATACTATGATGTGTAAGCTGGAAAAAAGTCGATAAGAGCGTTTCCTTTCTCCACACATAATCCAAAACATAAATGTTCAGGCGCGCAAACTCCTGTCGTCATCTTAATGCACAAATATACAGGCAGAGATTATTCAATAAACTGTATGTTTTTCTTTGAGGGAATTCGTATGAATGGTTTCATTCAGTAAAGAACTTCACACACCCATTAGTAATGGTTTTATATTAACAACCGGCAGACCAACACTACATTTTCTGCACATGATTGGTAGGAATCGCTTGGGAAGAAGTAATGATGTTGCAAGATGCAACAATCCATGCATATGTAACGGTGCCGCATGTGCTTAGGGTAACTACAGTACTATATGTACCATTACCTTCTTCAAGTCAGTCTTACTGTTGCACCGATTCACGGATAGCTGGAAAGCTGCGATCTAGTTTCAATGGGACTGAATGATGGATCTGGTCCGCCCCCCAAATTTTCATGCTTTCAAACGCAGTACAGTGGTTCCCCGTTTAATTTCACTCTCAATAAGGTAAACCCTCAGTTATTTCAACTTTTATCTATACCCCCTTTAAGCATAGAACACTGCTTGAATCACCCTCGTTTTGTGTCAACCCTAAGTAGTCTCAACACTCTATAGACCCCCTTTGAGGTTGAAATTAAACGGGGAATCACTGAAGGTGATGGTACTTGGCGTGTGTGTATCCATCATCATTATCACTGAGAACAAAAACGGATGGCTCTTGTACAACCTGAGAAAAAGAACGCATCCATTCCTTGTTTCTGCTGCGATATAAAATCTTCAAACAGCCACGCAAAGAAGACAGTCGAGTTTGAAGATATACTTTGTTTGTTACTGTATTTCCGCCGTCAATTGGTCACCTTTTTGAAAAACTTGGTCACTTTTTAAATTTCAATTGGTCACTTTTTTGAGTTTCAATTGGTCACTTTTCTGAAGATCACTTGGTCACTTTTCAGAACTTCAATTGGTCACTTTTTTTTAGCCTCAATTGGTCACTTACAGTGCCTCCAGTGTCAATTGACGCTTTTTAAGATTAGCTCACGCTTTTGAACATCCCAATTAGCGCTTTTCTTAGAATCCAATTTGCGCATTTCATTGGCCCAATTTGCGCTTTTGACCAAACCAAATCGCATTTGCTGTAGATTATTTTCTTTTCACTAAAGCCTGAAAATTCAAAAGTCGTACTGTTGCATTATTCAATAAACCTCTATAACACTATAAATGAAATCAGTTTAAAAGCCTTTATATAGAAATGAATGACTTGGTTATGCTTTGTTTCATAGGTTATACATGATATTGGACTACAGGAGAAAAAAAATATGAGGGGGAGCGAGAAACCTTACACCAAAGAGAACGCGGGGATTTTTTGTTTGCGACGTTTGGGATTGATTGCATCAATTGGTGGAGCAGCGTCTTCTTCCTCAAGTGCTCTTGAGATTTTGTACCGAGTCTCTATTTGATGCTCATACAAAAGGAATAATCGCTTGAAGTCGTCTACCTTTTGTAGAAGGCACCCAATTTGGCCAATTTCTTTAGGTACATCGATGGACAAAATCTCAGCCAATTGTGTGATTTCTTCTGTGAATGCTGAGACCAAGTAGAACACCATGTGATAACCAATGCATTGCACCACCATCACCTTGCAATTGTTTTTCCTTAACATCAAACGGCGAGAAAATGTGCCTAAACGAACCAAGTCCATGAATGCCAACTCGGGATTGGATTCGAAATCTGGCGGCTTCACTTCTACGTATCCCAAAGTAACAGTATCTGCTTTTTGCTGGATCGCAACAGTGGTCGCATCTGGTCGGAATATCGCTGTATTTTCATCTTTACGATTTAACCACATGAGATGCTTGTTGTTGTCAGGGCAATGAAATATAGGCGAAAGAATTGGGTCCAAAAAATTCACCGTCAACTCCATTTCTCCTACAGGAGAAAGTCGTTCAAAGTTGGGCAGTTTGGTAGCCAAATTAGCGAATATCTCGATGATATTTCGATCCTCTTTGGAGGCAACTTCAAATAGTCGGTTGATTTCTATCTTCAACTTTGTTCGGTCGGTTGTCTTGTTGACATCTCGAAACGAGGTGCATAGTGACAAGTACATCATGCTGTCAACTGTGACATCTTTGGTCATTGCTTTCGCTCTGATATTATTCAGGAGGTATTCGGTATCGACATGCTTGGCGAGTTCTGGACACATCTGTCCTTCCTTGAGTAATATTATGTTTTGACTTGCTAACACTTTGTGAACTTCGGTTTGCAAATTGAATCCGTGCTTTCTTGATTTGTCTTTACACGATTTGTTTAGGAAATAAAAAGATTGCAATCGATCTAGATAGATATGGAATTGAATCTTTTGCTTTTGTAACTTTGGAATATTACCCAGTAGAAATTACAAAAAAGAATAATCCTGAGTTAATGGCTTTAGAAACTTATTGGATTAAAATTTATTCTCCAACATATAATATTTTACTGGAAGCTGGTAATTCTTTAGGATATCAACATTCTGAAGAAATTAAACAGAAAATGAAAGAGATTTATTCCGATGAAAGAAGAGAACAAATTGGTCTCTTAAACAAAGGTAAATCTTTAACAGATTCTGTTAAGACTCAATTAAGAGAAAAAGCTCTTAATAGATCTGATGAAGTTAAAGATAAATATAGATTAGCTTCTTCTAAACCAGTAACAGTTTATAATCAAGATGGAACAGTTTATATAAAATTTTCAGGTATCCGAGTAATGGCAAAACATTTTGGATGCGATCATAAAACTATTAATAAAGTGATCGATACTGATAAATTATTTAAAAAACAATGGTATGTTAAATTAGATAAAACTAATTAACTTATCATTATGTCATAATAATATTCTATTTCTAATTAGTCATAGTCCTATTTGGAGAATTGTGTAATTTATACAAAAAAACAATTCAGTAGAATAGAATACCCTGACAGGGGTATTGAAGAGAATAACGGCCTCTTTGGCTATGTTGGTGAAAACGGTTAAAGATTATACATCTTTCTCAAGACCGTCGGTGGTGTATACCATCGCTACAGACTGGGTCACCAATGGGTGCCTGAAATGGTGCTTAATGTACAGTCGGATTTCCGAGGATATTTTATCCTACACAAGGCCTTAAATGATATTTATTAGAAAGGGAACTTACAAATCCCGGGGATTAATAAATTGATGAGGTACATGGGATATAAACCAGATGTCAATTTAATTGGTGTTTATATTTTGGAAATTGTATGTATTACCATGGGGTTAGATTTGGCCCACATACATTAAATGTATGTTAAAATCACTATATGCTGGGACACTCTAGAAACTTAAATACTTTCTAAGCCCGGGGGGCTTTCCCCATCGGGTTTCCCCCGAAGGGGGAAGTAATAATTTTAAGTGTATAAAGTGAGTTATCAGCAGGAAAATAATTCCTCAGAGACTATATGTGATAACCATTTTAATAAATGGTTAAGAGAAAGTCCATTTTATCAATTTGACTCCTATTGAGATCAGGATAAAAGCAATATTTTGCAGAATATTTATTATATTCTGCTATTACTCCTGTAATTATCTCTAATGGGGCGCCTAAACTACCACAAAAAATTGTGGATTTAGTTATTGGTTCTTTACTAGGTGATGCATCTGTAGAAAAACGAGGTAACAGTGCAAGAATTGAATTTAAACAAGGATCCAATCATGCAAGTTATCTGTACTTTATTTATTTTCAATTTTTATTTTGGGGGCTAGTTTCTATAACAGCACCAATTCCATTTAAAATTGGAGATGGTAAAGGTGGTAAACATTTAGTATTAAGATTTAGAACTCGAACATCGGCTAAATATACTTGGTTTAGAAATCTTTTTTATCCTGAAGGTAAAAAAATTGTACCACCTAATATTACAGATTATTTAACACCTAGAGGTTTAGCATATTGGATTATGGATGATGGAGGATATCATAAATCAGGTTTAATTATTCATACTAATAGTTATACTAAAAAAGATGTAGAATTATTACAATTTGTTCTTCTTAATAAATTTAAGATTAAAACCAATCTTTGGTTAAAAAATAATAATAATAATTATGTTCTTTACGTTCCTGCATCTAGTTTATCTACAGTACGTAAATTAGTATTACCATATATCCATTCTTCTATGAAATATAAAGTACACGCCAATAAATAACTAGTATTAGGCATTATGAGATAATATGCAAATGTCTCTATGGGGTGCAACAGTAATTACTAACTTACTTTCTGCTATCCCTTGGATCGGTAAAGACCTGGTAGAATTTATCTGGGGAGGTTTCAGCGTCTTATCGGCGCCACAAGATAGTGATATCTTGTTGCAAATCCTGCTTATTGCTGGAACATCCTCTATTTTAGGAGTTGGATACGTTTCTAATTTTAATAATAGATACGTGAAAAAGCCAACAACATGGGGACAATCAGCAGTGGTTAAAAATTATTCTAACATGAATAATTTTGAAGCTATTCAGAGACTAAATGCAGGAGATCTAGTATTTGCCTACTTAGTAGGATTAATTGAAGGAGATGGATGGTTTTCAGTTACCAAAAATGGTAAGTATATTAAATATGAATTTGGTATCGAAATGGATATTAGAGATATTCAATTATTATACAAAATTAAAGAAATTTTAGGAGTAGGGACAATTAATATTAGAGAAAGAAATCAAAGAAAAACGTGTTTATATAGAATTAGAAATAAATCACATTTAAAATTAATTGTATTACCGATTTTTGATAAATATCCTATGTTTTCTAATAAACAATATGATTATTTAATGTTTAAAAAATTACTCTTAAATGAAATTAATTTTTCTAAAGATTTATCTGATTACATTAGACCTATTGAACCTTTAAATTCAATTGAAACAATTTTAAATAAACCATATTTTAAACCTTGGTTAATTGGATTCATTGAAGCTGAAGGTTGTTTTAGTATTTATAAACCTGTTAAAGATAATTCAAAAGTAGCTAGTTTTGATGTTTCTCAAACAAATGGTTTAATTTTGATTGAGGCAATTAGAAAAGAATTATCTTTAACTCCTAATGCATTTCAAGATAAAACAAATGGATTTAAATTAAAAGTTTCTAGTGCAAGAGCCGTAGAAAATGTTGTAAAATATATGCAAAAAGCTCCCTTAAAATTAATGGGTTATAAAAAATTACAATATTTATTATGGCTAAAAGAACTTCGTAATATTCCTAGATATTCCAATAGATTTAATATTCCTGATAAATATTAATCGTTTATTAACTATTTATTCCTTCAAATAAATACAAGATCGTGATATAGTCCGAACAGTTATGAGAATAACTGTGTGTAACAAGAGGTAATTAAATTTAATTACCGGAGTTACCAACATATTGTGATAATGCTACTCTAAACCGATTCTTCAGTCTTCACTACTTATTACCATTCATCTTAGCAGCTTTAGCTGTAATGCATTTAATTACTTTACACGAACATGGATCAAGTAATCCTTTAGGAATTACAGCAAATGCTGATAGACTATATATGCATCCTTACTATACATTTAAAGATTTAGTAACTATTTTCTTATTCTTCTTAGTATTAGGATTATTCTTATTCTATGCTCCAAATAAACTTGGTCAAACTTCAGGGATGGCCGTTCAACAAAGTAATTTGTTGAATTATGATATCGCTGTATGCTGGGACAGTTTAGATATTATTAGTACTCGAAATGTAAGTGCAATTTTAGTGCCCTTTTCAGTTAAAATCTATAATATTGTAGACCAATCAGCAGGAAACCAACGAGATTTTTATACTACAATGGGATCCTCAGAGACTACACGCGATATTTCCGATTTAATCTTGCCAAAGTCTAATACAAAAGACACTAATGGCTCAGATAAAAATGAAGATTTTAATTATTGGTTAGCCGGACTAATCGATGGAGATGGAACACTCTCAGTATATAAAAGCAATGCTCAAGTATGTGAAATTACTTTGGGTGAAGAAGATGTTAAAACTTTATACAAAATTAAACAAAGATTCCATGGGTCTGTTTTAAAAAGAAGTAAAGTTAAAGCTTATAGATGGAGAGTGTCCAAAAAATTATATGAATTCAATTTTTCTTCGATCGATGAAGCGGCAGCAGTAGATGAGGAAGCACCAGCAGTAGATGAGGAAGCGCCAGCAGTAGATGAGGATGAGAAGGAAGACGCACCAGGCACAATCTATAACAGATTTTTTCATTTTATCAATACATCTATCGATATCATTTTTGAATAAGCTATTTTTTTAATACTATACTTTTGGTGATCGTTTCAGTCTCAAGATTAATCTCTCTGAGGCAGCATTCGTAGCTTCGTCCAAGACTTTGCTTCCATTCACCATTGCGTTCGTTTGAGATTTTGATTGTTGAAAAATTCTCTTCATATCTACTTTGGCCTTGCGTTTGTATGATTTTTTCATGATATCCTTGTACACTTGCTCGAACTTTGAAGTAAAAGACTTCAATGCATCGTCATATTCAACAAATGTCTCAAACCAAACAATCAACGCCTCTATGTGGTTTTCATCGTTATTGATGAAGCCTTGTATAGTTGATCTTGCCTTTTTAGTTTTGACGTAATTTTCTAATGCTACAAAAAACACCTGTAATTAGACTCGTCGCTTCCGCCAACACGCAGTATGCTTACCTTGGGCTAAATCTGACATTGTGGAGGGAAAGATGCAAGAGGTAAAGCAAGTAAATTGATCGAGAACAATTATTTGTGGTGATATAAGTAAATCAATTCTGCATCGACGCGATTTACTTACATCACCACAAATAATTATTGTAATAGCGGTCACGCAATAGTGGAGTTTTTTTTTACCTGGTAAATTATTTTTTTCCAGGCGAGTAACAGACACTTTCTATCATTCCAGTGCAATAATGAAGGAGTCCACTCACATTTGCCTTATTGCTATGGGTTTGGTACTGTCCAGTTTCTGGATGGGTCCTCAGCGATTATTTGCTTTTCAATACGTTGACTAGTGATTCTCGCGTCTCTTATTGCTTTTAGAGATTGCCAAAAATGATCATGGTATGTCTATAACTACTATCTTTTAGCTGCGGTATGATTAACTTTCATTGTTTCTTATATACATGTGCCTGGCAAGAACACGAATCAGAGTGAGTTACCCGATGCAATGATGAAGGAGTCCACTCACATTTGCCTTGTTGCTATGGGTTTGGTACTGTCCAGTTTCTGGATGGGTCCTCAGCAATTATTTGCTTTTCAATACGTTGACTAGCGATTCTTGCGTTTCTCATTGTGTTGGGGCCTAATGATAGCATGCGTGAGACTCGTGTAGCATGTTATCGATTGCAATAATGAAGGAGTCCACTCACATTTGCCTTGTTGCTATGGGTTTGGTACTGTCCAGTTTCTGGATGGGTCCTCAGCGATTATTTGCTTTTCAATACGTTGACTAGCGATTCTTGCGTCTCTTATTGCTTTTAGAGATTGCCAAAAATGATCATGGTATGTCTATAACTACTATCTTTTAGCTGCGGTATGATTAACTTTCATTGTTTCTTATATACATGTGCCTGGCAAGAACACGAATCAGAGTGAGTTACCCGATGCAATGATGAAGGAGTCCACTCACATTTGCCTTGTTGCTATGGGTTTGGTACTGTCCAGTTTCTGGATGGGTCCTCAGCAATTATTTGCTTTTCAATACGTTGACTAGCGATTCTTGCGTTTCTCATTGTGTTGGGGCCTAATGATAGCATGCGTGAGACTCGTGTAGCATGTTATCGATTGCAATAATGAAGGAGTCCACTCACATTTGCCTTGTTGCTATGGGTTTGGTACTGTCCAGTTTCTGGATGGGTCCTCAGCGATTATTTGCTTTTCAATACGTTGACTAGTGATTCTCGCGTCTCTTATTGCTTTTAGAGATTGCCAAAAATGATCATGGTATGTCTATAACTACTATCTTTTAGCTGCGGTATGATTAACTTTCATTGTTTCTTATATACATGTGCCTGGCAAGAACACGAATCAGAGTGAGTTACCCGATGCAATGATGAAGGAGTCCACTCACATTTGCCTTGTTGCTATGGGTTTGGTACTGTCCAGTTTCTGGATGGGTCCTCAGCAATTATTTGCTTTTCAATACGTTGACTAGCGATTCTTGCGTTTCTCATTGTGTTGGGGCCTAATGATAGCATGCGTGAGACTCGTGTAGCATGTTATCGATTGCAATAATGAAGGAGTCCACTCACATTTGCCTTGTTGCTATGGGTTTGGTACTGTCCAGTTTCTGGATGGGTCCTCAGCGATTATTTGCTTTTCAATACGTTGACTAGCGATTCTTGCGTCTCTTATTGCTTTTAGAGATTGCCAAAAATGGTCATGGTAAGTTCACAGGCTGTCTCTTTTCCAACCAAACTATTTATTTTATTTTATTTTCTTTTTGTATACGTCTGATGAGAACGCGAACATAGCGATGCAATACTGAAGGAATCCTCTCATGCCTGTCATGTTGCTCTGTAAGAGATGCCGTTCAGTTTATCTGGATGGGTCTTTAGTGATACCTGTCTTTTGATTCTTTGAAAGACGACTGTTGCGTTCACTGTTGCTTTGGAGTTTGGTAAAACTGATTGTATGAATAAAAAGTGTCAAAAGATCAGTAAGAGAATTTACTACCGCCAAGTTGGGAAAGCATATTATGGTTGCTCTCATTTCGCTCCGAACAGAGAACACCATACCCCAATGTAGTAATGGAAAATAAATTTTCCGTTTTCCTTCCAAAAGAGGGCTTCTCGGAGGCCTCCAATTTTGGTAACGGCTTCTCCGATGGGAAGGCCTCCGTGGTGGCTCGCTCGGATCGATATAAAAGGAAACTGTCACTTCATGAATAATAAAAGATTGAAAGAAAAATACACCTCTATTTTTCATCTATTCTATCTGCTTTTATCAAAAAATGAACAATATTCCACCATCAGCTATTATTCGCAATCGCGTTGTTATTCATGCAACACCTCGGGGTATGTACAGAAAAGGAAGTTTCTCGGCGCGTTGCGCCTTTATCTCGATCCGAGTAGAGAGGACTTTAAATTTTTGCAAAACTGTTTTGGGTTCTCTGTTCGGAGCGAAATGAGAGCAACCTATGAACAACTCCCTCAAAGTATCTCTTTTGTAAAATTATCATACATAAAGCTGTAAATCTTTTCGATCTGATCATGTATTATGTTTACTTATAAGAAGGAAATTAGGTATTTTTTGAGAGAGGAGGCTTTACGTAGTGGAGTTAACGTATACCCTATGCTACTTGAGTTGGTTACTGGCGCTTGTACAGATGTATTTATCTACAAATGAATTCTTCTAATTCGAGTTCATATACAAAGTGTATGCAATAGTAAGTTGCGTCATTTTCCGCATCCCGGAGCACAAGAGCTCCCGCTCTTTTAGACATGAGTCGCCATTCTGTGAACATGTTTGACAAATGTCTTCGAATGGAACCCATTTAATACATTTTGTTTGCATCTCTTGAATAACAATATCCTGTGCAAAAGAAAGTTGAATGTATCTATTAAATACGCCATTTGGGATCGCCAAAAGAGCTAATTGAGCTTTTAAAAAGCGTGATTTGGTTTGGTCAAAAGCGCAAATTGGGCCAGTGAAATGCGCAAATTGGATTCTAAGAAAAGCGCTAATTGGGATGTTCAAAAGCGCGAGCTAATCTTAAAAAGCGTCAATTGACACTGGAGGCACTGTAAGTGACCAATTGAGGCTAAAAAAAAGTGACCAATTGAAGTTCTGAAAAGTGACCAAGTGATCTTCAGAAAAGTGACCAATTGAGGCTCAAAAAAGTGACCAATTGAAATTTAAAAAGTGAATAATTGACGGCGGAAATACAGTATTGTTGCCATCCTACCTGACTTTGCCAAACTACAACTACGACTACGCTTTTTGCCACTGTTGTACCTGGTGCGTAGAAGATTCCTGCTCCCTCTCCTCCCACCCCTTCCCCTTTTCTCTTTTCCCCACCACACACACTGAATTATAACGCTCATTCACTGCAGCGTTTTGACAATCTTTCTCTATCATTTAATTATTATTCTTTACATAGTTCTCAATCCGCTCATTGAATCTTTCTTTTGCCAACTCAACCTTCGCATTCATTTAAGGAGACAATAATCCTGCTTATTTTGAAACCCATTCTCGATTTGTACTTTTTTCACGCATACCATCGTTTTATATACTCCAATCTTTTCTGCACAACGAAACTGCCGACCCTCTTCAAAAAGAAGTAATGCAAGTTGATTTCGCCGATTGAATTCAACATCCTGCATAACATTGGTTTTATTGTTTTGGTTTGAATCCTCACGCACGAACGAACACGCGCACGCACGCACACCCCTTCCCCCTTTCCTTTCAGGTAAGGTGTTAAAAACGGGAATGAAATCATTAACTAAGTTGTCGCCACCCAAAGCGAATCACTAACATGTTGCAGTTATTTCTGTTTTTTGTTGAACAAACAGGATATACCTCTCTTTGCACGCAGCAAGAGATAGAAGCAAAAGTAACGACTCATTTTTTTCTTATCTCGTAATATATAATCAATATTAACTACGACACCCACAACCATGGGGTCCTCCTATGCTCACCTCTCGCGTTCTATTAACGCTACTATTTAGAGATATCAGCCCATGTCATCAATTCATTCCACATGCGAAAATATACCCAAACCATCACTCAGCTCATCAACCACAACCTCATCCTCATCTACAAACGAACGGTGGCAAAAGCGTCAGGCCGAACGAATGCGTCAGCTGCAGGATATGGAGCAGCAGATCACGGATGCGACGAATCATAGTAAGCGCCGAATCGATTTAAGAATGTCAGACCAACATGATCGCCGGCTATTGGACGACGTCGATTCACGCAGATCCTCGACTACCCCAAGTGCAACATCATCATCCATTTACGACGATAGTCATAATAATAATTACAGCAGCACCTTATTCCGCTCTAGTAGTAGAGGAAGAGGAGAAAGAATGAGTGCAAACGGATCTGAAGTTATAGGAATGAATGACAAGCGCCAATCAGCACTATCATCAACATCTTTTAAGCGTGGGAGCAGTAACAGCGGCAGGCAGCAGCAGCAGCATGCTGACAAAATTGACTTGCGTGACGCCAGTCTAGAAGATTTGGAGGATTTGATTGCAGCATCGGCACAACGCCTCGCTAACTATCGATTGCAAAAGTCTTCAGAAGCGCTCGTGAGCCATGGTCGGTCCGATAGCAGTAGTGGGAGCTTAGTTTATTCGCCTACAAAAATTAGTCATAATATGGGCCATGACAACAGCAGCCACTTTGCTGATCTCCTAGGTGATGACGTTGACAACGACGAGGACGACATGAACGACGAGGACGATGGTCGATTGACACAATCGGATGCCAATTTGAGTTTTTCAACGGGTGCATCCTTGTTGGACGATTCGTATCCACCACACTCACCAGGAGCCGTCGAGCCAAGATGTTCTGTTACTACACATAGCTCAGGAGCAGGAGAAGCAGCGGCGACAGTAGCAGCAGCAAAGAAGGAGAAGAAAGTTGTAACTTCCCCTACTGCGTCCTACGTCAGCAGTATTCGCAACAAGTTCGAGATGGCCGGCAGTAACGATTTTGACAAATCTCAACAACTGATTCTTCAGTTTGATCCTCTTTTATCCACAAAACAAAACAAGCAACAACAGCTGCAGCAACAGCACCAATCGGCACTACAGCATCATCAACAGCAACACCTACACCACCAGCGAGCAGAACAGTTGGACTTGTTGACTGGATCGCCGTCGTCGTCAGACGAAATTACGATGCGGTCAACACAGCCGGTACTTTCACCTTCTCAATCCAACCTTCGCTCAGTAGCCGAAGCCAAGGAGAGACGAGCAAGACGACCCTCTGAACTGAATGTGAGCGAACTGATGAAAGATCGTGCTGCAAACAACAACAGCAGCAGCGCCAAGCGATCCTCTGAATCACCGAAGACACCGACTCGACTCCCCACTCCACGATCATCAAACGCTTCTGGGACTTTTCCCAGAGCCAGTTTTCCTGCACCATCCAGTTCTCCCAGCAGCAGGCGGATACGTACACTTTCCACTGTGGACAAGGATCAGGACACTCTCAAGTGGATTGAAAGCGAACTGAAGGCCGACAACAGTAGCAGCAGCAGCAGTACTACCAGCAAGACCAGTTTGACAGGACGGCGATCGCTCACGAAACCCCCTTCTTCTTCTACCACTGTCCTCGAGAACAAACGTGTACAATCTATCATCATGTCGCCTCCATCCCGTTCATCAAGCACCTTACGCAAAAGCACTTCTAACATTCACAAAAAGATTGGGTTTGCTGATCATGATGGCGATGATGAAAGGACTGGATCCGGCAGTAATCCCGTACGACAGCGAAAAACCAAGAGCACTCATACATTGCGCAGCTTTGACGGTGCTGCCAGCGGTGATGGTAGCAATGGTGGTGAGCACGTGGCCAGTCGATCGGCGCGAACTCGGACTATTAGTATGCTTTCAGCCGGCACTGGCGCGAATAGGAGGAGTGTGGGGGATCATCTTGCGGATTTTGATCCTCTTTTGGAAGATGAGAAGATGATGAGCGCCTCGTTATTGGATGACGAGGAGGAACATCGATGGGAGCCATCCAAGAAGAAATATCCCCCGCTGCGGGCGCGAGTGGTCTCCATGACGGCCAGCAGCAGTACCAGCCATGACTCTGCGCGAAAGGTTGCACAGGAACGCGCTAACAGGACGAAGCGTAGAAGTAATGGCGCTGCACCCCGGCCTCACGAGACCCAATCCATGACCACAAAGGCTGTCTCTGGACGAAAGAGAGGAAAGGTAAGAAAAGAAAGTGAAGGGAAGAGAGAAACGAGGAAAGAAGAAAGAAAGAAAGAAAGGAAAGAAGGGAACGCTATATTCTTCTGTCTTCCTTATTTCTGCGACGGGCTTGAAACAGTAAGGCGGAAAGAAGAGTGGATGTATGCGTATGTGCAGTGATGCTGGTGAAAAATAAAGAGACATAAACAAAAGGGAGGCGGTGACAGGGAACGAAAAAGGGCCAAACTAAAATATAATATCGAAATGCACTTTTTGTCATTCTAATGCATAACGCTCTCTTCTTTCTCTTTCTTCATTTTTACCACTCTCTCACCTTCTTTGTAGACATTCTCAGGGAGCTTAGCATCGCCTTCAATGGCTCCATTGGCATTGCCACCCATGAAAATGGAGCCGCTCGGTCTGGCGGTTCCTGACAATCCAAAAGAAACAGCAGCAAAGCACCTGACTCGCTCAGCAGCAAGAACGCCGACACGCATTCCGTTACCCATTTCCTCGCGCACCTCACGACAGTCGCGTTACCAAGACAGCAACACCAACTGCAGCAGCACAGCAAGCGAAGACGAATTGTCTGGTTCAGAAAGAGAGCGACCTTTATTATTAAACTGCAGCAATAACACTACCAGCAACAATGTCAAACTCAAAAAGAACAACGACTTGACAATGACGGGCGCAGCCAAGGTTGGACCAACAACGACCGTTTATTCCGGCTCGATGGTTGTATCCAGCAGTACGAGCGCACGTTATAGCGGGAGCAACAGTAGCAGCACTAAACCGTCAGCAAGTTCATCCATACGGACTACGGCTTCAACAAAAACACCAAAGCGTAGTAGTAGTAGCAGTCGGCCACACAAGGTGCCATCCACCACGACGTCCGAAAACGGCATCACGCGCCAACGAAAGCTGAGCACGTTGTCTTCATCAGCAACAACTTCAGCAACAACAAAGTCATCGGCTATTGGAGGTAGGAAGCATTCTATTGTCAATGACATTTTACACGATCACTTGGGCAAGGAGAAACAACACAAATCGCACGCCCCGGCTTTGAACCTCGTGTCAGCGCACGGACTGATTAGCCCACCAGAATCTATCAAAGGAAACAAACCGTCAACGGTAGCAGCATCTGATGGCTCAACATACCACACGATCCCACGTCGAAAACCCACGTTACTGCACGAACGGTTACAAGGACTCGTTGATGAAAGCAATCATCCAACCAACAGTACGAGCACAGCGTGGGGCTCGCTAGTCGAGCGGGAAAAGAAGTCAAAGCCGCATCATGAACCTAGTTCTGAGGTCACGGTATTGCGTGGAGGCAGCACGAGTACAAGCACCACTGCCAGTGCAAAGGAAGAAATGGCCAATGTTGTATCTGGGCAGAATTGGCATAGCTCTTCCCCATCTTCTGAGCATTCGAAATACATCCGTGAACGGGAAAAGGGGATACGCGTTGCTCTGAGCCCACAAGGTAAAAACGAATGCCTAGATATGCGTGTGTGTGAAAGAGATTGTTTGATTCTATGCATGCTTATCCCACCCCGCTATGTAACTTTTAGCTGCATTGAAACTTTATCAGCCTAGCTTATCGCCATACGAAAAGAAGGAAATTCTCGAGTACTCGCAAATCTTTTTCGTTGGTAACCATGCAAAGAAGCGCCAAGCAACGCACGACCACCCAACGTGTAATCATGGCTATGACGATGACAGAGGCGACTATCACATTGTTCTTCGCGACCATCTTGGTTATCGTTACGAAGTTTTGGAGCTGCTCGGCAAAGGGTCCTTTGGCCAGGTTCTGAAATGCTTCGATCACAAAACCGGACAAATGGTGGCGGTCAAGATCATCCGCAATAAGAAGCGCTTCCATGCACAAGCACTTGTTGAAGTCAAGATCCTCAAGGATCTCGTACAATGGGTAACCTAGCATTAGGTGTTGTCACTACCTACATTATAGCAACTAACTCAATTCTTTACTGCTGCATCTCGTACAGGACCCTGAGGACAAGCATAACAATGTACGAATGTTGGATAACTTCTATTTCCGCAGCCATTTATGCATTGCATTTGAATGCTTAAGCATAAATTTGTACGACTTTATCAAGAGCAATGACTTCCAAGGATTCAGTATGGGATTGATTCGTCGGTAAGGAGAGAAGAATTCATGCAACGCCATGTATGATTCTGTAACACGAGGCACAAAAACTGACGGGGTTCTTTTTTTGCATATATCTAGATTCACTATTCAATTACTCAACTCCCTTGTATTGCTGCACAAACACAAACTTATTCATTGCGACTTGAAACCAGAGGTATGCACATTTATTTTACAGCAGCAGACCACCTCATGTTCGCTCACACCATCACCGAATGCATCTAAACTTTGACAAAAATACGTTAGAACATACTTCTGAAACATCCAACAAAGAGCTCGATCAAGGTCATTGATTTTGGCAGCTCATGTCTCGAGAACGAGAAAGGTAAGGAGAAGTATATATCGTCAGAAAATGGGAGGCTGTTTGTATCATTTATTAATCAGAGGGAGAATGCCACGCACATCTTAGTTTATACCTACATCCAAAGCCGATTTTATCGATCACCAGAAGTAATTCTGGGCATGGAGTACAGCATGGCGATTGATATGTGGAGCATTGGATGCATATTGGCGGAATTGTACACAGGTTAGTAGTAAACAAAAAGAGGATATAAACAAAGCCCCCTCCCCCACCTCTTCTCACTCTGAAAGAAATGAAGAACTGATAACCAACAACATGTGCTTACTGAACTACTCTGTTTATTCAGGATGCCCCCTATTCCCAGGAGAGAATGAACAGGAACAACTGGCTTGTATAATGGAGATCCAAGGCATACCAGACAAACAATTGATAGACAAAAGCTCACGGAAAAAGTTTTTTTTTGGTAAAGTTTTGTTTGTGTAAGAATTGAGGGACAGGAGTACACAAGATGGTAGACTCACATGATGCATACTCTCTCTCTCTCTCTCTCTCTCTCTCTCTCTCTTTCTCTTTCTCTATCTCACCAGATTCTACCGGAAACCCAAGGATATCGCCCAATTCCAAAGGACGGAAACGAAGGCCGGGGACAAAAACGTTGGGACAGGCGTTGAAGTCTTCGGATGAGAACTTCATTGACTTTGTCAACCGATGTCTGCGATGGGATCCAGAACGACGGTTGAAACCAGAAGAAGCATTCAAGCATGCGTGGATAGTCCGGTCATCATCAGCGAAAAGGCAAGCTCGATGATGGCAACGATGGTCGTGTCGTTATATATAAAGAATAATAAATAATACATAACAACAAGTGACAAATAGCAAACAAACAATAATGATGTGCCATTCTACACGTAAAAACACACAACGTGTTCCCTTTATTTTGTACCGTATTTTTTGTCCATGATGTTTTTGACCATTTGATAGTCTCGATTAAGTTTTTGTTTGTCAGACATGCCTCGTCTCTGTTCTCGGTTACGCTTCCGTCCATCCCCAAGCTTGACACCATACTGGAATGCGCTTTTCGGATGAATTTCCACCGAATCCTTGTACTTCTGCCACTGTTCTTCATTGTCAAAGTCCCATCGTGTAAGCTGTGCCTTCTTGTTACGATGTGTGCCTTGATCTACTAGCGATGTCGATGCTGCTCCGCTGCCGCTGCCACCGCGCTCTTCTTGGTCTTCCTCGTCAGAGTCATAGGCAACCGTGCGTTGTCGATCTTCAAATGAGGTAGGTAATGCGCTAGTACCGAGACCATACATGTCGATATCCATGGCATCGGCATCTTCCTCCTCCTCGAATTTTCGACGCTTGACTGGCTGTTGTTCCTTATCCTCCAGCTGTTGCTGTTGCTCAGAATCACCCTTCTTCACTTGTGACAGTAGCTCTGATACTTCCCGCATCTGGTCGCCTTCTTTTTCTTCTTCTTCTTCTTCCTCATCTGCCTGCTTGTCATTGCCAAAATAATTCCGTACAGTAGCTGCCTGCTTGTCTTTACTGCTTTCCTTTTCCATCGTTTCCTCGTCAAGCACGTAGTCCGTTCCAGCATCCGGGAAAATATCATCGTCAGAGTCAATAACCGGCGGTGGGCCACGTACTTGCTCTGGTTTCTTCTCTTCCTTTTTAACTGATTCGGACTTGGCTGGTACTGCTGGTTGTGGCCGCATGATTTGCGAGATTTTATTGATAACCAGCTCTGTTTCTGCCTGCAAATCCGTTCGTTTTCGTACCACATCGGCTTTGCTTCGAATCACAGTCGTTGGCAGTGCAAAAGCATCTGCATAATGCCCAACTTCATCCGCCAACTCAAATACAAAAGCCATGCGTCCTGGCATAAATAATTCGTTCGCTTGTTGTTTTGACGCTGTTACCAAGTGAACCAGATTCTTCGCCATGACAGAGCGAACTGCTACGCGCTCAACATCTTCATCGTGGTTTTCGCCGTCGTCGTCATCAACTATTAGCCTTGAGCCTTCTTGACCGAGCCGATCTAATGCGTCGTCAAGAGCCGCTTCACCTTTGGCGTCAGCGAGTTTACTGCCAAGATCGGTCCTGACTTTTTCTAACAAGCTATAATCCAAGCCTTTGACAAGATGCGTATGGTCGACGTCGCCACCAAGGTATTTTGATTGTTCGTATAATTGTTTGGCGTCTAAGGTTTCGTCTTGTTCTCGTGTCGTCTTTTGTAAGAGTTCTTCTGTCGATACCTCTTCTTGTTGTTCATTGTTACGTCGTTCAGCTGCACGATCGCGGTAGTTGGATGGTGTTGTGGCAGGAGTTTGTCGTGGTCGTTTTTTACGAATGGATTGAGGTGTGGCAAATACTGCACCTGTGTTTCGTCTGTTTAAAGTAGGTTTGGATATTTGAAGCACATACAGAGTCCATGTTTAGAATCGCCACGCCAATATAATAATTGATTACAATGACAAGAAAGCAAGGATGAGATGCAGTTGGAAACTTACGGTGCTTTGGGTGCAGGTGCCTTGAAGCGAGGTGTCTCTGATTCTGCGTCAGAAGAGGCGGGTGGTTGTCGTGGGGTTTGTAGAAGCTTTCGAAAATCGTCTTGGCTCAATCTAATAAGCAGATCTAAAGTAAATTTCAGCTGGATCTATGACGATGTGATTTCAATTAAATAAATATCTTACCCTGAGTCGGCCATATTATAAGAGTGAAAAGAAAAAGATAATGCGTTTGGCTGTTCGAGCTCCAGCAGCCCGATAAAATTTGGGCGGGAAAGAGGGTGACCCTTCAAATAAACGAGGTTGTGTGGGACACTATATTATACTAAAACTAAGTACCTGTATTTTAATATAGCCATAGTGTAAGAACATGGAGCTCTTTACTTTGGCTATCTAAAAACACAAAGCGACCAATATACTGTCTCAAATCCTGGCAGCCGCTTAAAGAAGAAGGAAACGCAACAATCGCCCCAAAAAATTCTTGCTTGCGTCAATGTCGACAATGAGTAATAACTTTGGATATGCCCTCCTTTACACAATCCAAGATAGAAGATGGATTAGTGAAATGATGTTTTGTATTGACACGCTGCTACTGGATGCATGACTACTTCCTGCGGTGAATGGCACCATGGAACCATTGTCATCATCCCCCGACTTTTCGAGCTGAGTTTAAAAGCCACTGAAATAAGGCAAAGGTTTTTTTTTCTGCAAAAGTTGATTTTCTCCTGCTTCCTTTCTTGCTTCTATTTATTTTTACCACCCCAAAAAAACTATGGACGAACAGGAACTGCGAGATACCAAAAGCCTCGCAACCTTCTCCATGACTCTCTGCCCATCGCTATCCCTCGATCTATGTCAACTCAACAATACAGGAAACCATGGTACAACGGTATGGGACAGCGCCAAAGTGCTCGCATTTTATTTAATGGACACGATCAAACGTCCTTCATGGACCATGGTCGACGGCAAACTCGAACTACAAAACACCAAAAAATGCATCGAACTCGGCAGCGGATGCGGTCTGGGCGGTCTGACCATGGCTGCTCTAGGTTTCGATACCGTCATGACTGATCTCCCATCCGTCGTCGAACACGTCCTCCAGGTCAACAAACAACGAAACGAACGTCATATCAAGGACTGGTGGTATCAGTTACTCGAACAGTCAACACATGACTCGACCATGACGCTCCAAAATCCTCGCGTGGGCGTTAAATCTCTGGATTGGCTCCAATATAGCGCTGATCCCGAAAAATGCACCACAGTAGACCCGCCATACAACTATATCCTTGCCGCCGATTGCATATATTGCACCGAAGTGTTACCGCCTCTTCTCCAGTCCTGCTGGAATCTCGCATCACCAACTACAACAATCCTTGTCGCGCTCGAGCATAGAGACGATATTGTCGTGAACGCGTTTGTCGAAAAAGCGAAAGAGTTTGGTTTTGATCCTCGAATGGTTCCCAGCAAGCAACTACGTACAGAAGTAATAGGAAATGAGGATATTGAGATTTGGAAACTTAAAAAGAAACGAAGCAAGTAACTCATCATGCCGTCCTCCTTTCTCTCTCCTAATCCTTCTGTCCCTTGTCCCTCTTCCTACAAATCAATGTAACTTACCTCAATCTTCCGATTTCTGTACATTTAATATTGTTATCATTGCATTCGTTCACCTTTTTTTGTTATTCGAATCAAATCGCCCATTGTCGTCTTATATCTGTATACACCATGCATCGTTAAACAAGACCCGCGTTTAGTATTGTGTCTTAGCTATTACTGCTTCTCCCTCTATATATACCTCTCCGCTCGCCCACTGCCGACAAGATCGTGCAATATAAATTCATGCCGAAAAATAGATCGTAGCTTTTTGGCTGCCAGTTGCTAAGTAGTTTATCAAGGTTCATTAATACATAGTGAACTAGATTTCAGAGCGAGATACCTAAATCCATCTGATAACATACCTTTTCAAGAATATCATGCGTCGGCCGCTTTTTCAGTATCCGTAGAATCTCAGTTCTTCCTTTCAGATAATGCGACATGAACATGCCTTGACGTCGAATGGCAAACCAATACGTATCCGTCTTTTGAATGTGTGGGAGCATCAACCCATGCTTGACCAAACATGAAACCTCTTTATCGTTGAATGTAAATTCTTCTGACTTTTGCGATACAGCCACATCGTTATGTCTTTTATCCAGAACGAATCTCTTGAACCGATCTGACGCAGAAAGGAAGAAAACTACTATTTAGTAACTACACCGAGTGAAGTGTAAAAAAAAAGGCGTACAGCAGCATACCAAACAGATCTGCAGTGACAACAATTCTTTCTGGCTTCTTGTTGTCTCCTCTGCTTTCTTCTTCAGCGATATATTCGCGCTTTGCATCGTCAATTGTCGCAACATAATCAGTCGTTTTCATGATTGCAAACTCGTCTTCCAATGATCCTACGATATGAAACTTTCTCCAGGATCCTGTATCGATTGCTTCTTTCTAAAAGCATTTTTTTTTGCGTATGTGAGCTTGAAGTGTATATCGACATTATTATAACACTCGCCCTGTTCTTAAGCTTTACCAACTCTCGATCCACCGCTGTATTATCCGGAAGAATACTGTAAATCTGATGAAGGAAGCATATACGCGGAAGTTTTGCAGCCACGTCTGTACGCTTTGCTTTGTCCGTCAGAGACAATTTGTCGATAAGATATTGCGCAGTAACCACAGTGTCCGAAATGTCGAATAGATCCAAATCGCCAAACTCATCGTCCTCATTTTCTTCAAGACGATCAGGAGTTGTACTGGCAGCGTTGTTACAACGCAATTTCTTTTCCGAAGCTCGTCTTTTGACGCCATAAACGTCAGGTATATCAGATATTTGGTTAACTACCGCAGCATACTGTTCTCTGCCTCGTTTTCTACTCGCTCGATCCATAGGTTACACAAAATTAACGAAGAAAGAGAGAAAGAAAGTTATTACACCAGTGCGCAGCATATCCTTTAATTATAGAGAGAGAAAGATTTCATACTCAGCAACAAAATTGATGACGTGGTCTTCTCAAATACTCACTATCTGCTGAAACTCTTTTCCCTCTCTCTGAATCATATTTCAAAGGACCGAGGCGAGGGAAAAAAAAACCTTCAATGTTGGCATTGAACACTTCTGATTTTTTACCACCATCACCTCAAAGCATGGAGACAGACAACACACGGCCAACAATGTCTCCTGCAAGCAAACGCTTTTGCACCCAAGTCCTTTCTAAATTGTTCAAAAGTCGACACTCGCTTGCTTTTCGCATTCCTGTTGATCCTGTCGCTTTGAATTGTCCCGATTACTTTAACATTGTCAAGCATCCTATGGATCTCAGCACCGTGCAAAAAAAGCTCGATAACGATGAATACGAGTCAGTTGACGCGTTTGTCGACGATATACGATTAATCTTTGACAATTGCCACAAGTACAACAATCCAGCCGATCCAGTTGCTGTGGAAGGTCGAAAGATGGAGGCAGCATTCAATGATTTGCTGGAAAAGCGACCATCTACAGTAAGTTTTTCCTCTCTCCCTCCACTGTCAGCTATGTGTGCGGTGTGTGGTCCGGAAAAGGAAGGAAAAGAAGCATCGTGTGCCTCATTGGCACAATTTGCTTTTTTATTCTCTTTTTGACCAGAATTACTAAACATGAACTATATTGTTCACACACTAAATACTATCACTGTGCAAATTGGGGGGGAACAGACATATCCTGGTGTAGAACCCACCGAAATAATGCCTGAGGATCAGCAAAAACGTTGTGAGGGTGCACTCAAAGAAATGAAGAGAAAGAAACACGGAAATTATAATTGGCTGTTTATAAATCCTGTGGACGCGGTCGCATGGGGAGCAACCGATTATTACGATATCATCAAAAAGCCCATGGATCTCTCTAAAATCCAAACGAACCTTGACGAATATCAGTACGCCAATGAAGAAGAATTCGCAGCAGACGTTCGCTTAATGTTTCAAAACTGCTACACCTATAATAATCCTCAGCACCCTGTCTACAATCAAGGAAAGACACTCGAAAAAGTTTTTGACACATACTGGGCAAAGGAACACTCGTCTTCATCTTCTAAAGGTGTGTGTGTAGTCTAGACGACTCATTGAAACAACCATGTGTGTGTGTGTGGCTATTTTTCCAAGTACGTGCTAACGCAGCTTGTTGTTCGATTATTATTATTATTATCATCAGCCAAAAATTCAAAGAAGTCATCTTCCTCAACAAAGTCGAAGCATGTGGCTAAATTACCAGAGAAGGTCAAGGAAGAAGATGGTATGTTGTTATATGGTCTTGCATACGTTGTTTTTTTTATCATTGCGATTAATCAGAAAATCCTGTGAAACAATCAGCTGCTGTGAGCCAAAAGAGGACCTCTGATCATCTTGACAGCCGGGATGACAGTAGCAACAAGAAGAAAAGTGGTATGTTGTCATGTATATTGTTTGTCGCATGATGGCAGTCTTGTATAATGTTAAGAAAGAGGTTCTTATGCATGAAGTACTTCTTGGTAGATCCACCCAACTTACTTCGAATCAAACTTTCACATACCAACAAAGACATCACTGAGTCTAATGACGTTGGAAAACAAAACGAGGAGCAGGTTAGATATATTTTATTCTTGGTTTTACACATAGTAGCAATCAGCAAGGTCTAACCGTACTTTATCGATTTCCAGGTCTCGCCTCACACACCCTCATCCTCATCATCACTTGCATTTTCATCAACACCAGCATTATCATCGCATACGAGACCATTAGCCATTTCAAAAGAACCCCCACCATCATCCTCATCTCAACCCAAATCACTTGCATTATCCGCCACCAAACCCGCCGCCGCCACAACTAAACATTCATCAGCATCAGCACACCCTCCCTCTTATCTATCCACTCAACGACGACCGTCCGATGATAACAATCGCGTAATATCAATACCAGACGCTCGTAAACGAGAGGTAAGCGTTCACAAGACAATTAACTGCCAATGATACACACAGACACAATGTACTTACCCCATGTGTTCTTGTGTTTTTTTTATCATGAACAGTCTAATGAAGCATCCAAATACCCTGCCGACAAGTACCCTGCTGGAAAACATCCTGCTGGAAAGCATCCTGCCAGCAAGCATCCTGCCGCAAAACATCCTCCTGGAAAACATCCCGCAGGAAAGCATCCAAAGCAGGCGTCACAGCAACAAACAACACCAGTATCACCACCACCACCACCTGCTCGAATGTTGGACTTTGACTCATTGTTAGACAAAATCAGCAACGAAAACAGATTACGGGAACAAGAGGTAAATAATATCCCAGGGTTCAAAGATGCATCCTTTATCTCGCCTAATTATCCATCATGTACATTAGCGAAAGGATCAATTGAGAGCGAATGAAGAAAAACAACGAACAGCGAAACAATTGGAAATGCGTCGATTACAGGAAGAAGAAAGAGCTCAAAAGTATGTATAATGGGCTATAATGGTATACGTGATTTCCGTCCCATTAAGACCGTTTATTAGGGAGTGGCAAGAGCGGACGACGCGTCAAAAGAAACTTGATCGACAACGAAGAGAAGCCGAACTGGTGAGTACTAGGAAAACATTGGGCTTTCAAGGTATTTTATTTGAGTTGACACCCCAATGTTTTTTTTTTCGCTGGTGTGGCGGTACACTTTCTATCTGTTTTTTTTTTGTTGTTCAGAATGCAACGACCATAGACATTAGCAAGCACAAGTTGACATTCAATGCGTTTGAAAAGCAATTGAGTGTGGATCAGGATTGGCGAGATCTTCTCAGATGGCATCGGGAAACTGTGGATTATCGACACATCCCACGGCCTGGTTTTATGAAGCGACGCCCTGACAAAACCGTGGCTGAGGTTAAGGCTTCATTGCTGAACCGTGCTCTCCGTTGTCGATCTCAACTTGATGGTGCTCAAGAGAGGGATGAGGAGGGTGAACAAGACATGGATGTGGAGTAAAACTAAGCATTTTACGGACCCGCCCTTGTGTCTAAACTCTCGACGTGATCTCATCTTTATCTTTTTTTGTTTTACTGTCTTTGAGATTATATCTTTATTCTAACCTGCGCTTTTTATATTTCGCCTAACCCGTCCGACACAAACACACATTCCTACAACATCATAACAATCGCGCACACACACACACAAAAAGCCATGATTATCCATAACTGGTAATAATAGTAATAGTAACAATAAAAAAAAGATGAATACTATGATCATAGGTTTGGTTTGGTAAGCAATCCACAAATAATTATACTGTTTCTATCCCGCCCTCTCTAATGATAAGTACTAGGAGCATTTAGTCTGTGAAAATTCATATTATAGCAGTAACAGATCATATATACAGAAATGACGACGTTGGGTGATGACACCATACAATGTCATTTGTCATCAAAGGGGGCTTAGCATTGCCACTATGTGTTACACTATATACTAACTGGTGGCACCTATTGATGTGTAATCATGGACGACAGCAGGAGAGTGTGCACTTATTGGCCAAAGCAGCGCTTGAGGATTTTCGCAATTTAATGTCGTATTGTTAAACAAAATATATGCACAGGGAAATCGGATCGCCAGAATAAGCGATCTTCCACATTACTAATCCAACCTAACACCCCTCCCCCCACCCCATTCATATCAAAAAAAATCTCTTTTCGTGCACCATGATTAGCACTATTTTATACATTATTGAAACAACAAAAACCAGAAAAGAGAGAATCGTGACAACGTGAAAAGAAAAAGATGCTAATGTTATTTGTTTTGTGTGTGTGTGTGTGTGTGTGTGTGTGTGTGTGTTTGTATGTGCGTGCGTGTGAGTGTGAATGTGAATGTGTGTGTATGTTGTGAATGGGGTCGAAAACATGAATCAGATAAGAAAAATTAAGACTAATTTTCAATGTTCAGTGAGAAACCAAACGTTGTGCCAAGAGAAAGTCGTGGTAATAACGGAGCACTCTCTGCAACAACCGGTTGACCTTGTGCTGATACGGGAGGTGATGGGTCGAGTACTTCATCGTCGCTATCTTCAACATACAATTTGGTCATCCGTCGAGCCATTCTTTCCGACGACTGTGGGTGCGCTGGTCTTGGTCGATTGGCTACGCGAGCAGGAGGCACTACAGGTGGAGGGGCGCTAGGTAATGGAATTGTAGGTGGGGGTGGTGCTACAGATGCTGTTGCTGCGGGAGGTTGTTGTTGTTGTTGTTGTTGTTGTCTATGATGCTGATGATGAGAAGGAGAAGGGGCTGCTGTAGTAGTGGATGATAGATGGTTTGCAGGAGAATTGTTGGTGACTGTTGGTAATGGAGGTAGTTCGAGATAGACGTATGGATTTTGCTTGTCTTCTTCGAGATGTTGTTTTTTCGTATTGTTGTTTTTGCTGGTGATGTTGGTGGTGGTGGTGGTGGTGGTGTCTTGAGGGTTATTTCTAATGGTATCTGTTGAAGGTCGAGACGGAGGTGGTTGATAAGGTAATGGTGGCAAGGGTGGCAAGGGCGACATTGGAGGAGGAGGCTGAGGCTGGAGTGCAGCGAAATTAAGTTTCTCTGGCTTCTGTCGATTTTGTGTACAGGCAATGCGTCGTAAAACTTCGTCGTGTGCGTCCAGCGTGGACGATTCCCGTGTGTGAGTAGAGGATGCTCGATACCCACCAGACATGGTTGCGGTGGACAATGGAATGCCGTTGTTGCTACCGCGACTTCGTTGCAAAGCATAACTCGTCCTCGGCGATAATAGCGTGGATGATGCAATGGTAGCAATGGTTGGAGACATTGTGTTGTTGCTACTGCGATCTAGCACCTCATCGGGACAGAATTGCTCTTCCACTAATGATGCTTGCACTGCATTCTGTGGTCGTAATGCAGTTTCTGCTGGAAGACCAGGCGCTGCGCAAAGTACGAAAGAAGGTGGGCGTGATTTGAGCGTGTAACTGTCGTCGTCGCTTCGATCCGTTGTGGATGAATCCTGGCTCGGCGCAAATCTGCTGGACTGTGAAGTATTATCGGATCCTGTTGAGCCGCTATCCTCAGGAGTCACGTTTTTGCTGTTCATTCTTGATGGTGCTCGGTCTTTTGTGGAAGAGGGTGCTGCTGCTGCTGCTGCTGATCCCGATGCAGCAACAGCAGCAGTGGCGGTACGCCTACTGTTTCGTTGGACTTGTTGAAGTCGAGCTTTACTCCGCATCAAATTGAGATCTACAGTTGTTAAATTTTCTTGTTGTTGACGACGATGCTGCTGCTGTTGTTGTTGTTGCTTCTGTTGCTTCTGTTGCTGGTCGCGTCGCATCGGTTTTTTTAATCCATTTGCCAAATCCACGTCAATTGGCTGTAACCACGGCTGTCGATGCTGCGCTGCACGACGACGCTGTACAATAGGTGTGGTTGTGCGTGGTCGCTCGAGTGGCAAATGCATTGGATCATCGTCTTCATCGTCATCGTCGCTCTGGCGAGAGAGACTACTCAGCTCATTAGCGGAGGCGAATTTACGAATAGATCTGCCGATAGAGTCCTGTTTGCGACGTTGGTTGTTCTGTAGATGCTGCGACTGATCGTCGACGGATAGTTTGAGCAAGTTGATGCTGGAGGACGTCACCGGTAGCCGCGGCTCACCAAGTATGCTGTATTGAGCTCCTGTTTGCAGGCTTTCGGCATCGTCAATAGGGTCGACCTCTTCAACGTGAACAGGCTCTTCAATGACAACCGAGATGAACGAGTCGTGGAGCCGCGACTGATCTTGCTCAAAGTGGTAATTTGGCATACCGTTTGTGAGTTGCAGCAACGGATGCTTGTCCTGTGGAGGGATGGAGGCAATGACGATGGGCACTACGGCCTTGATGTTTTCAAACTGGTGCTCGAATTGAAAGGTGATCTCCAACTCGTGGCAGATCGTTATGAGCGGGGACTCGAGCGCCGGGGAAATGAGTTTCTGCAGTTTATGGCGGAGGATAAGCGGACGTTTCCAGGTTGATTTCTCTTGCGAGTTGTCGACGCTGTGCAGTAATGCTGGCACTGTGCGTTTGATGTACTTTTTGTGCGAGCGACCGGACATGATCAATGTGTCTGCGATGTTTTGGATTTTGCGATATGGGTTGGCCATCTTCCCATCCGCACTACTGTCGTCGTCGTCGTCGTCGTCGTCGTCGTCGTCGTCGTCGTGGGGTTGTGGTGATGGTTGGGGGGGGGAAGGAGGAGGAAAGAACTTTCATTAATTTTGTCATACGACAAGACACAACAAGAGGAAGCGAGTGCTGTGGTACACGTACCTGTACAGTTCAATCTGCTTCAACTGGGTTCGAATGTTTCGCACGGGCTTCTGAGACGCGAAGCACAAGTATTTGATTGAAAACGGAATGCTGCCCTGTTCAAGGCTTACGATCTGGGGTGCGTCGATTTCGTAGTGGAACTTGGCAGGCACCGTATGCTCAATGATCTGCGTCTCGACCAGCGGGGCCATCTCCTTACAACGCAACAGATGCCGTCGGATTTCGATGGGGTGCTCCGCCGTGATAGACTTTTTCTGCAACCCCATCGCAATCGACAGCTCGACCTTGTACGAGACACTGGCGCGCTTGATGGCCAGCGATGCTGGATATATGTTGGGCACCTCGAGTAAGAACGGAATGACATGCTCGCCCGCAGGTAGTGTTGTCTTTCCAAACAAGGTCTGTTTGAGTTTTGGAAGCAGTGGCGCCTGCATGTCACTGCCACGGAAGTTGGTCTGAGACGCACCTTTAAACTTGACATTCATTCCGCGGATTTTCAGCGGTCGGGTCAGCGTGAACAGCGCCTCCCCTTTGAGCATGATACTGTCAGGCTCCTTCTGGCTGTCGTCGTCGTCAGCAACATTATTGACCGTACTGGGCGACTTGGCCTGCCCCATAAACTCCAGTATTGTGTCGGCAGGGACGATCTCGACAAACTTGATTCCGACATCTTTCATTGCTGCTTGAGTTGCGATTGAGATTGACGTTGGACGTTGACGCTAGTGGTGGTGGTGGTGGTGGTCGAGGAGGTTGAGAGAGAAGAGAAGAAAGAGAGGAAAGAGAGGAAAGAGAGAGAGAGAGAGAGAGAGGAGAGAGGAGAAAGAAGTGGAGAGAGAGAAAGGAATACACACACCTCCTCTCGCAAAAAGGATGCTGTGTGCTAGTTAATAACAAGAAGAATAAGGAAGGGAGTGAGAGAGGAAGAGGGCGAAAAAAGAAAAAAAAAAAGACAGTGCTACGACAAGAGGGGATTTTTGGGGGAGGGAGGAGGAGGGGGGGTGGGGAGAGGTATGCTATTGTTAATGGCTACAACACCTTAGTATTCATTTACTGTAATCAAAGCGAATGATGGCTCCAATGCAATAAGCACGAGGCTGCTGCCTCATAAAATTAGCTGCTTTTTTTCTTCTTCTTCGCTTGGCTTCCCTCCACCGGTGCTTACATGTCTACGAAACTCCTCGTGTTCCTGTTTATTGCCCTCTATTGCCTTTCCTGCCCATACACAAAGGTCGAAGAGAGCTTTAACATCCAGGCAGCCCACGATGTCATTCACCATGGACGAAACATTGCCGCCTACGACCATCTCCAGTTCCCAGGCGTCGTCCCGCGTTCTTTTGTCGGCTCCATAATTCTCGGTTGCATTGCTCGCGCCATTGTCTCGCTACTAGAGGTGGCAAACATACACATTGACGACGGCATTACCGAGCAGATCATTGTGCGTCTTCTTCTTGGTGCCCTTGTGGCCTTGGCCCTGCTACGCATCCAAGGCGCGATCAAACGGCTTTTTGGCTATCCTGCTTCGGTCGTGTTTGTCCTTCTGACATGCTGCCAGTTTCACTTTATATTTTGGTCGAGCCGCACGCTGCCAAACACACTTGCATTACCCCTGGTTCTGAGTGGCCTTGGGCACTGGCTGGAAAGCTTGACAGCCACCTCAAGACGCCTTGCTGAATTAGGCGATATGATCCATGACCTGGTCATCGCCGGTATCATCTTTCGCTTTGAAGCCGGCATTCTGCTCGTCATTATCGTTGCTCTCGAATGGCTCGTTTATCGCACCTTGCCATTCAAGTTTATGGTCGTACATGGCTTGGCTAGCGCTCTCGTAAGCCTGGCGCTGACCGTCTCCGTCGATTCTTATTTTTGGCAACGCACAAATGACGATGGTGGCATATCACTCTTGTGGCCCGAAGGTGCGGTCTTTTACTTTAACGTCATCTTGAACAAGAGTTCAGAATGGGGCACATTGCCATTCTATGTCTACTTTGTATCGTTCCTTCCTCGACTGCTCTTGATATCCTATCCGCTGGCCTGGATTGCGTTTATCCGTGATGCACGCGTTCGCCGCATCATGATACCCTCGTTGATCTATATTGGTCTGTTCTCGTGTGTCCCGCATAAGGAATGGCGGTTCATCATCTATGTACTCCCAATTTTTACCGCAGCGGCAGCATCATTGGTCGGCAATGCATTATCCGTGGCCCGAACACGGTCATCTAAATTCATGATTGCCACACTGGCTGCTGGAGGCATGTTGGCGTCGCTCGGATGCTCGTTATTGATGCTATACGTCTCGATGCACAACTATCCTGGTGGCCATGCATTACGTCGACTCCATCAGATTGCTGCAGCCGATTCTACACCAGTTTCAGTTCATATGGATGTGCCTACTGCTATGTCGGGTGCTTCGCGTTTCGGCCAAGTTGCTCATCCGCAATGGTCCTACCACAAAAACGAATCTCACATCACGCCAGACGATTACATTGAAGCGGAGTACACGTATCTCATCACCAGTGACCCTGCATTCCACCACAAGCAATTCCAACTCGTGGATCAGACATGGGGTCTCGAAGCTGTCAAACTCAAAGCGCCAAAGGTCTATCTCGACAACCTCAAGCATTCCATCAATGATCCATGGGGCCTTTTGCCAGTCGACATCGTCATTCAACCCAAACTGTATACCTTGAAACTGATGAATCCCCAAACAACCTGGATTCAACACACGTTACGCAAACATCGAGTGGTACTTTACAGCAAGACTTATTGGTAAATGTTCGCAGAGACACATGATTAAACCCTATTTTCCTCCTTATTATTGCTGTTGTTAAAAAGCTAAAAATACAATGAGTCTCGTTTCTAACCTACTGACAATACATTCCATCCTCTTGCACAGCCCTTATTGCAGACGCGCCAAACAAGTCTTGAACCGAGTGTGTAAAGGTAGCTACCTTGTAATCGAGGTGGATCAACGTCGCGACGGGCTGGCGCTGAAGCAATCGTTGATCGACTTGACGGGTCGTCGGACATTTCCAAATCTTCTTGTGGATGGCCAAACTATTGGCGGATCGGATGAAATACTGCATTTGGAGAAATCAGGCAAGCTATCCGAGATACTCCCATGTAACCCCTAGAATTGGTGAATGACCACGACATGTTTTTTTCCCTGTGCTTCTATTTCTGTGTTTTATTATTCGCAAATAAATTGTATCATCTACACGCATATTGATCCTCCTTCCCTTTCACGCTTTCACCTTCTTAACCTGCCCTCCATCCCCAACAAAAAAAAAATAAAACTGATCTGAGGCGAAAAGGATCTTACTGGGGTGCAATCTGAACCCCAATAAACATCGCACAGAGTCTCCTATCTCTTTCTCTCATTTACGTAACATACTATTTTCTACATGTAAATTTGTTAAATGATTTGCACTTTGCTAAAAATGGGAATAAATGACAGCTCTCCCCCCACCTCACTCCCTCTTCATCATGTTCCTGAATATGCTAAGATTAATGTATCAATGTTGCTGTTATATACGCTTCGTCTACTGTACATGTGGCGATGATCTGGCTGCAATGAGATTCATATCAGAGACAATAGACCAGCCCAAATGCAGCAAGACGAGTGTCACGCATTTAATTACCCTATCACTATTGTAGTGAGCTATACCGTCGATTGTGGCATTTCACACATCCTTCTCTTACCGCTTCCCCTCCCTGTTTCTCCTATTATTGATGATGACCGTGTACTACAATATGTTTATCTTTTTACTCAACAACTGGGCATCGATAGCAAACACAAAACACATTTTGTGCTACAACAGTGGCTCAAAAAAAACTACTGGGTGACTGAAACTTGCTGCTATGGAGAAATATATCAGCATTTATATAAGCACGGTGTGTAACTAGTAATGAAAGGAAGACGATCATGCTGGTACTAAACAGCTGTACAAACAAGCACGCGCTGTTTGTTTCATCTGAGAGCCCATATGTATTTTACTTTACATTTTAGGTTGTGTGATAAAGAATCCATCCAAGCGGGAGCACAAACGATCAAAGTTTAATTGTCATGCAACCTTCTTTTTTTTTATAGGCATGGTGTCATAGGACCTTTTGGTTCTACTGTTAGGTCACAAGAAGTACAGTGTTTCTATCCCAACTTGTCGCTTGTGGAACATTCACTTGTCACTTGAGCGAATTTTTTTGTCCTCTTTTACAAATATGCTTGTTCGAAAAATCAATTACAAACAATTATGATCAGATTACATTCACAGGGTTTTGCGTTTGAGAATACACTTTTTTGCGAGGAACAAATACACTTTCAGTTGTCAGACAAACTCTTTTCATTTCGGTCAGTCCAATTTCTCAAATATGGTTGCACAAATACCACTTGCCCACCTTGAATCAGAATAAAGTTTTTTTCGTGCTTATTTAAATCTCGACCATTCAATGATCATCGACTCGAACAACAAAAGGCTGGAATTTTTGTCTCTACAGAAATCGTTTGGTCTTATCTCTTGGGTAGTTATAGAGTAAAAGTCACGTTGAAGGCCCACATTCTGTTTTTATTTCATTACCTCATATCAAGAGATTCGTTTCCGAAATTTCGTTGAGTGCTTCTCATTATAATTCATGGTTTTCTTTTTATTGTGAGCGATTTATGCAAGCTTTTCGACAGTTGAAATTTGACAATATCTGATCGTCTTTTAGGATTTGGTGCCGTGTAAAATACCTCCACTTTGTGCCCAAGATTGACAACAATTTCGATGACGGTTTTGTTGATGCGGAAAAAATGGCATAGTGGTCGGTGTTCGTACAGAACCCGGTGAAGTCGATCGTAACAAGTCGTACTCTCCGACAGGAATCGTTGATTGTAGCGAACATATCTTGTGTGTTTCCTGAGCATCTTGGGACAGACGCAAGCCATTTACGATTGTCCGTATGGTCGCGCGACTGCAGATCCGATGATGCTGAGGTGTTGTATGTAAATGTAACAACTTTAGTTGTTAATATTTAATATCCCAAGTAAACTGTAACATTTGGATTATAATTCAATTTCATACATTATGCTAATGGTTTCGCATATATGGGCCTCAAGTTACTTACTGTTGTTCTGGAAGAGTGAGCCATAGACTTTTTCGCAAAGTAGCTTTCGCGTCAATTTGATTGCTTGCAATTCCATGGATTTTAATATTGCACAGGACGTGTCTCGAGTGCTGCTGCGTCTGATGTATCCAATGTTAAAGATGGTGCCATTCGTTAGTCTCACGTGTCGCCGAAATTGATGCACATTAAGCAGATCGGCCCAACTGTAATCGCGGTATGCTTCTTGTACTAAATGGTACATGCGACCACTGACTCTTCCATGCTGTATTCTTTTGCGTTTGGTTCCACCCCAGGACCCATCTTTGACCATCCATTCGGCCAATTGATTCTGATTAACCGCACCATCTGGTAAATAGACGGCGACAGTCTGCAATACGTGTTCTTTGTCAAGGAAATGCGTTTCAGTGATGCCTTCAACGGGCTCAGTTAGAAAACTTCCTTTGACTAGATCCATGATTGCTGCATGCGATGGGTTGGCAGACGCTGGTATAATAATCGATGACATTGATGTGCTGGTGTTGTTGATGAAGGTGGTGCGCTTGTGCTGATGCACTGCAGAAAATAGGTAGTATCATTATATTGATACCTTATTGATAACCTGATATTATCATATTGGGTTTTGGAGTACCAACATAGTGCGTATCAAAATGTTGAGTTGTCGAAAATCAACGTTTGCAGCTGAGAAAGCCTCGGTTAAATTTACTGCCGATCTATATGTTTAAACGCCTGCCAGTAACATCTCTTATCTCAAACTGGGTCTAAACATTCGGCATGAAATAAAAACGTGTAACCATTCGGCAAAAAGCACTGCTGGTTCGGTCATGATCTGTTGAACCATAAGCTGCTACTCGAAGACATGACAAAAGTTGCCATGACGGATTAAATCGAGCGTCAAGAATCCGCTTGTCGACATAACAAAATGCGGAGCTACTCCCTAAACGCGAGCCGTGGCAACCTGCCTCATACCAAAATAACTCTCATTGACATCACTTACACATGGTAGCCTCTTATTTTCGTGCTGGTTTTCCAAGCTTACGATTTTTCTGCGTGCATGTTGCGGTTTTCAATTCTAGAATCATTTGTGATGGTGATTGTACTAATGCCTCTCGCATCCTCGCATACATGTTGTGTCTTGTTCACAGCAGGTCCCCAGCAGGACAGGTTCACTTTCGCATTATAAGCGTCATTACTACTTTGCATTAACGCTTCATACAGAAAGATATTCATTTTTTGCGCCTGATCTCTCCTTTCTATAGTTTGGATGTACGCGTGCGCGCAAGTATAATAGGTGTCGTGGTAGTAATTCTACAGTAGCATTGGAGATTTAAGGGTGTGGTGACTTCACGGATCGATATTTCTTGGAGCCTTTGGCTCTCACTCAAAGGCCTGGTTTTCAAGAGCAAAATGAAGCCCTCATACAACTCCGTAACCGTTTTTTTCCCAATAACTGTAAAAAAAGAATATTCTTAGCTCTTACAACAGGTGCAGCATACACTTTGATACTATATGCAATCACCAGTGTCATAACTACAGCTTGGAATCGCACGTAAGTTTTTCTATACATATGCACCCAGACGCGACAACTCTCTGTCTTTCACTCGATTCAACTAAATATATAGTAAAAGGGAAAGCGGAATTAACCAACACCTCCAATCAAGACATCTGCTATACTGTGACCTTAAGGATTGTCGATAGATTCTGCAACTGTCTTGCCCAACGAGTCCTTCATCTCCTTAGCAAGTTTGACGAGATCTGATCTGCTGCCAGTATGAACTTTTTTTTGCGGGGGCATAATCTCTACTTATCAGCGGCTTTTGTTCGGACATGGTGCCCTCATAGAATCGGTAGCTGGTTATAACAGCTTTACCCTGACTCCTTACAGTGGACTCTGCCGTCGGTACTACTCTTGTGCGTGTAAAGTAATAACAGCCTTTGAAAATAAGGCGTGTAATGTGATACCGTACCCCGTTTTACTTGGCGTGAGGTACGCTTTTTCGATGGAATGTTATCAACGAGTGTACTGAAGAAACGAAAAGGTGCTTCCACACGAATTGATAGCAGGAGCATGAAAAAATGGCTTAATTTCGGTAGCAGATTTGAGTTGATAATTGCTTCCTTCTAGAAATGTCTCACCAAATCTTATATATGTACGGACGCGCATTTGTATAGGTTCTTTGGTGGATAAAGGTGAACACATTTGTTTTTTCTTCATTTGCTATGCCTCCTTTCCTTCATCTATGTCAGATAGGTGTAGATGCATATAGTCCACGATAAAGCTTGTCTGGAAACGCACCTACATCGGTTATTGATGAAGAGCCAGCTCAACATATTGAACAGGTCGGAGGCCAGTTCCAGATGTGTAGTAGCCAGCATCTGTACTATACAACGCATTGTATTCAGCGCGATAAGCTGAGATTGGGAGAAAAGATGGTTTTTGACTTTGCAGAGAAGGCTGATCACTTTAAAGCAATAAGGTTTAGGGTGAGGGGGGAGGGGGTTATGCCGAAACAACAGCACAACCTACCTACTACACCCATATTGGAACATTCTCTGCACAGCTCGCAACTGTATCGCAGATCACGCACACAGTTCACAGTTACAGGGAGGGAGAGAGAGAGAGAGAGCCAGTCTCGCTTCTGAAGCCGGAGGAAATGTGTCTGTGTAACGCACCCGTTCTCCTTCCATCCAAACAGCAGCACTGCAGAAATAGGGAACGCATGCTGTACTATGTGAGGGAAATCCGTGTGGTGTGTGTATGTGGTGGGGCACCGCACCCACAGCCCCCCCCCCCAACTCCCCTTGTGGGAAAAGCAATTTGATTGGTTGACGTCACGATGAAACACGACCCGTCTGCGGAGTTTGACTCCATTTTCGGGGTGTTTGCTGGGTTCCTTTTTTTATTTTTTTTGTCTCTCTACTACCACTATACTGCTACACCTTTTAGGCACTCTGCGGTCTGCATTTGGAAACTCTACTCTTTTTTTCATAATTGGAAAATCATGAATGCGGGACAACTGAATCCGGATCTGCACCAACAAGCGACCATGCGCATGCCCGAGCCCTCTTCTTCGTCGTCGTCGTCGTCCAAGAAACAACAGCCTGGAAAGAACAAGCCTTTTGACGAAGACGACAATGATTCGGCCGATGATTCGGACAGTGAGAAGCCTAGCAAGCGCTCAGGCAGACGTAAAATCAAGATCGAGTATATTGAGGACAAGAATCGTAGACACATCACCTTCTCGAAGCGTAAGGCTGGTATTATGAAGAAGGTAAATATTTCCAAAGACACTCGCGCATTTGCAACAAGCAGTTGTATATGTCTCCTTTGAAAGCGTGCTCTCCAAGTTTTATTACTTTTGGGTTGCCTGAAAAAAAGAACGCGAGAAAAAAAAAAGCGCGCGCTCGGACTGTGCGGGGTGTTCTTTATAAGGATTGAACCATGGACAAGTACGTAAATGGAAAGGAACTCATGCATTTTGTTGGGCTTTCTCTCGCTAACAGGCATACGAATTGAGCACGCTGACAGGCACCCAGGTGTTGCTTCTTGTCGTTTCAGAGACAGGCCTGGTGTACACCTTCACCACAGTCAAGTTGCAGCCCATCGTCACCAAGCCCGAGGGTAAAAACTTGATCCAGGCCTGTTTGAATGCACCGGATCCTGTTCCAAACGAATCTTCTTCGGTAACATTTTCTTTTCTTATCCTTACCAACCTTTTATCCTCCTTCTCATCGTCGGATTCTGCTCATTCGTGTAGGATGCCACGTATACCAAGAGTGAGGCATCAAGACCTGTGGAAAAGAAGGAATACGATGATAAGAAGGTAACAAGTGAAAGACATTTCGTATCGATTCGACCAATGCGATTAAACATGGACCTTTGGTCGTTTGGGTATAGATCGATACTTCTGCTGGCCATCCAGCAGCGGCCGCCTTTGGTGCTGCAGCAGCAGCTGCGGCTGCGGCTGCGTCTCATGGTGGCTCGAGCGCAACAGGTGCTTATCAACCAGCAGCTTATGCACCCACACCTGGAAATGGAGGCCAAATGCCATCAGGGAGCAACGGATATCCTAGCTACATGACCACGCAAGCTGCAGCCCAGTACCAACAGCATCAGCAGCATCAACAGCATCAGCAGCAGCATCAGCAACAACAACAGCAGCCCCAACAGCAGCAGGGCCAGCCGCAACAGGGCCAGCCACAGCAACAGTACGGCCAGATGCCTGCACCGCCCTTTTATGGCGCCCAGCAAACGCATCACTACATGCCTCAGCATGCAAACTACTGGCAAAACAGTCCCAGCAATATGCCTCGACAGGAACAAGGGCATGGAGCTGATGACAAGGCCAGGGGAGCCGCTGGCGGTCCAGGCGGCATGCCTAAAAAATGAACAAACAAGACAGCTTTGTACGATTCCCCCTCATTTCTCTCTTCTCTACCCCACAGCAACGCCCGTCACTAACCCCCCTTCCCAGCCCTTGCTTCTTCTTTTATATTCTGCTTCCCCAACTTTTCTATACTTTCTTAAATCATTCACATAGGAAATCTCTTTAGCTTATAGGCTTTTTGTTTGTATACTTTTCTTTTGTTACTTTCTTTCTTTCTCTCTTTCTCTCTCTCCCTCTCCCACTTGTCTTATCGGTCTTATAGTGTTATATTATCCTTATATATATATATATATACATATATATTCTTTAGCATTCTCTTTAATCAGTTTACACAATCAGAATCATGACGTTGAGTGGAAGGAGGTGTAATTTATGTGTAGGAAGCTATATACAAAAGAGATGATGTAAGTAGTGCGTGTATGTCTAAAGAACAAGAAAAAAAAAAGCAAAAGATGGTGGGATGGGTATCTAATATATACATGACTAGTGAAGAGAGTGTGCCTTGGGAGGTGGGCGGGGGCACCATGTCAGGTACTCTGTTTAAAACAGCATAAATTTCGCAAACATGATCCAGCTCGCTGCTGCCAACACCAAATACGATCCGCCATAGAACCAGTTAGCCTTGAGTTCTGTGAGTTGTTGCGGATTAGCCATCTTGTTCTCGTCATCCAACATGGCTTCCCGTGCAGATCGATCCAACAAACGGTTGTACATTGAATAATCCAATATGCAAAGTATGACACCTGCAACGATAGCCAACGCTGCAATAGCAATAAAAAACAGCACAACACTCTTGTATCCTTTGTTCGGATCTGCATCCTGGAGTAGACCGGTGGTGATGTCGAACAAGGTACTGCCAATGTTGGTTCCTGATTTGATCAGTCCCATACCGGTGCCAACAAGCGACAATGGGAGAATGATCGGCACGGATGAAACAAGACCCACAGGACCCAGCGATAGACTGATGCTAAAGATCAACATACCGACTACGGGTGGGATGGTGGTAAAGTCGAGCAGCAGGAGCGATACAAGCATGCATACACCACTTCCAATCACTATGTAGCAAAAAGAGAATCCTTATCAGTGTTCATGCACTTTTTTGGTTACGACACAATCCAGATTACATACTCATCCAAGTACGCTTTCCGTATTTATCCAAGCAGACGCCCAAGAAAGGCATCAAGATGACAGGCAAAATCTGAGCTGTACTAGCGGTAGCAGCTGCACGTGCGTTGTTATAACCGAAACGGATCTTGACAAATTCACTAGAGTACATTATAAAATGTTAGTAGATGCTTTGCTTAAAAGTGGACATAGCAATCCCCCTATACCTGTTGATATGCAGAAAGCAACCCCAGGAGCCGCCCAGTAAGAATTCCATGGCAGCAATCAGCCAGAAAGAATGTGGCAAATACATCAACTTGTGCCATCGGAATGATTTCTTTCTCTCAATAGCCTTGACCCGTCGCTGACAGCCATTCGTCGGCAGATTCACTGTTCGCAGTAGCCCGATATACACCAGGTTGAACAAGAAAGAAACCATACACAAGAAGGCTGAAAACTAAATTTTGTTGACGATTTGGTGAAATATAGACATTAGTTACCAGTTTTCCTTTCTCTGCAGAACCAAGTGGAAGGAAGAAACTTCAATTTACCCAGAAACCATAGCCGTACCAGCCTGTCCAGTTAGCAATAGGCACGACAGTTGCCTGAGCCAAGAACGAAGCCAGACGACTGACGGTCAATAACAAGGCCATGACGGCAGCAAGGCTACGTCCTTTGAACCATTGACTCAGAATGGTTTCCTGGACAATGACAACAGTGCCACTGCCGATGCCGTAAAGAATGCGACCGATGATCATGGTGGGCAGGCTCGCAGACGATGTTGAGATGGCAACCAGGGTGTTTCCAGACGTTATCAAGACCGTCGTGATGATGGATCCAGGCACGGTGCCGAATGCATCCACAAAAATGCCGCCTATCACAGGGAGGACAGTGTTTACAATAGATACCGTCGATTGTATCACGCCATATTGTGAGTTGGTGATACCAAATTCCTGTATAATCCATCACAAATGTCAAAAACAACAACAACAGATCAAACACACACACACACACGTAATCACATAGCACATAGCACATCAGATCTGGATGGTCCTTACTTGCTTCACCGTGTTTTTCATGGCTCCTAATGTATGTGCGGCGAAATGACTACCGACTAGAATGGGGAAAAAAAGGTTTCGCAAAGACGGGGTCGTGAGTTTTGGGCTTGCCAACGATTGCAAGTAGCAGTGTTTAAAGCCACGATATAGATCATTATTTACCAGCCAAAAGGAGTGAGCATATTAACGCAACCATTTTATACTGCCATGGCTGTTCTGCAAGCTGACAGTAGTTTTCGTTGACAGGGTGCTGCTGTTGTTGTTGACAGCACGTTGAGCTGGATCGGCCGTCTTTTTTGTTACCAGAGCAACAAGTAGTGTCTTGCCTGTGGTGTTGTAGCAAAGGTGTGTTCTCGCTCACAATGGGAGCATTCAATGCCGGCGATGAGAACGCCATTGCTGTTTAATTAGGTATGTGTATGTGAGTAAAGCAAAAGAAAAAAAAATCCTATTTGAATTATCTGATTTTTGGATCGCTTTTCCATCTCAGTAAGCCAATCGCACCCCCCTGCCGAATTTTTGTATCACGTTGGCCTGTTTATTATCTGATTGTTGTCGCACAACGCCCTATGCTTTGTTGGAACCCAAGAAAATTGTATGGGTGCGTTAGACGATGACATGCGGACTGGGTAATGAGTGAAATGAAGGAAGGGGGGCTGTACATTTCTTTTCTCCAAAGGAAGAAAAAAAGGGAGGGATGAGACATGCTTTGGGGATTGTTTATGGTAATGCTAGATCTATTGGGCACCGTTCATGATGGCACGATACTTTTTCTGGTCCTGAAGCATTTCATGGAAGATGCGGTAGCGTCGCTCGTCCATTTCCATCACCTCCGGATCTGTCGAGGGCTCCACGAGCTGGCCAGCACGCCCCATGCGCACCATCACCTCCCACAAGCTGGTGTTGGCTTCCGCTGCACGGGCACCCAAGAAGGCCGCACCAATGACGACGGCAGCATCGATCCGCTCCGGCAGAATCACACGGCAACGAGTAATGTCCGCGTGCAGCTTGACAAAGATCGGGTTTTTGCACAGGCCGCCCGACAAGCACAGCGTGTCGATGGTGTAGCCCTCGGTGTTCAAGGCCTCGATGATGTGGCGGGTCTGGCACGAGATGGCCTGCAGCGTGGCCAGGTAGCGGGTGGCGAGGTCGTTGATGCTGTGGTCGAGTGAAACGCCAATGATCATACCGCGCAAGGTTGGGTCTGCTAATGGCGAGCGGTTGCCGTGGTAGTCAGGGTAGATGTGCATCTGGTTCGTCAGCTGCTCCAAGTGCTTGTATCCGTGCTTTTCCTGCAATCTTTCCAGATGGCGGTTCAGGAAGGCGTAGATGTTCATGTCCTCGGCCTCGGCCTGCTTGCGCGCCTCGTCAATGGCAGGGTGGGTGTTCAATGTGTGGTCAATGAGCTGGCCCGTGGATGATTGGCCACCCTCGGCATGCCACATGTCAGGCACCATCACGGAGCGATAGGGTCCCCAAACGCCCTTGACAAAGATAGCCTCAGGGGCCATGGCAATGTGACAGCTCGACGTGCCACAGGCAATGGCAACACGGTGCGAACCTTGTGCGAGCAAACTCTTGTCCAATGCGCCAAGCATCTTTGTCCGCTCGTCAGCAGAAGCAGTGGCGCCCAGCGTGGCGATAGCACCTGCATACGCATCGATCACGGCGGATCCAACGGGCGTCCCTGCAACCAATCCGAGCTCCTCTGCCGCTTTTGGGGTCAAGCCTTGTCCCACCGGATCGCCCGCACACAATACTTGGCCTGTCTCACCGTCAATGCCGCCCAGTCGCTGGAACCGCTCCTCCTTCAAGCAACCCAGTCCGATCGCCTCAAAGTAGCTTTCGTCCCATCCATGGCCAACACCCTTGGGCTGATACGAGCACTTGCACGTCAACGAGCACGTCGAGCGCGCCGTCGAGCCTGTGGCGCGGAACGTCAAAAAGTCAGGCAGATCCATGAGGTGGCCGATGTTGTCCCACTTGTGCGGCGGCAGGTTCTCTTTGAGCCACAGCGACTTTGGGATCTCCATCTCTGGGCTGATGGTTTTACCGACATAGTTGAGCACCTTGTGTTGCGTTGCATTGATGCGTGCGGCTTGATCGACGGCCCGATGATCAGCCCACAAGATGAGATTGTACTCGTTGTCCTCGAAGCCGGACGCTTCGTCCACCGACGCTGGCTCCCCATTCTTGTCCAAAACCACCAGCGAGCACGTTGCGTCAAAGCCCACACCCTTGATGTCCTCCTTGCTCACTCCTGCTTCGGCGATCGCTTCCCCGGAAGTCTTGCAAATAGCGCGCCAGATATCGTTTGTAGATTGTTCGAAAATGTCGTGATGGGGGTGGTTGAGCTTGATCGGCTCAACGGCTTGGGCCAGCAATTTGCCCTCTGTGTCGATAACGGCCGCGCGAGCAGACCTATTTTCATATTTAACTAAAAAGGTCAAAATCCCGTGTCACACTCTGCGTCTTCTCACTGTAGTCAATCAATCGTGAAGCCAAACGTTACCCTGTGCCAACATCAATACCGAGGTAGTAGACTTGTGGAGACATTATGTATGATAGTGATGGAGAAGAGGAAGAAGAAGAAGAAGAAAAGGTGACGGAAGGGGTATAAATATGGCATAGCCTTTGAGCAACGCGCGGCAGCCTTACAAACGCTAAATTCGAGATCCGAGAGTGAAAAAGAGAGAAAGACGGAGATTCCCAAAAGAGAACAAATTTTCCGAGGATCTGTAAGAAATAGGGCGCATGGAGACAGTTTCATGCCGTTAATGGTTTGGTGTGCTTTTTCGGGGTTGGGGTGGGTTGTGTGGGGTGTGGAGGCCTGCCCCCCTCCCCCCCCCTCTCAAAGAAGCAAAAACGCGCTTGATTCGTTCGTGTTTGTGCAAGGTTTATTTTCTATACCTACAACATGAGCTGCATAAGTATGTACAAGCCAGGAGGCTGCTATTGTATTTATATATGCATCATCCCTCCCCCCTCATTTGCTTCATGTAAACATGCTTGCTTGTACCGGTGTCGCTTTCGTTGAGACGTCTTATTTCTCTTTCCTGAATACTTGTTGTCAGTTCCAAAACTTTGATCTTGTAGCTATCCGATAAGTCAACGTCAGCAGTATCTCTATCGAAACCACCTCACTGATTGGTGTGAGAAGGTTGTAGTAGCAACGATTTATCCATTTTCCAAGTGTGTGCCAGTTGCAGGTAGATAGATCATCTCTTCTTTTCTCATGATGGACTTGCTTCTTTTGATGTGGCACACATCTTTAACATGATCTCTAATACGATGGCTAACTGCTACATCTACCTTTTATATGTTGCGGTGTATTATTGACCAAGTTCTTTCTGGGAAGAACCCAGTATTGCTGCCAACAGTAATAGGAGGCAGCGTTTGCTATGCTATAAGTGTAATGTGTGGTGTAAGTACACAAAATGATGCGTGGAATCTTTCTTTAGAGTTGTTCCTGTCACACCCAATGTACTCGAACAGAAATGCAAAAATCGGCTCAAGCCCCGGAACTTCCGGGTCGTAGTGCTGCCTGCAAGTAGTAGTCTACTGTATACCCAGCAGTTGGTTCAAATGCTATATGAATAGATTGTAATCGGCATGATGTACATGATAAAACAAGGACAGCAGGTCAGTCAGTACTTGATCTTTTCTTCTGTACCCCTTGGACAGGAAAATCGTACAGTGTTTGCGCCAATAAAGTCATCTTCTATACATTTGTTCACGAGGTAGATCATTCTTGTTGTTATTTTTCATGTGGTTTTTTGCACCGTGTAGGTCTTAAGATGGATCTGTGACAACATTGTTGGTTGCCACATGTAGGTGGGTTATAAAAATAACAAACAATATGCTTTTCATGTGGTTGTGAATGACAATAACCGGTTGTAGTCTTAATGTACATTTTTTCTACAAGGATGGACCCGCCACGCCCGCCTTAGCCATCTTCTTGTCATGGCCTTTCTTGCGATTGTGGTTGCCAAATCGAGCCTTGTTCTTGTCCTTATACGCACGTTGCCGTTGATCTTGTTCCGGTCCAGATCGCTGTGGATGCTTTTGGGTCCGTTTACTACTGCTGTTATCATCGCTGCCTCCTTGGGATGCTTTTGATTGGACCGGCACTTGCTTGCCATCGGAAAGCTTGTGCTTTTAGAGTCATATCAGTAAGAATAACAGGAAATACGGCAATACAGCAATCACGCAGTGACGAATACATAGAGAGAGAGCGAGACTTACATTTTCCGTCTTCTTTTGGTGCGCTTGTCGTTCTGGTATCTTACGATTGGATCGGTGGGACGAATCGCGGTGTTCAGCATTGTTGGCGACGGGTTCGCCTTCATATTCTATACTTTCAGCAGGACCCTTGTTCTTATTCTTGATCACATCGCCGGCATAATCGCTCTCGACTGCGCCCAGATCCACAGGTCCGCTCATTTCATTGAGATCATCATAGGTATCGTCATAATCGTCTTCATACATGTTGTAGATCCGCTGCAACACATTCTGCTTTTCACTTTTTATGAAGCTTTGATCTTGAAGCATGGTGTCGGCTGTTCCTCGACTAATATATGCGCAGATCATGAACCCCTTGTGAGTGAAGCAATCCACTACCTTATACTGTTTTATCCAGTCCCTAATACGATTCTAAACTTACTCTCTTGGTCCCATATGCATTTTGCTCTTGTCCACAGCCACTGTGCGTCGTGATAATAAATCAAACTCGTCATTGTCGAAAATGTTACGCCGCGAATCCAATATACTGGGTAGTTTCTCCATTTCCTCTTCCCCATGCTGTTGATCAGCTGACAAAAACGACGGCGGTAATCTAACAAATTCATACACTCCTTTGTTAGCAACAAAAATCACAAGAACCTTGCCTCTAATCCAACGCCAAACAGACCAACTTGGTCAGGAGAAAGGTAAGAAAAAGCGGATCACTTACTCTTGTAAAGTTCTATCCATCGTGTCTAGTGGCGTTGGTAAATTGTTATCCAAAAGCTGCATGATCACAACTTCAACGTCATTGTTGTTGTGCTTGAGACATGCCCGAATAAAGCCTTCGCCAAGATCAGGGAACAAGTCATGTATTTGTGAAATGTTTGCCACCTCATGGATATCATCCGCCTGTTGCTGTTTGAGAATTATACTTTGTCAGCCGCAGTAATCACAAAGTCATGCCATAAACGTTTGCCCACATTCGATATTTAAACATTCTTTGCCCGCTTTTTCCTTTGCTCACCTGTAATGCTGGCGCATCAAAGACTGGTGGCTCCTGTTGCTTGGCAGCAGATGGAGCAGCTGCTTGTTTCTTGCTCTTCCGCTTTTTGGTTTCCTTGACAACTGGAATGTTCATGTCTAAGATCTGCTGCGTCGAAAGTCTCAAAAACTCTATCCGCTCATCGTCGCCATTGAAAAGCTTCCTGTTAAGCGTCTCCAACGTCTCGTCAACTGAAAACGCAACTATCCAGTCCATAATCAATGGCGCGTCCAAGAAACCTTGACGCGGCTGCTCAATGTTGCTTTCCTCAATCCATTGCAGCAGCTTTTCCGAAAACATGTCTATCTCTTCGTCCACATTCCCGCCCTTGTTCTGCGATTCGAGGGGCTTCATGTAGACCGCGTCAACGATATGATTCCATGTATCCAATAATGCGAGTTTGATCTGGTACACTTTCGATCCCTTTTCCATCGTCTTTCTCATCAATGGCCCGTTATAACACTTTAAAATGGTGTCCAGGATCGACTCGTTGTTTCTTGAACCGGTAGCCGCTACAAGCGCTTGCAGGAGTCGTACAATGACATACAGACGCTCCAAATCGGTCGTAGCTGTCACCGTCTCAAGACACACCGTCAATGTCGCGATCGTCTCATTCAAAGCAGCCGTAAGCTTTTTATTCGTCGTCGACAGTTGGGAAAACAGTGCACGAACATGAGATGGGTTGGATTCGCCATAGATCACGGCAAAACTTGACAGTTGGTCTGGTGTAAACAGTGGGCCGCCAGCACTGTTGCTATTACTACTACTATTGGACTGCTGTTCGAGCAAACGTCCGGCACGCACGTACACAAGAAATACGCGTTTTAAGATTTCTGCAAGTACGGTGTTGCCATCAAGCTGACTATCCAATACCGCGGTAATGAATTTTTGTAAGCTTTCATTGTTGGTGATCTGGAGCATAAAATCGTCGTCGTCCGCATCAAGAAGTGTCGCCAGCTGGAAAAGCCAGGCATCTCGGGCGATCTGGTATAATTCGTTCGTCACGCCATCTTGGCTTTGAGGAAGAAACGGTAAAAAGTCAATCATTTGGAAAATAGGGTAAAACTTTGTTGGCACGTTGGGGGCAAAAGGAAAAGAAAGCGCTCTCTTTTTTTTATATCTATTGAACCGCAGCAACACACACCGAAGCTGCGGCAGATAAACACGCCATTCGCTTTTTATTAATTTAGAACCTCTGAAAAAACATCTTTGTTCGTTGCTCTTGACAGATAAGTAAAGTATCGCTATCATACAAGAGATAGCTTGACCGAACTGTTCACGAGTCTCTCAGATAGAGCATTCTTTGGATCAAGGGGTAGAATTAATTTACAGTAATGGTTGTGAAATTGTTATGGCTGCGACCGCACTATAGGAAAGAAAAAACCTCAGTATACCTTAAAAGGCCTGGTTTCTCTGATTCGTCTTATTGGTCGGCTGAAGCGTGGAATGCATTCAACTGTGTTTATGATTGGGTACATACATCGTATTGGTCGTTGTACGTATAGCTGTATCCGTTTGGGAGCATCATTGGATATTTCATCAGCTATTCACATTTCCTCATTGATCCTCTTTCATATTATGTATGCAAAAAACTGATTTCAATTGGATGACAATATGTTTATTATTAGTTTTGCTTTCTATTTTAAATCTTTGACAAATCATTTTTGCATTGTGTGGTACACAAGCAAATAAGTGTTCAATTCGATTTAGTTGCCAACACGACCGCAACCGCGAACACCACGAGCATTACGAGCACCGACGCGAGCAACACTGGTGCTGTCAGTGAAGTCACTAGCAGAGCCATCGCAAGAACGGGCGCGTTTGCGTGATGTAGTCTCTCTTTCAATTGGGTTGGCATATCATGGATGCTCATTCTATGCCATGCAATATGGATTATTGATCTACTGTTTACCTTGGCTTAAAAAGAGCAACACACTGGGCAGCTGCAACGCGTCTTCGTCTTCCGACTCTAACACTAGGAGCCTTGAACAGTCGTCTGTGTTTGATGTCGACGGCAACGCAACCTCATGGTGTTGACGAACGCTGGTTGAGTACAACCAGTATGTGTGCTATGAAGTACGTCAAATAAATCAGCATTGGTAGAGTATATATATCTTCATTCTGAAAAAACACATGTTTCCTCTTGTGGAGCGCTTGATATTGTCTGATAGCGTTTAAAAACTGTAATATTTTAAGGTAAGGATTATATACTTATATACCGGAAACGCTAATACTCCTAGTATGTACTTACTGATTTTTGGTAGAAGCCGCCCTAGGCAACGCGTTTCTTGTAAGTTATTGCGCGATCCCCCGAAGTTGCAGGATTTTGTTTGTAGCTCAACTGTTCACGCACGCAGCCAAGGGTGCAGATCTTTAGCATGCGCTCTATAAATCTTGTTGCGCCTTTAAGGTCGTCTCTGGTATCGCTGACCAGCTCGTTCTAAGCAAATCAATATCAGGTTTGCTGAGAATACCATCGACCATTATCCCAGATCGTCCCCATATGTTGTCCCTGATATTGACTTCGTCGCTGCGCGTGATATCCAATTGGTGCTCCCTGACAACGTCATGGCACAGACTGGCCAGCTCCTCCATTACAAACTTCGTCTGTGAGTCGACTTTGCGTTTGTAAGACCGTGTCAAGAGCATGCCGTCGAACAGCTCAGAAGAAAACGCTCTTGATACGGAGCTGGAAGATTCTACAGATGAACATGAAAGGACAGCACTGTACATCCCCAACTATAAGAGTTACTGATGTGGAAAGATCATCCAACGCCTTACTGTGACATCAACTTCCCTTGCCAAGGAGCCGACCGACCGTGCAAGTGCAAGCATTGAATCGTTATTGTTTTTGATAGCGTTAAGAATTGCTAGGATTTGAGGATTCGTGTTAAGTTGTTTCTGTGTGATGTTTTATTATTGACGAAAGAGGAGAAGGAATAAGAAAAGGAACGATTTTTTTTTCAAACGGCAAGATGAAGCATACAAGGAGAGGCAAGGTCAAACAAATGAGGAGAAAAGGATCAACTTTGTTTTGATACTGCCTAAAATGGAAATCACCATAGATACCGCAGCTCACCAAGAAGTTCGTTGTCTCGTTTGTGACCTGCAAACGTAGTGACGCTCGATGTACTTTCAATACTGCACACCAGCTGTTTGATACGCTTTACATTAACAACTCTATCTGTGCGATACAGCCATTTGCCACTGTCATTAGACTTTTCAGCGCCATATACTTTTACCAAGGCAAATAATCTAGCAGCGTCTACATAGTAATGCTGAAAGTACACCATAACTTCACCAAAAAGTATAAGCCTGGACTGCTGAACGCGATTGTTACCCTGGCTGCTGTTGGTGTTAATGATCAAGCGCAGGCGGCATAAAATCATTCTTCCGTGATAGAGAAAAAGAAGAAGTGGTCAGATGTGTCGGAAGTTTCATTTGGTACAACAACGGTGGTCCTGGTTGAACTAAATCCAGGTTTATTCAGGTTTTTTAAGGTATATTAAGTTTTTTTTTCCTATAGTGACCTCTTTTTGTTATTAACAATAGATGTAACGTCTTATTGCATTGTACGATTGTACATATTGGAAAATTTGCACGAGCGAAAAGACAAAAATCAGCCATCGGCGAACACTTTTTGCATCAGAGCCGAAACAGCTAAGCAATATTGTAGCAATAGATAATGAAGCCGGTTAATTTTTAATTATATGTACACTGCTTCTACTAGTTATTACAAAGTGGATCATGTGCGATAAATCTACCGCAGGAAAGCTTCTAAGAAACCCGTAAGTCAATTTTCTTGAGTTTCTGTCGACCATAATTGAGCAGAAGCTATTCACCCAACAAACAGCCTTCTACTACAAGAGTCCCCAATTACTTTGTTTCATCGATTACTTTTTGTAGTTCATGTGCTGTGGTACGTGTAATACGGCACAAGCTAACGCTCTTCAGTCCAGTCAGCGTGCTCAGTGCTTGAAGAATCAATCCTTGACAGACCAGGTGTTCTCCAAACGTATTAATTCAAATCCAAGATGTCTGCTATCATCTTCAAATTCATTGATTTATGCAACTGAGCCGTTTTTCGTCAGTCTGCAACATGATGCCAATGACATTTTGATCAAGAGTGTATGCCAGAAAAATATACTCTTTTACATGATTTGCTTGTACTTAATTCTACTCGCTGTATACAAAGAATAGTTAAATGCTATCACATACGCAGCGCTTCACATTCTGGCGGGAAAATTTCATATCGTGTATGAACAGCTTGTGCCAATAAACCATAAGGAACACTTTCGGGTTTATCTGAATAGACACTCAACTAACGTGCCAATGTCACAATCAATCAGGAGCAGACATGTGATAAAGCATATAATAGCCTTCATCATTTTTCGGAACATCACAATAACGTAGTTAATCTTATTATTATGGTTAACATATGTTTAATGGATCGAACCTATTAGCTAGTTCCTGCGAAAAGAAAATGATATATTACCAATTATCAATGACAGCTAGTGTATTCGGCAAGGACAAAAAAATGCTAAGAGTACCGCTTTGTGGTCAAACCTGTGCAATCACAAGTAGTGGATATTCTCACGGAAACAGATCTCGCTTGGGTACACGTCGAGGGGGAATAATTGTAATTATTAAATAAAAAAAGCTACACACGATCGATCAATGATGTAAAAACAGTGTGGGGTTCCGGCTGTGCGACCGTAATAACGATTCTAAGCAACGTTATACCAGTAAAAAGCTGTACTCAACGAACTAGGAACATGCGAGTAATTATGGGGGGGAAGGAAATGAAAAGTATCTACAGTATGTCCGTTATCACTCCTTGTAAATTTTTGCATTTATGTTAAACAGCTATGATAGCAGTAAATATTGGGCTTGTTAGAGCCCTGTTTAAAGATCGCTCAACAGCAAGCGTTTTTTTTTTTGCGGCGAGAAAGGAAAATTACCATTTGTGCATGCGAATAAAGGCCTCAAAATTACATTCGCATCATGTAATCATGTTTATTTGCAGCTAAAAAAACCGATTATACTGACAACTGTGGCTACGGAGATATATGCATTGTTGTCGGTCATAGTAGTAAACGCGTTTATAGATCCAGCTTAGGCAAAAGTTCAAAATTTTGCTCACGGCTTCCTTTTTACGGCAGGATGTGGGATTCCCAGGTACAGGAAAAACGATCCTGCCATTTTATTTGATCGTAGCACAGGTACACTGAATTACATATGCAAACGGTAAATTGTTGCTGCATTAATTATTTTACCAGTAAAAGTGACGGAACGAAACCACACACAAAAGTTATTCAAGGACATTCAAGAACGCGCATCTAGCCGGAGAAGAATTCCATTCTTTCTGATGGAAAGAGGTTGATTGAACGATAATGCTCATTAGCCGCTTGAAGTATGCTGGATAATCGGAAGCGTTCAGCGAAAGTATATATAAATACGAAGCTGATAGCTCTGTTGTAAAAGCATCAATTCTTTCATTTAAGAATACATCACTCGTCTATACCTCCACCACAAACTAGTATTTTCTGATTATGAAGCTAGCCGCTTTGCTCACCCTTGTGCTTCCCTTTGCAGCCGCATTTCCTACTGCCATGATGGCGAAAAGACAAGAAAATGTGTCGGAAACTGTAGCTTCTGGTATCGAGGAACACGGCCCACTCCCCGAAGGAACCAAGACATACGAAGGAGGAACTGCTCTTGACATCGACGAGTATCCAGAATCTGTTGAAGCTGCCCTGAACGGTACCCGCGCCGAGGTTTTGAGCCTTGCCGTACGCGATCCAACTTCCGCAGAAATGGATGATCTTGAATTCCATACGGCTCTTGCAGCTAATGTCTACTGCAGCGCAGTTATGAGTGGTACCTGGATCTGCCCTCACTGCTCCAAGACGCGTCATTTAGAGATTGTCGAAACGTTCAGCACGCTACTCTATGACACGAACGCTTTGGTTGCCCGCGACGACAGTGAGCAGGTGATCTACGTTGTTTTCCGAGGTAATTTGCGAACTATTTATGTACTACCTATCCACCCTGTATCGAGTACAAACAGTAAAGCTTAATTATTACTATATTAAGGTTCCGCGTCGATCCAAAATTGGATGGCAGTAAGTAATTGCTTTAAAGATGGATGGCATAAAATATGCGAAGCAATAGTAGCTCATCATGTTCATGACTATGTGTATACATACAGAATTTGAATGCTATCCTTGCCAACTACCCTGGTCCTACTGGTGCTCGAGTCCATGCTGGATTCTATAATAGTTATCAAGACGTGCAATCGCGTTTGATGTCGCTGGTTCAAAGCCAAGTCAGCAGCCACTCTGGTTATGCAGTTCATATCACAGGGTGAGTTGAAAAGAAACTTTCTAGTATATTGTGTTTAAGCATTACCATATATGCATGGCACAGTGAGAGCTTAATGTAATCGATGTATTTGTTCTCGGTGTAAACAATGACAGTCATTCCCTTGGTGGTGCCTTAGCCCTTTTCCATGCTCTCGATTTGTACGAAAACGGCGTTACCAATGTCAGACTAATCACTCAGGGTAAGTTTCCACAATTTCTGCTTGCCAAGATCTTTCGTTTAATTTTTGTCAGGAATAAAAATCGATGGCTCATCAAAAATATACACACAATATATTATCAGGACAACCTCGCGTGGGCAACACTGCATTCGCAAACTATGTTATTGATACTGGTATCCCTTACATGCGTGCTGTGAACCAGCGTGATGGTACGTATAAAATCCCCTTCGTCTTGCAGCCTCTACCACTGTTAATAGCGACGGTCTTTCTATGCATTACTCATCGCAAACTACAACGAATTGTGCTTTTTTGTATATCCAGTGGTGCCCCATATTCCTGATCTCGGCTTTACTCACAGCGGAGAGGAATTCTGGGAAAGCACCGGTCTTTTTGGCGGCGTTCGTAAGTGAAAGATTGAATGTTACATACGCTCTATTTTATAATAGGATTCTAATACCTTTCAAACAACAGAGGTCTGCCCTAATGGTATTGAAACGGATGACTGCGCAAACTCCATTGCTCCATTCACAAGTTTCACTGATCACACAAGGTATATTTTTATGCGATAATAATGGCAACCCTTTTTCTGCACAGAAAGACGATGATTATCATGGGTATCTTCTATTGCTAATCCTGTAACGTTTTGAATACTACAGCTACTTTGGTATGACCGTCGGTCTTTGTCTTCTTTAAAAATTGCTGGGCGATCTTACCTTTCCTCTTTGGGTAATCACTCCCATAACAGCAAAGTGCAACATTACTAGTCTAGCTCTCTCTTTTTTATGACTGTTAGTCCATTATTCAGCTACATATCAAATAAAATGTACTATTTTATGCTTTACTGGAAGATATTGGTGTACCTTAGTATTGGTGATTATCATATATATGTCACTATATATTTTTCTTTGCTGGCTGCTGTCCCTGACGCTGAAGTTGCTTCTTCTGTCGAATAATAATTTCTTGCTAATAACTGCTTACATGAGGTTAACCCATTAGAAGTATCAGAAACGATGATATCTTCTAAATTGCAACGTATATCTATACAATCTGGTCAACATGTGCCTACCATATCAGTTAGGTGATGAAATCTCTGTACATTATGTACGCTATTATTAAGCCTCTTTATTTTTTTCTCTTCAACTGATACATTTGATTTCATTCGAGCATTTTTGAGAGAGCACTAGCATTTTTGAGAGAGCACTAGCATTTTTGAGCTAGCAGTATACAGTACCCGCTCATTAGACCGATATTTCGTTAAACCAATCACTTCGCTAAAATACCAGGTTGATAAGTAGTATATATGTCATATAGTGGACCCTTAATCTTTAAACCGATCATTCGTTAAACCGATCACTTTCTCGAAAAACAGAGGTGATCGGTTTAACGGGCGGTTACTGTAAATTAAAAAGCGGGTCTTGTATTTACTGTCGAGTCGTCTTGATGCCGGCCACCATCCGCAAAGTTGTACCAATGATCATGTGACCAGTCAATATAAACTCCTGCAAAACTAGAAGACGTTCTTGACATGGGGTGTCTTTCCATAAAAGAGGACATCGCACCATCAGCGATTCGCAACCCTGTGAGCTGCAAGTGTCGGAATCCCGACGCATGATTCCACAGAGCATCAAAGATCATGATATAAATGGTTTGCCAACGACGCAAAGACAGATACGTTTGAGGGCTGATGTGTGTCTGATATCGTTGTAACAATACGGTGGCTGCGATCCCCGCCTTCCTGAGGTCCATCAATGCAGGACCGACAAGCAAGACAAATCGAAATCTTGGTGTCAGGCGAACGATGACACAATGCCGCGATTGCGCACTTCTTTATTGTTGTTGTTGCTACGGTTGTCTGCGGTAGTACTGCTTCTTCTTCTTCTTCGTCATATCCCTCGTCAATTCTGAGATTTAGCGTTTTCAGTGTATCCTGTCTTCTTTTAGCAACTTCACGACACCTTCACTGCAGTTATTTACGGTCTTATAGTGAATGGATACGGTGCTCAAACCTTGTCCGCCGGAAGAAAATGTTGTTGTTATTGTCGATGATACATCTTTCTTTTTCCTCTTTATTTTTTTTTTGCTTCGGTTGTCATGCTCTGCATCATATACAATACAATAGCATTGTGTATACAATGGTGTCTCTGTCCTTATCTAAAGCTGGCTGGACAATGCTGCTCGACAATGGGAAGTACGTACCGATGCACCACAAGCTCTCAAGTGCAACTACCCAATGTAAGATGTACGTTGCAAGATGAAACCAGAAATTGGCTGTCCGTACAGTATCGAGGTCAAAGATATATCGAGATCAAACTATATGAGTGAGCCCAGGGCAACTTGCAAAGGACCAAAGGAATAGAAATAGCGTTATCATCGTCCATGGCTGTTGTAATAATTACAGTATTTGCCAAGATGTAGGCATTTTATGTAGCGTATCCCTTACTCGGTATAGTGCATCATCCAGCAATGACCTCTGGACGCTAAGTGTGTTGATGTAACCTATAATGATAGAAGCAAGGTATTACAGCTACAGTATTGTACAATACATACGCATATACGATTGTTTTTGAGTGTATTAGAAAGCGTAACATTGCATACCTATTTGCTGGTTTAAGCTGGGTGATCACAAACACGTATCATTTGCCACATAAAACTATCGTATAGAATCCGCGTCTCGTACTGTAAATAAACCAATATCCGGGAGTATCTTGATTATCATTTAGATATGTACCGATGCTTCGGTCACCCAAGACCAGCGCACACCAGAAACCCTTTATCTCAGGACACATCTTTACCAAGCAGTTGTTACGCGTAAGCTTTGAGAAAGACGGTCGAAGAATAATTGTGAAAATTTGTAGGTACAGATTTCCATTGGTAAAGCGCTACCAAAATCACGTCGCTTTTGGAGCAGTTGCTGTGCCGATGTTTTGGCTTGCAGCAGCTTTGCAAATCGTCAACAGCACTCATGTGCTGGTTGTTCTAAACAGCAGCAAGTTCCTAGTACACGCCAATTACATTGTGTACTTGTTTTTGTTTCTAAGCCATCCACCGGTGCGCAAGTATTCTGAAAACTCGGATAAAAATCTCCCGTTCGCTCACATCATGCTAACCGTAGTCCCAACAATTTGATTAGGTCGTTTGCCGCGTTGAGGAGCTCGTCGCGCGGATCGAAAGCATAGGCAGAAAGACTTGCTTGTAGTATCAAGTCCATAGTAGCAATGCCAGCAGCCGCTAGTGTGTTGGTATTGTAATTAGAAGTAGGAGCGCGTCTGGCTGAATTGGATGATTTTGAAGATCGTGATGTTTTCGGCATATTGCTGCTGGTAACGGGTTGCTTAAAAACAGACGTTCGCCTGACCTTTCCTTTTTTCTTTCTATCGAGAATCCGCCAACACATCATGCATAATCACTTTGCTTGAATACAAGGCTAATTTAATAGAAAAAGGAAGCTGGAAATATATATTAAAAAAAGATGAAGATCCATTCAGCAGTTTCATTATCAAGCAAAGGTGAAATATTAATGAGGGTTTCAATGCGATGTGCGGATAAGCAAATGATGTATGGGAATCAAAGACGACGATGGCTTATAAATAAAATCTACATGTTGATAATTTGATCCCTAGAAAAATTGATCATTGCACGAGTTAGTGATCCAAAGCGAGCAGCAGCTTTCTGGAAGTCAAAAGTTCTTACCTGTACTCATCGATGTTCTCCAGTGTCAGTACCACTAAAAAAGAAACATCACAATTAGGCCAAGAGAGTTCGATATACGTTACATATTTGATCACTTACCCAAATCGCGCTTTGTCATCGGCTTCTTTGTTAAAGGACAAATGTTCTTTTTGCCCTCCCAATTCGTAAGACAACGGACCCAGCTATCATATCTAGTGTATGTATGCGTTTGTGAGTGACTTTTATGTGCATAGTCTCCTCCATTGAAAGTTGACGAGTACCACTAAAGCGAACTTACCCCATGACATGGCCATACTTGGATATTGCCGGTTTCACCACGTCATCCAGCGTAATGGGGTCGATAAATCCAGGAAGCGGATTATCCACATTGCTGTCTTCATTGCTATCAGCATCTCCGGACTCTTCGTCTTGGTTAGTATCATTATCCTCTTCCATTAATCGCGATCGAGTGCGCCGGCCGGATCGTGTTCGTGTGCTCATTGTATAGGTGCCAGAGTTATCATTGTAGTCTTCAAAGTCATCCGATGCGTCATCATCGCTGTCCCAGCCGCGAGTCTTTCTTTTCTTTCGCTTTGTCTTTCTGTCGGCGCTTGGCGAGGCTCGAGTGGATTTAGTACGTGTTCCTGCAGACCGCGATGAGGATGGGACCCCCGATGCTCGTCCTGTGCCGTGTTTACTGTGTGTACGGAAAGTTTTCTCCACTTGGCCATTTGCTGTTTTTTTGTCAAAGAGATAGTGTGCCTTGCCCTTTTCATCGAGAACGTAGTTTGGATCATTGATTTCTCCAGTTTCAACTAGAAGACGATAAAAGTTGGAACACTAAGAACAGTGAAGGTGGACAAGGCATTCAAATAAATATCGTCGATATATGTATATACGAGCACATATGTTGTGCGTTTGATAGAAGTAACAGAACGAGAGATCAAAGCATAAACTCACCTGATAGCCTACTCGACCAGGAACCTTCATTGCAAAGATACCCCATTGTCCATTTGCACCAACTTCTTCCAATCGTGCAAAGAACACCTTTCTCTCATCTTCATCCCACTGGCCCTTTCGCTGAATTTCACCAGGTGCGTTGAATCGGTAATAGTAGCTGTTGGGATTCTGATCGATCATTTGGTACGCGCGAATTCGAGCCTGGGACCATCCTTCGAACGCTTTTTCGGGATCAATTTGATTTTCTTGGACCTGCTTGAGCGCGTCATCCAAAGCGAGTCGTCCACCCATGCGATATTGCCTATCGTACTTTATATTAGTATATGTTCCCTTGAAATTTCATTTTCTTATTTTTATTCAGCTACCAGCGTAAAGACGCACTTTTTGGCTGTATCATTCGTCGTCTTCTTTAGCGTCTCGGAACGTTTTTTCAAGAGCTGTTGATAGGCTGTCTGCTGCTCTTCCGTCATAAATTGTTCTATACAAAAAGGTAACCATGTCAGCAATGCAAATATGTAATGCGATATCACAAATGCATCTATAAATAAAATAGAATAGACACTTACGTTTTGTTTCCACTTCAGGGGCATGTTTCGTAGCAATGACTTTGCGGATACCCAGTACATATCCGATTTGCGTCATACGCACAATCACTTCATCCTAATATAATCGTAGAGAAAAAACATGCAATTTTTTGTGTGTGTTAGAACCCATAACCCCTATTTTTTTATGATTTCTATTCTGACTTGTGTTTACCTCATCGTTTTCACAATCGATCAGCATTTCATCGATCTCTTCAGCAGTGAGGTAATCGAACATGGCCTTGATCTTTTTGTACTTGCGAGCTTTGTCTCTGCGCTCAAATTCCTTGAATTGTCGTTGTTGAAGCGCCACTCGCTTTTGAATAATATCCATATCCGCTTCTGTCACTTCTTCGCCAAACACATTGTCTTTACGTATCGTCTCGATCTCTTCACTAAGCAAGCCATAAGCCAAATTACGTTAGTATTATTATTCCTCAATGTAATAATTTGCCCATTTTCCGGTCGCGTCTATTGTTAACTCACGTTTCCATACTGGAGAGCTTCCAAAAGTCGCCCTCATTTTCTGCAGAGTCTTCAACAATTGGCTTCAAGTTACGCAGTTTTTCCTGACCATTGCAAGAAAAGTAAAGCGATCTATTTAGTGAAACCATTATGAATGTTGAATGGCTTAATTACTCACCAGGATGGGTCTTATTTGAATGCATTCGGGAACATTGGCATTGCGCCAGGCGACAGAGGATTGCTTTGCCTTGCAAGGATTTGCAGTGTCTGTGTTTTTTTGGTGTTTGAAGTGAATACACGTGAGTGTCTCTTCATTAAAGTCCATGAGAATAAGTTCTCAGGGACTCAAGGTACGTTACCTTCTTTGAAAAACTTGGATACAAGTCTTTCCACCTCAGGAGTGGATTGTTTTTTAGCGCGTACCATGAGCGGTATAAATTAAAAAAAGAAGGTTGGAAAAAGAAAAGGAAGAGGAAGGAAGTATAAAAAAAGCTCAGCACGCGACGCGGTGTGCAACAGCGCGTTCCTGTTTAGGTAGTCTTGCTGTGTTGTATATGTGGTAACGCGCATGAAAATTATTAGACTTTTACGCGTCGTTTAACTTGTTACGCGACAAAGAGTAAACAGAATATTGGGAATCGACACATTTGTTGTGAATCGACTGTATTAGCATACATTTTGTGACAGATGCAAGTGTAATAATGAAACAATAAATTTAATCTATAATCTACCATTACTGCAGGCTGGTGCTAATCAATAGCATATTATGGCCACAGTTTCCGCCTTTATGATAAAGACTACTACTTCCTCATACAATAGCCGCTACAATAGATGGCGTAAGCATGGGCATGAGCATAACCATGCGGCCAGTTCCACGCTGCGATTTGATAAGCAGGGCCTTCGAATAAACTACCGCATCCTGTGCAGTTGCGATACGCTTCCGACAGCTTCAATCTCTGGATATACGAGTTCAACTCGTCTACGACCTGCGGAGTAGCAGTATCTTTTCGTCCTTGTTGCTGCCGTGAATTTACAATCATATTTGCTGCAAGATTCTTGAGTTCCTTTCTTCTCGGGGTCATTGTGGTTGCAATAGCTTTCGTAGTAAACCATTCTTGATATGCTTGATCGCCAAATTCCAGCCTTTCCTCTCGAGAGAAGGTGCACTTCATTTCTGGATCGTTCTTGTTATAGACGGCATGCGATCTTTCGTGGTGTAGGTGGAAGGTAATTGTAGCCCCGTCGCGTTTACTGGGCTGCTTGTCCAAAAGCAAGGCATACTGCCCACGACTTACACCGCCATCCACGCGGAGCATGCCCAGACTGCAGATCTGTAAAGGCTTTCGGTAGCTGATAGTGGCTTTTACGCCAAACAGTGATTTGAACGGTGCGCCTTTGGGAGTAGGTGGTATGACAAGTGGTATTTTACGTAAAGGAAATATTAGCGCTCGGGTAGCTTCCTCGTTTGTTGGTGTTGTCGGCAACGGAAGAAAATCATCTGGATAGAAGCCCGTCACCTCTGGAAGCGCACGGCGCTCAACTCGAATTGTGCCACAGTCTTCTTGGGAATCACGCTGAAAGCTTTCTCCTACGGAACAGAAAAGAGCGTAAGTGAGTGATTATTTCGCTTAGTACGAATACAATGAAAGCGTGTCTACATTACACGTTCTTGGAGCAAGAATTTAAAGCGACTCACCTCTCCAAACAATAGATCCTTGAAAATTCACAATGTCAATATTGAACTGGTGCTTCGCATACAGGGTTACAAAATCGACGAGATATTGCATCCAAAAGATGTACTCATAGAAATTCTTTGTGCCGTTCCACTGAAGTGTGGTCTCCACTTCTTCATCTCGTTCTTCTTCTTGACAAGAAATGTCGCTTTCGTCGTCGATATTATTGTTCAGTTTGTTTCGATAGGTATTCACAAGAATCCAGTGGCATATGTTAGACGGTACTTTGGTGACGCCATACTGTTTAAGCTCGAAATACGAGATGCTTTTGTCGTGCTTGTTGCAAAGAGTACTGTTAAATGACGTTTCTAACGGTTTCGGCCAGCCGCGCAAGTGATGAACAATACCGTCGAATGAATGCGTGTCGCCTTCCCCGTATACGTTGTTTATGCCGCTACTGAGTGCATTGACAGTATTCAGCAGTTCTTCAGGCAGGTTTGGTGTAATTATGATGTGACCTTCAAAGTACGTGGGATAAACCATGTGCGTTAAAGGGGCGTGTGGTAGCACAAACGGAAAAGGGGAAAGTAAGGTTTTAAGAATTTGCTTGGGTGGTAAAAGAGAACTATTTAAGCTTCTTGTAACAAAGAATTGTGTAAAGACCAAAAAGTACACACTTGAGCTTTGTTATAATTACTCGTTCAGAAGCTTTAATGCAGTTTAAACAGCATCACGCCTATCAAAATTCTTCACCGCTTTGCTTTGTAATCTTTGATTGTCTCTTTTATTAATGAAGTAGCAGGTTCATATAGCACCTTGGGCTGATTCTTGTCAAAAGACCATCCTACAATTGTTTGAATGTTCCATCAGACCCAGATCTTGATGTGCTACTTTAAAGATACGCTCCTCACCAATAAAGTGATCATCAGAGAGTGAAAACAGTGCACTATTTCAGAGAGAGAATCAATACGCATATACACTCGTATATATAGTAAACACAACGAGTTTCATAATATCCAGAAACAAATGCCAATCCTGCTTGCAATTGAGTTATACAGTTTTATAGTGTTTTAAGGGGTGGAGAATGAATTCTTTATTTCAAAGTTTAGCATACTTTTCATACACTGATGTTATCGTCTTCATGTCGAGTCATTTGGTGTCACTGCATATGCATAATTCGGCATAATCATTCAGGCAGTAGGTCTCATTCCTTTCAATGACTACTTTGCAAAGGTTTCGTATTTTGACCATATATGGGAACGTAAGACAATCCTATAATTTCGAAAATATAGCATCATAAAGTCGAATTAAAGAGCTTTGAACAAACACATACTGTACAGATACCTCAAATCAGCACATATTCAAAGTCTATTTCGCACTACATGTATTCAAGACTATTGCTTCACACATATTCTATATCAGATATTAAGTTAGCTCTTGCTTAGTTGAATAAAGGTGATTTCCAGATTTTGATGTATAAATGTTAGTATCTTCCTCCCCACCATCGCATCATAATCTCATCCTCCTGACCTCGTTCCATGCCATAAGAAGTATAGGCAACTTCGCCTTACATAATATATCAAAGCCTGTATTCTGGAATTAGTCTTTCGCAAGAGATAATTTACGTATTTTTTTTTCCATCCAATTGATACAAAATAATGTGACATACCATGGCTCTTATTGCTGTGTATTTCTAGACTGAGCGGTCTTCCTGACTTTCTGATCGCTTTTATGTATCAATAAGATGTAGTTGCATTCAGTAAAAAAAGACCAAATGAAAAATGTAAAGTAGCTGAATGTAAAGAGAGACAGAAAGCAGTACGGTAGCTCGATGAATAGTACTTGTTAACATAGTGTTTCACTGTAATTCCTCTCCATATCATTGTAATAGACATAATGTCATCTATTTACGCGTCTCTTATTTTGAGTAAATGACACATATACGCAATTTGTCCAGTCTGTGTACGTTTATACGACCAATTACTCTCTACGCGAAACTCCACATTCAGCTTAAAGAGAAAGCAGTAAAGGAAGCTGGTATGTAGTGTGCAATTGTTATTATTTTGAATGTGCGAAATATCTAACGTAATCTGTGTAGAATTTGGATAATGTAGCTTATTGTTCAGGAGTTTTTGTCAAGGCAATGGCGCTAAAGCTAGTCTGATTCGGATCGCGGGCGATATATTGTCGCATCACTTTGGCAGCTCCCTAAAAAACATTTATATAAACACGCCTCATTAATATCTCAGCATTCACGCCATGTAGGATCAAGTTATGTTTTTAAAAATATGTATGATACACACCTCCACTAAATCCAGGCACTTGCCGTGGTTGATCGGAAAAAGTTTACGCCCATCCAGCTCATACAGATGCTGATCCTTGACAACAAAGCAAATGAAATGCAAATCCACCTCTGCGCTCGCATCCGGTACCTATCATGTATTCGAATACGCAAAAATGTTATAAACCCAAGCGTAAGATACTTGTGTCTTCTCCCCCATACCTCCGTCCTCCTAATCCTTTTTTTATTACTTGTGTTTGACCGGCCTGGGCACATGTCTTATGGATATCCGCCAATTCCTTGGAATTCTCAAGCATCTCAGCTCGCTCTTCCGGCGACATATCCTTGGATTGATCAATCAAATTGCGAAAAAGACCCGGACCTGAATATATCCACAACATGCATCAATGTGTGTGTTTGTAGGTCTACCAACCCTCTCACTCCATCCCATTGCGAAAGAATAGAGCTTTTTTGTACTTTACCCACGATCGAATCATTGTTAGCTAACGAATGCAGCAAAGCAATCATACCACAGGCGTTGGCGATCGTCTGTTTGAAGAAGATGACATCGGGGCACACATTTTGTTCGTGCTTTGTCAAGCGAGCCTCTTCCTCTTCCTTGTGCTTTTCATAGTTGTCAGTCAAGGGAAAAAGAAATACAAATGCAGTGACAGGATGTGGGATCATATCCAGCAGCTCAGCATCGAAACCTGATACACACGGCGCACACATGCATTTTGTACCGTTAGTGTATAAACATTTTGTGCTGGCCTTTTTTTGTGATTCATGCATAAAATTTAAAAATACGAACCGTATACATCGGTATAACTCCATGCCGAACTTACACCATGGGAATGAACGAGCTACAATCAGATTGAAAAAGAGAGAAAGTGTAATAAGAAACGTGATCGAGGTGCTTGTTCAATAGGTATAACGCATAAATGGGAAAAGTTAGTAATATTCTCCTTACTTGATTCCAGACCTGCAGGAATGTTCTAGCTTGTGAGGACGCAATTCACATTTGGGCTTAATGGAACAGAGAGAGAGAGAGAGAAAAAATAACAGCAACTTACATCTGGATTGCCTTCTAATGGTGCCCACCTCACTTCTGGAGATTTCTTTTGCGGGGTATCACTGTCGTTGCTGTCACTGCCACTGCTGCTATTGTCCATGCTGCGGAAGGGTTGGAACAATGAAAAATCAGAGCTGTTGATAAAAATGAAATGCGATGGTTTCGTTATATACTGCCCCGTAGCATTTTCCTGTTTTCTCTCTGTTTCCGTTCCCTATATCCTTTTTTCTGGGCACTTTCTTCTCGTTCCTTTCGGCTTCCTTTTCCAATAAGACCATCATGTCGTCAGATACTAAGCGAGACGTCAACGGCGACGCCTGGAGTCGGCTCGACAACCTCGTGCAGCTCTCATACTCAGCGACAGATGTCAGCTTGGTCTTGTCACAGTATAAGAACCATTGCTGGCAGCTGCATGTATTGAGCGAAAAGCGTATGTATCACATCAAGCTAAACAATGAAAAAGAACTGGAAGATGTCATGGTGCGTCTTGATTTCAAAGTCTTTTATGTTTCATCTCATCGTGAGTACATCAACGTGTATAATGTACTCTACTCTCACACTGATACTTTTCATCACTACATTCTTTTCCCCTATTATATGCACAACAAAACCTCAGCAACAGCGGCAGCCGATTGCATCGTCACCAGACCAGTTTGTGGAATGGTTTTCGACAAACATGGTCCAAGGTCACCTGTCGTTTGTAGAATCGGGCAAAGTTTGTATCACTTTTAATGCATCATGCACATCATCATCATCACCGGTGACTGTTTGGCTCATTCTTATTCTTTGTTCTTGATGGAGTGTAGCTGAAAATCGGTGACAAGGATGAATGGCTAGAGCTACGATTGGAACAAGTTGACGACACACGCTGTCGTCAAGAAATCTCCTGGCAACTGCTGCTAAAGGTAGCCACTTTTTTCTTACTTGCTTCTGCGTTGGGCACAACATGGACATGCCTTTAAAGATTCGTTGATAGTTTGCTCAACACATCCAAAAAGAAGGCTGCGTCATCGACACCCGCCCACTACGATCGTCGTCGTCGTCGTCTTCAGGTACAGTTTATTTCGTTATAACCTGTGTCACGCGGGGTTTGAGGGGTAAAGGGGCGGTATTACAATACGCCTGCATTATTAAACTAAGCGCGCGCGCGTCTTTCTACGATTCGTTTTGTGACTATAGCACCGTTGATAAACAAACTGCAAGTAAGGCTTTTGTTGCTGTTCAATAGCTAAAAGTAACGATATGCGATATTTCCGTCACGCATTTCTCATCGCATAGCGTCCCATTTCGTGTATGACAGGAAGAAAACACCACTCTCAAATCCGAACTGGAAAAAGCATCCATGCAGCAGAAACATGCAGCACCCGATTACGGTGGTGCATCATCTTCGAGCCGGCCTCGTTCAAGGCCAGCAGTTCAACCACGGACGGAAGGCATGAGCCTTATCAACCCAAGTGTTAAAAAGTAAGGACAAGCACTCGGGAAAGGAGCTACTACTGTATCACAGCTACTAATATAGAAAGGTAAAAAAAAACGAACAATAAAAACAGGCGGAAGCGAACACATGCCGAATTCGCAGAACCTTCGGCGCAAGTTGGATGGGACAACGACGCCTTTGACTCCTCCTCATCATCAGACGTTGACGGGTGATGCACGGAATAAGGAAGGCATACAGTATAGTACGGGCTTAGCACAAAATGTATATATATTTTCAAGGATAACAGCAGAGAGAGAGAGAGAGATAACGATAATACACACTACATATTTTTTCATCGAAACAAGCAAAGAATCGATTTAAGGGTAGGGGAGAATATGGGATATAATAAGACTAGAGATATATGTGACCAAGATGTAGCCTATGACGTCCTTTTCCAGCTGCCAAGACAATCTTCATTTTTATGGTGGATGAGGGTTATAGCGCTCTCCATTGCTAATACTTCAATATGATGTAGAAGGCATGGATGACACCTAGATTTGCAGAGTGTAAAGGAACCATCTTAGTGCACTATTACACACCCTGGCCCATCTGTTTTCGAGACCAACCACAGCCCCAGAACAAGTAACACAAAAAGATCCAACTTTTTACCTGGAATCCAACCGAGGATGGTGAGACCAATGTTGATCAACATGTCGACGGTGCAGCCTATTGTTTTCAGACAAAGACTCTGTTAGTGTCAAGAAACCCAAGGCAGTAGCTGTAGTCGTCACTGGAAACAAAGAGAAAGTACATACCGCGTTCGGCGAAGACACCCAAAGGTGGAAGGACGACAGCTATGAGGAAAGAACGGCAATAACATCTCTTTTGTTAGCACTAGCCAGCTAGGAGGCAGCAAACACGGTCATGACATATCAGACACTCACCCAAGATGAATTTACAAATATCGCTAGAGACAAAAGGACACAAGAAACAGTTGTTGTCAGCGATGAGCCTTAGCTTGCCGCGTATCAGAAGTGAGAGTGTTACCTGCAGGTTAAAGCCATGTTTGAAACGAGTTGAAAAGTGAGAAGAAGAGGAGAAAGAGAATTCAGGAAAATCGGAGGATGTCGACTCTTTATTTATAAGTAAGCTGACCACAAAAAGCAACAGAACAGAAGAGAGAAAAAAAAGTTTCATGCAGTCCGGTTCTCCCGAGCCAGGCCACAAAAGGCGCTCTGCTGTTTTGTTTAGTGCCGTCTGTCATAATTGCGATGCCGGTGGTGGTCACGATGCGATGACCGATTCCTGTTGTACGACCCTTCTCGGCGGTCGTGATGGTGTGGCGGCGGTGATCGTGAGCGTTCTTCGTGTCGCCGCCGTTCCCGCCGTCGCTCAGGACTACGCGACCGGCTTCTCCTTTTTGACACACTTTGATTCTTGGCGCTCTTGCTATTATGGCCATCTTTTTCTTTTTCTTGCTCCTTGTCCGACAGCAAATCATCCCATGCACTCCACCGACTATCATCCCCTTCTTCGTCGTCATCCTCATCCTCATCGTTATCGTATTTTCCACCATTATCATTGTCTTTTTCCTTTTCTTCTTCTATGACTACCGCAGGTCTCATGTTGTTGTTGCTGCTGCTCTCGCCGCTGCTGGATTTGCGCTTCTTTTTCCTGCCAAACTCGTCCCACTCATCATCTTCATCCTTTCGAGAACGCCGATATTCCACAACATGGTCTCGTTCCATATAGCCGCCTCCGGCACCTTCACGCCGAGATTGCTTTGACTCGGTTCCTGGCTGTGCTGCTGAACATTGGTTGCACGTATTGCGTCGAGCCCAGTTAATATTTCCGCACCTAGCAGCAGGCTATTATTAGCTTTTTTTATCCTTCGAACATCTAAAAGAACATATTACTGTGACGTAGATCATAAAAGAACTTACAGATCGCATTTCCAATCGTTGGCAGAAAAAAGACCCTGTCGTCAGCCCATGGGAGAGAGAGTATAAAGAAAGGTAAACACAATTGTATACACCACACCAGTAACATATAAACCACTTATTGTCCTCGACTTTTGCTGCTCTGCTTTGCCTTGTACTTTTCCGCGCCGTCTTTGCCAATGTTACTAGACGATCGTTCCGATCGCTCCGACCTTCTTGAATCACGCTCTCGTCGAGACATTTCAATAAAGAGAAAAAGTAACGTCAGGAGTGTCGCGGGAGAGGGAAAACCAAAAATCTGTGAAAGTCTTATAAGGAGTTTCAAATCGTATAGAGTGTCTAAAGCTTTATTCAAGTGTAACTTGTTCACATTGTTCACACTCACACACGACTAACTTGCTGATCCGCCTGTTGTCGCGAAGCAGTTGTATCCCATCATTTGTAATATCAGCCAGACACCAAAAAGACACTTCTTTGAGTCTCGGTAATGCGTTGATATACTGCAGTGTCGTGTCAGTTATGCCTGTAACATAATCTAGGGATATCCTGTGAATTGGCGATTCTCGCTTGACGAGCTTTTCAAAAAACGCATCCATCGTCCCAGCCGATAATTCGCAGTCTTGAAGATCGAGTTGCTTCAGTGTGTTGATCTCAGCGATAGAATCCAGTATTTCGTCCATGTCGAATCCGCAGTGTAAAAGCACTAGATGCTTGATGCCAACAGCACTGTTTTCATTTGCAATAGCTTGTTGCTGTGAAACTGTGGCAAGGTCGCGAAAGAGGTCTACGATCCCGATCTGATCTTCTGCATCAAAAACACAGTCCATATATAAATAGGACAGGGTGTGGACACACTTCTGCCTTATCGTCTCGACGAGGTCTCGGCCGATCATATCACAATCATGCAGTGAGAGAGCCTCTAGAGCAGGCGCACGTCGAAGCAGGTCAATTGAAAATGAATCATTGGGTGGGGTTTCGCTGAAATACAAAAGCAGATTTCGTAGTTGAGAAAATGAGACCTTCTTGAATAATGCCGACGATAGTGATGATGACTGTTGTTGTCGTTGATGTTCGCGTAAACAAGAGGAACTTGCTCGAAACTGTAGATCCAGCGTTTCCAATTCGTCTGAATTGTCATTGCCAATTATATCGTCGAGATATTGAAATTTTTCACCCAGCCTTGAATATACTTTATTCTTCCTTCTGGTAGAAAGAGCTGTGAAGCCGCTTCGGCACTGCTCTGATCCTTGCTATTGTTGTTGTCATTGCCATCGTCATTACTGCGGGTCAGTTGAATATGTGCTCCTCCCCAATGATAGCGAGTTCCCTTATACGTGTATCTCTTCATAGTTTGAGCGCGTCTGGATAATCATTCACTTTCCATTCTGCATCCATGTATGCTTAGGTTGCATACGTTGGGACAACGTGAGAGGATTTCCTCTAAAAGCGGCTCGGGTAAAGACTTGAGCTTGAGTTCAAAATCGACCAATGCGGGTCGAGACGATTGTTTTTGTGGTCGCGTGGATCCAGTTTCTGTTTCTAGTGCTAATGGCGGTAATGTAGCGTTGTACTGTACGTAGCGGAGCTTCGTGAGGTTCTCGCATGTATCCAAGATCGTTCTCAAAGGTGCTACAGGCCATTCAACTGTTGTAATGCGAATACTGAGTTCGGTCAAAGTGTCTTTTATCTGGTCCAGTGCCGATATAAAATGATCGCTGCCGTCTGCTCCTTGTCCGATGAATGTCTCGCCGCCTAGACATACATTATATCGATTGGTCAATCCATTCGTTGATTAACAACTCTTTTCACTTGCAATATGACGTTCTGTACCATACTAACCTTCAATATCAATTGTGCATAGCTTTTTGAAATGACCATTCTTTATCACTGCATATACGCTATTGCATTGATCGCTTGACAGACCTAGCATTTTGAGGTGCATGACGTGCGGTGCAGCATCCTCCAAACTAGGTACAAAATCCGGGTAGCTGTCTCGAGAAATCAAGATAGTGGACCATGCCTCCCGGCACGTAGCAACCCGATTTCTCCATGTGCAGGATATGTTCATTACTGTTGTCAGTTCTTGGACTGTCAAGAGCATCAATATACGCGACAGAATCTCCTGCGGCAAGCTAGCGACGCGATCGACTATGACATTGGTGATTGTAGTTGCTGTACCTGAATTGCATTCACTTTCGTGAATGTGGTTTAGTTGACTTTGTTGCAGGTCGTAGGTTGGTACAATCGTAGCTGATGTAGCTGCAGTGGAAAACTGAGATGGAGACCGTCTCATATTATCGTCATTCTTGCTGTCACCGCTGTTAGAATTCTGTAAAACTCTGGTTTCGGTTGCCATAGTTTAGTTGCTATGACACAGCAGAAATCACCACGGCAACGACAGTTTCTTCCCTTGAGGTTATACGTTTGACTGCGCCAATACATTTACGGAACGTGAACAGATTATCCGATTATGTACTGTACGTACAGCGAGGAACAGAATATGGAAAAAGATGTACTTGTTGGTCTGCTTGGAGCCGATAGTGTTGACCTTCAATCACGTGGGAACGCAGCGCAGCATCATTGTGATGCTTTATAAATGGTGACACACCGCTCATTCTCTCGTTTCCTTCACCTTTTTCAATCCACTCATATCACGTCTTGAACATATTTTCTTCGTATACGCTACACCAGTAATAACGGCTAGTGGCTCCAACAATGACGAACAACAACGACTCAGCAAGCAATGCAACGTCAATCGCCTCGCTACCAGGCGAGATTTTAGACCAGATCTTCGAATTCTTAATTGGGTATGACATTATTGAATGTCTATGCGTGTCACCGACGTGGAATACAATATTTCGTCGAGGGCTGTACAAGTCGGTGAACATCACTTCACAGTCATCATTTGCGCACTTTTTTTCAACGCTTCAACAGTCTGCTAAAAGATACAAGAAAAGAAGAGTCACGGCATCACCATCGAATACTAATATACCTGAAATACCGCGCGATATTGGCCATAATGTTCGGCATTTGCAGCTGAGTGATGGCTTGATGACCACCAGAACCATGGATAGGTTGGCTGACTATTGTCCCAACGTGGTGTCTATTACATACCACTGGCCCCCTATCAACAATAATTCTGAAAAAGCAACTTCAAGACGAGCATCGGCACCATCGTCGTCAGCTATTAAAAAGAAGTTTGGTATAAAGACACGCACTTTCAATACACCTATGCCATTCTTTCAGCACTTTCATCCGCCCGACCTCAAGGCATCGACGCTGATCGCGAATTACGGCTTCACTAGCGATGGATCTTGGAAGAATACAGACGCATCATCCCAACTGTTCCCTGTACTGCAGCATTTTTCCAAACTCGAAGAACTTGTTTTAAGCATGAAGAATTTACGCATCACCGTCACAGACATGGAAGTAATTCATACGATCTGCTCTGAGCTCAAGAAGATTGACTTTAGTGTCGCAGATTTGCGGTCACCGAGCAGTAGCAGTAGCAGTAGCAGTAGCACTAACACTAGTAGTGATGACGATACGCAGCTGCTGGAACAAGTTCAGCCAGCACGCACTGTCCAACACTTGTCTCTTCGCTCCCCTATATGGTGCAACGTACGTATCTGCAGCAATCCATGGTTCAACTATATTCGACACAAATACCCAGAGCTACGGGCTCTCAATCTTGCGCCGGATGATGATTTTCAAGAGGGAGGATTCTATATCACTGAAGAAATCGTATTTGGCGAACAAAATCCAGCGGCTGGAATTACACTAAAAAATCAATTCCCACGCTTGAAACACTTGGAGATCGGACGATTTGCTGGCAAACCAAGCACATCGTGGACACGTCTTATGAACGGTATCCCGTCAATTGTACTGCACGACGATGCAACAGAAAATTTTGACGGATGGATCAAAGCAGCAGCAACAGCAACAGCAACGACAGCATCAACCACCATAGCTGCTACTCACAGTTCTAATACTACCGATAACATTACCCTGCAGAGCTTGAAGTTAGCTCTGATACCCAAAAATATGGCTGGTCTTGTCTTTTGCGATCATCTACGAGAGCTTTTCTTGGACGGCAGGTTGTTCCGTATATGTCCAGGATATTGCCAAGTCTTATCGCTCAAAACCGTACTATCATGTCCAGCATTGGAAAAAATAGTGATTAAAAGATTCATAATTGAGTATACCGGAAACAGCAACAATAACAACAACAGGTCAGCAGCGACAGGATCATCAACATCTTCACTACCACCGACAACGACAACGACTATCTCACCTTTGAAGTCGTTAATAATCCATGAATCAGCGATTGCAAGTAACAATGTGTTCACTCAAGTTGGCATACGATGCCCAGATCTTGTCCATTTAGAATTGACATTCTGCAAGTGGAGCAGTAATCATGAACATCCAGTCATCCGCATTAATATGGCGCGCCAAAAACTTAAATATCTTCAGCTGGTTATGCCGAGCATTTGCCGACATTTTCGAAGCACCCCGACGGTCGGTATGGGATTTGAAGGAATCAGTGTTCATGGTGCACAGCAATCACGGAAACTCGTCGATCCGCTTCCTGGCCTTCCGGATTATTTGCTGTTGAAAAAGCAGAACGACGCTACTATTGCTGCGATTACTGCTCTGCCTGCAGAGAAACGGCTGGAAGAAGTAGAAGAAGCGAACGATGACGGACAAGAGTCAATAACACGGGTGCTTTACAGAATACAATCACTCCAGTCCCAACGACTACTTCTGGAACGCGTAAATAACAGGGCGGATACTGTCTCGTGGTTGGAGAGCGAAAGTGGAAATAAGCAGAGGGTAGAGGAAGTGGTTACGAACCATCGTTTGGTGAAAAACTGGTCTGTCATCCTGTCATTGCAAAGCGTTGATAATCTTTACTATAATGGAGCTCGACTGGATCACAAAGACAAAGATTTTACATGCACGACCAAAGATACTTTTGCATACTTGGAAAGCCTTGTCAACGTCTAATCTGACCAACGACAAAATAATCTGTATATATAGCATGCACAACATCGACAATCAACAAAGCGGAGCGCTTGATATATAGCATCTTGTATGATATGCATATGTTTACTTGAAAGATATTGTAATTACAGTATTATCATGTAAATTGCAAGAAGACAAGTATATATAAAAGCCTTTATTTGGTGTTTGATACACGATGTAAGTGATTCCACTGGATATGCGTTTAATTTATGAAACACTATGCGCGTAGCAAATCTGAATAAGTATGAGGATACGACCGCTGTAATTGCTACTATTTGCACGTCGTCATACTACAGCCATCAGGTAACAGCACGAAATGCATGATATATATTGCTGTTACTATTGTATGCATATATCGAAACTGGATGATATCTACTAGACATACATATACAATCTGACAGACTTACTTGGTTGGACTTCGTTTGATTTATCTATGGAACAAGACGTTATCGGAATGAAGCAAGTTCTTTATAAGGTGCCTTGAGACGTGGGGTAGACTATAGGCACATAGTTGGCACCTCCTTCTCATCATTCGACGTATATGAGTATATGTGATATTTGCATCATCACTTAAAAACAGTATGTTCTCTGGTCTTTTTGATGTTTGTGAATAAAAAACAAAATGTTGTAATGAAATTTTAATGTATAGCAGGTTGAATTAAAAGAGATCATATAAAGTTGACAAACAATAAAAAACAATAGGGATTAAAAGGAAAATAGGAATGGAGGAGTAAGGAAGAAGAGGAGAGGAAAGGGTGACTAGGGAGTTTTCAAGTAGGGGATGCGCTGTCATGGTTCGATGTAGTGGTGGATGGAAAAAGAAAAAGAAGCAGCTTTTCCTTTTGGGTAAAGTTTATAGGTTGGGATGTTGAGGTAGTTAGTAGTGGAGAAGAAGATTAAAACATAAATAGTATAGAGACTTATAAGTGTGTGGTGCGATGCATTGCATATGGAGATGCTATAACAGAAGAAACGAGAGCTGATGATGAGGATGATGATGGTGGTGGAGGTGCTGATGATGATGATGATGATGATGGAATAAAGGGGATAGCTGGTGGTGTGTAATAATGTATCATCAATAGTAGTGAGTGTGTGTCTGATCAGATTGGACGAGTGTATAAAAAGAAAAAAAGGGATAGAGTAGCGTCGAGCTATAGAGAACTTGTTTAACCCTTTCTTTTTTCTATGTACACTCCCTTAGTTAGTACTGTGGCAAAACCTGATTGAGGAATCGGACCAGCTCGACCGAGGATGCACACTGCAGGAGATTACTCTTGACATGAGCATCGATTTCCTACACGCAATCAATCATGTTAGCCCTATTTTCTTACTTTATCACACACATTGCATTACATACCAAAAGAACATCCTGAGCACTGGGTCTATTGCGCGCATCTTCGTCAAGCAGCCATGCAACAAGACCACGCATGTACATGGACGGGTAGCTGTAGGTGAAGGTTGGGCTGGGCTCAGTGGCAATAATGTCAAAGAGCTCCTCCTCATCCTTAATCAAGTAGTGCGGGGGCACACGATCCATCATCTCAATAACAGTAATGCCAAGCGACCACAAGTCGATCTTTTCGTCGTAATATTCTTCACGGATCACCTCTGGTGCCATCCTGGTGTTTTTTTTTTTTTGGTACAAAGCACATGATTAATCCCTTATGCGATCAGCAGTTTTTCTTCTTGTTCATACAGAATAGTGTGCACACTTTACCATTTAGTGGTGCCCAGCCGGTCTCTGTTTCCACGAGCCACACGAGCCGATAATCCGAAATCGGCTAATGGACATTGTATGATTAGCATAAAATAACAAATACGCATGTTTGTTTTTGTTTTTGTTTGGGGGGTTTGTAGGCGAATGTAGAGTTGTTTCTGTCGAGCATGATAAATACTATTCAGGGGTTGGTAGCATACCTAATTTGACTTCACCGTTGGAACCAAGTAATAGATTCTCACACTTGACATCACGATGCAAGAATCCCCTTGAATGAAGATAAATCAAGGCCTTCAAGGTCTCGCATGTAATGTGGACTGCAAATTCTTCGGGGATGCCTCGTTGGCAAAGCACGGCGAATACAGAGCAACGCATCAGATCCATGGCAATCCAGACATCGTCACGGCAAAGCGTCACTTCACGCAACTTGATCAGGTTCTTGTGCCCGCTAGCCATAATCTTCAGTTCTCGCAGGATCGCTGCACGGTATTCTCTATCAGGGTCGAGTTTGCAGCGTTTGATGGCCAATTGAACATTTGGCTTGTCACGATACGAGGCTCGGACGACAGCACCATTGACACTTTACGAGTCGGATCATAATTTGTAAAGAGAACAAAGAATAAGGGTTGAGTTATTCTATGTGCTGCTGTTGTCGTTGTTGTCAGAAGAAAAGAATGGTTATCGTTACCCAGTGCCGATTTCCTTAAAGTTGGTATAGCGTGTTCGTGGATCGGTGGAGCGCACAGTAGTCTTGGAAAGCAGTTTTCGCATTTTGCTTTCAAACTTGTTTTCTGCGCGAGCCAATGGAGGCAATTGCGGGATTTCATAGTGTGGGTTGGGAGGATACCAAGGGCGCTAGAAGAATAATTATCACAAGCATAAGACATGTGGGGTGATCTTTTTTTAGTTTCCGGTCATCGCAGTTATTAAAGAGCAGTCCGTGTAGTAATGCGACAAACAGGTGCAAGCTCTCGATTTGTACTAATGGAATTAATCAGGCCTCTGCCTACCTTTGTCACTTGCTTTGAGCGATCCGTTGGACGCAAATGAAAGGCTGTGGCAGGCGAAGGCTTCAGATACGCGTTTCCCAGGATATCTGGAATTTCGCAACAGCCTGGTGGACGCCAAATATCCTAAATGATGCACCAAACGTTACACCACTGTCCCCAAAAATTCCCTTCTCCGCCCTTGTTTTGTTTTTCTGGTAATAATTATTGCACACTTCTCTGTGTGTGTATACGCGGGTAGTGCACACCCCCACCCCTTCTCTCTCTTCCGTCCCTCTCTGACTCCTCCCTTCCTTTCAATAGCAGCAGCAGCAGCAAATAAACAAAACAAACCTTAGAGCCTGCTCCGCTAGTGGTGGAATTGCAAAATGACGATGCCCGTCGAAGGTTGCCGGTCGATTTACGTTTGGGGTGTGCTGTGGCTACTGTGGCTCTAAATGCGGACGCAGCTGTGCTGGCACAGTTGGGTTCCGATCGCGACTTTTGCATGACGGTGGTTGACTATAGGAATGGTGTTGTATAAGGTGTTGTGATAGATGTGGATATTTGGTGACGGTAAAGCGGGCGTTTTTTTATGTGATATGGTGTGTTTTGTTTGTAATTGAGATATATTAGCTTTTCGCTCGTAAACTTTTTGTTTGCGTATGATAGACGGACGAGGTAGGTTTGATAAATTGCTTTCAAGGAAGAAGAACGAGGAAATGGGAAAAAATATGTGGAGGATGCAAGGGAGGGAGTACTCAAGAAGAAGACTTCATAATCCTCTCTGATTTATATTTATGTATGGTGTCGATTGGGTGGATGTCTCTAGACATATATTACCTTGGCAGAACTGCTGTGATTTCGGGGAGCGCCCCGTCTGTCTGTAACGGCAATATGCATTCTTTGGATATGTCGCAACAAGGGATGAGCTATCGACGAAAGGGGTGAGGGATGATGATGCTTTAAAAAATGTAAAAAGGAAATAAGGAGGCTGGAAGTTCTTTTGGGATGTGGAAAAAGAAGACAAGCCTTTGCGAGAGGAAGAGGAAGAGGAGAGGGTAGGGTTGGATGCTGTCTATGTGAATGAGTCTATTGAAAAGGAGGAGAGCGAGTTGTTGTTGTTGTTGTTGTTGTTTGTTATAAAGAGCGTCGATATGTTGCGGGGGCGAGTGTTGTTTCGTAGGGGAGGAAAAGCGTTTGGATGGAGTTGAAAGGATCGAAAGAGGAAAAGAGAGGAAGAGAGAGAAGGAAGGAAGAGAAAAAGAGAGACGAGAACTGCTAGAAGAAGAGTTTGGGGGTTATGGCCGTATGACATTCAATTTAGTTCCATGCTCGTGATTCAGAGGACCAGACGGTCGTACACATTTTCTTTATTCATGGCTGATGTGCAACACACGTCGCTCGCTTTTCTTGCCTACATCGTCTCCGCTCATCCACACAGGCGCACCAGGTCTATGAATTCATGTTGCACAAGCCTTGGTTGTATAAAGCCCAAAATCATCATTCGCCTTCTGTCCTGACCTTTTGTTACTATCGTGCTCGTAGGAACCTTGGGAAAGTAGAAGGTGAAAGGGGGGCGGTAAGGTCTGGTCTTCTCGATGGGGATGGTGGCAAGTAGCAGCTGGGATAGCACGAGAATGGTTAATAGCAAACATCAAGTATGATCTACCCAGTCAAACTCATCTCCAACCCTTTGCGACAGAGCAATAAACCCTCATTTGAAGTGTCTCTATTTCTTATTACATACATGCTTTATTAAGTGTAGCTTAGCCGCAGCGGTACGACATAGAACAGGAGGAGATGGCGCTGTGGTTATTAGCATTGAACGAGTAATATCGAGCATCAAGTTCATTTCTATGAGTTAGTGCAATTGGCGGACGGGTTTATATAGAACAGTTTTTGTATCATGAAGTAATTGAAATTACCTATCACAGAGTGCTGATTGGAGCGACTTTTACATAGAGACTGACAACTAGCCAGAGTACAGCAGATACTGCTATGAAATGTACTGCGTACAGCTGCTGCTGGTGATTGTTCTTCGCAGTATATTGCATGATCATACAAGCATATAGCACAGGAAAACGTATATATAGAATTACACATGCAGTGTCTATTAAAACTCTCCTATTTCTACTGCTGCCATGCGATTGCTTTGTGTGATAAACTTTATTTTATGATAGCTAAAATGTCCCACTTAGCAGCAGCGGGACATACCCAAGCCACAACAATCCTGCGTGAGCCTGCTGGAAATTTCCCCAATTAATCCAAGCCCGACCTTTTTTTTTTCTTAGCGATTTTATCCACTCCACTTGACCTACACACACACCTTTTACCATGACCAACAAGCCGGTCGAAACCAAAAAGCGCAAGAAATCGCAGGACGCCAACAAGGCTAGCAAAAAGAAGCAGCAAATTGAAAAGAACAAGGCTAAGCCTGTCAAGAAGGAAGTCGAAGAAGAAGAAACTGAATCGATCTCTGCCGAAACTGCTGCTAAAGAAGAAGAAGAGCAACAACAATCGATCGATCAGGACGAGGAAACTGATTTACCTGCCAACGATAAAAAGACCGCCGACGATGAAGCGATTGATCAAGGTAAGAATGCTTTTCAATATTCTTCGAATTTATCTGTGGTTTATGCATTTTCCCCCTCCCCAAAACAAAGAAAGAGGTTTTTTTTGCCTGACATAATACATTTGTCCATGTAGCTGCTGAAAAGGCTATTGATTTCAACTTTGAGAATCTCGACGTTTGCGAAAAGACCAAGCAGGGTATCAAGGACATGGGTTTCACCAAAATGACCGAAGTACAGGCACGTACGATTCCAGCATCTATGGCAGGTCGAGACGTCTTGGGTGCTGCTAAGACTGGTTCCGGCAAAACCTTGGCCTTTTTGATTCCTGCTATCGAAATGCTTTATAAACTCAAGTTCAAGCCTAGAAATGGTATTTCATCTTTCTATTTAAAAATGAGTGCTGTTGGCCATATGCAAAGTGAGGATGATACTAATATGAGTCATCTTTTCCTCTGTCTTGCTCAGGTACTGGTGTGGTTGTCGTGTCGCCCACTCGTGAGCTTGCACTACAAATTTTTGGTGTTGCCAAGGACTTATTAGCACACCATCAACATACATTCGGCATCGTCATTGGCGGTGCTAACCGTAAAGCCGAAGCCGACAAGCTTGTCAAGGGCGTCAATTTGCTTATTGCCACACCCGGCCGCTTGCTCGATCATTTACAAAACACCCGTGGTTTCGTCTTTAAGAACTTAAAGGCACTTGTTATTGATGAAGCGGATCGTATTTTGGAAGTCGGTTTCGAAGAGGAGATGCGTCAGATTATCAGAATTCTGCCTAAGGAACGTCAAACCATGCTGTTCTCGGCTACCCAGACAACCAAGGTGACCGATCTTGCTAGAATCTCATTGAAGAAGGGCCCCTTGTACATTAACGTGGACGAACGGAAAGAGACATCGACTGCTGAAGGCTTGGAGCAAGGCTACGTCGTATGCGAATCGGACAAGCGATTTTTGCTGCTGTTTACATTCTTGCGGAAAAACGTCAAGAAGAAGATTATTGTCTTCTTTTCCAGCTGCAATTCTGTCAAATACCATTCCGAACTGATGAACTACATTGATGTGCCTGTATTAGAACTTCACGTAAGTCAGGTTTTTTTTTTCTTTGAGAGCGGATGGTAAGTCAGAATACGTGACGTCTGTACTAAATGTACTGGATCAATGTTTGTACGTAATAGGGTAAACAAAAGCAACAAAAGCGAACAGCCACCTTTTTCGAATTCTGCAATGCCGAAAAGGGCATTCTTTTGTGCACAGACGTTGCTGCACGTGGTTTGGATATCCCTGCTGTAGATTGGATCGTTCAGTTCGATCCCCCAGATGATCCTCGCGATTACATCCATCGTGTCGGTCGAACAGCGCGTGCAGGCTCTCGTGGCAAGAGCTTACTGTTCTTGCTTCCCAGTGAGCTTGGTTTCTTGCGGTATCTTAAGCACGCCAAGGTGCCTTTGAACGAATACCAGTTCCCTACAAGCAAGATTGCCAATGTACAGAGCCAGGTAAGACAAACAAGGAAAGGAAAGAAGGGAGCGAAAGCTATTCAAGCAAGAAGAGTTTTTACTAAGTACCAAATTTGTGATGACGTGATAGCTCGAAAGGCTGGTGGAAAAGAACTACTACCTCAACCAATCTGCACGCGACGGATTCAAGTCCTATCTCCAAGCATACGCCTCATTCAGTCTCAAGAAAATCTTCAACGTCAACAGCCTAGATCTCAACAAGGTCGCCAAGTCCTTTGGCTTCAATGTCCCACCAAAAGTAAACCTTGCCATCCAAAGTTCCAAGAACTAAAAAAAGAAAAAGTTGTATAATGTGCCGTGTTTTTATTATTATTACTATATATCAACAATAAACTGTTTCCATCATTTTGTGTTTTTTTATCATTGCATCTACATAAACGCTCTCTTTCTCTCTCATGTGTATACTAGGAATGTACCCTTCTGGTATAATTGACACTGCGGAGTGTGTATAAGATGGGTCAGTGTATCATAAACGGAAAGAAGACCTGATCTTTCCTCCTTGTCCCCAACAACTTTGCTATGGCTCCTATAGTAGACTATTCTCTCTACCTTGTCACTGACAGCTCGCTCGTGCCAAAAGACGCGACGTTTCTCGGTCAAATCGAAAAGGCGCTCGAGGGCGGTGTAACACTTGTCCAGCTTCGAGAGAAAGATCTCGACACTGGTCCGTTCATTGACTTGGCGTACAAGGTCAAAGCACTGACGCGACGATTCAATGTCCCACTCATAATCAATGATCGTATTGACGTTGCCCTGGCGATCGATGCCGACGGTGTTCACATTGGTCAAGATGACATGCCCATGTGTCGTGCACGTCAAATTCTTGGCCACAGCAAGATTATTGGTGTTTCGGTCAACACCATTGAGGAAGGGTTGGAAGCCGTGCGCGCTGGTGCGGATTATCTCGGTATTGGTGCTGTCTGGGATACTTCTACCAAGAAGTTGACCAAAAAGACGCTCGGTATCCAAGGCGTCAAAGGTATGTGCTTTCCCCTTTTGCTTTCTTTCTAACAGAACTTTTATACGTGGGGCTAACAAAGTTGCATCATGGATACGGCATCACTAGATATCCTGGCAGCCATCCCGCCGATCCCCAACGTCGCTATTGGCGGTATCAAGCTGAACAATGGCAAAGAGTTGCTTGCCAATACTACGGGTGTATCCGGCCTTTCGATTGTTTCTGCCATCATGGCTGCCGCTGATCCAAAGAATGCTTGTGAAGAATTGCTGGCAATGATTCGCGAGTATGTCCCCGGTGCTTCTCTGGAACAAGATGTCGTCAAATATGCTGTCAAAGCAGCTGCCCGCGTCAAGTCTGAATCTCCTCTGGTTCACCATATGACAAACAATGTTGTTATTAACGATAATGCAAATGCCACTCTGGCTGTTGGTAAGTAGGATATTTGAGAGGTGGTCGGATAACCGGCAATCCACATTCATGCTTCTGCTACAATATCTGATGATTAAATCATACACATACATAAAAAACACAGGCGCATCACCTATCATGTCGACGAACACCGAAGAAGTGGATGATTTGGCTGCCATCAACGGTGCCATGGTGGTGAATATGGGCACACTATCGCCCACAATGTCGGATGCCATGTTTGCTGCCATGCATAGCAATGCCAAAAATGGTAACCCTGTTATTTTTGATCCAGTCGGTGCAGCAGCATCGAAATATCGACGCGAGATGACACAACGGTTCCTGGATGAGTGCAAGCTGGCTGTGCTCAAGGGTAACACGGGCGAAATCCTATATATTGCCAACCGTGGTGGTCAATTGCGTGGTGTTGATTCTATGGGCGATAATGGAGGCGAAACAAATGCTGCTACTGCTGTTATGGAAACTGCCAAAAAGTATGGTTGCGTCGTTGCCATGACAGGTGCTATTGATTATGTGTCGGATGGCAGCCGTGTGTTTGCCATAGAAAACGGCAATCCTTTGATGGCGTGTATCACAGGCAGTGGCTGTATGGTATCCTCTATTGTCGGCTGTTTCACTGCAGGTAAATTTACGTTTATGTGTGTTCCCTCTTGTAGTTCAAGATCGACTAAAACAACAATCGTTTAGTAAACCGTGAAAACTACCTCTTTGCTACTATTGCAGCGTAAGTAATGATAGAGCGGCGACTATATTGTGTATATGCTAACTGATGGCAATAATGATCACAGGCTTCTAACGGTCACGGTCGCTTCTGAAAAGGCAGGAAGCCGTTTGGACGTAAACGGCCCAGGCACCTTCCGATCTGCACTTATCGATGAGCTTTACAACATCACCAACGATCCCATCATTCTTACACAATATGCAAAGATCCGAGAAATCAAATTATAGTAACCTTTGATATAATTTCTCATTAATATACACATACATGTTTTCGTACATTATTATTATTTAAAAACTTCCTATTTTACAATTTGCCCAATCTGCTGGCACCGTCAATACGAATAATTTCACCGCTCAGCATGCCGTTCTCAATGATGTGACATGCCAGCTGAGCATATTCTGGTGCTTTACCCATACGGTTAGGGAAAATGGCGTCCTTGATGATCTGTTTCTTGGCGCGTTCAGGCATAACAGAGGTCATGTTTGTTTCAAAGATACCAGGAGCGATGGCCATAACACGGACACCGACAGAAGCCAAATCGCGCGCCATAGGAAGAGTCATGCTTGCAACACCACCCTTGGATGCTGAATAGGCAGTTTGACCCGTCTGGCCATCTTGGTAAGCGACGGACGCAGTGTTGATAATAACACCTTGTTCACCTATTGTTTTTTACAGTTAGCAAAGTTAACTCCTCGAGCCCTTCTACTTGATCTCCCAGATCATCCATGACAGTGGATATAAAAGGAGAGTCCAGTACACTAACCATCCTCAGTGAAGGGTTCCTGGTTTGCCATAACCTGAGCGACTTGACGGCAAACATTAAAAGTACCAATCAAATTGACGCGAATAGTGAACTCAAAAATGTCCAATGTCATGGTATGCTTAGCATCACCGCGACGAGCAGTCTGTAAAGCAAATACCTTGGTTACTCATATTTCATACATTATATGATGTCGATTGAATTTTATTTACCTTTGCAGCAGAGGCAACGCCACCACAGTTAACCACACCAGCAATCTTGCCAAACTTTTGCACGGTCTTTTCAATAGCAGTCTTCACAGCTTCTTCCGAAGTGACATCCACTTTACCAGCAGCGAATGCCTTGGGACCAAGAGACTGAGCGAGTTCCTGACTGATATAACGTAATTAATTACATTGTAACACACGCAACAAATACATTCCATCATCATCCCACCATAGCTGACAGAATGATAAAACTTACGCTCCCTCGTCGTTCAGGTCAAAAATCTTTCAATGACAGATAATTATTAATCACATGTATTTTTGTGCGAGCAGTGCTTTAACTTACAGCAACGCTGGCACCACGTTGGATAAGTTCCTTGACAGTTGCTTCACCAAGGCCACTTGCGCTACATAAATCACAACACGCATTGTCAGTAACATGGCTTGGCTTCAGATCGTCTGCATAGCATGTTAATGAAAGGTAAAAATTACCCGCCAGTAACAATGAAAGTGTTGTCTTTGATTTGCATTGTAGGTTATGTGTTGTGTGTGAAAGAGGAGCGTGTTCGTCGACAACAGAAAAAGGGCTGACACATAAGAATTAAAGCAATTGGACCGAAGCATTTTTGCGGGGTTAACTCTTGCATGTGAAATGCCATGGCTTTCCATCAGTTATTATATAGTACCACATGACCACATGAGAGGAAATGTCCTGTTTGTGTCATTTGGCTAGGTAGAGAAACACCAGTTGTTACAACTGTTCTCAAGGAAATGTGTCGCTCAGTAGAGGTCATCGATATGCTCCAACGCGTATACTATTCATCATCATTCTTTTTCGAAATCTATGTATTAAAAAGGCACGATGGGTTGCTGTATATGCTGTATATGTGTAGTTTTAACTTGTAATGACAATTATGGAAAATTATATTCAAGTGCTCCACCTAGCATGAAATAAAGAGAATTCATGTAACGTTGTACTCTTTTAGAATAATGTAAAAAAAGTTCTGGATGCTATAGATACAATAACTTTTAATCCGCATAAGATCTTGGCTTTGCTAGATTAACGTCTTCTTCGAAGTTCCTTCTTGATACCGTCGAATTTGTAATATTTATGGGTAAGGGCAACCTTAATCCGATGTGCTTACTCTTAGTCTTCCTCTAGACTAAATGGAAGAAAATGTTCTTAAAGCATATCCGTTAAAATGCTTTCCATGTTTAAGAAACCCCCTTGTAAGAAACTCTCTATATTGCATTGTCATACATGTGCAAAGGCTATAACATTTACGGTTTCATATTCAGGAGTAATGAAACAAAGCAGCACCAGAAGAGAAGGGAGCAGGAAAGGAGAAAGGAGCGGATTTAGCGGAAGCAAGGAAAATAGCGGCGCAGTTATTATATACTTGCTTGTTTGTGAGATGAGTACATAGTAATAGCAGTAGCAATAACAACAGCAGCACGTACATGTATAAATATACAGTGCAACTTTCTTGTTTCTGCTTTCCTTTCTTTTTTTCTCTCCTTACTTCTTCATCTATGTTTGATCTTTTTGTGGGCGCAGATCCAGTTCCAGCAGCCGCTCCAGAATGTCAGACACAACCTTGCATTGAAGCAGCAAAATCAATTAAAGAGTTTGCTGACTTCAACGCTGATCCGTGCGACGACTTTTATCAATACGCATGTATGTCTTTAGTTAACATTTACGAGTATAGATATTTTCATCTTTTTAGAGAGACGATGTACTCTCCATAACCGTCACTGGTTGACTAACAGCATTTCATATTACACACTGCTCATAAATCCAGGCGGGAACTGGCTTAAAAGCAATCCTACCATACCTGACGACAAAACCCGTACGTAGTTGCTTTCGTTGATTAAAAGCTTTCCTTGTTGCAATTTATCAACAGAGAAAAATTGCAAATAAGGCAGCACAGTTTAACTCCTGCATATTTTCTTCTATCTTTTAATATCTCTTATTTAACGATGCAGGTACCGGTACTCTGACCACCATCGATGACGAGAATAAAGATACGATGCGCGCCATATACGAAGGCACTTATGACGACCTGATCCAAAGCATTACATGGCAAGATGTTCCGAAAGATTTCCATGTTTCAGAACAAAAGCAAATTGACGAGCAAAACTTTCAAAAAGTCCAAGACTACTATAACGTATGCATGGACGTTGCCGCAATTGATGCACAAGGACCAACTCCGGCCTATCCACTGATTGCTAAGGTGATGGCTGCTTTCGAAAATGGGAATGCTGTTGACGTCGAAGCATTGACCGCTGCAATAATCGAGTTGGACAGTAACCAAGCGGCATCCTCGCTATTCGACACATACATCGATGCCGACGATAAGCAGCCTGATATCTACGCCATCAAGTTGAGCCAGCCTAGTCTAACGCTTCCCAAAGCGTATTACGCCCAGCCAGACGGTCTTGAAATTTATCGCCAAAGCATGGTTGACTTATTGGATAAGGCATTGGGTGGCGGAGCTGTTGGCACCAGCAGTGGCAGTAGTAGTGTCGGCGGGATTGCTGCACTCAAATCGCAGAAGGCGCAAGAGGCAAACCTAAAGTTGCTTTCCAAGGCGGAAATTAGCGCCACCGTTGATCGCTTTATACAATTTGAGAAACAGTTGGCCTCCATTAGTTTGGATCCGTAAGTGATTATACACATGGTATCACCGAACATGGTCTTAATCATATATATCATCTAATTATTTCAGAGATCGGCTTCAAGATCCTCGACAACTGTATAACCCTATGCCCTTGGCCGATCTGCAAGCCAAATACCCCTTGATTGATTGGAAGAATTACTTTGAGTCGCTGACGGCGCCAGGATCATCTGCACCAGACTACGCCATCGTACAAACCCCCTCATACTTTGCAAATCTGACTTCCCTGCTTCAGAAGAGTTCATCAGCTACAACAGCGAGCACTGATGGCGCCAATCAGCAACAACAACAGCAGAACGCCAACATGGATCAAGCCATCAAAGACTATTTTATGGTTAAAACGCTTCTAAAATGGCTCTATGCTCTTGATTCGGATTCACGAGACGCATGGCAGCCTGTATACACGAAATTGCTGGGTGGCACAACAGCCATTCCTCCTCGATACCGCACCTGTGTTAGCTACACAGATGGCTCGCTCGGCATGTTGCAAGGACGTTACTTTGTCATGCGCAAATTTGGCGGCGATCAAGAACGTGACCGTCTCGAAAATATCATTGCCACAGTCCATGAAACTTTGTTGAATCTTTTGGCAGGTAGTGAATGGCTTGACAAACAGACACTTGAGGCCGCTATTCAAAAGGCCAACGCAATCAAGTACAAGGTCGCTTATAGTACCTTGTCGCCCGATGAGCGTGTCCCGCAAGCTCTACAAGACTATTATAGCACCGCTACTGTTTCAAAAGATTCGTTCATGGCAACTGAGCTGAGCATCACGGCATGGCAGGTCAATATGATGCGCTCCAAGATTGATAAACCGCTAGACAAGAATGAGTGGCATATGGTAATGCATTTCTCAATTTTTCCATATGTTTTGTTCCTTCTATTAAACAACATTATTAAACGTATGTTTTTGGACACAGACTGCAGATACGGTAAACGCATACTATAACCCATCGGTGAATGAGGTAATCCATCTTCAAGTTTTCGTTATATTGTGTCTATCAGTTGGCTTTTTTTTCTAATGAGTTCTTGACAACAGATCGCAGTACTGGCCGGTATTGCTCAAAGCCCTGTCTACAGCCCGGATGTACCTGATTATCTCTTGTATGGCTCATTAGGTTTCCTCATTGGTCATGAGCTTACTGTGAGTATTTACACTACATGTGAATAGTAGTATGCTGTATGGAAGACAATTTGCTGACAATTTCACATATTATTACTTGTAGCATGCATTTGATCGAAGTGGTCGGCTATACGATCCTGATGGCAAATTGAATGACTGGTGGTCAGCCGCAACAGCACAACATTTCGAGGAGAGATCGCAATGTTTTATCGAGCAGTACAATGGATTCTCGTTCCAAGGACCCAACAATAAGACAGTTCATCTAAACGGAAAGGTATTTTGAAATACATAAATTTTACGTCGTGTGGACCATATTGACAACCGATTTTAATGATAAAAAAAATTAGTTGAGCCTAGGTGAGAACATGGCCGATAATGGAGGTGTTGTCGCAGCATACACTGCTTTTGAGCAATTGTGGACTGGTGGCCCGCTAGCTAGTGGTCAACCGCAACCAAAGCACGAGAGATTGCCTGGAATCAATCTATCACCAGAAGCCTTGTTCTTTGTCAGTTTTGCTAGGGACTGGTGCAGTATGCGACGGCCGGAATCTTCCTTTGTATTGGTAAAGTCTATCCTATCCTATATGATTTCCTTATATATTTTAAATGGGTTGCATATTCATGCAATACTACTTTATAGGCAACCACGGATCCGCATGCCTTGGAACGTTTCAGAGTTATTGGTCCTCTCCAAAATAATCCAAAGTTTTCAGAAGCTTTTCAATGTCCATCTGGAAGCTACATGAATCCGCAAAAGAAGTGTACTCTTTGGTGAACCCTTTGAGCTTGTACAAGCCGTAGTATAATTTCCCATTAACACAAACCAGCATATGTAATAAATTGTGTCTCTGATTTCCCTCTGCTACTGGTCATATCTTGCACGTTTGTCATTCCACCTCTAAGGTGCATCATGTACAACAACCTTTCTCGGCTATTATAGTCGCTTATTTTGTAGCCTCATGTAATAATATAAGCCTCAAACAACAGATACTGTACCGTCAAGTCTTAGTTACTGGAGCTTAGTGATGACCGTAGCTGATCCACAACTGCGAAAAAAAAACTCGGAGTAATGTTAAGCCATATCCACTCAGCAAAGCGTTTTTTGGTGGCTTGGTCGACGACCGAACTTAAAACCTTTTGCCTTTGCGAGTGCGGTTCCTCCCTTTCCACAAACAACACATCATGGTACGCACCCTTTCCGCCATTTTTTTAATTATATTGATTTTTCTTCTCGAATTGGAACATTTATGCTGATATACGGTCGCGGTGGTGATTTTGTAAAAATAGGGTAAAGTTCACGGTTCTTTGGCTCGTGCCGGTAAAGTCAAGTCGCAATGCCCCAAGGTTGCCAAGCAAGAAAAGAAGAAGCCTTTGACTGGTCGTGCTAAGAAGAGACAAACGTACAAGTAAGTTTACTTAGATGACGCTTCCTTTCATCTGCCCCCACCAAAAACGCATTATTATATTGTTTGACGGTGAAATGACTAATATAAATTTATAATGACAATGTTAGCCGTCGCTTCGTCAACGTTACCACTTCCTTCGGTGGCAAGCGCAGAATGAACCCTGCCCCTACCCAGGGTCCTTAGACAATAAAAACCAGCGTCTAATTTCTCCACAATCTGTTTAAACAAATCAAATGTGTCTTGTTTGTTCTTGTTGGTTGTGTTTTTTACTCTTGGAACATGAATGGATTATAATGAATGCATCTACAGAGTGTGTATGTATGGATGTAGCTTTTCTTTTGGGTGCGCATGGCTTTATGGGATAGAGAGGGATTGGAGAGAGAAGAGAGAAAGCGTGTGTAGTGAGGGTATAATATGATATGTATATATAAAAGTATAGTAGATAATAGTGATAATAATGATATACAAACTAAGCGGATGAGACAGAGGGACGAAATGGCGTGGTAGTGTTGTTAGTCGTTGGAGTAATAGGTCGATCGTCCAAGAGTGCCAGCCGCTGCACAACCGTCAGGATCTTTTGCATGTTCAACCGTGCTGCTTCCAGCTGGAGGCTCATGTATATTTCGACGAGATCCTGCCCGATTCCTTGGAGAACCCGGCTGTCTTGATGATATCCAAGGCGTGCGTTGTTGGTCACGTCCTCGTAGAAGTGGTATCCAACCCGGGAGAGATGCTGACACAGGTGTTCTACGGATAGTGTTGCAAAGGGTGTATCTTCTCTGATAACGAGCTCCGGCGTTGGTGCCCATAGCGATGATGGGGGCTCAGCCCGCTGGCTTGCATCCTCAACGTCGTTGTCGACAGCTACGTGGCGCTGCTGGTTGCTGTCGTTTGCTGCTGTGACTCTGCTGGACGTGATTATGGCGGTGCTTGTCGTTGCCATGGGCGTTGCCGTGGTAATGAGCGACGTTCGCCGTTTTTTAATGAGGCCAAACAGGACAGGCTGGTAAGGTTTTCGCGGCTTTAACAGGTCGAGCCATTGCCAAGGTGCCGGAACAAAGGTTGGCGCAGGCATGGTGAGTATAGGAAAGTCGGCGGCGGTTTCGCGCGTGGGATACCAAATGAAGGATGGCGTTGTCATGGCTGTCGTTAGCCGGAACGGCGTAGTTGTGGTTGTGGCGCCTTGACTAAGCACCCGCCGCCTACGGCTGTTGTTGTCGGTATTTGTCGGTGGAGTACGACCAGAAGTAGTTGTACTGGTGCTGCTGCTGTTGTTGGTACTGCTGTTATCGTTGTCATGAAGAACGTGGAACACACAATCATAAAGCCGTTTCAATCTGCGAGCCAGCGCGGACGGCTTAGCCAGACTGATCTGGCCTTCAATCTGTGAGAGGTTGTGCTGTGCGTTTTGCATAAAGATTGTCGAGAACCGATGGCACAGGTCGACGATTGCATCAATTTGCTCGTTCCGATTCAGTCGACTGCATTCGAAAACGATTTGTCGAGTGCCGAGCGCTTTCCGCTTCAAGCCGAGTTGTGCAAAGTTTTGACGATCGATGGTTGCAACGTACATGCCCGGTCGCGTTTCTCCTGATGCCAAGAGTGAGGTGACAATGCTCTCGACTTGGTCGGGCTTGCGCCACGCCTTTTTCAAGTGCGCAACATCGCCCAACAGACGAGTCAGGGTGCCGTGCTCTTTGCTCTTGTCGTCGTAGGCTTGGCTGAGCGTGTGCCAGTCAGCCATGAGGTGTTCTACGGTGTCTTCGGGCAAGGTTCGTATCCGTCGTTGACGACAGGCAGTTTCGTGGTAGTCGAGCATTTCCAAGGTGGTGCGTGTGAGGGTCTGGCGCAGACTGTCTGCATTAGGAGTGCCGATAAGGCCTACCACAGGCACGAATCGTTGGACCTGCTGCATAGTCTGCCGAATACGTTGCAGCTGTGGCGGGCTAGCGACGTGCTGATCGACGTTGAATTTTTGCTGAGCCTCGGAGCAAAAGAGTCGCAAAAGTATATCGAGCTCGCCGTATAGTTTGGATGCTTCGTCGTTATTGTGGTGGGGATTATGATGATGATTATGGTCGTCGTCATAGTCGTGCTTTGATGCTGCTGCTGCTGCTGCTGCTGCTGCTACTGCTGGCTCTGTGCCCGGGGGCTCCTCTTCGGTAGCGGTCATGGCTGCTGTGGTGTGTAATTCGATCAAGCTGGACAGTTGGGAAAAAGGTGTGTGCACAGATGCCTTTTTGTTTAAAGGAAGGGAAACAAAAAGGACAATGTGGCAAAAAGACAAGAAAGAGAACAACAAGAAAAAGAAGGGGTGCGTGTGTGTGTGTTAGTTGAGGGACGGAAAGAAAAGAAAAAAAAAGGTCGCTTTTGTTCCTGAGTAGTTTGGAAAAAAAAACAACAACAACAAGCAAAACAACTTATAAAAAAAGAAAGACGTGGTCTGCAACTTGTCCAAAAGAGGCTCTCGAAAATCGTGAACTGGTCAGCATGCACTCTCTTCTTTGGCTGTACGACTACTATTACCACCACTACCATTATTCGCTTGGTACGATATTGTATGTAACTGGGGCAAACAATAAGTTTTCTTCTTTCTAACCTCCTCCACCGCCTTCAGAAAAACCAACCCCCCTTGCCATTAGACCGTATTATCGTCCCCTTGGTTTCGAGAAGGGTGATCACATGTAGGTGCTTGGTTTAATTGTCGCGGTTACACCGACTCATTTCTGACACCATCTGCTCTCTTGTCGTGCCTGGAAAATATAGCAGTAAAGCCATCACTCCCCCTCCTAGTCATTTCACACACGCACTCCTCCTTCAGCACAGTGCCCCCCAAATACAACCCATCCTCTCCTGATCGGTTCTTTTTTTTTCTGTGCATATCCTCAACCCCTTCAGAAGAATTTGCTCTACCTTAACAAAAGAACAACAACAACAACAATAACAACAATAACACATATAAAATAGTGTTGTTTACATTTCCGAAATGGAGCGGAGAACAACAACCGTACGCTTTTGTCTCGATAGAAGCATTTAAAGATAGTAATTGAGCGCTCAACAACCCGTAGTACGTTGTCGTTTTGTCCGATCAGAAACCCCCATCATGACGAATGTTTTTCTTTGATGCTCAGCTTTCTATTTTCAAACAATTTCTATTAAATAACAAATAACAATGACAATCACTAAAGAGATCTTCCAAAAAGCAATGTATGCCTGGCCTCTTTGATCTAAATATCTAATCGCCCGCCAAAAAGATATATAAAAGGTTGGGGTTACTCAACTAATAATAATAATAATAAATTATGTGGTGTTCGGCAAATCAATATGATACCAGCTTTGTGTTCGCACGTTAGTGAATGCTGGCGACACACCCGTCGTCGGTTAAATTTTTTCGCCGGTGTCTCTAACCTTATTGTAACAAGAAAACGCCAGCGCGCGTCCCAGCACGTTGGACTGTGGCTAAAAGAAAAGATTATCTTCCTCCCCTTTCACTGTTTTGCATGCTAACGCACATGTGTAACCATCACTTCTTTTATGTAATACTACTTTACGCGAACTTTTGGCGAAAACCCCTTCCACAATCTTGATTCAACTTTAACAGCACGATACAGGTATATGAGCAACTACCTTGTAGCATTGGTATTAGTAGTAGCTTACAAAGGACACAAAGGATCGAAGGCTGGAGTCGCTGTCTGTGCGTGTAACATGTCAACGCTCTTCTTCTAGACCAGGACAATACTCTAGATCTATATGCATAGATGATGTCACGAAAAAAAAGACAATCATGTAGTATAAAAATCTAGATATAGTACACTGTGTACTACTATTCCTGTATCAACCGCGATGATTTATAATAAGCACACAGCTCTCAGCAATCAACAAACAAAAAATTGACGAGTGGATACTATATATGACTACCAACTTTTTTTCGAACCACACATCGTCAACAAAGGTGTGGCCTGCAGTAGGACGTAGCCTCATCACACGCTCTATGTACATATCTTCTTTCCATTTACATGTGTTCTAAATTTACGCTGTGTACTTGCATAGCACACAGCATGCGTGACCGTAAAACAGAACAATCGGGTGTTACTTGTAATAGTAGCACAACTAAGGTTGAACGTTGTGATCGGGGCGCCAGGGGGTGTGGAAACTGCTCCTTCTGCAACACAAAGCTAAGCATGCATAAACTATATGCATCTGCTCATGCTCCTTTTAAACTTTTCACATAAATTCTTCATGCAGAGATATATATAAAGCGCGGTGATAATGGATGTTCATGAATGTGGTCTCGACGCTTCTCGTGTAAAATGATGAGCCTTGAACAAAATTTTCATCAGAATATCACCTCCTCCAAGCACAGAGATCGATCAAACAGGAGAACAATAAGAAGAGCTCGGAAAATCATTAACTAAATCTTTACACGTGTCTTGGTTCATAAGCCTGCATCACATTACTTAGTAGGCATCGAAATGTAGTCATCACCACGGGTACAAAGATTTGTCCACATCTAGTTGCAACAAGTTTAAATTTTCATCCTTCTTGAAGTAGTTGTCAATCAAACGTGAAAAAAGAGAGCAACTATTGTTCTCTTGTTTCATCACATAAATGATAAATTGCGTAGCAGCCCGGGCATACTTATCCAATTAGCCACGTGGTGTAACTGCAAGTAAATTGTTGGTATTATGTGATACTTCTTCGCACCTTAGCTACAGTATCATCGAAAAAGAAGACACTTGATCATATGCATTTGAATTCATTGTTGTAGAGCAGAGTATATAGTACAATTGTCTGTGTAGATTATGTGCACGCGAGAAATGATGTATGACTGCTAGCTTGAATCTCGCGCCAATATTTTATTATCTCCTGCATGTGTTGGAGAAAGGCGAGAAACAAAAACCTTATTACTTGCCGAATACAGTTCATTCCATGGAAGCTTTTCTCTTTGTTTCTACATACAGAAAGTCCCAGAGTGGTGGAGAGGGTTAATAATGGTTAGCGTACATTTGCTAAGTGTGTTAATTTATCTTTCTTGCTTATAAATCCACTACAACCGACCAGGGGTACATAATACTACAAAATTATCCATCACCGTCATCAGCAGTAGCAGAAGCAGTAGCCACAGCAGCATAGTAGTACAAATTCTAGCCGTAGATATCTTGTGGTGGTCAATGATATCCTCCTTTCACCTTTGATCTACTCGTAGCTCACAAAGAGTTGAAAGGCTAAGTAGATATATGTGACATCCTTGATGATATATATCCAAGATAAAGAATTGTAACTGCTGCTGCGTATGTAACATGCCTATTCCGTTTTGCCCTTTAATAAGTTGAGGCGTTCCATTCCATCTTTTTACATTCTTACGGAACTAATACGTATGTAGTACATAGCTGTTACAGCATATACAAGAACAGCGAGAAGCACGGACCGACCTCTTTTTTTTTCTTTTGCAAGTGTCACAGAAATACAAATGCAAAACGCGTTAAATTACCAAAATCGGAAACCAGCAACCATGCTTCTTCACTTTGAAAAATGGTCATGAATCGGTAAGAAAGTGAAGGTTTTGCATGTATCATGTTTGCAATACTCGTCTGTGGAACACATGATATACGCTGTAAAACATCATACAGCTATCTACGATCCAGTTACGCTTCCAAAAGTTTCACAATGACAACGCCCTAGCACAAAAAGCCACAGCAGGGTTGTAATATTTAGAATTGGTACTACAACAATGCAATGAAGGTCTTACGTGCTGGTTTTGTTTTTGTACCAAGAAGATTCCGCCCATCATTCCCCAAAAGACAGAAGAATAAGCAAACAATCTAAATAAGCTCTGTTCCGATGCTATGGCGTTGATTGTAGCACATCATGTTGTACAATTGTTTTATATAGTCGTTGATAAGCCAATTTTTGCTCTTTCGTGAAGTCTTCAAAAAAGCCCTATTTAGAGCTTTTGGATTTGTTAGTGAAAAGAAGTGAAAACCTTCAGCGATGATGATGTGGCCAAATGAAGCATTGACAGAATTATAAACAAAATACTATCAGTAACGCTATGTAACATTTGAGGATTTACCCGGACTCTTTGGTCAGGATTGTTTCTGCTATGAATGGTATTCTTCATATGAAGCTTGTTGCATATCTTTTGTTTGCATTAAAAGCAGAAAGATTGAGCAAAGCTACAGCCAACCCCCTTCAAATTTATATCCATTGGGTCACAAAGCCTTCAATACTTTTAGAACATGGGACGCTTGGTACTGGAGACAATTGATGTACTAAATCTGTTCTCATTGACTTTCAATCCTTAGTTTCGCATAAAATTTGAGAAAATTATGATGCTATGAAATCAACGAAGACTATTTCATTAAATGTGAAATCGTGCTGCTTAGCGATGGCCAAATTAGAGTGTAACAAATAAAAATAAAAATTGCTTCCATATGGGAGCAAAATGCTGCCAAAGGAGCAGCCACTGCAACTGGGAATAGTATAGAGAGAGAAGAAACCCAAACAAAGTAGCTTTGTACTGGGTTTTTTTTTCAATTCCATTTGCTTCGTCCGCTCGCGTTGCTGAGAGTTGAGGACTCAAAAATCCGGATTAAAAGTGCAACAGATGGGTATTTTGCCAACGGCAACAATGACAATCACAGTGGGTGCTAGTACTGGACCCTGACGAGTACACAAAATAAAACGTAGACATGGAAAGCACAATGATGTGTTCGTATTCAACCTAAACCATTTCCGCGAAAAACCCAAGATCTACGTATGACATGCACTGGTCGCTCCTCTGAGCCTTGCACACTCATCCAGCAAGCCGAAGCCTCACAGACCCCGATGTTAACAAATCTTGGTTTGTCCAAAGTCCCAAATGCAATAACGCGTACGGCAAACATAATAAAAACAAAAGACCAATCTGCAGTGCCGTTGGTTAACTTAAAGTCCTTTCTGCGAGTAAAGGCATTCTTGGTAGAGCTCATGGATGATGAGCTCGCTTTCGACATTATTTTTGTGGGAAATACAAGCAGCAACAAAGATCTGGGTGAAGTTAACAGATTAATAGTATTTCAGATAGATCGCCTCCGTGGTTGGTCCACAAAAGAAAGAATCATGGGCGTTCTTTCCGCATGTAGGCGATGGTGTCTATGATCAAATACATGGCAGCAACATACAATTTCAATTCTCAGTAAGTAGCTACTAGCTGTAAATGTCATTGAGCGCTCACTTAATTTGGCAAGATAGCATGGTGGTTAATAATGAAAAAGATGTGTGTCCTTTTGTGCATAGCCATTTTGCAATGCCAAACCGTTCCAGCAATCTGGAAGAAATTACAACAGGAAAGCTTTTTGCATATGATCTTGGTCGTGATGTTGACTTGTTATAACTGTAATAAAGTCATAAGTGGCTATAAGCAAGGAGTATATGTGGCACTCAACTGGGAATATGAAGTTGGTCTTAATGACAATAGACTGCGCTGCTACTGTACCAGAACTCAAGCTTTGGATCCGCAAAAAAGCTGGCAACCTACTATAATACGGCGCCCAATGCATCATCCGAAACCAAATCACGCTCGTTAAAAGGGCCATCTTTGACGTACGTACATGTTAAGTTGTTGAGGTACGTAGTGCCGAGATTTCCAACCAACTGGCGAAATCGTTCTAGCTTCAAGCAAGTTTTTGGACTTTTGGCAACTTTGCGTGTAAGTTATCTTGTTTTAGTATTCACATCCCTTATATATATATTCTATACACAAGAGAGCATCGATTTAAAAAGACCTAAACGGCCATTGTGCATTGATAGCGTATTCAATGCGTTTATGGGAGATCAAAAGTTGGTGGGTTAATTACTACCCAGGCACGTGCTAAATTATTATAGCTAGCTATACAATACAGCAACTTTCGTAATGCACATGCGAACCTGACACTTCATCGTGGCTGTCCTTTTGATATCATTTCTCACTTAAAATCGACCCTGGTGACAATCCTGATCAACGTGCTGCATGATGCATCGCTGCTTGCGGGATCTTTTAATTAAGACGTGGGCCTATCGGCTACTAGCAACCTTGCAGTTCATAGGAATGATTAATAAACGCTCCTGCTACCACTACAAGATAGCAGTAGTATCTTATCAATCGATGATACATGCTACGATTTAATTAGCTCCCTCCTATCTTTGTACTTTCAACTTACTACTGTATGTGCAAAATCATACTGGTGTTTATGGCGGCAATGGGTAAATTGAAAAATAGACAAAAACCCATTCTCTTCCGTCTTCACTGTCCGTCGTCGGCAAAACACGGGTTAATTTTGCCGATATGCATGAAATGCATGTATAGCGGCGAAGGAAGATAAAAGAAGAATTTTTTTTTTAATTTTCGGCACCAGATGATGGTCCGAACGCTTCGAAACAACAAAAACCAAATATTACATATGATGAGAGTAATTGGGGGGATGCTAATTTGTTTTTTTATATAGATGAGACAAGTATGCGAGAGATATGCAAAGGAATGTGATGGATGAAAGAGCTTAATTCATGACGAGCTCAACAGTGTCAATTTGATGTACGTTCCTTGTTGTTTGATGATGGCATGCGGGCCTTTCTATTTTGCCGCGGAGATGATGGTGAGCTTCGGCGCTCTGCTTTACAGTTTTCCCGGATGTTCGTCTTGTCGACAGCCGAGGTAGTATCAATGTTGTTGGCAGCAGTAGAAATGGTGGTAGGAGGTAAGTAGGTCATCAGGAGCTGATGAATAGCTTGGTCGAGTTGGGCGTTCTCTAGCTTCTTTTCGCGCACAGCGGCATCGTGGCGATCATAGTATCGCTTGTGCTGGATTCGGATACAGTCCTTACTAAGCATTTTGAACGAATGATGATATCGGTGCTTCTCTGTAGTTGATGATGATAACGGCAATATTTGTGATAATGATAATGATGATAGTGATGTCAATAGATGCTTGTTGTATATGCAGAAATGATGAAGATGACGAAGATGATGATGCTGTATGTGATTAAAGCGTAGTATGTATATGAGATAAGCCAGGAACGAGATATGAGTAAGGAGAAGGAAGAAAGAAAAAGAAAGAGACACTCCGGGCCGAGAAGAAAAAAATGGCGGCTTTTTATTAGGGGCGTGTATTTTTGCTCCATGTAATCACCACATGAAAAGACAGATGTTTCGCGACAGCAGGTTAACAGTGTCGATCAAACACTACCCAACAACCTTAATAATCATGTTGGGTCTTAATGACCCTTCTCTCCTTACATTCTCATATTGTTCCTGTCATGATGAAACGTACTGCTGCTGCTGCTGCTGCTGTTGTCTATCAATGTTTCATTGTATTTAGTATATCAAGATGTATCTGAGCTCGCAGCAGTTGTTGTTGATTCCATGAAGTATTGCTGTTTGGACAATCAAATTATTTAGTCGCATGATCATACCCATTTCATATGTCGCTTATAAGTTGCTGGTTAACCTTTTGTAAAACGTAGGACGATTCTTTCTTTTCACACACGTTGTATGTAAAACACGAGGAAGAATAAAATGACGTGTTTACAGCTTTCACAAAAGGTTGCACAAAGTAAAAGAGAGTAAGTACGCTTATACAGGTTCTCCTCACAGTAGATGATAATATAACCGGAAGAGAGGGTGTTTCTTCAAGAAACAAGCATGTCACTTTTGAAGATCGTCCCTTGTAACACATACTATCCATAAAGAGTTTTTTTATAACCGTTATCATTTTCGTGTTTCAGCAAAGCTTATACATGCTCCGCCTTGAGTGTAGTAGTAATGTCATCAGATGTCTGTCTGGAGAACAACGACAAAAAAAAGTTTAGTGGGATTTTGCTCATCACATATGTGTATAGCAACAGATACTATAAATATATATATACGCGAGCTTTCAGCTGAAGCCACAGAAGAGCAGATTAAAACTAGCATACACTAGAAAGTGTCTCTTATTACCTCCTCGTTTTGTAGCCTTTTCAACCAGAATAAGCCAATGACATATGTTGGAGCGATTGGAATGAAAAGTTAGTATAATGATGCTTAATTTCATCTTTTTATCAATGAAAAGGTTTGTGAAAACCAGTAGATAGGCATTTATACAAATTAATTTGACCCATCACGGCAATTGTCACTCTTCAACGTGGAAACCACTATTACCGACAGCGGGTGTATTAGGCATGGTCATAATTGATACACAATGGTAAGAAATTATTAGTAATATGATAGCAACTACCGATTATCAAATTGTCCATTAGTAAGAGGTAGGGGCTGGCCATCATATGACAGCATTTAGTGATAGTCATTATAGAACTGTCTCTTCAACCTCGCCATTATGATTAGTTGCTCTTCCCTCGCTCCCTTCTTTGCAATATAGTGACTAATCAGTATGAATTCTGTTTTACTAGAAGCGATCTTGCGGCGGGAGCTAAATGAATATAAGTACACAAATCATTAAGAAGCAAAAAGACAGGGTGGAATAGGTCCAATGACATGAACGAAAAGCCTTTTCAAAACATGTTGCGTACCTCAGGAAAGGCTGATCGGAATCATTTACACCATGAAAAGTGGGAAAAAAGAAGAATGAGCTACTATAAACTTTATTCAGGATCTCAATTTTCCAACGTTCACTGGCTCCCCTTAAAAAATGGCATTCTTCTAAATATTATCTCGACGTAATAGCGTATAGGGGAGAAAGGTTTCACGCCAATTTTGATGATATGAGGTAGTACTCTCCTTCTCCCCTGTCGCCCTGGATACCGCATGGTTGCTAGACATCCTTTTCGCTTGGACCATGGTATCCACGACATAGCTATTATGATTATTAAACACTCGTAATAAGATAAACAGAAAAAACTACCGATTGAAGAAAAAGAAAGAAAAAGGGGAGAGGAAGATTAGCAACAGAGAACCTACTACTACCACTACTACTACTACTACAGCAACAGAATCGAGATCAGTACCTCTTCCACTCATATAAACGTGCATTCTTGTTACCACTGATAATGAATTTTGAACGCAATTCACATAGAAGCCTCAAACCTAATTTAGATTTTTTTGACAGATCGTCGCTGCTTCAGGATGGATTAGTCAGATTTCGAGGCGAGTGAGGTCCGAAGCTGTCTCATAACCCATCATTCTTTTTTATTTCCCTACTCGTTGCTAAAATATGGAAGACGACGACATTTGGGCATCAAGCGATGAGGATGTCGCAACTTACGATCGTGAGATTGCTCAACGCGAATGGGATAAACTCAACATGAACCACGGCAATGTAACGCTTTCTCTTTTGATAGATCTATTTTTTCATTAGTTTGCGATTAGAGATCGTTGTGCTGAACTGGAGAGAGGGCGGGTTTTTGTTAAAAAAAATAGGAAGGATACAAGGAAGGAATCAGCGAAGCCAAAGAAGAATACATGCAAGAAGGATTCGATCGCGGGTATAAGGAAGGACTCGAAATGGGGAAAGCTATTGGGAAGTTGCGTGGTATTGTCAGGTAAGCTAGTGGCGTACAGCAATAAGGGGATGATGAGAATAATTATCAACAAAACCAATAGTACCCATATGACGTTTTATCGGGATATACTGCATGATCAGGAGAAAGCACAGAGTCTCCAGGCACTTTATGACGAGCTATGCGGTATCGATGTCCAGCATGTGTTCTCCAAGGAATACTTTCAGGATAACAAGGACGCAGATCCCCGGTTGATAGTAAAGCAATGGGAAGAAAAGGTTCAATCTTTGCTTGTCAAATTGTAAATAACAAAATAAACAATGTGTATGTATATATCCCTTCCACACTCCTTTTTATTATTATTTATCAATTATAGGCATGATTTAAGCACTTCTTGGGGCAACGGGCTTCTCAATAACGAGCTTTTGTCCACTGGAGTACAAGGTGCTGATGATAGCCTGGCGCTTGACAACTTCGAGATCTTGCTTGCCTCTGTTGATCAAAGAAGCGATCTTGGTGGCATCGGATTCGTCAGCATGGGCACGGAAAGCATCTCTTGACCGTCGAACGGCGTAGGATCGAAAGTTGTAAGAGGAAAGTTTGTTTCCGTATCGAATAAAGTCGCGGTAGAGCGATAGTACTTGAGTTCGCGAGGCAGGTGTGGCCATTATTATTTTTGAATGGTAAATTTTAAGGTTGGTGGTATTGTTGAGTAGGGGAAAGAAGATACACAATCTGATTTCATATACTCAGTTTGTTCGCGGACAACCGGGTCGGGAGAAGGAGAAACAATTTACCGTTTCATTCTATAGCTCGTCTATTACATATGACTTGGTAGCAGCAGCAAGAACCTTTTTTTTAAGCTTTTCAAAGCTGCTCCGTGCACGGGAATAGCGATACGGTCTACATTTGCCTCATTGCGAAAGCATTGACACAGATGAGGCCGGCCTTTTTGGGAGAGAAAATAATAAGAATAGACAAGAAGGAGTCCCTTCCCCTCCCCCCGCAAAAGGGTCTTTCTTTCTTTTTCTTTTTTGTTTGTTTCCCTTCCCCTGTTTTTGGTGAAAGATGTTGGGCTGCAACTTTCATCATGTGGCAGATGGATGAACAGATGGAAGGATAGCAAACGACACTAGGGCTCAATCGGTGAGACAAGACGGTTGCTTTCTCGTTGGTGGTGTTTTACACGCATATTCGAAAATGGTAGGTCTTCACGCAGAGCGTACACGTATGATCAAACTTAGTCTTGCTCTCTTTCAATATTTACACAACGTACATAGCACACCCAGATACACCATCGGAATGAGATGCAGCACGCAGAAGAAAGATAGTAAATAAAATGGATGCACGTCAGTAGCTCTTTCGTTTCGTTTTCACGTACAGTGTAAGTGTTCGACATGCGGGTCGCGGGGAGTGAGAATACACACGCAACGCATGGGATCCAAGAGAGAACAAGAGCTCACAGGGGCGGGGGAGAGGAGGTGAGGATAGGATAAGGGGACAGGAAAGAGAGAGATGTAGTGCGTGATGTGTATGTGTATGTGTATGTGTATGTGTATGTGTATGTGTATGTGTATGTGTATGTGTATGTGTATGTGTATGTGTATGTGTGTATGTGCGAGTAGCGTGTATGTTCGCACTCAAAACCTGGCAAATCGAAAATAAGAAAAAAAAAATACAAGAAAAAACTTTTTTTTTTCTCTCTGTTCTTTCCTTCCTCTCTCCAACACACCCCCCCCCCTTATTTCTTCCATTCCTTTTCTCTTATTTTCTTTCTCTCTCTCTCTCTCTCTTTTTCTTATTCTTTCTTTCTTGTTTTCTTATAGCACCGCAAAATTACTTTATGTTCGAACGCATCTTTGACGACATAAACGATAGCACCTCAACCACCACCACAACCGCTGCACCACAACCACCGATCACCTTTGACCTTAAACCGTCGCCTCACATCCACTCCATACGAAATGTCATAATCAAGCAATATGCCGCCAAAAAGCGCAGACGCTTGCCCTGCAAGATTGACCACAGGCCCTTGAAGAAGAAGCACGTACAACAACCAGTCGATGATCTGATGGCTCGTGGTGGACTACCTTCACCACCTGTCGATAGTCCACGCAACGAGTTTCCTGAAGTCGACGTCGTCATACAACAATCCCAACAAGCACATTTACAACAAGCATCGCAACAACAAGAAAAAGAAACCATTGCAAAGGAGCCAGCTATCAGAGTCCAGGACGCTACTGCTACTACGACCAGTCCCTCAAAAATGAACGACTTGACAGCTGCCGACGTTACCAAAAAGCTTAATGAGCTCAAGGAGGAAAAACATCGTCTATTCCAACTCATTAAGCGGTTAATGCAGCAGGAACAAGAGCAAGAACAAGAGAAACAACAATTGCAAATGCAGGAAGTCACTGCTGTTGCTGCTATCGCTCCATCGCAAGGATCGCAAGAAGCAAGTACAAGCGCTGCACCTGCAGTAGTGGTAGTAGACAACAAGAGCGACAGCAGTCCTTGGTCGGTCAATAAAAATGACTCACAAGGACCTGTTGTTGCTACTGCATCGCTGTCACCGCCGCCAACAGCACCCGCATATCGCCCTCTACAACATCCTCCACCACCACCACCTCCACTTCCAACCTCAGTGCCAGCTCCTTCGATGATGCAACAGCGCCCTCCTTCTTTGTCCTCCTCACCAGCATCGTCGTCGGCATCGTCATCGCCCAATGATCACTTCCGTCGACCTCCTGTTTATGGACGACCGCTCAACAACAACAACAACAATAAAAGGGTAAGCCTAAAATGGTGCTGATGGTAACACCGAAACTTGATTTGGTGTTTCCACACTCCTTTTTTATTATTATCTCGTTTGTGCTTCTGTTGTACTCATCATCACTGCGCACCTTGTCTGTTCCTATATCTAGGCTTCGTATAACAACAACAACAACAACCGTGGCAATAGTAGCAGTGGCAGACCATCGTTCGGTGGCGGTCATCATCATCATCATCACCATTTACCACCGTCATCTTCGCAACTCCATCCATCTCGCTATTTTCATCATCGTCACCAAAGACCCATGTATCGACCGTCGTATCCGTCCCGTGACTACGCGCCACAACCATGGTCGTCCTCGCCTGTCCAACCTTAGAAAGAGATATTAACATCAATTACTATAGCGACCCACCCTTCTCTTCCCCCCCCTCCCCATATAACCACTCTCCATCCTGTTTATCTGTCCTCCCCCTTCTGTCATTGTCCTCAATCTGTAATTACCTTTGTACTATACGTTGTGTCTTCCGAGCTCAGTATATATTATATACATATACATATAAATAATATAATATTCTTCTTTTTTTTTCATCTATGGAAATGGAATATACAAAAGATTTATAGGTAAAGTGTGCGTATATACGTATGTACGTGTGTGTGTGTGTGTGTGTGGTGTATATGTTTATAGAGAGATGGTAATGGTACTTGAGGAATTATTACGAATTATTACTATTACTGCGGTTTGCGAGCAATCCAGCAATTATAACGGGTAAAGCCATGATAATCTTCAAACTCTTCAAGCACTTCCAACACAGCCATGTCATAATCCTCACTCGAGATGGACCAATTTGTCATGAAAAAGCTTTTCCGGTTACGTAAATAGAGCTTGTGCGTCTCCTTGTTGATAAATCCAAACTGCTTCAACTCTGCGTCTTTTGGCCATTCGCCAATAGGCACATCCAGTTGTCGATGCTCCATACTTTCGAATCCAGCCTCTTCTATCTGTGTACCCAGCGACTCGGTGAATGCGAAATCCAGACCCCATTCTGTGCACTGTTCCTGTATAAATGCGTCAAAAGCGTTTTGTACCGGTCCTGTATTATTGGAGGAATACACAGATAATCAGTAAATTGAAACGTAATTCTCAAAAGTACTAGTTGTGACATAAGCTAGTACGTAGTATTGATTTTGGTTGTACCTGGATTGTGGTGCCACATGTCAGGCTCAATAAGCTCGATGTATCCACCCGGCTTTAATACACGATGCATCTCCTGCAATACATGAGACCACTTATCCTTGCGAATGACATTTCCCATGGCTCGCTGAAAGATGCTAAATGGTGTGTGTGTGTGTATGTCAGCAGTTGGTGCAAAAGAAAAAATCAGACCCCTTGTTTTGTTTATGATAAGCTTACAAATCAACAGATGCATCTTCGAGTGGCAATGAGTCGTTGATATCTGCTTCAATATAGCTCAGGTTCTTGGGTCCAACTTGGTGTGTAGTAGGTGGTTTAAGATCGAGGCCTATTACTTGGGCATTGACATGCTCTGCTGCCATTTCTAAAGCCCAGATACCGTTTGCTGTGCCAACGTCAACAATCGTTGTAGGCTCTTGGATCGGTGCCCAGGTGTTTGTTTTCCGTGCACTTTTAAGCAAATAATGCTGTTTTGACAAAATCGATCATTGAAACAGATACGGAGAGACAATGTGTTTTTTAGTACAACCGTTCCTTTGAGAGATGAAGGATTCATTTAGGAAAAAATGAACTACCTGACGTTGTAGACGATCATATTCACGGAAATCGTCTTGTGCGTTTGCTGTAGGGCGGGAGAAACTCGCTTTGCGTTTATTGTGAAGCACTTCACTGATAGATTTGCGGCGCGGGACGTCCGTTGATTTTAATGTCGGGGCTGCTAGTGTGGACGAGTCGCTTGTCACCGTTGAGGAAGTAGTCGTTGTGGTGGTGGGGGTCATAGTAGTCGTAGGTGTCGAGGAGACGGCAGCAGCAGCAGCCATGGCACTGTCAATGGCTCCAGCACCGCCAGTGGCAGGGTACGGCTCGACCCAGTCGTAGTTCCCATGCGAATAGGAGCTGCTTGCATGCGAAATCGAAAGCGATGAGTGCGACCGGGCACCCACCGTGGCTGTACTGCGTCGACGTGTCTTGCTGCCTCGCTTCTCTTTGGTACGTTCGATGACTCGACTGGTCTGGTTACCCATATGAATTCAATATAGCAAGTTCAAGCGGTGTATATAAAAGTTGATTAACTTTTTTTTTTTTTCTTTTGAGCGGTACAATATTAGAAAAAAAAAAGAACAAAGAGGTGGAAAAAGGAGAAAGGGGAGAAAAGTGTTTTTTTTTAGATTGTATGTAGTGTCTATAATCCCAAGGTTGGCAGGGAAAGAATCGTATGTACAAAGGCTCTCAAAAGGGAGGAAAAAAGGGGGTGTGCAAAGGAAGAAGAAAAAAATAATAGAGAAAGTGGAAGAGAAACGATAAAGAGGATATACACGCACGCACGCACGCACTTATCCAGCAAAGGCACACGGAAGCACCAATCCGGACTACCAAGCAAGCTTGTTACACCAGGACGGAGTTGCGCGAATCGATCGTTCTGTATTAGGCTGGGAGGACCATGCTTTTCAGGCTTAAAAGGTAGCTTGTGCCAATGTTTACCGAGATGCGGGATGAGAAACAAGAGTGATCCTCTCTCTCTCTCTCTCTCCCCCCTTCTATCGTCACTGATGCAAATCGCCATTTAATATATAACAAGTATGCACTTCTTTTCTTTAAACCCTCACAGGAAAGAAGGATTAGGCACCTACATTCAAATAAAGAAGACCAAGAAGAAAAAGACTTAGCGGCCTCCAAATCTTAAAGCGAGCGGGTGCAACGTCATGCCTGTCACCAGCATCATATCATACAATATAACACATAAGCAATAGGAATGCACTCGATCATGCAACACACATACGCTATTTCCAGATTACGTTCTCGTTTCACAAATGCCATTTAGGAACACGGAAAGACACGAGAGAGAAATGAACTCATCCTTCTTTTGTCGGCTCTGGTGCACAGATGTTGATGGGTACTTTGGTGAGCTTTTCTTCTTTTCTTTCGCTTTTGCGAGTGTGTAACGTACAGAATACTTGTGTAATCCTTGTTTACTAAATCTGATCTGTTGTTGGAGGGACAAATAGGTCGCTGATTATAATTCTCCCAGCTCTGCTCCTTGTATCACTCAATGACATTGCTACGCAACCGCTCGAGGTTGTCAGGTTCACGCATGAATAGATCCTAGCAACCGAAAATTGAACGAGGGTGTCTTTTGTGAGTCAAACCATTTGATTTAAAAAAAAAAAAAGGCACATCATCACTTGCTCCGCCAATTCTACGCTGTTCGAGAAAGTCAGACCACTCTCTCCATGGACAACCAGTTCGTCCAAGCTAAAATAAATCGGAATAGTTCCGGCACAAAACGATCCATCATGTAAGCATCAATTTACTTCATGGTGGTATGATTTAAATATACAAAACATACCATTTAAATGCTGCGGTACACACTGGTACGCCACACCCAAACATATTCTCGACTTTCATTGGCAGGTCCATTCCGCTTGTGCTCATATTGAAGCGATATTCCAAGGTCAGAGCAGCAAGAAGGGGATAATTGGCCGTTTTCGAGCCAGACTGTAACGATACGCGTCCGCTCTAGTGCCGTCCGAGCAACTCGCTGCTCGTACATGCTCCTGAGCGAGCTGTTACCTGGAAATAACAAACAGTAGCGTTGGACATGTATTTTCCTTTGCGTACACTTCGTACGTTTCAATGGCTCGAGTGAAATCTTCGTCTTCGGTCCATGATCTGGCGGATACGGCAAGTCGAATGTCTTCGTCCCGGGTCTTGACTGCCGAGATAAAGGAGTATGATATGAAGTCCTCAGATTTGTTGCTGTTACTGCTGCTGCTCGTGCTAGCAGCGGCGTCAATTCCAAGAAAATCAGACGCGTTGAATGTTTGCTTTGTCTCACAAGCGTATCGAGTCGTACAGTGCCTAAAAAACTCTGCTATGCATTATTCTCCCGCATCCCCGCAAGTTTAACATTTGTCCTATCCCTTTTACTTCCATCTACCTCGTGTATTCTGTCATCCGACAGTCGCGTAAAGTAAATAGGCTGGCCGATCTTTGAATGCGAAGATACGCCCACGATATCAAAATTTCATATCAGCATTATTAGCCTTTTTATTCCCACGACACCCTCATCCTTCTTCATTACTTGTGTACCTTTCCCCCCCCTTTAAATCAGCTCCCGGCTCATGCGGTCCGCTACTGACAATTGTGCAAACGTGCTGTGCCCGTAACTACTGCTCGTAACGTTTCGCAAGCTACACAACCTTATTCTCCATGCCGAGCCAAAATTATGCAAGTCAATAACAAGCCGGGCCTGGCGCAACGTTGCAATAACATGGGCAATAGCCAACGCCGGAATAGCGGGTGTGTTTTTTCTAATCAAACAAAGAAAGAGAGTATCATCTACATGATGTGATGACCATCACTTGCAGTCGCTCCGTTTATTTCCCTTCTCTGTACCTGAGCATATTAAAAATCCGCTTCCTGAGTATGCCGCTCCCTTTATCCAAACAAGCTGACATGCGACAAATAATGCTTTGAAAGGTGCCCAGAAGGGATATAAGAGCGCGGTGCTCCATTGGGCACTGACCAAGCGGATTGGATCCGCCTTGTACGGAATCGGCTATTGGTGGTGACACGACTTCCTGGTGCAGTATCTAGTAATGTTTACCCGTATTATGTTATTAGTTGCACACGCTCATACACAGTTTCACTGTATACGGCTTTTATTTTGAACACACTAACCCACATAACCGATCGGGCCAAAATAACATACGTCATCACCACAGAAAACGACATGGCAGCGCATGCGTGGTGATCGTCCAGTTAATCTCCAATACTACACCACTTGTACGATCGGTCGGGGTCACACTGGTAACCGATGAATCCGCTCGGTAAACAAGTAGAGCCTCAGAGTCCAAGCAAGCACACGCATATGCGTCCAAATATTGCCATATATCATGAAAGACTAATTGACCGGAGCTTATAGGCATATTGTCACTTCCCTGAGATATAGCTGTGGATAGGGGATACTGGTAGATGAGAAATGTGAGGCAACAACTGAAAACAAAATTCTCCAAGGGGGGAAAAGTTATGCTAGCGTAGAATAGTACCGAAAGAGTGGTTATCGAAGAATAGTATACTGTTATTATATAGTATGTACTACAGTACTACGAAACTGTTAACAATACAGTAGCAGTAGAGAAGGATATGACAAGCTAATATTTTCCTTGATTTGAGTCGTTCACCGTTGCATCAAAACCTTTAGTCGAAGAAATAAAAGCTCATGCATCAATTGAATAATCACACGATATCCTTTTTGTGCCTGCATGTAGTGGCCGACGACCGCAGAAAGACTCGAGCACACAAATATATCATTACATCGATAATTTTGAGAAGCAGGTAACCTCTGTCCACTGTATTCATGCCCTTGCTGTATGGATTATTATGTTAGTGAAGAGTTGTTACGCGATCATCTCATCAAACATGTCGGAGAAGCAAGTACACAACAGAAAGACGGAAGCACCAACAACAACGTTGCCAAAGAACTCGGTGACAAACAAGACTCGCCATTGATCGTCAACAAAATGAATTTGTCACTGGACGCTTAAAAAGGGCTTGTCGGAAAAAGATTTACAATGGCTCCGTCGAGATATTCACGAAGTCTAGTCCTAAGATAATAGGGATGAATTCTTGCTATTCTTACATCTCAACAAGGCTGTACTATAAGTACTGAGAAATCCATCAGTTACTGTGGAACAAAAGACCTGCAAATGCATCTTAGTTAAATAAAACCTAGGTTTTGGAGGCGTCATAAACTGCTTTCAGGCAACCATTAGATAATGCTTAAGAGTTTTCAAACGTGCGTTAAAAAGTAAGTATCATATAGTTTCTTCCAAAAGAAAATACGCATAGCAATACGTGTACTGTATTAACTTTCGTTCTACCTTAATTCAGTTTCAAAACTTATGAGGAACAGGAAATTGCGTTCTGCTGAATTCAACAGTACAAATATAGAATTCCGAAGCAGTAATAAGCATAATTCAAGGAATACAAACGATGCCACTGACGTGCGAGTGTGTTACAACTCGAGCTTCATTGACGTGTCACTTAGATCAAAGGTTAGTAAGTTTGTTCTATTACAGAGAAGCTCCTTGACCTATGCTGAGGTTTTGCAAGAAGCACGGATAGGAACCCGCACTTCAGCTCGATAAATGGAAATCCAGAGAAATCAAGCTTTGAGCAACTCTCGTGCATACGCGACATAATATTATTTGTCGCTTACAGTATCCAGTTATCAATGATATTATGTATCCGTTATTGACAACACCTTCAATTCCCGAGATGTCATGTTATAGCTAATGTTACTTTGTTGGTGATGGCTATTGTGCATGTCTTTCTTTCTCTTCTCTTTGTGGGACACCACCTTCTGCAAATCCACTCATTGGACGGTTTTCCCAAAATCGGCTTCTTGCTGCTACGCAGACCACTACACGATAATAAAAACGTGCTTCGAAATTTACTCGTAAGTACTGAGATTTATATATTGCGACCAGTAGGTATTACATCAAACATTTGAGATACTAATATGCGCGCCTGTGAGTACAACAACAATAACTAGAAGAAGAGGAAAGTATGTTCATTGCTTCTTCGAAGTGATACTCTACCGCAATTTTGTTCTACTTATGCCATAAGCATGTCTACGACCGTATTTCTTTGCATGATGGTCCTGTTTGACTCTAGTTTTTTTCTAGCCATGTCAACTTTTTTTAGAAACAAAGCTTCTATGATATAGCAATCCGAAAATCTATAAAAGGGACCAAGTTGCGCATTTTAAAAAACATTATCACAACAACAACAACTACTACTACTACTACAGCTTTAACGCGATACATTATTACCGAAAATGACTCTCTTTGATGCCAAGAACACTTTTATCTTCATGGTGCTGATCTTTTTCGCTATGGGCTTGGTGGCTCAGGTTTGCGCCCAGAATGTAATCCCCGTTGACCCACTTGGCTGTTTGACGTCCGAAGTTTTGTGCACCGTCGCGGATGCCGGAAACTGTTGCAGCAATAACTGCATTGTCGATGATACCAACGACCTTGTCGGCAGATGTGAATAAGGATACAGTGCTACTATGGTAATTAGTAGACTCTGTTGATTTCAGTAACAACAAATGGTGCTTCAGCGTCGACTTTATCTACTACACAGCATATTACCCTATCATAAAATTCATAATAAATTTGAAATCCGTTAATAATGTTTATAATATATAAGAAGAGGAGTGTTGTTATTCAACTCTCTGATTGAGGTCTACTATATATACTGCTAGTAAAAGTCTTTGCAGCATCACTTACAAAGAAATTGGGTTGGGGCTCATTTATTAACAAAGTTTTTTCCTATCGACAGCATCATTATTCAATTATATATGTCGCTTTTATTCTTTGTTGCCAACAGTAAATTTATTGTAGTGGTTCAGCGGTATGTAACATAACAGTCGAACATGACGCTCTGATATCCTTAAATATTTTATGCGTAGTGACACTGGTTGTATATCTTTTGAATTTTTCGAGAAGTCGTAGATCGCTATTTCATATGTTGTGTACTTACAGTGGATGCACTTGAACATACAAAATAAGGTAACGAATCAGATGAACAACTGAGACCTGCACATCCAGCGCTAAGAATATGCATCTCAGCTCAACAACGGTGTGTATCACAGAGCATATCAAATATTACACACTCCATCAGTCATTCAGATGCACGGTAAGCTTACGGCAATTGCATTTCATGAAGCGATATTCTAGCCTTCACGTATATGTAAAGCAGGTTGATCTCAACTTCATTGCGGCTATCAAATATCTAATTTCTACACTTTAAATCGACCGATGCTTGCCTACTTTATCACAGCAAACCATGTCTGAGAAGCTGATAATGCCAATAAAAGCACGATGGTGTCTTAATGTCAAGCAACGATTGCTTGCTTTATGTCTACGTTTGCCTATAAAGACACATTTAGGCATTGCAGTCAGCTTTGTCACTTGTACCACGTTACCGGACAAAGCCAATCGCCATATATAGCGATGGCAAGAAACTATGCAAGAACGCGCCTTTGACGCCTGCGCGCCTTCTGTCACGGCAAATGCACAAGAAATCAGGATCACAATTAGCTCTGTACATCTAACACAACTCTTAGGATATACCGTTAATGATAGTTTGTGTCAAAGATATGTAGCACGACTATAACAGAAGTATAACCAGTGCCAGTATCAGGTGGTTTTGCTGGCTTGCTGATATCCAACTTTTGAGTAGAGGATTGTTTAGGGTTGAAAATCATTCGATCATGCAAGCCTGCACCATGTGTTTACTATTTACATCAGATATCGGCAGTTGTTGATGATGATTGGAACTGACGAAAGTTTTCTTGACATGTAGAATTCATCGACTTCAACTACGGATCAAAAATAAAGCCAATAAAGTGTTGCTCACATCGAGCTTCTGCCGACAACTGACGTCCAGTTTTGTAAGTCCTACAACATTCAGTATTTGATGATGCATAGGAAAGAATCTCAATGATGCTGTGAAAAACGTAGGTATTTGTGCATATGAGAATACGTGTGTATCATCGTTTACTAATACTAATATGTTGTTGAAGGAATGAAAATGTCGCTGACTATATCCTTCCACTGCTTCTCCCAGCTTTGTTCCTTGTATTCCTCAATGACATTGCTGCGTAACCGCCGGAGACTATCCGGTTCCCGCACAAATAGATCCTAGCACCCGAAAATTGAGCAACGATGGGCTTGTTAGCCAAATAGTCGACGGAAAGGGCAACGTGTAGTATTCAGTAAAAAATAAATAAATATGTACCATCAACTGCTCCGCAAGTTCTACGTTATTCGAGAAAGCCAGACCATTCTTTCCGTGGACAACCAGCTCGTCCAAGCTTAGATAAGTCAGATTAGTTTTGCCACATACGATCCATCGTGTAAACATCGTTCCTTCATGATGGCATAATTCAAAATAACCAAAAAAAAATACCATTCAAATGCTGCGGCACACACTGGAAGGCCACATCCAAACATATCCACGACTTTCATCGGCAGGTCCATTCCGCTTGTACTCGTATGGAGCGATATTCCAAGGTCAGCACTGCCAAGCAGCAAGGGATAATCGGCGGTTTCGAGCCAGGCTGTAACGATACGCGTCCGTTCCAGCGTCATTCTAGAGATACGCTCCTCGTACATGCTCTTTAGCGGGCCTTTACCGGTGATGACGAACAGCAGCTTTGGACATATTTCCTTCTTCGCATACGCTTCGTACTTTTCAATGGCTCGGAGTAAAATCGAGAAATCTTCGTCTTCGGTCCATGAAGTGGCGGATACTACAAGCCGGATGTTCTCGTCTCGGAACTTATCTGCCGAGATAGACGAGTACGACAAGTCCCCAGACTTGTTGTTGTTGTTGTTGCTGTTCGTTGAAGCGGTGGCATCATACCCAAGAAAACCAGACGCGTTGAGTGTTTGTTGTCTCACAAGCGTATCGAGTCGTACAGTGCTTAAAAACTTTGTTATGCATTATTCTCCCGCATTACCGCAAGTTTAATCGTGTTGTTTTTCCCATCTACCTCGTGTATTCTGTCATCCGACAGTCGCGTAAAGTGGTATGGGGGCCGATCTTTGAATGTAATGATACGTCCACTATATGTCAGAACCCCACATTAACATTTTGTCTGGCACTCACATCCTTCTTCATCCGTTGCTCCCCCTTTGTATATTACTTGCCCAACTCCCCATTGGACCAGTTCCCGGTTCATACGGTCCGTCACTGTCAAATGAGCATACGCATTGTATCCAAAATACTGCTCGTAACGTTTCGCAAGCTGTACAACCTTGTTCTCCATGCCGAGCTTGATCCCTAGGACGGAAAAGCCAAAATTATGCCAGTCGATAACAAGCCGGGCCTGGCGCAACGTTGCAATAACACGGGCAACAACCAATGTCGGAATAGCCGGTGGATTCTATTTTGAATAAAGAGAGAGAAAGCTTTTTGAATAATTGTTCGCAATTTTCTTGTGGGTCGTGATTATGTACCTGAACGAAAATGAAATCCGGGTACTGGGTGATGCAGCCCATTATCCAAACAAGCTGACACGCGACAAATATTGCTTTGAAAGGTGCCCATAAGAGATAGAAGGAGCGGGGCATGCCCTCGGGAACTGACCAGGCAGACTGAATGCGTCTTACTCGAATATGGCGGTTGGTGGTGACACGGCTTCCTGGTGCCGTATCTGACAAAATTTACCCGTATAATGTATATCAATTTTACCCGCTCATAGATGCCCTCACCGCATACGCTTCATTTTTCAAAGATAGTTCTTAAACAACACTGACCCGTATAACCAATCAAATCAACTTGACATCCAGCATCAGCAAGAGAAACAGCATGGCAACGCATGCGTGGCGATCGGCCAATATCCCCCAGCACTACAACTTGCACGATCGGTCGAGGTCGCGTAACTGATGGACCCGCTTGGTCAAATAAATAGAGTCGTAAAATCCGAATACCGAGCAGGTACAAACACAAAAGTGCAAGAAGGGCACCACTCAATGAGATGTTGCCGTCCTCAACGAACCATCCCATAGCTGTAACTGATTTGGAGTGATTTATGCAAAAAGGTGATAGAGAGAGAAACCAGCGGTGGACTAAAATTAACGGAGCAATAGGTTTTGTTATTCTTTTTGCTTCGTTCGTGCAAACACTCTCCCCCGCTAGAACAGCAGCAGCGTAGTGACCCTCAGTGTAAATGACCATTGATCTTCAATCGGGTGAGCCAACAAGTATACACTATGGTTACGTTTGCGACAGCCAGTTGTCCCCGCTACATTCCGTTGGATAGCCCTTGGAAGTCGAGGATTCTGCCTGGTCCATACTATGATTGACATTAACAAGACAAGAAGGATAGTCACTGAAAATCGACTTTGCAACACTTTCTTGATGAGTACAACGGCTTTTGGACTAGTTAGAGTATATGATCTTCATCGAACAAAGTCATTTTCTTGCTACCGGAAAAGGCATTGAATGATAGAAGATAACTACAGCATCCGAGCAACTGCAGCACGGTTGACTAATACTGCTAAATATTGTTTTCCATATCATTACTTTACTTAATTGAAAGACACAGAAATGTTTATGGTAGTAACTTTCACATAAATTTTTACTATATGTAAAGGTAAGAAGGTTCATATATAGAGATGGAACCTCCTCTGCTACTTTCTACCAAGTGCCATGCCGATATCATCACATTAGTTTATGAATGGACTTGACAGAGTGATCCGTCAGATGTTGCTCAATGTGCTCGCTGCTGTTGACGACATGAAAAGCCCAGAGCACGCCCGCCTTCGTTCGCTCGCGTTTCATGGAATCGGCTGCTGACTGGTTCTGAGGCTGCATACTGTTTGTTCTTGCAACAGAGCGAAAAAATCCGCGTATTCGACAATAAACATATTGACCCGGTACCCAGGAAGGTATTGCAGTACCAGTAAATTGCCCTGTACATGACGTTCTTCCAGAGTACATTCATTGTCAATCTGTGTATACCACTAAGGAGCGATAACGAAAAAATGCAGTCTGTTATTGATGTTTGCAGGTGGATAAAGGTCACTGAATCACTCAAACAAGAAGCTACAGAAGACACTTATCATCAGGTCGATAGCGATGTTTTGTCTTCGTTATGCCATCAATGGCAACAGCACCAATAACGCAAGTATCGCCTACCCCCATCTTTACATAGCTTAAATTTATCATATCATCAATCATAGCACATTATACATATGCTACATACAATTTCCTTTGTTCTCGACTTATTTCAATGACACAATCTTTAAGAAGTATTATTATGAGGATGTTTAGTCCTTATAGAGCATCACTAGTTTGCTTCAGTTTGCGCCATTTCATAGCGAAACAGTTACGTAACAAGGAGTATGCTCTAATCCTTCTATGAGCGTCTTGATATCACTGTTTACTGTACTGTATTTATTCGGCCTTACTTTTTGCTACAAATGTCTTTTCGTGTCATAAAGAAACTGTTATGTATTACTACCGCCATTGCTATGTAATTTTCATACCAGGTATTGTGAAGGCAAAACATCTTTGAGCCTAATAAAAGACTTAGTGCTGTATAGCTTACCGTCATATGTACATTATGTAGCAACAACATGCACGCAGCAAGGCACGCGGGATAGACGAAAGGGACCCACTTTCTGATAGGCATATCTGAAATTAAAAAGTGGCACAAGGTACGGACGCGAGAACAGACTGTGATAAACCTACCTTTCTATGTTCAACACTATGCATCGACCTTCTACATATGACAGACTTGATGGAGCAGATGCGAGCGTTATGAAAGCGCAAAGTAGACAATTCATTAGTGAGCTTATTCAACATGATCGCTACCGCGATGCGTTGCGATATTCCACCAAAGCACTCAGCAATCTTTTGAAACTGGCCGCCCCTATGATGCAAGCTCGTGTTCGTGTTTGTTCTAAAACAGGAAGCCTCGCACAAGAAATCAAGGATTTGAAAATTCTGACGGATTTAAAATAGAGGCTGCTAACTACTTGCATCTTGCAAACATGTAATCTGCATAAGGAAACCAGAAACAATGCTTTGGTAAAACACATGATGCGGACTTTGCCATGGCATCCACCTCAACCATTTCCATTTCCAAGGACAGCGAAGCTGGTACAAATATTTAATGTTCAGCGTACGTTCAACGCACACACTATATAAGTAGAACAAGGAAGACACTACACAACAATGATGAGCATCTTAAAAAAAGCATATGCTATTACAATTTTTAAATAATTTTGTGATGGAGATGTATGCCTAGACGAAACACTTGCGCATGCAATTACAGGAGTTTGCCAAATTATAGCTTTGGACTATTTTTACCTCGGCGTAGATGTATCTCCATTTGACAGCATTGTGATTTCAGTTAAATGATGACAGCGGTTTACAATACCAAAATACACAAAGTGGACGCCAATCATATTTAAATCGAGCGCCGAACTGTAATCACAATACTGCCAAATGGAAAATACATCCAGGTTAATCGGATGCAAAATCCTGTATTTGTATATATTTGTAAGCAGAGACAAACGCGAGTAGTAACTTGTTGTTTATGTTCATGGATGATCAAGGTCGTACTGCATCATAAATCTAGTGGCACCAGAGAACATCAATTCCGCATTTCGGACATCTGTATGAAACATGCATTATTTTCAACAAGGGAAATTAAACCTATAATACATATATACACTATGTAAAGATCCACCTATTGCTTATCATACGCACATATTCTCCTTCTCTGACTTGACCAAGATTGCAGATGTGTATGATACACTCGAAGAGCAGCAGCGGGAATGCTATTATCATGCAACATGTGTACCATTTTGTGTTTATATCACTCATGGGTCTAGCGCATCAATATTCAGTCGACTTGAGTAGCATCATGCCATCTTCTTAACAGCTGTCAATTCTAATGCAGCTGTTAGCTATGATAACTTCTTCATTTTCCATTTCAGTTTGCTTGAGCAATCATCATCATCATCATCGTTTCTGTTACACACGCTCACACACTTATGGTAACGCAAGATTAGTACAAAATATCAAAACATCATAATCCGAATCGTGGGAACAGGAAGGCTAAGGTCAGTGAAGGCACATGACAAAGTGGAGATCCCCCTTCGCTTTCGATGTTGCAAAGTTTTTATGTATCGTGCATCAATACCATATAACCACGCAACACATCATTTTTTTATCTATTTTTACGCTCAGACACTCTTTTCCTAGTATGACGCACGATAGCTCGAGAGAGAAGATCCGACGCATACGCTATCTTGAGCGGAGACAGAGAAGAAAAGGAGGTTGTTGAGGTTCTGACAATAAGGGAAGAGAATGCTAACGCCACCTTTGATTGTGTATACACTATGCTCCTCTGACATATTGTTTCCTCGTGTTTGTTTCACCAACATATACACAACAGTACGTTTACTGGCGTATTAGGTGCATAGCGTACAATTGTTCTTCGTTCTCTCCCCTCTTTTTATCTACCCCCTTGCTCTATATAAAAATTAAGCTTTTTTTCTTCTTCGGCTTGATCGGTAGGACAAGGACAGTTATATTTAGACGGTACGACCTCAATCTTAACTTTCCATGTGTATCACTTCATGCTTAAGAGGGAAAAAATGTGAAGATCTGGGATAAGCGCTTGCTGATCACTTTTGGTTTTATGCACATATCCAAACCATAGTAAGCGGTGGTAGTTGTTGTGGTGATAGTGACAGAGCAAGTGGGCTAAAAATCGGTCAGACAGTCAGGTCGCTGAGTACAATCTTTGCTGCACGGGTCATCTTATTGTGGTAAACAATTGTTTCAATTGCTGCTGCTGCTGCTGTTGCTGCTGGCTATTCAAAGATAATGCAAACAAGGCGGCCTGCTAGCAACTCGAAAGAAACAGGTCGGCTGCAGCTGTTATTTCCTGCACTAGATACTTTGGTAAATTCGAAGACGAGTTCTCCCAATCTCTCCACCTTGCATCCACTGGCTTGACGATCCCTTATATTGTTTATGACGATGCTTGTCAATGCGAAGCTGCTCAAAATAAAAATTAGTCTATCTGATTATTAAGCGACTGGAATACACATACTTGAGTGCTTTTTTTTTGTTGCTGCACAAACACGTTTCTTACAACTATAAAGTCGTAAATGCGGATCTTTTTTTTAAAAGAAAAAAAGATATTTTTAAAACAGTGTGGAGAGTTCATGAATTCCACTAGTTCTTTTTATTCAACTATCAAACGGAGAAGCAGAGTAATAGCCCCTATAACGCTGCGCTAGTCTCTGGTGGGGCCTTATTACTCTGTGTACGTGTGCGTTTTTAGATGCCATTATCTTTATATATAGCAAACGGAAGATCGTTGAAGTATAACACGGATGATGCGCGGGCCTCATGGTCCGCCGCATCTTCTAAACGAGGATGCCTTCTTTAAGAAGTTTTTTGACTATCATCCGATTCGATCACCGCCGAACAAAAAGCGCACATATTAAATATTTGTCAGTTAGCTGGACAAAACAAGATAGTAGGTCTTGGGACACTGCCATGCCAAGTTGGTTGACACGACGTAAAGGAGCTTGCCTGGCTGTACAAGAATAACACGATAGAGAGGTAACACGGTAGAGAGACCAAGGGGGCTACTAATACTGAAACTTTAGTCTTTTATATAGTGCGTTGCTATTTCGAAAGGGACCGAGAAAGGGTCAATTGGTAGAAAAGTTTCTGCTTTTTCACCTCAATTCTATTTTAAAACCGTAACGTCACACGCACTTTCAAAAGACATATGCATTCCGGCTCCTCTTTTTTCTTTTTTCTTTTCATTTCTTTTCTTCTCTTCAACCTTGCTTTCTTTTTTTCCCCTTCCTCTTACGTCGAACACGTAATAACTAGCGGCTTGGTTCTGCTGTTCTGATTTGAAACGGTACAAGTGTGTAGTAGGTCTGTACGTATCGCCCTCGTATATACTCTGCGACCCCGTCAATTCCCTGCGCAACAAAACAATCATTCTGTCGTTCTCTTGTTTTGTTTTGGTCGGCAGCTCACTAACAAGAGACCCGCACGATAGTAGAATATGAGAGTTCCCTCTGGTTGCTCCAAGCTAAAGCGCCCTGAGATTATCGAGCGTGTAAAGGGCCTGATTTTTGGTAGGAAAACGGCACATGGCAACATTATGCATGAGTGCGTGTGTGTGTGTGTGTATATGTATCAATGGCTGTCATTAATTGCGTTTATATGTGCGTGTTATGGATTCAAAAGGCGCCGTATTGGGCGATAGTCTCGGTATAGCCACGCAAGGCATGACTCGGGATGAAATCAGACAAGCCTACGGCAAAGGCCCCATCAAGTTTGGGCTGTCCAATGATGAAGACACTGATGGCCAAGTGCCGTTTCGACGCGATGGCTATCGTCGTTTATACGATGACAAGTAAGGAAAACTCCCTTCCCTCTATTACCTGCTAATTTCTCCGCATTCTGTGCTATTGGCAAACATGCACACCATGTTAATAAACAACAACGATCCCTATCAACAGTGACTACAGTGGCGACATGGACCAACTGCTCTTGGTGATCCAGACTCTGGTCGAGAATGAAGGACAATTCAACCTCAAAGCGTTTGCTAAGAAACTTGCGATCCATTTAGAGAAAGATGTGCGGCAGCGGACATCGGATCAGGTAAATATACCGGAGAACGGTCCCGAAAAAGTTTGATGCTACCCAATTGGACAAAAAGAGGGTCAAGGAGCAAAGAAGGAGCGAGAGTGAAAGAGACCTGAAGGAGATTAGCCTAGACATATCGTGAAAATATACTCATGCCACACTCTTTTACAGAGACGCGACGGATACAATGGAGCTTTGGTTCGATCGGCAGTGTTGGGAGTGCCTAAATTCTGGGATGGTACAACTGTGATTGAGAATGCAGCAGAAAGTTGCCGTGCCTGTGTCGATCGGCCTGATCCCCGGTGCATGATCACTTGCGTGATTCTATCAACGTTGGTGGCTCGGTACGTTCTACGTGGCTTTTCGGAGGGACGTTGGAGGGGTTCCGAAGAGAAGGGGAAGCTGGCGGAATAGCTGAGAGAGAGAGAAAGAGAGAGCAAAGAGTTAGCGCGCGGCACGCGAGGGAGTCAGGGTAAGTAGCTTATATAAATCATTTGTTAGGATACTCCGCGCACAAGATCTTGAGATCAAGCAAAAAGCTATGAACGATGACACTCCGCTCCCATCACCGAGTCTTCATCCACCGCCTGCACACGTTGCTGCTGGCGGCCTTGCCCAGCCAGCAACGGACCATTATATTGACACCCTCACCACGGATGAGCACATCATGTCGCTCGTCCATGCTGTTATCGACATCAACAAGCACCTCCTGATCGAGCCAACACAAGATCGTCTGTTTCGACTGTTTGAAGCCGACCAGGAGCGCGCACACACTTACTACACGCAGTTACTAGACTATTGTTATCACGCACCTGCCAATATCGAAGCGCTGAATCTCGATCAGCTCGACGATATGACGTTCAAGTGTCTCGGTACAAGCATCTATGCCTTCACTCGCCAGATCCCAACTGAGAGCGAAGCCGAAACAGCGTCTGCGTTCAAGAAGATTTTGATGGATGTTGTGATGCAGGGTGGCGACGCAGGTACTAATGCAGCAGTTGCTGGCGCTTTGCTCGGTGTGCGTATCGGATATGATCAATTGCCAAGTGATTGGGTTATTGGTTTGAAGCGTTGGGAATGGCTCGAAGACCGTGTTGAAGAGTTTTGCCACCTTCTTTGAATAAGCCGTCATCAATTTCTTCAAACGCACTCGCACTTTTTCTTCCTTACTCGCCCACATAGTCTCTAATATCTCTCTCTCTCCTTCTCTCTCTCTCTTTTCTGTTTTCTTATATATACATATACTACCTTTTATGCCTATCACGCACACAGCAACTTCAACAATAACAAAACAACAACACACAAAATGCACATTTACAACATATACACTCACACACACTATACGGTTTTCCCTTCTTCTGCTCGCACCTTTTACATACACCCAATTTTTTTATCTCTTTTTTTTTTCAGACTGACTCGAAGTACATATTTGCTAATGATTTTTACTCTTACTGTATTATGCCTTTTCTTCCCTACACACCTTACATTACTCCTCCCTATCCGATCCCCCCTTCCTCTCGTTTTCTTTTCTTTATATTTGTTTGGTAATTTGGTTTATTTAGTCGACAGCATCCGTGTTCAAAGCGGTTTAAAATTATTGAATTTACGTTATAATAACATAATGTGCGTCACAGACAAGATAACAACGCAATTTGTTACATACTATGGTCAGGACATTGTTGTCGTCGTGCATTCATAAATATGCACTGTGCAGGAAACTTAGTTCGCCTGATTCTTTTTTTCTGCAACATATTAAGTTACGTACTATCTAATGTATATATGTTGTACTACGGCATAATTATAATATCGTTGAACAAAGATATTAAGCCAGAATAACCAGACTGTCTATGTGGGGATTTCGTTAAGCCTCAGTGCAAACATTCATTTAAAGTGAATACGTGTTTGGTGCGGATAGGTCTCTTCAGAGTATAATTCATATAAAGTGCTGTATACATAGTATGCGCATGCACGCGTGTTTTAATGCCTTGTTGAGCTTGTTTTTCTATATGGCCATACAGAGCAACTGTATGACGATCACATTTTACTTGCGGAATCTCGGACAAAGATACATACCCTCTACAAAAGATAGTGCTATAGGCACATGATGCATATCTGTTTATGCACGATATTGGAGACTTACCGTCGTCCTTAATAGTATACTGGTATCATATATACCCAATTTCTATTGACTATTGAGGCTTTGATACCTTTTTCCCGTTATGTGATATGGTAAGACGTAATTAGTTGCATGTAATAAAAGGTCAGCAGTTTTTTTTTCTGATCAAGATCCAACATACATACAGTACATATGCACCATTCAGAAAACTCTTGCAAGTGATAGCTACGAGTTCTTGTTGTTTCGAGTGAACGAAAACTGGAACAAATGGGCCACGTCAAGACAAGCGATGGAAAGTTATCATGCCCATTTATGCCAATCACTCCTATTTCTCTATTTATATAATGCTAAGAAATTCATAGCCACATTCTGCATTGTCACTATGTGGCAGAATAGACAGCTACATTCTTGGCTATCTTTGAACAGAAACCAAATACATACATGATAGCTAGACCGTTATGTGGGAGTGACATAGAATCAGGAACAATGGACATATGATATATAATCTTGCTTCCTCGCGCATAAATTATTATTGAATGTGCATCATTATGGGCCGGAGCCATCTAAACTTTATAAAAGATCATGAGCTAAAGGTTACGATAATCTGTACAAATTTAAAGTATAACTACATCTTACACCAAAGCAACAACAATGAGTGTTAGTAGCTTATACAAACATCTGGTGTTGCTTAATGTATGCGCACGCGAAACAATGTCATGTAGAGAATCAACGGCTCAAACTCATTTCACGACCAATGATGGTAACTAATCCATACCTTATAGTACAGTTTCTTAAATGACAGTAGCAAGGAACAGATTTTGTAAGCAAGAATAACTACATTAGCAATACATTTCAATTACATGTTTTTTAGAACGTAGGTATTTATATTAATAGAAGACGGTAAAAGGGGATCAATATACATTAGGTGGAGATGAGGAGTAGAGGGAGGAGACAGCTGTGTACAAAACGGATTAGACATTGAGATAAATATATATACTCGATTAAACCAAGAAAAAACTGAATAAAAAGGATAGTAGAACAAAGTTCTTAAGGAGTGAAGCGGAAGCTGGGATGCTTGTGGCCAAGGTCCTCAATCTGTTCTTGAGTAAGACCATCGATTATATGGTCACGGTTGCCTTTTTCTCTTTGCACATTCTCCCAATTCATGTAGAAAGTACCAAGTCCGGCACCGACAAAGACGAGAATGGCACAAACTAAGTTAATGATATTTCCAGCAAGGTAGTCCGGAGCCTGCTCCGGAAGATACGTCCAAGTGGAGATCAAAGCACCAATGGAACCAGCACTGATGGAGAAGGCACTAGCAATCGCACGAGTCATTGGACCAGCAGTGTTATCGACGAGCCAGCCGACGAACATGGGACTGCCAGTAAAAGCACCGGCCGTGGCAAAGAAAATAGCCATGTAGCGTGGTCCCATATGGTCAGGCAAAGCGATGAGAACAGCAAAACCAATCGTCATAAAAGGTGCTGCCATACCGTACAAAAAGATACCTCGCGTCTTGAAGCGATCAGACAAGATAGAGGAACTGATGCAGATTATACAGCCAAGAGCATAGGGAGGTACAGTCAACAATTGAGTTTCGACAGTGCCCCAACCCATTTCGGAGAGAAGCGAAGGCTGAAATGATATCGACCATGGTTAGTTTTTACTCTGTAAAAGCAAGGAGAGTTTGATGATGGAAAGGTACTATCATTTCATGTTAAACAACATACCATGAAGACGGCAATCGAGTTCATGCACAAGAGCGAGGAGAAAAGACCGAGTGAAAGGAATATGGTGTTCCAGTTCAAGATGCCGTTCTTAAAGTGAGCCATCTTGAGATCTTCATGTTTTCTGGTCATAGACTCGAGCTGAATTCGGAGCTGGCCAATTCTACGCTCTTCCTCAGTCAGGAACGAGGCAGTTTCGGGATTTTTGGCGAGCATAAAGTATGCAATTACTGCAGCAATCATTGTGAGAATGCCCTCAAAGAAGAAAATATTACGCCATGTGTGCATAATACCCCATGGTGGAATATAGGAGAAACCAATAGCGAGCAGACCACCGAAAGCACCAGCCAAACTGGCGCATGAGGCGTAGATACCAACACGGGTAATCAGTTCGTGACGACGGTAACTATGTAGAGTAAAGAGCATTAAATGTTGAGCCCACTATGCTTATTCGATCTGGTATAGACATCGATGTACGTACAAAGTACCGAGGGTATACGAAATACCAGGCATGATGGCAGCTTCAGCAATACCAAGGAAGAAACGACCGGCAAAGAGACCACCAAAATTATAGCAGAAGCCAATGCACATGGTCACCAGGCCGAAAGCGAAGGAAATAGCAGGAAGGGCAATCTTTGGACCCAGCTTTTTGACAAGAATATTGCCAGGACTAATGTAAAATTTTCATTGAAATAGTTAATAAACAGTAAAAGATCAAAAGGAGATTTGACTTAGCATCAGAAAAACTGACAATTCATTATGCTGCTTACACTTCAAAAAGAATGTATGTGATAAAGAAGGCAGTCAAACATATACTCATTCGATTATCTCGCTCCAAATCAAGATCTTCTTGCATGCCAAGAATTTTAGCATTTCCAATGTTTGTTCTAGAATTTTGATTTTTTCAGTTATGGAAATGTATTGAGTTAGAGCACAAGTTCCATTCTTTTGTTCTATATGTTAGAATGCGTGTTTACCTGTCAATGAACGCGAAGAGATACAAAAGTGTGACTGATGTAAGGATTCGTTTATCGCATTTTCGTCGAATGCTTGCCTCAATCTTGGGATCAATTTCATCCAAGGAAGTGGGCAATTCACGAAGGGAGTCTTCAATTGAACTTGACGATGTCTCATCACCTTTGTGTTCAACGATGACCTTCTCCGTCATGATATTATTTAGTTTATATCAAAACGGAAGTGGGGTAAGAAGGAGGAGGGAAATATGTGGAGAACTGAATCAAAACCCCTCTTTGTCCGTTCCTCCCGTTCTGATATTTATATTTTCGGTTGAAAATAGACGGTGCAGCCAATTGGATGCCTATCCGCCGTGAAAATCAACCCAACAACAAGAGTCTTGTCGACAAAAAAACTGTGGTCGGTTGATAGACGAACTCAGCTACGCCTCCTAGTACTCTATACTAGGCAATTGTTCGCTGGTTTACCCCACATTCCCCGCCCGGGTAACCTACTGGGTACCTCCAGGCGGTAGTACATGTGTCGGATGTACGATTGTCGCTGCTCTAAAGAAACGCTAAAGGAAAAGGTGTGGGCCAGATGTTAAAGACATGGATAAAAGAACAAGGCGTATTTGTCGCTATTCAGCAAGACTAGACACGCAACAGAATACACGGAAGTAGGATCCCTTCTATTTCTTACTTTCATTGGCTGATGGTGTAGCACTTATCTGTTGATTGAGCTGTGATTAAATATATCGTTATTTCCAGGTAACACTTTGGGTAACAGGGCAGTAAAGGAGATCAAAAGAAAGCAATCACGCTTATCTGCTATCTAGAAAATATCACTTAGTGATAGAAAGACTGCCAACACCTTGGTCTTCATTGCTTCTAACCTTTTAGTTATATTATCAATGACAGCTATCCGTACTTGATCATTGTATATAATGATCAAGAACCATTTGCCACCAAGTTGTGCTGATGGACCAATAAACTGTTGAGCAAAGATCTTACTATTGTTTGCGCGCGCTGAACGCAAACTGCGTGAGATTCGCCAAACAAAGTAAGACTGCCCTACCCCACGAAAGATTCAAAGTCCCCATATTTCGGTTAATCATTCAATTCAAATCTGACTACCCGCACCCAAAAAATATATCAAAAATGCGGCCCGAGAAACGACCTTATTGGCCAAAAGTTTTCCGAAGGCCGAAAAATGAATTTGACACGGCTAGGCTGCATCAAGTCAATCTGTAATCACAAGTGGAACGTGTTCCGTTACAGCCCTTCACCTAGGAAATTCCCACCCTATTTGCAGACGGCTCGTCTGCAAGCAAGGGGTAGAAGGAATTTGTTTAGGTGTTTTTAAACACCGTTACAAAGGCTGTAGGGAAAAATTTAATGGTATCGTTATGCCACCAAAGGCACACTACCGTGTGGCAAGATCTATGCTATAGAATGTTCATGGTACATTAGTTTCATAGCAATACATATTCAAATTACATATCGTTTGAGTCACATTTCATTAATCTTTTTTGCTCGTTTCAAGTTGATCGAGATCTGCCATGACTTGTAACAGTCATATTACCTAATATGATAAACGAAAGCATTCATATTGAAAGTATTGAAATAATGTGCCGCTTACCTAGAGAATTAAAGGACTTGCTTCAGTATCGACTTGTTAAATACTACTCATATATAAGCTCTTGCTCTTGAATTATAAAGAAATCTATGAGAATATTATAAAAAATTTTGCTGTAGTAGGTTCAGTTGGTTGACGGTGCACTGCTATGCGCAAAGCATTATCTATGAAAAATCTTACGCAAAATATTCATATTCAATCACGTATACTGATGCATCCAACGAAGTATTTTAACTCATATAGACACAGAAAAAGTATGTCGTAGTGGCTCCTTCGAGGCAGTACTTACTATTGATCATTTTGAAGAAAAGGTCGCACAAATGACACAAGAAGATTGTTCGATCACCGACGTTGAGAGGGTGGATAGATGTGTATTCAACATAGTGGTAACTTCGCCTAGTATATTGAGACATCGAAAGCAACCGGCTACTTCTAAAATAGAGTGCTTGATTCATGTACTTTGGTAAAAATTGATGATTACTAGCGTATTTGTTTAGAAGCACTTTGATTTTACCTTGATCAGTTCGCTAAACGCTTGATTAATACTTGATGACCTTTCTTTTGCAAAGATAACATAAGCTAAAATATTTTAGATACTGCAGAGTATTCGGGTAGGTAACCACTTTCCATTATCAGGAGGACAAATGATTTACTGTATAGTGGACCGTTAGATACCCTTATACATTATCAGTAATACCTTCTTTTGCTATCATGTTTGGTAGATATAGATGCTGTATGTAAATCGCAGCAATGAGAATTGTTCTGTTTCCAGGGCGATCCTGTCGTTATTATCTGACTATGTACAATGAACTTAGCAAGACTATTACAAGTGAAGCGTTATACGAGTAACTTATAAGACCGACTTACATGAGTGAGAAAAAAACCAGAAGATAAATATCACTTTCATGTTTTATTTGTATTTACCTTAATTGCAGTTAAACTTTCCTTCATATAAAAGGACAACAATAGTATTAAAATGCAAATGAGTCCCGGTTATGCGATGCATTCTTTCCAAATACGTGTTAAACCAAATGTATTGCCAGCTGGAATGGCAGCTTATCGCAGTATGAGATCTGTTATTGATGTAATTTATATGTTAGTACATCAATGGCTTGAAAAAGTTACTAGATATGCCTGCTTTGTGGTTTTTTAGATTAACCATTGCACTTACTGGGAGGCAAATATAGCACAGACGCTTTTCAGAGCCGAGCTGCTTCGAGTAAAAAGCTATTAGTAATGGTGAAAAAGCATTCAAATAGCAATTGAAAGGCAAACAAATCACTCCTTGTCTATCGGCAGTAGCGATAGCTCACATACTTGTTATGAAACAAAGCAGCATAGCACTGCCTCGACTTTTTTTTTCTTATGGCCAGGGGGGCTAAGTCTGCTAGCAGGGCTTGGTAATAGGTGGATCGCACGAGTTGTAGATTGGGTCTGTATTGAAATCACAAACTGGAAAAAGTAATGTATCGGAGAAACAGTCAATGTAAGTACTATTTGAAGGAGGAAAGTAAAAGAAATAGAAACATACGAAAGCAATTTAAAAAAACCGTATGTTTATATATTCTCGGTTGGAGGCTTGCACTTACCTGGTTCGTGGGAAGGGGCGACCATGAGAGAAACGATTATGGAATCACTGGAAATTCTTCCCTGCACACGCACACTCCAATAGGTATTAGAACACCTCACCAATTAATTGATCCGACAAAGCCTAAACGATAAGAAAACAACCCATGCAACATCATGAGTCATAAGCATATCTACAGGAAGCAAAAAATATTCACGTATAGTCCATTTGAAAACAGTGTAAAACATGGCGATGTGTGATAGTGCTTGGTCGATAGCGGGTTTGTTATTTACATAACATAACTTTTGTCCATTCGAATGGGGCGCCCAGAAGACTTACTTGTCATTCTCAGAAATCTAAAGTAGCGCTGACTATTTTGCTGCAAGAAAAGAAAGAAAAAGAAAAAGAATCACCTTTTCCTTTGGATCTTGTAGTGGTACATCAGCACGAAAGCGTTAATTGCCCGTCACTAAATATGCAGTACGACGCATGTTCTTTGCGCTTCAGGAAACCGGATAAACCGAGAAAGGGCTCGTTGCTTCGTGTGGGAAAAGCATGCAACGCTGAGGAAAAACAGTTTAATGTCGCTTATGTATACGTATTCATTGATTTCGAAGCGCGCGTGGGATCTATTTACGTATGCAAAATTTGTTACCGGATTCTTTGGTTGACCAGGAAGCTTTTGTGCTACGAATTGAAATCCAGTAGGATTAAAATGCGGGGAAACCACCTTCCAAAAAGAACGTAAAAGGAAACTCGAGTTTTAGAAATCGCCGACTACCCGGGCCAAGGAGTGCTTACTCCACGAATATATTGTCTGGAATGAAGATGAAGAGCTTTTCAGCTTGTTATAATGATTGAATAGGCTTCGTTTTACCGCAGGGCTTTTGAACACATGATGAAGCTGTGTGATGAACATAAAACAGCCCTATAGCCGAATACAAAGCTTATGCTCGTTATACTCGTGTGCTTTTCGTCTAGTGGATGCATCGACAAGACACCATGTACTTATTCCGTTGAGCGATACAAACAATAGGATATACTGTACTCGCTCAGAAGCATGACGAATTAGCTTTAGAAAGTAGGTGCGAAGAAAAAGAGTGACTCTATGTTGTAGCAAAGGGAATAAGTCAGAGAGTAGCATGGTATCACAAAGTAATGCTTCCCGAGATGATGCATTTTTGTCTAGTAAGCAAACAACTAAAGCTGGAAGTCCAACCCTTTTCTTTACAAAGCAAAAGATTTCTCTTTCATTTTATTACAAATCATAGATACAGTGGTTTGTCAAAAAATATACACAAAGACGGAGGTGGGGAAGATAGGATGCGGGAAAAGCTGTCGAACAAGAAAGGGAATGGAACAAAAAGAAACAAAGGAGGAGGCGAGTTTACTGCTTCTGCTGCTCGCGGAACAAGTTCAGGTTGTTGAGCAAAGGCTTGTCGTTGTAGCTGAAGAGGTAAGCGGCTTCGTCGCCTTCGTTATGGTGGGTAATGCCGCTCCAGGCGGGGACAGCGAAGGTGTCGCTGTTGGTCCACTTCAAGACAGTCTTGTTGCCCTTAGCATCCACAATCTCACTATAACCAGTACCCTCGTAGACGTGGAAGATCTTGGAGCAAGTGTCACGGATTTCGGGAGAGGCAGCCTTAGCACCGATACGCTCGGCAGCACCACCAATAATGTGAGAAAGGGGACTGCCATCAGGTTTGTTGTAGGTATACGAAGCGTAAGAAGCATCACCAGTGCTATCCAAAGCCTTCTGGACGGGAGCCCAGGGGAACTTTAACGAGCTGTTTTCAGCAGGACTAAAGTATACCAAGATTGCATATGTTAAAATAAGCTTTCCAACACACACACACACTAAAAGCTCCTTCTATTCGCTTCCCTTCCCAACGAATTTTTTAAAAAAAAAGACTTACGCGCTGGGGTAACGGGGCTCGGCGTACATTTCGGCAAAGTTGACGGGAATGTTTTGGAAAATGGGGAGATCGAGACCATCGAGCCAGATCATGACATCACTGCCTTCGTGGCCGTGATCGTGCCATTGCCATGGTGGAGTCAAGATAACGTCACCGCGCTCCATGGTGATCTTTTCGCCTTCGACAGCAGTGAAACCACGCTCGCCCTCAATGATAAAACGCAAAGCGAAAGCGCAGTGACGGTGAGCGGGAGCGACCTCACCAGGGTTGATAAGCTGAAGACCGGCGTACAAGGTATCGGTGGTGCATGGAGCCTCTGCAGGTTCAAAAAGAACAAAGTGTCAGCTTCCTAAACACTTCCAGTGGACACAATTACCCAAACAAGCCCACTACTCCCACTTCTTTACACAGCAACAACGGAATAACTTACTCATGGTAGGGTTGATCAACATGAGGACACGACGCTCGGCTTCCTCGGCTTTAATGCGCTTGCCGGATTCGATAAGGGCCGGACGCATCTTTTGGTATTCCCAAACGTGAGGAACGGACTTGGGCGAAGGGATAGGTGGGACCATGGCCTCCATGACAGTCCACAAGGGCTCGGCGTTGATGTCAGGGTAGTTCTTCAAGAATCCAAGTTTGTCTTCAGCCATTGTTTTTTTTTGTTCAGTAATTTTATCGAAAAGAGTGTTAAAAAAAAGCCAAGTACTTTTCTAGCTTCGCTGTTTATATAGTCTAATGGGGCTAGATGACAGTCTTTTGAATTTTTTTGTCCACAAATGACTTGAAGGGCCTACGGATGAACTTTCCGTTCTTTCTTTTACTCCACATTTTTCTCCACTTTTCAATTTGTTTTGGGGGATTAACCACGGAAAAATCACCCGAGCTGTTTCCCCTCCTGCGGTAGAAAGTTTTAGATCTTTTCCACTTTGTTTATCCACCCAATAATGCGGGGTCGTACAGTATGATGCGATGGCCACCAAGTGAAACCATATTGGGGAAGTGTCCAGAAAGAGTCTTCGCCAGAAATAAGTATGATACTGTATGCCTAAGGGGCAGGACATTATACAGATGTTATGCAAAAATGGTCAATTGCAGACAGCAGATTGCATACAGGTGTTCGCTAATGGGCAAATCTTCTATTGCATTTAGCAAAGGTTCAGGAGATGTGTCATTGGGGTGGGAAAACGCTCGCTACGAACCGTAGAGAAGCTATACAATTTACCGACGTCATGCAACCCAACGAGATCCACTTTCCCAGATTTTCGCTGTGTTACTGAAATGGCCCGCGTTATCATCACCTGCGTAGGTAAGGCCACGGACGTATACACCAATGGGATCCGTTCCAGTAGATGATCCCCGGAATTCTTTGCCCTACACTGAGTCTGATCCATGCGTTTGTTGATATATAACCAGCCCATCGAACTGACTTGTTCGATTCTTCACTTTTTTCCCCCTCACCTTACATTTATTTTATCTACATCTAAAAAAACAACATAATGGGCAAGACTGTTATTAACGTTGGTATCGTCGGTGGTGGCCTTGGTGGTCTCGCCACTGCTATTGCTTTGCGCCGTGCTGGTCACAACGTCACTGTCTATGAAGGTGCCAAGGAACTTAGCGAAGTTGGTGCCGGTATCCAAGTTCCTCCCAATACTTCCCGTCTTTTGGATGCCTGGGGTCTTTTTGACCGCTTCAAGCAGAAGGTCGTCTGGCCCGCCAACATCAACATGAGAAGATACAACACCGGTGAAGTGATTGGCCCCACCCCCTTGAAGCCCAAGATGATCGAACTCTACGGATACCCGTACGTATTATTCCTACCCACTTACGATTACGGATATATGCATATGATTCTTTATCATCGCAGGGCTAGAATTGCTAACTCACAATTATTGTTCTCTGTACATATGTAGCTACTGGCTCATTCACCGTGCTGATTACCAGCAGTTGTTGTACGATGCTGCCGTAGAGACTGGCGCTACCGTCATCTTGGATGCCCGTGTCCTGTCTGTAAACGAAGCTGATACCACTGTTAGCTTGGAAAGCGGCAAGATCGATAAGTTCGACTTGATTATCGGTGCTGATGGTATGCTTCAATGACTTTTACGATGTGGATTGAAAAGGAATTAAGGGAAGAATCGTGCAGAGTATCATGAAATTTGGTTCTCAATTAAACTTTTTTCCCTTTAATCATAAAAATAGGTATCCGCTCTGCTGTGCGTTTGGCTGTTATGCCCGATGAAGAAGTCCTTCCTCGCGTCTCGACTAACTGCGCTTACCGTGCCACTGTCCCTTCTGCCTTGATGCGCGCCGACCCTGAAGTTGCCTTCCTTATGGATGATCCCAACTCCAACTGCTGGATCGGCTACCGTCGCCACATCATGGCTTATCCCATCCGTAACGGTGAATTGTACAACCTTGTCATGTCTCACCCTGGCGCTGCTGCCGTCGGTCGCTGGAATGAGCCTGGCAACTTGGAAGAAATGAAGAAGCACTACCACAATTTTGATCCCATCATCCGCAAGGTCTTGGAAAAAGTCACCGGCTGTTTGAAGTGGACCTTGGCCGACCTTCCCGTCCTCAGCAACTGGGTCAGCTCCAGCGGCCGCATTGTCTTGATCGGTGACGCTGCCCACGCTATGCTTCCATACCTCGCCCAGGGCGCTGCTCAAGCTGTCGAAGATGGTGCCACTCTCGGTGAACTTCTCACTGATCTCCAGTCCGTTGATGAAATCCCCGCTTTGATGGCCTTGTACGAAAAGATGCGTCGTCCCCGTGCTGAAGTCATCCAGAAGGGAGCTTACGAGAATGGTGATATCTGGCACATGCCCGATGGTGACATGCAAATCCAGCGTGATTTGGGTATGAAGGGTCAATTGCCTGCTGGCGCCAAGAACCCTAATCAGTGGGGCGATGGCAACTTCCAGCCCTGGCTCTTTGGTCACAACGCAATCACTGAGGCCAGAAGACGTTTGGCCGAATTCAGAAACGGTTCTGACATTGCCACCGATTCCGCTCGCCTGTAAATGATTTATTTATCTGCTTTTCCTGTTTCCTACATCCTTCACGTATTCACCAACCCATCACACACACGCACACACACACCTTCCAAAAACTACCCTTACATAGATGAACCCTCCAACATAGTTTAAACTTTCCTGTATTATCTCGCAACTGGTTGTGGGATAGCTTACCAGTGTACTTAAAAAATCCCTTTTTGTTTGTATATGAAAAATATATTTGTCGTTTTACGTTAATCACTACCTCTTTGTTTACAGGGATTTGGTGTAATTTTCTAAACTAGGTTGAAAATTTCCGACCATCGGATGGATGCGGCCGGCTTTTTTTGTGATAAAGTTTTTTTCGGTCCTTTTATGTGTAACTCGGTCGCGTTGAAGCGAAGAGCTTGTGTTTCGTCATTTCTATATCCATGTAAACAAAATGACAAGGCCATTGACGTTTTATGCTTTTCACTAGGAAGGTACTACAGTACCACTTTTCGATACGATATATGGTTCGTATTATTAGTTGTGATTATGTCTACAACAGACTTTATACCATATGATAAGGTGATCTGCTAGTAGACAACAACATTTATATCGATATCGAAAAGATTATTCGATGTGCAATGAAATATCATAGCAAAAAAGCGCACAATACAACCTATATATCGCAAGGCATAGCTTAGTCTACTATCCATGCTTTAATATAGTCATCAATGAAATTGCACTAACCGCTTTTCTTGCTATTCATAGTCCAGGTTACGGTGCTACTAGTTAGCTCATCAACAGATGATTCAAGCACTTACACTAAGCATATGTAACTTATGCATAGGCTGAACGGCAATTTTTTTTACCGCTTCACGTTTTACCATGTAGGTACGGCCGGACCAAAGCGACGAAAGACCGGGTGAATTCAATGGTGGCATATGTCATCAAAGACAGTATTGATTATCTAAGATGGTATACTTGATGATTTCGAAAGCTAAGATATATCTACATCATCACTAATCCGATGACAAGAAGATAGAACGTTCCTGCTACCATTCCATAACTATACCGGGAGCATTCAAAGCCGTCTTGTAGTATTATTCGATTACCTTAGATTATACCAACCTCCAAGTTCATAATGGGATCGTGCTATGTATATCACTCGGCGATTGCAGATCAATCCTTGTAGTTGTCTATAACAACAATGACAAAACTAGTTATAACGCCGAAAAGAGAATGGGCTCTATGATCGGCTCGTTGTGCAGAGAGCAATATCATGGATTAAAGGTAGTGGCTGCCATCCGCAAACACTACATTGCATTGTGCATACATTGTTTCAGCAGAAGAAGCAGGACCTCATCAATCTCTTTGACGGATCTTATGTCCGAGCGAATGTGTCATGTATATTCAAACCTTCAAACAGGTAAGTAGCAATATTATCCAGCCACGCTGCAATGCGGGTACGCGTACCGAGATAAGACGAAAGCACTAAAGTTAAATAAGCGCGCCATTTGTATCACAGAATGCAGATACCCCGACATGGCTTCAATAGACTATTTTAGAAAAGATTTTGGGACAGATGACAATAAGTTCGGGATATACAAAAAAGCAATGCACATAACATTTTTTATTTTTTCAGTTCACTTCACAGAGGAAGATAATCTATGAGAGAGTGAGCGGGAGCGAGAAAAAGAGACTTCTATATTACAATAGCGATGTGTGTGTGTGTGTGTGTGTGTGGAGAAAGCGACATGGGGAAACAAACAGAAAGAAAGGGTTATGCAATTTAAGCGTAGGCCATCTTGTTGGAGACCTTGCCGATGCTGGCAATTTCGACCTCGACAACATCACCGTTGTTCAACCAGAGAGGGTTCTTCATGCCCATGGCAACACCAGCGGGGGTACCGGTCATGATGATGGTGCCCTTCTCCAAAGTGGTGCCCTGGGAGATGAAGGAGACGATTTCAGGGACGTGGAAGAGAAGATCAGAGGTGTTGGTGGACTGACGGACTTCACCGTTGACACGGGTGGTCAAGTCAAGAGCTGGGCGGTCGCCAAGAACCTTCTGGGAGACGATGGCGGGGCCGATGGGGGCGAACTTGTCGAAGCCCTTGCTGAAGCACCACTGGGGAACACCACCAGCGTACTTGGGATCACGCTGCCACTTGCGGCAGGAGACATCGTTGGCGACGGTGTAGCCAGCAACGTACTCGCCGACCTTTTCGATGGGGATATCCTTGCCGGTCTTGCCAATGACGATGGTCTACCAATGCCCACCTTTCGTAAGAAATCACAATACTCTTCTTCCTTCCTTCCTTTTGTTCCTTTCCGCAATACCAGCCAATACATACCAATTCACCTTCGTAGTCAAGGGTCTCGTGGGCAAGCTTGGGGATGGGGATATCTTCGAAAGCATCAGCAAGCGAGTGGCTGGGCTTGATGAAGATGGAGGGGTAGGGAGGAGGAGTACGGCCACCCTCAGCAACTGCAACAGAAAAGAATTTCCCGTTAATGGCATTCTCTCATCTGTTTTTTTTCCCGTTCGAAGCCATATTAATAACAATTAAGACGTGTATACGTACTGTGAGCCTTGTAGTTCAAGCCAACGCACTTGATGATGGGGATCTGGTCCTTGGAGAGAGGGGCCAAAAGGCTGGTGACCTTGACGACCTGGTCGGTGACAACGGCATCATCGGCAAAGACATCACCGGTGACGACCTTGGCTTCCAAAGAACCGGCCTCCAAGAGCTTGTCGACGGTAGCGTCACCAGAGACGATGGGCTCACCAAAGTAGACCTTGCTGTCAGCAGCAACGAAGCGGATCAAACGGTTCCAGACGGGCGACATTATGTGTGTATGTTTGTGATGTAAGGTGATGTGAAGATGAAAAACAAAAAAGAAGAGAACCCAAGAAACGAGACAGCCTTTATATGAATCCTATTTTTTTTTTTCGTTACCCGGAAAGCGGTGCCCGCCCTCAATGGAGAAAACTCCACAAACAACCGCGCCAAATTGCATCAACTTTGTGTTCCACAATATCCCCACAGTGTAGTTGCAGTCAGCGCAACAGTCCGATCCAATAGGATCATTTTCCGCATCTGATTTTGCATGCTAAAACGTTCATCTTTCATCCATCATTGGTTTTAGCCGGTATGACCAAGCTTGTTAATCACAGCCAATCACCGCCCTTTGGGGTGTACAGTGGGAATTCTCCACCGAGAATGTGGGGACGCTTCAAAGAGTCCCGCACAAATCTTAGTGCCTGCGCAAAGAAACCAATACTGCTGCTCCCTTGCTGAAATCGCGCCATAGATCAACACTGTTTCAACAGACAGACCAAATGGCGGAAGAAAAACTTAATAATCTACCCGAGCCTGTTCCACTCGACAGACGATTTTTGCCTCAACAACAACAGCAACAACGTTCGCAACAGCCGCCATTACCAACGCCCACCTCCACAGAATATATGTCACCAAATTCACCTGCTCGCACCGGTCCGCCACAGCAGCAGCAGCAGCAACAGCAACAGCAACAACTACTACTCTCACAGCCACCTCCACCTGCAACAACACAGCAATTACAACAACCGGGCGATAGCAGTAATAGCAAGAACGCTCGACCGGCAAAACGCCAAAAGGTTTCTTTGGCTTGTCAGGAATGTCGAGATCGGAAGATCAAGTGCGATGGTATTCGGCCAGTATGTGGGCCATGTGTAAAGAAGAAACGACCTGAAGGCTCTTGTGTCTACGAGCCAGAGCGTGGTCGACGAGGTGTAAAGAGCCAGTATGTATTTCTTCAAAAGCCCCCCTTTCCCCCTTTCATGAAGGCACACTAGTTTTTCTGTTTGTTGTATCGTAAGAGTTTATTAATGACACTTTGGAAACAATGGCCAGGTATGTTCAATTGTTGGAAAATAAGGTTCGAGAATTGGAAAATGCCATGCGATATGATCAAGGCAGTCCCGGTGGAAGCCATGGTCGATCTCCTTCTGTTACATCTATCGATAGACCCCCTGACATTGCCCCTCGAGTAAGTAGTTGACAGTATTGCTAAACTCTTTCGTATTGCCAAGCAAAAACACTGATGACATGTTCCCCTCCCACACTTTTTCCGTTTCCAGAACCCCACACTTTCGATCAACCACTTGACGTCGCCAGGTTCAATCAGCTTCCAGAATTCACCACCACCTGCTCCCGTGTCACAAGCATCGTCTATCCAGACAAGCCTTATCGCACCCAATTCACCCGCATCCGAGTCTATGATTACATCAGACCTTCCTCTTGGGAATCAAGACCTAGGGGCCGGTATGCGTGCACATGCTCCAGAAAGTAACGTCCGAGAACGATGGCCCAACGATCTGTTTCAAGCTACATCTTCGCCACTACAGTCTCAACAACAACCGCAACAGCAGCAGCAACCTTCGAATTCTCAACCACATCGGTTAGCACCACTATTACCACAACCAATACCTACCACTCAGCAGCAGAAGCCACAAGCGCAAGAGCAAGAGCAACAACAGCCACAAGCACAGTCAATGCCACTCCCACCTCTGGCACCCGTGTCTGAAAGAAGTGCTGGACCTGAGGTGGACGCTATGGGTGCATCGACCGGCATTCCTGATGGGCACGAGCACCACCATGGAGGAAATGATAACCGCCAGGGATACTTTGGTTCGTCCAGTGCCATGAGTTTCATGCGTGAAGTGCGAGAAGTGATCGGCAAGAAAACAACCATGTCGCCAGACGATCGTTCGAGGGATAGTCCCTCCAGACGTTTTTCACAAAGTTCTCGATCGTCTCGTAACACCTCTGCGGGTGGGCCACACTCGGTCGATGGCCATGCCATTGCTGCCGCCAACAACAACAGCAACAACAGCAGCAGTAACCAAAACGGCGGCAGTCAGTTACGAAGCTATTCCGTCTGCCACGACTACGTTTTGCCTCCACGGAAAGTCGCTGATAGTCTCGTGCGCAGCTATTGGACATTTGTACATACATTATACCCGTTCCTCCACAAGCCCGCATTTATGAAAACCTACTCGAGACTATGGGGATACCCAGAAGGCGGTAAATGGGTGCACACAAGGAGAAAAAGAAAAATAAAGAGATAGTATACTCACATGTTTAAAATGTATGTTGCCTACTACTACTTTTTAGACAACGATGATCAGGATCAGGAGTCCGAAGCCGATCCTTTGTTCCACTGTATCCTGAATTTAGTATTCGCTCTCGGCTGTCAGCTATCTCCTGAAATTGGCGAAAGCGAACGGGAACCCACCTCAGATATCTTTTTCCAGCGATCCAAGAAGCTGTTACATTTCGATATTCTCGATGAGGGCAATATCATGGTTGTCCAAGCGTTGCTGTTGATGGGCCAGTATCTGCAATGCACCAAAATGCCCGGTCGGTGCTGGATCGTCGTCGGGCTCGCTACCCGTGTAGCTCAAGGACTTGGATTGCATCGTGATGCTCACAGTGTGAACAGCGGTCGACATAAGACTAATGGCAGTGGATGTACCAGACAGCTTGAGCGTGAATTGCGCAAAAGATTATGGGGCGGATGTCTTGTTCTCGATAGGTAAAACAGAGATTTTTACAATGATATCATAGATGTATCAAGACATCCTCACGTATTTGCATTCTGTTTAGAATGATATCTATGGCCTATGGTCGTCCTTTCATGATTCCGGTTACTCAAAATCTCATATTACCACAAGCCATCGACGATGAGCTTCTTACCTCAAATTCTGATCCTCCCGCTGCACAGCCTGAAAACAAGCCGAGCCAGATGGCATTTTTCGTCCATACGCTTCAATTGTATGAAATTATGGGCGATATCCTCACCACGCTGTACTCTACAGGTACAAGACGGCTAGAGAATGAGTTGACTGCAGTTTCCGGTATGTGCATCTCAGCTGATAAAGAAGCGAGGGAAAGGAGAAGAGAAGCACTTACCTTTTCAAATATATCTTTGAAATGATTTTAGACGAGCAACAACGAACGTCGAACCTTAGCTCCATTATACGCCTTGAAATGGCGCTGAACGCGTGGGAGAAGGCCCTCCCTTGGTTTCTGCGACTTGGCACATATACCCAAGATTCAGCCAACAGTCCGCGAAACCGACGTGACATGACTGACAATATCCTGTTACGGCAAAACAATGTTCTACGAGCACGGTATGCTATATCAGTGATGGTTTAGCATCTTCTTTTTCTGTTGCCGTTGTCTTTTCAAACTAATATGTTGTTGTGTGTGTCTTCACAGATACCTCCATACCTGCATCTTGCTTTATCGCCCAGTTTTCGCTCATTTCTTTGCATTGGAAGAGTCCAGCCATCCAGTCACGCAGGACACAGGACTCCAGCGGTCTGTCTTTGTGCAAAGTTCAACCACATGTGTCACCTCTGCTCAAGAATTGGTCGAGATGATCCATCGCAATATCAGGGAATTGTTGCCTGCATGGTGGTATAACATGTTTTGTAAGTCAGATCGGAAATGGCTGGGATCTTATTACGATGTGCTAATGCTATACAAAATACAGATCTATATACCTCAGCGACTGTGTTACTCATGGCACGCCTATTTCCAAAAATCAAACAAGCGATCGGTGAAGACTATCTGATAGAAAGCTGGGGGAAATGCCTGAACTGTTTATCTGAATATCAATCATACAGCGACTCGGCCAAATGGTGTTATGAATCTTTGAGCGAGCTGGATAAAATGGCGTTCCAAAGCAACGATGGTAAAAAAACGGATTTTTTTATATCCACTTGTTTTTTGGAAAGCCTTGTGTGCTATAGTTAATATACTGATATCTCCGAGTAATGTTGATGGTTATAGAGCAGCCAAACAACGGCATGTCAAGTATCCAGATCTTGGGCACTTTACCTGGTTACACATCCAATATTGGCGTGGCGTCTGAACAAGCAGACAACGAAACCACGGGTGCTGGAGGAGGAGGAGGCAACAACGGTGGAGGAGTAACGTCTGTATTGAACCCGAACTTTTCCACGTCCTTTGCAGACAATAATCCTGGGGCCGATTGGGAGCTGGATCTTCAGGACATGTCGTGGTTAGGTCGTCTTCCAGTGTATACTGATCTTGAACCTGGACTCCAATTCAATCAATGGCTGGGACGCATTGATACCGATGTAAATAACTTGTAGAATAGAAATGACAGTAATAATAATAATGATCAAAGAAGGAAAAAAAAGGAAGACGGGTAGTGTAGAGTCAAGCCTGGCAAAAAAAAAAAAATCACGCAACACGAGCACTGTCACTCGTTTGTTCCGAGAAAGACACCTCCTTTGTTCCGTCGGGCTGGGTATCAATAGCCGGTCTGAGATATCCCGGAATCTGTTGCCGTGGCTCATGAATTTGTGCTTGCCGCACCGTTTGCCGTACTGCCTGCGTGTATGTAAAAACGAGATCAGTGTAACAATTTTTTTTAGATATCCCGAATTCATTCGGTTTTGACGCTGCTGTTAATGACGAGGAGACCCGGTATATATTTGTGTGCATCAAAAAAGGTTGTTTGTTAGCCAAACAAACAGAATGGATAAGTACATATTCACCTTGAATTCACAAGGATATGGTTATTTAATCCAGATCAAATTATCACAAAAGGGCTAGGTCATTGCAGATATACACCTTCAGCACTTGTGCACTGAGAAAACGAGCGCAGAAATATCATCAAGAGATATGTGCTGCAGCAGCGCGTTGTTTAGCAAACTCATCTACTGCACTGCAAAACAACAGGAGTAAATAGCTGTATTCAACAGTTCTATATTGGGCTACCATATGGTGCAATAATTTGAGTGATGATTTACCATGTGTAAGTAGAACGATCCGGGCATCACAGCCACTCTCACATTGTACCGGGACTTTAGCTTGATGAAAATGTGGTCACGTGAGATTATTTTATTGTTTTGCAAAGTGCTCTTTATTCCTCTTGAGCTGCAGATCACAGACACCTGCAGTTGAGACATACTGCCTAAGCTCTAGCAAAACACCACCATTGATGACAACGGATACGTATTGATGACTCGTTGCAAGGTAACATCATTTGCTAATACTTTCCGAAGGATCACAGACCGAATGAAAGCCAGGGGTGGCATGGCAAAATAAGAGGAAACACTCTATCCTATCTCGGTTCGAAACGGAAAAGACTTGATCAACTTGTTTCTTTACGGAGTTAGCTCAAGGTGGGCGGGGAGATTGCATAATCTCAGCATTTCTTCGCTGGCGTGCTTCAAAGAACCTCGGAAGAACTTCCAGCCAATCGGATGAACTGTTTATGGGTTGGAAAGGGCCAAGGCTATGGAAATCCCCATTCTTTAAACCCAAAGTGCGGGGGAGCGTCCAGTTGACCTTTCTCTTTCTTTCCCACTGTCAATACTACTCACCACACATAATGTCAGAATCACATAACGGATCTTGTCTTTGCGGTGCCATCAAGATTAAGCTCAATGGCGCACCTGTCAAGGTCATGACCTGCCACTGCGTCGACTGCCAAAAGTCCGCAGGCGCTCCATACCAATCCAACGCCATCTTCAACACCTCCAACGTTGAGGTCGAGGACCCCAAGGGATATGCCAAGATGTACCTTGTTCCCAAGGAGCAGACCGGTAGTGGTGTTGAGAAGCAAAAGTGGTTCTGCAGCAACTGCGGCAGCCCTCTGTTCAACCGCCCCATGAAGTACGAAGGTCAAAAGTCGGTTGTCAAGACCGGTATCTTGGACGCTCCTGCTGGTTTCGAGGGCTCTCCACTGGATCAGCTCAAGCCCGTTTCTGAACTCTATACCAAGGACCGTGCTTCGTTTGTCAAGCCCCTTGATGGTGCCAAGCAGTTTGCGGCCGCTGCTCAATAAGAATTGATGATTAGAGAGCCTTCCTATTTGATTGTATAGAAAAAGACAATTCCTTTTATATTTGTATATACTTTGTTTTCAGTAAATTAAAACCAGCGCGGAACAGAAGAGAATATGGAGAAGAAAAAATCAAGAAGGATACTTTGGATGGAAACCATCAGTGTGGTGCGTAGAGTGGAGATGGTCTTGTTCATGCTTTTTGTCCTGAGTTGAGCTTGGGGGGGGTGTGGAGGGGAGTGGACTCATACTTTTCATCATGCAACTCATGTCCATACTCATTCAAGGGCGTGCTGGTTTTTTTGTGGCGTAAGTTGCGTCTTCACACTACCAATACATCGTTCGATGAGCGAGCAGTATAATAGCTTTGCTCTATTGTGAAGAAGTGTGTATGTATAACGGTTAAAAAGAATCGGGTCATAGCGGGCACTGTTATTTATGGCCACTATGTTAGGCATGATCATGTGTCTGACCTTAGTCTTTATTTCTCGGGAAAAAATCATCCTCACGTGCTTCAGAACAAGCTAAAAATCCACTGATGATGAATGTTAGAAATAAAGTACTTTTTGTCCTGTTACTTGGACGTCAATAGACTGAGAAGCACCGCGATTGTCAAATTCGATGATGATAAAAGATTAAACGGATGGTCTGTGTGTGAAAAATCGAGGGTACGGATAATGGACACGAAAACGCGTGCTTCGCGAACTTTTTCCTATTTTAATCACTCTTTTGCAACGCGTCATTTTATCTCTTCACTTCCGGTCCCTGCTCTCTTTCTTTTTTGACTTGTTTCGCCCCCAACCTTGATCCCATGTCGACAGTCTCATTAGACGAAGAAGACACTGGTTTCTCAACTCAAGAGCGTGCGGCCATTGCAAGGCTTACAAGCATGAGCAGGGAGGAGTTTCTTGCAAACTGGAGCCTTGAATCCACACGATCGACAAATCATGGTAACTACCCAATCGTCCCTTTCAAGTTTGACTGGCTGAGGCCCTAGCTTTTTCTTTTATTACATTGTGAATAACTTTTTTCTGTATTCAATCAGCATCACAACCGGGATCACTTGCTTCAGATCGTGTGGATATTAGTGACAGCAGCGATAACGACGATTCAGATAGTTCGCTTGAAAACAACTATTTAGAGACTTTGAGAAACCCTGCACCTCCCGCTCAACCTGTCGACGCCAAGAATTCACAATCAATAGCTCAACGAAATACCAGCAATACTGCTACTATCAACAGTGATAACAATGGAAATCAACAGTTACGGGGACAACAGCAAATACAACCACAGCAAAAGCAACATTCTCAATTTCCACGCCGCAGTCTTCGACCTAGGCGTCAAGAACAAATGCAACCGTACACATTCGATCAAAGGCACTACAGTGCCTTGGTGCGGCGACGTGGTTTTGAAGAGCTACTACTACAAGACGATTCGAGTGATATTACTATCAGACACCGGCATCGAAAAACCGCAGAGGATCGATATGAAGATGAAGGCGACAATCAGGAAGTGGATCCGGACGAACAGTTGCCAGTTAAACGGATTACAAAACTTGTACTCCCTATACGACGTCGCAAATCGCTTTCGGCAGAACCAGAGGGTCCCAAAAAACCTGCTGATCTGTCAAAATACACCAAAACACCGTATTTCCCATCATCCACGTCAACTGGTGCACGACTCAACACGACTAGCAACAGCGCCACAACCACTTCTACTACTATTACTAGCAGAGTCAACAATGATATCTGGTCAGCGATTCCCCGTACATCCAAAGTCGTCTACTCGCGCACTCCTAAAAAGAGATCGAAAAAGGAAAAGGGTAAAGGTCTGGCTCAAGAAAGACCGCTTCTTGACGATACTAGCACTCTCTCAACCCAGTCACCATCACCAGCATTTGCAAATGTACATCAGGCAACTCAACTGAACCGGCAAGACTCAGGTCACATTGATGAAGCGTTAAAGGATGTGTTTTCTGAGCTTTTCAGCGGCTCTGAAAACGAACAACACGACGACGATGCGAAAAGTGTCAGCAGCACCATGAGTTTGGATTCCGTTCTAGTTCGTGCAGAGATGGCAATGCGTGCGCAGCAGGAGCAGGAGGAAAACAGTGGAAAGAGCAACAAGCACTTTAACCCATCGTTTGAAGACCTTGAGGGAGAGGAGGAACTGCACATTCCTCGACGAAAACGTGTTCGACGGGATCATTCACTGGATAGTGACAGTGAACAGGAGGATGACCCCTTTGCATTCCCTGTTGATGATCCCATCCCACTCAACAACGGCAACAACAACGACCATTACGGCGTGTTTGATCTACCAGAAGCAGATAATGAACAGGATCCACCCCGATCAACTGCTCCACCGCGCCAACGAATACATCGAGTGCAGCAAGACGATGATTTTATTGTACATGATGGAAGCGAGTATGATCGACCCAAGCGCAAGAAAAGACATACGTTTCGAGGTGTTTTACCATTCAGCTATAAACCTCCCAGTGAAACTGATCGAACAAGACATCTCACCCCACCACAACTCGTTGAAGAAGAGGATAAAGGACTAGGATGTGATTCACCCATTGAAGACGACGATCCATCACCCTCGCAAAATTTTGTTGACAGTCCATTGAGGTCGCCAACACCTTTTGAAGAATTATCAAGTGAACCACGATCCTTTATCTCGTCACCCGTAAGAAAACAACAGCGGACGCTTACCGGGTATGTCCAAAGAGCAGCTCGACCTCGGGAAAAGACATATTCGACCCATAAACGAGGGAAAATTGCGCAAATGCACAAGGAAGCAGTCTCTCGTGCACGCTCGTTGCAGACTTCAACATCAAGAAGATCGGCAACAGCCTCTAATACTCGTGCTCGCTCCACAACTACTTTAAATAACAAATTAGCAAGGTAACATTATATCATTTACAAGAAAAACAAATCACTGAATATATATTGATTATTTTAAATGTGTGTGTGTTCACAAAGTAGATATTCGACATCCTCGTCATCATCTCGTGTAGCAACACAATGCAAACCTCCTACGATCCAACCAAGACGGCCGCGAAAACGGAACCTCAATGGCCAAATATACATCGTGCCCGGTCCAGGCCCATCAAGTCAGATTGAACGCAAGGTTACAGGTTGGCGCTCCAGTATACGGCCGCATTTGTCGATAGAGTGGACCGACGAAGGGGAGATTTGTACCGATGTAGGTGAAGTGTTACATCCAAGTACTACTTCAACAGGAACAGAACCCGTTCGACCCCAACCAGATCGAGCAGAACCACCACAATACAATTATTCCGATATGATAGATGATGACAACACTATCCTCGATTCAACACCACCATCACCACAACCTCATAATGAGAACATACTCCAAGACCATCAAATGGTGTGTGAAGACAGTGAACCGAAGGATCCATTTGCACGGATCCTCCAAAACTATCCGACGCTGTCCATAGATTATGGCATGCCGATGGTAGTGAATGGCAGCGCCCAGTTGCTAGGCACCAGCTATCTCAAACATGGTTATTTGCAACGACTCGTATCTTTACCATTGGACTTCGGTGCTGGTGGCGGCCCAGGACCATCCGCTACAGCTGTCGAACTACTTGGACGACGTGTCCTCTTTACACAAGATGCTGAACAGAACAAACAGTTGATCAAGAGTTTATTTCGTGAGGCTTTCAAGCATATTGGTGCCTTATTTGATAATGCCAATCACGTTGCAATAGCTTCGGTGGCCATGGTCAATCTCCTTTCATTTTTCCAGTTTGTCACCGAGACTATGTGCAGCTGGGTGTGGCGCCTGCCGAGCGGACAACAACGACCCATGACCGAATTTCTAGTAGCTCAGTGTGTACTGCTGTACTCGCGCGTTTGGAGCATGGCTGGTCTTGATGTTGACCATTTTTGGAAATCACGACCACTTGTTACTCACGGACAACAAAAAAATCTATCGCATTCTTATAAGGCGCTACTACTACTGCTGATTTACGCACTGGATTGGACGTCACGGATTGGAACCCCCGAACAGCAAGACGACTGTAAGCATCGTTTAATATGGTTGCTGTACTGGATCGGCCCAACCTATGCGCACCTCGAGCGCAGCACACAACAAGAAGAATCATTTATCGTCGCCCAAGAACCTCTGGTCGCCGAGGCTTGGGTATGCATTTTCCACTTGTACGCGCCAGAGGATATCCATCAGGGTCAGTGTTGGATGACAGTCATGAAATTTTTAGAGCAGCAAGCACAGCAGGACAAGCTGAGTGCGAGACAAGAAATGGAGAGAAAATGGCATTGGTTGCTGGTGCTTAACGCGTTACGATGCGTGGATAAAGGCGGGACGTATACCCGACCTGTAGCAGGGATTGCTACAGTGGAAACCATGTGTGGCAGTGAGCTTGCAAGCGGTCTAGCGACAGCTATTGCGGAAAATGCATCGAACGTTTAGTTTTAGTATAGCCCCATTAAATTGTACACATATATACCCTTAATACTTATTATAATTGTTCTATACTACAGCTGAACCCAGAAGACGAGAAATAAAAAAGTTCTACAAGTCAAAGCCACGAAGGATCAATCAACTATGGACGGTGCCCTGTACCGGCCTATTTGCTTTTCTCCGGCGATTAGCGGAGATCTCTCGAGGTAACACACAATGTTGTATCTCCAGGGACGGATAATATATATGTGTTCCCCAGCAATGTTGAAGGATAAACGCATCTAGCCAAGTCTTATGCTTTAGAAGCTAGTGACATGAACAAGGCCAAGGGAGTCACAGAAGGGAACACTTATCCTGTCTGCCTCTCAGAGAGCTCAACGTCTTTTCCGTTCTTTTTAATACAAAAGCCCTTCTGTCACAATTGGGCGTCGGGTTTTCAATTCCGAATTCGTTTTTGTCGTCGTGGGTGAGTACCTCACAAGTTTTCTTGTGCTCCCCCCAAAGCATACTGGGCCCCAATCGTGGACTCTCTCTTTTTCTATCTCTTTTCTCTACATATATACTACATGTATTTTATTCTTCACTGCTTCTTATAATCATGTCCAAAGCGATTGACACTATTGAAAGAACACTTGAATATGCTCAGTTCATTGACAATTTGCAGAAATTTCATTCTCGCAAAGGGTAATCTTTAGTTCCTTGCTTTCTGCTGATTTGGGAAAGGCCCCGACTTTATATTACTTTATAATATGTTAACCCAACGACAACTGCAATTCATTCCCGCAGAACTACGCTTCAATCCGAACCCATTTTGGGAGGTCAAAAGCTTGACCTATATAAAATCTACAATGCAGTCATGGATGCCGGCGGGTTCGATCAGGTACACGTTTTGCTTACAGCAAATGATCCAAAGTTGTTTGTTTAAGATAGCATTAGCAAAGAATGAGTTGCGTGGCGGGAAAGAGTTGCTACTGCTGGCTTGTTGTTTTATATAATAATTAACTGTGTTAACAGGTGACGAAAAAACGAAGTTGGAAACATATAGGCGACGGGTTCGATTTTCCTAAAACGTGTACCAACAGCGCCTATATTCTGAAAGGCGTATATATTCGCAATCTGGTAAGACCGCTGAACGTTTGAGTAGGTAGAAGTGTAAGTTGTCCTCCTGTGTCTAATCAACTCTTTCGTGAATGTCTACACCTACAGCTGGGATGGGAAGAGGAAACTGTATGGGGCAAGGTATGGGTCCCGCCTGACGAACTTCGAGGTCCAGTAAGTCAAGTTTCTGTACTCAACGAAGTGGGTAGAGAGATTCGTACTTTTTCTTATTTAATATCACAACGTAGAATGCCCATCGTGCGTCCACATTGGCAGGCAAAACTTTCAAGAAAAAATGTACGGGTAACAGCAAGTAGATCTGAGATTCGCGTGAACACGTATTACGAGATGATGACGGCTGATATACTTCAATCATTCTAGCTCAATCACCAAATAACGGCAACCACAGCAGATCGCCGCACTCAGTGGCCATGCGAAATTATACGCCTATCCAACCCGAACCAACAAAAGCGCACTTTGATATGTTTGATCTGAGTCAAACCCTGCCAGATCCACCCGTCGTTTTTCAGATCGACCAACTCGCACTGCGCAACGAGCTGGATCAGTGCACCATATCCGAGTTCCACCACCAGAGCCACCCGCATGAGCACGTTCACATGATTGATGAGCAACGGATGGATTGCATACGAGGTAGAGTACTGCGGGTTTCACAGAATAAATAATTAAAATAAAAGAAACTAAACGCTACCGGTATTGATTGAAAACACACATAGCCAACGATTTCGACGATCAAGTCAAGCAACGGATCCTCTACTCTTTACAATCGGACAACGAATGGGACGTCGAGTGGGCGCTCAACTACGTGGTGACCATCTCGTTTGAACGCCCTGAAGAGCTACGATTGGACAGAACTCCGATGCTGCTAGATCTGCTGTTGAAATGGTCAAAACCCTTCCTCGAGGATGGAAACAATCCAAGCCCGATACTGAAGGTGCTACACATTTTGCGGAATTTTTCCTTTCTTGATTTCAACGCACAGATTCTTGCGGCGGATGTACGGTTAAAATCAATGATCGAACAGGGCCTAAATATGTCCACTTCCAAAAACTTGGACGTTAGTCGCCACTGCATTGATGTGCTCGAACACATCGCTCCTTATATCCAGCTGAACGGACCCTTTGACGAATGCATTGCCTGCCTCAACAACCTGCTGTACATGCAGGAGCGCTACCTCTTGATCGGCACACTGCGTATCCTGACAACGCTTGCCATGAAAGACAGTAATCAAGTGTGCCTCATATCCGTTTCCATGGCCACTGCACCGCGTACTGCGCAATTGCTCGTCATCAACGACGAGGAGCTAGTAGGCACTGTCCTCGAGTACTTGCACCAATACACGGGTGTATCTGCAGACTTTAGGCGCCAGCTCTTGAGCGCTCACTCGGGCGCAGATGTCGGCGTGATTGTGTCATTATTGTCGATCAAGAGCAAATACTTTAGCACCAAGTTGGTCGAGGACGGTACGCCACGCAGCATGTCGCCAGCAAGTACATCAGACAGTGAACCATATGAGCCGCATGGCACTGTTCCATGCGTACCTAATTTGAGTGCATATCAGCAGCTTGATGAACCTTACCGCTGTCTCGGATGGTATGCGTTCTTTTCTGTTTCCAAAAGCAAGCAAAGCCTTTGTTTTGCGTTTATCTAATCTTGACTTCAATGCTACTTTTTACCCTAGGCTCAAGGACAAGTTTCAAGTGACCAATGACAACAGTATGCTATCGTTGGATGACATGTACATGTTATATGATATGCGCTTTGGTCAAGAAAAGGCGTTAAAGATGAAGGACTTTTATACGGTGCTCAAGATTGCTTTCCCGGGTACGCCAGATTCTATGAACGGCAGTGGCCCAATATTGGAAGGGACCTCAGTGCGAGGCATCCAGATAAAGATGAGCATTTTGCAGGATGGTAAGCGTCAGCTTGAAAGGGAGGAAGAAGAAGAAAAGACGATCGGGCAATAAGGATAAGCTTGCTGAGCCCTCTTTCTGTGTATAGGTGCAGAGATGCTCTGTCAATGGACAGACTGCTCCCAAACGTTTGGAGATGAGCTACTATTGCAACGACACGTTATCCGCGATCATGTTGGTATGCACCAGCATGACGTTGCAACAGGAGTTGGGGTAGGAGAAGCAGAGCAAGAAGAAGAAGAAGAAGCAGAAGCAGGAGCAAGAGCAAGAGCGCTGGAGTGCATGTGGACAGACTGCGCAGACTCGATGCAAGAATTCAAGGACAGAGGCGAGATCACAACGCACTTGCGGAGCCATTTTGACGAGGAGCAGCAACAGCAGCAGCGTAACCACAGTAACAATAACTCCTCGGCAGCAATGATGGGGGATACAATGGCAGTAGACCACTCTGACATAAAAGGGATTGCACTAGTGGCTGCACATTTGTTGCGGCAACTCTCCAAGGATCCTGAGAGCCATGACTACTTTATGCCGTACGAGCAGGAGCTCCTGGCCATAGCTAAGAAACGCCCCAAACTGGCACCGCATATACGATACATGTTCTCCAACTTTAGCATTTCCTGATTTCCACCGTCTTCCTCTTCTTCTTGTATGTTCTTGTTCCTTGCTATCATACATGCTACAAAAACCCACTCCTTTTTCCTTCCCTTTTCCTCCAATTCTTTATCTTCGCAACCCGCTCGCTTTCTTTCTGGCCTCGTATTCCCACATAGTATGCTGTTTCTCCCTGCCTCCTAATTTATTTTTCTCAACGAGCTTATTTCCTATGCCTTATTACTTGTAGATACATACACGCTTGATGAAAAATTATCTCTATACGAAATAAAACAAGAAAATAGGAAAAAAAATTACGCCTTAACAATAGCCCAGCTCTGTCGTAGATCCTGTATCGTTTCGGTAAAGACCCATCGACAGCAACAGCAGCAGCAGCAGCTTTATGATCGTTGATTTTCTACTCGTTCCGCCCTGAGGTAATATATCTGCGGAGAAAAAGACAGAGAGCGTGGTGTGCACTACACACTAGAGTGAAGCGAGCTGGGTCTCTCTCGCTCTCGCTCCCTCTTCGTAGCACACTTTACCGAAACAAGTGCAACTGAGCCGACCAAGATCGGGCGTTTAGACATTTGAGGGTGCACAGAGCCAAAAGGTTGAAGAATTACCTCTTACGCCACTACAAACATACTCTCTTTCTCTTCCTTTCTTTTTTTTTTCTTTTTACCCATTTCTGCGATACTACTGCTTTATTGGGGGACTCGACAATATCAATATCAATAATAAAAATATATACAAGAGCAAACCACCACTATACTTGTTTTATATATTCCACCTTTTTATTACCCGCAGGGGCCCTCAGACACACAAGCACCACACATACACACCTCAATGTCCAGGCATCTAGTCGTCAACACCCAGGTAGACCGGCCCATTCCTCGCACTTCGTCCCAATGGCAACCATCTCCGGAGACTAGTGCTGCCATTCAGGAAGAAGATGCCCTGGCACTAAAACAAAAGAACCGCTCGAATACGCTCTACGAAGAAGTCGAAGAAGAAGAAGAAGAGGAAGACGACGACGAGGAAGAAGAAGAGGACGATGACGACGAGGATGAATTGGATGAAGACGATGATTCGACCTTTACCTCGTCACCCAGTATACCCGACGAGAATATTAATTTCGACCTCGTCTACGCGTTACACACATTTGTTGCAACTGTCGAAGGGCAAGCGTCAGTTGTCAAGGGCGACGCTTTGACGCTTTTGGATGATTCCAACTCGTACTGGTGGCTCGTCAGTGTGCTCAAGACATCCGAAGTGGGCTACATCCCTGCAGAAAACATTGAAGTAAGATGAGGCTCTTGTATGTATTGCTGTGTTGTTTGTATAGCAGGTTATTGAAAATGATTCGTACTTTTTCCTTGCCTGGGTTCCAGACCCCATTTGAACGTCTAGCTCGACTCAACAAGCATCGCAATGCAGAGGTACACACTTTTCTCTTTGTTGTATTATGTAGTCCTATTGATAGTGCACATGCTAATGGCTTCCTTCTGGCCTTTCTGTTGTCGTTGCGGTATGCATTACAATAGATGACATCCATGGATCAAGCGGTGCATTATATTCCGAACGAGAATATAAAGAAAAAAGGCGCCGGACAACGCCGAGTCACAATGAACAAAGATCTAAGCGTTCAGGCACAGATCATTTTAACGGGCGACGATGAGGATCATGAAGTCGGCGAAGCATATGAAGAATGGGAGGAGGATATGGCAGATGACGCATCGATACTGACAGAACAAGACATGGACGATGACGACGACAATGATGATGGAGAAGAGGAAGAATATGGTCAGCATGTTTCAAGCAATGCCGTCGGAGTACCTAAGAAGCTGCAGGATCAGAAGCGTAGCGCAGCAGCACAAGCACCGGCTGCAGCTCCCCAGCCATTGCAGAGCGTCAACAATAACAATGACGCTGTGTCATCATCATCATCATCATCAGCAGCAACTACTATCACAACAGGGGCAGCAGCACCAACACCACGCAACAGCGGTGACGATAAGCGCCCACCGAGCAACACATTCTGGCGCTTGTTTTCACGCAACAAAAAGGACAATCCCAAGGCAAACTCGGTTATTCCTGCACGCGTTTCTGAGGATGCTGACAGTAACTCTATCTCGTCCCTTGCTTCATCCATCATTTCCGAAGACAAGACAGCAACTCGAAATGGCCAACATCATTCAAATAGCAACAACGCCACCGGTGGCGGCAATACGAATGGCAAATTAACGGTTCTCCGGGTGTTTGCAGGCAATGTCAATGTTGGCGCCATGTACCATTCAATGCTTGTGGACGCACACACGAGTGCAGAGCAGCTCTTGATCCAAACCATGGAACGATTCCATATTGCACAGATTGAAGATAAAACCGCTGGCCGGTCCTCACGTGCAATTACACCCACCAATGGTAGTGGCGTTGAATATTACTTGACCGTGAAAGCTCACAATGGAGGTAAGAAACGCTTTCTAGTGTAAATGCATATCACACATTCACTGTACTATTGGTTGACAAAAAGAAAAACTTTATACATATATACATTGCACAGACGAAATCACACTGGCTCCTCAAGACAAACCGCTCGCTATTTTCCAGACACTTACTGCACATCTTACGACACCCATGCCATCGTTGACGCATGTTAAACAGCTTAGCCAATCGACTCCTGCACTTGATGCCAATCGTACTAAAGTAGCAGCAGCACGAAAGGGCCGATTTAGCGAAGACTCGATGATTCGTTTCTACCTCCATAAGCGTATCCGCCGCGTGAACGAGCGCGAGGGCCAGGTGTACATCAAAGTGTCACTGTACACCGACACCAAAAAACCGACCAACGGGAATGATAATGCCTTGTTCTCTACCAAGAATTTGCGCAGAAAGAAACCATCAGCTGCAGACGCATCCCGTGAAAGGATCGACAAGCTGATTGCAATATCGGCCAGCATTTCAATTGCAGATCTTACTGCAGTTGCATTGGACAAGTTTCACATTGTTCCGCGTGATAATGAGCACTACCGCTTGGCTGTAGCATCCTCACAACAAAAAGCAGGTAATAATAACATCCGCCATTTCTATCTCTTGTACGCATACTAAATAGGACATTGGGGATCATTTCACATGTAGAAAAACTGTTGAACCCATCCAGCAAACTGATTGAAGTGCTCCATGACGATGATGCGACTCGAGACGCTGGCGAAAAACTGTTTACTTTACGGAAATCGTACAGCCATCATCACCACTCCCAATCACGGTCTGCCTCGCGAGAAAGCCAAAGATCAATAAGCAAAGTATCGCCGGAGAAAACCCGACGACCACAGAGCTATCAAAGAACTCCTTTATCCATTACAATTCGCGACGCCAAGACGGAAGATGCCCTGCGACGACTGGATGCGGCCCTAACAGCACTGTGCCACAGCAAACGTCGAACAGATGCAAAACCAGCCATGGCTGTTGTGCGTAACTTGGAAAGTGGAGTTGACATTCTTTTATCGAACGGCGTCTTAAGCAACAAACCATTGTCGCGGAATCAGATGCAATATACTGTTTCTGTGAATGCAAATGGGCAATTGAACAAGCCCGGGCTGGTGGCTCAAAAGATCATACAACACCCACTTCTTAATGGCAATCGCACGATTAATAGCAGTCTCAAGAATGTCACTGAAGCGGACCTTAACATACTTGTCAAGTGTGGCATGGTGTTTTTGGAAGCACATGACCGTAAGCTGGGACGGAAGCCCGTACCGTCTGCCCTCACAGGAGGAGGAGCAGCAGCAGCATCAGGAGCAGACGCTGCCACAAGTGCTCCCTCACTAGATGTTCCTGAATCTTCGACAGGCAGCCTAGATGATTTAGAAAAGGTAAATAGCGCAGTATACGAGATGGGAAGGGAACAAGTTTTACTCACAAAAAACTTCTTTCTGATCTTAGGAATTCCAACGAATTATCGCTGCCCATGCCTTCTAACTAGTCGCATAACCTCTTCTATTTTTATTACTACTCTTATCATCTCTCTTTCTTCATTTTTCAACCCCCACTTTGTCTTTCTAACACTACTCGCACACTGTCACGCACTCTCACAACCCACGACACTCCAAACCTGTAAAAACATTTGTTCTTCATGCGCGCGATTATAGTAGATGAGCATCCTTCTCCTCGTTGTCCAGCATATATTCATTCCTAGTTAACCTTTCTCTCATTATTTAGTAGCCTCATATAACAATATATATATATATATATATCTACATATATCTGATATCCACCACCCCGCCCTTCAACCTTTCGCAGACAAGCCCACACACATCACTTGTGTTGATTATCTTCCTATCCTCAACTCTTATACAATATGACCCCTCTTTCCTGTTAGTACAATTAGTGTCGTTTGATAATAGAACTATTTCATAATATCAAACGAAAATAGAGGGGGGCAAAAGCGTGGTAAAAAAAAAGAAGAGCGTTTTGTAAAATACCCCTTCATCCCATATAGCTTATTTTGTGTTCGCTTCGGTGCGGTATCCGCAAGTACTGTGCTTTGCGCTCGGCGACAACCGGATCTCGAATTTAATCCCGGAGCGAACCGTCACGTCAAGTTGGGGTGGGGGCGGATTCCCGTGGTTTCCAAGTTACCCCCGAGCCCACCATTTTTTCACTTTTTTTCCAACTTTTTTCCAACGATGCATCGGTTTCTTGCGCGTTCGTCCAAAGCATGCATTGCCGGTAAGCATTAACGTACTCAATACACACGCAAACGAACGTCAAACCAACTTTTAGTTTTATTGAAAACCAGGATTCCATACGTCCGCTTCGCGTGCTGCCATCAGTCGCTTTAATATGCCTGCCATGAGCCCTACCATGACCGAAGGAACGATCCATCAGTGGAAAATCCAGGAAGGCATGTTGCGTTATCCTCCATCCTTTTCATTGTGGAAATGAAAATGTATAACGAAGAAAGAGGAGAGTTGAAAAATATAGACCAAATGGCTAAACGAAAACGGGAAATATGTATTATATAGGTGAGAGCTTTTCCGCTGGCGACGTCTTGCTCGAGTTGGAAACCGACAAGGCCCAGATCGATGTTGAGGCGCCTGAGGACGGTATCCTTGCCAAGATTGTGGTAAGTTGTGAAGGAGAGAAGGCATGCAGGCTTTGGTTATTACTATCAGATCGTATATCTAAGAGAGAACAATGTATATTTCGGAATTTGTTTTAAATGTATAGCTTGGAAATGGCGAAAAAGCGGCAGTGAATACCGCTATTGCATTGCTGGCTGAAGAAGGCGACGACTTGTCCAACGTTGAGATGCCCGCAGAGGAGTCTGGCTCGGCATCGTCGCCACCACCGCCCACGGAAGAGCCCAAGCGTAAGTAATACGAATCATTAGTGTTGCTGCTACTGTTGGCATTAATTTCACACGATTATTGCTGGTATATCCACAAACTCAACGAAATTTCCCAATTATAGAAGAAGCATCCAAACCCGCACCCGCACAGCCATCCACACCCCTGGACCATCACGATCTCGACACAAGCAAGCTAAAGAAGCCATTATCTCCAGCAGTGCTTAGCCTTGTTTTGAAGAATCACATCAAGGACTTGGGTGCCATCAAGGCGTCCGGTCCCGGTGGCCGTATCTTGAAGGGTGACGTACTTGCACATCTTGGACTGATTCCATACAAACCTGCACCCGCACCTAGAACGTCGATTGCCCCACCACGAGAAGAGATTGTATTTGCCAAGGTAAAATAATGTTTTGGAGAAGGGAGGGCCAAAAAGGACATGTTGGTGGAGGCAGGAATTTCCACCAATGCTCACATTTTGGGGGTGAATCACCCACTGTTAGCCCGCCAAGCCTGTAGTCAAAGAAGAGAAGCCATTGCCTCCCAACTTTATCAGCAAGCAGGTTGCCGTGGACGATTTGTTTGCTTTGCGCACTACACTAAACTGTAAGTGATGATTCCGGACGGGAATTAGTGCTTTAGAAGACACCAGCAATTGACTAATGATATCTCTCTGTGTGTGCTTGTAGCACAAAACCGCACCAATGTCAGTGTGAACGACTTTATTGCAAAGGCCGCCTCGCGAGCATTGCAGGATGTCGTTGCCAAAGCACCCAAATCCACCAGCGGAGTCGTTTGCAAGACCGATGCTGCCACATTCTCTGAATCATACAAGGGCGGATCCTTCAAGTAAGCTTTCTTCATAGGATATAACCCTCTTGGTGGAGAATATGGCGTCATTTACAATTAAGTTTCTGCTTTTGATTAGGGTCTTCCACTTGGCGCCACCCACCTACGACTTCATCAACGACTCATACGAACCCTCAAAGCCCTACATGCTGAACGTCAGCTCTAGCAAATCCATGTCTTCCGGCAAATCAGCACAATCCAGCGACGATGAAATGCTCGAACTGATTGGATTCCTTGGCGGCGAAAAGCCAGCACAGGAGGCACCTCGTGCAGTACGATTGACAGGTGGTGACGCTCGAATTGATTTCAGCAATCAGCCCAAGGCGCTGGCGCAGCAAGTAGAGTTGAAGCTGCAAGGCGGTGCACCAGGCAAGATTTTGAATGATCAAAATGCCACCGTTTTCCTTGACCGTGTAGAATATTACGTTAGAAACCCCAGTGAATTGACTGTTTGAAAGGAAAAAAAACTAAATAAGCCGACCTTCCGCTCTCAGTTCCCTTGCCATCATCCACCACACATTATATACTTTTAATAAAAAGACACAACAAGCACACACTTCAGGTTCATATTCTGGCTTGGGACTTTACCCAGCTCGGGATATCACACCCGCCATACATAAATTGACAGGAAGACCATTTTCATCGTGACAACAAAAGAGCAACAAGGCTGACGATACACCTCAAAGAAAATGTTAGATCTGGTATAACACCTTCACCCTCTTCTTGTTGAGCAAACGTAACATATACATAAAGTTTCGGAAATTCAGAGCAACATCCACTCTGAATGCATGGGTCAGTGTGGGCAGCGATTATCATAGAAGCGGCAAGCCTAGCTGCCGGACCTTTGGGTAACAAAAACCAGCACAGCCAAGTCCGCATGACACGCACCATATAAATCCATCTTGAACCATCAAGTGTTTTTGGATTCATATCACGAATTACACCTTTTTTCAAAGTAATTTGCTAGGCTGCTGAGGTCCCGTCTAATGTCCAATCCTGAAAGCTTCTTTTCTAGCACATTATTGTTGGTCTCCTCGTTGTACTAGCACAAAATGTTATGATCAAAGTGCATATCGTGTGATAACGGTATATGTAGGGTCGAATGAAGCCTGCCCTTCCCTGACGCTAGGAATAGGACGGCGCAATCGCAGCAGCAATGCTATCAACACAGCTAAGTCTTGTGATGAGGAAGATTATTTATTCTTCTTACCAACGGCTTTGAGAATTACGTAAAGCGAAAAGCCAGGCTCTTCGAGTTCTTGCTCTAAAATTTCTACCCAATAATAAAGTCAATTAATTTATATGTATTACTGCAAGGATACAAAGAGGACACCGTTTGTTGAAAATAAAGGCGATATATATTTTCAAAGAAACTTTATGTTTATGTCAATGTGCAGCGAGAAAGTGAAATGTATATACAAGGGATTTATACGAACATCATAATGAAAGAGATATGAGGATATGAGGGATAAGATGTACATACTGTGCAGAAGAGATAGCCTCAAGGTCGGTTCGATCTACTAATTGTCTTTCTATTATTTGGGGTCAGCTGGTAAGTATAAGCGGTAAGAATCGGGCATGTTGGTGTCAGCTTGTCAAGAGTGGAAACAAAGAGATTGGTGTTATCAGTAGCGATGTCGATACTTGACTTCACTATTGTCTCGATCTGCCAAGTGGTATTGATCAAGGTGGTCATATAAGAAACCAAGTTTCGTGAATCGTTTGGAATGTCCAGAGGTCCCATTGTTGTCAGCGAATTATATGGCCGGCGGGACAGTTGATGACAAGACATGTCATTTTCAGTCCCTAAAGTTGATTATAATGATAGATGAAAAATGTGAACCATATGTACAAGACAGAATTAACAAATCACCCGCAAATCTGAAGCCACAAGTCATCATACTGTGTAGTTTGGTCGGGCTGCCAGTGGCAAGCTTACATAGCATTTCCCTCATTTTTTGGGCGAACCAATTCGCTTTCGACTAGACCTTTCAAGCTGGCTGATACCTGCACGGCACCTGCTTCAGCATAGACATAATTTGTTGCTGCCATAGACAAAAGGCTTGTCGCGTCTTCCCTGAGGACTTAGGCCCCAAACACATTCCCCGTAAGCGAGCGTTCGGAAATTTGAGCCTTTTGCATTTTTCAGTCCTGCAAGACATTTCAAAAATCCCGCATGATCTAATGTGAGGCGGCGCTCGTCTTTTCGCCTCTACGTTAATGATAGTTTCTAGTTGATGCATATTCAATATTATAGAACTACCTTACCCTCGCACTTTGAAGTTTGACACGTCAAAAACTGATTCCTTGACAAAGCCCCAGACGTGATGCTAGATATCTCTCTCAATGTAAGCCGGTCACTGGCAGATACTTGTAGAAAAATTGATCAAGTGTTCTGGAGATGGTTTTGTGTGCCCAATGGAGCTAAGGATCCTGCAATGGGTGGAACTGCTCGTACTTTGCTACGGCGAAGATACCCTCTAAAGTTACCTGAATATATAAACATATATAAGTCAATGTTTAACACACCAAACTACTTTTGTTAGGAAGCCGTGTAGATACAGTACCAAGCCTTTATATCGGTTGAGATAATCGACTACCTCAGCGGGGATCGTAGGTACAGCGACTGCGGCCTTTTTCTTTTGTAATGGGTTCCATCAACAGCACATCATGAAATGTTTTTGACTGTCAGAATAGTTTGCTTGGTTTAGGCTGCTGTCATTTTGTAATAAAGAAATCTGTCGTTCATCAGAACGTTCTTAGTGAGTTGCAAGAGAGAGAACGGTACATCACTCCACTGACTCAAATCTAAAACATGAACGTAGCGACTTTGAGATTACCGAGTTAACACAGATCAGTACAGCATTACTGCTCTTTTATGGCTCAACCAAGAGTTTTCTTATCACTACATAGTCAGCAGTTTCATTACTTTATTGCTTTATGTATAGCAAATTATTTCGGATACACGTTGTTGTCAATAAAAAATTAGCAGATAGTCTAATTATTGTGCGATCCATATAGTTCTTTGATATTGAACTTGGATTGACTACGTGATAAGTTGTAATAAAGACCCTCTTTCCCAAAACCCACAATCTGTTTCTGCTCGCAACAATTATCGCTATGATATCCTTCATATTTTCGCTAGTATGTAATCTTCAACCGACTGCTTTAATCAACAGATATCCCCATCACTCTTGCAATTTTTCTTTAACAGACCCTGTGTCTGAACGTCAGGAGTTAACCTGACTAAGATTCATCCATTGGTGGGACGTAGAGACATCGCTACTCTTACGATATCCTTTAGACTGCACCACATCAAGAATCGCATCTTCTTTTTTCTCCGATCAAGACAACGATATGTCTCAGGCAGCTGATGAATTGAATTGTATCAACCAGTAGAGATGGGCAGGCACCTGATCCGAGACAAGAGGGACCGATAGCTTAGATACACGCTTTCCGTGACACTGGGGACTTATAAAAAGCCAGATTATCCAGATAAGCATATCCGCGCGCTCAAAAGAGCTAAGGACCTTTGTCCTGATCGACACTATCGCTCACTTTCCACTTTTACAATGTTCTAAAGAAACAAAACATTCTGATAGTATGTCTTTTGTCAATGTATGTGATTCATTCGACCACTTTAATATACATATAATAAACAAGATGAACGTATCGTGTAAAAACAAGGCAACATCAAGCACGCGTATGAAAATCCAAGATGGTAATTTATTGTTTATAAAAGCCTTCAGAAGACTTTGAAATTTCAAAGAGCATCAAGTTATAAACATTTATTTTTTGACGACGTGGAAGCATTAAGTATCAAGCGCCTACATTATCAAGGAATAGTCAATCACTTCTGATTTCACAATGAGGAACATGTTAGCCCACACTACCCCGCACCCCATCCACTACTCGGCACACACGCTTACTTTAACGACACGGATTTAATTAGCCCCGCGTTCGCCAGCATGGCGGCCCAGTACACATCAACTTTTCGCTGTCCAGCCAAACGTAACACTTGTCGAAAGGTGCGGTTCCTGCTACTACAAGAAAAAGAGAAAACCACGCAAGCGTAATTTTCGTTTAACTAGCATATCACCCCACTCCATCCACCCTACCCGTTTTCCATGATACCTGCTCTCTTCGTTGATAAGTCCACCAGACGACAGCCCTCGCAGTTAAAGACGCGCCGCTGCTCGGGACCGCGTCATCGTTCAACAAGAAGAGGGTGTAAAAAAAAGGTGAATATAATAAACAAAGATCGCAGAGAGAGTTCCAAACTGAGAGGCAAGCCCTTCCCCAGCGTCCACAAACCCACTTGGGAGTACACAACTACGCGAGTAACTCAAACAGCAGAAGGTTCCCTTGATGGTGTAAGAATGCCCCAGGAGCAGCCAGCCACGGTCAGAGATGCAGGACTAGCCACACTTGGAGCTCTTGGTAATAAGATAAAAAGAAAGGCTTCGCAGCCACTGGTCGCCGGACAAGTAGGGATTCGTCCTCTCTTACTCTGAATACTCGTAGAGGGCATATACTTGGAGCCGGTTACGGTTTAGGACCACTAGGCATGCTCATGTCAGCCCGCCATGCACAGCAGATCCAAAGGCGGCCAACCCTCAAACCCGCACGCTCGCTGCACACTTTGGGCAGTCTGCTGACATGAGATGCCTAAAAGAAAAAGTAAAAGGGAGCGAACAAGTGATCCCAAGCAGCATCGCGTGCCTGCAATCATGGAAAAGAAAGAAAAAAAATAATTATTGAGAACATGTTATCAGAATTTACAGAAATTAAGATTGAAGAGAAAGCAACCATTCAAAAGTGTTCTGCGTCTCTTACCTAACGTTTTTTAACGTTGATCAGGGGCAGTTTGAGTCGTACCCCAGACTTTCGGAAGGCTCTTGTGTGAAGCAAAGCTCAATGGCAATGTTTCGAGCAAACCGGGCTTCTATTGCAAAAAAAAGCCAGTTATAAATGCTTGAAAACGAAAGTAAATGCCATAATGATTAACGTTTGTTTCTATTTCAAAAGTGCTAACAAGTGCTAAAGCTACGAAATCTCTTTATACATACTTGTTGTCGTTTTGCGGGCTACAACTGTTGATTGCTGTTTTGTACACTTTGTGAGATGTTGATTTGGTGCAGAGCAAGCACTTTTTTGCAGGTGAAGGTGCAGAGCACACACTGGAAAATACGCGCTAAAAAAACACGTCACAGAAATTCAGCCCCGCAGTAACGTCATCTAATCTCTTATGATATTGCTACTGTGCATCTTTCATCAAAAGAGCTATAGAGAAAGAAGTTTTCGAACTTAAAGAAGTTGCCTGTCATTGTCTTGGGTGTCGTTTCCAAGCAGTGCATGAATGTTTCACAACTGCAAGGCAGCTCCGCTTACTTTTGTGGCAGATGTAGTACCTGAACTGTCGCCGCAGAAATCAGCGACAAAAACAGAAGCAAGGAAAAAAGGATCTACAGGTGTTCCGTGCCAGAAAGTTGATATACTAACCCAAATCAACGCTACGCTTTTGAATACGCTTTTTTGAAATGGATGCAAAATACAGGAGTTGCATAAGCGCTAGTTCTAACACCAAGTAGAAGCAAACACCTAATAAACGCAAAAGGAACGCAGTATAAATAACCTTATCCCCTGTCTCAATTCAATTTAACATGTTCCTTCAATCTGTTTTGAGCATATATATCCGCCAAGACCGTTGTCTTTGTTTGCAAAGTCTTACAAGAACACAACTTATGAAAGTATAATATATCTCATCCATTTCTTGCTTGGTGAAATAATTATATTGTTGAGCCACACTGGGTGATTGCTACCCAGTATAGATGAATGCTCAGGGCTATATATATATATGAATATGTGAGCTCATTAATTGTACCGTTATTTCGACGAGAAAATGAACTGCGAATCACATAGTGTTCGGCTGTACATCTCAGCGCAAACTCCACTACTTTTCCAGTGCTCAATTTCCGCATTGTAATCTTATTTTGGCTATCGTATATGTTGCGAATAGCTGCTAGATCCACTGGCAGCGATGTTTTCGTTGTCGGACTGCTTGTTCTATGGCATCCAATCCGGCAGCACTGGTTGTATTCACAACTGAGCTAATGGATGGCTTTAAAAGCTATTTTTTATGAGGAACAATCTATTCAAACTAATTTGTTGTATTTTATCCAATAGTGATAAATAATAACGTTTCCTTAGTTTTAAAAAAGTTGTTTCTAAGCATACACTTGCTGTGATCAGGCACGTTTGTTCTCCTGGAATTGTCAACTAAGTTACATACGCAAGATTAAGCGTCCCAAAGAACATGTGTACTTGCTGGCGGACGGTAGATCCTGATTTTTGATTCGCTATTAAGATAGCATCAGGCTACTACACATTATGTTGCCCTCTAATAGAATAGCACTCCCTTGGTATTTGCAACTTATATGTTAATGACGATGAATAAAAAGTCTTTTATATATTTTAAAAATATGTAACTTGTTTTCCGTGTGCTATGGTATTAAAGATGATATATACATAAGTCGATTGAGATAGAAAGTTTAAAAACTGTACTACGTAAGAGTATAATTAATGATATTATATGTGCCGGGGAGATCAAATGACAAAACGTGATCCTATTAACTTCTTTATAGCAGATCCTGTAGATCCCACTAATTGCTTTCCAGAAGAATATATACTTGACGAAAAAAATGCTAATATATAATAAACGACGAGGATCAGCCATAATTTAGCAAAGCGAACATCACAGTTTGTAGCAACCCCACCGATGACAAAAGTGTCATTTAGCTTCATTAGACCTTATCAATCTGTTACACACCTTGAACGGGTTCCATACCAATACTAATGATAGCTTGAGTCCATAAAATGTAGAAAGAAACTTGTTGGCGACATCTGACTCTGATTATTGTCCCGAAACACCAACACTGTTTAGCGGTGGTGGATTATGCAATTGATTCATCATCTTCGTCAATAACCCATGAGCTTTCGCGTTGATTTGACGAGCCATAGTTGATAAAAGTCGGATTGGCGCCTGGATCGAACTTGTAACGATAGTTTTTGTCAAACATTCGTTGTACTATAAAAAAGGCAGTAATGTTTGTTTTCTGTTACTTTCCTTGCGATTGATTGCACAACATAAGGTACAGTTAAACGCAATTTAGTCCTACCATACGGCTTTAATCCTAGTCCGAAATTATGTGTAACCAAACTTCCAAAGACAATAGTAGTCTAAATCAAAAGAGGTTAAGTTCTGATCAAAGCATGCGGTGATATTTGACCTTTCTTTTAAATTAAAAGATCTAACTTACGATGGACAGGATGATTGCCAGGCACACTAAAATATATACGCACACATCAATATATATTGCATATACGTCAGTCAGATGTGTCTTATGCGTCGTACACACTAGAAAAGTGAGTATTCCATTTTTACTTGATTTAACCAAGCTTACCTGCCATAACCCAAAATGCCCAAGATGACGAACTTTGTTGCAGTATAATTATAAAATCAACAGCAAGGAGTCCGTGGACAACCAAAAATGCAACCATGAACCGAGGTTTTTCTGTGACGATGCCATACCGTGCAATAAAGGGAAACGGGATCTGGATGATGGTGAGAATAAAATGTAGCACGTACCAGGTGATAGCAGCGGCACTACCACGGTGGTATCCCTCTTGCGTCATGACAACGATCCAAAATATAGAGAAAACAACATGGAAAAAGCCGTCCAGCTTGAGATTGAGCAAAAACACTTGGCATTGGCGAAATCGTGCTATTTGTTCAAGACCACCCAAAAGTTAGCTGGAGTCTTTATCGCAGCAGACCACATGAAAAAGAAGCTTTAATATCTAGCTAATATTTGGTTACCTTGAAGTCTTGGATCGGCTCCTAATCGTTTGTAGACATTCCATCCAAACTGTGCATTTAAGAAGCTTGATGTTAGTAAACACACATGGTCAAAAAGGATAAAAATAGCTGTAATACCTGACGTAATAGCTTGACGCATAAAAAGGTAAAAATGACGGTCAAAACGGCCATCAATGCGGCTAAAGCTATCTCAAACCGAAGTGCCTTGCCGAAAGCACTACGGTCCGTTGTTTGGCCTGTTGTTTCGTCCACGGAATCCACACTGCCGTTCCTGTTCATTTCCATAATTAGCATCAACTCCGAGCTTTACCATATCCGAGCTTTTACTATGTTGACAGATCGAAAAAGACCATTTACCATTTCAGTGTCTCGCTCAGTTGGACGAGCGCCAAGATCACACAGATGAGCTGGTTAGCAGCATGCGCCATCAATTGAATGATACTCTGCCGCACAATCTACATGTAATTCAAGGAGGAAAGGGGGAAAGGATTTAGAGAATATGTACGTGCGCCGCCGTCGCCGCCATCCATATCATCACCACCGCGCAGATCAAAACACATACAACAATACAAACACTTACAGCGTCAATACCAAGGTAAAACTGAAATACATGAAATAGAACGAAAAAGACGTTTTCATCCTTGAGTCGCTTTAAACTGATCAAAACAGACATGTAGCTGTTGCCAGATTCGTCCGGACGACTTAATGGTGAATTGGGCCCTAAACCATCGTCGCCGATAGACCGCCAAACACTCCGAGTAGCGTCTTCATGAGCAACTGCAATGAATGCTTCGAGTATGATTCCAAGAACAGTTGAAATGGCAATGGCGGTTGTATAGACGATCGTTTCTCTTGAGACTTTTACACGCGCCCACTAGGTAGAGTAGTTGTTTAAGTCGGAATAAATGAACCGACCTATTCGGTTGCTGGATTTTTCTCTCGCTCTTTCTTTTTCTCCCCCTTTTTATTGGTTTACCGATAGTTGAAGGATACGGAAAGCAAAGCTTGGTGTTTTATTATTGTCGGACAGCAGTTGTTCTTGGGGCCGTGATTGTGTTTCTTGACGTTTCGCCATTCAAAACAAGGTAAAGTAAGTGAGCACAACAAAAAAGAGAGGGCGTCCACAATTGGGGACAGCACAGCCAAGACTTTTTTCCCTCACCCTAATGACGACGAGTACATACAGAAATTAAAGGGGGAAGGGTTGAAGTTGCATCCGGAAGGGACGCCAAACCTTATATAGTAAAGCCATGCTTTTCTTGTATAGTGTGGTTTAATATGGGCTAATGTGGCACTGTGGCACTGCTCTAATATAACGGACCCGCCATAATGTAAAAAGCTGGAGCGGCAGAAGACGATGAAACAAATCATGCAGAATGATGATGATGATGATGATGACGACGAGGCAGCGTACTCAACCCTTTCTCTTTCTCTTTCTCTCTTTATCAAAACAGTCCAGGAGATCGTCGACAATGGCAACAAAACAAACAACAATAAGAGCACAACATTGTGTTTTATATGCACGATTGCTCTTTTTTTGATAGATCCATTATAGCAGCTTTCTAGTATAGGCAACGCCGAATCTAAAATAATGCTGCCCTGTTTCTCTGCTGCATGTAGCCTCGATAGAGATGTACGCCAGGGAAAAATGATGGTTGATGCTCATTATTCCGCAAGAGAGTCATCGGATAAGCTTAGGTACCCAGGCAAGCGTCTTCCGTTCGTCTGCTGAGCTGTTTATTTTGTTCTGCGTTAAGCGTCACAAGATCAAATAGTAGCGATAACCCCCTTGCTCGCCTTGTTATTTCTTTGTTGCTAAAGTACTTGCCATACTGCTACTACTATCTACTACCGCTATCGCTATGCTGCTAGCGTGAGCGCCTAGATGTTTCGAATGTTACCACTCCGCCTTGTTCTTGCTACGTGCACTAGGTAGTTCTTATTGATATGAAACAGCAAAATAAAACAATTCATTCTCAGAGGTCAAAACGCTGTAACAGTCGTGCAGGAAAAAAGAAGAGAGTGAGAGAGTGGAGTGGAGTGGGTAGTGTCAAGACAACTCGGCGTAGCACCAGCTGAACCCCGTTTTATACTTTTCTTTCTTTCCCTTCTCTCTTTCCTTCTTTCTTTCTTTATCTCAAAGGGCAAATTGCATACTACTTCAATCGGTCGTACCATTGCATGAAGAGCACCAGTAGCGTACTTTTTCTTCATCTGCCCTTATAGTTTGCCTTTAGCTTTTAATATTGTCATCCTCCTCCTCCTCCTCCCCCACCCATCCGCCACCTTTTCATCTGTTTCATACGACCGCCTTTCCCTTACTTACGTATCTCGCACATATACACCTCATATACAGCACGCATACAATCCAATACTTCATTAATTACGTGTTGTCACTCGCTCCCTGTTCCTATTTTAAACCTATCCTTTATTGCGATTCCCGTTCTTTCTAGCCACAACCTGAGTGGTTATGAAACGCTCATTAGACGACAATCATTCACACGACTCCAAGAAATTCTGTTCACCGACAGAGAGATCCCCTCAGCAGCAACAACAACAGCAATCTAATTCCGTCACCATGAGCGCCACCGTATTAGATTACGTGCGCGACATCATTCAGGATCTCGACCAACGTCATCTTGATCACTGCCTCAGCAAACAGCTTACTCGTGATACCCTAGGCAACTTGCAACCGGCTGATGCCGAGCTAGCCAGCACGTTGGATGCTGCATTGAAAAGAATAGCCCAGTATCAGCTGATGCTAGAAACAGATAACCTTAGATACCGCATCGCGATACAACAGCAGTATCAGCTGCTGACGGGTGCTCAAGGCGATGATGACAAGAACGCATCTGCAGTATCAAAAAACAATTTGAACAACACCACCCGTAACAATAACGATCAACAGCAATCACCGACGCCTACTACCACAACTACATCAAAACCCGCTACGACTAAATCCGATCAGGAACCAGATCATGCCGATAATAACAACACGACCGCTGCTACTGCTACTACGAAGAAAGTTGCCATGACACCCGAAGATGGCATTTCCACCATCAGAGACTCGTCGTTGCTTGAGAAAATGCAACCCCACAACCGAAGCCCCATGCTCTCTATGCCAACTGCCACTACGCCTACCGGCTATTTTTGTAAATATTTCAAAAATATTTTCTGTAACAACGTTTTGCCAAGGGAGAGGAGGAGTGAGAAAAGACCGCGGGATGTTTTTATTAATAAGAGAATTCCTGTTGTTGCTGTTGTTGTTGTTTTTGTGTGTATAAACACATTACGAACATGACCGTGTGTTGCTGTTGTTGTTGTAGCTGTCACGACCCACTCTGCCTCCGGAACGCCTCCTGCTGGTGCCTCACTGACACCATCGCCCTCCATGACACCGCCCTTTGGAATTGCCGCCTCAACCTCAAACGCATATCCTGTGTTTTTTGGAACACTCTCGTCGCCTCCGCTCATGTCTTTCCCAGCTGCTACCGTTCAAACAAGCGCCGATAACATTGTCTGTCCCGACTGCGTTGTGCAGGCTGTCAAAGTTGCCTCCAATGTCTTTGCCGGCAAATTGGACCAGCGTATCACCTGCAACCACGAACGCTGTGTCTCTGGCCCTGTTCACCCGTCATCGCCCATCAACATGCTCAAGGAGGCTGTCAACGCCATGACCGACCGTCTGCAGCGCCTAGCAGATGAGGCCATGTACGTCTCGCACGAAACTGCCGTCAAAGGAAAACTCGGAGTTCAAGCACGCTGCGACCGCGAAATGAAAGGCGTCTGGCGTGATTTTATCCTCAATCTCAACAGCATGACCCGTAGCCATCTCGAACAAGTCCGTGATATTGCTGATGTCTCCACCGCCATTGCCCGCGGTGATCTCAGCAAAGCCATGACTGTGCCTGTCAAGGGTGAGACGCTTTTATTGAAAAACACATTTAATACTATGGGTAAGTATAAAAAAGCTGCCAGTGAAGCTGAAGAGAAAAAGTTTATTTTAGCTTCGTAACACTAACTTTTCTTAACTTCCAAAAAAAGTCAACCAACTTAATCTTTTTGCATCCGAAGTGTCTCGTGTGGCACACGACGTCGGTACCGAAGGTCGCTTAGGCGCTCAAGCAACCGTTGCTGGCGCTGATGGCATCTGGAAAGAGCTCACGGACAATGTCAACACGATGGCAGCCAATCTTACGAACCAGGTGCGGGACATTGCACAGGTCTCGAAATCTGTCGCACGTGGTGACTTGACCGAGAAAGTTACGGTTGAAGTCAAGGGCGAAATGCTGGATTTGAAAAACACAATTAATACCATGGTCGACCAGGTATGGCAACTCTTCTGCTTGCTCAACAAAAAAAAAAAGTGCCGCAAACACGTGTGTGCTTAATATGAGGGCGGTTGTTTAATAATCGCCGTCATTTCTCTGTCCCTTTGCATGTATGCATTACACATTACAGTTATCTACCTTTGCAACTGAGGTTACGCGTGTGTCACTTGAAGTGGGCACAGATGGCAAACTGGGTGGTCAAGCCATCGTCAAGGATGTGGCTGGTACCTGGAAGGACTTGACAGACAATGTCAACATGATGGCCTTTAAGATCACCGGCCAGGTGCGTGATATTGCCGCAGTCGCCAAGGCCGTAGCAAAGGGTGACTTGAGCAAAAAAGTTACTGCGAATGCCCAAGGAGAAGTGCTCGAACTCAAGGACACAATGAATAAAATGGTTGACCAACTGACTCTGTTTTCGGCTGAAGTCAGGCGTGTGTCGCTCGAAGTCGGCGTCGAGGGTAAGCTTGGCGGACAAGCTGTCGTCAAGGATGTGGGCGGTGCTTGGAAAGATCTGACAGATAATGTGAATACCATGGCTGCCAATCTGACCACCCAAGTGCGATCCATTGCTGGAGTGACCAAGGCCGTTGCGATGGGCGACTTGAGCAAAAAGATTGAAGTGCAAGCACACGGTGAGATCCTGGACTTGAAAAACACCGTGAACGACATGGTGGACCAGCTTAGCGTCTTTTCGACTGAAGTGACGCGTGTTGCACGCGAAGTCGGCACCGATGGTAAACTCGGCGGCCAAGCACATGTACCCAATGTGGGTGGTACCTGGAAGGATTTGACCGATAATGTCAATACTATGACAACCAACCTGACTACACACGTACGAAGTATTGCCGTGGTTACCAAAGCTGTTGCCAACGGCGATCTCAGCAAAAAGGTCATGGTCAACGTCAGCGGCGAAATCTCTGATCTCAAGGACACTGTTAACAACATGGTGGATCAATTGCGTGTGTTTGCATCAGAAGTAACGCGTGTGGCCCGTGAAGTCGGCACTGAAGGCAAACTCGGCGGTGAGGCTATCGTTCCAAGCGTCAGCGGCACATGGAAAGATCTGACCGACAACGTCAATGTGATGGCCGCCAACTTGACAACCCAAGTACGATCCATTGCCCAGGTAACAAAAGCCGTTGCCAAGGGCGATTTGTCGAAAAAGATTGACGTCGAAACACGGGGTGAAATTTTGGATCTTAAAAACACGGTCAATAGTATGGTGGATCAACTGAACGTATTTGCTGCCGAAGTCACACGTGTCGCCAAGGAAGTGGGCACGGATGGCAAATTAGGTGGCCAGGCCATGGTGCCCAATGTCGACGGAACTTGGATGGACCTCACTGATAATGTCAATCAGATGGCCACCAACTTGACAACCCAGGTGCGGTCCATTGCCGAAGTCACCAAGTCAGTGGCAAACGGCGATCTTAGCAAGAAAATTGAAGTCGCGAGTGGCGGCGAGATCCTAGAGCTAAAAAATATTGTCAACAACATGGTGGACCAACTTCGTATATTTGCATCCGAGGTCACGCGTGTCTCTAAGGAAGTCGGCACAGAAGGAAAGCTGGGCGGTCAAGCCGTTGTGCAAGGTGTGGCTGGTACATGGCATGAGCTCACGGCTAACGTCAACATCATGGCAGCCAACCTGACGAACCAAGTACGGTCCATCGCTGAAGTGACTAAAGCCGTGGCATTGGGTGATTTGAGCAAGAAGATTGAAGTCGAAAGTGGCGGCGAGGTGCTCGAACTCAAGAATATTGTCAATAACATGGTCGACCAGCTGCGTATATTCGCCTCTGAGGTAACGCGTGTATCTAAAGAGGTCGGCACTGAAGGCAAGCTTGGTGGTCAGGCTGTTGTTCAAGGCGTAGCCGGCACTTGGCATGAACTTACAGACAACGTCAATATCATGGCTGCCAACCTCACGAACCAAGTGCGATCGATTGCCGAAGTGACCAAGGCCGTAGCGTTGGGTGATCTCAGCAAGAAAATCGACGTTGAGAGTGGAGGGGAGATTCTTGAACTCAAGGATATCGTCAACAACATGGTTGATCAACTGCGTATTTTCGCATCCGAGGTTACGCGTGTCTCCAAGGAAGTAGGCACGGATGGCAAATTGGGTGGCCAGGCCATGGTGCCCAATGTCGACGGTACATGGATGGAACTGACGAACAATGTCAATATCATGGCTGCCAATCTTACGAATCAAGTACGCTCCATTGCCGAGGTGACCAAGGCTGTCGCTTTAGGTGATCTTAGTAAAAAAATTGAGGTCGAAAGTGGTGGAGAAATACTGGAGCTCAAGAACATTGTCAACAACATGGTCGACCAGTTACGAATTTTTGCATCCGAGGTGACGCGTGTCTCCAAAGAGGTCGGCACAGAGGGAAAACTAGGCGGCCAAGCGGTTGTACAAGGCGTTGCAGGAACATGGAATGAACTCACGGACAATGTAAATATCATGGCGGCCAATTTAACCACCCAGGTACGATCCATCGCAGAAGTTACCAAAGCTGTCGCCAGCGGTGATCTCAGCAAAAAGATCGAAGTCGAAACTCGAGGCGAGATCTTGGACTTGAAGAACATTGTGAACGACATGGTGGATCAGTTACGTGTCTTTGCATCTGAAGTTACACGTGTTGCGCGCGAGGTCGGCACCGAAGGCAAGCTCGGCGGTCAAGCTGTAGTGTATGGCGTGGCTGGCACCTGGATGGACTTGACGGTCAATGTGAATACCATGGCAGCCAATTTGACGACCCAAGTGCGATCGATTGCTCAAGTCACCAAAGCAGTTGCTCGCGGCGACTTGTCAGAAAAAATTGATGTTGAAACTCGAGGCGAGATCTTGGACCTTAAAAACACAGTGAACAACATGGTGGACCAATTGCGCGTTTTTGCTTCTGAAGTCACGCGTGTATCCAAAGAAGTCGGCACTGAAGGCAAACTTGGTGGGCAAGCTGTGGTACAAGGTGTCGCAGGCACATGGAAGGACTTGACAGATAATGTCAACTTGATGGCAAGTAATTTGACAACACAAGTACGGTCCATTGCCCAGGTCACGAAAGCTGTCGCGTTGGGTGATCTCAGCAAGAAAATTGACGTTGAGAGTGGAGGAGAGATTCTTGAGCTCAAGGATATCGTCAACAATATGGTGGATCAACTGCGTATTTTCGCATCTGAGGTCACGCGTGTCTCGAAGGAAGTAGGCACGGATGGCAAACTAGGGGGCCAAGCAGTGGTACAAGGTGTAGCCGGCACTTGGTACGAACTCACAAATAACGTCAACATCATGGCCGCAAATCTTACAAATCAAGTACGGTCCATTGCTGAAGTGACCAAGGCTGTTGCTCTAGGTGACTTGAGTAAAAAGATTGAAGTTGAGAGTGGTGGAGAAATCCTGGAGCTCAAGAATATCGTCAACAACATGGTCGACCAGTTACGAATTTTTGCATCCGAAGTCACGCGTGTCTCTAAGGAAGTCGGCACGGATGGCAAATTGGGTGGCCAGGCCAGGGTGCCCAATGTTGACGGTACATGGATGGAACTGACGAACAATGTCAATATCATGGCTGCCAATCTTACGAATCAAGTACGGTCTATTGCCGAGGTGACCAAGGCCGTAGCGTTGGGTGACCTGAGCAAGAAGATCGAGGTGGAAAGTGGCGGTGAGATTTTGGAACTCAAAGACATCGTCAACAACATGGTGGACCAACTCCGTATTTTTGCATCCGAGGTCACGCGTGTCTCCAAAGAAGTCGGCACAGAAGGAAAGTTAGGAGGCCAAGCTGTCGTGCAAGGCGTGGCTGGTACTTGGTACGAACTGACGAACAATGTAAACATCATGGCCGCAAATCTTACCAATCAAGTACGGTCTATTGCCGAGGTGACCAAGGCCGTAGCGTTGGGTGATCTTAGCAAAAAGATTGAAGTCGAAAGTGGTGGCGAGATCCTGGAGCTCAAAAACATTGTCAATAACATGGTCGACCAACTACGTATATTTGCGTCAGAAGTAACGCGAGTGTCCAAAGAAGTCGGTACTGAAGGCAGGCTCGGCGGACAAGCTATTGTCCAAGGTGTTGCTGGTACATGGAACGAACTGACAGATAATGTCAATATCATGGCTGCCAATCTGACAAACCAAGTGCGGTCCATTGCCGAGGTGACCAAAGCTGTGGCAAACGGCGACTTGAGCAAGAAGATCCATGTTGAAGCACGCGGTGAAATTCTAGATCTCAAGAACACTGTCAATGACATGGTGGATCAACTCAGCGTATTCTCAACCGAAGTAACGCGAGTGGCCAGAGAAGTCGGTACTGAAGGCAAATTGGGCGGTCAAGCCATTGTGCAAGGTGTCGCTGGCACATGGAAGGATCTGACGGACAATGTCAACATGATGGCCGGTAATCTAACAACTCAGGTGCGATCTATTGCTGCAGTTACTACGGCTGTTGCTAAGGGCGATTTGTCACGCAAAATCGTTGTAGAAGTACAAGGTGAAATCTTGGAGCTTAAGTAGGTTACTATGTTTTGTTTTGTGTGTGAAGGAGGTCGATCCACGTGTATGAAATGGATTACTAAGAACATTATCACGTCCAAATAGAGATACTGTGAACTCCATGGTAGATCAACTGCGAGTCTTTGCTGCAGAAGTTACGCGTGTCGCTAGAGAAGTCGGTACAGAAGGCATGTTGGGTGGACAAGCAGCGATCATAGGCGTCGACGGCACTTGGAAAGATTTGACCGATAACGTCAACTTGATGGCCAGCAACTTGACGGATCAGCTTCGTGCCATCGCTGCAGTCTGTAAAGCCGTCGCTCAAGGTGACTTGTCCAAAAAAATTGAGGTCGAAGTGCACGGTGAAATTGCCGAGCTCAAGAACACAATCAACACCATGGTGGATCAGCTTAACTCGTTCGCGTTTGAAGTGACGCGTGTGGCACGCGAAGTCGGCACAGAAGGCAACCTTGGTGTCGAAGCACGTGTCAAGGGTGTCGGTGGTGTATGGCTCGAAATCACCAGCAATGTCAACACAATGGCCTCCAACTTGACCACGCAAGTACGCGCGTTTGCCCAGATTTCCGCAGCTGCTGCTGAGAACGACTTTTCACGGATGATCACGGTTGAAGCACAAGGTGAAATGGACGCACTCAAGACCAAGATTAACCAGATGGTAACCTCGTTGCGCGACGCGATTCGCAAGAACGGCCAAGCCAGAGAAGCGGCCGAATTGGCCAACCGCTCCAAAAGTGAGTTCCTGGCCAATATGAGCCACGAAATCCGTACGCCCATGAACGGTATCATTGGCATGACAGGCTTGACGCTGGAAACCGAGCTGACGCGACAACAGCGTGAAAATCTCATGATCGTGTCAAGTTTGGCAAACACGCTGCTCACCATTATTGACGCGATTCTCGATATCTCCAAAATTGAAGCGGGTCGAATGACGGTAGAAACGATTCCGTTCTCACTCCGGTCGGCTATATTTAGCGTGCTCAAGACTTTGGCAGTCAAGGCTAACCAAAAGAAGCTGGATCTGATTAACAACGTGGACAAGGCTATCCCTGACCAGCTTATCGGCGATCCGCTCCGCCTTCGCCAAGTAATTACCAATCTCATCGGTAATGCCGTCAAATTTACGACAGAGGGTGAGGTGGCACTCGAGACCAAAGTGGTGGAAATGGAGGGCGATTACGTAAAGCTTCAATTATGCGTTAGTGACACGGGTATTGGTATACACGAGGACAAGTTGCACATTATTTTCGATACGTTCTGCCAAGCAGACGGCAGTACCACGTAAGTTTAAGTGTCACTAAAGTTGATGAACTTAAACCTGTATTGGCAAAAGAATGAATCTAATTGAAACTGATGTATAGGCGAGAATATGGTGGCACTGGCCTCGGCTTATCTATTTCCAAACATCTGGTGGAACTTATGGGCGGCGATCTATGGGTGGAATCCATGTATGGCCGAGGCTCACAATTCTACTTTACCATCAAGCTGCGTCGCATAGGTGTGAGTGACAAGGAAGCGATAGGCAAAATGGCGCGGTACCAAGGACGACGCATTCTCTACGTAGACAGCATGAAAGACAACACGGGTGTGATTCGAAAGATCGAGCAGCTCGGATTGACGGCTTTCCGTGTCGGTAGCATCGAGGAAGCCACTGAACTTGCCAACAAGTATTCAAACCGAAGCAAGGTCGCGCCATTCTTTGACACGGTTGTTATCGACAAGATGACTCAAGCAGAAAAGGTCCGCGAAATCATGCCGTTACGTTATACCCCCCTTGTCCTCATTGCTCCCGAAATCCACATGCTCAACATGAAGCTGTGCATCGACCTTGGCATTACAGCATACATTAATTCACCACGCAACCTTGCAGAGCTTATGGATGCACTATCACCAGCGCTCGAAAGTCATGCCGCGTTACCGAGCGACTCTGGCAAAATCCAACCTCTCCAGATCCTCATTGCCGAAGATAATGTGGTCAACCAAAAGCTCGCCCTGCGTATTCTGCAAAAGTTTGGCCACGATGTCAAGATTGTATCAAATGGCAAACTTGCGGTCGAGGCATTCGAGAGCCAGCGGTTCGATATGATCTTCATGGACGTGCAGATGCCTGTTATGGGTGGATTTGAAGCGACACAAAGTATACGACGTATCGAAAGCGAATCTGGTACCGATGCGCGTATCCCAATTATTGCCTTGACGGCACACGCCATGATTGGTGATAGAGAGAAATGTCTGGATGCGGGAATGGTACGATCATAAAAAAAATAGTACAGCGATACACGTCCATCTCATTTTCTACTGTGCTAATTATCTATTTTCTCTGCTTTCGTTTATTTTCAGGATGAATATGTCACCAAACCATTGCGCATGCCCGAGTTGATAGCAGCAATCAAAAAATTTGCACCGTATTCTGCACATGTCATTACAGATTCACCTCACCAGCAGCAATAATAATAAAACAAAACCTAAAATAAAACCTGCTGGGTCTGGTCACCGAGCAGATGTGTACATATACTATACTATAATCAAAGTCAGTGTGTGTGTGTGTGTGTGTAAGCGTGTGTAAAACGCCCAAAATATACCTAATACCGTACAATCGGTAACGCGACATTTTCATGCATGCAGTCCATCGTGGCCAGTGCTTGCCCCTCATAACCAATGGGGTTGTTTTTATGCAATAATGTCAACGGATGCAGACAAATATTTAATTCTTCAATATAGTGTACATGTAAACAAAGATGCTGCAAGTCAAATCTACCGCGTCACGGTGCATCTGGGATCTGGGTAACTAAGTGTAATTTAAGGTGTGCAAACCAAAGACAAAAGACGGACATCGTTGCTAAAATATCAACTGAGAGTTTTCTGCGCATTATCGCACATTACATACTAGTGGTGCCCCATCATATCGCACCACTCATTTTGCTGTAAGCATTATGTGCAGATTGCATATTGGATGTTCTTAATAGCAGTCTTAGTATTAGTCGTGTATTAACATGTGCCTCCTCCTTTACTTTGTCTTTCTTGTTGCTGGGAGCTATTTAGTAGCAAAAGTGCTTCACCTTCTCCTGATCTGAATATCAATATGCATTGTGCTGCTGTTGGCATGAGATATGCTTCCAATAGCGTCCTTCTGTCTGTGCATATATGATACACAGTTCAGTTTTGTGCTGCTATCATATACTATCATATACTACGTAGCAATTATTAAATCAAATTGATCGCTGTCAATATATATTGTGATGATATTTATATATTTCCATTTATGCTGCTGTTTTACACTTCAATAATGATTTGAACTATAGATAACTTTCACATTCCATTTGTATATTGTATTATCCCTGCTACCAGGAGTTGTCTACATACAGTAATGTCAGGAGTAATAAAACCAGAAGGAAACAATTATACATATGTACTGATGAACTAAGTCCCCGCTTTTTCCTTTGTGAGAAAACAGATTTGAACTAAAGCAAAAACGCACGGCTGCATCCTGTCGCATGGACGCTGTGTTAATCTCATGTTACTTATCAGCGTAATAGGAGCAATGCGTGCTCGATAAAAGAGAGAAGCAGATAATTGTACATCCTGGCGCATGAACCAAATTAACGCTGTGGACTGGTATGTGTATGTATGTTTCTAATGTACATATCTTAAAATCGTAAGTGTAGCAGAAGAGTCTATTACTCGTGGAGGATGTAGTACGCTGTACGCAGCACGCGGTGTACTTGTTGCCAGTAAAGTGGCAACAAGCTCAACAACAGGAGAGCACAAAACTGTGCCACTCACTAAAGTGGCTAATATAATAATTTCACAAAAGGGTAGGATGGCCGAAAGTCAGTGTAAACAGAATATGGCTGGAGAAAGCGACAGGAACTTCTATTTGAAACGGCCCCGTTCGGCTCAAAAAACACCGTCTCCGATTCCAGGCTATTTAAATTACCTCCACCGTAAGTACTACGCTTTTCTTGATATGAGAAAAAGTGGCGTCGGAAGAAGCGTTACTGTTGTTGTGCAACGTTTTGCTTATTAAGCTACAAGTGGGCTAGCCGCTCTCAGTGCCCTTTTCATTTCGTATGACAACAAATGATCTGTTAACGTAAGGAACCCTTGTCTCCTTGCTTCTTTCTTCGTTAGCCCTCTCCAGCTCACCAGAAAGAATTCGACGACTAACGTGTACTACATTAAGGGCTTGAAATCCGAATTAGGCAAATGTTCCCACACATTTCCATGTTCTTGAGCTATTCCACAACTGGGGCCCACCAGGTAACGTGGCAATCGGCGTATGCTTTTATTTTTAAAAGCTGTGATGTAACATTGGCGAGTACAGTACCACTTTTTACACGAATATGGGTTATACAAAAAGATACAGGTACAGCATACAGCAATTCTCGTGTGTACCCAATGCCATGTACTTTGCTACTGCTGCTGCTTCAGCTGTGTCGCTCTGTCCATATTATATTAAATGCTGTTAAAGTACATACCATCGATATATTGCATGCATTTTGCATGGTGGTCTGTGGTCTTCGCACGAGTTGGAAGCATCATTGAGATGGTATGCGGAAGCAACACTAGGTGGGAATGATAATGACTAGTGATGCTGCTGCATATTATACATAACGCGAAAGGGTCGAGAGATGAAGCATAGAACAAAAGGAAAATGATGAACAAAATAGTTAATACTATTGCTACGAATAGAAGAAGAAGATAATTTTGGGTGCAAAGACGATCTACATGCTCTAGCACGGAATAGGGAACTGCAGGATAACCCGTTATGCAGGGTGAGATTGCATAGTATTTTTAATTTTAGAAAAGTTGGGGCAAGTTCTCTTGGGTTTCATCGTCCGTACGTAGCATAGAAGGATGGCACCGCCAATTTGTGCTTATTTCTACAACAAGAAGGCAAATGCGAGATGGTGCCAGCTACGTACTATGTTTGTGGCCAATGCGTACGACGTGTCTATGACATATACTAAAGAGAGCGAAAAACTACCACCAACACAACACGATAACAAGTTCTTTGCGGGAGATGTAGATTACATGTGATTAAACAATCCAAGATTCGAAGAATTGTGACACAAGCGCCTATGTTCCGCAAAAAAAGCGGGTGCGGTTCCGCCGCCACGTTGAATATAAGCAAGGCCGACCGGCTGTCTCTCCAAACATGGTAAGACCTCTTTGTTGACCTTGCTTTTTTTTCTTGGGTCAGAGAAACACTTCTCCTCCTCATCTCCCTATGAGTAAACACACCATATGAATTACATATCAAAAGGGAAGGAGAAGAGGCATGCATCCAAAGTTTGTTCTATATGTCCTCCTCCCCTCCTTATTTTTTTCCAATTCCTCAGGGTTTATTTTGCTTTTGCTAAGGACAATGTATATTCTCAGTTAACACAGCTACTACGACAATACCAGCACCAGCATTAGTAATAAATAGAGAGAGAGAGCCAAGTAAATTTTCTTTCGGGCTATACGACGGGCCTGTCGCTAGATCAGGTAAAATCTTAAAAAGCTTAATTTACTTCTGTTTGACGTGATCGTCTCTACATGGTACATACTGCGCTATATACATCTATCCCATCTTTATGCCAAGCGTTACATTAGCCACTGTTGCACTACTGCTGTGGCGTCCTTACACCATACCTCTGTTTCTTGCTACCATCTCCCACCCCCCAAGCTATTCAAACCCTCCCCTTCTATACTGGTTTTTTTTGGATGTCCTTCTAAATTGAATTGTCTGGCGCTGCTATATAAAAAGGCGTATCTAGCAATGACATGTTTGGAAAAAAAGAACTCCCCACCTGCTCTATCATCACTTCTTGTTGCTGTGTAGTTTAGTAAAAGCTCAATTCGACTGTTCACCAATCTATATATCATTGCTATTCTATTATTACACATTGTTTACGTTCATGGAGCCATCGTCTTATGGCATCTTGTCTCCAAAGCCTAGCAACTCACGTCAATTATTAATGCGATTGGACGCCGTTGAAAACGAACTTGGATTCCTTTTGGGCGAGTGTGCAACCATCCACGTCATGATCCACTCGAGGCGCAACGTCTTCCGCATAAGTGCCCCGACACAGTCGAGATCTGCCGACATTCAGCGCGAGATCCTCATTGACTACGACGATCTGTTCTTCAAGGTGAAGCAGCTGGAACGCAAACTCGAAAGGCTCGAAACGGAACTCAAGGCTACACAACAGGAACAACAGCTGCAGCAGCAATGGTGGCTCAACTAGGCGACAAATACCTTATGCTCTTCCTCTTATTATCTCTTATTCTTATTTAATAAGCAACATTATCTGTCTTCTTTCTCTCTTTTGCGCTGGCGTTCTTGTAGGGTGTATATATAATATATAGTATAGTTTTAGTATAGCTTAGCAGTATGCATTTCCACCCCCTCTTATATCATGTAACCACTCTTCACCATTTATCGTGTTATTTTATATATATATCATATGTAGATATACTGTTTACTCTCTCTCTCTCTCTCTCTCTCTGTCTCTCTCTCTGTCTCTCTCTCCTGTGTAAATTTTTATGGCAATACAACAATAAGGATCAAGTTAAACAAGCTTCCGAAGCATGCATGTGAATTTGCTGCTGTGGCAATTATTTGCCCCGGTCGTCTCTGCCCATTTTCTGACTCCGTAGGAGAAACAACAACAAGCGCCTTTCTTACTTTACTCCACAAAAAAACAAACCTTCCCCCACTCCCCACTCTCTTCTTTCGCCGTACTGGGCTTGTTTTTTTGAATCAACATGTTGAGACTCTTGCAATCTACCTCGTCCGCGGCAGTACGTATAGCTGATCTAGAGCTGTCTTCTTTTGTGCTTGGAAATGCCTTAGTAACACTTGTAACTAAATTCCTGTTATCTCTATTTTGATAGTCGCGCGCTGCCAGTACGTCGTCATATACTGCTTTCCGTTTTTTCGCATTTGACAGCATCCTACTCTAGAATCATACTAACACGCTATACCTTTAGGCTCCTCAACTGGCCGTATGGCTATCCGTGGTCTTCACCAGTCCAAGCCCGCAATGCAGGTCATGGCCACTAACCCTCTTCGTGCACAGGAAGCCACTGTAAGCGCTGCCATTCCTTTTGAGCAGAGTATGACGCGTACTGTCAAAATATAAATATTCAAAACATGAATTGCTTTTTCCTCTCTGTTATAGGGCTCTATTGCTAGCAAGTACCCCGTGATCGATCACGAATATGACGCTGTTGTTGTGGGGGCTGGTGGTGCTGGTCTCCGTGCAGCTTTCGGTCTTGCCGAAGCTGGTTTCAACACGGCATGTATCACCAAGCTCTTCCCCACGCGTTCCCACACTGTTGCTGCTCAGGTAACGAAAACGAAAGAACATGTGATAGGCAGGAAGAGGGGGAGAAGGGGGAAAAAGGTACACAAGCTCGTGGTGGTGGTGATATGATCAATTAACGTCGTGTTTGTCTAAAATGCATAGGGTGGTATCAACGCAGCTTTGGGCAACATGACCGAGGACGACTGGAGATGGCACATGTACGATACTGTCAAGGGTTCGGATTGGCTTGGTGACCAGGATGCTATTCACTACATGTGTCGTGAGGCTCCTCACACTGTCATTGAATTGGAACACTATGGTGTGCCTTTCTCCCGTACTGAAGAGGGTAAGATCTACCAGCGTGCTTTCGGTGGTCAGAGTTTGAAGTACGGTAAGGGCGGTCAGGCCTACCGTTGCGCCGCCGTCGCTGATCGTACCGGTCACGCCATTCTTCACACCTTGTACGGCCAGTCGTTGCGCCACAACACCAACTACTTTATCGAATACTTTGCCCTGGACTTGATCATGGAAGATGGTGAGTGCAAGGGTGTCGTCGCTCTCAACATGGAAGACGGTACCATCCATCGTTTCCGCTCGCACAAGACCGTCTTGGCCACCGGCGGTTACGGTCGTGCCTACTTCTCGTGTACCTCTGCCCACACCTGTACTGGTGACGGTAACGCCATGGTGGCCCGTGCTGGTCTTCCTCTCCAGGATCTTGAATTCGTACAGTTCCATCCTACTGGTATCTACGGTGCCGGTTGTTTGATCACTGAAGGTTCGCGTGGTGAAGGTGGTATCTTGATCAACTCTGCTGGTGAGCGTTTCATGGAGCGTTATGCCCCTACTGCCAAGGATTTGGCTTCGCGTGATGTCGTCTCGCGTGCCATGACCGTCGAAATCAAGGAAGGCCGTGGTGTTGGTGAGGATAAGGATCACATCTTCTTGCAGTTGCACCACTTGCCTGCTGAAGTCTTGAAGGAGCGTCTGCCGGGTATTTCCGAAACCGCCGCCATTTTTGCTGGTGTTGATGTCACCAAGGAGCCCATCCCTGTGTTGCCTACTGTCCACTACAACATGGGTGGTATCCCTACCCGCTACACTGGTGAGGTTATCAAGGTCAACGAGAAGGGTGAAGATGAGGTTGTCCCTGGCCTCTATGCTGCTGGTGAGGCTGCCTCCGTCTCTGTCCACGGTGCTAACCGTCTCGGTGCCAATTCGCTCTTGGATATCGTTGTCTTTGGCCGTGCTGTTGCCCATCACGTCGCCGAGACCTTGGAGCCCGGCACCCCCTTGAAGCCTTTCGCTGCTGATGCTGGTGCTGACACCATTGCCAACTTGGACAAGTTGAGAAATTCCGACGGTAACAAGACCACTGCTGAGATTCGTTTGGCTATGCAGAAGACCATGCAGGCTGATGCCGCTGTCTTCCGTACCCAGGAGACTTTGGATCAAGGTATGCAATTTTGCTTCGTATATCATTTGCATGGATGTCAGACAGGGCGTTTATCCATGGTACTAACTCTATGGGACTTGGTAATTATAACTACTAGGTGTTGTGAAGATCGACCAGGTCTGGAAGTCGTTCGCCGACGTCAAGGTCACTGACCGTGGCATGATCTGGAACACTGATTTGACCGAGACTCTTGAATTGCAAAATCTGTTGACTTGTGCCTCACAAACCATGCACTCTGCTGCTGTCCGCACTGAATCCCGCGGTGCTCACGCCCGTGATGACACTCCTGACGTAAGACATGTCCCTTTGTTTTTAATTCATACGAGGAGGTCTGTTTAACTAACTTAAATATTGACTTATATTCCTTAGCGTGATGATGAAAACTGGATGAAGCATACCCTCTCATGGCAAGACCAGGAAACCGGTGAAGTTAAGCTTAGCTACCGTGCTGTCGAAGCTAACACCCTCGATGAGAGCGAGTGCAAGCCCGTTCCACCATTCGCTCGTGTTTACTAAACAACATAAAGGCATCGTTCTATAAAAATTTGTTTTTCTTTTCTTTCTTCAACTAAAATATTAAAAAAAGGCACTGCATTGATGTTGCGGCAATTACAAAAACGGCATTTCTTATCTATTGTTACACCAGTGGGCTATACTTTTAGCCTGACAACCGAGATTTTCCATGCATGGACGTGAGTGTGTGGCACAAGATTATTAATGCAATCGCTGGTTTCAAGCAAGTACAATGTTTGAGTATAGATGTAATAAGCTGGTCAAAACGGTGTGTGATAGCCGCTGTATGAAAGAAAAGCTTTAAGGTTCATAAGAGAAGCCTGCGCTGTATAGTTCCCGTTTGTGATTTTTGTTCTCGGACATGTATTATACGTCACTAGGAACTCGACCAGGATGAAGTGCATTATTTTTCAAATTGTTGTGGATCGATCCACCTATGTCAACAGTACATACCAATAGCATAACAGCCGTATACGGATCGTTCTGATATCGATGCACATATGTCATATAACATTGATAGATGCAGTTACTTTTTCTTGCTTTATCTGTTCTTTTTTGATTTATTTCGTATTGTTAATCATGCGCTATATTATGATTCTGAATTATCTTATAGAACCGAGTAGCTGTATGAATAGCGACAACAACATCAGTATGCGCGACACCTATATCTTGCTTTTCTTCCTTAATTTACTTTTTGTTGTACCATTTGTTTTTGTCAAAGCGAAATGTCCAAAGCGTTTTAATGTTGATTTATATACTGCTTCACTGTTTCAATAGTAAAAGAAAAACAGCGTTCCATATCGGTTCTTAACATGGTCTATTTACTCGATATCCAAACACCTACTCATAATGACAACGCGTACGATGAAGAATTATGCATATTTATCTCTTAAATTTTGACACAGCTAAATATCATGCGTGATCTCAGCCATGGTCAAGGCATATTGAGGACGACGTGTATGTAAGTACCTTTGGAATACCTTTAAGAACGAGCTATAAAAATGGTCAAAAGAACTGCGTGTATGTGTCTGAAGAATGTGCCGATCGTTTATACTAACTTCGTTTCTCATTTATTTGACAGGTCTCTGCTCTCTCTCTTCTCCTCCAAGCAAAGCAACAAATTGCATATTTAGGCAAAAGAAAACTTTGGCACTGGCAGAAAGAAATGCGCGAAGGATGATGGAGAGTCCTGGGGATGACGTGTCAAACGTGCGTAGCATGTTCAGCAGGGTGACAAGTAAAGAATCATGACCATGACATGTATAGTATGACAACTTTAATTAATGTTCCTTTTTCTCGTCTTCTTCCCAGAATTTTTTGGTCGTGCCTTCAGTGCTGCTCCCCTCTCCAACGCAACGAAGCGGCAGCGGTTAGTGTATCTGGAAAGGATCTCATGTCTGTGGTTGCGTGTCTGGAAAAATGAAAGATGTTTGCCGGGACGTGTCAAAAGTGTGTATGTCGTGTGCGTAGCTGCTCATGGTTCTTTGTATTTCTATTTGTGGCAGGCTCTGTGGTGGGCTGTTTATCTGATTTTGTATTGGATCTTTTCTTTTTCAAAGGAACAAAAGAAATGTAAGCATAATTGAATCGAATTTGTGTTGGAGGAGGATCCTGGTATGATATCGTGGCAAAAAATAAATAGGTAGCTGCTCTTTGAATAACCCAAGCATTTCTGCCTTCGCTGCTCTACTCGGTACCCGGCTTCCCCACATCTCGTTGTATGACATCCAAAAGACACAAATCGCCGTTAGTTACTTGAAATTTTGGATGAGCCTAATCCTATTAACTAAACCCTAAATAAGCGTGATCCTGGTTTATGTGCGTGGGTAGTGTAAGTACAGCTCCTCATGATGTTCACCCTCGGTATGTCAGTAGTGTACAGACACCTCCACGCTGGTCTTTATGTATTGCCCTGCTATCAACTCACTCCATTGAGTCCACCATGTCATCAGGTCATCCACATGACTAAAACTGCTGCAACAAGAAGCCAATCTGTCAACAACATATATCCGTCTGCCTCAATGGTAGCATGTAAACATGTGCACTTATAATGACAACTTTTTCCTTAGCCTACTTGATCCGTGAAACACCAAGATGAGTCGGCGCAATATGTTTGTGCGCTTGACATACATATTGGGATCACAGAATACTTACAGCTCTCGAGACAAGCACAGGTGGTGTCGATGACCACCTGTGCTGAAAAGCCATGGGAGTGCGTAGACGACCATCTAGCGAGATTGAGATATATAATTCGTTGAAACCGATGAGAAGGCCGCGGTCTATAAGATTGTTTCTTGGTTGTATCATAAGTCTGTATATAAATTTCCCTCTAAGAACAGAAACAAATTTACGTCTCTTGCTATAGACAGGCAATGGCTTACCCAGAATTGGATGACCCGAGCTTTTTACCCATTTCACAGCGTTGGAATTGAACTCTCGCGATATCGTCCCCATTTGGCGTTTTCGCGACGTTTTCAGACGAGATCACTGGTACACGAGGACAAGATATGGCCATGTCCACTGAGGCTTGCCCGTTTGGTGAGCTCCCCCCGCTAGAAGTTGACGACCGTCTTACTAGAAAATTGACAAAAGAATCAATTTGTTACCCCTTATCATCCATCAAAGGAATGATGTATCGTACTTTTGAAGAATACAGACCGCTCAATCGATACTGTCCTGGGTAGCCAATATATTTGAAAATTAGGAAAAGTGCAATACAATTAGCGACGGTAAGATGCTGTACAAACTCATTTTGAACTGAAACAAAGCAAAAAGGCTTTTTAATTCTTTTGAAGAAACTTAGTCATTGATATTATGATTTGTATTTGTATACGTAGTAGCTTTATACGGCAAAACATCGGTAGGTGGTCCGAAGCTTGAGAGCCATCATATCGTACTGTCCGAAGTTTTCGTGGGCCAACTAATTACAGTCATTATTATGTTCCATGCCATATGTGGACGACAAGTAAAAGGTATACCGCGGAAGCTAACTTTATCGTAACTGTATGGACAAGCAGGGTTACGGAGAAAGAGTAATAAAGAAAAGCGTTGCTGTACATATGTCGAACTGCCTCCACCTGAAAACATATCTGGAGCTCCAAAGGCAGCTCAATATCAGGCGATCTCCCAGACCGATGGGTACATCCACGTGGATTTAGGCTTTCATAGAAAGCCATTTGAAACGCTTGTATAACAATTTTACTAATGAGTATGAGCATTACAGTATTCGGTATCAAAAGTTTTGATTTTGGCTGTAGAGTGCATGTCGTGCAGATCTTTTGAGAAACGACAGTTTAAGCATACAAAGCTCGATCAACTTGTTCCAAGTCCAAAAGAGTTTCTGCTGTGCAAGAAACTTTCTGATGTGCCCAGTACTTACGCAACGGGTTTCACAACAATTTGACATTGTATTCCATGGTCTGTGCATTATGCTTGCGTCAAACAGTTGCCTAGATATTATGTTTAGAATCGATCAAGTCATTGCAAAGTAAAAGTAATTACGAATCTAATGTGAGCCATTTGACATTGTTAGCATTGTATAAGAACAGGGACATAGCACGCCAAAACGTGAGTTCTTTCCTAACTGTCAAATGAAGCGGTGAAGACGATTTAACACAGTCAAAAAGAAAATGACTATTGCAGGGTCAAGCAACACGTAAATACCTTCACAAGGAAAGAAATTGTAAATGAGTTTGAGCAGGACATAAAGTAAAAGAGCAGGTTTTTATTCATTGTAATATTAGAGTAAAGAAACATTTTATAAAAGACAAAAGTTATCGTTATGAATATCAATAGTCGAAGGGTACAAATTTTATTTAAAGAACACAATCAGTGGACAATAAAGACAATAATAAGAACGCGATTTTACAAAGTGACCTCAACAAGCAGTTCGCACAACCTGCAGGCTATACAAAAAGCATGAAGAAAGCAAGAAGAAACAGAAGAAGTATGTAAAAGGGGGAGGAAAAGAAAGCCACCAATGCCTCGGCCTGGGAGTCCCAGTCTCCCAATCATTTGGCTGGGTCAATCAACCACAAACCCAGCCATCATGGTACAAACGAGTGGGAACCATGACGTACGCTACGTTTCGAGAGTCAAGTGCAAGCAATCGGTTGTGGATTGCCTGTGAGTGGGGAAGGGGGAAGGGAAGGACGGAAGGAAGATGGAAGGGTAGACGGAAGGGAAGGAAGGGAGGGAAGGACGGAAGGAAGATGGAAGGGAAGAGGAAAGGGAAGGGGTGGGGGTAGGGGAAAGAATTGACTCTCGAAACACCCAAAAAAGAAAAAGAAAAAAAATTGCTGCTGTTGTCGAATGCTGGAGGAGCTGCTTACTGGATACTCGGATGCTGGGAGCCGAACACTGAAGCTGGGAGCTGATTGCCGAGTGTCGATTGCCGAGAGTCGATTGCCGAGAGTCGAATGCCAGAGAGTCGAATGCCGAGAGTCGAATGCCGAGCGTCGATTGTCGAGAGTCGAATGCCGAGAGTCGAATACCAGAGAGTCGAATGCCAGAGAGACGAATGCCAGAGAGACGATCGCCAGACAGTCGATTGCCGAGCGTCGATTGCCGAAAGTCGTTTGCCGAGAGTCGAATGCCAGATAGACGATCGCCAGACAGTCGAGTCCTAGGAGTCGAACGCGATTTACAGTGGCACCTGGCTCCTCATTGCGACCCCCACCATGGCAGACCAGACCAGACCAGCAGACAAGGCATCCAACCGAAAGGACACTACCATATTTCTATGGCGAGAAACCGAAAAGGATTTCTCCGTCCTCTGATCTCGCCTGAAGATCGGTTGTGGCCAACACCGTTGAACGCCAGACTGGACAGCCCAAAGCAGGGACCGGTTGTAGGCAGCCAGAGTCCACGGGAAAAAGGCTGAGACCAGGACCGACAGAGGCAAGACCAGGACCAAGGGAAGAGCCAGGACCAAGGGAAGAGCCAGAGCCAGGGGAAGACCAGAACCAAGGGAAGAACCAGAGCCAAGGGAAGAGCCAAGAGAAGACCAGGAGGAGCCATGGGAGTGAAGGAAAAAGAAAAATGAAGGAAAGAAAGAGTGAAGAGAAAAAACGAAATGGCCTGAAAAATGTGGGCGTATTTATGCTTTTTGGATTGACCCGCCGCTTAGAAAAAACACGTCACGTGACTTGTGATTCGTCATTCAAAAACACGTCACGTGACTTGTAATTCGTCATTCAATCAGCAGGTGGGAAAGTAAAATGGCAGGGAAGATACCATGTGAAGTAGAGGTGTTGAAGAGACACGGTCAAGCTGTCAAGAAGAAGGCGCATGCGGTCTGCGTGTTTTGATAGTCCTACGAAATATGTTTCACCGGCATCATGCAGGGCGTGCCCCGACGGTGTCGCCGCCTGTTTTTGAATAGGAAGATACGTGCACCCGTCGGGCCACAAGGCGCACTGACACGTTCTACAGTGTTTCAGCAACAAGATCCCAGAGAAAAAGTAAATGGCAGGTGCCGGGAATGATTGACATTGTAGAAAATAAAAATTACTGATATTGTAACAAGAAGCTCACATAAATAGAAGCCATATACACAAAGAAATAATGGCGCAGAAGTTGATGACCGTGCAGTACACGTGCTCCAAAGCAAAGTGTATACCAAGGACAAGTGGTGAAGCTCGGTAACGGTAGAATGAGGATGACGTCGAGTGTCTTTGAAGCCCTTCACTTTGCTAACAGCCTTTAACAAATAAACCTGGGTGAGTGCTGGCTGCCTCCCATAGAGCGTTCGCCATCTCTCCCAGAGAGTCTTTGCCATCGCTCCCATAGAGTGTGTGCCATCTCTGGCCATAGAGCTTTTGCCATCTCTGGCCATAGAGCGTTCCACAGGTCCAGGCTAACAATGCGGGGAAAATGGCAGATCTTCTGTATCGTAGCCGACAGTAACACAATCACAACGCGCTTTATCACACATTGACTTTTTTTTCACTTTCTGTGTTCGCCTAAATTGCGAAAATGATTGAAGAAAAAAAATGTTGGGAGGGTATGCACACCAGCAACAGCGGCGCTTAAGGCAAGCTGTTCTAAGCTGAGAGAACCGGTTTAATGGTATGTTTCGCTTGCCACGCCCCTTTCAGCCCCTTGATTAACCGAAAACATCGTTGGCACAACTTTCACTGAACAATAAACCCACATAGAAACATGAGAGAAAAGTACGAGTCCACGTAATACGAACTCATGTGCTCAGAAGCAAGGCTAAGATTGTACATGCTTGACTCTCGTACGAGCGACCGTCTTGCTGATTTTTGTATTTTGTTTTTTTTCCACAAATATCATACATCACCCACACATACGCAGATTAAGTCACACCACGTCTGATTGACTTTGTATCGCTACTGCTGAGAGATATGGTTGCTTTTTTTTGCTCATCATTCTACAATTTCGCTTGCTCGCCAATTCCCTGAAACCATCATCATGGATGCCACGTACAAGACAAACAGACATCGGCTCCCGTTCGTAAATGTCGTCGGTACAGGCAGTGTTGGTTATCCAGACTTGAAAACGTTCTGTATTGCTGGTGGATGGGTGTCTGAAGAAACGAATGTCAGCTACGACTGGTTTGTCAAAAAGCTTGAGGAAGTTGTTTGGCTCGCCAAGTCAAATGGACAGGCTGCTAGATTTACAGCGCCACTTATCGAAGTTCGCCTTCAATGCAATTCGCAAGAAGCTTGTATATCCAAATCCGCTAAGAACCGATAACTGTCGATGTGCAATCGAAGCTCTTTACGGAATTCCTTGCTGCCACATGATACCTTCTAGAGGAAAACTTCCTTTGAGCAATATCGCTAAACGCTGGCATCTCCATCCTGAAAAAAAACAGCTCCTGAAGGTATAGATGATTTAATACCACTCTTACTCGCTATACTAAACTGTGGTAGCTTTATGTAGAGGAAGAAACAATCCACAGAAGCAGCAACATTCTAGCGATTTCGGAATCATATTCTGCTCCCACCATGGAGAATCAAATCGAGGCTGAGCTCACGCGTATCACCACTATGTTGCATCGATTTCCTGACCAAAAGCAACGTTCGACTCTTCTGTGCCATTTGCAAGCCATCAGCGATGATCTTTTTATGGACATCAAGTAACTGGAGCAGCCAAATCTCTACCAATGAAAGGCAAACATAAGCGCAGCTCAAAGCACGATCTTATTGCTTTGGAACACCAACAGAACGAAAGTAACAAGAAAGCCAAAACAAACGTGGGTCGCGAAGCAGCCGATATTTGGAGATTAATAGTATAATTTTTGCTGCAATTGATCTTTTATTGTTATTACACATACAGTACTGGCTAGGTTTACTAAGGGAGGGCAAACATAAAGCTAGAGCTGACATTACTACCACACTACTACCGCCACCGCCACCACAGCAACAACAACTTACAATGCCACCTTTTTGGGCATCCTTTTTGCCCGCTTCTTTACTATCACCTTTTCTGTCCGCTGATCCACCTTTTGTGCAAACCTGGACATGGTCTGCGATGCAATTCCTCGCACTGCTGTGGATCTAGTACACAATCCGAATCCAGATGGAAATTGTGGTTTCCGCTCGTTGGCTGTTGCTTTACTTGGAGATGAAAAACGATATATTGATATAAAAGTTGGAATGCGCGAGTTCTTTACCAAAAATCGCAGCAAAACTATCTATCAGAGTTTCGACACTGAAAGAATGCTAAGTGTTCTTGATCCAAACGCACATCATTGGTTTATTATCCAGAGTGTGCTCAGCTTGCCTCGGATGCTTTCAACACACCTATAGCGTTCTTTGGCACTGAGTTCTCGTTATTTTGCCCCTTACTGAGCACCCCATCCCAAGCAATACGTACAGCTCCCATCGTAATGCAGCTCATTTTCAACTATATAATTTTTATCCAGCTCAGGCCGGGTGCATTGGTTGAATGGCCTGCCTGCTACCCTTATGCTCAAGGTAAAGGCCGCAAAGATGGTGGTGCCAGAATCTGAGGTGATCAATGGTATCCCTTATTCCAAGGCGCATTTGAAAGCATGATCCATGTGGATATTCCCCGTCCAGAAAATTTGGATGCTCATTCTCTTTCATCTGGATCTGAAGCAGAACACTCTGATTCTGAGCCAGTTGGACCTTATCAATTTTAGTAGCAAAATGTCTCTTTTTGCCCGCTCTGTCTTTATTCTCTCTTCTCTTCCGTTACTTTTCTTCCCCTCCCTTTTTTTGATAGTCATCTAATTAATCCGATATACACATGTTTAAACCAATAGATACATTGACCAGGAATTTAATAAGTGAACCAATGAGGCTGCAAAGTACTAGGCCATTCAAATATATGAATAGTCTTATGATACCACTTTCTCTATTTTATTTTCGTTGACAATACCTTCTGTAACTTTACAACAGCTTTATTCTTCAAATCTTCCATTATCACAGCATGAACAGTAGATTGCCAATGTGTGTGTATGCAAAAAAACAGCAACCCCTTGCGCACCTGCTTCGACTCTTTGGTTCCTTGAATATGTCGGACCATCCATATGGTGTCTGTTTAATGTTGGAGTTCATCTCGCCGTCTAGGTAATAGGTAAGGAAAAAAAGAGATACACTCGCATAGTTCGTCAGTTGTACATAATTTTTCAAGTGTAGTAACATTTAATAGAAGTTGCAGTCATCATTTTCATCATCGATATATGCTTCGTCGTTTTCAAATGATTATTAGAAGAAGAAAAAAATGAGAAACGAAGATCACATAGAAGGTGCTCCTCTCCTTCACACATAGTCCGTTACTGCACCAGCGAACATATAAAAAAGCCACCCGCACAACAGCCAATCGCCTTCGAATCACACCACTCTAGTTATAATTTTTTATCATCCAGCACAATGTTGATTTGTCTGTAAGGAAACCGCTGTAATGCTGATAAAGAAGCCAAAGTGCATGAAAATATATACAGGAATCAGGTTTCTTTTGTTGATTTACCATCTTTACATAGTAAATTCGAATATTGTCAGCCCCGATGAAAGCATTGAACGCTTGCATATTTGTTCAAGTCTTGTCAGCTATAAACATTGAAAGCAAAAGAAGTTTCCTTTTGTTCTTTCTAGTTGAAATCGTTGCTAAGACTAGTAGTCTCGTTGCATAAAAATTATGTACCTGTCCATACATGGCCTATTTAAGACCTGTTTTATAAAAAGGAGTCACTGGATGAGTGCCTTGAATGTTCCTGTTGTTGCAAGGAATGATTAAAAGCATGCACTTGATGAATGAAAAAGAGCTCGTAGCAATGAATTTTTCACAACTCCTTTTTTGCATAATAAAGGTTTTTCGGTGAAGAGGGGGGTGCACGAAGGGTGGGGTGCAAATAGACGTGCCCGCAATTTCCCATAGCATCTTTACCCACAACTTTCCCGGTTTGTGAAATACTACTGTGCATGTGCATTGTTTTTTGAATATTAGATCTGCCGTAAATTGACCGTCTATATATCACATATGTATCTTTAAATGAAAGCAAGCAGTCGCAACTCCACCACCACCATCCTCTCGTTGCCCTACATTGTATGAAGCATTGTTTACAGATACCCTGCTCAAGCCCAAAGGATTGGAGCATGTACTGTATCTATTTATTATAGCCTAAATTTTGGAATGAATGAGGCCTTTGAAATTTGAATCACGTTCAAAGAAGGCCTCAAAGAAGCAGCCCGATTGGGACCAGGTCTTCCAAACGCTATTAGATGGCGTTAACAACGGTGATAGCAGCCATGGCAACATAGAATAGACAAGGGCCACCTCTTCTAGCAACAGCAACAACAACAACAGCAGCAAGAGATCCCGCTTCATGAGAGAAAGCTCCAAAAGCGATTCTTACCCGTTGACTGACGAAACCAAGCAGCAGTTTGTGAAGCCTTATGATGACATGGATATGCTTGACTGCCCACAGGGTTATGTGTGCCGGTTGGGCAGCAGTGGATGAATCACAAGAGCTTATTAGGGCTGCTGTAGAAACTGTTGACATGCCTTTTCCCTCCCGTGGTTCGGCAAAGGTTTGTTCCCTGCAGAGCCATATGTTTGATGCTACAGCTTTTTTATCCACTGATTACGGTTAAAATGAAGTATACAGTATGACACAGATTTTAAAACATACTTCAGTAAAACCAAATTATATCTTCTTTATTAAAAGGTGTATAGCTACACTTTTTAAGCATGGAATTTCATATGTTAACAGAGGAGGATTTGAGTTTTTGACTAATTTTTATTCATGGATAGTATTTCGAAAATTATCCATATCATACTGTATACAGTACTTTTATGTATCTACTGTTATCTTCATTTGTCGCGCTTTCTCATATTCCAAAGGGCACATGTCAAATAGTATCGTGTTTTTTAATTTAAACTGAATCCTATGCTACTGCTAGCTACAGACTATTTAAAAGAAAGCATCGAAGCAATAAAGTCACATTTAGGAAAATCAATAGCACCAAGCATCACATCTATAAGTACAGCAGCCACAACCCTCTTATTGCAACCACGTCTTTAACATTTGCAAACAAAAAGCGAAATGAGAGTCAATAGCTCTAAAAAACTTGATCTATTTACACCATGCATTTATGCTTTGCTACTGGGGTTACAAACTTCGGTTAGCATTTCGCCAGACCTGTAAGCAGCGATCAAGTGCTAAAAGATTAGATATGCTACGGCTTTACTAAAATGCAAGATAGAGTATAAAGTCAGTATCCTACTAGTTCATTTTCGTTTAAGATTTCAGTCCAAGAAATATTAGCACGTATATGATTTGGGTCACTGGAGAACACGACAGACCGTCAGAATTGATCGAAAGGAGAAAAGGATAATATGGCCTGAAATTTACCAAGAGAAGAATAAAAGAAAGTCAATTAGCTTTGTGTCGAACGTCAAAAGCATTTCATTCAACACCACATACGTCTCATTGAAAGTTATCTCTTTATAAATTTCATTAACAACTTCTTCGTATGAGCTGATGCTGGCCCTTGCGGTAGTATGAAAACGCTACAAAGCAATAACGAACAAAGGAGCATACCGATTTCCTTCCTTTTTCCCCCCTCTTTGGTGACAATTGACGATTTCATATCTCAAAATATCTCATCAATGCTAGCTAAACCACTCCTTAACCGTAAACATGTGTTAATTTTGTCAAACACTTCTTGAGAACATTAAGAAAGCATGTCTTGAAAGTACAATCATATTGAAAAATGCTTTGTCGTAAATCTTCTTTGGCATCCATGGAGGCAGTAGGATGTAGAAGGTAAAATGTACTATTGTATTACAAGAACCGGTCCTTGAATACCAAAATATCAATCTCACATTATTCCCATGATCCTGCGATCTGTATAATAGTGAGCAGAAGCCCATTTTCACATAGTATTTCATGAGCTTGCGCCATATGCCGCAGATCAGGTAGTACTCGTAACGTACTACTGGGAAAATTTCTTTTTCAATAAGCTAGATCGGTCTACTACACCGAAGAGTAATTAATTTAAAATTCACATCTAGCATACTGGAAATTTTATTCGTGATAGTTTTTTCTCTGACAAAAGTCATGCGGCTTTCTACTATATGGTCTAGTTTACAGCAGCTGCGATAGCTTCGCTTTAAAATCATGATGTTGCATTAACTCTTTCCAGTAAAGGAAAATTATGACCTCTCTTGGTCCGGTTTCCGCCATCATGTGCTGAATAAATAGCCTCGTGGGAACAAACGTTTTACCGTTGTCCGCCCTCTTTTTTTTCTGTCGTTGGATACGGAGAAAATTGTAAGTCAAATACCACAACAAGTGTGTAGACGTATGAGTCTTTAGACAATTAAAGTGGACCAGACAAGCTATCTATTACAGGACCCTCCTTAGAACTAGTACATGATCCAGCCCTTTTGAAACAGTGCTCTTCTTGCTTGTCAACAGCTGCGGCCGGCGCATATTGGATGGAAAATATGATGAAGCTTGCTTTTATACTTAAAGGCATATACAAACAAACAAACAACCGATCATGATGATACTTTTCCGTAATGACCCGTTTGAAATCATGTAAACTTAATATTCTCCCGGCGACTCCACACGCGCGCATGTCATATTTACTAGAACAACAAAGCAAAAGCTGGATAAGGAGCACCATATACAGCATGCTGCTATCTACTCATCAAGCTTAAAGAACCTAATCAAAGAAGCTATAGAAGCAAGAGCTATATCACACATACCTGCTGATATACTTTATTCTGGGTTTACACGATATATATAGTGCTAATAGGTTTAAGTTGACTTCTTTTCCTCCTTGAAGGGTGCTCAGATGCAGATATCCAGATAGTAGTTTTGACTTGATTTGTCAAAACAGGACAGGGTAGCTCTATTCTGTATGCGACTGCATGAAAATGTACCAACAAGTAGTTATAACAAATATGCGCCGACTTCGTACGTGCATGCTCGCATAATGTAGGAACGGAATAAGAGGTTTTGAGTAATTTGTGCTGTCCAATAATTTAGGTTCTTTCTGACGAGCCTTTATCAAGCATCCCAAAATGTAATGCATCTGCTGCACTATGCACGCACAACATGCAAGCAACCGATGACAGGTTGATCCAAGGATTATACGATAAATTCATAGTATGGGTTTTAAAGTAAATATATTATTAACAGTGTATCTTTATACTAGAAAATAGATACTAACTATGATAAATTAGTAGAGAGTGAGAGAATGATTAATGTACATACGCGGATGAGAAAATATTATGTTTAGATAAATGTTTGATAAGGGGATTGCGGAAGAAATGAGGTGAAGAAAAAAGGGTAGCATCGACAACAGGGTATATAGCAACACGTAGTATATCGTAATCATGATGATTGTAAATAATCGTTAATCAGTTCTGGGGATTCTTCAAGCACCACCATCATGCCCTGTAGCATATGAGGACTGTTATGGCAATGCAATAACCAGACGCCAGGATTATCCTAGAGAACAAATACTTTTAGTGACCCAGACCTCTCAACTGATCGTCCACAGTAAACTTACAGCTAGTATCCGTATTTTAGACCATCCGCAACCCACAGGTTCTGTTGCTAATGTCCCATTCACTATGTCATCGTCTGGATCAATGCCTGGATATCCTAATGTGACATCCTTTTGGATGGGATGCGGGTTATTGCGTATATCACTATGCTCAAACTCGTCATATTCTCCTAGCCCATGAGCAATTTCCCAATGCGAGTGGCCATGTGTATGCCATGGATGGCTACGACAAGGTTCGCCCTAACAATGATCATGACAGTGAGTTTAAACAGTGACACAATCAGACAAATATTTTCTTACCGGTATATGGGTGCTCTGCAACACAAAATCGACGATTTCATAGTGATACAACGGATAAGTTGCCAAATAAGGATCGTACCCGTTATGAAAAGTGTTCGCCGACATTATGGGTCGTTGTCGTTTGATTTGAAGGATGTCCATAAGAATTGGCCGCTCAGGCTCAGTATAGGCGATACCATTGATGAACCAGCGTCTTTCGCCTGTAGGAAATATCATATCCGTTGCCCGGAGCTTGATCGTGCGAGATGCAGGTCTGTTGACCACAGGATCCACCCCATACAATGGTTCGAGTTCGGACCAAATCCAATGAGTAGAGTCCGCAAGCGGGAAATAGGGCTTATTAGGCGGTAGTTTGAAAACAGGTGCTTTGTCGTTATTGTTATCGTTACTGATGTGGCTGGTAGTAGTACTAGTAGCGTCATGTTCGCTATTGTATCGCAGGATACCCATACCGTTTGAGCCTCGACTGACGTCTTCAGCCCATCGACGATTCGTGGCCATCGTATAGTCGCCCACGGGCTGGACAGCATGGAGTAGAACAGAAAAGCGCTGGCCAGGAGTGACTTCGAGAAAAGGAACCGAGTACGGCTTCACACGCTCACCATCGACTTCGATAATAGTTAGGTTATGATGTGCAATTCCAAACCCCAGCGTGCGAAAGGTTGAAGCGCCAATGACACGCAGCCGATACGTTTTCCCCCGATCGACCTCCAAGAGTGTGTAACCACCACAGACATCTTTGTTCTGTGGAGAAGGGCGGTCGGTGTTGTACAAGGTTCTGCCATTGATCAAGACGCTCTGTGCCTCGGGAATGAATTCAAATTCTGGACCGAGAAAATACTCTTCAAGCGCTGTGCGACTGGCATGCCACCATTCGCTGAGGCTGATTATGTGCTCTGGATATTTTTCCGACAATTGTTCTTGCTTTGAGTGTATGATGAACGGTCCAAACAGGGTCTGCTCCTGCAGTCCTACGTGGGCATGATAAAAGTACGTTCCTACTTGGTTGACAACGTGGAAATAGTGGGTGAATTCGGCGCCTGGTGGGATGGGCTGCTGTGTCAGGAAAGGCACGCCGTCGGAATGTGCTGAGCTGTATTGACGGATTCCATGAAAGTGGACGGTCACGTCGTTCATTCCTGCGCCTGTTATGTTGGAAGGCGTAGACCGCGGTAGAAAATTGCGCACAGTGACTTGGACGCGCTCACCCTCTTCCACTTCAAGGACAGGCCCAGGCAGTTGGTGGTTGGCGACTAGCGCATAGCCTGCATAATCGGAGCAGTCAGGGTTGATCTGGTCGAGAGTGATGTTCAGATCAAAGCGTTTGAGAGCCGCTGCTAGATCAAGAGCTACTAGCAACAGCAACAATAAGATGGATCGCATCTTTGTCCTCCTCTATAGAGTGTCAACTAATAAAGGTTAATGGAATGAGAAAGAGAGAAAGAAAGAAAGAGAGAGGAGGAGAAAGAAGACGTCTTACATTCATTCAGCGTTCTTCCTACCTTCACATAGTGGTGTCATGTAACGTAAACACCATACGCGTTCAATTGTAAAGACGACAAGGTGAACCTCTTCTGTTTTAAGATTTGTTGTCGCGTCGTTCTCATGTCGCACGGGAACCTAAATATGCAGATTTGACCGTCTGCTTCAGCCCTTTCAACTTTTTTTTTTTGTTGCTTGGCTCTTTTCGTTCTCTCACACACTCTCATTGTTCTCGCTTTCGACTCAATCCTGGGTAAATTAATACGATCTGAAACCTCGCAATTTGCCCAGCGCAGGTTGCTTCCGCTAGCAGTTTGGACTAGCAGGTTGAGAAAACATCCGGACGGTTGGTGAGAGAGAATCTGTGATTTAACGCCACCACGCTAGGTGTGTGGCAAGAAAAAAGCTTTGCTTTGTTATTCAAAGAGGTAAGAACAACAAATAAAAAGACTAAAGGGTCATCGTTTTAGCAAGCGGGCATAAGATTTGCCAAAGTGTAAAGTAAGCACATTTCCATAAATGGTAACGTGGATCATCTTCTGAGGTCATCTCCCCAACATCATTTGTGCCCGCCTGCGACGGTGGGAAAATTGCTTACACATGGCGGGCGGAGAGGAAGCAGCCCCAAGAGCATCAGGTACGGACCAATAGCCCACGACGCCCCCGCATTTCGGAGAAGAAGAGATGGAAAAAGATGCGAGCGGTTACACAGAGAAACTCCACTAAATAGCGCTCTCCTCACAAATATAGAAAACGAATAAACGTCTGAGAGTATATAAAACTGTGTCCTCAAATTTAGCTCTCGGCTCGCCTTCTTCTTTTTCCCCACATCTTCCTTTTTTTTCTATTATATTTTCTGCGGTTTACAAGAAAGAATGTCTCCCGAAAGTCCAATGCCCAGCAACGATGAGCTGGCTACCGCTCTTCTACAACCGTCCTCCCCTGAGGATTACAGCGACAGCAACGACATAGCATCTCCACCATCACAACAACCGTCGCTAGGGCAACAGCAGCCACAGTCACAGCAACCTGTCAAAGTCAGAAAGAAACCTGGCCGCAAACCCAATCCAGCATCACCTGCCCTACGCAAAGCCCAGAACCGTGCTGCACAACGTGCCTTCCGCGAACGTAAAGAGCGCCATCTGCGAGAACTCGAGACGGCCGTCAAGCAGATTCGGGAGCAGCGCGACAAACTGCAGGCCGAGAACGAGCAGTTCAGACAAGACTCGGACATCCTGCGCTCCGAGAACTGGTACCTGAAGGGCATTGTCTTGACGCTCCAGCTCGTCTGCTTCCGCCACAACCTGGTCATCCCATCGCACTCGCCCTACATGAACGAAGAGGCCTTGTCGCTGCTGGCTCAGTCGATTCCAGAACCCATTGCGGCGTATCTGAGCGCCAATGCCAACAACAAGCTTCCCATCCCATCGCGTCTCTTTGACTATTCTCCCAGCAAGCCGCGCGACCGGTATCTTTCACAAGGTTCATTATTCGTCACAAAGGATGGTATTTCTAACCAGGCGCCGACCGAATTTGAGAATTTTCCCAGTGTCACTTCGAATAGCAGCAGCAGCAGTAGCAGGAGCAGCAGCAGCAGCCACACGGACGATTTGGCGTCCGAATTACCAGCCTTATCGCCAGTGTCTGAAGATGAGGTGCCGCTGCCATCGCCTCCAGCGGCGCTTGAAGAACCAATCACATCCAATCTTGCGGCTATTCAGATCTTGCGTCTGCGCCTACGCTTGCAATCCGCCTGTGCACAGATGGACTCGACACCCTTTGCCATTCAACCGACTGTACTACAGGTAAGAGAGCTAAAAAGAGAGAAAAAGGCCATCTTCTTTTCAGAAGAAAAGGAACGGGAAAAAGGCGTATGGGATTGCTAATAAGCTTTTGTCTTGTTATATAGCTCACAATTCCCCACGATCCACGTATTGACCTCATCCCCACGCCTCATATGCGTGACCGCATGATCCTGTTCCGCGACCTCTTTGATCTAGACGACTGTTTCCGCTGCTTGATCGGTAACTCGGTATTCCATGGTGGTGACCCTGCACTGGCATCCAACTGGCAGCTTCCCCCGGAGTTCTTTGACAAGTTCTGGTTCTTGACGATCGATTTCTCGTTGCAGCGCACAACGAATCGATGGAGAAGACTGCAAGGTCTGAAGGAACTGCAGCCGAGCGACGAAAAGCGAGAAATGCCACCTGCCATTGCAGCTGCTCTTGCCAATATGCCACAACTCTCCTCTGCATTGAACTCGTTTCCTCCACCAGCATCGTTGAACAGAAACAGCAGCAACACCCATAGCAACAGCAACAGCCGAAACAACAACAACAACAACCATAACTATGCATCATCACTAGCATCAGACACATCCTCAAGCGGAGAGAGCGACAGCACCATGTTCTTCGCGTCACCAGTACAGCTCACGAATGGATACATGCCCACATCACAGCCACAAGACAAGGACACTGACTTTCTGATGGACACGTCCACTTGTCATCCATGGGACACCATGCTGTCGCCTTCCGAAAACGACTATGGTACGTACTCTCAACGCGATGGATAAAAAAGGAGTGGGGATGTTACGAGAGAGCGGGTTGGAAGCACGAGGCATTGTGTGTGCGTGTGTGTTGTACGAGTATTTGTTTACTGATTCGTAATACCCTTGCTTTTATTACCACGCATATTAGACATGATCATGGACAGTCTTATCGACTCGGATAAATCATAGGTCCCTCATTCCGACCGTCATCTTTTCCCTCCATCCGTCACTCACTCATTCACTTTTTCACTGTACTTTGCATCATTTCAAGGGCTGGGCCCCCCCCCATTTCCCGCTGTAATCATTTAACCTTCTACCTATATTTTTCTTCCGTGTAAATTTTTTTCATCCCCCTTTTCTCTTTGCATTTTTTAAAAACCAAGATATCGAGCATGCTATTCCCAAAAAGAAAAACAGTAGTAGTAGTAGTAGTAGTAATATAATAATAACAAGTATTTTAGAAACACTCGTTTGTATTTCATTACCAAGCATCAGAACATGGTACATTGCGTGTGTATTAAAAGATTATTGAAACAATGAGGTGGGAAAAGAAGGAGATGCGGATAGGTGACAAATGGATCTATATGTGACAGGAGGAAGAAGATAATAGATAATATATTACAGGTGGTGCTTGTTGCTTGTGCGTCAAGAGTTTAAGTGAGTAGGGATTGATGTTATTATACTTGCAGACGACTCAAAAGAGCCTGCTCCTCGGTAAGTTCATGTCTGCTTAAACGTGGTATCCTTCTCTCGGAAATGGCAATGTTGTATGCTTGCAAATAGTCGTGCACAGGTCCTTGCTGCTGCCCGCGATCCCACCCTAGTGCAAATGCACTTCGAATCATCCGTAAGATAAACTCTTCCCTTCGAACCTTGCTCTCCTTGTTGCGCCGATAATCTTCAGCAGCATCCTCAATCGCCTTGCCCAGTGTTGCTGGCTCAAACAGGTACGCATTGTAATTCTCCTTGCTCGTCACGATAGGCGCGTTGGTGTGCTTGTCGCGCGTCACATGAACCTTGTTGCGCGCTCCATCCACAGGTCGATCAATCAAAAATTCCTTTAATCCACCCGCTCCAGTTGATATCACAGGCGAGCCAAACAGCAAGCCCTCGGCAGCCACCAGTCCAAAACTCTCGGTGAGACTAGGCACGAACGCAAAATCGGCCGCAGCACGATAATACACAGACCACTGACGTTGTTGCTGAGCCGTTGACATGACAATGACGTTGTCTGGATACCGTTCCTGAAGCGCCTTGACCCACTCCAAGGGGTAATTGTTCCGCTGTCCAATGATGACAAACTTCATGTTGTGTTTCACAAAATATTGCACTGCCGTCTCAAATATCTCCAAGCCCTTGTTGTACTGGAATCGACCCACGAACAAAACCACAGGTCGATCCAAATCTTCTTTACTGAGCCGATTGCGTCGGATCAGGTATTTTTTAGCCCGGTCCTTGGCCGACATGACATACTCTTTGGTCGTGGGTGCCAGGTGCCATACTGTGCGCTCGTCCGTCAGCGTCTTGGTCTGCTGCTGGATCAGTGCTCGACCAAACTCGGGGAAATCTGACTTGCGCTGGATCAGTCGAGGATGCGTGAACGGATTCAGCGTACCGAAATCGACGCCATTGGTAATGCCAAAGAACCGGCCTCGTTCTGCTTTCCGCAGTATGCTTTGCATGACCAGCTCTTTGAGATAAAAATCGTCGCGTCCTTCTACTATATCTTTTGCCATGGCCCCGCTCACAAACGTCACCACGTCCGCGTAATCTATACCCATACTCGACATGAACACCCGGTTGCCACGCATGTACTTGTTGATCATTTCGTCCGGCTCGTTCATGAACTTTTTCACATTGTTCCATGTATTCGTATACTGCAATTCGTCAAGGTAGTCGTGCATCGTATACATGATCACCGGGGGCCGCGGTCCCAATTGATTGCGTCGCTGGAAGTCTTTGAGATGCTTTGCGATATACGCGTTCGTAGCACCATGGATATGAACCACATCCACGTGGCGAGTAACTCGTGCTGGTGCAAACAACGGTACTTCGTCTGGCGATGCTGCCTGGTGCACCAGGAATTCTGCAACTGCCTTGTCAAAATACTGATCCTTCCATTCCTGTGGTAATCCCGGTGGACAAGAGTAGATATCCAACGTCTTGCGGGCCCGGAAGGCTAGGTTGAACGGCTTGCGATTGCCAGGGCCAATCAGATACACAGGCACCTGTTCTGTCAGCGGTAATTGTTTGGCTTGATCCATTACTGATAGCGTCGAATTCGCTGCGTTGGCTGAAATAGTGGCTGCTGTTTCGGAATCAATAATATGAATCATTCGCCAGACTCTGAATTCCATTGGTATTAAACGGCCGTTTTTGTCGCGGACGTCGATAACGAGATCGATAACCTTTTCGGGACGATGCTTGTTCTTAAGGAACGAGTAGTATGGCATCACAACGGCGGAACGCACCAATCCCGACCGCTGCTGTGCAGAGGCGAGTGCAGTGACAATCATGCCCATGCCGCCCATGGATGCACTGCCGAATTCCTTGGTGACGTGATATACGGTCGTGCCTCGTGTGATTGGCGTTGCAAGCGCGTGTTCTTGCAATGGTTGGTATCGCACGGCGGGGTATTGTCGCAGAGCTGTTGAAAATTATTATGTGCATACGTGATTTCGTGTGTATAATAAAGTATAATCGTATGTAATAAAGCGTATTGGCGTGTGTGTGGGTGAGTACAAGACAGAAGCATGAGAAGGGTGTCTAATGTTCCACAAAATCTTTTTTACCTATGCGGATCGGTGGAGGTTGTCTGTGTAGTAAAGCGCCGCCCACGAACACCGCTGCCAGCTGTATCAGCCCTAGGGCCAGGATAAGCAGACATAGTACGTTCCACCACCGCCACCGTCGGCAGTAGCGTGCAAAGAAATTGTGAATGCGTCCACTATTGCTGCCCTTTTCGTTGTATGAAAGTGGTAGTCGATGGTTGGAGAAATGTCGTCGCTGCCATGCTGGAGTTGATTTCGTGGTATAGGTTGCTGTAGCTGAAGAAGGGGCGAAAGGACCCGCCCCTCCTGAACCGGAGCGACGGTACGTAGGTGCGGTCATGTTGAAGGTTTTGGCGTCGACGTTATTTGGCGGCGGAGGCGCCATTGTTATGTATTTAATTTAAATAGTGATGGTTGATGCGTTATATAAAGGAATGGAGGAGTGCTGTATGCCAGTGGGGAGAGAGAAAGAGAAAAAAATAAAGAGCTCTGTCAAACCACGGCAGCAACGGAGGCTCAATTTAACGTTAATAGGTACACACACACACACACACACATCCCGCACCGATGAAACACCCTTAATAAAGTCTTCTTCTTTCCCTTCCACCTAATTTTGGGGGGGAAAGCCCAGATACATCACGTTCTGCCTTTCCCCCTCTGATCTTTGCATTAATGGTGCTTTTTACTCTCTGTGCAAGTACATTTGTCAAAGAAAGCTTCTTCCTATCAACAAGTTCCAAGATGCACAGTCATGAAGCCAGATTTCTTTCGTTTTCATTCGGCATTGGTCTGGACCTGTCTCCGATCAATATACAAGCATTTATTGCGCGACAGGAAATTTTCTTTATACGTCGCGTGCTAATGGTAGTATGGCTAATAGACAGCGGCAGTCTATCGATCAAAGGTCGTGACAAAAAAACAGCAAGGATGATCAAGATGATAGAGTGGTACCCACCTTGAAGGCGAATAATTGGTGCAATGTAACAGCAATACCACGTAATAGCAGAAAAAACGGCTGGCTTCTCTTTAGAAAAAGGTCCTTGGCGGAGTAAGCTGTCAAGGTAAGATCCAGCGAATCAGATGCTTTTTTGCCGTAGAGTGTTACTATTCAGTATCATAATCCCCCAAAGAAACACAAATTGGCGACAACAATGAACAATTCTATAGTTGTATGTAATTAACTATCAATCAAAGTGTGTTATGTGATGCCCTGTCGTGTGCTACCTTGACCAATCGACTTATGTAACCTGTTTTTCCCTTTTATCCAACTTGATCTCACCATCATCGATCCATCCATTCATCAGTCGAAAGTAGCTTTTGGCCTCAAACACAAGTCTACTTGAATATGGGTTTTCCATTGATCCGGCGATCATCTCACATTCTGTCTTTTGCTATAACGAGCATATATAGAAAGTTTAGTAGCTGCTCTGGCTACTACGCTAATGCCATCACCTAAGACGGAACGAGTTGTTGTGGTAGCACTTTTTTATATAGACAACTTCCTGGATCAGAGAAGTGAGTGCAACATGGATTGTGTAAACTCACCATGTCTCCCAATATAACAGTAATTCGGGGAGTTAATATGTTTAGCAATAAACTAACGGAATCTACAGCATAGTGTGGCCCCACTCTATAGAATAGTAACTGATCATCTTTTTTTCAAGTCCCACGTCGTTTGAATCTTGGGTGAATAAGTGGACACTACAATACTCAACAGAAGGTTTTATGTGATAACCATTACATAGGCGATTATCGTTTATATAGGATGCGTACTCGCCCTTGACACCTTGACCACACCACAAGTCAAGGTATATAGAAAGTATTATAGTGTGGCTGGATGGAGTTGCTTCTGGCATAGAGAAATAGATGATTGATGTTCAATTGCTGTAAGGGTCGTAAATAGAAACTATCAGTAGCCTGACAATCATGCCTCGTCCCACTTTAACAACATGTATCTGCAAGTTGCTATATACACAAGAGCTTGAATCAAAGTCAGTATTGTGAACGTGAGAGAAAAACCATCAGAGTGAACAGAATAGTTGTTGTTTTATTTACAAATCAAATCATGCTATATGGAAACGACGACAGCGAGAGAATGTATTCGCCTCGTTTGCACCGTCCTCCATTTATTAACGGTAGTAGTATAAGTGCTAAGGTCGCATGTGATCTTCCTATATTTTCTATGATACATGTATATCTTTGCGTCTTCCCGTTATGTGGTTGCTTTCATCAAGTATATATGAAGTATATACACACAGCATACCGTTATATGTCGCCCATCTTTTCTATCCAAGCGACGTATTACAAAGGGAATCGATTTCGTCCGACATTTTAGGTTTCTCGCAACATGCCAAGCCAAGCCATATTGGAATATTTGGAAAGGATATCGGGCTGCTGTACTTTCCGCTCGACTTGATCCAATGCATCGTCGGACATGTCGCTCGTATAAACCACTGGTTTTTCGTCCCTTGTGCGATATAAAACGACCGACAGCTTGGTAGTAGTAGTAGTAGTAGTAGTAGACACGCGCCGCTGAGCAAACAATGTCGTCACTGTATCCTTGCCGACGTCCATGCAGCCATGACCACGTAATTCCAGGCGCCGTAGATTGTGCATATCTGCCAAAGCGACCACTTTGTCGTGCATGGGAACGGATGTCGATGTGAACGTCAGCTGGAACACGTTGTCGGCATGATGCTGTGAAAAATGAATGAGGCCTTTGACACTGATACTGGCGGCTATACAGCCGCCCAATTCCAGTATTTCAATGTTCTTGTTGCGAGCACAGATAGTTTCCAAATGGGCGTCGGTGAAATGATCAATTGCTGTTAGAGATACGCTCCGCAGCGACCGGGCAGATGCAAAGAATTGGTGCATTTTGTCAACCGACACTGCTTCCATATCCAACGACACTTCAAGACGTTGGAGGTGGTCAAGGTGCATGAGTGCATCAAACGTTTCATCAGTAATTGAATCCAGTGTGATCCATCGGATCGACGGGCATGCACGGATCACCTTGCCTACGACGTGTTTGTTGCAGGGTGCGTCTAATAGTTCTAGATGTTGTAGTTGTGGTGCTCTTAAAGTGGCTAGCTTGGATAACGTCTGTGTTGCAGGTCGCATCAGCATGGATAGACGGAACGTTTCGAGCGTTTGACTGCTGGCTTCGATAAGTCGTGCTAATTGATGATCGACGTGATGTGTCACGTTGGGGAAATATGCAAGTTTTTTCAATCGCAGACGAGGGTGTAGCGTGGCAGTAGCAGTAGTAGTAGCGACGGTTCCTTCAGTGATAACACTCGTACCGTTCCTAGTGTCCAGCGGTGGGATGTGGTGCTCCTCTAATCCATTCCCATAGTGGAAACTGTGCAGACGTGGACAAGATCGTTCGACCAGGGCAAACAGTTCAGTGTCCTCTCCTTCATGCTTGTCGGCATCAATGGCAAGGTGTCGGAGGTTCGGGCATCGCGGTAAGAGTTGTGGCAAATACGTCAACATGAGGTGACAGGCAATGTTGAGGGTCGTGAGGACAAGTGTGTCGGCAAGCTGGAGGGTTGGATAAGGGCGATCGTAAAAGTTATAGTACCAGCGTCTGTCTTCGAGTTGATGCACATAGGTCAGGTCGGTGAGTTGGGTGCAGAAATCAAACACATCCTGAAGTAATTCTTCTGTTTCACTTGTGTCTTCGGCTCCTGCTTGCGTATCCACCAACCGGATGGACTTGATTTGTTTGTTGATTTGAAGGAATTGGCGCCATGAGGATCGATTGATGCGTGAGCTGGAAATGCCTAAGATAATACACACGGTTGATATTTGAAATTTCTATGAGGGGAACCAGGATAATGAAAAAAACCGTACTAAGAGATTCAATGTGGCACCAATTAAATTCAACCAGGCGACCTAGTAATTCCTGGTTTCGACGCAATCCACGCAAAGTCAATCGTCGCACATGCTTGCTGGCAACAGAGCCTATGCGATCCAGGAGCGATGCATCCAGGTGATGGATATCCTGCCACATAGCCGGGCTGTCAAACATGTACGCATGCCAATCCTTACATGTCTGAGCGCAGGCAATGCGGTCGGTGATGGAGAGCTTGGACATGATCTCACAGATGATATCGTACGGCAATATGCGCATGACCCGAGTATTTCTCTCTGCAATCTCGTGCGCCACTTGTTCTTTGTGTTGTACAAGCTGTATGTGTCGTGGATCGTCGATAGCAACGCGGTCTATGCCCTTCTGATACAATGCGGCCGCTTCTGCCCATTGCTTTTGCATGACGAATAGACTGCCTGCGCAGAGGTAGCCGCCCGCATACGTTGGGTCTGCTAAGATGGCGCGCTGAGCGTCCTGCAAGGCATGGTGGAAGTTGCCGAGTTGCTCATAGGCACCTGCGCGGAAGAGGTATATTTTGCAAGTGAGGCTGCCTTGAAGCTGGGCAATGACTTGGTCGTAAATGTCAATAGCTTGGTGGTAGTTTGCATTGGTAAAGGCGTGTTTGCCACCATTGCACAGGTGTTGTAGGTCGTTGAATCCAAGCTCGGTCTGAGTGATGCAAGAAAAGCTGCTGCTGCTGTTGTTGTTGTCGTTTTCGTTTTTAACAGTAATCGTTGCCATATAACGTGTATGACACAAAAAAAAAGGAACAAGTATAGGTAAAAGAGATAGGGAAAGAAGCAACTCTTTCTGGATCTTACTAAGCCTAAGCCGGGGCGTTCCATGCCAGTGTGCTCTGACTTTGTAAATTTCCTTATTCGTGATTGGACGTTGGACCTATCATATATCCAGCAGCAGGAAAGCATGTTCCATATTTGGGATTGAGGGAGATCACAATCGTTTAATCACCTCGCCCATCGATCTGGGTAAAAGAAAAAGAGCAGCGCGTTTTCTGAAAAAGCCGCAAAAGGGCAGATGACGAGCTTTATTTGTTGCTGCCAATCAAGTACGTGTCTCTGTGAAGAGAGAGAGAGTCAAAGTAAGGTTGTATGCATGATCAGCAATCGGGATAAATGATGATCATCATCATCATCACCACACAGCACACCATATATCAGAGGGCCAAGGCAGAAAGGGGAGAGGAGAGTGGCATGCTACTACCATATAAGAGCTGGTGCACGAAAAGAAGCGTGTGACTCTCAGTGTGCAGCAGCAGCAGCAGTGATTGGTTTAGATTGGCCCGCAGCTTCAAAGCCAGCACGCCCGCGCGTGTTTTTTTTCCAGCCAGCGGCCAAAGAGTAAAAAAAAAAAAAAACGGGGGCGCTTGCGCGGCCAGCCCCCAGCCTGGCTTCTAACACCACCCGCACTCACTCGCTCACACACAACTTTCCCTCTCTCTCTCTCTCACCCACACACCACTCTCTTTCTCACTCACTCACTCCAGCGTACCTTTCTGCTGAGGATAATCTCTAATATAAGGTGAGTACTTTTTTTTTTTTTTTTGCGTGCTTTGGCCCATACAAAAAAAAATTATTATATTCTTTACGTGTTGGCCTGCCTGCCTGCCTGTCTGTCTTCTTGCCCAACACCCTCTGTTTCCCCCATCGCGTTTGCCTTACCTGCCCTCAACCCCCACCCTTCTCCACACAGAACCCACACTCTTCCCCCATTCGCAACAACAATGCGCCCCTCCCACACTCCCCGTTGTCTTTGGTCTTGCCCTTTGTGAATCGTGCACTCATTTATGGTGTGAGCTCTCTCTCTCTCTCTCTCTTTCTCATCAAACACCAACCCTCTGCTACTGTAGACAATGCCCAAGGAATCCACCAAAGTCACCAAGCGCGCCGCCAAGGAAGACGGCAAGCAGCGCCGTACCAAGAAGGACAAGACTGGCCCCAAGCGTGGTCTCTCTGCATACATGTTCTTCTCCCAAGAGCAACGTGCCACGGTCAAGGAAGAAAATCCTGATGCCAGCTTTGGTATGTAAAAAAAAAAAAACGCGCTACGAATTTTTTTTTCCTGCTGGGTTGCTGAACCGTGTTTTTTTTGGTTCTCTTCATCTGATATGCAATAATGAATAGGCACTATTGGAAAGATCCTTGGTAACAAGTGGAGCCAAATGACTGACGAACAAAAGGCCGTAAGTGTTGATAGCATCATCATCATCATCGTCATCATCCCCCCCCTCTTTGCGTATACACACACGCAATCAGTCTGGTCATCTACGTAATACTCACTCAAAACTGTTTGATTAGCCCTACAACGCCAAGGCCGAAGCCGACAGAAAGCGCTACGAGGCCGAAAAGGCTGCTCTTGTAAGTACACGTCCTCTCTCTTTCTCTCTCTCTGTTCTGCTGCGTTACGCACTATATCCCCATACTGATTATCGTTGGAAATAATTAAAAGAAATAATGCTGAACGCTTTCTCTTCCAATGCGAACGGTTAGGCGGACAAGAGCGACTAAAGAGGCTTATGTGCCGATCGTCGTCCTCTATCTCATAACATCATCAACAACAACCGCAACAACAACAACAACTACAACAACATCGCGAACAACAACAACAAACATTGCATAGCCAGCAGCTTCTCTTCTCTTTCTTTTCCTTTCTTCTATTACTTTCTTTGCTGTATTGTCTTCTTTCCTATGGAAGCATCGCTTCAAATAAACAGTTGGCCTCCTGGAAATTATTATGAACTACATTCACCAGCCAGTACCGGTCTCCGATCTCTTTTAACAGCTGTGCGGTCTTGCTATCCGGTGCATACTGCTGCTCCCAATCTGTCCATAGTCCATAGGCCTCTTCCTATTATATCCACGTTGATGTGCGTGAGCCCCAGTGTTCCGCGATAAACAGAAAAAAAAAAGAAAACCTTATTTATATTACCTTCCATGATTCAAAGCTTACTCGCTCGATAATCGTCGGCTGTACAATTTCTTTTCCAGGAAACACGCCCCACGTAACCGCGTTCTGTGCCTCTGCATTCTCCACGTTGGTCACAAAGTCGCCTTTCCGGTTCGCTGCATAGAACGTGACAAACGGGTCCGCCTTGAGTCGATCCAGCAATGCCGGCAGCTGTTTGTCGGAAACAAAGCATTCTAGGAATGCCTTTTGGTATACATAGCCGTTGGCTGGGCCCCAGCCATACACTGCATCTCCACTCGGTGCACCATTGACTGCAGGCTGCGAGCCAACGGTCCAGTACCTGTTGCGGTTGATCTGGATCAGTTGCTGTTGGATCGTCTCCGTCTCGGTCTGCAACGGTTCCTCACACCACGGCAGGCTGTTCAGCTGGCCAAGAATGTACTTTTCAAACAGCCGTGTAATGTCGTCTGGTGTCGTAGGATGGCCCCACTTGGCTGCTGCTTTTGAAGTCTAGATAGAACACACGTTGGGTTAAACACCTATCTCTCAATACAACCACCTCCTCTTTTGAGCAACTTACTGGCAGTGGCAGGCTTGCACCATACGTGTTTTCACCAAATGCTGGAGAACGAGCATCACCATAACGTCCGTTAGGAAACTCGTCCCAGTTCTCCATATGTGCTGGATCACGGATGGCCGACCAAGGTGCAAAGCCCTTGTTCTATTTGACATTCAGTGTTAGAGTACTTGTCCGTCCGTCCGTCCGTCCGTCCAATTTTATACATAAAAGCTGGTTCCACTTTTTCCACCTTTCATTGAACCTTACCGAATCTGTGACAGGTGCTGCTGCTGCTGGTGGTGCCTGCTTTGGTGCAACACCCAACTTTTCCAAAATTAATTTTGCCGAACGTTCCAAGTTCAACGTTGAGATGTGGATGCCACTGATGCCACAACCACCGTCCCGAATCTGTCGAATCATATCCACTGCCAAATCAACGCCATAGTCCTTGACCTTCTGATCGTCAGCCTGTAATAATTAATAATAAAAGAATCGATAAGGATGATTACCAAGTGACACACGACCTTAGTATGACCCCAATTTTACCTTGATGGCATCTAACGCGTCTAAAATAGGCTTTGGCACCTGTACACTGCACAGATTGATGATGCGACGGAAACTTTGATAGGTAGGAATAGGCATGATGCTCGGCACAATCGGTACGTGGATGCCAATGGCACGACATGATTTTACCCATTCCTTGAACGTATCGACATTGTAAAATAACTGAGTCATGATGAAATCAGCACCACAGTCCACCTTGGCCTTCAGGTACTGCAGATCCTGCGCCTTGTCTGGGGTATCCATGTGGCCTTCTGGGTAGCCGGCAACGCCAATGCAAAAGTAATCGCCGTATTGCTGTCGGATATACGATACCAAGTCAGATGCGTGCGTGAATCCTGGGTCAACCGGTGTCCAGTACTCTTGATCGCGTGGAGCGTCGCCTCGGAGTGCAAGAATGTTTTGCATACCGGCGTCTTTTGCGTCCTATACGTTAATTAATGTGTGTAAGCAAAAAAGTTCTTGATTTCTTTTTCTACTTTTTGCAAAGGAAGAAACAAGAAAATATAACGAACCTTGAGTGCGCGATCTATCTTGTCTTTGCCCATGTTGGTACATGTCAAGTGCATGAGCGTTTCGAGACCATACACGCTTTGTGCCGTAGAGCAAACTTCAAGTGTGCGTCCTTGCGTGGAACCACCAGCGCCCCAAGTACATGAAATAAAGTCAGGTTCGCATCGCGCCATGCGTCCCATACGGTCGAACAAGTTGGCAAGACCCTAGCAACAACAAGAAAGAAGCGTAATACTGAGTCATTGTATTTCATTATGTGTGGGGTGTGTCGGTCAAAAAAAGCTGTCGATTATTTACAGCTTCTGTCTTTGGAGGGAAATATTCAAACGAGTAGCTTAATCGATGTTGGTCATGAGCATGCTTCAACTTGTCGGAAATCTTCATATTTAATGATATATATATTCTAATATACTATATAGAGAGCGAAAACGAAGAAGCGAGTTTTCCAGGAAACCCCCTCGAGTTAGATAATAGATGATCTAGGATAGGACTTTGCTTTAATTCGCGCCGCTTTAAAAATAACTTGACAGCTTTTTCATTTATCGACACTACTTTTCCTTTTAGTCTTTGTCGTTCCTGTCCGGCGAAACGCCTTTTGCCGCTCCCCCATCGCCCTATATCGGTTCTCTTCCTGTCGTTGCGCAACCTCATGTGTTGGCGTATAATTGGATTTGATGATCCGTCGTACGGCTTCATGCGAGATATGGAATTTTTCGGATAATGCTGGTATATCGTAGTGTTCCGGTGACTGGATATAAATCATTTGTTTTTCAAAAAAAAAAAAAGGTAGTGTGAGTAGGGTGCTCACGATTAAACAGAGCAACTGCTGTTTCTGGGAAACATGGTACAACGAGAGAAAGTTTGCGTTTTACCATGGCGTATAGTTCACGTAGTTGGCCCATGGCTGCTCGCGATAATCGTTTCTTTGGTTGCCAATTGCCTTGATCGCTTGACATGCTTCGTGTTACATTGTGTAGTCCATGTCGTGGTTGTTGCTGTAAGAATCGAAGACAAGTGAGCGATCGTTGTATTGATTGCATAATGTATGCTTCTGTTATGTAACAGAATAAAAAAAATTTAATGGGGCCGGGAACGGGTAAGGTAAGAAAGAGTAATTGAACGCAGTCCAAAGATTTTTTTTAAATCTTATGCCGCATGAAAAATGTCAACTTTTTTAATGCTGGATACATATTGCTGCTACATGCGTGCTTGTACATCAATCACTCGTCTACTCAAAACAGCGGCAATCACAGCCATTAGACCGCCGAAACGAAGCACCCAAGCAACACCTGCGGCTTCTTCCATGCTTCCTTCCTCCGGTGATCCGCCGCCGCCCTCCGCGTCTTTGTTCTTGGATTGAAGATGATGGACAATAGCAAAGATTACTGCTGAAATGATTGCGACGGCAAATTGGGGGAATACGACGTACATGTTGAGCACACCGAGCACCATGCCTGCATCGTATTTCGTTTTCTTGTTATGATCCTCTTTTTGCGTTTGGACTGCTGCTGGTCCTTGTTGTGATGATGATGAAGATACCGACGACGATCCAACAGCTGTTGTTGTCGCTCCGTAATTTACATCCTTGCTGCTGCTGCTGCTGTTGCTACTAGCTGTTCTTGGACGAGCAGTGCTATTGCCACTTTGTTCCACACCATCTTCACCATCAATACGACAACCATCCTCTACAATCATCACTTGTTCTTCGACATCCTGCTGCTGCTTATTTTCGACCACAAGGTATTCGCCGACCAGAGCATACGGGATCCACATGGCACATGCAAAAGAGATACCCAATAAACTGAGCAAAAAGGTGGCACCTGCGACTGTGTGCACAAACACGGTCGACACCATGGCTATTGCAAAGACAACATGTGATAGAGTGTAGGTGTTTTTCAGCGAAACATACCCATTGGCCGTAAGGATGGGTAATACTGTTCCAGCAATGACTGCGACTATTGCGTATAATAAGAGGGCAAAGGATCCCGCGCGTGTTCCTTTGTCCCATGCGTCTGGATCTTCCATTTCGTGCGTTTGAAAGTAAATGTCAGAGATCCATGTCGTGCTACCACAGCATATAATCGCATATCAATAAAGAGGACTTGTGCTTGGTCACGGAAAGAGACATATTATATGTGTAGTAATGATAGCAGCACTGTACCTGTAGAACAAAAACGGAAACCATCCCATCCAAGCAAAGAACATCACGTTGCATAATTTTTGCACAGACGATGGAAGCTGGCGGAATGCATGCCAGATGTACACGAAAATTAGATACCATGGTCTACACACAAATCAAAAAGGGTTAAGCAACAACATCATGCAGTAGTAGTAGTAGTAGTAGTAGTAGTAGTAGCAGTAGTGAATGCCCGTTATCAATGTCTGCTTATACACATCATTCGCCCTTTCTTCCCAGATACACATGTCAGCTACACTCCTGGGGGGCAGATGACGATGAAGCTGTTATTGTGCCCCTCCAACTACTTACTCGGATGACTCATCTCGTGTTTTCCGATACGGGACCTCTTTCACCGCGAAACATGTTACAGATATAGCACATACAAATACAATCACGCCTGCTGTACAGAATGCTTCCATTTGCGATTTCCCGAGCCCTGGCACATACTTGACCAAGTCAACAAAGCCGATAAAGTATCCAAACACATTGGTGACGTTTTGGGTATTGCTTGCAAACGCATTCGCCGTGTCTTGCTGTGTGATGGGAAACACGTCGAGAATGAGAGATCGGCACGACGCTTGAACTGCATTCAGTGAGAAATCCAACACGTAAAATGCGCTCACAGCTACTGCGATTGCCACCTTACTCTTTTCAATTGAAGTAAGTAGATTAGCTGTGGCAAGCGATATTCCATTCAATTTGTTTACCTGAGCAGGATTATCATCTGTTACAAAGATTGCTGCAATCTGTTTGGAATAAGCAACACAAAGCAAGGATAAACAAACAAACACTCCACCACCGAGGATGAACGGTCGCCTCCGACCCAATCGAGATGTATGCTTATCACTCCATGCACCAACAAGCTACGAGGAGAATAAAAAAAGAGTGACAGGTCTTAAAGAAGAACTATTGGCGGAAGTAGTCGCTAGGAAGGATAGAAGACTTTCATATCTGTTGTTGGCTTACCGGTTGGACAATCAAGCCTATCGTACATTTTAAACGAGTTCTGCGTGATGAGACGTTTGGATTGCGTCATTATGTCAAAGCGCACCGCTATTACCTGATAGGGGTGCTGCAAACCACACGAGCGCCGTTAACTCTTTGGATAACTCTAGCGATAAAAGATAGGGTGTCCCATATCTATCAGACACGAGCAAATCAGTATCCATGGCCATGTACACATCATGATGCAAAGTCCAAGACGTACGATAGCTCAACCGTCCCTGGTTGCATGTGCGTGTAAAAAGTTCAGTAACTCTTCTTTAAGGGAGGGGGTGGGAAATGGTAGGCAGTATTATTATTATTACAGGTGAATTGAATGCCGGCAAAGCACATGGTCGTCAGACATAGTTGTAATAGCGACGCCTTTGGCCTAGTGTCGACGGCCTTTGTATCCAGAGTACACATCAATGTATATGCTACGGCTTGCGCGGAAAGAAAAGAGAGTGAGAGAGAGAGAGCGAGAAAGGGAGAGGGTAAAAAATAAAACCACAAAGGCACATTATAAATCTTTGTATTCTGTGTAACATGGGATTTCTCAAAACTAAACTTTGGTGCATCTTGCATGAAAAGATGCTTTTTTCTCTATCGCAATTCAACAGCAAATTGCTTTTCTACAGCGCCGCGCACTCGGTCCTGGATCGTGTTGATCTCTTCGTTTGTCACGTTTCTATATTACGTACAGAGAGAAACCTGTGAGTCTTTTTTTCTAAAATGTTACAAGCGAGCAATGGAAATTACCTATCCATGGATCGGTAAAGGATACGGTAGCAGAGACTGCGCTTTTGTGATTTAGGATGGGTGAAATCGTCAATCTGTTCCAGGCATTAGTAAGGATTAAAAACTTTGCTCTCCCCCTCCCCCTTCCCCTATAAGAAACATGTATGTACCAATTCGACGTTTTCTACCAAGTCACCTGCAACATCGCGAACCAGTTCACAAAAGTCGTTCTCTTCCCAGCTCTTGGTGGGCAGCCAGAAAGACATGTCCTTGATGCATGGCGGGTATTTCGAAAACGGTTGGAATTTCTGGATTTTGCCAGGGGTGAACTGTTGAATGAATCGCTCATCTTGCGACCAAAACAATCGGATGTCCGGAATACCAAACAATACCATTGCCAATCGTTCCAGTCCCAACCCAAATGCATGACCAATCTTGTCATGAAGGCCTATGTTGTTTTAGAGGTTTATGCTGTCGACCTCAGTTCCTTTGGTATCTCCTCTTTCTTTCTACCATCCCCTCCAAAAGTCTGGATTATCTTTACCTGCTTGGTTCATCAATTCTTGTTGTACAACACCACACCCCAACACCTCAAGCCATTCGCCCTTGTACTTGATCTCGACTTCCCAACTTGGGCTGGTGAACGGGAAATAGGCGTCGATCCAGCGCACCTCCAAATCCTGTTCATCCGCAAACAGCTTCCACAACATGGAATTGATGCTGTATTTCAGATGAGCAGCAATCGGTTCCAATGTTTCCGGCGTGTGACATGCCTGCATTGGGTTTTCAGGCTTGACAATCGTATCGTCCACCACCTTGACATTCTCGGCCTCCTTCAATCGTCCGCTCGCAATATCTGCATTGACCTGCTCTGCCGTCTTTACAGGGTCGGCATCAAAAAAAACAACACCTTCCATCTGGTGGAACACGGGATAATGCGATGCGTCAATCTCGTCGCGTCGAAACACGTCGCCGCTTATCAGAAACTTGTTTGCTCCCGAACGCATGCCTTGCAGCTGGTGTGCAGAGGTGTGGGCACGCAACATGGTAGATTCATTAATGTAATAGTTGTCCGACCGGTTGCGAGTGACATGATCCTTGGCAATAAGCAAATCGTCAAAGTTTTGTTTTGTGGTGACAACTGGGCTGAATTCGTTGAATGGCTTAAAGTCATGAAAATGCGATTCAATAAGTTGACGAATAATGGAAATGGGATGCTGTGGATGCAAATGCAGTTTTCGATTCACTCGTGATAACGTCGTAGGTGATACATTGGTCCATGCGTCTTTTTTGTAATTCTTGTCGCCAATTTGTATTTCGGTGTCTGTCACTTTAAAGTCTAATTTTTGTTTTATATTTTTTGACAGGCACAAGGGACGAAAGGGGAGGATTTTGAAGGGGGTACAGTAAGCTCAGGTTTTGAGAATTTACCTTGACCGTTGGTAGAATAAGCGGCTCGTGCGCCAATGCAACGCAATGTTGTTCCCCGAACAGCCTGGGAGGAGACCAGTGTCGTTATACGATTGACCAGCATGTTGCTAGGGTGAGTGTCAACAAAGTGTCCCAAACCCAAGAGCGGGGCTTTTTTTTTTCTCTTCACGGTTCGCCTCGCCTGTGTTTCACAGGATCCTTGCCCTTTTACTTTCACACACTTTTTTTTTCCGCGTATTCTTTCGTCTTCTTTTTCTTCTTCTTCTTCTTCACAATTCCTGATTATGACCAAGATCAACGTTGAGACGCTTACCTATACTCAGCTCGCCAAGGTGTTTGATCACGCCATTTTGAAGCCTGAACAAACAACCAAGGACGTAGAGCAAGGCTGTAAGCTCGCAATCAAATACGACGCCAAGTCCGTGTGTGTCAAACCGTGCGATGTCAAGCAGGCTGCCGACATTCTGAAAGGCTCGAGTGTTCTTGTTGGTACCGTCATTTCTTTCCCGCACGGCAACTCGCCTACTACAGCCAAGGTCGCCGAAGCTTTGCAGGCCGTAGAAGACGGTGCTATCGAGTTGGATGTTGTCATCAATATCGGTCACTTGAAATCGGGCCTCTACGACGAATGTCAAAAGGAACTCGAGGCTATTATCAAGACCTGCAAGGCCAAGCGATCCGATGTCATCTTTAAGATTATTTTCGAAAATGCTTATTTGTCAAAGGATGAAATTGTTCAGGCATGCAAGATTGCCGAGGCTGCTGGTGCAGAGTTTGTAAAGGTACAGATATCGGGTGTCGCAACCCGGGGGAGAGGGGGAGGGGAGAATACACTGTATATAGTTATTGGCCAACTCACGCATGCTTTGTGAATATGTGTATATAGACTTCCACTGGCTTTGCATCTTCGGGCGCCACCTACGATGACATTGAATTGATGCGTGCTAGCGTCTCGGATCATATCCAAGTCAAGGCATCCGGTGGCATCAAGAGCCTGGATCAAGTGATCACCTTCTTACAAAAGGGTGCCACACGATGCGGATCGTCTTCGACGGATAAGATCCTTGAAGAATTCAAGCAGAAGAACAGCGCATAAGATATTTACTACTGGTCACAGCAGTAGATATATAGCCTACTATACCTCTTTATCTCTCTCCCTCTCTCCCAATGTATCGTGTGTTGTTGTAGATGTTTTGAATTATAACATTTTGTACAGTTTATAGCCCGCAAAATACCAGTTATACCCGTTACACTGGCATGCTGTTGTTTAAAAAGGAAAGAGGTGGAGAGACTTTATACCGGGTATACACAGCATCTATGTTGCTTGAGATCATTCTGGAATCCTTACGTATAACACCTATTTAGGAGCTTACTTGCGCTATGTGGGGAGAATACGTTCAGCAACAGCATTCGAACATCTCCTAATATGGACACTATTTGCCATAATCCAACATGGGTCAAAACAATGTGCCCCGCTACTGCTGATATCGGTTGACAGGAACGGGCGTTGCTATGGCGACATCCACAGTTGACGGGCGTGTCACGTGTCACTACGGATGAAAACACACAAAGTCTTGTTGCTGTAAACAAGCCGGTGGGTTGGGGGGGGGGTTGGGTGTTGTTGGATGGCTTGAATGAAAGAGACAAGAAGAAAGAGACAAGAAATAAAGCAAAAGCAAAAGGGCCCATGCCCTTTCATGTTGCACGCATCCGTTTTGCATGATTTGTTCCCGTAATTCCAAATAATTGACTGCCACCGATTAACCGAAAATCCAGCAAATTATGAAGCACGTTCCATGCGGAGCTTTTTTTTTTCTCTTCTTTGAGACAAACAATGAACCCAGTCTTCAATGATTCAAATTGCTCGCTTATCTCACCTCTTTCTGGTGCAAATAAAAACTGATCGGTGGCACAATCCCATATTTTTGTACATCAAAGAGTTAAAAAAAGAAGTACCTCTTTTGTCTACAGACAAAACGGCACTTGTTCTACTACTACTTCTTCCTCCTTCTGCCCTTCAAGTGAGGCCGCGATGTTGCCCTGGTAACGTCCACAGAACGGATTGACAAGAAGCATGTGCAGACTCGTTATAGCATCGGTTGTTTCCAGCTGCCATGACGGCTATATTTGTGGTTTCAAGCAGTAAAACTTCTCCGAAAAAAGGCAAAAAGGAAATCAATAAAAGGAAAGTGCAGAGCTCCGAAGAAAGGGGCGTAAACGGCATCTTTCTCGTGATGGGCAAAGAGTAAAAAGGGCAACAGGCTCTTTTCCTTTCAACTTTGTTTTTTTTCTTTCTTTCGTCTGTTCTTTTTTACTTCTTGCTCTGCTTTGCCTCAACTGCTATTACAAAATAAAGAATACATAACCATCGTCGTATCGATCTTGTGCTCGGGCAGTCATCATGGAGAAACCACCAGAAGATAAAAATGTTGTCAACGAGAAAAAACATGACGGACCAAGCCAGCAAAACAACAATGACAACGACGACGCCGCATCACTTGGATTTAGAGACGAAGTTGATCCTTATACCTTCGAGGCTGAGTATAAGGTCCGACGGTAAGGGCAACGAACACAACAAGATGAAAAGAAGAAGAGACTGACGCGACAGTAACGCATCAAACAATGGGCTTATGTCAACACGGATCATGGTATCCAGAAAAGTAGATCTTCATGTCATGCCCGTACTTCTTCTTGCCGAATTAGTGGCACGCTATGGGCAGTAAGTTGGATTTTCCAGAAATTCCTAGCGCCGTTTGATTCCCTCTTCCTGCCACATACTATCATGATATTCTTCTGGCTTGGGGTGGGGGAGGTGTCATTGCATGAACAACCAAGCTGTTGACTGATGATTCGCATTATTATTATAGTCTGGTCGTATCCAATGCTAAATTAGGTGGTCTTCTGGAAGATCTCTCCATGACCGAAGGGCAGTACCGGTGGTGCCTCTCAGCATATTATTTTGCTTTCGTCATTCTCAATATACCCATTACCATTCTCTTCCGCAGATGGCGTCCGTCGCTTTTTCTGACGATTCTTATATTGTAAGTAGTCTTCCATGTGCCAGAGAGACGAAAGCCACTTGTTTGTGCTACATTGGGCGATTGACAGCAGCCACAACTGTGTGTAATTTTCTAGTTCCTGGGGCGTGCTGGGCATGTCAACTGCCGCGGCTACAGACTTTCCTGGATTTCTCATATGTCGAATCATCATGGGTGCATCTGAAGCAGGTAAAGATGCATCTGCTACCTTCTCTTTGCTCCTACAAGAGTGAGGTTCTCTAACATTTTCTTGATTATGCTTAATAGTGTATAGCCCAGTTCAAAAGTAGGGTGTCACACACAGATTAATGCTGAGTTCTTTGTGTGAGAATCTTAAAACTGACGTAGCAGCATATAAAATCACAGGTACTATATCTCGCTCTGGTACAAGAGAAACGAACTCGCTCAACGAGTAGGGTATACGGCGGTGGTTACGACTCTGGGAGGTGCCTCTGTGGGATTAATTGCGTTCGGTGTTAGTCACATACCTACAAACTCATTGAATACCTGGCAATGGTATGTAAAAGGTGGTTTCAGTATAAAATGTGAGAAAACCAGACTTCCAACCCTTTATTATAAACTATTGTATGTATTAGGATGTGTTTAATATTTGGTTCACCCGCTATCGTACTTGCAGTCTATGCGTTCTTCCAAATTCCGGACAAGCCAGAAACAGCCAAATTTCTCAAGGAAGAAGAGCGGGAATTAGAGATTAAACGATTAAAAATTGGTAAGAGATTACAGATTTGTACAGTATGGTTATCCAAGAGCCATATCAGCGACGATTTCTCTAAGTACACTATGCCCTATTTCATACAGATCAGGGAGCCGCACATGATCATTCGTGGTCCTGGTCTCAAGTTAGAACGGTGCTGACGGACTGGAAGGCATATTACTTTGCAGTCCTTTACTGCCTCACCGGCATCTCTGGATCAGGCGTAAAGTTGGCACTACCTTCCATCATTGACGGTATGGGAGACTGGCAGCCTGATGTGTCTCAGGCCTTGACAACCCCACCTTACGTTTTAGCTTGTGTTTTCATTCTGGTCTCCTCTTATTACTCAGGTATGCATACATACTTACTGATTGAATGGAAATTATGCCATGCTTAACTTGTTATCACTAATTGTAAGAAACGCATATCTATAGATCGAGTGTTTGAAAGAGCATACTTCTTACTGCTGGCGAATGCCATTGCTGTTGTTGCGTTTTTTATGATTATGTTTATACCCAATCAGCACGTCTGGCCACGTTATATCGGCACCTGTATCTTAGTAGCATCCACGGTAAAGAACAGAAAGAGGGTCATTTTTTTTGTATTGATAACACTAACGCAGGAATCTCATCATTATCATTATTAGCGAATGGACAATTCCATCCGATCAGCTTGGTACACCAGCAACTTTTCTGGTCTTACTCGTCGTGCGGTTGCCTCCGGAGTTATCTACACCATCCATGCTATTGGTAATGCACTCGGTGGCCAGATTTATTTCGATCCACCAAATTATCGCAAAGGACATACCATTGCCATTTGTGTTGTCGTTCTCCAATCATTTATGATTTTGGCTTTACGAATAATACTTAAACGGATCAACAAAAGGCGAGACGCAATGACGGTAGAAGAAAAGGAGCGCGAGCTTGCTAAATATACTGATCCAGGCCAAATTGGCGATAGACATCCAGACTTTCGTTACGCTTTGTAGCAGCATCAGCAGTAGTATCTGTATACTCCTGTATTCCATTTTTCAATTTCATTTTCTCGCACACGAAACTAATAGCCAATATATACTACTACCCCTCCACACCATCATTTATATTGTAGATGTTCCAATTCCTTTCCGTTCAATTCTTCTTGTATTCACGATACCATATTTATTGTTAATTTTTAAAAAACACGTCCTTGTGAAAATATAATTAAATAAATAATGTGCTCCATCAACAGCACATCATGATATGTTTTTGACTGTCAGGATATTTTGCTTGGTCTAGGCTGCTGTCATCTTGTAATAAAAGATAATATGTCGTTCTACAGAACGTTCTTAGTGAGTTGCAAGAGAGAGAACGGTACATCACTCCACTGACTCAGATCTGAAACATGACTGTATCATAGCGACTTTGAGATTACCGAGTTGACACAGATCAGTAAAGCATTACTGCTCTTTTATGGCTTAACCAAGAGTTTTCGTATCACTACATAGTCAGCAGTTTCATTACTTTATTGCTTTACGTATAGCAATTTATTTTTGAATACACGTTGTTGTCAATAAAAAATGAGCAGATAGTCCAATTATTGTGCGATCCATATAGTTCTTTGATATTGAACTCGAATTGGCTACGTGATAAGTTGTAATAAAGACCCTCTTTCCCAAAAAACCACAATCTATTTCTGCTCGCAACTATTTAGCGATACCCTTCATATTTTCGCTAGTATGTAATCTTCAACCGACTGCTTTAATCAAGAGATATCCCCATCACTCTTGCAATTTTTCTTTAACAGACCCTGTGTCTGAACGTCAGGAGTTAACCTGACTAAGATTCATCCATTGGTGGGACGTAGAGACATCGCTGCTCTTACGATATCCTTTAGACTGCACCACATCAAGAATCGCATCTTCTTTTTTCTTCGATCAAGACAACGATATGTCTCAGGCAGCTGATGAATTGAATTGTATCAACCAGTAGAGATGGGCAGGCACCTGATCCGAGACAAGAGGGACCGATAGCTTAGATACACGCTTTCCGTGACACTGGGGACTTATAAAAAGCCAGATTATCCAGATAAGCATATCCGCGCGCTCAAAAGAGCTAAGGACCTTTGTCCTGATCGACACTATCGCTCACCTTCCACTTTTACAATGTTCTAAAGAAACAAAACATTCTGATAGTATGTCTTTTGTCAATGTATGTGATTCATTCGACCACTTTAATATACATATAATAAACAAGATGAACGTATCGTGTAAAAACAAGGCAACATCAAGCACGCGTATGAAAATCCAAGATGGTAGTTTATTGTTTATAAAAGCCTTCAGAAGTCTTTGAAGGCTTTTCCACGGCTTTTGAAAATTTCAAAGAGCATCAAGTTATAAACATTTATTTTTTGACGACGTGGAAGCATTAAGTATCAAGCGCCTACATTATCAAGGAATAGTCAATCACTTCTGATTTCACAATGAGGAACATGTTAGCCCACACTACCCCGCACCCCATCCACTACTCGGCACACACGCTTACTTTAACGACACGGATTTAGCTAGCCTCGCGTTCGCCAGCATGGCGGCCCAGTACACATCAACTTTTCGCTGTCCAGCCAAACGTAACACTTGTCGAAAGGTGCGGCTCCTGCTACTACACGAAAAAGAGAAAACCACGCAAGCGTAATTTTTGTCTAACTACATATCATCCCACTCCATCCACCCTCCCCATTTTCCATGATACCTGCTCTCTTCGTTGATAAGTCACCAGACAACAGCCCTCGCAATTAAAGACGCGCCGCTGCTCGGGACCGCGTCATCGTTCAAGAAGAAGAGGGTGTAAAAAAAAGGTGAATATAATAAACAAAGATCGCAGAGAGAGTTCCAAACTGAGAGGCAAGCCCTTCCCCAGCGTCCACAAACCCACTTGGGAGTACACAACTGCGCGAGTAACTCAAACAGCAGAAGGTTCCCTTGATGGTGTAAGAATGCCCCAGGAGCAGCCAGCCACGGTCAGAGATGCAGGACTAGCCACACTTGGAGCTCTTGGTAATCAGATACAAAGAAAGGCTTCGCAGCCACTGGTCGCCGGACAAGTAGGGATTCGTCCTCGCTTACTCTGAATACTCGCAGAGGGCATATACTTGGAGCCGGTTACGGTTTAGGACCACTAGGCATGCTCATATCAGCCCGCCATGCACAGCGGATCCAAAGGCGGCCAACCCTCAAACCCGCACACTTGCTGCACACTTTGGGCAGTCTGCTGACATGAGATGCCCTAAAAGAAAAAGTAAAAGGGAGAGAAGAAGTGATCCCAAGCAGCATCGCGTGCCTGCAATTATGAAAAAGAAAGAAAAAAAATGTCATTAAGAACGTGTTATCAGAATTTACGAAAAATTAAGATTGAAGAGAAAACAACCATTCAAAAAGTGTTCTGCGTCTCTTACCTAACGTTTTTTAACGTTGATCAGGGGCAGTTTGAGTCGTACCCCAGACTTTCGGAAGGCTCTTGTGTGAAGCAAAGCTCAATGGCAATGTTTCGAGCAAACCGGGCTTCTATTGCAAAAAAAGCCAGTTGTAAATGCTTGAAGACGAAAGTAAATGCCATAATGATTAACGTTTGTTTCTATTTCAAAAGTGCTAACAATTGCTAAAGCTACGAAATCTCTTTATACATACTTGTTGTCGTTTGCGGGCTACAACTGTTGATTGCTGTCCTGTACACTTTGTGAGATGTTGATTTGGTGCAGAGCAAGCACTTTTTTGCAGGTGAAGGTGCAGAGCACACACTGGAAAATACGCGCTAAAAAAACACGTCACTAAAATTCAGCCCCGCTGTGACGTCATCTAATCTCTTATGATATTGCTACTGTGCACCTTTCATCAAAAAGAGCTATAAAGAAGTTTTCGAACTTAAAGAAGTTGCCTGTCATTGTCTTGGGTGTCGTTTCCAAGCAGTGCATGAATGTTTCACAACTGCAAGGCAGCTCCGCTTACTTTTGTGGCAGATGTAGTACCTGAACTGTCGCCGCAGAAATCAGCGACAAAAACAGAAGCAAGGAAAAAAGGTTCTACAGGTGTTCTGTGCCTGAAAGTTGATATACTAGCCCAGGAGCTGCGGATATCATTGATAAGCGCTAGTTCTGACACCAGGTAGAAGCAAATTTGTTTGTTCTTTAAATGCCTCATATACTATTATGATATGTTTATGACCTGATAAACGCAAAAGGAACGCATTATTATAAAGAACCTTTTTCCCTGTGTCAATTCACGACCTTTTCAATTTAACATGCTCCTTCAATCTGTTTTGAGCATACATATCCGTCCAAGACACTGTAAAATTTTACAAAAACACAACTTTTAGTAGTATAATAAACCTTTGAGATCCGAACATCAACTAACCTGTGTTGACGTTGGATTGAACGTCCTAGTCCCTCCCTGCGATTAATAGATGCTTCCTCGTAGAGTACCACTACTGTTTACTGATTATTTGTCTGCTTCTTCTACCGATTACTTAATACTACTTTTACGTAATACAAGGGCGGCGCGAAAGGCAATGGCTACGAGAAGAAAGTACAAAATACACAATCATAATAATGTGGTGCGGTTGTCCTGAGAGTAGTTTAATGAAGCACACTTATTCTCGCCAATTTTTAAACTTTTACGATCAAACTATGAGTACTTTTCTCTTTGTGAAATGATTCTATATGACTGTATGTTTCATGGGTGTTTTGTCCTTCTTGAAGTAGGTAATCTCGCTGGCCAATGAGTTCCTTTTTTTTCACACCAACTTATCCCAACGTGACACGCTTTCATTGTTTGCTTTGCTGTCTGATAACACACGGCTGGTACAGGACATTTGGTGCTACTGAAGAATACAATGATCACATATATCTTGGCACTATATTATAATTCATAACGGATAAATTAATTGCATCGAGTTCGCATTGTGCGATTTATTGCTTAGCATTAACGTGCATATTTGTTATTGAAAACTCAACAACTATTATGTCGACGCACCATAAACAAATAATGAGTACCCTTTCTTAAAAATCCTTCTTTTCTAAGATTAGGTTTATTTGTGGCTAATGATAACAAGTGATCCCGCGCCTCGTTGTTAATATAAGGTTTTTACTTTTCACTTTGATTCCATGTAGAAGGACGAATAAAAAAAGCACATTTGCAATTGTAGTAGAAAATAATTTTATTTCTTAGAAAAGAAAGCGCCATTCAGATAATCAGACTGTAATAGTCTCTTTCCGGAATCGACGAATTGTAACGAGAAAAAAAAGGCTCTTTCACCCCTATGTTTGGGGTTACTTGGAAAACCTTGAGCAATAATGACATAATGGGCCGAAATTTCAAAGCCAAAAAACCCTTTGGTGCTGTGATAACACTCTCCTTCCTTTGAGCACACTCTCTTGAATACGCAAAAAATGCGTGGTTCTGGCCCTTTCTTCGTGATGTTTGCAAAGTGTGCACACACTCTATGGAAATTGCTTATCCTAACAACAGGATTTCGCTTTTAAATTTATAGCTGGTTTTAAGCTTCCTTTTGAAAAAAGAAAAAGGTTGCGACCTGGGATATGATAGAATGAGCTTCACTTCACGCAGTCTAATGATCTTGTTGTTGCTATGAAGAAAATGTCGATAAAACGGCAGTGAGACGCTTGTTACTTAGTCTTTCGAGATTACAAGTTTTCTCCAAATAGCCTAATTCAGTAACACGAGCGAAACCTTTTTTCTGGTTTGTGGCACCTTAGAGACGGCAATCCTGGACATTGTTTTTAAAAGTATGTACCACAAAACTTCTTAGACACCAGTTTGTTCCGAACGGATGTAAGAAATATTTTAAATGCTGAGCAAACGCGGGGGTTTGAAGGAACGCACTCGTTCCATTGAAAGTTTTGAAGTAAAGGTCCAGCTGTCAGTAGTAAAGAAAAGCTGGTGCATCGAATGGTAGTGGAAAGAAAACGATCCCCCATTACAGCATCATCATGATATCAAATGCTTTTATCTCCTAAAACAAATACTGGTCTCTCTGACAACAACAAGCTCAAGGATCATTCAAACTTACAATGATGATATATTTGATCTAGAGGATCAAAGCTACCGAAGAGTTGACAGCTGGGATCACATTTATTCCGCTGCGGAGCGGAGGTCATCGGATGGGTTAAGACAAATTTAAGGCATACTCTGCTGGTGCTGGTGATGTGCACCAATGATAATTTTAGCTATTCCATTTTAGAATTGCTTCCTTTATACTTCTTTATATGGTAGGGGAGTCTTTATAATGCTGTCATAGTAACTTGATCCATCATGTGAGAATGAACATTAAAGCCAGTTGACAGCAAGGTAGTAGTTGTTTTACATCATATGGAGCGATATATGAATCTTTGTAACATGAAACAGGTACGGTGAAAGGATGCATGTAAGGTAAGTTTTTCTTGGCTACTGGTAATAATAGACAGAATGCATGATGTGAGCTTTTGAAATTCAGTTTTAACTGCAGCATGTCGTCGGATGTTTGACCATGTTTGTATATCGTTTTACCATCATTGTCCTCAATGACGACATGGAAGTAACCCTTCTGCTGCGACAGCCCAATGAATGTGTGCTTTGATGCGCATTTTGTAGCATTTGGCTCTAACATTTTTTAAAAGCCTGTGGTGGAAATTAGAGGCATGTACAGTATCATAAAAGTACGTAAAGTCATCGTAGTTAGTGGCACTCGATGCGCATCAACAATATCACTCATCATGCAATACACCATGAAATCGTTTCGAAGGAGCTTGGATGTTAAAGGATCTGTCACCCTTATAAATGTAGCATATGCAAAATCAAATTACGCACTACGACGCAACATTCATTTGCGCCACTTTGAAGCATGCACCGTTCAGTCGTACGACGCCGCGAGAATATAAATAAAGGATACTTTTCCACTTATGAACTGGGTTTAATACTTTCTCTTTCCCTCACTTTCTGGTAAAGATCATATTCTAATACTGTCACAGTGTATGACAAACCCTATACCCGCGAGTAACTAACAATTATGCTCTATCACAACTCTCAGTTAAACATATTTTCGGGTTATGGTCCAGACACCCGCCCCCTTCACCGATATCCTTACGTTTTTACACAGCGTCCCTGTTGAACTCCAAAAGAAACCTGAACCTTCGAATCAAGTCATTCTCGAATCGTTCCTGTTCGCAGCCCATTGCGATCTCGGCATTTACATCATCGAGCCGATTCTTGCCAATGACGTACATTTGAAGCATCAGTTATGGCAGCACCGCAATGGTGAGCTGGTCAACAAGGCGCTCGAGAGCGGATACAAGCAGATTCTCAAGGACATTGTCCGCTTAGTCAACCACGCAAACCAGCGCCATGAACAATTTACGACGGCCAACTATACGTACAACGAAGTCCAACGTCAAACACACATTGATTACTTGAAAGAAGAGACCGCCAAACTGCGCCGACTTCTCAATGCACTCTTCTTGCAGAATGTGCCCAGCACCCCGGCACTGACGATTTCCATGTTTGAACCAATCATGTCCGTCGACGCCTATGACTTTTGGAAGCTCCTTGGCAAGGATGTTGTCGTTCCATGGGACAAATTCTCAACAACATACAACATTCTCTTTGGAAACGTCGAGCCACAGTACAAGAAATACATCCAGAACTTCTTGTGCGAATCAAGCAGTAACAATGTAACGGCATTCACCTTTATCTCACTTGTCGACAGCTTCGGTTTCCCTTTCGGCAGAAACAACGACAAACAGGCTCTCTCAGAAAAGGGCCGTGTGCAAGTGACCCAAATGATCGTCGAACTCATGCGCGAACTCGGTTCTCCGGAAATGCGTGCCCATCTCTTGGAGGTCTATGAATGGTACAAGGGCATTGATCGTACCGATGCTGGCGCTATCCAGCAGAGAGCAAACGAATGGGCTGCTATCATCAAAAAACATCCACGCACTGACACCTCGACCCCTAAAAGTGAAGAACAGAAGCGTGCTGACGACATCGACTTGGCCAGACGTGCTATTTCTCTTTTCTACCAACGCTACATGGTGCTCTGGAAAATTGGTCCAACTGCTCGCGATGTGATCAAGAATGTTGATACTCCCGGAAAAGCACGCATTCGCGACTTTCTTACATATGTGAAGCCTCTGGACTATGCGAATCTGATCACGGTCATTGGCGCCGACCCCGCAAGTTGGCCAAAGAAGAAACCAGTTGTCTACAGCTTCTTAGACACTCTCGTCAACCCTCCTTCAAAGTAGCTTCTTTGATTATCGACGCATTCACTTGTATCAATCTTTCTTATTTTTTTTTTCTTCGCTTGTTAGTAATAAAAGGTTGTCCAAGTGCATAATATTTATTTTCACCTTGTGTGAACTGTTGGTGTTTTAGTTCACGTCCAATTACCTACTGCATGCACCACTGTTTTGGATGTCTTGCTTCCATTTATCATGCTGATGCGCGCGGGAAAAAGACCCGTGTTGTTTACATAAAATTAAATGCTTGCTGCTTCACACAGTCGTCACTTGGCTCATTTAGTGCTGGCATTCTTTAGTATAAGCATAAACGGATCCTTACTTATTCGAAACACAGTGTTAAAGTTCATCGGCTTGGCTCTTAAAATGTACAACACTGTAACAGCGCCCTATCGTTATGTACGTATGTTTAAGTACTACGATGATTGAGAATAAAATCGCTGTATTACTGCCAGCTAGTCTTCTGACTAGACCCAGTCTTGCGGGTGCTTCTTATCTCTCATTATTCTGTGGAACTGCACATTTTCGTTTCTCAGTGCCGTTATAACAAGATAAATGGCACCGTCAGCAGAGACCTAAAGATTGTTTGTATACTAAAAACACATGTTTTGCCCTTGCAGTATATATACATCACTATCACCACAGTGGCAGTAAATACGGGTTTCCTTTTTATGGGATGCGTTTCGAAAACTATTAATTATTACATTTTGGGCCCTCATAATTTAACTGTACTCAATAAACAATCGGATTTTTGGCATTACTGTATGTGTGAAATTGGTGTTCAACGAGCTAGCCGATGCCATTAAATGCTACATGATGGTTGCTATTTTCCAAATTGAAGCTGAACATGCGACTTACTACTCCATAGTCAGCAATTGATTATATGTTCAGTGCGATTTTTGCAAGGTGGATAGTGGCAAGAAATGGAAAATTATCAATGTTACGCTGATAAGCATTATACCCAATTTTCGGTTAACATGAACAGGAATCCACAGCCGGTTTTACAAAGTTGTATTTGCAGATGAGCTTTATTAGAGAATGATCAACAAGGTTGTTTATATTTTGTGTAGAGATTTATAGATACTAAATGAAATTTACGTAGCGGCTAATAGTCTGCGAGAAGAGAACGCTCAGATTCCCCGTAAAAATGGACGCGGGTAAAATAATGATCAAGTTAGTAAGCACAGATGCTAATATATGAAGCCTCAAGGTACAACCTCAAGTTCCTAGAAGGAATCTGACAGATCGTTTAAACTGACTATCCGTTTTTCAAGGATTGACGTACATGGTCATGTTTTACACAAAGCAGTCGGTGGCTGAGTAACTAGCATTGGTTGAAATATGATCTACGGGACGACGTCAATGACTAGATATTTTGGTGGTGCACAACGTTGTGAGGATCTTTTTGTACACCAAGCTCCTGGAAAAAGAAAGAAAATGAAATGTACTATCGCTATATCACTATTTTCAATAAAGTTTCTCTTGGGGAGCTCACCATCTTATTTATTCATCTTTCGGCTTCTTCATCTGTCCACAGCATACGGAAGAATACGTATTGATGGATAATAAAGAAAAACAATGGTTTGGAAGATGTAGCATTAAGAATTTGTCTTGCGCCACCGACGGCATGGCTTGTTTTTGTGAATGCTGGTTGTACAAAATGGCTTGGATCAGTAGATCATTGCTTACGTACTGAATTACCACGAGATAAAATGGAGGTTGTCATGTATAGAGATAAGCTCCACTGCTGAAGAGTATTAGCATGACGTTTTACAGAATCCGAACAACGCTGCGGCAGCAGCTGGAATACACAGAAATCAAGATTGTTGGATGGGTAATCAATCATAGTCGAAAGACAGAAAGCATCCAGTGTTATTTCAATACAGCCTTATGCCCAACAACGGTCCATATCCAGGTTCATCCGCTGATACGTTCTCCAAAACGCCAAGCTATAAACTTGTTGTTTTTTTTTTCCGAACGTCGTCCCACCAGCATATACATACATACGCTCACACGCTGAGCTAATTTATGCAACGAAAGTATTGATAGCAGTAGAATGCTATTTACGTTCTTGGACACTATGGTCTTGGGTGCTAGCCGAGTAAAATGTCTCTTTGTAGGTGTACTAATAATACTTTGATTCCATCAACTCATGGGTGAGTACAAGCAAAATGGGCTTAGCGCCAGTGCTGGAGGAACACTTTAAAGTAATATGATGTAGCTCCTTTTGCACAAATTGGGCGTCGGCGATCGGTTGCTACCGGAATAGTGAGCCGTGTAGCGGAAGAAATGTCAAGCCGACATTAGATAAGTCACTGCTCCCTTTTGCTACATCAGGCTGCTGTGTATAACAGCAATAGTAGTGGGTTATCAATGATCTGTATCCAGCAGACATTCAATCAGTCAGGGTGTGCGCGAAAAGATTGGCCGACAATGATGCTGTGTGTGCATAAATGATACGAAAATATGGATCTCAGAAAAAAATTGATACTTACTCTTTCTTATAATACAACATGCTCCCAATTACAGCGTATGAAAGTAGCAGCGACTCAGAAGGCTCCTCGGATACCGAACAACAACAGTAAGCATGATTTCATAGATCTAAGCTTTTTTGACACAGGAATTGACTTTATTACATTAGATCAAGCTCAATGCCGGCATTGCCAGGCTTTTTTTCACCAGGTAAAGTCAAGAAGATCTGTTAGATTCGAGCGTGTGCGAGAAAGGGAATTCCGGCAAAGAGAAAGAGAGAAGATTTGACTCATTAGCGAGATGCAATAGCGTCCACCAAAGCAGAAGATCCTGTCAAGCATCAAGGAAGGAAACGGACAAAGCCGCATACTGCAAATAGCTGGGCTACACATGTTTATGTCCAAGGTATGTTTGCGGCAGCTTATCAAATTCCAAAGGGGCCAATTTATTGATGGGGAATGATATTTTTTGAAATTTGGTTTGTTAGTGCCAGTTACTGAGGAAGTCAAGCAGATTGTTGGCCCAACCATAACAGACGACATACACTCAATGATCCAGCAAGAAGAGGACGAGATGCTGCATGTTAGTCTGAGTAGATGCGTGTTCCTGAAGGAGCATCAGCTTGATACGTTTGCACAGAATATTCGTGACAGCATCGCACAGAGCAGGTACGCGTTTTCCTGAAACACAAGCAATAATCTTCGCAATGAATGAAAGAAGCTAAGCAACTCATGGTTACCTCCAAATACAAACCCAAAGCTTCTGTATCACCTTTGCCGATGTGTCCGTATTGACGAACGACGAAAAAACGCGGTCTTTTGTCACTGTCGAAGTTGGAGCGGGGTACAATGAGGTAAAGAGCTTACTTTGATTGGGTGGATGATATGTGTGTTTCCTAGGCTGATGTCACACAAAACGCAAACCAGCTTCAGTCCCTGCTCAGGGCGGTCGACAAGGTCATGGAGAAATTTGGGCAGCCGGTGTTCTACAAGGTAATGTTGTGCATACGTGTTTTGTTTATCTGCTGTGCATTTATATTACTTGCATGTGTGGCTGTTTTTTTTATTATGAAAGGAGCTGCAAGATTACTAAAATTACGTAATGGCGACGCATTAGCCCGCGCGCTTCCATGCTAGCATTGCATGGAGCTTGACGTCCGCGCCTCTGGAAGCTGCAGTCGGAAGAATCCCGACATTAGCGGTAGATGACCTCACTACCGTTAGCCACATGGTATCCAAGGTGGTCGTCAAGATGGGCAACCGAGTCGTCGAGGTGCCATTACAGAAATAAAGACATTGCATTCAGAGCGAGTACCGCTGCTATACCACACATTACGACCTATCATTCCTCTGTTAATTTGATTCGACTGCCTTTATCTCTGGGTCATTGGAGTGCTCCAACCAACTGTCAAGTCTTGTGCCTACTACCGAAACCCGCTAGTTGCGCGGATAACGAAAAAAGAACAACACCAGTCGATCGCCCGCTCGCAGGTCCCTAAAAAAGACAGAGGGCACCCAAAAAAAAACCACAAAAAACGCTTCGCATGCTGCCATATTTATACACACCACAACACACACTCCCAAAAGGTTCTGCTTAGCCGAATAGCCGCCGCTCCCACTTGTTTGTCGCTTGGGCCACACACCCTCTCTGTGGACTACAGCACACAGCTCATGCATCTTACACAATGTATTGCGTTCTCCTATTTGCTTTGTGCGCTCAAAAGAAGACGAAGAAAAAAAAATTATTATCGACTTTCCTTTTTTATCGTTCCCATTCAAAAATAACTGAAACCGATCGACCAGCATTCTGTTTTTCTGGCTCAGAGCTGATCGCCTATGTTTCTGGGCATCACTGGCTCCGACCAATGGGTGTCGACGGGCTGCTGCTGAGCCTCTCTGTTCAGCCCAAAGGACTCGAACGTGGCAACGAGGCAGGAAGAAGGAGGGATGACGGAATGGCCGAATCTGCTGGTGTGCGTCGAGTCGACATGGGAACCAAAAATAGCGGTGGTTACACCAAAAGCGAACAAAAAAAAAAAATAATAATAAAGAAAATTTAGCCACCCGTTTCCAGGGGCAACACATAAGAAAAAAAAAAGTTAGACAGTGGCAGAAGCAGAAGCAGGTCCGTCAAGCGCGTTATAATAGGTCTCGTAATACTTCCTGTATTAGATTCGAGCCCCGTCTATATTCCCTTCTGAAAGGACCAAAGCTTCCCTCTCTTTTCCTCTTCTTCTTCCTCTTCTTTTTTTTCTTCTTCTTTGTCACGCTCTTTCTTATCTCTCATCCTCTTCTTTCCCCTTTCCTCACTTTTTCCTCTCTTCCCCTCTCTTCCTCTCTCTCTCTCTCTATCTTTTTTTCTCTCTCCGCTTGATTCGACATGTCGAATCCTCATCGGGCCTCCGGCTACCAACCGGGGCTTCGAGGATATCCCAACGATCCTCGCGCTTCTCGTCAGGGCTTTCACCCGGGCCAACCACAACAACCACAGCCTCCACGTCATTCCGGTGTCGGCCCGCCGCGGCCACCTATGCACAACCGTCAGTCGCAAGCCGGCATGCCAATGAATCGTCCCTCAATGCGCATGGAGGACGCTCGACGATCGAGCGATTACAGGCAACACAGTCAACATCACCGTAGCAGCCGTCCACTACCACCACAACCACAACCACAACCTCACCACCACCATCCACAACATCAACAACAACAGCAACAACAACGAATGCCTTCGCCGCCTTCGGGTATGATGATGGGCCAGCAATCTCGTCCAATGCGTGCTCCTCCAGCAAACATGCAACAACAATCCCAGCCGTACCGTCGAGTGAGCGTCAGTCGCGCTCGATCCCTCTCTCGTCCAGAACGTCAGCGACCGCGACAAGGCATGCTCAACCGAACACCATCGCAACATCGAGCTGCGGCCGGTGCCCGACTGGCACCTGGTGCCAACAATCCAATGCCACCTCCTGGCATGTATGCCGGTGGACAGCAGCCAATGTCTCCGCATCTGCAGCAACAGCTTCAGCAGCAGAAGCTTCAGCAACAGCAGGCCGCTGGATTAGACACGCCGATGCCCAACCAGGGACGCCCTACTGATCCAGAAGAAGACGAAATCAAGCCCAAGGTGCTTGTCAGCTGGTGGTCCTGGATTGCATTCTTGGTGACGTGCTGCTTCCCCAATTGCTGTATCAAAGTCGTCTTTCGGAAACCCAATGCGCTGATGCAGCAAGCTTGGCGTGAAAAGATGGCCTTGTGCTACATCATTCTGCTTCTGATGGGTGCACTGGCGTATATCACTTATGGTCTGAACCAGACATTGTGTCCGGACTCTGTACAGAACCCGCCGTTTTCGAGCGTGCTTGACGGCGTGCGGACACCAATGTACTATGACAATCCTCGCGTGTTTGGAGAATTCTACAGGATGGAGGACTTGCAAAGCTTCTTTTCGTCGAAAGGCTTGGAGCTCAACAATGACTATCAGAACATGGAAATCGGCTCGATCTTTGACGGCGATACCGCAGGCGTCTGTTCCGGATTTGATCAAGGCAGCGCATCGACAGTAGGCAACTGCAGATTGGACAGCCCTTATGGTAAGTCTGCGTATTTCTTTGTTATTGTTGTCCTCTTTGTTTGCTATTGTGACAAACTGCTGATGCTCTGCAACCTTGCTGCTCAATAAAAAATAGGCGGCTCGATTTCCACATCGGACGGCAGCTGCTTGTCGCTTCGAGAATTGCAGGCATTTGCGTCGTCCACGGGCACGATTGGCTTCGAATGGGCGGACTTGAGGCCGGGCGGTGTTGACACTCTCGGACAGACTGATCTTGTAGTCCTGGGTGACATAGGTAAATACTTATAACAGACCACAGCTTCCGCCCTCTCGCTGGCGGAGTTCTGAAAATAAGAGAATCTCTTGTAATTTTTTTTTTTTCGTTTGCATATGCACTAACTCAAAATGTATTCTTAGTACTCAACATCACAAAGTACATTGACGAGAACACCCAGTTCTTTGGCGAAGACATCGACACTGCACTGCGAGCCACCCGCGGCAACGACGGCTCCCTCGCCGTCATGTACAGCGGCGGCAAGACCACCCGCGACTGTCTCCTGGCAAGATACACCGTAGGCAACATGGAAACCGAGTCCGGTGGCTGTATTGCCAACACCATCGTCATGAACATGATGCTTGCTGTCATTGTCACCATCATTGCTGTGCGCTACTCGATGGCCCTGCTCTTCCAGTGGGTCATTTCCAAGCGTCTTGTCAAGCCCGGCGGTCGTTCCAACTGGCTCGCTTGGCGCTCGATCAAGGGTGGCAACGACGACCCTGCCAACCACATCCCGGGCCCTTACAACAACTACGGACCAATGAATGCTGCACGCGGCTCGTCTGCCTCGGTCAGCTCGGGCGCATCATCTTCGCGCGGCCCTCAGAGCGAACAGAGCTCAGCATTCAACCTTGGAAACAACCCGACGGACATTGTCTCGACTGAACTGTACTCGGTGATGCTGGTCACTTGTTATTCGGAAGGCGAAGATGGTCTTCGTACCACCATGGATAGTTTGGCGGAAACAACTTACTCAAAGAAGCACAAGTGCTTCTTTGTGATTGCTGACGGTATGATCACGGGTGCAGGCGAGACAAAGTCGACGCCAGACATCGTGGTCAGCATGATGGATTTGGACCCTGCCATGGCCAACCCAAAGGCTGCATCTTACCTTGCTATTGCAGACGGTGAAAAGCAACTGAACATGGCGAAAGTGGTATGTTTCCTGCCCAAAAAAAAGGTCATAAACAAAAACTCTAAAATATTTATATCTCCCGCCTTCTAGTACGCTGGCCACTATAAGGGCGTACCTTGTGTCACTATTGTCAAGTGTGGTACCGAAGAAGAACAGCAAGGTGCCAAGGCAGGCAACCGTGGTAAACGTGACTCTCAGGTTAGTGAGCGTGTGCATCTAAAGGAGTAGTAGTAGTAGTAGTAGTAGTAGTAGTAGTAGTAGTAGCAGCAGCAGCAGCAACAATTACAAGGACTAACGTGAGATGCTGTACTACATTGCTAGCTTATTCTCATGTCGTTCTTCCAACGCGTCTTATTTAACGATCGTTTGTCGGAGCTTGATTACGAGATATTCTGGAAACTGACCTGGCTGATGAAGGGAGTGACACCAGATAAATTTGAATTGGTGCTTATGGTGAGTTTTGGCGTGGTCCAGAGTCCTCTCCCTTTTCTCAGTGGTCCAGTGCTCACACGCCGCATTTGCTGATGTTTATGCTTGTGGTCATTTGTTTTAGGTCGACGCCGACACCAAAGTCCTGCCCGACGCATTGACGTACATGGTCGCAGCAATGGCCAATGATATCACGATTATGGGTCTTTGTGGTGAAACGCGCATTGCAAACAAACGATCCTCTTGGGTTACAGCCATCCAGGTCTTCGAGTACTACATTTCGCATCACTACGCCAAGGCCTTCGAATCGCTGTTTGGTATCGTCACCTGTCTGCCCGGTTGTTTCAGTATGTTCCGCATCAAGGCACCCAAGAACGGTGCCTGGGTTCCTCTTTTGGCCAACCCCGACATCATCCTCGAATACAACCAGAACGTTGTCAACACACTGCACGAAAAGAACCTGCTCCTTCTTGGTGAAGATCGTTTCTTGTCAACCCTCATGCTGCGCACGTTCCCCAAGCGACAAATGATGTTTGTTCCCCAGGCGCGCTGCCGTACGATTGTCCCCGACGAATTCAAGGTGCTCCTTTCGCAGCGTCGTCGTTGGATCAACTCGACCATTCACAACTTGATGGAATTGGTGCTTGTGTCCGACCTGTGTGGTATTGCATGCTTGTCCATGCAGTTCTCCATCTTTGTTGATCTGATTGCCGCCCTTGTCCTGCCCGCTGCTATTGTCATGACCATTTACTTGATCGTCACCTCTGCCATATCCGATAGCCCGCAATGGCAATCTCTTGCCCTGCTTATCTGTATTCTTGGTTTACCTGGTGTACTGATTGCCATTACTACGTTCAAACTCATTTACATTGCCTGGATGGCCAGTAAGTACCAAGTCCTAATCATTTACATTTTCCAGATACGTATACGTATTGCGAAGCATCTACTAACTTTGATCTTACTTGTCTAGTTTATATCATTGCTTTACCTATTTGGAATTTTGTCCTGCCACTGTACTCGTTCTGGCACTTTGATGACTTCTCCTGGGGCGCCACGCGTATGGTCGAAGGTGAAAAGAAGGATAAAGGACACGGTGACGCTGAAGGCAAATTCGACTCATCTCGACTGCTTATGCGCAAATGGGAGGACTGGGAAGCCGACCGCACAGGTCAGCGGATCACTCGGAATCGATTCACGCTCAAGACGCCCTTGGATCCGCCCTTGGCTTTTGATGGCAAGTCGACGGTCACCCCGGTTACACCAGCGTTTGGTAACATCTTTAACGACCGGAAGATGTTTAACTCGTCCACTTCTCTTGCGAGTGCCACACCAACACCGACGTCCACGCCACCTCCCCATCCTCCAACTCCTCCTTCGGGAGCCCAATAACCTTATAACTTAAACCTCTACTACCAAACCCTTTCCCGCCGCACACACAAACACACACACAAACACACACACACACACCAAAATACAACCATGCACATAATTTATATATCATTTTCTCTTCATCCCGTTCCTCTTCATATATAAAAAATCTACCCCACATCCGCATCACCTTTTATCTTCCTCCACACCTTTTGTAAGTCCTGAGAAGGGCAAACCTTATTCATGATCCTTTTACTTTTCTTTTTAGATATTACTTGTACAAAATGCTTGCCAATCTGCACCTTTTTTTTAATAATATAAAAAGATTATCTATTACTACTTCTGGTGGGCTATCATAATATATATTTCACTTTCATCATTGGGGACATAATTGATCAGTGCACGAGAGTTTGCAAACTTTGCATTCTTGCATGCTGGGATCATATCGAAATGCCACTATCCCATATAGGGATCGCTTCCCGAAATTTGCATAATTCATGGTCAAAGTCCACGTTTTCTGCTTTTGTGGGCACTCCTGCTTATTTAGACTGCACTGTATGTGCTATACACATATCACGTCTTACTGTATACGAAAAATTAGCAGTCGTTATCTAGTGCGGCTATAATATACGTATCTATGTCGTGCTGATACAAGCACATTCGAAGTGCATACTTAATGTCATAGCGATAAAAATTATATAGCTGACGACTTACAATGAAGGCAGTTAACATTTGCTACAGTATTATCGGATTATATAGAGTCGCCTCAATGATCATAGTCGCAATTGAGCAAGACCACCTCCACAGCAGGATATAATGTACCCCTTTGTGAATGCTGTGTCGTCATTTGTAACGAGTCCAAAAACGCTTTTCCAGCCTGCTGCAAATGCATCCATGTCTTCGTTGAGTCAAAGGAGTGTAAAATTAGGCGGCTATTAAATTGCTGCTGCAATGTTTTATTTCCTGAAGCGCTGTCGTATACAGTGCTTCCAACAAGTAATGTCACAGCCAATCAAAATCAATGTCACTGGTAATGAAGTCGCTTGCCTAGAAATCAAACATTGTGATTCTTGGCACCCGAAAAATATATAGAGAGAGTGTTATATGAAGATGGACATGGGAATGTTATTGATGAGAATGGTGGTCCTGAGCCCTTGGACTACATTGTTGATCAGAATGAATTCATTGTTTAGACTATTGCTACTCACACAGAGTACTTGAGAAATGCAGTCCCCAAAGAATCATCTCTGACTTGCCCAATGTCATTAGAAAAGCCAAAGAATGAAGTTGTTCATATGAAGGAGACAAAACCAAAACGAGAATAAGTGCGTTACACAGACCAGGATAAAGCTAGATTTTTCGATCCAAAGATTGAAAAGTGTATGACTGCATCAGCTGCAGTAAAGCAGTTGGGCATTCACATTCGAACAGCTTATAGATGGGTTAGCCAGTATAATGTGTGCCCCGACAGATTTTTGCGAGCTGTAAAAAAGCAGGTCGAAAGTGCATCTTAACTGAAGAGCATAAAACGACTGTTATCAACTTCATTGATGCTAATCCCTCTGCAACTGTTGTTGAAGTGACTGAGCATTTATTAAAGCAATTTCATGATCTTAAAGTGTTACGCAGCACTGTTAATAACTTTATGAGACGCGAATGCAATCTTTCGTTGCAAAAGCAGACTTTCATTCTATTGAGAGAAACAGTCCAGCAAAGATTGAGGAGCGGTACAATTGGGTTTGTAGATGGGAAAATACGGACATGAACTTTCTGCCGAATTGCGTGTTTCTTGACGAGTCTGCTTTTGATATGAAACGTTCACAAGCTTGGTCAAAAAAAAAGGTGCTCGTGCTATTGTCACCAGGCCTACCACGAGAGCAAACACAACGTCTATACTGGGCGCTATTTCTGTTGCAGGATTGATTACAGTGGGTTTAAAAAAGCCGAGACCTGCAAAGAAGAGAAAGGCCGATGGATATATAAGCTCAGGGACTGTAACAGGCCACTATAGTTTCTTGAAAACGACTCTTGATGAAATGGACAAACATCCACATATGAAAGGTCAATATATTGTTATGGATAATGCACCCGTTCACTTACATGAAACATATAAAAGTACATTGAGTATCGAGGATACAAATGTGTGCACCTTCCTACTTATTCTCCAGAGCTTTATCCAATAGAGCATTTCTGGGCAGTGGCAAAGAGTAAGGTTAAGCGCCACAGGTTTTTGCAGGAAGACACTTTATCCAAACGAATCATGGAGGCTTGCAATAATGTGAAGAAAAGTCATCTCAATGGTTTTGTTTCGCATTCTTACAAGTGTTGGGATAACTGTCGAAACAAAATACCTATGTAATGGTTAATAAGCTAAAAAGATAGGAAGAAAAAAAAGAAGCTGCTCAACATTTTTTTTTACTGTGGCCAGCTGTTGAGCAGCAAATCTTTTTGCTGCGGCACAACGGTTAGCAGAAATGCCACCGCCGAATCGATCTGGACCACAAAGCATCACCTGTAAGCGTAACCCACGAATATTATAAGATATATTTCACCTCATGGATATAATCCAGGTTTCGAAAAAACACGGTTTAGCAAAGGAATTTGCCCGTCGATTATGTGACGCTATTTTTGTTGTCAACAAAGAAGACCGCGACCGAGTAGAGAGACATTTAAGAAGCCAAGGGCTGTCATGGGACTACATGCTTTTGAAAAATTCTGCCTGGGTATTATGAAGAGTTAGACGAAGTGTACCACAGCCCGAGGGGTTATTACCTGTTGTGCATAATTTTTTCGCCGAGTATGGTCCTCATCAGTGCGCGCGAACTGGACGTGCCCTCTTTAATCAGGAAGCATAGAAGCAAGGCCGACGCGTTTTGGAAGCTATCCGAGCCCGAGAAGCCACTGATCCAACCGGTATTTCATTATATCTTCAAATTGGTGTTGATCGTCACAACCTGCCCATGTATTGTTGTAGCCGTGGAACGAACTCGCTAGAAGGCGGCGTGCATCAGAATATAATACGGAAGTTTGGTTCCTTTGGTGCAGGACCACAAATGACAGATTGCATGCTGGCTGACTATAAATTGCGACACAACATTGATGTAAGTACGCAACACAGTGTAAGACCGTTTTTCTTTTTAGGTCGTAAGTAACTATATCTAATAACTTTGACATACAAAGGTTGGGTCCAAGAACAGACACTGCAAGACACATCTTGGGCATTACGATCTATGATTGACTCAGACGATATGTGACAAGCTATCATTGCTTAACATGAATGATAATGAGAGTTTTCCCAGACACTCATTGTTAAAAACTCCTTGTATCTTAAGATGTCTCGTGAATCCTTCGGTATCGCTTCCTTCCCTGCACTTTCAGCTGGTGATATTAACATCCAAAATATTGATTATGACCTTGAAAGTCGCCGCTCTGACCCGTTCCTTGCGCAAAAACTAAGCGTGAATATTTCGTTACCCAAGGGATCAACCACTAATGCTCAAGGCCAAATGTACATGTATATTGCATCGAAGCTTGGAAAGAGATACGCTGTTACACCTGTCCACACACCTAAGGAATACATGTTGTTTGCGAGCTTGATGCCGAATGATCTGGACAAGCAGAGCTCAATCTCCTGGAAACGAATTGCTCGGGAGTGGAATGAACAGCATGCGAATGGGGTTGATGTCTTCTACAAAACTGTCGAGTGTTTATAAACACATCATAGCGCTTGGACAACGAACCAGTTTGCCATACGAACAATTCGAAACAATGACAACGTAACGTCGGACATGCAACTGCAGCTTCAATTGCCTGGAAGGGATGACAATAATATGATGCCATCAGCACGTGCAGAAGTCGTACCTTCTGATGATAATTCGCTTTTATTTCCTCCGTTTCTCTGAAAGTAACCCGTCTACACATCAAGCAGCAACGGCCCAGTCGTCTACAACAACTTTAGCAACAACGAGCAACATCAGCACGCAGACACATCGTATCTATTATCAACCGATGTATGATCCCCTTTATTACTCTCGTCCTCCCGCTGCACCACCATCGCCATATATGCCATACAACAATTGTTTGCAGTGCTACTCTCTTCCACTGCCACAACAGTACCAAGCAACAGCAGCATACCCACCACCACCAGTTCTAAACTTGCCTTCCCATTCGAGCTCAAGTTACCGGCAGCTGATACCTAAACCTTCTCAATCATCGACAGTAGTTCCTCAATCCACCTGTAAATTTTCAAAGCACCGCACTCGTACTGACAAGCGAAAGAGAGATAATCTGTAGTTTTTATTCTACACATTATGTACCCTCACAAACTCTCTTACATACTTCACCTGATTAGAAGGATCCTCCAACGGGGAAAGCTTCTACAAATGAGGTAAATGAGCCGATAGAAACGTCCTCTCAAGAAATCCATTACGGATAAGCATCACTTCAACAGGCAATCGTCGATAGTAATAAAGCTGATGCTTATTATACCCAGCTGTTGCATTGTTTGATAGTAACAAGAAGATGGAGATGGAGAAGAGGAGAAACAGATCGGTAAACTGGAAAATGGATGATACTTTGACTTTCTTTTTATTGATATGTAGCCTTTATGCTAGATTTATAGAAGAGCTCAGGAATCAGGAGCCCACAACCGCACATCAGACAAAGAATCACATTTCTGAAAGCGATGAGCCATGACCTGATTTAGGTTTCATAGAAGCCAGAAATGACAGCGTCAGCAAATTGGAACTAGATGTTAGCCTATGACATGAATATTGGTATTTTGCGCATTTGTATTTATGTTGCAAAATTATCGTATTGTGGTGAGAAAGGAAGTACTTATTACCTGTATGGCAAACATTACTAACGTTTAAAGATGCTTAAAATAGTAAGTTTTTACGCTCTCTCTTGTATCATAGTCAGTGTGATTGCTTGACTACAAGTAGGCGTCATGTTGATATCGACATAAATGCAGCAGAATACAGTTATTAGCACCTCCTAACATATCAATCACTTTTCGTCATGTACTGTTTAACCAGGACAGTATTCATCGACATATATTCGACATAGCATTAAATCAATGTTAGGAGACTGCTATTCTGTCTTCAGGTGCCGTTTGGAAAACGCATGATGTATCACAAACATTGTTTATGAACACGAAATATAAATAAAAGTAATGAAATGCATATACACCGCCGCAATTGTAGAGATCATCCTGCTTCGGATTCCTACCATGTCATGAAAGGCGCTATTTCTACTATCGTAGCTGACAACACGCTTCAAAAAGAGAGTATGTGCCAGAGAATAACTGTATTGCATTACAAAACATTACGTCCAACATGAGATGAA